GACTGGACGCGTTTTGCTAGATGGAAGCTGCGCGGGGGGAGTTTCGCGGCGCAGGCGTCCCTAGGCCTCGGAGAAGGCGAGAATGGGGCAGGAAGACAGTCAGGTGAGGTCGCATCTGGTGGGCCGAGAAGGCAAAGCAGGGGAGCCAAGACGAAGGATGCATCGTGACGGCGCGAGTGACGGTGACCCCAGACGGGCGTGTCTAAATCAGGCATGCCCCGCTCAGGACTGCACCGCTCGCTCACCGACGTCGACCATCGCCCGTCCTACCCCGCTTTCCTCCGCTTCCGCCCGCCCCTCGCTCTCCCGAGCCCGTCGACGCCATCTCCCATATCTTTCTGCACAGCACACAGGCTGCAAAAGGCGCCCAGGCGGTCCCTGGCCTGATATCACTTTCTGCGTAGCTGCCACGAGTTGTCCGCAACATGTCCGGCTCTTCCTATCGCTTGCAGACACCACGCCCCCGCCGCCCTCCGTCGCCCCTCAACTTCGACGACAACTTCAAGCCCTCGTCCCTCATTGGCAGTCTTCACGACTCGGAGACCCTCCTTTATGATCTGCCCCCAACCTCCATGTCCCCACCACCCACCAGCCCCAGATCGGCCGGGCGCATCATGTCCCCGTCCTCTCCTTCATTTCCTGGACGCCCAAGAGCCACACGAAACGGCCGCCCGACCCCTCCTCCGAGTGCCCGCAATAGATCAACTACACCATCAGGGGTCGCACCAAGCGACCTAGAGCAGTTTGCAGAACACTGTCGGGCCTGGTGCGTCTCTTCTCGTCTCCTCTCCGCCGGCTTTCCCATGCTCTTCCCCCAGGTATTATTGTCAGGACGATAATGCAGGCCGCCTCATGACCCAGACACTCGCAACACTTCCTCCATCACAGCGTGCTCCCTTCTCTCGACTCCAGGCTTCCATTCGATCGGCATACCACCGTTCTGTGAACATCCGCCGGCATGCTGAATATCAAGCCCATCTCAGTGCTACCACCCCTGGCGCCTCTCTCATGGCCCATGCAAGAGCAGACCCTCGTGGAAAGGCCGCGCAGAAAGGTGGGTTAGCCCATGGCCTGCCTGTCAGTTAACCAAACCAACATTCGCCCTAGAACGCCACGAGCGGATGGATCGTTTCATACGAAACTGGTGCACTGTGGGCATGCCGGGGACCAAACCATTTTTCGAGGCGTGCGTAATTCTCCCATCAGACCACCCCGAAGACAGTCATCTAAATTGCCATACCACAGCCTGTGGGCCATAATGCGATTGCAGGTCATTCCAGAAACACTTGGGGGTGCAGGAAGAAATAGAATTGAATGGGAGGTGGATGATGCCGTCTTCAAAGAATCTGCGTCAGTACTATCCATGAACACGGCGTCTATACCACCACTAATCCATGCCTTTCGATTGCTGGAACAGTGGGAAGGACTTTATGCTCGAGGCCATCGACGTTCTCAAAGGGGTTCGTACTTCGCACCGTAATGAAATAGGCGAGTCTATTCCTGACCTTGCCCCGATCAGGTCCTTGCCTTCGAGGAAACACCTTCGTCAACGTCCCCACCATTTTCTTTCGGCCACAGGAAGGGTGCAAGTTTACCCGTGGCACACTCCCGTGCGCAGTCGCAACCGCTGTCCTCCCATCAAAAAACCTTTGAGCCCGAGTCTGCTACCCCAACCGTGCAGCCGAAACGCGCAAGAGCACCAAGTGATCCATTCCTGGACGCGCCCCAGCCGCGTTCGCTCGGATTGTCTTCCAACTCACCCAACCCTGAATCACTGTTCACAGGCACGGAGGCTGAAGAGCCGCCTCCAAACCCTCCGGGGCCTTTTCGAGACATCCCAATGCCAATGCAGATGACGCTGGACGACTATGACGACGGCGATGAGCAGTACCTCAGGGTGTGGACGTCGCCTGATCTAACCGATCCTGAACTGCTGGAGCTTCTCAAGCTGTTCCCCGCATTCGTCTCCCGGCGCCCATTACCCCGCTTCCCCGTCCCGCATCCTCGACACATGGACGTCGAGGAAGGCGAGGACGAGACCCTCGAGGGAAGAACGATCAATTTCGGGACGGGGACGATGTGGGTCAGCTCCAAGCAACGCAGTGATGCATGGGAAGGAGGGTGGTGGTCACGGTTCATGATGTGGTGGCGGAGACTGTTTTGTTAGCTGTCTCCTGCTGCTGCAATAAGTATCAACAGTGGGTCCTACTTCTTGTGTTCTCCGCCCGCCTCTCTCTGCCACCATCGGACCGTCTACTATGTATCTGAGTATTTCATGGCCGCTGGCTACGACCCCGATCCCCCGCTGCCCCTGCCCCGTCCCGCACCTTCCTCACACCGCCAGACACTATCCCGCATACCCCATCTTTCTCCCCACTTCTCTTCTTACCCCAAGAAATCAACCCCCTCATCAGCATCCGCATCCTTCTGACTGACTGATATACTCAAGGACTTGACCTTGTTCCTTTACATACACCAGTACACGGGGCTATTCCGCATAGGACACGTACATTAACTACTATCCTTTCTTGCCGTGGATGCATCGTGCGCGGCAATATATTTCTTGGCTAGCGAGGTGAATATCTGCGATGGCAACGGTGGTTGCGTAGACAAGACCTCTTGTCATGATTGTTAGCCGACCGTATTATTACGAGCGCTATGTCGTAAGTTGGTCATGATACGCGCCCGTTGGATGTGATCAGACGCGTACGCCTATCATTCGGCTTGACGCTTATCGGCCAGTACTACTTACTGCTTTCAAATTCCCTCCCTGGAGCTGTGATCAAAATACGTATGTATAGACACTTTCTGGCGGCCGCTGTAGCACTTAGCCGCAATGATGTTTTCCTCTTCCTCTTTTTTTGGAATACTGCATGCCGTCTCTTTCTACCGAGTGGGCAAGACGGCTGATGTCTCTTGTTTTCGCTATCAGACAGAGAACGGTATTTTGTGTAGAACACGTTTCTAAGCAGCAAGTCAATTTTTGCTACTGTTCGACAGGACGATTACTCAGCGTGCCCTCAACGCCGCGACTAACACAGTTGCAAAGTATTTTAGGACGGAGTACCGGTAATAGAGCAGCCTGCCAGCATCCTGGAGGGCTCGGGCAAACGTTCTGCATGGATCCATGCTCGTAATCGAACCCGCTCTCTAGCGCCATCTCCTTGGGGCGAATTGAATTGAAAGCGAGACGACGTCGGAACTCAAAAGACAAAAATACGCTACAGATGGCGATGGTTTTTCTTGAAATAGACCGCTGGTAAAGTGTAACTGACTGTCGGGTGCAAAGAGGGAGAGAAGATAGGTTTTTTTTTTGCTGGAACTCCAAGGACACGCGACTGCCAATCCCCACGCGGGTGCGAGCCACACGGAGGCGCCTCTCCGTTTCATTTACAGATCGACGCCCAACCTGTGAAAACTCTCACATATGTATCCTCTCCGACTCGGACTCGAACGCTTCGCGGCTAATGATACTCAACACTCCTCCCTTCCCATCTTCCTTTCCCCAGGCAATGTGTGCATGCGAGCTTCACGACATATGGTCTTCACGGGAAGGAAACACTTGTTTTAGTGCCTAGGGCTTTTAATAGGCGTGCTACTCGCAGTTGATAGGTGTTAGCTGACGCTCGCAATTTTTACGATCGGACCGATAGGGGCCCAAAGACAAAGTTGACCGGTGCGCCACACACGCTCTAAGCGGACGAACCACGTGGGTCCACTTTCCCATCTCAGTACCAGTAGCTTATTACGTGCCGCGGAGCGTCGGCTCTGAAAAAGACGGCAGGGCCCACGACCGTGCCCATGAGAATCTCGAGGAGTCGGAATAAAGAAGGCGGGGATCTGAAGGGAAGAAACACTAACTGATTTTCCTACTATCTTGTCCTTGGCCAGGTACCGGAGCAACAGACGGAAATGGCTAAACGTGAATTGAAGGTGGCGTGTCAGTCTCTGAATACCCGGATGGGGAGATAAGGAGGTGTCCGAAGAACGCGAATAAGGTAGGCGAGGCTTTCGAGCGATGGTGTTTCGATTCTGTCAATCGTGACTCCCACCGCGCTTCACCGGCGCAGATTTGCCGTACATTGATAAGAGGGACACCCTCGGGTTAATCAAAAGAAGGAAATAGTATTCAATAAAAAGGTAAATATGAGGTACATTGTTCTGACGTCAAATCTAGCCAGGGTATCCGACTCGGAACAAGTTTCACTGCGTGTGGGTGAAGGGGTGGTGGACTTGGGAAGACTGATAAAATCCTATGATTTCCTCCAGTTCTTCCTGTTTGGCCTTCAATCTTGAAAGGACAATGAGGTAAAATATTTTCTCCGAAGGGAGATGCAGGCGCACCTCTCAACTTCGTTCTCAAGATGCCTAAGCCGCAGAGTCTTCAGCTCATTTTCTCGCTCAGCATTGGCGGCCCTGACCTGAAGTCCGCGAATATAATCTGGTATGCCATTCATGGTGACGAGCATATCAGCGATTGACCCAGCTGAGAGCCCTCCGATTACTCCGTTAGATGATCCGCTCTAGAAAATCGTCGAGTGAGAGTCTGAGCTAGTAATTGTTCGACAACTCACATATAATGGCGTGCTTACGCTTCCAGATGGCCCGGAGGTGCCGACGTTATCATACGCCCTCTGTTTCCCCTTCAAGCTGGTGTAAGGTGACGGAGATGGGGAAGGCGGCGGTCGGAAAAGGGTCTCTTGAGGACCCGTTCTCGGGGTATGAGGCAAACTTTCGATCCCGAAAATATCTACAAGATCGCCGGCCACGGGTCCATGAAAGCCAGCAGAACCACCGGGAGCCGGAGAGCGCGACTGAGCGCGACTAGCTTGGGAACTTGTCTCGGGAGCCTGAACGGATGTAGCCAGTCCTAGCGTCGCGACATCGTCTGGGAGAACGGGAGACGAGATCAGGACAGGCGTGGTTGCTCGATTGGTAGGTTCGGGACAAGGCGGCCCTCTTAGGGCAGCCTGGATGATCTTCAGTCGCTTCTGGGACGGCGTAAGTTCTAGTTCCTGTTCGTCGATCACCGAAGAAACGCGTTTTGAGGATGGTGTTGGAGTTGATGGTGGTTGTAAATAGCTCTGGCTCGAGGCAGGCATCGAGCCGGAAGCCTGGGGAGTTGGGGGAAGTTCGTGTTCGGTAGCATTGCCCTCGAGCCAGACTGCAAGTCGAATGCGTCGCTGGCGAGATAAACAAACAAGGTGCGTATGGCGTACCTTCGAAAGTACACTGCCTATCGCTAGATCGCTTCGCACATCCCAAGTACTGTCTATGAAAATCGAGGCACAGTGATTAGAGGTGGGCGTGAGAGGCTGCAAAACTCAGTGATGTCATCGCCATACCTCCCATCGCTTGCTCTCTTCAGAGATGCCCGGAGACCGCAGAAGCAGTGCTTCGTGCTTTCGTTATTAGTCACCATAAGCGCAACCCAGTTTTTGCTCCAAGGTGAGGTGAGGGTTGGGAGCAGAGTCCGAAATACCATATTAGTCAATTGTTGTCTCAGGGCGGCGTCGCCTAGTTACACTGCCAGGCACGCTGAGCACGTCCTCATGCAAGGAAATTGTACATTGGATAGGTAGGCTATACAGATTAGATGACTACATTGAAACAAAAATCACAATTGCGCTGATACGTCGACCCAGCAACTTGGGAGAGGTGGATTGCACTGGGCAGGTCGTCTTTCGTCTTTCGGACATGAGGTAGAGTTCCCAAGAAACATAAACGTGTCGGATTTATCGGCCTCTCACGCATCCTTCTCCAGCATCTCGACAAGATTTTCCAACTCCTTTTCTCTCGCTTTCAATCTACATAGAAGCAGGAGAACTCATAGTCAGACAGACACTGCGGATCCGAGGACTGCGACATCTCCACGTACCGTTCAACCTCCTTCTCCAGATCCACGATCTTCGCCGCCTTTATGTCACGGCTCTTCTCAGCCGCAACCTTCTTCCTCTCGAGTTTGCGTATATACGCTGGGATGTCTCCGAGGGGCTGAACCAACTTCGCGATCAAGTCGGCGCTCAGCTCCTCCTGGTCTTCACCATCAAGGGTCTCTTGGGAGCTGAAGGGCATGTTCCCGGGTGTTATCGGTTGCCTCTACATGTGGACCGTCAGTGAGCCTCTGCTCGAGGGATAAGTACGGATAAGATATCTACTCCGCTAGAGCCGCCAGATGGACCTGGCACTGACGGCTGGAATTTACCATAGACCATCGGAGAAGGAGTCGGAAGCAAACCTCCGGCATTGGCTGGTCTCTGAGACGTTCTTTTGGGGGTTTGAGGAGGCCAGGAAGCAACGGGATGTTCTGTGAAGAAACGACAAGAGATCAAGGTTCCGCGTTCGAGTAAAGAGACCGTGACCCACCAATGTGCTCACGCTCATCAAGGATGGCATCGAACTCATCATGTTGAGCAGTGAGAGCAGATTCCATGGTCTTGGCCCGTTTCTGACTTGCTGGAGATGGCTGTGGGTCGGCAAATTCATCCAAAGTTGAAAAAGACCTCTTCGCTGATGACATAGGAGTCGGTGTCGAAGGAGGCTGAAGAGTGCGGCCTTGTGAAGTAGGTGGCTCTGATTTCGGAGTGGGAGGCAATCCTTGACTGCTGCTGCTAGGTTGGCTGGGTTCAATCCACTCTTCAGGTGTGGTTGGAGGTATGGTTAAGCAAGGCTTGATGAAATGCTCAAAACCGTTACACACCGAAATATTTGCATCGGTTAGCTTCCCCTATAGGTTTTGGGCACCGATAAAATTGGCTGTGAGGGAATAGCGATTCAGCAATCTGCGGCCTGATGAAGCTAGGTTTGAGTCGCACCGGCCTTCGGATCCTCGCTGTCTACTAGTATAGGTTACAACTGTAAGTCCACATTGGCACTTGGGTAAAGAATCTGGGTGTTCCATGGTGACGAGGTGAAGTAAAGGAAGGAGAGAATAAAGGTTCGAGAAGATGTTAATGGGCTGTGTTTCGGCTGATGTCATCCGATATCCAAAACGGGAGTTACTTATTACATATGACGCGACTTGAAGCCCTCGAATTCTCCTTCAGTGCTTCAGCTTCAGCGCGACACTTGCGTGATATCGACAGAGTGATAGCGTCTAGCACTGGTGAAACACCGCAGGACAGAAGTACTTCACTATTTGACCTGACAATAGCCTGAAGAGCTGTCACGGTCTCGTCCAAGTCGCGTCTTTTGGTTCCACCCATCACTGTGTTCTTGTTCCATCTCGACTTGATCTTGAACTGTAGAACAGCGCTATGGCTTCCCAGAACATGATGAAGGTCCAGGTGAAGACAATAGAGACGAGCGATCCGACTTTGCCGCTTCTTGTCCTACAAATTACCCAACTGGTGGATACGTACATGCTGTGGATCGGCACGGCTGGTAATCTGGCAGATACCGGCAACGGGGAAAAGGCAGTCCTCGAGGGGCACCTGTGCAAAGATTGGGCGTGTGCTATGCCACCACGAGTGGTGAGCTGATGATATCCAATACAGTCAAACGCAAAGCTGACTGGTATCGAAAACGTTCCACCTTGCAGCCTGGTGCACCAAGCGCCGCGACGCCGCTGTTCCGATCGTCAAGCTCGGACGTTGCTCTATCGATGGCCCAACGTTTAGGTAAGGCCGGGGTCATGCCAAAGGCGTCCGTATGCTGTAGACATGGGTATTATGCTGAGGACCTTGTGGTTGTTTCAACGTTTCAGCGAAGCGAGTCCAGAAGCAGATCTTTTTGTCGGTAGATCTCCCCCTTTCGCCGGGAGAAGGGCATTACCTTGTACTTGAGGCTGAAAAGGCGATTGTAGGGGCACTGAAGGAGGTGGAGAAGGGGGGGGGAAATAGCAAGCGACGGGTATAAGTTGACCGTGATGGAAACAAATATTAGGAACGATAATTGACGGCCGCTGGTGCGCTGCTGAGTAGAATAGTTGGTGGAGAAGAAGGAGCTTGGCGGCGAGAGGTGTGCCGAGCCCGCTGAGTTGGTGGACGTGGAGGAAATCGGTGTGGCATCGATTGGCAACCCTGAGCCCCTTACTGACACAGCACTGTCCGTCACCTGCCCCAAGCGCACACCTCTCTCCTGTATCTCATCCTCAATCGTCGCTGTCCCCGTTGTGCGCAGTGTATGTCGCTGAGAGACTCCCTTTCTTTGTGCACAACAAACAGCATCAGCGACTGTGACTTCCTTCAGAAACATGTCAGAACCTGAACTGTACATGCCGGACTCAAACGACAGCTTCGATCTTCCTCGTTGGCAGACTCAGGTCGACCCACTCTCCTCCTCGGCCCAGGCAGCCCTCGCCGCTCAGCCCTCGTACCTCTACTCGGGCCCGCCGCCTCCACCACCCCAGGGTTCGGCACAGCGCATGCAGGCCGTTCATCAAGGCGCTGTTCCTCCAACGAGGCAGCCCAGAATCTCGCAACTTCTCGAGCAGGAACAGCAGTTGGGTGCCACGTTGTCTCCCTACTCGGCCGGTGGGCAGAGCCAGTTGACTCGCAGTACGTCGTTGGGAGGCAGCGCTGGTGGAAATATCTCGTCTACACGCATCCGTCGACACCATCCATCCGACGATCTAGAGGGCAATTTCAATTCCGATAATCAAGTAATGGGTGGCCCACGGCAGCAACCTCAACTGTCTCACAATTCTTTTTACTCATCGAGCGTTGGATATCAACCACAACCATTGTCAAGCACAGGCAATACCAACGCGAACAGCGCTTCAAGCGATCCTTACTCTGATATGTACTACAACGGCTCGGCAACCCATCCTCCCAAGCGTCTCCAACCTGGCCAACAGGATGTTTCTCACACATCTGCCGTTCGTGGAGGTCGATCTCCAATGCGTGTACCAAATACACCCATATCTGCTTCGCCGCTCGATCAGTACTCTCATCAGGCCCAATATTCTCCAACATCGCAAACATTCTCATACGGAAACACCGTAGACCAGCGCCCGCATACTGGAGCGTACCAGTCTCACAGTCGCAACCACTCTCAAATCAAAAGTGAAGTCACGAGTCCTCCTGGATCATCGTCATATTCCTCTCCGCCAACGAACAGCAGCTATTCTTCCAGCAGCTACTCATCACCATATTCAATGGACACTTCTAGCCCACACCCTCCAATGCAATCGCATATAAACACGCAGCTTGGCATCAAGGCGTCGCTTTCAAATCCCTCAACACCCTTGTCGTATATGCATCCAACCTCGGCTCAAGGATCTCATTATTACGCGCAAGAGCCCATGGCTGTCGATCCTCCGCCGAAGAGGAGGGCGCCCGGGTTCCGTAGAGTGCGAACAGTGCACGATCTACAGCCCAAACTCGACATAACACCCACAGGCCGGCGAATGGGGGCAGATGGAACATACCTTTCGGTGAGTGTCACGTTTTTAATTTGACTTGTCTAATTCACACTATATATATGAAAGCCCCTGCGACAATTGACAACCAGCATCCTTGATACATACCGCATTTGCAACCCTTCCTTCCGTTACGAATCGACGCATAACCCAAGACGTGTTTTGACCAAACCAAGCAAACCAGCACACAACGACGGGTATGACAACGAGGACTATGACTACATCCTGTATGTCAATGACTGGTTAGGTAGTGATGACGGCCATAAGTAAGTGTCTCCTATCCGTTTTACCTTCCTTAAGCCTTAATACATCCGTTAAGATACCTCATCCTTGACATTCTGGGACAAGGTACCTTTGGTCAGGTCGTCAAATGTCAAAACATGAAAACGCACGAAATCGTTGCTGTGAAAGTCGTGAAGAACAAGCCGGCGTACTTTAACCAGAGCATGATGGAAGTGACAATATTGGAATTGGTGCGCAGTCTCGTTTCAGATTGGGGGTTGGTTTAACCTTGCCTTCTTCCATAGCTTAATAAATCATGCGACCCCAACGATGAGCATCATATTCTACGACTGCGAGATTCGTTTATTCACAGAAGCCATCTGTGCCTCGTTTTCGAGCTGCTGTCCTCCAACCTTTACGAATTGATCAAGCAAAATCAATTCCAGGGTCTAAGTACACAGCTTGTCAAGGTGTTCATGGCACAATTATTGGACGCGTTGACTGTCTTGAAGGAGGCTCGACTTATCCATTGCGATCTCAAACCGGAGAATATACTGTTGAAATCGTTAGTGCCTTCGATGAGTCTCAGTCATGCGTTCTGACTGCTTTCTAGCCTGCAATCGCCTCAAATCAAGGTCATCGACTTTGGCTCAGCATGTCACGAACGGCAGACCGTGTATACCTACATTCAGTCTCGTTTCTACCGATCACCTGAAGTGCTTTTGGGCATGTCTTACACCGCTGCCATCGATATGTGGTCTCTTGGGTGCATAGCGGTTGAACTCTTCTTGGGGTTACCCTTGTTTCCTGGTACGAGCGAATACAATCAATTGACTCGTATCATCGAAATGCTTGGGTGCGTTGACCGTAATGACTTGTAACCAACTTTTGTTTCTGACACATGCTCCACCAGGATGCCGCCTTTGAGCATGCTGAATACAGGGAAGCAAACCAGCCAGTTCTTTGACTCGCATGAGCAATGGAACAACCATACTAATCAAAACGAGAAGAGATATCGCCTGAAGAGCATAGAACAGTATTCTCGGGAGCACAACACGAACGAACAGCCAGGGAAGCAATATTTCAAGGCGACAACATTACCAGAAATCATCAACACAGCTCCAATGCCAACTTCAAAATCATCGAGGCAGGGCCACGAATTAGAGAAGGGTGCGTGTTCACTCCATCCAACTTTCGCCGAGACTCAATAATTTCTTAGAGTTGAACAACCGGGCGGCGTTCATTGATTTCTGTCAAGGTCTCCTGAACCTGAATCCTGTCATCCGTTGGACACCCCAGCAGGCGAGGCTACACCCATTTATCACAGGAGAGAAATTCACGAAGCCTTTCGTGGTGTGTAACTTTGTTCCGAATTTCAAATGTTTCCGTAACGCTTTATCACATAGCCGGATGGTTTGTCGGCTGCGCCACACCCATCACCTTCTTCAGGTCCAGCAACCGATCCGAAACGGCCTTATGGCGGGCTGGTACCGTCCCAACCGAAAGGCACGAGGGCATACACCGACGCGGCCACGTACAATCATCATCTTGCTCAACACCAAGCCTACACCGCGCAAGCTCAATCACAGGCTGCAAACACATTCCGGAATCCTTACATCAACCCGCAAAATTCTCAACAACACTCCCAACAGCATGCACCTTCATCCTACTCAACGCCCGCTGAAGCTCCCCCTTACCAACCTCCACAAGCAGCGCAGCAAACGTCGCAGCATGCTCAATATGTTTCCAATCCTCCCCCAGCGGGTCACCGTACACTTACCCATCAAAACTCTACGGGACAGCTTGGGGCCTCTAGTTCGAGCTCGCAATATGGGACTCACTCATCAGGAGCTGGACTTGGGGCCACTCATTTGACCACGAATCTTCCGGCCAATCCCTACCTTCCCAGCTCTAGAGCACGGGCGAATACCATTAATCAAATGGATTCGGCAATACCGCCTGCTCTTGCCCGTCTTCAACACATGAATCAGGATATCATCGGCGGTCGTAATGCCCTGACACCAGTGTTGAACCGAGACGATGCAATGCGGGAATGGGAGCGTCGACAGGCGGGGAAAGCTGCTGCCGCCCAGCCTTACCCTCAACTGGAGTATCTTCAACAGCAGGCCGAGATTGCCGCAGCTTCAGGACTATCGAACTGGACTGGTTCGCACTCGCGTTACCCTCCGCCTCAGCCCTCGAAGCTATCACATGCGTACCAATCTCAGGCAATCATGGTCGACGATGATTCAGGGAGCACCAGGAGAGATGCCGTCATGTCGAACGTGCGATCGGCTGCTCGGGCAGATACCACGGGCAATGTCTACGGTGGGACGAACGTGATCTCAAGTCCACCTCAGGCATACACGAGCAACTCTACAACAAGTGGGAACCGCTATCCTGCGAACTACAGCCAAACCCAGGCTGTTAATGCGTTCGACTCGATTGATCGGCGAAACGACATTGGCAGCATCTATGTACCCATGCAGCCTGAGCAGTACCAAGGGTATAATGTTGGGCCACCTCCGAACTCTGCACGACACGTCGCTCCTCCAGCACAGGCAGTGCCTCCTTCGTTCTATGGGGCAGCCGTCATGTCATCGGGCCCCATGAATTCAAGCCAGCAGCAGCGGAATCCATTCCAAATGACGGATGGGACACAGGTAACGACAGGTTCCAAAGATGTTCGAAGGGGCAACGTAGATACCTGGACGCGATGATTCAATGCACTTCTCTCGTTCTCGATGTTCGTTTGCTCGTGTTTTCGATTCTTGACCGACTCTTTTCCCCTCGCAAATTACGCCGCAATCTCAGTTTCTCTTCCTGCAATTTCCTCAACTTACATGCGTCAACTTCTCGTCAACATCCCACCTGTTGCTATCTAATCATTTTTCTTTCCTTTCTTTTCACTGTCAATCTGTGCGACGGACCGTCGTGCGTTGTACTGGAGATTCCTCTTTTCTGATGCTGCCATTCTTCCTATTTGCGTTCTATATATCCGTTGACCGCTGAACAAATGTGTGCGCTGAGATAACTATAAGTGATCTCAGAGGTCTCTAAATTTCTCTTCTATCTCCCAAGCGCCACCCCAGTATTGGACCTTGGCCTTGAGACCCTTTTCCTCTCCTTCGTGGGCGATGCGCTTACTCAAACCGCGGCTCGTCCTGCAGAATACGATATCTTGGCTGGGTGATTGCTCGTTAAGTTAGCCGACTCCTTCCATTTCATTTTTGGCGGGATTGTTGGACTGACCTTCTGAGCCGGAGGATTGGACAGAAATCGTTGCTGCCGTCGCCGATGTAGACGAGACGGTCGAAATCGTCACCCTTCCGCGCAAGGAATGCCTCGAGCTCCTCGCCTGGAGCGACACGGTTGAGATAGGGGCCGTGATAATATCGTGAATCTATACCGACCTTTGCACATATTCGGGCTGCAGCCCACTTTACAGCTATGTTGAGGTCCCTCTGGATCGACGCGTCTCTGTAGCTTGAGGAGTCCCGATGGTTCCCATTCCGCCCGATTTGTGATAATTTCCTCGAAGAGAGCCTGTAGACCTTTCGCCTCAAGGATCGTCGAAATGAAGACCGAGTTCGCGTTGGATAAGCAGAGGAAGGTCGTCTTGCCCCCCGCTTTCAGGTTTGTTATTGCCCTGACCATCGCAGGGTGCTGTTTATCTTGTCAGTCGTTGTGGATGGGAGTTGACTTCAAACCACAGACGTAAGGCATGATCTGCAATGCATGGATAATCTGGTCCTTGGTAATACCACGGGCATGGGCTTCTCGGAGAGACTGTGCTCTGGACGAAATACTTGGGCACCGTGGAAAATACGTCGGAGAACATTTCTTACACGAGGTCTGTCCATTGGATCTCGTTCTTAAGCGTCTTCATCTTGCGACGGAGGTCAGGAGCAAGGACTTCGAAGACCCATCTGTCTGTGTCCTGATCGGCCATGGACCTAAATAGCAGTCAGATACATAAAACCGCAAAACGGAGCACCGTACCAATCGAAATCAAAGACGACGAGCTGTTTCTTGACCTCGGACATGGTAGTGGATGGTACTGAGGATGATTGACACCGCGCAAAAACTTTGGTGCTCCTAGATTAGATTAGATAAACGGACAAAATACAGTTTAGCCCAGACAACGGTATCTCATCTCTGAATCCCATTCCTGTTCTTATTGTTCGCAGCGCCACTAAGCTTTCTGTTTATTTCCAGCTGCGTACTCTTATTCCTTGGTTACTCGCAAGGAAAAGTACTAACCCCTACACTGACTTCTAGCATTACCAACCTCGACACCATGGCCCCGACTGACTTCTCTCTCTCGTCTACCATACGCCTCTCCACGGGGTATTCTATTCCACTCCTCGGCTTTGGCGTATATCAGAATTACCACACAAAGCCATCCGTGCTCGAAGCATTCAAGGCAGGCTACCGGTGCGCCCAAACATCTCATCTCCCCTGCTCCTGCGTGCTGATCACCCATTAATCGCGGCGTTTATGCACGTATGTGCCGACATGAACAGACACGTCGACTCGGCGCAAATGTATCGCAACGAGGCGCATGTCGGCGAAGCGGTGCACGAGTCGGGGATCGACAGAGGGGAGCTTTTCATCAGTGCGCCTCTCTCTACCTTTCCACCCTCCACCCTCATGAAGATGTCATTTGTTTTGTCGCAACGCAGCGACAAAATGCGCCTCTAAGTCGCACGGATATGAGTCTACGCTGAAGGGTGTCGATGAGTCGCTTGCGAAGATGCAGTTTGGTGAGTAATTGGTTGAACAGAGTGACAAAAAGGCTCTAACTTGCTTCAACAGACTATGTCGACCTGTTCCTTATCCATGATCCCCTTTCTGGAAAGGAACTCAGACTTGCAACGTATAAAGCCTTGCTCGAAGCGAAGGCAGTGGGGAAGATTAGGAGTGTGGGTGTGTCTAACTAGTACGTTCTTGAAATCTGGCTGAGCGCTCGCGAATCACATCCTACAGCAACGTCAAACACATCGAAGAAATAAAAGCCGCAGGGATGGAACTACCTTCCGTCAACCAGATCGAGGCATGCCTTTCCCCTTTCCAGATTCAGCGCGCTCAATGCTCACCTAACTGCAGCTCCACCCCCTCTGCCAACAAAAGCCCATCGTGGAATACTGCAAAGCGAATGACATCGTCGTAGAAGCGTATTGTCCTATTCTACGCGGCGAGATGGACCATCCTGTGATTCAGCAGGTCGCAGAGAAGGTGCGTGCGCCACAATTACGATAAATGGGAGTGAACGAATGCGGTTGCTGACGGGATATATATGATCGATCGGCAATTAGTATAAACGCGACCCTGCGCAGATTCTCATTCGGTGGTCTTTGCAAAAAGGGTACACTTCTGCCTTCCAGTGCCGGTCTTACGAAAGTTGAGTCAAACTTTTTTCTCGCCAGATTCGTCCCTCTCCCCAAGAGCGCCACACCCTCTCGCATCCACTCCAACGCGCAAGTGTACGACTTCGAGGTGGCTGAGGAGGACGTAAAGATCCTTGATGCCTTGGATCGCGGAAAGGAAGGTGCTATCAGCTGGAACCCCGTCGACGCTGACTGAATTGGGGTCGGAGAAGCAAATTAAACGGATGGATTGTGTCTATGTCCGTGGATCCCTATGATATAAGTTGCTACTCTACATTTTTGGTCTGCAAATACCCCAAGCCCCACAAAATAATAAGAAAGGAAGAGAGGTGACCTCAAAACATCATAGCTAAAATCCAACCGCAAACTTCATCTCCCAAGAGACAGCGTAGATATCTGCGACGTATCAAACGTCCGCCCACCAGAGCGCGATCCCTCGGCTGATTTAGACAGTTGGCGAGGAGAGAGCTCGTATGATTCGGGGTCAGAGGTGTTCCACCCTGATTGTAAGGGGCGTGTCGTGAACCTAATTTCCAGGTTCGTGTCAGTGCATCGGGCGGGGTCTGTAGTTCGGCTGTTGGGTTGGCTGGACTCAGCGAGGCGGTTGAGGTTTAGAAGGATGCGGTAGCCCTTCAGAGCCGATAATCAGCATCGAGCTTCACAATAGGAAGGAAGGAGGAAGACGTACGCAGAACGAGAAGAACGTGATGAGCCAGCTACACCGCAGGAAGAAAAAAGAGCTATTAGTTTCAGGTGATGAAAAGCAGGGATGAATTACTTGCCCGTACAAAACACCCGCGTAGGCATGATTCTGAAGTGCGTACAGTCCGATCTGGCCAGCGTATACAACTGGAACCAGAAATTCGAAGTCAGACTTCCGAGGACAAGAGACCAATGTTAACTTACTGAAAAGAAGGAAAAAAGCCCACGTCCCATCGCGTATGAGCAATTGGATAAGAGGCACGTCGCCCCAGCCTGACCGGAGAGCTTGGACGAACTTGTAGACTGTGAGGACGAAGAGGGAAGTCTGGAAGATTATTGTCGCTCCTCTTGCATTGTGGAGTTAGTATATGTCCCACAAAAATTCAATGGAGACTGACCCGTAGATGATCAAAGTCGGAGGCACTCCCATAACGAGGCAAACGTGGTCGTACGTGATGCCTGGCAATGCAAGGGAAAGACCGACGATTATTCCGATAATTTCGATGACGAAGAGCGCGATGACGACGCGGCGGATGGTGAAGTGACCATGATAAAGGGCATGGACTCGCAAGATGAGTATCGTGTCGACAGCCGTGACGATCGTGGAGGCGGCAACGCCTTGATAGACTTGCCAGATAAAACAATCGTGAGGAGTGAAGTGGAAATAAGGTGTCAACTCTGTTCCGATGAAAAGGATGGATCTGCAACGAACAGATTCGCAGGAGGACTGAGGTGAGAACAAGACACCTATGCAATCCACCTTGATGCTCACATTTGAACAAGCACAGGTAGGTACCTGACTATGAAGTACACGCATTTTGTGTAGGACCACGTCCGTCTGGGGGATAAACCGATGAGGAAACGAGCCCAGACAGGTTGAATCGAAGGAAACCTACAACCAGATAAGTTTAATCTAGACCCAACATTTCTATAAGATTTTTGGGCCGACATCAAAAGGACTGCGAACATACTTCGTCATCAGTGGTAATGAGAATATCCCAGACAAGAAACGCCAGTGCTGCCACTGCCAACCGTTTGAATTCGCTCGCCCTACATCTCATAGCCAAAAACTGAACATACCTGAACTACTATTGACGGCCTGGGCGCCGGCAGCAGTATCTGGGTCGGTAAATGGACCATATATCGGCTGAACGTCGTTGGGAGTGATTACGCGGGCCGACAGTAGGGCAGGAGACATGGATATCGGCCAGGCCACCAGTGCTAGGGGGGGCATATCCAACTTTTGAGACCACAGAATTCGCGGGATCTAAATACAAGAACATACGTGCTATGCTGAGACCTAGCAGAGGAGCTGGTGTGTAATTTTGGTGGGCGTACTGCTGAAGCGCTGACGGTTCGCGCTGTTCTAGCTGACCTGAAGGAGCCGACAGTCAAGAAGAGAGAAACGATTGTAGTGAGAGATCCTGGATCGTCGGGGTCAGCGATCTTTGACACTCTGGAGTCCATATGCTGTGGTGCTGGAGGTATCTGCTATCGCACTTCTTTTGTACCGACGCCATGATCATCAGTCACTTTATCGCCACAGTGATCATGGTTAGTAGAAATAACCAACCCCGCTGCGCCGAGATGCTGGGAGGCTTGAAGACCTGTCGAGTGAATTATGAAAAGCAGCTTTTACCAAGTCAGCGATCCAACCCACTGGGGATAATTATTAGTATGAGTTTAATATGAGTGAAGCGTATCCTTGTCGAAAACCGAAACGGAGAACCCTCGGACACGGAAGGCAGAGAGAGGACAGGGTAGGGTACATAAAAAGTTAGTAGCGGGTCGACCCAAGGCCCAGCTGTGAGCGAGGTTTGATCAACAGACTTTGTGTGAACGATAATCGTCGTGCTGGGTCATCCTCGGCTCGATGCACGACGTGAAGTGCTTGTGAAGGGGACGAGGAGACTGCGTACGATAACTCTTGTAGCACAATATATATTGAACTTATTGTCGAGACTCGACGACCAAACGATGTACGGTAAAGCGGAGGAGATAAAGGAGTCAACATGAAGACACGAATGAATCAATAGCAGATGCAAATATGGTACAAGAAACCAGGTAATCAAAGTTGTTCACTTAGCGTGGTTGCGGATGTCTTGATGAGTGAACAGGTATGGATTGGGGTATGATTTGTTGCGCGGCTGTCATGCGCTTGCTGATCTCTTCCTGACGCTGCCAGAGCAGCTCACCCCAGAGAGGGTGAGGTGGAATGTGGCCCACTAGAGCCCGCAGTACTTCGAGCCTGCATAAACTTGTCAGCAGGCAGTCCCTTGAAAGAGGCTAGAATTGCTCACCATCTAGCTTTGCCCTCATCGTTATCGGCAGAGAAGACGATTTCCTGGTTGTGTGGGAAAATCAAACGGAACGAATGCTTGAGCGAGTAGAGACCTTCGTCGTCATCGTATCGGCTGCTACGCGCGCCAACTGGACTTCGAGCATCCTCTTGATCATCTCGAACATTGATGGCCTTCTTCAAATCGATGGTTGCTGTGGCCTTCTTTGTGATGTCACTGAAGGCTATAAGATTTGACCCAATTATCCTGTAGGGTCTTCTGTGCAATGTCTGGAACGGAAAGGCAGTGAGGAAGGATATCACTATTAAATAGAACGTAAGACCTACACTGCAATCACCCCCATTCTGAGTGAGGATACCTTCAAAGTAAGTCACCTTGTGCCAGTTGATATGCCGCAAGCCACGTTGGCATTCTTCGAGGCTTAGAGGGAGTTGATCTTGAGGAAGACCAGGTAGCGGTGGAAGCCTAAACACCTGAAGAGTAATCTCGCCAACTTCCATCGTGGAATACTTTCCGCCCAGCTCTACGCGCTGACCGATCAGCGGGTATCGTGTTTCAAACACCCGTGTATCGCAGTGACTGGCGATATCCTTGAAGGAGACGAATGCCCGAGCGAGTGTGCCATCTGGCTTAAGGTGCCTCGCAAGGTTCTCCGGTAGTCGATGGACTGGCTGGGGTTGAGGGGGTGGGGGCGGGGGTTGAACCACGATCTTCTCCTTTGAGGATTTTTTAGGAGATGATGACCAGAAGCTTCGCTTCCCACTGCTTTTCGCAACTTGGACGGCAAGGGGAGGCGGGGGTGGAACAGCAACAACCGGTGCCGGTGCGGAAACAGCTTTATATTGCGCGATGATATGCGGATCGCGGCGTACTTTCAGGGTAAGGGTAAACTCCAACTTGCTATGTTCGATGCTAGAGACAATGGCCATGTCAAATGACATGACGTACGGGAGAGAAACACCCACAGTTCGAATTCTTGTTCGATGCGGCATTCCTGCGATAGTTGACACTCGGGAGTAGTTACGAAATGAATACCGTTGTTGAGAGTGCAAGTCATGGCTGTAGGCTCTCGAGGGAGAGGCAAATGAAGACCCGTGATCGATTTCACTGAAGAAGAAAAGTCATCAGATACAAATTTTCTGATGGACGGAATTAGACACTACCTCTAACAAAAACCTTTCCATACGCCTTTCCTTTATCTTGAGCGCGATACTCCTTAATCTGTTTCGCGTATTCGTTCTGAGGAGCAAGGCCCTTAGAACACTGTAATCCACGCGCAAATGATGGCTAGCTCCTACCATGTCTGAGGGCCGCCTAACCATCTTCCACGCCCGACCTGCATCCACATCGCCGGCACCAGCCATATGTGAAATTCTTTCGACCGAAGAAGTTGCGTAGATGGTGCCCTCGCGTTCACGGACGAGATATTTCTGCAAATCATAAGAGGTCGCATAAGCAGCTCATCACTGGTAAATATCTCGAACTTACGCTTCTCTTCGGTACGTCCGACAGCTTCTGCAACTCCCTCTCTATGCTGTCCGAAAGAGGATCGTCTTTGCCAACCGCTTCACTGGCGACATCGAGGAGAATGTCGCCTCTCTTCTTAGCACTCCTGCTCAGCACTTCCGCGTCGCCTGTGCTCATGCTGCGCCGTCGACTAGGCCGGCCGACTCCTAAACTCCTTTGATCCCTGCCACGAGAGTAGAACTCCTCCTCAGCCTCCTCTTCCAATCGCCGAGCTTCACGCCTCTTCTCAAGGATCAATTGCTCCCTGCTCTTGATGTTGTCCTTTGGAGGAACAGGAGGAGGAGGCAACATGATCGACGACGACCCACTGACGGTTCGGCTCGTAACACCACCCGCCTCATTCTGTTGCAGCAGCACTGAGTCCGTCGCGGCACGCTCCAGGATTCTCGGTCGAGATGAACTGCGGAAAGGTTCGTGATCGTCTTGAGATTGCGTATGCGACCGCTCGAAGGAGTCATCGTACTCATCGGTCAACATTGAGTCGTCCGGCGGTGCTCCGGCGCCGGCTACATCTTCCATTAAGCGGTCAAGGGCACTCTTCATCTCCATGTCGACATCGACGTTTCCTACCCTCACCTCGGAGCTACCACTCTCGATACTAGCAGGGCGAGTTGGCGTCGGGGCAGGAGCTTCAATGGTATCTTGGATGTGGATGCTCTTTGAATCATCACCTATCAGGATTCCTAGCCCTCCCACTCCAAATCGGCTGCCAAAATCGAGCTGGAGCCCTGAGTTGGGTGTAAGAAGGCCGAATTCTTTGTCGTCCGCTCTAGGAGGAGAGAGGGTCGCCATACCCAATACCCTCTTCTCGACGGTTTCGACAATGGCAGTCTCAGTGCTGAAGTCCGTCTGAGTGGTCAGGACCGAACTCCTATCTTTCTCCTTGTCAAAGAGGTTGGAAGGCTGGAGGTTGAGTTCATCAGCCCGATTGATAGTAATAGCAGGATTAGGTCCGTCCACCGATGAGCGAAGGCTGGGGCTACTTTGCTGGCGGTGATTGTAAAGTCTTCGTTGGACTTCTTCCCGAGAGAACCTTTCACGACTGGACGTCTTGACGAGGCCTTGCTCGTGAGACCTGAGGGTAAGCAAGGGCGAACCATTATTGGAGGCTGGCGACGCGGTACGTCTCAACATCGCTGCCTGGAGCTCTGTTAGTGCGGGCGGGGAGGGTTCACGGAAGGTCGTTTTCGGAGAATCTTCTGTGGATGCGGGCGCCTCAAGACTTGTCAGCATCTAGAACTGCTCAGCGTTCTCATAGCTCAATGAATCAAATGTAACGCACCTCGTTGGATTCGCGTTCACCAGTAAGGTGCGAGATGCTAACTTCTGAGCTACCTACTGAAAGATTCGACGGGTCCATTGAATCCTCCTTGGAGGATTGATTGCTTTGCCTTGACAAGTCAGAAAGAATGGATTCATCTTGTAACCGAGGAGCGAATGAATCAATGCTCAAATTTGCGCTGGTGTTGGACTCAGGATCACGTTGATTTCCTACATGAGGGCGTTAGTAGATACTCTAAGAAGGAAGGGCAGCGAGACGTCAGCTAACCTGAGTTCATGAGGTCCAATTTTGGGATCAGCCCTTCTTCGAGTGTCGTTGATTCTCTCGCCTTCTTCATAGGCGAGGGGCTGACTGGAAGCCGCTCAACGTCATCAATCTCTTCTTCCTCCTCCCTCTGTTCTTCGCGAGCCTTGAGAACCCTCTCAGCATGAGTCGACCGACCCAGAGGTGGCGTGCTATGTTGCACGCCAGGAGAGCGACGAGGTGGCGTAGCCGGAGGACCATAAGGAGATGCAGCCGTTGGGAGATTAAAAGCATACGGATATGATGAAGGGCTATGGTGATGGGGAGAGCTGTGATGCGGTGGCGAACCGGTAGGTGAAAAATGGGGTGGCTGATGAACATGAGATGGGTGTTGATTATGCTGCAGAAAGCGTTCAATATGATGGCTTCTACCGAAAGGAACGCCGTCTTCCGTTTCAAGGTCAGTTGGAATGTCATGGTGTCGCGGTGGTGTGCTCATCCCAGACGTCATGCTAGCATCTGCAAGGAGATTGGCGGCGTTAGTTGAGAAGAACATCTCCTCGACGATTCCAGTGATGCTTGCATCTGGATCAGAAAGGAGCGAAGGAACGGAAGGGTTGACGCCTGCGTCAGATAATCGTACACTATCATAAGAAGTGTCATCTTCCATAACCTCATCTCGGTCGTTGTTTCCATGCAAAAAATCGTTGAACGGATCATCGCCGTCTTCTGGGTGGTCGTGCTCGTCATGATGCTCGTCCGGGAGCTCTTCTTCGTCTGCGCTTTCGAATACTTCTTCCATGTCTTCATCTTCATCCCTGTCGAACTCGAGCACATCGCACCGCTCGTGGAACGTAACAGTCTTCCTCCGCTCCCGTCTTCCTCCGCCACTGAGACGTGGACCATGTAACCGCCTTGAAACCAAGGCTGAGCGCGCCGGAGAAGGGCCCTTGGCTGTCGTAACGGGAGGAGGCTGTATGTGTGAGGAAGAAGGCGGCGTTGATACAACTGGTGTGGTGTCGTGGAGAGGCGGCGCTGGAGGAATGAGGACCGGTTTTGTCTCGGACGCTTGAGCACTCTGTCGAAGTTTGAAGGGACTTTTGGTCACTGGCTCCTTCTCAATGAGACCTTGAAAGGTTTTGCTCTGTTTGCAATCCCTCTTCAGGGCAAAGGGTCGGTCGTTCTCGGTCTCTGCTTGTTCATGCATAGATGCCGGACGAGGACGCTTTTCTCCAGAAACCTTCCTGGTTGGGAAGGTAATTGGGACTGGTCGAGAGGACGGGGTCGCAGATGTGGGGATTTGAGACTTGAAGGGAGACTTTGATACAAGGTTGTTGTTGTGTACATGGCGATAGCTGGAAGAAGTACGGCGGGCAACGACAGGGCCCTTTGGGCGGGCAGGTGAATCTCGCTTGGAAATGCGGAGTGGTGAGGTAATAGAGCCATTGCTTCCAGAGGATGAGATCGAGCCCGTGGTTGAAGAGCTCCAACCCATGCCAGACTCTCGCAAGATTGAAGACTTGATAGGATCGGGGGAGTTGGATAGCAGACGGTCTCGTAAGGGAGATTTGCGGGTCGCCATTCCCGTTTAGCTGTCAAAATATCTGGAGAATGGCCGATACACCGCTATCGCTGCACGAGTCGTAAGTAAAGAGGGGCGAAACAGTTAGCTGAAGGAAGAGGGTGGCAGTCAACAAACACTGCCCGTGGGAAAATTGTATGGCACCCTTGAACGCGACGCGCACGTGACGGCGTTTCCCTGCTCATACGCTGAGCACTGGCAGGCCTGAGCACTCCTGAGTGAGTCTTTGACGCGAGACGCGCCTTCAATCTTCAAGCTTCAAGCTTCAAGCTCCAAGCTCCTAACTCCGGCCCATGATGTCCACACATTGTAAGAATGGCCCTATAAGGGTCTCTTCGTCGTTCTCTTCCAGGGGAATTTTTTTTTCTTTGAAAAAAACCTCTACCCACGGTAACCCACCTAGTCGACGCTCAGAATGCATCTTCCCTACCCATACTCATGTTCCAAAAGCTATGCGATCTACGTAACATCGTTGATCTGTGAATGAGTACCCCGCGAGGCCTACATGTGGCTACCAAAGTTCTTCACTTCGAAAGCCATATAGGTACCTTCACCGCGTTCAACAAATTCTCCACGCATAGTGTACAAGAAAAGGTGGGAAGCCTCAAGTACTTTTGTAGTGCGTAGCTCCTAACTGCGTGGCTCCTACATAACTGCGATAATCAGGCGGATTCCGCCCACCGGCAACCTCCGGACCGGGCACTTACTAAACCCCGCATTGCTTCAATAATGCCGCTTTCTTTCGTTCTACCCCACTCATCTATTTCTTCACCATGTCTTTCCAAGGTCTGATCTCAGGATCCGAATGTGCGGCTCCAGCAAACCCTCTCTCTCAAGTGCTCAAACACACTGAGGGCGACCGTAGTTTGCAACAAGTACGCCCAACATCGATCTTAGGCTTACCACTGCTGACCATCTTTCCAAAGGACAGGATCTCTGGACCTTCCACTCCTCGAGTACGCATGTTTCACGGACTCTTCAAACATCACTCTAACCCTTGTCATAGCTTCACTACCTTCCAGGCAGTTCTTCATCGGTGCCGGCGAATGAGCAAGATATAGCACTCGCGCGGCAGTTTTTCGAGGGAAACTCCTCCGGCCACGCAATGGCTCCGGCATTTTCGATGCCACACCCTGCCGAACTTGCTCGAATAAACGAGATGGCAGCCCGTCCCGGGATCAGCGAGCACTGGGCACTAGAACAACAACAAATGCGGGGCTTGGATGATCCGGCCAAGGCAGCTGCATGGGCAACTGAATTTGGAAATACACCGCAGGCAAGTGTTGCACCCACCGCGCAACAGAACATAGCGGGACCAGAATGTTTGCTTCCCCTTGTCTCCCGAGATTTTTTTCTGAAGCTCTTCTTAGTCCAACATCAACGTTCTTATATGTCGCCCTTGTACGGAAGCCCTATGCCGATGGGGATGTATGGAATGGGTGCTACAGGCATGCAGTATGGAATGAATCCAAATTTCAGCACCGTTGTCCAGGGAAAAGGGAAAGAAAAAGAAGTGGATTTTGAGACCGCTTTTGCTCAAGTCATCGACTCATTGGAGCCAGCCCAGTCATCCACTTCCCGTATCGAAGAAGTGGACGACGGCGTTCAGGAAATCGAGGAATCTCTTCGAGCAGCTGCCATAGACGGACACGTCACTGAAGGCGACTTCCAGAAGTATGTCCCTCTTTCTTCTTCGTCTGAATGCAGGTTACATGTTGCCGACAGGGTCTGGGAGGAACTGCAAAATTCAGAGCACCCACCTCCTAAAGAAGATATCGCGAAATGGGAAGCAGAGTTCTCCCAACTCATGAGCGCACAGCGGGATGAATTAGAAGATTATGGGAAGAATATGCAAAATGCATGGGAAGGCGGTGTTGGAAACTACGACGGAAATCTCGGTGATAAGCCGATGCAGTTCGATGCCGAAGGTATCCCTGTTTTAGGAGACTATGTGTTTGGTATGTTTCTACGGTTCAGATGAGGATTTTTAGCATCTAACAGTCACGCTTAATACTAGAACGAAACAATAATTTCTTGGACCCGTCTCCTTCACGTTCACTCCTGAACGAAGCGAAGGCCCTACTTGAGCAGAATGGCTCCCTGTCAGAGGCTGCTTTGATGCTGGAAGCTGCTATTCAACGCGGAGAACTTGGCGAAGGGAGTTATGAAGCATGGATTCTCCTTGGAGAAACCAGAAACATGGACGAAAGAGAAGAGGCCGGTATGCGAGCTCTTCTACAAGGAGTGAAGAGAGCGGAGGAGAGTGGAACCCCTGGCCCTGGAATGCTTGTGAGTCGAGCTTTCACCAAATCTCCGGCACTAGCTGAGAATGGCTCGTTTAGTCACTAGCGATTTCATTTACGAATGAATCGTACGACCGAGCTTCTCATTCGATGCTTCTGCGGTGGTTCAGAACCCGTTATCCGGATGTGTCAGTACCAGAAGAGACCGCCAGGGCTATGATCACTAATTCAGCATGGGATACACACGGTCGTATCACCGAATTGTTTCTCGACCTTGCTCGAACCCAGCATGGGCAGAACAAAATGGATGAGGACCTGCAAATAGCATTAGGAGTCCTGTTCTACACCAATGGAGAGTACGAACGCGCACAAGACTGCTTCGCCGCAGCTTTGAATGTCCGGCCGAAGGTGGGGCAGAGTTCTGTGACAACGAAATCCTGAGCTGACTATTTGTATCTCTAGGACTATTTACTCTGGAACCGATTGGGTTCCTCACTGTCGAATGGAAACAAACCCGAGGAAGCCCTCGGTGCCTATCGTGAAGCCCTCCAGTTGCGCCCAACCTACACTCGCGCTATTTACAATGTCGGAGTTGCTTGTGAGCTACTGAAGAGCAGCCGTAAGACTGGAATTAACATTGTTTGTAGGCCTAAATATTGGTGCCGACAAGGAGGCAGCGGAGCACTTCCTCAGTGCTCTCAGTCTCCAAGAGTCGACCGGAGGAGACACCAGCGACCAACTATGGTTCACTCTTCGTCGTGCCTTGCTATCCATGGTTCGTCTCCCATATGATCGGCCAAATATAAAGCTGATAATCTTCTCATCTCCAGCAACGGTCTGACCTCGCCGACCTCGCCAAACCCGAAGCAAAGAGCAACCTCGAACTTTTCCGAAAAGAAGGTTTCGACTTCTAGTGTATCTCTATCCTACAATTCTGCAAGATGTACCCTTAGAAAGATGACAATCTATCCCCTCCTTATTGGCCAACCCCATGCGACTACACGTGGGTTATGTTGGTTCTCGGGCCGGATGTGGTCCGATGACTTGAATCAAACACTCGACCTTCCTCCAAGTCGCACATATATAAGGCGGGAGAAATGTGACTCCTTCGCCTTCTTTCCTGCCGTTTCCTAAGTGAAGATACATGGCTTCTACTACTGACGTTGAAATGTAAGATGAACCGATCAGTTTTGGCACTGCTGACACCTCGACTAATCATTTGAACTTTAAAGTCACTCCATCCCGAAATCGACCTCTGGCTCGGGTGTTCTCAACAAGATATCATGCCAGATAACACAGAACAAGGCGATTTCTCTCTCTGCGATTGAATCTCTAAGGATTGCTTGCTTACCGCCCTGACAGATTCGTGGAGGAGCTCAGGCGATGCGTACGACCCTTGTCTGCTTGTAGTTGTGTCACTCCTCATTCTGTCTTTCTTCCCGCAGTTTATGCTGTCGGATTGCAAGAAAATGACATGAACAAGCCTCAGGTTGAGAACAGTTGCTCATACTCAATACAGCAGTGCCTTATGTCCCCTGGCTTACTAGATTGGCATTTCCCCAGTCTGGTGGGAAGGTGAGTTGTTTTTCTTCTGTAGCCTTTGGATACCATCCTCATGTTGGCATGCTATAACTAGGGAATCCTTGCAATTATCATCTTGTACGCACAGTGAATTCTTTTTTCTACTATCATGTCCGACCCTTTTCGGGATCTCTGTGCAGCTCGACCTTGCGAGACACGTCAAGGATGGTTGCAAGGAGGAAGATCTTGTCGGACTTATATTCAATACCATTGGCGTGAGGTTGGTTTGCGTGCCCCCTAGGCTGGCGTTGTTCTCCTGACGCTGAGCTTTATCAAGCGATGCAATTACGATGGGCACCGATGGTAGGCGGCAACTCCCCAAGAAGTCTCGTCATTCCTCTGATCGTTTTCCAAAATTCTCGTAGGAATGCGCTATTCGTGAGTAGAAGTCAGTAAATTTACCCGTCAAACGATACAGAACGACCTCCGTCGTCCAGCCTTCCGAGTCGTGATATAATCGCCGATTCTATTGAGGCTGTAAGTAATTCTACTGTTGGCCATCACTTGGTTTTTGATGAATCGTAGGTTGTGATGGTACGAGATATATCGCTCGTATCAGCCTAAAGCTGCAACCGCTACCATAGGCCCAACACTACGATGGAAACATTTCTGTCCCTGGTTGTGATAAGAACATGCCAGGCTGTCTCATAGCAGCGGTTCGTCATAACCGTCCCACTGTCATCGTGTATGGAGGTACAATTCAACCCGGAACACGACACATCGGTAGCTATTTTCTTTCTGTTTCCTTGATCGCTCATCACTCACTGTAGACCAGACTGTCCTTCGATGAATAAACAGAAGGGCGGGACTGTGAATATCTCAGATGCATTTGAATCCTTTGGTGAACACTTTAGCTTTCTTAGCTGGTATTATTTGAAATACTGACCAACGGCTAGGTGCATTTGCTGTGGGCAAGATCTCTGATGAAGAACGATTTGATGTTGTGCGACACGCGTGTCCCGGTCCTGGTGCTTGCGGTGGGATGTACACTGCCAACACCATGAGTTCCGCACTTGAAGTATGGTCTTTCATTACTTGTCAAAAGTCTTTAAAAATGAAATAAAATGACACCGGCACTAGGTTCTGGGCATGTCCTTGCCGTACTCTTCCAGTACTCCCGCCCTTTATCCTGGCAAGTATTTTTTCCATAGGCTCGATATTTTCCACTCAATCAGCCCACAGAAAAGATACAGGAATGCTTCAAGGCTGCAAAATACCTGAAGAATCTCCTAGCATTTGACATCAAACCTAGGTTAGCTTCACGGTAGACCCCCCTTCGGCTCTAATGACGTCTTGATACAGGGACATATTGACGCGCAATTCGTTCTTGAATGCGATCGCAGTTATAAATGTGATTGGTGGCTCAACAAATGCGGTGCGTCTTGATTTCTCCCTTACATATTCACGCCAACTGATTTGTACAAAGGTCCTTCATTTGTTGGCGATTGCCCGAGCAGCAGATATAGAACTGACAATCGACGATTTCCAAATGATTGCAGACAGGACACCTTTCCTCGCTGATCTGATGTGAGGCTGTCTCAAAAAATCCGCCATGTCTCTGGCTTATACGATGCGCAGGCCTTCTGGACGATACTACATGGAGGATATCCACAAAATAGGCGGCATACCTGCTATTTTGAAATATCTTCTCAATCATACAGATCTTATTGACGGCTCGCAACTGACCGTCACTGGGAAGACTTTGGCTGAGAACCTCGCAGATGTGGCCGAGGTCGAATTCGATAAGCAGGACGTTTTCCGCCCTCTGAGCAATCCCATCAAGCCCACGGGTCACATAACCATCCTTCGAGGAAATCTTGCTCCCGAGACTGCAGTTGCGAAGTTGACAGGAAAAGAGGGACTGAGATTTGAGGTATGCAGCCATGTTGTCTTCTCCGTCCAACAGAGTTCCTCAACGATAGCACTACCAGGGCTCTGCCAAATGCTTCGACAGGTTGCTTTTCTTCAATTGCATTGACACATCCGTCTTGCTAAATGCCTTTTCAGTCTGGATCATTTCTACACCTTACTGGAGAAAAGCGAAATAAAGGCAGGCACGGTTCTTATTTTTAGATACCAAGGACCCAAAGGGGCACCAGGCATGCCAGAAATGCTAGGTATGGCCTTCACATTTGCTACAGGGATACACCTTTCTGAAGGCGGACTTCGAAGGCCCAACTGCTGCTATCGCAGGTGCAGGTTTGGCAAAGTCAACGGCGCTGATTACGGATGGGCGATTTTCTGGAGCAAGTCGCGGGTTTATCATCGGCCATGTTGTCCCGGAAGCACGAGTGGGAGGACCAATTGCCTTGGTCAGAGATGGCGACAAGATCGTCATCGACGCTGCGACCAGGCAGATAGACTGGATTGTTGATCAGGACGAGCAGAAGCGAAGATACGAGGAGTGGCTCGCTTCAGACAAGGGAAAATTGAACGTGAAGCGAGGCGTGTTGTTGAGATATGCTCGCGATGTTGCGGTGAGTGTAGCTGGATGTCTGCCTCACGAATGGATTTGGTTGATGATATTGAATAGCCTGCCAGCCTCGGAGCATATTGTGACTGAAATGGATATCATGAATGGCCCACAGCCGAAACGGAGAAATGAAATCATTGAGCCCACTTCTTTTAGATATGCAAGATCAGAAATACCAGTGTACAAATCCGTCGTGTCCTCGTGAAGTATAGGTGATAAGTTAGTGTCCATAAGTGCTTCGGGTATGCTTCGTCAAACTTTTGGCGGTGCTGCCATTTCTTCCTCAACATCGACATCCGAGTCGCTCGATGAATCGCGATTATGTCCTCCGGATGGAGTTGGAAGACGATTAGAAGTGCCAGCTTTGCCATTGGGAGTGTTGAGATGGGATGCCTGGTGAGACCTAGGAAGACGATGGCGACCCTCTTGCGAGTGCTCCCTTTCCGGGTACACCATTTCTCCAGGTTTCCGATGGCCTAGAAGGACCGCGGGGTCTGGGGGAATCACGACCTTATCCTGCAACATCTTTAAGTCCTTCTCTCGCGGGGCGGCCTTGCCCTCCGCAATCAGTCGATTCCGAAGCTTTCTTCTGTAACGCTTCCTGAAATATATCGCGAAGCCAATCATCCAGGCTAAGATCATGACCCCACCGCATACGCTCCCAGCGATAATAGGCGTCAACGCCTTTTTGCTAAGGAAGGGGAGATGAGATGGTCTCAGTTCAAAGATAGCAGCATCCGATGAACGTACCCTCCCAATGCAGCGGCTTCGGACGAATTAACAGCTCGCGCTGCGAGTGCGTAGGTTTTCTCTCTCATGGAAGGGAGTATGACTGTTCGCAATCGCGAAGGGCATGTCGGTATCATGTTGAGGCACAGAAAATGCACGCACCAGGACGATTGACCAGAGGCATGATATCCTGCAGGCTAAGTGGGTGAACGAGAGAGGTGTTTCATGGACGGGTAGGCGCACCAACAAGCAGGATGACGGCTGCGCACTGGAGTTTGGTTTGTTTGACAAGTTCGGCCCCTATTCCGCTTTCGGAACACCGAAAGAAAAGCGAACCGGAGAAAATCTCCTCGGGACGTATATACTTACTAGAGTTTTGCCCGTGCTTCGCAACTGATAGATACTGACACTGACTGAACTACTTGTAGTTTATTTGTTTCTTGCAGTGCCGCTCGCCTTCGCCCCTCCGTCGCGCGGGGCGCTCCGTCGTGCCGAGCGACTTCCGGCAGGTTTAAGGGTCATGAATTCAGCACCAACTTGACACACTGCATGATTGTTTTCTTCAAATTTATTTACTCAAATTCTACTCAAGGCCGCGCTCCTCTCCCTCCCATCCCTGGGCAATTTCTCGAAGGTCAATTGAATCAATTTTGGACGGGCTTATTGATTGCTCGACAGGGGATGAAATACTGAGAGCCCCTGCTGACGATGAGCCAACAATTTTCGGTAGAGTGGCTGAATAGGGAATGGCCAAAGAATGGAAGAGCTTGATAAAATGTAAGCGCTCGATCACTTGCTTGACTGGTCAGGCCCAACCACGACAGAGGAAAACGTTGTGCCCGTCAACTTTCAAAGTTGACCCCCGGACAAAAACCTTGGTTTTAGTATGTAGATCTAATGTGATTTACATAAACGTCTCTATCACCTCCGTGACTCGTCTTGGACCCGTCTAGTATCTACACAAAGGGTTTACAGAGGGTTTGCAGAGGGTTCTACAAGTGCCCAGCGAGAGGTGTCTCATGGGCTGTACCTTCTACCTGAATATCGTGCACACTCCTCAGCCCGACAGCCTGCAGAATCTGGCTGACGCTTTCTTTTTTCACAGCCTCCAACTCCTCCTCGCTTTTGACAAGCAGCATTCCCGCAAACCCAAGCGCGTTGATGCTCAGCTTGTCACCCGTCTCCTGTAGGGTATGATTCTCCTGCCGCCGAGGTATAACATGGATATGCTCCAGTGTAATGATCACATTGTAGGAAGGACTTCCTTGCGGATAATCTGGATCATGTCGTATAGTGGATATCGAGAGGTCAAGGAGTCGGAGGAACGCATCGGCTAGTATGTGCTCCAGTCTCTCCGGTGGGTATGTATCCATTTGATACGGAAATCGGTAGCAATGGTTCGCATAGGATAGCTTGTTCAAAGAAAAAGGTCTATCTGAGCAGGACATTCAGACTCGGCTTGGAAATCGGTAGAAGAGAGCCGACGAACCTGCGAACTCTAGCTGAGCGTCTCGAGCCAATTTCTCGATTGGAGGGCCTCTTGCATCATCCAAAGGTAGGAATTGAATGTGCTTATGGGGTTGACTTGCGCCGCTGTTGTCTCCACCTGAATTTGCGGCTCAATAAATCGTCGACAAAAACCGGTGGTTCCTCACAATTGTAGAATGCAAAGAACTGCTTCCCTAGTTTACGCGCGGCAAGTAGAAAGAGGTAGGTCTGGACGAGTTCCGAAGGCATCAGCGGCGATGCTTGCGATCTGAAGTCTTCCTTGCATCCGTCAGGATTTGGACGTCGGCGATGATTTATTGGCTCTCTGACCTTTGGTTACAAGCAAAAAGTGTTGTGGGACAACAGAGAACTTGTTCAGCTACGGAAGGATACAATTAGAGGGGATTCTCATACGATAATTGGCAGACTGACAAGAACAACATAGTTCTCTTCGGTTTCCTGGTCTTTCAAGTCAGCAACGTACAGGTTGGGGTTATATGGGGGCGCAAACGGGTCGAAGGTCTTCAACTTTCGATTAGCTCCCTGCACAGCGATACCAGTATCCGAAGCGCCTGCGTCGAAGTGAGGTGTCGGAAGGGCTGGTTTGTGCTGCAGTGCCGGGCAGAGTCGAATCTCATACTACGTGCATTACTTCCAGTCAATCATCATGAATGAAGACCAAGGGAGCAGCTATGGTTTCATACCTCGACGTCAGAATCAACGTGCTTAGCTACGGTAGAGGGAAAGAATAAGAGATCGCCGCTTTTGAGAGCACCGTCAAAACGCTCAGGGATCTTGGTTACTATGGCGGCATGGGACATATTTAGAGAGCGATAAGACGAATGGAGGACCTGCAGGACAATGAAGGCGATGGGAGTCGGTGGAACGAAGGCAGGAGAAAATTCGAAAAAGGTCTAAACCAGAAACGCGATTGGTGGAAATCACAGATCACATCGCGAAAATGTCCGGCGTTTCTGGCGACATCGTTGTGCTCTCTTCAATATCGAAAGCCGGCGTTTCCAGGCTCAGAGCTCGTCGTATATGGGTGTTGGCAGTCTACACAATCCGACTACCCCGACTAGCTTGGGAGTGAGACTTAGATAGAGCAACGTACAACAGCCACCTGTGAATTCGACACAAGGTCAAGCCTCAGAGCTTCCCAAATCCTGCGCGCAACATAATCAGGATTGGATCTCAGAGCTCATTCGTATATTTCAATGCCTTTCCTTTAAGGTACAGCGAACGGGTATAAGCAACAACTAAATGTACAATCGAAGAACGAAGGAGCTGAGAGCATGCTAATGATTGAGCGGAGCAAATAGCAGTTGAAAACCCGTATAACACTAGATAATGGTATATGGGCCAGCCCAATTACAGAGTCCCTTGCATCTCCCTACTACCTTTTGGAAAGTCCTTGAATCCGTGAATTGAAAGTGTCCATCTTCGTGTCAAGCTTGACCTGATCTACCGCGGTTGCCTTTGGCTTCTGCCATCTCTTCTCCAAGCATTATGGCACGGATGTAACACCCAGCCGCTATAAACGACCATATGGCTGCATTGGTGCCCTATATCCTTCATTAGCGAGGCATTGAAGAGTTATCAACATAGTGCCTTACTTGGTAGAATAGTATAGTCAAGAAAGTTTGGAACAAGAGGAGAATGACCCGAACGACCAGACTGCGGTGAAGAGACAGGCCTTTGATAGCAGGCAGTGGCATCTCTATGCAGAGGATGACCATGCCCAGAATCATGGCCATAATGGGGATGACGGGGGCCTTGATGATGAGAGAGACGAAGATTGCGGCGCCGGGAGGAGCTCTACACAAATGATTCAGAACATGTACATTGAAGAATGCACAACAAAACGTACTGAAGACCTCCAGGATCCCGCAAAGTACCGCCCACAAAGTCCCAGAAGAATTTGCGGTAGAAGAGGCCGAAGAATCCAGCCCAAATAGCATCTAGTAGCACATAGTCAGGAGACGCTGGGGAATTTCAAGCAGGGAATGACTTACAAACAGTTGCAGTAATCGAGACGAACCGAGAATACTCGTGCCAAATGAGGTTGCCCATAGCTGACTAGGAAAGTGGAGTGATGTCCTAGTGTGCTTGAATGATAACGAGGGGAAGCTGCTCCGGAGCAGAATTCAGGAAACGAGGATTTCGAGAAGGTAGTGAATTAACAAGAGAAATGAAAGAGGGGACGAGCACAGCTCGTTGGAAGAAAAGACAGAGAAAGAAAGAGACGAGGAAAGAGCTCAAGAGAACGAACGAGAACAAGACGTTCTGGGAAACAACTTCTCCCTCAGGCGGAGTTTAAATCTGGGCCAACCTGGACCTGATTACCGTTCCCAGCGCAACCACAGCCTCACCGGAACCTGTCATTCCTGACCTGATTTCATCATGCAGTTTGGACAGAAAAGCTGTAATTATCCCCTACTTACAAAACTATGCAAGTAATACGTAGTGTCTGAGCGATGCGATCACAGATAGCGCCCAATGAATGCAATGAATGCAGAATGTTCCGGTTTCATCATGATGTTCGTAAGGACTTGTCCGTGGGCGGCCTTGCCGCAGGCTAAACTACATTCCTGAAGTCCATGGTGGGTGGTCGGTTGCTCGGTCTCGCCGGGCGACTGTTGGTATCCTGAAGGCAGGTTAGGTACACACGCCTTGCTATGTAGAAGGGTAACATCAACTCACAAGTTCCGAGGTTCTGGGAGGAGGTCTTCTTAGGAACCTTGGGACGGTCCGTGGTTGTGGCACTTCAAGCCTAGGAACTGTTACCAGAGGTGCCGTTGATTCTCCTGACATCGTACTGCCCTCTCTTGAGTGCCCAGGAGTGCCGTATTCACTGCCATAATAGCTGGGAGCGATCGATAAACGAGCAGTCTGAGGCTTCCGAATTGGAGGAGGAAACAGGAATACTTGATTGCGGGGGGTGGTAAGGCCCGCCTCCAGGACCTTCGGCTCTTCGGCCTGCATAGGCAGAATGGGCGACACTGCACTCATCGACTTTTCGACTGTGGTCGACTGTCTTCCCAACCTCCGCCTTCGCCAGATGAACAAGAAACCAACGACTGCCAGAACGAGGACGAAGGCGGTGACTCCCAAAACAGCGCCCACCACTAAGCTTGTCGACGATCGCCCGTCTGATACAGGGGGTGCGCTTGACCTTGGAAGGGCATCAGATGGAGACAAAGCACTGCTTACACCATCCACATACGAAGGAGCCGCGCTGGAGTCAGCAGCAGAGCCACTGGGACTTCGACTACCAGGTGTCGGAGTGGATGTAGGAGCTAGTGACTCGGCGGTGGAAAAAACAGAGATGAAATCTAAATCAATAAAAGGACCAGTAGTCGTCTGCGTCTGGGATTCACCCGACATGGTCAATGTGTGTTGACCAGGACCCAGGTCAGCGTGATAATACTGCATTTCTGTCAGATAGAATGCCACCTATCAAACCAAGGTTGCCCTACCAGAAGAATCTACGCGTGCAAGATTAACTGAGCGGAAGCGAGCCGAGTAAAGTACTGCATACCTGAGGTCGGACGGCAGAGATCACACCTCCTGATCCCCCAACCACAGTTTGTACATCACCATCCAAGGCCATCCTAATGTTTGCATGATCGGGAGACACCGTACCATACACAGCAATGGCATCTCCGGAGAAGTTCACGCTAACCGAGGCATTGGGGTCCCTCGAAAAGCTGTAAAACATAAAAAGGTTCTCGCCAACTTTCCTAACATAAAGGGCAGCTTAACGTACTGGAGAGTATTATTCGCGAATTCCGAGCCTGATTTTAATTCCCAAGAAGATGAGGGCGAATAAACCAACGAAGGATCAGTATCATCCAAAGATTCTCGAACAATGTCATCCCTACCAAGCGTCAGCCGACTGGATGCAATCCGAACACGTAGAATCCACATACCCTGATCGTCCAACTTGAGTCTCAAAGTCAACCCAATCGATATCAATTGGTGCTCCGTTGGAATTGGTGATGACTGCAGTATGAGTTCCATACGGTAACCCTGACGCTGCACCGAGTAGTTGACGAAAGGATGCTTCATTGCTTCGTGCAGAGCCGCTTGAAACCGTCCGCCCGTCCACGCTGATACTGTAGGTTCCATAGTTCGGCCTAAGCCCACCAAAAATCGACAAACCGGTGCCTGTGTCGCGATTCTTTCGTTAACATCAGAAGAACTCGCTAAACCAAGGGCAGCACCTGTGAAGATTATCGTAGCTGTCGCCCCTTCCGTAGAAGTGGTGTGATACGAACTGGCAGAATATGACTAAGAAGGGGCGGTGAGAAGGTGAAAATTACGTATGAGGATTGCTCACTGAGGCCAGGACATCGTCAGAGGAGGCGTCAGTCCAGGATCCGGCTGGAGAATACGTGGACAGAGGAGAGCTATCCTCAACTACGACAACTTCGAGTGCGCTTGAAATTGAGTGTTTGAATACAACGAACCTGTAATATTGAAGGAAGCCATCGGACCCCAGGTCCTAGAAAGAGCGAAGAAAAAGGCAACGAAGGAAAAAAAACGGCGGGGGGGAAGAACGAAGAGGAGCACCAGACAACTCCGGGTATGTGCTGTCCAGCTTCACTAATAGCTGTCCCAGGAAAATGTCATCGAATCATAAACCAGTTCTCGACAGATCCCTGATGCTGGCCTGTGCTATATCAGCGATATGTAGTGGTTACAGTCTCCAGCGTAAGGCGTCCATGCATCAAGTAATGTGAAGCTATGATGTCAAATGTCTATCGAAGTAGACGGAGTTGATAGCAGAATCGCCAGGATGTGCATTTCGCCAATGACAGGACTGAGTTACCGTTCAACTCTGCTAAGCTTCGGCAAAGGGCGGACCGTTGCTCAGTTGATTAACCTAATCAGGAGTCTCGTCTAACCTTGATTCACAGGACAAGACAAGACTCTGACGAAGATCCTTTTCCTATCGCGGATTGAAGGGGGCATTGTCTTCTCACTCGTTCTACTTTCTTAATAATGCCTCCAAAACCCAAACCCAAGGTGTCTACCTCCAAAGACCTGGTGGCCACCGGACCCAAAGAGGTCTTCTCCAACGCTGCAACGAAGCCAGGAAAACGAGCCCCGCAAGAAAAGGCCACAACAACACGCGCACTTGTTCTCAGGAATGGAAAATATGGAGCAAGAGGAACTGGGGAGGTTATGCTTATGAGCAGGATGAGTGGTCGTGAAAAAATGGATCTTCTTGCAGGTGGGCAGTGATATCCGCGTAGTTACATTCTGTTCTGCTAATCAGCCTGATCCTCAGAGGATCTTATCGAGAGGTCGAAGAAAGCCCTGATAACCCCTTTGAATCTCGAAAGGTCCATGAAACTCGCTGAATCTCAATGCGATGGTAGGTGGGATGATCGTGCATACCGCCGTCTCGAAGTCTCACATCAACTATTTTGCAGCATACGTCGATGACATTGCCGACATGCGCGACCCAGAGCTTTTCCGTAACATAGTTGAAACTGAGATTAGTGCTAGGAATGACCCCTCAAGAAAGGAGCCGCGCAAAAATCCCACACATGTTGCGAAATTAGTGGCTACTAGGTGCGCTTTTCCAACGCTGGCCTGCATGCAGAGCCAATATCGGTTTCTTTCGTCTGTATATATAGAGTCCACAATTCCTTCATGCTTGCATCAGCCTGGAAAATCGTTTCAGAGACTCTTAATAACCTTGCTGTTGACGGCCTGTCGGACAAAAACGTCAAATTGAAGCTCAAGAATGACGTCGATATGAGGGATCGTTATCTCGTTTTATATGACATGGTTAATACCTTGGTCGACGTTAGTCAAGACAGGTTCTCTGTTCTTGCTACTACAACGCGTAGGTTTCCTCTTCTCCATTAACAACATATTCAAACAGGGGTTCTAGCCCGCTACTCTCGGTACTTTAGGCTCAAACCCAACGAGAGTTCCGATCCAGGTGACGCGGAATACATTTTCGATTTCACCGATTTAAGGGCGGCTACGGACTCCTACATCGATTCGATCATCATTGAGTTATGTTTCCCCAACGGCACGTATCCGAAGGCCATCCTCTACCAACTCTTGCGCGAAGCTACTGAGGAATCCCGGCGAGAGGCGAAACATTTCCCACAAACTCTTTGGGACGCCGTGGGGGATCTTTCGGTATGTCTCCATTCTGATTACAGTAAAGTGTGGGATGCCAATTTCTGTTCAGGCTTGTGTTGATTTGCAGATGATGCTTGAAGCACCGTTGTTTGGACCCGATGGAGATGCATGGAAGAAGCAGCCGCGCAATATGCCAGAGGAGTACGAAAATTGGATTGATGCACAATTTTATTCTCAAAGAGCATCCGACATGGTCGCCAATTTCAAGGATCTAATGTACCCCCTTGAGAAGACTAGGAAGAAATCTGTTCTCGATGACATTTGGAAGGCCATACAGCAGGTTCGCCCTATTCGCCCAGTTCGACGTTCAACTCAGGTCTCACTGCTATCTAGAACTACATCTCTGTGTCTGGACAAGACGCCGATTCCCTTTGGGGTTTATCGGATGCTTTTAATTATGCTCCACAGTGGAGCTCTTATTTTTTCCCTGGGCTCGCTGAAGAATCTGACAACGAAGACATGCCACGGTTGTCGTCCAACAATAAGAGTAAAAAGAAGAAACCGCTTGCTATCACTGATGGTAACGAGAGCCATAACTCAATGCCTGGTTTGCAGTCGGTTTCGAATACGTCTGACAGCGATGACTTCGACGAATATACGGACGAAGACGACTCAGATGAAGAGGAAGAGGAATCAGGCAGCGAGGGTTACGACACAGAGCAAGAGGATGAAATCCGCGATCTTCTCCGGGAGGCGATGGATGCCGCCCATGAAGCAGACTGGCTTGACACATCCAATGGCCCACCTCCAGAATTGGATCCCTTCCAACAAGAGGACCGCAAGGGAAATCCATTCTTGAAGCTCTTGGGCTCGTTGAGAGGTCAGTTGAATCCATTTCAGCCGTTCTGATTGTTGACCGCAGTTCACCCTAGGACGAATGTTTTCTTCCAATGCGAAGCTGAAAACTCCAACGATCAGGACTGAGCCGAGATCTCCACCAGTTCGAGGAGCCTTCCGAGCTACTCCAAGCGGCGTGCCGAAAAATGTTCCTCCATCTATCCCTCCCAAGCCTGCTCCGAAGCCCGCACAAACTCCAGCCCAACGTGAGTGTTCATTCTGAGGCTCTTTTCATTTTTTAACAGAGAATATAGCAGCTCCTCCGAAGAGCCAGAGAGCTACAGTGGAAGATGTGGATGACGATGATGACGTCGCGTCTGTCGCCTCGAAGAAGAAAAAAAAGAAGAAATCCAAGAAGAAAAAATCTGCGACTGGGGATGGCGTCCCGTCGTCGCCCACTCCGTCCGTACAGTCTTTCACCTCGGTGTCGACGACAGCTCCAGCAGCCCCTGCAAAGAATGCAGCCGCACCTGTATCGTCCCCGAAGAAAGCCGCACCTGCTGTGTCTGCTCCATCCTACGCATCTTCCACGACTTCGCTGCCCCTTGGACAGACGACCGCCCAGTCAGCTCATTCTTATCTCCAGCAGTTAAACATCAAGTCAGAAAAGAAGGTCAAGTCGCGCCCAGACCACTCTTCCCTGTTTTCCAACCCGGAGGAAGAGAAGAAGGGGTTCTTCTCCAAATTCTCCTCGCAGAAGAAAGACAAGGGAGACGACGACAAAGCCGCGAAGCAAAGCTGGTTCTCAAAACTCGGCAAGAAAACGACGGGTTTGATGCACCAGCTTCTCCAGACAAGCGAGGACCAAACGGACGGTCGGGCTCCTATGAAGTGGGAGCAATTCTTGAAGGTGCGACTTTGGACAGCCTGGTATTATCTGTAGCGGATTTGACGCCTTTTCAGTTGATGCGTGAGATGGGTTTCACGTATGATCCAAGCACGGCTGGATCTAGCGTTCGCTTTGATCCACCGAACAAGAACGATTGGGTACGTCCTCAAGCTCTCGTCTTTCCGGCACTAGGTTGAACAAGAATGCCACGATTCCCAGCCAATCACATTCCACAAGCGTGAGTAGGTGCTGCAGTATGGAATTTCAGATGGACTGATACCTGCCTTCCTGATACAGCACATCCTGATCCGACAATCCAACCGGTCATGTTGAAGAAGTTCGCCAGACGTCTCAAGCGATACTACGGCTGGAATGAAGAAGACTTGCTGAGAGTTTAACCGATTCCTCGGCTTCTTGGATGTTCCTCATACTTCTTTCGATTGTCATATATACGTCTTGCTGACTTTAATCTAGAAGTAAGTCTTTTATTAGTCGTATCGAGCCTTGCGGGCAACAAATTAGTGACAAATTAGAACAGTTTCATTTATACCTCAGCGCAGTGAGAATGGCTTGCGAACTATACATTGGCGATTCTTCGAATAGTCAACATTTCTGAGATTTTTTCCACCTGAAACAAGAATGAGTGATTTGCCCACAATAATTTCATGAATAGCAAAGAATTACATACTAGCTCAACAAATCCGTCTTCTCGAATAATCTCAGCCACCACCTGTTCCAACGTAGAAGAGGGGATATCATAGATGGAGGTACTTTCTAAGAGCGTCGACAAGACAAGATGCAGGCCCTTTTGAAGAATGGCACCACCTTGCTCGCTGCTAGTGACCCCGGATCCGACTGGCGCTTGAGATGAATAACTCGAGCTCCTAGGTAGGGATGATAGTGGCAAAGTTGAAACGTTCGAGATATTTTGGGCTACACTCGGGGCCGTCGCAATGCTTGAAATTGGAACATGATTTGTAGAATTGGTGAAGTCGTAAGCACGAAGAGATTTGTTGGTCGCGAGAGGTACAGAAGAGTTAATTTGAGCCATTTGACCAGTCATTCTCAGAGGAGAGCTATTGGCATCCAGCGGAATAGTAGACGAGATATCAGAGGTTGGTTGATGTCGGAATGGCGAGGAAGATAGAGGATGCAGCTGGGATTCCATCGTAGTAGGTATATGCGAATTTTGCTTGTTCAGCTGGGCTGGAATATTTATTCGAGGACCGGGAGGAAGAGGCGTATGTGTGGAGCTTCGATCGAAAGGGAATAGCTTTGGGCCGCCAACATTCCGAGTCTTGTTCTGGACAACAGGCTTGGTGAGGAGCGGCTGCGGGACAGAAACCACCTGTGCGTTCACGACAGGACCACCCGACGGATTGAGTTTGCAAGGACAGACGGGCTTGATGTATTCGATGAACTCAGATGCTTCCGATGCGGATTGAAAGGCTATCTGAAAGCGACGGTAGGTCTAGCAGGTGATGAAAAGGGTGCGTTAGAGGCATTCCACATGCGTGATAGCCTTGGGCATACAGGTGCGAAGCCATCCTCAAAAGCGTGAAGATATCGAATGCCGACAGTGGTATCACGATAGACTGCTTTCAGTGGTAAGCCTTCCATATGCTGATTGCGGACAGGGTTAGACATCATTGCGGAGAAAGACAAAAGCTCAAGGTCCTCCTAGTTATCAAGGTGAATGAGCAAAACAGGATGGTCAATATCAGAGGCAAACTTGCAAAAGTGACATCCGCCTGACAACTAGGGCCATTCATTCCTGAGTTAAGTTGCCAGATGATACGCAGGCGGACGGATTCAATTTCAGCATTACTGGTCTTTTTCACGTCGAGGACGAGTTGGATGAGCGGGTTGGTGAAGTGCTGCCAGTCAGACATCGTGTCGGGTCCATTCTTGGCGCCATTCTGTGTCTTCTGAAGAATCCTTTTGACAGGATACGACCGTGAATATTTGGCTAGGGTGTATGTGGCGGTATTTGTCGTGGAGTGGTTCATTTCAAAAAGTACTGACTTGGCAAGAATGCCAGATCGAGAAGACCCTGAATGCTATGTTGCTATTTGTCAGTCGCAAATACTCCCGGCATCCCGTTAACCAATCTTGACCAATGCCATCGTCGTCACCGCCGGCTGCGATTACAACACGCACCTTCCTTCGCTCCTACTAGCTGCGTCAAACCGCAATGGCCTCGTCTGGCTTCAAGATGCGAAAACTCCCTGCGCAGGTGGCAAAGTCTGTGATGAAGTCGCACAGGTTGCGAATAACGAAATACGAAATGCCCATACGCCTCCGACCTGTGAGTACACTCCAACTCGTTGACCATGGCTCGCTCACATGGATTGTGGTCAAACAGTGGTTCCTTGCATTTACATGCATAATCATGATTATACTGGCATTTCTTGGATTCACCAACTTCTCAAGGGCGTTACCACTAAATGATAAATTGCTGCATTTCATATGTTTCTGCATCGCCACTGCCGTCTTCTACTTCATCATCGATGTAGAAGAGTGAGTCGGAAAATCTTCGTCATTCGTATCATCACCTCATCGACATTATTTTGTAAAGGAGCGCACGGCGTGTGTGGTTTTGGCGACATTCAGGAATAATCTTCACAATATTTACCTGCGTCTTCTGTGGTGGAGTTCTGAGCGAATTCGTTCAAGCTGCTCTTCCAGTTGAGTAGATGCCGCAACGTAACCGGGTTTTGACACTCTGATGCCCTTTCCATTCAGTATAAAGAGTTCCAATTCGGTGATATAGTCGTGAGTTTCTTTGATATTAGTATCTCCCCCCCTTTAGCTCAAAGTTGTGTCAGGCGAACATCCTGGGTTCAATTGTGGGGCTCTGTGCTGCCTTTTACCTTGAGCGCTACTATCGCCACAGACGAGAGGTGTGTTGCTTCGCATCGCATTGGACAAAGACTGCTCACTATAGTCGTCTAGATCGCGCGATTGTATCGTCCTCTCTCGGCAACGGCTTCCGAATTCTCAGAAGACGAAGACGAAGAAAGTGGGACACAGTTGCTGCCCACGCATTCGAACAAATTGAGCGTGCCCAAGGGATCAGTCAAGAAGCCGCGACTGGCAGACGTGTGGGATGATCGCGAAGAGCTGTTCGGTGTTGGAGAAGACAGCGATGATGAAGGGGGACCAGAAGTTGGCGCAAGTCGACCTGGTCCCCAAGTGCAACCTCCACGCATCGTCATTTCTTATTCTTAATCGCGAGGGGTCAGAGCCTTGTTCTTTATGACTTGGTTCCAACCTTGGCCATAATACCGCCCAATCTGCCTTGCGCCTCCTCCAACTCCTTCCCAATCACAGCGAGCTCTTCTTCACGCCCTCGAAATGACTTCTCTATTCCATTGCATGCAGCATCCGCCAGGACCACGACTTGCTGCCGCATGGTTCGATGGAGAGTTGCCTACGGACCCATCAGTCAGCAAACCATGTCGATGTGCCAATGGGGCAGAAGCAAACCTTAAGGTCTCGGTCGAGACCTTTTCCAACTCTCTCCCAATCTTGCCACCACCGTTTCTTCGCCTTTTCCCATTTCCCAACACCCCACCGTATGCCTGCGACGGCACTGAGCATGCCAACACCAACAGCGGTCCCAGCATCCATCCCCATGAATCCGAGTAAACCTTCTCCGCTACCAAGGAGCCAGCCCAGCCATCCAGCCCAACTGATTCCTACGCCGGTTACAATACTGCCTGTCATGCCCATCACGGCGCGTTGACCTGCAACATGCAGTCGTGTTGTGGGATATTCAATGATCTGGTCGCGACGCGAATATAATGGCCCAGTTAGACTTCCAGAAGTTAGGCCGTAGTGCGGAGAGGATTGTAGTTGAAGGAGGGAGTTGCGGAGGACTGCGGATGATATCGTTGGATGCCTCGAGAGGAGGGTGAACGCAGACTTAGACAAGTCTCGCTGGGCAGTTGCTAGTCGACCTGTATGTAGTATCAACTTCATCGTAGCTTAGTATTTAAATTCGACAATGAGGGTTGCCAGGTAGTCGAACACACCTTTTTCTCGAGATCGTGGCACCACGTCATTGTAACAGCAGCAGCCACGATGCTGCTAATCTCATCTACTCGCGAAACCATTCTCCACCAGGTTAGCTGGCCCATGACTTGCGACATCTCTTTTTGCGCGTGCTTAATCGCACTGCCAACTTCGTCTCCGTGTTCCTTCGCGTTGGCACCTGTTCCTTCCTCCTGTCGCCCAAAAACATCACCTTCGATCCTTGCATTAAGCTGCTCTATTCGTTCACGGAGATTGCTAGAGTCGATGAACGCTTGGTCGACTTCCCTTCGAAGCTGGTGTATTGACGTGAAGGTCATCGATAGTGTGTCGTGGATTCGAGCTAGTGCTAACTTCGCGCGGACAGTATTCAATGGAGCTTTTGGGTCATCGAGTTTCTCTTTCAGCGTCTGTGTGATGGCAGACAGACGAGAACCGACGTAGTCGTATTGGAAGTTCTCAATGGCCGAGAGTGTGTTAGGGTCTCCCTGGAGGGTGCAGATGGCTCTCGCAGCGCGTTTTGGGTCTGCAGCGGTGAAGTGGGGTTGCTGGATGGTGCGCTTGTCCGGCTTATGACGCGATGGCGAGGCAGTCGCTTGTTCACGCTGTATGATTTGATTCACGTCTTCCTGCGAGGTGCTGGAAGACAATACAACGATCGCATTGGAAGGCAGTTGCGCACTGAGGATTGTGGACAGTGGTGTGATGAGGGGATTAGAAACCAGGATGGGGATGTCAGCTTCATAGAATTCCGGTCTTGCAAGAATGTCAGAGAGCGCAGATGCCGATTCATGGGAAGCGCGATGTTCTATGATTTCTATAGGTGCTGTAAACTGTGATAGATAGGGTGAGGAAAATTGGAATGCAGATTGCCCAGAATTCACGTCGGCTCCGTGTCTTTGTAATAAATTAGGCAACGCGCGACAAGGAGAGAGGAATAGACGCACAAAATATCCAGCTTCGATTGCGAAATGTCCTTCCATCTGCTGAGGAGGGCTTCACTCCGCGTCTTGTCTGATGATAGTGGGTACGCAAGTAGGGCAGTAACGAATTCTTGTGAGCCCGACCACTCGTCAAGGCCATATACTATAGAACATTAGTCAATAGAGATCGAACATACACGCATAGTCGCACTAACCAGCAATTTTTATTGGTCGTTCCGCCGCTGCAGAAAGATCCTCGTGCGCGTCGGACAAGACGCGCTCCCAGATGTCACTGGTTTCCTTCGGTCGTGTGGAACCGGAAGGAGTTCTCAAATCAAGGACCCTCGGCACAATATTGGTGATTTTGTGTAGGAGTGTGAGGGCTTCGTGTTTTGGCGTTGGGAATTGCGGAGGGGTCTTGGTAGACCCACGACGAGAAACGGAAGAAACAGTTAATTTTCGTTGACAGTGTACTAGTAGGCCTGAGGGAGACCGGCCCTTAGCGACTTTTCGAGACACAGTCATGAGGCTGGAGCTCCCGGCAGTGCATGGCTTCATGGCTGTAGGAAGCCTGGAAGGTATGTAGGACTGAGAGCTCTTTGTGAATCCTGTTCCGGGGACCAGCTTGAAGCGTCAATATGCAGTGTTGACGCGAGGCTAGATACTAAGGGTTGCCCCTCATTCGGGGACGCCCTTCATTCGTGGTCACTGATGGTGACACTTTTTTGGCGGAGAGACGTGACAGAAGGTGACACGAAAGTTCGTGTCTGGGAGAAATGGCGCTTCGTGATTGGCTACACACGAATGAGGGGCGTCCCCGAATGATTAATGAGGGGCAACCTTAGTACGATCGACTATCATTTGTATCTATTAGGTCTGTCTAGGAGACTAACGCGAGGCTGCTTCAAGTTCCACATCTGGCTTTGGAAAGTCTTGGCAATGGCACGTGGGAGGAGATAATTGATCGGGGCATTGGGCTCTTATCTGCCGGTTTCTGAGCACCTTCATCCCTCTCGTCGTCGAGACTTGGGGCATTTCCCCAGGCGAGGTCTAAATGTCTCGAAACTGATCTAATTTTCTCTTGATCCCCATTTTATCATCATTGTTCGCGAACTGGGGTACAGCTATTGGCTAGCACAGACTCCAGATAGTCAGGTTCAATCCAACTGCGTGAAGCCTTCCCATGCTTCGATAATAATACTTAGGCGGTTGTCTTCGTCGTTCTGCAATGGCGGCAGCGTAACAAAGATCAGCTTTGTAACTCTTATAGCCCTGTCTACTTTTTAGCTGACTGCCTTCGAGCGCTGACGAGGATCCCCCCGTCAATCAGCTAGGAGATGAACCGGGGTGTGATGTTGTGTCTTTGACATTCATGAGTGCGGTCGTGGCATTTCTATTTGCGAGTTGAGCGGAAAGAGGACCAAAAGCTGCAATTTCGCGTCATAGCGGAGCAGAAAAGGCAATTTACGCTCCCACGCAATTTCCATCAACACGCAGTCGTCAAACCAAGGACCCATTGGAGTCACAGCTGGTTTGCTCTGTACCATGTCCTCGTCGTCCACGACTGCACAAGGTTCACGCTCACCGTCCCCGTTAACACCTGAAACCTCCGAGTCGCCAAAGTCAGTCGTTATCCAGAGCGACCTTGACCTCACCTCGTGGTACCTTTCAATGCATCCAACCAAATCCGTCGCACCCCAATGGTCCTCGAATCCTGCTGTATATATGACCCCTCACAAGTCTGAGGAGGAGCAAATGTTGCGTCTAGACGAGCTGATTGAGCAGCATGCGTACGACGAGTACGGTGATCACTGGGCTCCCTGACTCCGATTGTTTCCTGACATTCCCCTAGCTCACCTTCTTCAGGATTTAATTCCATTGCCAATTATTCCTCGCCTCCATCTTACTCGACAAATGCGAGCTCTCCTTTCTCAGTGTCGGAATCGACCATCCCAGAGTTTCGCTCCAGCGAACTTGCAGTACCAGCTCGCCAGGGACCATTATCTTTGACCAAGCCGATCCCCCCTCCGGCCGCGCTTCCCCGCAAACAAGACTCTTCTTCGGCCCACCAAAGGGTGACACATCCTCCAAAGGAGTCGTGCTTCAAGTAATATCATCATTACCGCCTCGATGAATCTGTTACTAAAGCTTGGTTAGCCTTCCCATCATGTTTCCGAGCATCCCAGAAGGCGGAACCAAGTCCCGAGTAGAGACTCAAGTTCGAGTGACAGTCGATTTGGCAGACTCGAGTTCGTCGTCTGATCCTTATAAGTACGACCGGGTGGGCTCCTGGAAATGGTTGAAGCTACCCCCTGGGACCGCCACCAAGAAGAGGACCCGAAAGCAGGGTAAGATTGGTACGCTCTATTGCAATAATAACAGCTTGTCGTCACCTCATCCTTTCGAAGATCCTGATCCGCAAGATGTCCTCCATCTTGCAGCGACTGTGACGTGCGCATCTCCTCCTCACAACCGGGTCCTGAGTTGTACGAGCTGCCAAACGCGAGAGGTCAGCTTAATTTCCTTTTGCACCTGATGTACCCTCATTGTGTTCAGGCGAAACGTGTTGCAAAGAAATTGGCAGCCCGAGTAAGACCTGCTCGTTCTGATACCGAATCGGACGGGGAAGGCAGGTCTTCGAAGAGCAGGCAACATGAGGACACCACCAGCATAATACAATTCAACTGTGCCGAAACCCTTGACTTCTCGACGGGCTCGGTGGTTCTACCCCTCCGAATAACCTGCTACTGTCGACACCATAGGGAAAAGGTTGGCTTCAATGTCCACTTTTCGATGATGGACCATAACGGACGTGTTGTTGGTTCCGGAATGTCGCGGCCGATCATGATAACGGATGACCACAAGACATCCAATGCTAACAAAGCACCGGAGTTGATTGGTAGTTTTACCCCTGTGGAACATCGTAACTGGCCTGCGATGGAGGGTATGTTGGGCGACACTACATCCAGTCTGGATGCTGGTGCGCCTTCGAGGCGAAAGAGAGAGTTCGCGAATGACAACAATGTCAAGAAGCGCCCGAAGCCTTACGACGCATCTGCAAAACTGAATCGTATTTCTCGGGAAGGGAGCGTCTCGAGCATACCTTCTCCTTCAACGTCGTACTCGCCTCTACCCACAACTCGCGCGTCTACGCCATCCTCTTCTCTGCAAAACGTCGTGACGACAGACTCGTCAGGCTTGCCCCCTCCCCTACAATGGGGCGTGCCGGGGTCAGAGACTTCGTCCCCGGATTCTCTCGCCACGCCACTGGATAACAACTCCGATGTTCCAATGTCAGGACCCAACTTCATTGCATCGGCTGTTCCCCAAGAACTACCACTACCGCCCTCCATTATGGCACGGCCTGCGCCAACCTCAATCGTCGAACCTTACACAGCGCCACATTCGATGCCAGTCATGTTCTTCGACCCTCATCAGGCTGCACAACCAATGCAGGTGCAACTGCCTACAATTCATCGACTCATTCCCAACGCTGGTCCTACGCATGGTGGGATCGAAGTCACCGTTCTGGGTGCCAACTTCCACCCAACTGTGCAACTGAATTGCGTGTTTGGAGGCGTTACGGCGAGCTCGACTCAGCGCTGGAGTGAGAACACTCTTGTTTGCATTCTGCCCCCACGTGCCACAGCTGGGGTCGTTGCAGTTTGGTTTGAAGGCTTCCCCAAATGTGAAGATCAACTGAATGTGCCGCTCTCATTGTTTACATATTCCGACGAGTCCGACAGAGCCTTGTAAGTCCGATGATCCCCAATGTTTTCGATGATCCCTAACCGTTTCTTTTTTTCAGAATGGAACTCGCTCTACAGGTCGTGGGTCTGAAGATGACTGGCAAGATTGAAGACGCGAAGAATGTCGCCATGAGGATTGTGGGCAACGCCGGAAGCGATGGTTCTGACCCCAATAACACGACCGGCATGATGCACATGGCATCCTCTCCGTCAACTCGCGACCTCCGGCCGCTACTCTTTTTGCGTCCGGGAGAGAGCGATAACTTCGAGACGCAAATTGTGGACCTCCTGTCGATTATCGATACCCCAATGGGCAGCTCCGCTCCAAACGCGACCGCCACTGTTGATGCCATTTCCCGCCCTTCGCCTGCTGGACAAACCCTCCTCCATTTTGCTGCATTCCTTGGATTCGCATCTCTGACGTGCTTCCTTGTCAAACACGACGCGGATCTCGACGCTCGTGATCGTAATGGTTTCACGCCTCTGCATCTCGCGGCTCTATCCCAATCGAGCACATGCGCTACCATCCTTGTCGAGGCGGGTGCCGACCCCGAAATCGTTAATGCTCTGGGCAAGACACCAGCAGAAGTCGGCGTCTCTGGATTCTTCGACAACATCTCGCCGCGTCAGGTGGAGTTCGATAGTGACGATGATCGGTCAGACGATGAGGACGCCGACTTTGGTGACGGTGAAGAAGATGACGACGAATTCCGTCAAATCATCAGTCGACGACGTTCACGGCGATCCTTAGGGATGAATTCCCATGCTAAAAATACACCGCGACGATCTGCGAATGTATCACGAGCAACAACTCCGCCTCCACCTCCCGAAGCAGATGACAATTCAGACAAGAAGGTCGCAAACAAAGACGAATCCGGTGCGACCGATGCAAAGCAGGCAGCTTCATTCATGGAGAAGATGTTCCAGCGCACTTTGGCTCAGCTTACCGCCTCTCCAGGAATAATTCCTAATATTCCTCAACTACCCCTACCCCATCTTCCCAAGGTCGCCGACCTCCCTGCGTGGAATGCTCTTCCTCAGATCCCCATGGTCTTCCCGGTATTCGTACCGATGATGCCCAACTGGCCTTCTTTCCTTGCCAGGGATAGTGCAGCTGTTTCCACAGATGGTAAAACCGAAGGTGACGAGGAGACCAGGAACATGGGGGCCGTAGCTCTACGAGCTGCAGCTGAATGGCGCTCTACATGGGAGAAGTGGGTCGCATTGGCGGTTGCAACCACTGCGGGACAGCAAATAGAGGAAATGCCTCCTCCTGTCTATACTCCTCGTGCAGAAGAAGAAGGCTCTGCAGAAACCGCTGCTCCTGAGAAAGGGCATCAGGAGCAGCAGGAATTGGCGGCTTCGACGTCGGCATCCTCTCGTGGACATGCATCTGATATTCGTCCTGTGGGTTACGATGACACACCAATTCCTGACCAAGTCGTTGAATCATTTGGATATCAACCTGCGGCCAAACGCGCTCAGAAATTACAGAAGAAACGTATGTTTCCCTTGTCTTTCCTGTTGCCACTTTGTTGATATCTTTCCTTAGATGACCGCATGCTCCTATTATTCTGGCTACCTATCCTTTTTTGTAAGTTGAATCCTCTTCAATGCCTGGGCAATTTTGTTGACGTTAGTGCCTAGTATCTATGCTATGGGCCTTCCATAGCGGCGTTCATTTCGCTTTCCAAGCCCTCAAGACAGCTCTTCCGGTCAAGACAGTTCTCCGAACGTAGGCTGTCTATGTTTTATTGCACGAACTCTTGGTTTTCGCCCTTTCCCTTACTCGTGTATCTTCTTGCTTTCCAGAGACTGCAACCTTTACCGCCTCCTGCTAATCAGATATGTATCGTAGTTCACAATGTATTCGTACAACGCTTTGGCCATAGCATCTTATTGCTGTTTTCAAAAAGGTTGGCGACGGTGACTTTTGGCGTCGCGACGCTTCTTGATTTTGAACCATCACCATCCGGCCGTGGGAATTCGTCGCCCCCACCATGGCCGCGCTCTACACTACCGAACTCCTCTCATTAATTGGCATCGTCCTCCATCGGGCCCCACTCATCACCTGATTCCTTATCTATCCATTAAACCAACATCTTTTCTTATTTATCGGAGAAGATCGCGACTTCGGCGTGGTTGTATCCCAATCGCTTTGTTGGAGGCCCGAAGACCTTGTTTATGACAACCACAACCTAGTCATGGAAGGCAACCCATGGAGGGAGGAGGCTAGTCTCCGATCATCAGCCGTGTTGCCTATGATCCGGCTACACCCCTTGGGGAGAAACACTAGATATTCGACCGCCTTCGCATGGTAGGGGGATGCTACAGGATGCGTGCCTTAGGGTTTGGGAAATGGGGGAGGAAAGCGGGTGGGGTTGTATCAGAGGGCGGAAGGCATAGTGGAAGGCAGAGTCACTCGTTTCAACATTTCACTTCCAAACCATCCAATCTTGTTAGGGGTACTTAGCACCTACATGTGCTGCCCCCGTCAATGGCGTTGGCCTGGCACACCAACCATGCAGGCGACTGACAGCTTGGAAGCTTCAGCGCCCAATGCTGGGAATGACTAACGCCATGAAGCCCTTGATTGTTTAGATTCGGCGAACCGCAAGGAAACTGGTCAGCTCTCACCAACTGTCTCAACAGCTGGAAGCTTCGGCGCCCAATGGGGCTTCAACCAAAGGCGGCGGGTCAGGGGATGGGATGATGAGGAGGGTCGTTTAGGTGTAGCCTACCTCCAAGGGACTGTGATCGAACACCCTATTTTTTGTGTATTTGGAGTACGTCTAAAATACACCCTACGTTGAAGACTTCAAAAAGAAAAAAAAAAAGGTGACTTTTGGCGTCACACATCAAATTTGCGCTTGCTGTGGTTAATGTTGCACCTGTTTGTGATGATGACGCCGCATCGGCACTGGTAGCGAGTCTACTAAGACGGCATTGTTCAACTTGCTTACCTACAACACAGACAAGCAAGTTTATTGCTGTTTTCAAAAAGGTTGGCGACGGTGACTTTTGGCGTCACACATCAAATTTCCGCAAGTCTGAGGGGTCGCTAGAGTTCGCGCCATATCTCTACATGTACATCGTATTTCCAAACAAAATTATATATATTCTGAAAGCTCTCGTCAGTCCGCACATGATGGTGAAGAAAAAGTGGTGAGAAGTGAAGAATTGAAGAAGATGCGACCTGACAGGGCTCTGGAGCATTGTTCGGGGTATATCTCGCTCAAAACTTCATCGTTCGGAGAATTTGAAAGCTCTATGACATCTCTGAACGATTTCTCATTCGTTAAAAATGAGGAAATTATGATGGAACATGGAGAATGCAGGAGACGAGCCCCCACGTCATCAGGATGGATATTGCACAGCCACATACGAGGGCAGCAGGATGAGTGTCGAGCAGCTATAGTGCGTGTAGACCGTGAAACCATACATCTCAGGAGCGGTTACTGAAGCCCATGGTACAATAAGATAGTTGAACCCAAAAAAAAGACTTTTCAGCCTTTTTGAGCGCGAATCATAACAACAACTTTACTCTAGTCATCTTGGCCTGCGTACGCCTCCGAGGACGTCATAATTTCATGAAATAAAGCCCTACAGTTGTCCACGTAGACGCATAGAATGAAGTCGCATTGAATTTGTAGAACACCAGCCCATTGTACACTCGCCATGTCCCTTCGACGCCGACCCTCGTATGTGGCTGTGCAATATCCATCCTGATGACGTGGGGGCTCGTCTCCTGCATTCTCCATGTTCCATCATAATTTCCTCATTTTTAACGAATGAGAAATCGTTCAGAGATGTCATAGAGCTTTCAAATTCTCCGAACGATGAAGTTTTGAGCGAGATATACCCCGAACAATGCTCCAGAGCCCTGTCAGGTCGCATCTTCTTCAATTCTTCACTTCTCACCACTTTTTCTTCACCATCATGTGCGGACTGACGAGAGCTTTCAGAATATATATAATTTTGTTTGGAAATACGATGTACATGTAGAGATATGGCGCGAACTCTAGCGACCCCTCAGACTTGCGGAAATTTGATGTGTGACGCCAAAAGTCACCGTCGCCAACCTTTTTGAAAACAGCAATAAACTTGCTTGTCTGTGTTGTAGGTAAGCAAGTTGAACAATGCCGTCTTAGTAGACTCGCTACCAGTGCCGATGCGGCGTCATCATCACAAACAGGTGCAACATTAACCACAGCAAGCGCAACATATCAATCGGACTTCGAAAAGGAAGGACGCCGCATAAGGACTGGGAGTAACGAACCGGTTTTAAGGGAGTCCCCTAAGCGTGACGCGGACTTAGTGAGATTTCGCGTTTCGTCTCCTGCACTCGCACTCGCTGCGTCTCCTTTCGCTTCGTCGCTCATTCTCAGATGATGTAGGAGTCATAGATAGCATAAATTAACATTGAATAGATTGTTTTTGTACAAGAAACAATAAATCTAGAGCCGAAAACTGAGGTGGTGCTACATGGGGGATTGAGGAGGAGGATTAGAGGGAGATGATGAGGGAGGAAGAACCGGTAAGGGCCAACCCATCTGTGGGGTGCCTGGTGGTGGGTATGAATAGAAAACAGCTACAGGATAGTGGTGGGCTTGACAATGGGCCAGATATTGTATCGAATGGGCATATGGGTCGTGTGAGGCCATGTGTCGGGGTCGAGGAGTCCAGGATTGAAAAGGCAAAGAGCGCGGCGGGCTACCAGAGTCATCGAGGGGAAGCTAGTAGAGACTCAAGAGGTGAGGGGAGTCGTGACAGCGCGATGAGGGTGGGTTTCTCGTGTTCTTGAGGTTGTATGCGTGCCAACACCGTGCCGAGCTCATAACCTTGTTTAAAGAGGGTAGTAGAGACTGCCTGGTCTCCACTTTCGTAGAGTACGGAGCACGTGTTGGGCTGCCAGCGGTCCTGACTACATAGGGCTGAACAATTCCGACGTGCGGTATTGACTGTGGTCTGGAAGTTGCATTCCCCGCAAGTGCTCAGCTTCATCTTCTCGCGCTCAAGTGCATGAGGACTTACCAATGTTGGGGCCCGCTATCTCCTGTTGTGACCTATGCGATCCGAGTCTTCTGGATTGTGTTCGCTTAGGCCTTCCCGAATTTAACTGAAACCCACTAATGAAGAACGGCATCGCGAACGATGGTGTGGTAAGGGCCGTTCGCGAAGCTGGATTCGGGAATGGGACTTCACATATGATGTTTTGGGCCCATTATTCACCTTGAAGGACGACGCCATGAAGACATTAGCCTCAGTGGGCTTCGTTGTATGCCTGGTAGAGTTGTATGCCTGGTAGAGGAGAGGATTGTAGGTTCTGAGGTTCCGGCAATATGGCGACGCCTTAGTACTTGCTATGTTGATTGAGCTGTTCATACCACCCATGGGGCCCAAACCATCGCGGCCGAGAGGGACTAAGCGGCTACGCGACAGAGGAAACGGCGGGAGAAAACCCCACAGTGGGTGAGGTGGAGGTTGTGGGACAAGAAGTGAAGCGACGTTTAGATTCACCCGAAATTTCACTAAGTCCCGTGTGACAAGTGTGACTCCCTTAAAACCCATCCGTCGCTCCCAGCCGTTTCTTGAACAAGCGTAGCGGAGTTTGAAAAGAAACGGCTGGTCAGGAGCCTACCGTCTTAGTGCTAACCTCGATCTGCACGCACCTGCACGAACTTTCCGCCATCTGCAACCTACCACACCAGCAGCTCCCTGACGGCGTAATCAAACTGTTATGAAACGCGGCGCCGAAAAGCAACTCATAAAAGGCGACGAAGAGGAGGGAGAAGAGGAGGGGCGTCCTTGACCGCGTTTCTCGATCGTGAATCATGCTAACCTTCTGCCACCACAGGAGAACCCAGGGACTGGCATAAAATATGCTTCTAAGGAAGTTCTATCGTCTAGGCCGTGAGCCCTGTCCAGTCGGTCTTCTTCGCGTCAATCTAATGCCTTTGAGTACTCTAGAATGAAAGGTTTGCCCAATCGCAGCAGAACTGGCGCGTCAGCGCCTGCTCCCCAGCCTGCTCCAACATCCTATATTGCAGCTCCCGTATGTTCAATCTCGTTTGTTTACCTCCCTGTATCGATTTCCTCTTAGCAGACCCCCTTCAATCTTTTCTCTAATCCCACATCCATCCAGTCCTCGAATTCTGTTGGTGGAAACCCTAATCCTTTCGGGAACTCAACTACCACACCTACTCCATCGTTTCCAGTGCGTTCACACAACTGTCTATGATTCTATCTATTCGGCTCATGATATTATCTAGCCTACAAACTCGCCGTTCTCCGTCAAACCGGCTCGACCGACGGAAGCAAAACCTGATGCCGCGCCGTCTTCTGTGAGTGTGCACGCCTTTGTATGGCGTTTTCAAGTCCTAACTCTTGTCCGTTCAGGTGTCTTCTTCGAATGTATTTGCACCGGCGAACGTTTCTTCAGCGCCCTCAGCTTTTATGACATCCTCACCATCATCATTTACGATTCCTTCGACCACCTTCCCTCCCACGAACACATCGAAAGCATTCGCGTCTTTGCTTAGTACTTCTTCGTCATCCACATCTACATCTTCGTCCAATGGTTCTTCAGATGATTCTGCTCTCAAGCTTTACACGAATCTGCGTGGTTTGAACGTGTCTCTATTATCTGCAGTGTCAAAAGCCGTTGACGACGACGCATTTGTGGATCTCTCCTCCGCTCTAGAGAAATACAAGGAGGTGCGGTCAAAGATACAGAAGGGTCATGATGCCAACCCCTCCGCGACAAGTGGTTCTAAACCAAGTGTCAGTTCTTCTGGAGACAAGCCGGCAATGCCTGCGCCTCCCACTTCATTTACTGGCTTCGGTGGATTCAACCCAGCCACCTCAACTTCCTCTTCGACCTCTGCACCTGCACCACCCACATTTACCTTTGGTTCATCATCAAACACTGCCTTTGGTTCCTCATCTAACACCGGCTTTGGTTCATCATCGAGCACCGGCTTCGGTTCCTCCACTCCGTCCAGTCCCTTCGGCGCCACGTCAGCCTCAACCTCTCTAGCAACTGCAACGGTGCCTAAACCAAATTCTTTTGGCACAGCATCTGTCCCGTCCTCCTTCAAGTCTTTCGCTTCAACAGTAGCAGCTACGACGCCTTCCACTTTCGCAAGCTCGACCACTTCTTCGTCTACAACGACTCCCAGTGTTGGGTTCACGTTCGGCTCTGGCAGCGGAGCCGAGAAGCCCAAGGAGGATGCTAAGACAGATACGCCCAACACGGAGAAAAAGACTCTTCCGTTCAGTTTTGGGACTTCCCCGACACCTACCTCCTTGGCCGGCACCTCCTTGTTTGGTACATCGCCGCCCGCTGCAAGCCCTTCCTCGACCCCCAAAGCTTCTACACCAGCAGCGGAGGATGGAAATGCGAGAGAAGGCGATGAAGCTAGCACGGAAGGAGGCGAGTCACAGGAGGCCACTCCAGGTTTGCTAGCACCCAACCCTCACGATGAAGAGGGTGAAGGAGAGGAAAATGAGGAAACTATTCATGCAGTCAAGTCGAAGGCCTACCGGCTGAAAAAAGATGATAAGACGGGTGCCTCGTCCTGGGCGGAACTCGGAGTTGGTTAGTCATATTTCACTGCAGCCATCTATTGTCGTTGAATATGCTGTTATGCGTAGGTATCCTTCGAGTCAAGAAAGATAAAACCACAGCGTCACGTAGGATGCTCCTACGGAACAGTACCAATGGCAAGATTCACATCGTGCGTCCCCATGCTTCGACCACGCCATTTGATCCTCACCTCTCTATAGAACTTCAAGATCTACGTTGGTATGAACCCTTCAGTAAACAAGAAGGCCGTGTCGTTTGTCGGACATGACAACGGAGTGGCGCAGTCCTACACTCTTCGTGTCGCCACCGAGGCTCAGGCGAAGGAGCTCAAAGAAGCGGTTGAAAAAGAAATCGAGGCTATAAAGGCTCAATAGCCGGCCATATTGTCTGAAGTGCATGTATCTCGATCTGAATTGAATGCTTTCTTGGATAGCAGCAATTCGGATGCTTTTGCTGGCCCTTTGATCGTCATTCGGTGATCAAAGTCTCAATGAAGAGTACATGGATGTTGTGGTTCCGTTTTACAACAATTAATACCGGAAAAATACACGTCCGAGGGCTTCACTTGGCGTTGAAATGACTTTGGGCGTTGTGCCATACTTGGTTGAGCACGAATGCTTCGCTGAGGAGCATCTCAATCTCGTGATCGCCCCAGTCCTGCGTTGGTAGAGATTGTAGGAACATGATGATGCCCTGAAGCAAAAACATCAGCTTCGCCATGTAGAGAGTGTAGAGGGAGATTGAACCTGAAAGTCCATTTTTCGAAGCTTGTCACTCCAGCGTACGAGAAATGCCGAGCAGACATACAGATGGAACTGTGAAAACGCGTCTGGACCCTCAGCCTGTGAGACCAAAAGTCGATCAAACCCATGACACAGAGCAAAAGGGCGCAACGAGGCTACGTACGAGATATGTATCCCACATCCGGATGGTATTCTCCACGCTTATTTCCCGCATGAGTAAGCAGTTCATCCATCGGAATGCGAATTGCATAAATTCAACATTTTGCGAGTCAAGGTGGGCCGAAAGTGGGGCTGAAGGACAAATGTCCAATGAATATCGACGAACGACATTAGCAGGAAGGAAATGCATACCATCTATACGTGCAACAAGCTCGGCCATCCTCCGTACACTCCGCTGGATACCAGGTTGGGCGATAATATAGTTGTCCTGTATACCGTCGAGTAGTCGGGAAAGACACCAAAACGAGTCGGCTTCGACTGCAGCGAGGATATTGGGAGGAAGTAAGGAGGGATTGAAGTCTTCAGGATTGGAATCTACAACCCATGCTCGACAAAATAGGGATGAGGAAACAAGAAGTTGTGCTTACCGATATAGGCTGACAAGAAGACTTGAAAGAAAGGCGTCACAAGATCATTGATGCCCTGCACGTAACCACTCGCGGGGTGTCTTATTGCCCAAACGTATAGTATCCGCTCCAGACTCTTACCCACCGAGGCGGGTCAGTACAGACCAAGTATGAACATACACAGTGGTAATCTCACCCTCTGTGTCGCAGCATGCATCCACAGTCGCACTCCAGGACGCGTTCTGGGGACGTCAATCTCTATTTGATGCCATATTTGCTGGTCGAGTCCTTCCTTCCCTCGTGCAAAAGCGAGGTCGACCATGTTTTGATATTCGCCACGTTTTCGAGTAAGTGTGGATGAGCGGAGGGTGGTTGGTAGTGGGAGGTACCCCTGACCCAAATTGTTATTGAAACGAGGATGATGGAAGAGATGGAGGTCAGGACATACGAGTAAGAGCTGCCAGGCCATTGGACGAAGGTCGGAAGGGATGCCAGCCCAGCCGAGTTTCCTTAACTCTCCTACGCAGAAACGATGTGTCGCAAGATCGGAGGGGTATGAGGGCGATACATACCAATGTTGACATCTTGCGCGGATAGACATTCGATGAATTTATGTTTGCGATTCGTCTTTATCGACCTTTCCCGCATGAGTTTCTCAGCTTTATCAGGACGCGACTTTATGTCCTTCACATTTTCAGAGGGGACTGGGGAAGGCCCTCTTTGCCGACTGCGATCCAGGATGCCATTGAGTGGATCTATTTGACGAAACTGAAATATGAGAAATCGCAGAGAGGCCAGTGTGGTAATAAAGACACTTACCGGTAGCAATAGCTTCGACGTCCGGGCGAATAGAGCTGGAGTTAGATAACGTAGATCTTGTATGAGAATACGAGGCGACAGATGCAGTTGATGCTTTTGCATCAGACGTAGTTTCTGGCTCGAGATCGCCCAAGATCATATCACCCTCAACATCTACATCCCCAGCACCAGTGTCTTGATCAAACTCGGCATCATGTTTCGCAGGTTGCTGGTCGAGCTTTACTTCACTGCCTTTCCGACTGTGTGTTGTTCGAACTATTGTCCAACCGGCACCATTTTTGGGCGGTGCCTCTGCCGGAAGCACTTCTGACTTAGGTGGATACGAGCTTGCATTAGGCGCGGATATATGAGTGTAGGAGAAAGCAAGCGAAGACGAGTTGGAGGAAGCCCTTGTATTCTTCTTCGGCGCCGCTATTGCTTGAGAAGTGGTTGGCCGACCCCAGGTGTTGGCTATAGTTGATTGACGGGGAGACTCTGAGTCCGATGCACTGTCCCAAGCATCATCTTCACCCCAATCGCCCGCTGTTGGGAAATAAGACGAGTGTATGCCAATGTGAGGGCGGGCTGGAGGAGAGCGGGGGTTCATGGCAAGCTACTCAATGATGTTCGGGACGGGACGATTAATGCTGCTAATTATCACTGCCTCACGTGTGCGTAGTTTCATCTAGTAACTGGGCCCGATACTGGTGTTTGTGGCATGGAAATTACAAATAAAAGAAAAAGAAAAGAAAAATCAAAAAAGGAAAGAGGAGGAAAGGGGGAAGCTCGTGACCGCGTTGTGAAATGAGTGTAGGGACGCCTGTCCTGCCCCAGTCGATGCGGGAAATGACGATCTTGAGAGGCAAATTACCTTTGGCGGCCCTGTGGGGCCACGTTTGGAAATATCCAGTCATTTCGTCGTGTTCGGCAGGCTGAATACTCGCTTAGGTCGCATCAGTGCGCCTTGCTCACCTTTTTCCTTGCATTTTCATTGGCCAGCGCACGAATACTCGCTTAGATGTCGCCCGCGTGCACCTTGATCATCACAAAATCAAGAAGATAAGATTTCGTCGAGGACAGACATCGCAATGGCTCGCCCGCGCAAATGGTGTCTCGGCATTTTCCGAGCTTGCGTCGACAACGCTCATAGCGCACGACGCACTGCACTTCTGGGGTTAAATGTTTGAATTTATCTTCACATTACTCACACACTGATCATGAATTAAAAAAATGGGCAAAAGGTGCCTTCATCAACCCAGAGGGGGCGATGTTGAAAAGAAGAAGATTTTGCATTTTGGGGGGTCATTAGTGGAATAATTACAAAAAAATTTGACCCCGTTGTTCCGACTGTCTTCCCAATGGTCTATAGCTATTCTTATGAGCTGACGTGTCCAAATAGCTCGCTGAGAGCATCGACGAGCTCGAGGAGACAAGTGTGAGACTACTTACATAATTGCCGAGGTGCCGAGTATCAGTATCAGTATTCTGCCACAAGCACGAGTAACGAGCCAGTAATCTTATCTTATGCAATGTCGGGTCGGACCAGGATGACTGGCCCTCTTCCTCCATGAACCGCTCCATTGCTAGGCTACGGCCAATAGTGGACGCTATGTCGAAGGCACCGTCCCCTTCGTCTCTTCTCGCCAAGTTCTCTACTTGCGAAATCTCGGACGCCCTTATCAAGCTCTCAGTTCCCCATGGCGGCCATATCCCAGACATCCATATGATATCACCCACGACCTCCAACTCGGAGGTCAGGATCTGCAGTCCAGCATACACCGTGCAAATGGTCCTTGCATCGAACAAGGAAGCACCCACACTCTCTGAGCATTTCGTCGACACTGCTGTCGCGGGTTCAGTTGTGGTCATCGACGCACCTCCCGGTTCGTCTGTCCTGTCTCCCGATCTATATCCGCTAATGAGAGGTCGGCCTCAGAGGCAAAAAGTGCAGTGTGGGGAGGACTTATGACTGCTGGCGCCCAGGTGCGAGGAGCGACTGGTGTTATAATTTCTGGTCGCTGCAGGGATGTCGGAGAGCATCGAGCTCTTGGGTTTCCCGTTTTCTCGCGGGGGCACTCCACTCTTGGACAATCCCCCTTCACGCGTCCTTCAGCGATCAATGTACCTTTGACAATCCGACCACAAGGTCCTGAGGTGGATACCTTTCCTCCCGTCACCGTCCAGCCAGGTGACTGGGTGGTAGCAGATGAAGACGGTGTCGTGTGCGTGCCCCGCGATCTGGAGTCCAAGGTCATCGACCTCGCCACGAAGGGCAGAGAAATAGACGCCCGCTGCATGGAAGATATTAAGGCAGGGAAAGGTGTAAAGAATTCTTTCAAGCTGCATAGAGGGAAGTAGATAAAAATACAGACCATCCAATAAATCCAAAGAAAGATCATGGCAACTAGAAATACAAAATCCTCCATGCTATCGTCCACGTTTTGAAGGTCGTTTGCCTCGAGAAGACGGAGGTTTCGTGTCCACCTTCTTGCTGGATTCTTGCCTTGCCCATCCAACATATGGCTTCTTGACCAGTTTATTCGTCTCAGCCTGGGCTTCCATGATAGCACCTCGACTGAGGCAGAAGTCGATGTGTGCATTCAGGCCATCGTTGTCTGTCTCCAAGACTTTACTACAGATCGGGCACTCTTGTGTCGACGCCTTGATTGGAGTTGCGATTAATTTGCCTTTGTCCTCTCTCAGGCGAGGGGCAGCACTAGTGCTGCGAGCGCGTACAGGTACAGACTCGAGTTTGCTTGACGACGCTTGTGCATTACTTGTCGAGTGTGGAGGGCGACTGCGGGTGGCATCTTTGTCCAGGTTGGTGATTTCGACAATGTCGTCTCCCTCGTCGTGATCGTCCACTTGGTAATCAGTTTCGTCATGTTCATGGAAGCCAGGCATCGCATCCTCCACGACATCATGTAGGTCAGCATCGTCTTCTAGCTTGAGCTTCTTCCGTGGTTCGTTCTCCTTTGAGGATTGGAAAAACTGCATCGAGAAATTATTAGTAACGACCCTATAGCTTAACATCGATAAACAAATCACCCTCTTTATTCCATTCGTTGGATCATCTTTTGCTCTGAGATCTTTCAATTTAGTGACCCTCAGACCAATTAATCTGATTTTAAGAGGAAATTCAGGAAGGAGCAATTCCTTTCCAATCTACAGAAGCGTTTAGTATACGGCTCCAACCAATGGAAAAAGGGAACGCACGGCGAGCAGCTCTTCCTTCTTCGAGACCCAGTGATCGATGGATTTGGCACGCGTGAAGACTGACCGCACGTTCACAAGAAACCCAGTTTTACATAAGGAGAGGTTCGCACCTTGGTACGTGTCCAGCTTGAACTTTAACGTAACGGTGCGGCCAACCCACCCCGTCTCCTCCATATCTTTCTCCAGCTCAATGGAAACCTCCGTTAGCTTCTCGAATATCTTCTCCTTGCTGTCCAACGTTGAAAATGTCCTAAATAGAGACCTCAACGCAGTGTCCAGATGTAAAGCGGAACATGATAACCTTTCCGCCCCAATGCTCTTCCGCTCCTCGCGTTCATGGGGCTGCACGACGTTGGAAGCGATCCCGAGATACGTCCGGCAAAGAAACACCAGGCCAAAGCGCTTGTCCATTAATGAAACGACTGCTCGCTGCTGGTAGATGTCACCACACGTCTGCATCGACGCATTTGTTCAGCGGAACAGGCTTTTAATCGCCAGCGGGACGGAAATCGTCTCACTCACCTTGATACCAATGGCGTCTAACAGCCTTTCATTTACCCGGCCGATGCCTGGGACCTTGCGAATGGAGAGATCGCGCATGAAAGTTTTGATGGCTTCAGGTTTGAACTCAAGCTGGAACTGGCCATTGGGCTTGTTCTGCACGACAGACGTTTCGATGCTTCAATATGATGAAAAAAGTGGAGGCTAACCTTATCAGAACATATCTAGAAGAGTTGATTGGCTTTACTCTTATACTTGCAAATCCCATAGAGGGAGAAGTCTTACCTTTGCAAGCATCTCATCGAGGAAATCACATCAGACACACACCTACCGAAAGTCGAAGCATGAAGGACGTTCCTACCTTGTTCGGTGCGATACCCGCACTGACAGTCAACTTAGTCTCACGAAACACCGTTTCACGCATCTCTCTCACGCAATCTTCGGCGGCCATAGAGTGCTCTTCACAGTACGGCGTAATGCTGCTCTGGTGTTTCAGCAAGTAAACCCACACACGTCTGGAGGCCACACATACTTGAGATACCCTTCATCACATCCCGCAGGGCACATATCTGGATCGTATCGGTGGAAGATGTCCATAATCTTCTTTGACATCTCCAAGTAGCGCGAAAAGCGATTCGGGAGGAATATGAGGTCCGGGCAAAGCTTCTTCGCAATGAAACCTGGTGGGTAGTCATGAGGCGTTTTCATTATTACTCTGCAGAAGGTGAGCATACCTGCCATTCCCGACCGTACACCGTACTTACGGGCTTCATACGAAGCGGTACTCAGCACGCCTTTCCCGACCTGCAAGAAGTTAATGAGGTTTCAATGGAGGAGAAAATCAACGCACAGCGAATGGTTTTCCATGTAGCTTTGGGTTGTCCAGGAGCTCTACATTCTGCGCCAGTGTTATGGAGGCGTTTCTAGGGCTTAGAAGAGATGGACATACAGCGTAGAAGGCGTCCATGTCGACGTGAACTACAATTTGCGTCAGATCCCGTTGTGCTTCGAGTTCAGCTATCTAGTTCCGGCACATCATGAAGTCATGAACAGTGTCGATGAGCATTCAGCCAATGAGTCTTGCCCACCAATTGGTCGACGCTGGCCTCGATCTTTCCTGTTAGACGTTTTGCATTTTGCAAGTCATCAAGGCATATGTTCAAGTAAAGGCTTACGGATATCCGCAGTCTTGAGTGATTCATCACGCTCCTTCAGTATCTTCTCTATCCTCACAGTTACCTCCTTGTCCTTCTTCTTTTCGTTCTGTCATAATTTCTGAATCAGAAAGTGCTATGGCTGAGCGAGGTCAAAACCAACCCACGTCGTAAAACTTGGACCCTTTAGAAGCTTCGGTGATGATACGATTAATTTCCGTCTGGTCTTTAGCAAGACTATATTAAAGGGAGATTAGTAGAAATTAGGTTGTGTGAAGGGAACGCAATTCACCCTGCTTTCCCAGAGGATGGACCCGCAAGGCGTTTCACCAAACTATCCGTTTCTTGCGAGCGTTTCGGTCCATCTTCTGCAGCCATACCTGCCTCTGAAGCTATTTAGATATTTGACTCGCTTGCTGGAAAATTCGATTGTAGATGGCTTCAACGATTTCGACCAAGTCGATCAATGTCTTCGAGTGGTTTCAGGGATGAAGTCGCAGGACGTTGAGACCAGGCCCAGTTCATCGGGCTTGCATAACTAGTAGTAAGTTGCACCTTTTCTTCCAGTACCAGGCGGCGGAAGGGATATTTGAGAGGTTTGCTGCGCAAGTGGAATCCTATGTCACATTCAACTGAGGACGCGTGACGTCACCCCACATGTTCGAAGTTAGGCTGGTTCGCGCGACGCGATAGGATAAGAACCTGAGACGAAGTAATCCAACTCGTTTCTTGCACATTTCAACCCATTGCAATTATCTAACCACAAGAATATAATATCATAGCTAAATTAAATGTATAGATCCACTACTCGTAACTAGAGGATGAATATGGTCATTAATGGTTATTCGTCGGATGTGCTCGTTGGCCACATGGCATCAAGGAATTCCCGTCGGGATGATTAATAAACTCGATAGATGCCAATGCTGTGTCCCATATGGGTATCATTGAGACAGAAGTCGAAATGCCGTCGGAATCGAGGTCAGCGGACCAATGAGGCAAAGGATCGTGTTCAAGCGTGTTCATGTTGGTGGGGGTAGATGATAGGAACAACTTCAAGTAGCCCGCCTGAATATGTTTGTGCTCGCTAATAGCGAATGATAAAGCCTCAGATCCTTGTTTGCCAGACCCAATTTCTAGATACCCTTGACTTGGAAGGGGGGGCGTTTGATCACTCGAGTCAGGACGATAGAGTAGAGTAATACTGTACTTCGTCGGATCCATGTAGGCGAGATATGCCCAAAGATCAACCATGGACCTATTTCTGAGGAGGACTTGGTAGATAGCTCCAGCTTCGTATGGGATCGTTGCGACGCCATCATGTAGGTAGTTTACTCCGGACTTAGACCAAGAAAGAGGGTCAAGGCGGTACAGCTCCATATGAACTAGATTACGAAGGGGACTCTTGAGATTCTTGTGAACAAGGTGCATGTTGAAGAGTGCAGCATCATCGATGACTTCAGGCCCAGTCTTCCCTTCGATCTTCACAGTCGGCTTCTCGTCTTCTGAAAGGATAGGCTTGTGCTGTACGACTGTCACGCATTGCCGACCGACGTTTAGAGAGATATCCGCGAGATTAGGCTGCTTGACTTTCAGAATATTGAGGCCGTTGAGCGACGACTGAGAATGGCCGGGCTTTGTGGGGAGGTTATGCCCTAATTTCCACATGCGAAGGAAGGAGGAGAGTGTCACCTTCAGGTGAACGCGGAAAGGCCGATAATTGTTCCACCGTCGGACCTTCGCCCAGCATGTCTCGGGTATTCGAGCCTCTGGTGGTTTGACACGAGCAAAACAACAAGTGGCATGCACCTCCGAGACGATGGCAAATGCGACAGGGGGGTTATGAGAGTGGCGGCGGTTGTAGAAATGGAGAGAGAATTCGGTGCCTTCCACGATTCCATGAATGTCACCTATATCGATTTTCAGGAGTCCTGTAGCAGTATTCAGAGTAGCCGAAGAAAGGCGTCTGTCGATATCGAAGGGAACATCGTTAAAAAGATGACGATGTTCGTACTTTCCAATGCACACAGCTTGCTGAGGACCTGCTGGAGCTTTTCGAAGGCACTCCATGAGTTGAGAGTACGGTGTGCTGTGCAGCGGCAATTGTGACACGATGTGGAGGAAACCGTTCGTAAACTTGCCGCCTTCCTTTCCTTCGATGGCTTTGCCACCTGCGGGGCAGGCTGCTAGAAGCACATGGGATGGTAGATCTGCAGTAAAAAATCCAGATCTTGGCGAATGCTTGCCACGGGCCCCGCTCCACAAATCGCGATAGAGATCGTCTGGAGTAGCCTTCGCTGTAGAAGTCCAGCGAGTAACCCGGCGGTGAAGACCGTCAGACTTCGTCTGGGACGGAGTGAAGCAACAATCGAGGAGAACAGTGATGTTATCTCCTTTGGAAGAGGCGAGGTCGTCTAAGAGGGCATGGAAGGAACGATCGGAGATTCCTGAAACTCTGCCCAAGGCAGATTTGGTGTCGTGATCGTAGGGGCATAGAACCTGAACATTTGCGTTATGGGTTGCATTACTTTGATACCAGTTGGGAGGAGCTGGCAAGGAGCTACCGTGGCCGGCGAAATAGATGAGGATTCCGTCACCTTCCTCGATGGCAGGGTTATTGACAAGATGTTCCATGAATGCGTCTTCGATCATTTCCTTTGTGGCGTGACTGTCAATGAGAACGCGTATTTGATCCTTGGGAACGCTCAGAGCGTCGACCAGCCAATGTTTCATTCTCTTCGCATCGTCGACGCAGGAATGGAGGTTCCATATGCCTCCCGATTTGTAGTTGTCGATGCCAATAATAAGAGAAAAGACACGTGTAGACATCTAGTAACATAGGTTGAATTGGAGTCGAAGAGACGTTTGGAAGAGATACTCACGGATGTACTGTTGATACTATGTAGTTGTTAGAAATTGACTTGCTGCCAAGAACAAGGGGTGTTCTAGGTGTAGAGAGCATCGGATGAAAGGTTGAGTATAAATATTCCTTGTAGTGTGCGCTATCTATGCATGCAGGAAGCACCTCACCTCACCGCGCCCGCTGGCAGGCGGCATTATCCCCACTGGATGAAAGGCAACAACTTTCCACGTTCTGCAAGTTGCGGATAGGGCGATCACTGTGGGGCTGAAGCCGCAATACCCATCGTCTGAATTACGATGCATTGATCGTCACTGAGGCGCGTCGTCAGACGTCCAATCCTCCGCTGGCCTCCAGCTAGCCTCTTCGCGATTGTGCCGCACAGATAAAATGTGAATGTAGGAAAATGGGGACAACTAAAAAAAATTTGACGCGACGGTGAAATTGCCCTTGCTTCCTCACGTTAACAAGACAGAGAAGTGAAGAGATTTTCGCTCATTCTTCAAATCGCGATAATTGTAGCAGGTCTGAACCTTTGAGGTAAGTAGTCAGAGTCTAAAAGGGGCACGGCCCCCAGCGGTAACTCCTGCGGTCCGGAATTAAAACACTTGTAAATAACCTTCACCACCACCACCAGACCACCACCAAGGAGACCATTCGCAATGAGTTTCGGGCCCGTTTGCCAGCAATGTAAGGAGCCCCTTCAGGTATATTGCTGCAATTGATGTTTATTTCATGCCTTGACCAGTTTCGGTCAGATAGATGCGTCTCTTGTCGATTTGGCCCCGTCTGCCTATGACATGATTGTGGCGACCCTGCCCTCTTCTCCTTTCGCTTCTGCGGAAACGTATACCGAGAGGGTTTCGACTGAGGTCCCTTCAACCTCAAAGGCTGCGTGGCAACGTGCTAAGTCAGCCAGTCTATCAAGCAAGTCTGGATCTTCCTTATCTCCTCGTGCTCAAGGCAAGCAGGTACAGCGTGCGCCACCACTTCCGAATGAATCCTTCGTCCTATTGCAAGACAGTATAATTAGAAACATTCCTTCTCCGACGCCCCAATCAACTCGGGCCAGGAAGGGTGTCTCAAAGTCGCAGAACAATCCACCAAACGATGTGTCAGTTGAACGATCCCAGTCCCATAATCCGGAGCAGGATCACGTCAACCCCTCACCACTGTCCCATCACTTGCGTTCAACAGCTCGACTATTCCATCTTCTTTCTACAAGGACCGACATCGATCATCCTTTGTGTGCAGAGTGTGCTCAGACGCTCTTAGTCAACCTTCAGAGGCAACTCGATGAAACAAAGAAAGAACGCGACGGCTATATCGCGTTTGAAAAGGAAATTCGAAAAGAGAGAGACCGGGAGTTTCAAGGGCCGTCGAAAGAAGAGGCGGAGAAGAAGATTGAGAAGCTGAAACAAGAGGAGGAACTCGCAATTAAACAACTTAAGCTCGCCGAACGGGAAAGAGAGCAGCTTGACGCAGAGCTCAGACAACTCGAGGCGGATGAGACCCTGGAACTTGAAGAAACCGAGTATGTCGCCTTTCTCCCTACTGCCGCACATTACTTACTTGAGGATAGATTTTGGAGGGCATACAATGACCATGTCCTGGCGGCAGAGCAACAAAGTTCACAGCTAGCCACATTGAGAACGGCATATGCAGCCGGACTTGCGACCCTTGAGAAACTTGAGAGGACTAATGTCTACAACGATGCGTTTTGTATCGGCCACGATGGCGTTTTCGGTACCATCAATGGTCTTCGATTGGGTCGTGTTCCTGGTGTCCCTGTACGTATCTGTTCACTTGAGTGGCAACTGATCCTCATGTACAATCTCAGGTCGAGTGGGCAGAAATCAACGCAGCTTGGGGCCAAACACTGCTCCTTCTGTATACAATCGCGCGAAAGCTTGACTACACATTCGAGAAGTACGTTGTCTCGTGCCAACCGTAACGTAAGCTTACATGATGTCGCAGCTATCGTTTGGTGCCAATGGGATCTTTTTCAAGGATCGAAAAGACCACCGGAGACAAGGCCAACTACGAGCTGTATGGATCCGGTGACCTACATTTTGGACGTTTGTTACACAATCGCCGCTTCGATATTGCGATGGTCGCGTTCCTCGACTGCTTGAAGCACCTCATGGACTACATTAGACTACAAGACGCCACTGTGGACTTTCCACATCAGTACGTGTTGATCACTGGCGTTGAATAGTATTGTGGCTGACCTTCCTCAGAATCTCGAAGGACAGGATTGGGGATGTCTCTATCAAGTTGCAATTCAACCAGGAAGAGGCGTGGACACGGTCGTTGCGGCATGTGCTCTTGGCCCTCAAGATCTGCCTCAAATGGGCGACTAACGGCGCGAATGGTTAGCCATGGCCACGAAACCCATGACTGATGTAGGGTGTGGCGTGGTGGATAGTAATCTCTACATAAGATAAAGATGTATTTTAAGCGAGCTCTTTAAGTAACTTCTCATCGATGACGTGATTTCGTAGCTGGATGACTCAAGAGCTCTTCCCATTTACTTTGCTAGGTTCACGCCCTCTGCTTTTCGGTCGAGGAGGCCGTCATGCTCCGGCGGAATCGAGGAACGCGGCTGTCCTAGAGGATCAGTCGGGCCGAATTGATTTTCCACATGAGCGGCAGCTTGGTCTACGATTGCGAATCTGTATTAGCAATGCTCTTACAAAGACTACCTTTTAACCAGTCAACCTCTCTTCGTCTACGAATTTGACGAACCCAGAAAACTTACTCCACCGCCGATCTTTCTCCACCACATTTGTCCCTTCACCGACTTTCGCATGGGTCTCTTATACCTCGGGACTCCCCTCGTCTGGGATGAAGCCAAGGCGTACGCCGACCATGTCAGAGACCACGGAATCACACAGTTCCTCCACATATGGGATCGCTTGAAGGATAGGCATGGTGATGAATTGCTGTGGGGAGATGAGGTGCGTCAAGGAACATCTATCATAGATAATTTGACATCCTATTGTCTCCCAGGTCGAATACATGGTTGTCTCGTTTGACGATAAGGAAAAAAATGCGAAACTGTCTCTGCGGCAGACAGAAATTCTGGCGAAGCTAAATGCTATCGTCGGCGATATCTGTGCCGATTGTCCCAAGGAGTATGTTACGATTCATTTCCTCTTAACAGGTTAATCATCATAGGACAGCATCGCAGTGCCAACTTTCCATCCAGAATATGGGCGGTATATGCTGGAAGCGACTCCGGGCGCACCCTACACTGGTTCAATACACGACCTTTTGTCAGTGGAAGCTAACATGCGGTACAGGTATGCTCCGTTGCGCTGGACACGATCCGAAGTTCACAGCAGTACAGGCGAACCCTTGCCCGCCAACACCTCAAGCCCAATGAAATCCCTCTCACTTTTACCTCATTTCCACGATTGGGTGTCCCAGGCCAGTTTACGGAACCATTCTTTGATCCTAAGGATGCTATATCAAGTCACAGTCTATTTTTGCCTGAAGAGATCACAAATCCTCATGCACGCTTTCCGTGAGTCAAACGCCGCCCTCACCATTCATTCCATCTGCTGACCAAATCTCATAGCACATTGACCGCTAACATCAGGCGAAGAAGAGGATCTAAAGTCGCCATAAACCTCCCCGTCTTCTTTGATGAAAAGACGCCCCGTCCGTTCATTGACCCCACTATACCATGGGATCGCGCTATATACCCGGAGGATTCAGGTTTGACACCGAACGTTGTGGCTTCTACATGCCTTCTGATCAAACTTTAGAGGCCAGACTTGGTGCAGCATTCCCGGATCACATCTACCTGGACGCAATGGGTTTCGGCATGGGCTGCTGCTGCCTACAATTGACGTTCCAGTCCTGCAATGTATCCGACGCAAGAAGGATGTACGATGGATTAATCCCTATTGGACCCATCCTGGTACAGTTACACAGTTTTCTTCTGGTAGCGAGTTACCTACATGGAAGCTAGTTGGCATTGACTGCAGCAAGTCCCATCTGGCGTGGATACCTGGCAGATGTCGACTGTCGGTGGAACGTAATTGCAGGAAGCGTAGACGACCGCACAGAAGAAGAACGCGGCCTCAAGGTGTGTCCTGCGCTGCACTGCTCCGTTTTCTGAGCCTCAGATCCACACATTGCATTAGCCGCTGAGGACCAATAAGCACCGCATCCCAAAGTCTCGTTACGACAGCGTCGATCTTTACATATCAAACGATTGGATTAATCGGCCTGAATACAACGATACCTATCTTCCAATTGATGAGAAGATATACGAACGTCTACGCAGTCATGGTTAACATTTTTGTCTCTATTCTTAATGTCAGGGCTCAATCTTTCTTCTAGGGCTTGACGACCTATTGGCCAAGCATATTTCTCACCTTTTCATTCGAGATCCTTTAGTCGTCTTCTCTGAGACGGTCGACCAAGACGATACTTCAAGTAGCGATCACTTCGAAGTATGTCTCTCGTAATTCCGCTGCTTCAATAAATCTCAAACGGGCTTAGAACATCCAATCGACAAACTGGCAAACCCTACGGTTCAAACCTCCGCCACCAAACTCACCCATCGGTTGGCGGGTGGAGTTCCGCAGCATGGAAGTCCAAATGACGGACTTCGAGAACGCTGCTTACGCCGTGTTTGTCGTGCTCTTATCTCGAGCGATCATGGCCTTCAATCTTAATTTCTATATACCAATCTCGAAAGTGAGTTTATGAATAAGCGTGTCTGGTTATCATAACCAGAATCTCCGCAGGTAGATGAGAACATGCAGCGAGCCCAACAGAGGGATGCTTCGACTTCTAAGACGTTCTATTTCAGAAAGGATGTGTACTCGACAAATAGGAGCGCAGCTTCGAGTGTTTGGTCTTCTTCAGGCAGCAGTTCGCCTACAACAGATGGTGCACCCAGGAAAAAGACCAGGAAGATGGAGAACTGTTTCACTCCGCCACCCCTCCCGGAAAACGGTTTCGTTCATCGTACTCCGGTGGAGGCAGAGTACGAAGAGATGACGATGAAGGAGATCATGAACGGAAAGGTAGTTGTTGCAGATTTTGGCTGGTTGCTCGATGCTCATCACACCTTTGATGAAGGACGAGAATTTCCCTGGTCTACTACCGCTCATTGATGCTTATCTCGAGACGTTGGAAGTTGAGAGCCAGGACATGGTCAGAATACGACGGTACTTGGACCTTGTTCGGCGTCGTTCCGACGGTATGTGGCTTTCTTTGCAACAGGCATCATTACCCAAAATTAAATTCCCGCTTCCAGGACGACTCTTGACCCCGGCGACATGGATTCGTAACTTCGTTAGGTCACATTCCGACTACAGGCAGGATTCGGTCGTTTCCCAGACAATTAATTACGATTTACTCCAAGCTGTTGATGAAATGTGAGTCTTGAAACCGGTCGCATGCCCGAAATTGTCTGATGGTGAAAATGCAGTGAACGTGGTGTACGAAAAGCCCCTGACCTGCTCCCAACAGACTACACTGGAGGGGACACTGACCAGGGCTCCATAGGACTGTAGTAGATTTATCGCATTATTTATTCATTGCACACTCAATAGGACATGTAAATTTGCTAAATACTCTATGTTTTGCTACTCGCCCATCGCCCTCGCCTCACCCCTCCCTTAAACAGGGATATGGGCGTGGCTATCGCCCCTTCGCCACAACACCCGCCTGCCAAGGCTCGCCGCTACCTCTTCTCGTCCCTTCCCAATCTCATCTCCCATCCTCGGAGCCACGGCATAATGGAGGTGTGGGAACGAATCCGGATGTTGCCGGACAGTGTATGGCCGTAAACACACGGAGGGCGTTGCTCATCCCACAAAATCATGTCCTCCCTCCGGCTCCTCTCCTCTGCGGCGCGACGGGCAACCTCGTTCACGCTCGCACGTCGTGGATATGCTGATGTCAGTGAAAAGCTGACTCTTTCTTTGGTTCTCCCCCATAAGGTCTGAAGAATCTGTCGCGGTACACGAAATATCCGTCTCACTCGAATTATAGAGCATCTTCAGCTCGCAGGAGGTTGTGCAGGTCAACATCCCCGCCGAGTCAGGAGACATGGGCATTTTGTCAAACCACGTCCCATCTATTGAGCCAATACGTCCTGGCCTTGTTGAGGTCATCGAGGCCAGCGCCACGCACAAATTCTTTGGTACGTCGTTCTTTCCGAACCTCTTGCCTTTTTTACTCAAGCGTGGCCACAGTTTCCAGCGGTTTTGCAACTGTTCACCCTAACAATAAGCTTACCATCAACGTCGTAGAGGGAGCTTCGTTGGAGAGTTTTTCGCCTGAGGTGCGCACGCTTTACCTGTGCCCCATGTGCAATTCCCGGCCTCATTCGAACCAGGTTGTTCGTTCGAACCTACAAGAGGCTCTGAAGGTCGCAGCTGGTAACGGCTCAGAGGCAGAGAAAATGGAAGCCAGAGTGGAAGCCGACGTGTACGAGGCACTCCAGCAAGCCCTTTCGAAGTAAAGGATAAAGGAGCTGGGATTACGTGTGCCTTCACAGTAGATGTTAACCTTTATCGTTGCAATAGAGGATGAAGCTGAAGCCGTGTGCGGTTCAGAACATGGATGTTCGGGAAGTTAGCATTTTCCGAGGAAAAGTCAAGTTCCGAAAAGTTCAAGACACGTTGCGATAACCTGATCACGTGACAAGGTTGAATTCAGAATTGAACTTGAGCGACGAGAGCCCACACCGACACGATCGTTTTAGTTGGACCCGCTCCTCCTGTGTCTTCTCCATGCAACCTCCGCGGTCATGGAACGATCCATCCATTTTGCAACAGGAACCATTTCGAACCGAATTTAAACGCCGGCGAGCGCGTCCTAGCCCAAATGAGCCTGGCCAGCAGAACGCAGGACTAGTGAAGGCCATGGGAGCGGGCTCTTTCGTGAGTCTTTGAATTCTTCTTCTTGTTTGACTATCCTCATCACACTGCTCATACAGAAAACCGCTGCAATAATTTGGCTTGAATACGCGTTCCATCCAACTACCACCAGTGGCAAAAGAGTTGTTTTTGACTACCAAACCAAACATATATTCGCCCAGTTCTATTGGCTACTATCGTGGAACGAGAAAGATGCTCTGGATTTCCTCAATAAAGAGCGTAAAGATCGTGGTTATACTCCTCTCACCCTTGACAGTCTGACGTCGAAGAAAAACCCTTGCTGCGGCCTCAAGTTTAAGAAATACTCTGGAGTAGACACGAATAAGACTCAGACGATGGTGGGAACGCTGTCAAAAGGTCGGGTCGGTTTTGGGTGGTGACCATTTCTCATTGGCAGTTTCCAGGTAGCCCTGATAGAAACCAAACTTCGAAGCGTAAAGCGGCTTCTCCATTACAGGACGAAAGGGAGTCAACGCAGCATGCCATTACCACTCCAATGCTTGGCCCAGCGGAACACTTCACTCCAGCACAACCCGAAACCTTCAACCACAAGTTCATGGTTGAAATTGGATCTCGACCTCGCAAGGGAAAGTCGAAGGTCAAGCACCAGGACAATATGGACTCTAGCGGTGCTGGAAATCAGAGTACTCTGTCTGTTAAGGTGGAGCCAGTGGAGTACTTAATACCACCCTCAAGAACACCTCCTGCGATGCAAACCCCCCTTTCGTCAGAGGACTTCATCAAACCGGAACCTTCATCAGAAGAAATGTTTCCGCCATTCGAGTATAATATTGAACAGGAATATGCCTCTTCCGAAAATATCGGCATGTTACTGTCAATATCCAGCAATCCACCTCGCGAGACAACTGAGAGACCCTCCAAACCACCTCTCCCTCAGCTTCCCCCGATATGGGCAAAGGTGGATAATTTCCCTCTGAACCCCACACATGATGTAACGACGTCTTTTCAGTCCCGACAAGAAGTTTGTGAAGCCTACGATTGGTTTCGCAGCTATCAAGGGGGGGTCTATCACGCTCATGGTGTCGCGAAAGGATATCTGTTGAGCGCCTTTTCGTCAAGGTCAGAAAGCGTTTCAGCACGTTTCATTGCATTTATTTATTAATGCTGCCTCAGACGGGACAGATTTGAACACGGAGGAAAGTTGATAATCTCACATGGGTTGGTCAGTTGTCTTGATAGAAGTGAAAGTCATTTGAGTTTTTGTTCGAGTAGGGGTGGCAAGTCCGAGAGTGTTCACTATTCAAACGGACAAAGCTTGACCCAGCCAGCGAGTGATCAGCTTGCGCAGGATCAGTCTGTGCGAGCACTCCTGAATAGCTATCGGAATCACCGGCCTGTGGCTCTAGTGATGGACGATAGATATGCCCTCTTTCCGTACGACCTCGCCTCTAAGGGTGTCGTATACGCTGTATTAGGATTCTACACGATCACATATGCATGGGGTTTGTGAACATCTTTTCATTCTATTCGTAATGCTGACACCCGGGGATTCGGATAGCTGAATACCAAGAGGCTAGTAATGAACATGGCCGCGTGGTGCGATATAAATTTGCTTTCCGTTGGTGTGAAGATCAGGTATTTGATTTCCCAGTCTTAATTTTTTTTACATACCATAACTGAAGACAGGATTAGGGCACACCATGGTGGCATGAGAATTATGCACCTCGTGCGTGATGACTTGTGTTCAACCACTAGCGCCTAACTCAAACCCAAAGCTGTCGCAACGTCAAATGAGTGCCAATATATGACCCTACTTGGATATGAACCTCCCTCGCCGAGTAAGGAATCCCTTCCTATCAAATACTTCGAATTAAACCAACGTATAGAGAAACTTGTGGAAGAACCTTTTGATGATAGGTTTGCGACGGCTTCCATTACAAGACGTTGTTCTGATCTTTCCTTTCAGCGTTCCTGACGTACCAAACCAAACACTTTCAGACTCTTGTGAAGTATGCGGGGTAAAATCTTCCAAAGTTTATTCTATATGGGCGTGTCTCAACCCCGAGTGCAATGGATTTTATAAAGACCGCGTTGAAAGGACATATTTACCGCAAACTCTCAGCTACAACCCAGAATTCCTGGAGTTACCACCGTCCGATCCGCTTCCACCTGATATGGTTCTTGTGCCTCCCGACCCAGTGTCGTCTAGCTCCAACAAAGTTGCAACGAGCTACGCGTTCACGAGAGGCCTGCATTGTCCCAGATGCGGTCGCTTGTCTTGCAAGTAAGCCACTTCTTCCCCCGTTCTGCTGACCCATCTCACGTCTTGTCGTTATAGATTCAGATGGGATCGATTAGAGTGTATGGCTTGTGCAGTATGTGGATTGGTATATTCTGAGACCTGTGTGACGAGAGGAATTCAGTATGTGATCGCAATGCATTTCAATATTTGCCCTGCCCAGCACCTCGCGAGTGCTGTCCTTCCGCTGAGCTTCAGTGATTTCTTCCTGAATCCCATTTCTGGTCAGTCACTGCAAATTCTTTCCTTCATCAGATCAGATTTTAACGTCGAGTTTCTGTCAGAGATCCTGCAGGAATTACCGCTCACCTTTGTGGACTTTGAGGCCAGAGGAATAGTGCGCACGTTCACTCTGCCCCATTCTAGGTGAGCAGTGTTTCTGTGGTTCCCCACCAATTCGTCATTCAAGCCTAGAGGTAAACTCCATCATATCCAATCACGAACGGAACTTGGTATGAAGGATGCGAATGAAATATTTGAGCAATATCAAAAGGAGGCATATTCAGGCCACCTTCTCTTCCGCCGATGGCCCATGAGAGCAGTACGAGCACCCTTCATTCCCAAATTATAGGCCCTTCCTGATCGTGGTTGTTTAGCATAAATGTCATATTAGTTTCCTGCAGCATTTGTTTTGTCCTGACCCCAAATGTCAATAGGCCGCGGCGCGTTGTTAACCAACTACTTCTCTCACAACGGTATGGCATGTGGACTTTGTCGATAACTTCGACCACTCACGCGCAGAGAATTACAGCAGGAGAGCCGTATCAGGTAAGCATCTCTCCTGAAATGAGATAAAAGGTTAATCCGTGCCCAGTATGTCGGCGGCGACGCAAACACTGTGCCCTTCGACGTAGCGCCGGAGGCTGTGAAAAGGGCCAGAGATCTGATTCAACGCCGCATCTCCGACGCCCTGGGAGAAACAGTTGAGTTCAACGAGGTCTTGAGGTGCCCTTTACTTCTTGTATATGGAGCTGAAAGAACTATCTGATGAATGCTGTGAATCAGTGCAGCTTACATGGAAAAACAGAGAATGGCTGTAAGTATGAGCATTTGCTACCTCCTTAATTTTGATTCTCAACGCCTCGAAGTTTCACAGTGACAACGAAGTGGGCCTCGGTCCTATAGTTGCTGGATTATCCCTCGGTTCTCCTGCCTTGATGCACTTCAGGTTGCATGCTAAGCATGACCCCCTGCAAGAACAGAGAGGAATACTACTGAGCGTCATTCTGCGACACGTAAGAATCTCCTTTCTTGGTGCACGGAACGAGGCTTACGGGTAAATCCAGGGCGATATATTGGTCATGGATGGGTATGGGGTGCAAGAATATTACGAGTAAGGATAACCCTCACGACCCAGATGTTGCTGGCTGATTTTTGAATTTTCTAGACACACTGTCGTGCCAAACAACTTTCGCATTGCGGCCACGGCCCGCCAGATCAGCCCAGACCATATAAAACCTTTTATTAAAAGAGAGCAGATGGATTAGATTGGCTACTGTTGACGAGGATAGGGTAAAGGACGATGGTTCGAGGAACGTGGTATATTTGCCCGAGATATTTCGGGCATATTAGGGTTGGTGCTGCTGGACTGTGGACCATGCAAGGGCTGGGATATACCAACGTTAGCCTTGCATACGCTTAATTTAGATAGCCGTTATTTACCATTTCTTTCTGTCTGTGCTTTGAATAAAATGCAAATAAATCGGAAATTTGATTTTCGATGTGCAGCTTTTCCTGATGCAGACGGCCGACTTCTTGCGTCATCCCCATGACTTCTTTACTGAGCTCTTGCTTGAATTGTTCGACGTGGACTGTAGTCATCATGAGTTAACACGCAAACGAGAAAGTGAAGGGCTTATGGTACTTTGAACATTGATCGCTGTTGCTTCCTTCATTGCTTCAACAAATCTCAACCTTTCTCCTTTGATTTCACCAGAGATTTCTACGGGATTGCAAGTGTTCGGGCGCAGCTTTAGAATCATTGCGATAGCACAAACCATTTGTAAATGTTCTGAAGAGTATTTCCTGGTCCCGACGTTGTTGGTCGATCATGCCAGCAATTGCTCTCGAATCTGCCGCAACAGAAGGATCAGATCTGCAAACTGCGATAGACTGTTACAACATACCAGCCCCCATCTGGTTCTGCGATGCAGACAATACTTCAAGTAGACTGTGGACTGCGGCTTGCAGGGCAGCAAAATTCTGGTCTCTCGCTTTCATACCGAACACGAGCTGCCGGATGTCATTCAGCAAGCTTGGGGTTTGATCTTCTTGACCGTTTGGGCCGTCAATTGTCAGCGGGTCGCATCCTAAGTTTCTACATAGATGCTCAATATTCGTAGAAAGTCCTTGAATCTGTGACACTCCGTTGTTGACGAACGACTCCAGCCACTGAAGAAGATGATAAGTCAAATCCGAGAAGAGCTGGAACCACCGCATACCGTGTTGAGTTCGTTGAGATAGCGCACACTCTCTGCTTGCTGCTGGGATAAGAGCACTTGCTTATTCCCATCTGCTTGGATTAGAGCCAATATTTTCTCCATATACTAGGTTTCGTCAGTTTGACGGACCACAAGAGGCGAAAGGACCTACCTCCGTCCGCGTATTATCCAGCTCTTGCGGTCCAACCTTCGCAGGAGCCTCGCACAACTTTCGCAGTTCTTCGAGCTTATCCAGAACGGGCTGAATATCTACGTCTTTACCACCATTTTTGTCTGAGGAGCTGGAAGCGCCAATGTTGTTGTACACGCCCTCCCGTTCCTTAGCCGACTTCCTGACCTCATTTTGTATCTCTCTGACCTCTTTTATCTTACTCGCCAAAGCAGGAAAGTCGACGGCCAACCGAGCTTTGACTTCCTCCATCGCTCGCACGAGTTTCTGGTTGCTTTCGACGAGAGCTTGTTGGGCTCCACTCTCAACGCCGACGTTTGAGGCAGCCGTCGCAGCGGCAGCAGGCGACGATGAAGCGATGGCATTGGTAACGCGATCTCCTAACAAGTCCAACTTGTCTTGAACGGTCTTAAAGGCCTGCTTGTCTCCCCGCGTTCGATGATCAAGACCAAGGACGACCTGGTGGATAGTTGGATATCCAGACTCTCCTCCTAGCACACTCCTGATCTCTGACAATCCTTTCGAAAGCTCCATTATCTCTTCTTCTGCAGTCGGCGCCTTCTCTTTCTTTTTCTTCTCTCGGTACTTTGTCTGCTTAGGTGGTACGCTCTCGTCCTCTTTCTCATCTGACTTGGGTCGTTGACTGGTCCTACTTTTCGTCATCGTCCTTGTAACAGGCACGGGCAACTCTCCGCGCTCCTTGCTCACAACTCGACTGAGCGCAACTGGAGAAGGTAGCTGCGGCGAGACCTTTGGTGTCGTCACACTCGAGAAGTACTCCTTCCTCGCCGATCGCGCCGAAGGAGACACTGGCGGACTCCTCACAGTCATGGGTGTTGACGGCCTCGAAGCAACTCTGGGGCTAAACGAACTCTGGGCGGAGAGCTGCGAATGATTCCGCTCGATCTGTGCCAGACGCTGCCGGACAACAGAAAGCTGGCTGAGGTTAGCAATGGACGGGCTGGTGGGGCATGAAGACCTCGTTGGCGAGGAAAGAAAGAGAGAGCCTGGACGAGAAGTAGATGAGTAGGTACTTGCGGACAAGGGCAACGGTACGCCAGCACTGGTGGGCGATAAAAGTCTGTTGCTAGTATCGATCTGGAGGTGGAGATTTTTCTTGGGGGTTTCTAAGGGCGAGGCTGCAGGAGAGGTACCAGCAGTCGACGCATGAGAAGACGGTGGATACAGGCTTGGAGAAATTGGCCCGCTTATTCCAGAGAGATCGATGTGTAGATTTGGAGGCTTCGTTCTCGTCGGTTTGTCTGGGATTGAAAGAGGAGCTACTGAGGTTGATGGTGGATCTATGGGCAGAGCAGGGAGAGATCGCTCTGAATGCGAAGAACCGAGTAAAGTGCTCATTTCTGGGATATGCCTCGGGACAGGAGATTCTATTGGCTTGTGTTGTTGAGGTTGAACCGTTTCTTTGGGCACTGGCGCAGGAGCAACCCCCTGCTCAACCGGATAACACTTCGCGTCCTTGTCTGGCAGAATAGCATCCCTAAACCACGCATATACTCAGTACCTGCATCCTCCTCAGACAAAAAAAAATTCAAATCCACATACCAGATCGCACTAATCCACCCCGCTCGCTCCCTAACCGACCTGGCCGCGAACTTCTCCTTCGGCCGTCCCTCGAAAATCAGCTCGAAGACCTTCAGTCCACTTTTCTCGCACTCCAACTTCGCGCCGGCCTCTTCCAGGAGTCTTACTTCGTCCGCACTCAGCTGGCCCGCGCTAACCGACCGAATGTCTGCACAGCGCGAGAGCGAGATCTCGTGGACGTGCAGGTCCATGTTGCCGGTGAAGGAGGAGAGGACGAGCTTGTGCGCGTCGAGGGTGACGCCGCAGGAGGTCCATTCTAGTTGGCTGGGGTCTTCATTGGCGTTTGGAGGAAGGGAACGCGTGAGGTAGAGCAGCGATCCTGTCATCTTTTTGCGCGGGCGCGGAGGCGGCTTTGCCTGTTCTCCATCGCCCACCACCACCTCTGCCTCTTCTATTCGAGCGGGTGGGGTGCTACCAACAGCTCCATACACATACGGCGCACCGGCGAAGTCCTTATCCTCTGACTTCCTCTTCGAGAGCCCCCCAGCGCCTTTCTTGAACACAGACAACAAGTTCCGCAAGCTCTGGCGAATCGGTGAGCGGTCTTTCGTCGTCTCCTTCCTGCCTGGTCCTCCCGCACCACCACCAAATCCATATTTTTGTTTAAATTTGCCGTCCGAACCACGGTCCGGCGTGGCGAGATAGTTCGAATGCCCCGCCTCCGTGCGGTAGTCGTACACATACTGGTGGCTCTTCGTCGACTTCCGTCTAAGCGGGGCATTCGCACCAGAGCGGGTTCCGGGCGGAGGTGTGGAGAGGCGCTCGTACCGGTCAATGAGGCGTTTCGCTGACGTCCTGTGGTGCAAGACCGCTCCTTCTCCATATCCTCCTCTACCACCATCAGCCCAAACTCCTCCTCCGACACCAATTCCCCCACCTCCACCTCCGCCGACTCCATTTCCAATCATACCACCCACCCCTCCACCTCCACCTCCACCTCCAGCGATGCCTATGCCGGCCCCTCCATTCCACCCCACATCATAGCCTCCCGGACCTGCGGAGCCTAAGTTTGAGGAGTACGCCGGGGTGCCTGCACCCGTGTCCGTGTACCCCGTAGTCATGCTGCGCGGTCCTAACATGCTCGAAGAATGCAAGGGCGGCGGTGCTCAGGAGGAAGCTGGTCATAGACCTAAGTTTTTTTTGTGAAGGAGCTGGGCTTGAGGTTGTGCAAATCGAGTTAGGGATCTCCTGGGTTCGCCGAGTTGAGGGGTTTCAGACTCGATTCGTAGGATAGGTTAGGTGCCTCTTCCATCGCGAAACTCTAGGAGACAGGACATTGAAGTCTCACTGTCTAGCGAGATTTGAAAGCCGACCGTTAGACCAAGATGCTCAAGAAGACGCGTGTTTTAGCGCTTGACGCGTCTTCTGCGAGAGTAGTATGTCGACAGTAAGTTGTCCTGCATCTTGATATCGTCTGGAAATTTAGTGCAAAAGAACAACAAGTTAAGAACGTTTGTGTGAGGCGGTTGAAGGCGAACCTGAAATCGGCAATCGCCGAGCTCCTCTCGGTGTCTGATGACGTAGTGACCACGGTGCACTACGACTCCACTACTTAGCTCGACCTGCACCGGTTCTATCGATTCGATGCACGTATGGGGTCTGAATATTTCCAACACGCCACCATTGCTGTGTATGCCGGCGCTAAACGTTGAAATGCAGCCCACGTCCTCCATACGGGTGCTCTTCGTCAAAATCGCTGACTTGGAAAAGTTTTCTTTTCTTTTTTCAATTTTTTTTAGAAAAAAATCTCGCTTTTCGCTCTGCATTGCATGCACTCCTTATCTAAAATCTACAACCCCATCCAACCTTCGCTACTCACTCAATCTCACTCACCCCAGAAAACTTTTAAAACCCTAAAATCGGGTACCGAAACTGACGACAACAACATTCGATCGCTCGATCGTAATCAAATCACGCTTCGAAACTCTGAGTCGAATTCCATCAATCGTCCACGACGCGCGTCATTCAAATTGTGCGTTGACGTCATAGGTCGCGTGGCTCGCTATCGTTCGCCAAGGACATGACATTTCGCGGGAGGGCCTGCACATTGACAGGCATTGACTCATTACGATGTAGAAGAGCTGCGGGCAAAGGCGAAGGCGAAGGGGAGAGGCGTTTCTAAAGAGGGTGAGGAAATAGCGCTGCGCATGCAGGCCCTCGCAGGTGCGACTTGCGATCATGCAGCAGGAAATCCGCTCGAAGCTGCTGTGGAGCGTCTCCATGCTGCTGCACAGAGACGAGCTGTATGCGCGTGGGCGCGAGAGGACGCCTAACGCTGGGATAATCGATCCGGCTCGCTAGAGAGCGGTTCACATCAGCTCAGGTCTTGTCATTGGACGCTGAAGCGCTGGCAGCTGGATGGCATTGAAGCCCTGTCGAACCAGTTATGTAACTTCGCTTTCAATGAATTCAATTGCCAGCTTCATAAGACGCTCGAACTCCTATGTAAGCTGTCAAAAAAGTCCACTTTGTCCTCGCCGGGACTCCCGACTCCCCGACTCCAACAATCTTGTCAAAGTCAAACAGATTGACAAAATGAGGCAAGACGTAGTCCAAATGTGGTGTTCTGCCCAAGACATCGACTCCAAGTCTAGTGGCTCACTCCAATCCCGTTGACAGGCGGACTTGGAAAAAGAAAGGAACACGACTGGAAGGAAAAAGGAAAATCAAACCAGGTGAAAAACAACAAAGAAAAACAGACGGAAATTAAAATAAGAGAATGAATAGGGAGCTCGAACTCGACCTCAGGACAGGCAACCCCGGCCCACTACACAGGAACCTCCACGACTACACTGTCAACCAAGTGTCAAAGGGATTATTAAAAGAAGGCGGAGTGCATGCCTTTCGTTAATACCCTTGCTTTTTGAATGACAACCGTCTGACGCAGATTGGTTTGGGTAAGCGGGCGCATGCGTAAGTGGAAGGATCTGCGCTCGCTAGCGGTCCGGATGTTTAAGTAGTCCTCTTTCATTAAATTGGGAGCTGAAGGATGAGGGAAGGTCGTACGATTGGGAGAAAAGCTGGGAAATGGGAGATATTTATTGCGAGTCGGATGGGAAGGCAAGATTGAACTCGGGTTTCGTGGAAAGGTTGAATGGCATCAACGAAGAGGGCCCTGTCCGTTTGTCCAGCTCGCCAGGTGTCGTGATAACGAGCTCGCGAAAATGAACAGAAGATGGCAGATTCACAGAATAACAAAAAGATTTCCGACCATTCCCGACTTGCGCTAGCCTGCAGGAGAAAGGGACCGAGAGAGAGGCACCAGGAGGAGAGGGGGACACGTGAAGCGCGAAAGTACACTGAAGGAGAAATACCGATCGTGAAAGCACATGGCGAGCTGACAATTCAATCGCGTTCGTGGCCCGTGCACGATGAGATAGGCAAAGGCGGAGCGAGAATTGCTCTGAACTGCTTGGGCCAGAGGCGGGTAGAGAGGGATCTAAGCACTGAGCACTGACCAATGAGCAATGAATTAGTGGGGCTCCAAGGTGTGCTTGTGAATTCTCCTGTGCAGAATAGGTATGCGGGTGTACGGGTATGCAAATGGACTCTTTCCGGAGGACAATGGAGGACAGAAAACGATCGGTATCAGGGCAGCCTTCGTCATCGCACAGACGGGGAAAGAACTTGAAAGAAGTCTGCGGTGTTTTAACTGGGTGGAGTCAATCGGGCGAGGGACACTGCGTCGCAGGCGGACATATATATCAATCTTATCAGCAGGAAAGCCAAGTGGACGCGCTCTGGAGCGACGTGGGCGGGAAGGGGCTGGAGAAGGGGAGGCGGGTGCAAAGTCGGGGCGGGCCAAACATAGCTCACAAGGGAGCGGAGCGGGCGGAGGGCGAAAAATGACGAAATATCCGCAAATGGAATGCAACTGGGTGGCGCGCTGTTCCTTCGAGTGTTCGTATCAGAAGGAGTGGAGTGGGGAAGTGTATGTAAGTAAATTGGCGCTGTGGCAACCATCTGCGACACGACAGGAAAATCGAGCTGACACACAAACCCGGGTTGGTGATCGATGATCAGTTGTGTATCAGCGGAGGCAGATGTCGCGTCGGACTGGTTGTTGCGATGATATCGATGACGCTGGGGATTGAGCGGGGAGTGGGATGGTGCAGTGGCGTCGGACTGGCAGTGCGCTGGTGCCGGGGATGGTGCTATGCGTATGGAGGACCCATGAGAAGCGGAAGACTCCAAGTTACGGGAGGTAGTGGGATGAATGTGTCAGTGGGCGATGACCTCATCCGGAAGAGGCAAGTGATCGAGCAAACCAGTGACGTCGATGGGCGCGGCGGCGCAGAGGGCGGGGCGGGGCGGAGGGGACGAAGGGTGAGAGGGCGACGGGGGAAGGTGCGAGGTGACGGAGGAAGGGGTGACGTCATTTGATGGCTCGGAGCAGTTTGCATCGAGTGGAGCGGAGGGCAAAGCAAGCCAACTCGGCACCTCCCGCCCACCCATCTTTCTCTTCTTTCAACTACCATGCCAAATTCTCAACTCCCCGCCCCCGACAGCTCTCTCCGCCATCCCTCGCCCTCCTGTGAGTACACCCCCGCCCCTGTTGCCACCCGCCCGTCCATGTCCTCACCGCCGCTCTCCGTGCCTCCAGCCCAAGCGCACGAGTCGAGCCGCCCACGCAATCTGCCCCGCTATCCCTCCTACTCAAAACGGCACGCCTCGTTCAACTCTCCAAGAGAGGTCCCGCTGCCCTCACCCACCCTCTGGCAGGCAGAAGCACCCAACCCCTTCCTGGCAACCGCCAGCGACCAACCACAACCATCGTCCTCCAGGCCTCAGGAAGTTTTCGAGCTCAGCCCAACGTCCCCACCCTCACCCACACGCTCGAGAGGCTTTTACCCGGAGCAGGAGAACGAGCCACAGCCAATTGCCAGCTCGTCCCGGCCACAGAGCCCCATCTCCCCTACCCGCCACACCCACACTCACGATGACTTGAACCCCACTTGGCGGCTCAGACACCACCCCTCACAGCACATGTCGGCCCCTTCCGCCTCGCCTCCCCATTCACCTATATCCGCTACCCCAAACCGGGACATCAAGTCTCCTGCTCCCCGAATTCCCTCGGCTTCAACTGACCTCCCAAATAACCTATCAAAGGAATTTCAACAGGCGCCTCTTCTTCCCCAGCCCTCGGATTTTTCCCCGATTTATCTCTCTTCCCGGCCCTTCTCCCTCCCAGAACCACAATCTTCCTCTTATTCAAATACTTTATCCTCCTATCTTCGCCAATCGCCCTCCGCCAGCCCCTCCATGCCCGACAGGTCATCTCCCGCATGGATCGACAGATTCTCATCAGCCTCTCTCCCCCCGCCCTCACAAATCCCCTTCTACGCTCTCCCAAAGGTCAATCCCAACACCCACCCGCCACCATCCACAGATTTAGACGCCAGGGTCTCCTCGTCAACAGAAGTGGCGTCGTCAGGTTCAGGTACCTCAGACACATCTTCCGATCGGTCCGGCCTCCGCTGTCCACCCCTCGACAACGAGAGCAGCTCTTCGTCTTCTGGCTCCTCGATCAGCGGCTCCGTGTCCACCACAAGCTCGAGTCCGAACACCGAAAGCTCCTTCCATGGGCACGTCAACGACAACAAGGCCTCGCTGTATCCACACACACCCAGGCCTGCCCTCGATGACGCTCCACCCGCGCCTCGTGCCGCCAACGCCCATCCTGCGGCGCCACTGCCACCCGCGCGCGCGTTCTCACCACCCCCGTTCCGCGCTCCGCAGCCGCCCGCACACGCACAAGTGCACAACTCGCCGGCCCTTGCAGAGTTCACCGCGATCAGGCGGTACGCGACCCTGCGCGAGACGTCGGTGTACCCGCCCCCGGAGCCGCCTGTGATCTTACCTGCGGATACGCTGTCTGAGAGCGGGCATGCGGGTATGGGTGGAAGGGCGCCGGCGCCGTACATCCCGTTCCTGAGCCACGCGCCGCCCCCGCCGGATAGCTGGATCGAGGTGGAGACGACGGCGGGCGAGTATCGCCTGCATGTGCGCTTGCCAGGGTTTAGCCGGGAGGGGATCACGCTTGCGACGAAGAGGAGGAGGATTCTACACGTTGTTGCTGATCGGTGGGATAATGGTGGTGGTGAGTATTATTATTTTTCCGTTCATTTTCTTTCTCTCTTCCTCGTTGTCGGTTTCGTCATTCCTTCCCCATGCCGTCACCCACCTTCGCCTCCGCCGCCTTCTCCCACCCACGAACCGACTCACGCCCTCTTCTCCGTCCGTCCTTCCTTCCACTGTCATGTCTGACACATCCCACCTGTTCTGCTCGCTTCCCCTGTCCTCCTTTTCTTCGCCTTCTTTCTTCGCGATGACCACTCTCCATGCTCATTACTTACGTCACCCTTCCTTCCTTTCTTTCATCTAGGCCACTTCGAGCGCCGGATATCGTTCGGGTATGACGCGGACCTCGTGCAGGTGCGCGCCGAGTTTGACGGGGTCATGTTGAGGATCACGATCCCGAGGCGGGCTTCGCCGGTTATGGTCACGTCGTCGGGGCGGCCGGGCCCTATTGGACGGGCATGAATTGGATGAAGAAAATATCTACCTGGGAGACGGCACGATAACCAACATTGGCACTGGCTGGTACGATAGCCGCAGCACTAGGTTACGTCCGGCCTTGCGTGAAGCATGCTCTGTTGGAGCATTTTTTACGCAACGACCTACCGGTTACATGTCACTTCGCCTTCCCTACGACCTCTCCACTCTCCACGCTCACGCTCACGCCTACGCCCACGCACGCCCCCGCTCCAACTGCACGCAACCCAGATAGTTATCACCCGTCGACCCCACCACCACCACCATCACCTTGATTCTCGGCAATTCCGGCCACGCACGTCTGAGTACCTTATTCGCGACTCGTATGGACCCAACTAGGCTTCAGCTTGTATCTCATACCCAACCCAGGAATGTGCACCTCGACTCGACTCTCTTGGACAATTCACTCTTCTTTCCCTGCTTGCCATATTTCAGTGCTCACTTCCGAGTTCCGAGTTCCGCTTCGTTAATGATTTGGTTCGGCTTCGATGACCCTCCACTCAGCCCGTATGGAATCCGTTGGTGTACCTTATACAGTTGCTGAATAACTTGCGGCGGGGATATACATATACTCGAGGCTACGCACCCACCCGTTGATCGCTTACGCATACGCCTTGTTTACTTACTAGCTTACTTATTCCTTTTTGCCTTGCTTGCATCCGGATTCCGTTCATGTCCGTCCCTCGTTCATCGCCCATCCGTCATCCGTCCCGCATTCCCATGCACCCCATCCACACCGTCACCATCCTCATCCTCACCTACGGCATCCGCACCCCCTCATGTACCACGGAACCATCCCCACCACCCACTCAAACACGAAGCACCCAACGCATCCCCATCCGCATCGACACTCAGCATCCAACATCCAACATCCACCCAACACACTGCATTGCATTATCCATTATCACACATCTCGATATCACATAACACATAACATAACTACTTATTCTTCTTCCATTCTTTCATTTCTTCCGTTTCTACTCTATTTCTTCATCTCCGTCTCCGTCTCCTCTATTCTCGTCTCCATCTCCTCTATTCTCGTCTCGATACTTCGTCCTTTTCGACTTGACCTGGCTCGGCTCGGCACATCCATCCCATTACTCTACTCTACCTTACTGCATCTTACATCCCATCCCACCATCCATGGTTTCACCACGCGTCCATTTGTCTGCTTACTTATCGTTTGTCTGTAGGTCTGTAACACGACTTCAAAGAGTTCAATTATTGGAAATCACAATTTCGCTCGACTAGTACTACTCTATGGTCCCTGCCGACAGAGGAATGTTTAACCCGGATTCAAGCGCCCATCGACTCCGCTGCACTCCAGGCTATTCCTATATGTATCCTTCTCTCTTACTCTCTCTGTATAATTAATCATGTAAACCGGCTCGCCCGAGTTCGTGGCCGTTTCATGTTATTTTCGTATCGTTCTCATTCTTCTATGCACCTCTCGCCTGTTGGTATTTGTGTATAACCTCCTGCTCCGACTACTCTTGCCTCCCCCAGATTACCCCAGTCTACCTTATACATTTACCACGAAATCACAAAAATAATGTAGAGTACTCTATGCACCATACCCGACCTATGCCATACCCCACGGAATATATGTACAAAATTCTAGCAAGTTCTGCATCTGGACCCACACACAGCTGCGCCTGCACTACGTCATTATACTTGTACTATACCCGCGCACCCAAACCTCCATCCCAAGCCCACTTTGCGAATTCAAAATTCCCCAAAACGATCGAGCTCGGGCTTGTGCTTGAGGCTTGAACTCGCTTGGAACTCGCCAAGTTCGCATCTTCTCCCCCCCAAATAAATTATCAGAATTGCCAGTGTCGAAATCAGAGAAATCACCGCCAGCTGCTCCACAGGCCTCTCAGTCAGGCAGATGATTTTCCGAGTCCTCTTTTTCGGGGTCATACTCCAACGGACAATATGTAAATCTGAACTCAGCCACCTTCGACTTCTGTGAAGGTACGGCGCAGTCACACGAGAAGGCAAAAACCTTCTGAGCTACGATTCGCGAGGGTTCTGAATCATTGAAAATGCGCCACTTGCATTGTAGGGTTGGCCGCGCGCTCGGACTGTAGCGTCATCGTCGAGGCTGAAGGCCCGAGTGGAAGCGGAGAGCGGAAAGCGGGCCACCTCCACCTCGATCGCCCGTTCGCTTGTGCAGTGAGGTCGAGTGGGTAGCACCGCAGCTGGCTCGAATTTATGTAGGTCGGTCCGAGGCTCCATCCTTCAATAAATTCACAAACTCCAACGCACGCACAGGGACGCACCTGCACCCTGCGTGCGTGACTGGGGCGTGCACGATAAGCCCTCTCTTTGTATTTAATCCTGAAGTCCCAGGTTCGATGTCCGATGTGCATCCTGCTATCGCCCGCTCCACAGTCAAGCCTCCAGGAAGGCAGACCCATTCAGCATCCTCGATCATCCCGCGAGTCTTTTTGGCTGGGCGGCGTGCCTCAGCGAGCATTTCGCGCAGCGCTCGGGCATCCGACGCGTCATGACCAGGTCAGGCGGGTCATGTCCATATCTAACCGGAGGACGCCTCCATCACCCCAACTCCGGATCTTCTAAATCCGCCACCTCGTAAAAGATGTGGATGGGTAGCTGGCTGGTGGCGACTGGTGTTGGTGTGTTTTCTTACGTCTTTTTGGGGAGTTTACCGCGATCATCCTTAGGCTGTGAAATCAAGCTCCTCCGGAACCTCCGCCTCTTCCTCGGTGGACCAGGCGAGTGTGGTGCTCTTCACAGGACTTCTGGTGCACATTTGATTTTTTCTCTCCGTTCTTCAAAAATTCTCAACGTTCTGACCGCAGTCGGCGAATGTAGTCATTGAAAGCTGTGCGCTACACCGTCAGAGTCCACAGCTCAATTCCTCGGATGATCGTCGACGCACCGTATAAGTCTATATGAAATACAGAACCCGTCCTACTTTTTCTCTCGCTCAAGAATTTCCGTTTCACCAGCAGTCCTGCGGTGTGTACTCTGGTGGAGCCATTATGGTACCCCAGAGCGTGGCGCATCACTTTTGTTTCCAAAAATAGAGCTCAGCTGCCACATAACCTTCTGCTCAATAGACTGACGTTATAAGCGTGCACAAGCGAGGTTTCTCACAACCTCAATCCCCCTCCAGGCCACCTGGCCAACCCTCCTTCTGTGACGAGGAAGTGTTTGGCCTCTTTGCATGTCATGACGCTCCGTCCAGCCGAGCCTCGGATAAGAATCGGCTCATCGCAGCGGGACGTCCTGCACTTGGAAGAAGGAAAGCGGATTTAACCTGGTTAAATATCGTTTCGTCATGAGAGCCTGGGCAAGGTCTTTCATTTATTACCCCGCATAGAAGGTGGGGGATCGTCCGTCCAATGGGAAGAGTGCGTCATTGCCAATTGGAAGGAGGGAAGGCGGATACGGAGATGGACCGGAGGATGGTTGGGAACGACATGATACTTCGCTGAGAGGGTGGTGAAGAAGGGGATAAGAGGTCGATGAACAGATAGACTCGGTCGTCGTTGAGCCGGACCCGCATGAGTATCGTTAATGGCATTGCAGGACAATGAGGTGATCTCAAATCAACAACGTTAAGGGGAAAAAAAAGTTTCGCTTCCGAGAGCACACGGTGTGCGATAGAACCCCGAACCCCGACGATTCTGGAGGAAGGAATTACTGTTCTGGGTCAATCATGATGGGCAACTGGGAGCCAGGAATACCAGGTCAGATGAATGAAAATCGGCAACGACCCTCCTGGACGCGCGATAAGCAAGTAAAATAGGACTAGTGAAGCAAAAGACGCCACCTGGCATGTTTAATGGGACCATTCTCGGGCCAGACCGTCGACTAAGGTTTGGAATACATCGTTCTTCAAGCTTCAAGCTCTTTGATTCCCATGAGCAGTTTCATCTGATCATGATTTCTTCGCATTCTCAGGCTTCGAACTCGTTTCCGCCGTGATTTCAGCGTCGCGACTATAGATTTCAGCTCCTTTTCCCCACTCCTTCGCCTTTTGTCCCCAGTCCTCCCTCACTCCCCAAACGTGGTCCGAACTGATGCTCGGAGCATGAGGTCGTTTGAAAGGCGTGTTCGCCATCTCATACGACGCCTCCTCTGCAAAGTCGTCTGCGAATCCTGCGACTCGGGGTGCCGCTGGGCTTGAACTTGTCGAAGGCTCCTGGTTATCGGAGCAGGCTTTACTTCTTGAGAGGTCGAGAATATCTGATTCGGCGGACGCGGTGAGACCCTTCCGTGTTTCCCACTGACGCGCACTCGACGGAAGGGGTGTCCAGCTGTTAGTGCGGTTGTATGCGGCACTTGTCATCTCCACGAGGCGCGACAGGGCACGCTTGAACGCGAATTGTTCTTCTTCGCCTGATTGAAAGAAGAAATAAGATCGGCCATGGTTTTAAAGTCAGCGGCAGCAGCAGAAACGCCTCGGCTTGCGATAGGTTAACATACCGGAGAAGATGGACAGAGTGTCCAATGGTAAAGCGACCTTGGGAGCAGCTGGTGCTTCACGCATCTGCGGAGCATCGTACGAAGAGACGTTCGGCCTGTAGACATCCTGCGTCTCCGCCACAGATTCCGCCATCATCACATCCACATCATCGACTCGTGTCTCCTCGTCCAGCGCAACCACGGCGTCTGGGAAAAAGAGTTTGTCCGGCGTTGTCTCCGCGAGGCACACAATCTTGCACTTGGACTCATACAACGCATCAATAAGGGAGATAAACCGTCGCGCTTGATTTTTTGACGACAAAGGGAGAATCGGTATGTCGGAAATCACGACCACTGGGAAAGTGGAGGCGATAGTCAGGTAATCGGCAGGACCGAGCGACTAAAGGAGTTGTGGGTGTCAGCGGAAGGCACCGGATTCCCAGCGCAGCTTGAAGCCTACCTGGTCACATAAATCCGTAAAGGACAACTTGCACACCGAGCCTGATGCCCAGGGAATGCTGACAGTCCGTCCAAAGACATGAAGGTCTCGACTGCGAGGTTCTGTGAAGAGAAGACAAAAATAAGTTCGACAAGCGACAAAGAAGAACATCTGAGGTGGACCTACCTGGCTCTGAAGAGGACAGTGCCTGGACACTCTCCTTGAACTTCTTGTGATTGTCGTATGTGAACCATGTGCGTTCCAAAGGTTGGGAAACACTGAGGACCTCTCTCCAATCCTTCTTCGCGTCCAAAATCGTGACCGGACATCTAAGCTTGAGCGCTTCGACGAACGGCTCTAAGCGCTCTCTCTGAACACCATTGCGATAAAGTTCGTCTGGAACCTTATTCGATGTGCCGACAATGACCCCTCCCATCCGCCAATACCACGACAAAACATCCGCGAGGAGGTTTGCACTCGACACATCCAGCAGCTGTATCTCGTCGAACACGAGCAGCCAGTGTCGCAGCAGGAGCCGTTTGGCCACCATGAACGCTATAGATGGATCTGCATATGCCGCGGATATGGTGCTCGATCGGGCCCATCGTATGGGGAGCGATCCTGCCTTGACAAGTTTCTGGATGTGGTGACGGATGGATTTATTCCAGGGGCCTCGCTCGGAGGAGGAAGGTGCGTCGGGTTTCGGTTTCGCGTAGATGGCGGCCATCCGACGCTGGGTCTCTTCCCAAACGCCGCGATATATTTCGAGCACGAGCTGGTTGTAATGCTTCCGTGCTTTATACGCTGTCGGCACTGATTGGTACCACAGGTCGACGAGGAAGCTCTTCCCAGAGCCAGGGGGTCCCGTTAGTAAGAGACCCTGTGCAGAATCGCAAGTATTAGCAAGTGGAGTTGGGGATGAAACCCATCCTTCCTTACCTTCGGAGTATCTAGTGCCCCAAGTTCCTCCGCGTGCCCACGAACTGTGACCAGTGCTCTTCCGGTATCATCGAGTGCACGTTCCTGTTCTGAGAATATCCACCACGGTTCTTGTTGGGTTTCATCAGGAGTAGGTTCGAGAAGGCGAGCAGCCAAAGCAGGAGGGGCGTAATCTGTCAACTCCCGATGTAACCGCCTCAACTATGGAAAAATTAGATGTTTTTGGATACGGGTACAGGCTGACAAGCACCTTCATTACCACCCGTATCTGCTCTTCGTCGTAATTTATGCGTCCGAGCGTTACCAACGACCGGTATTTCTCCAGTAGGTCGACTTGGATGGGCAGGTTGGCTGTGCTGTCTCCACGACGCTGGACACTCGAAGACACATCGTGGAAAAGGCATGCATGATTAGTTTTCCAGGTAGCACTCTGTCGAGCATAAGGCTGGAAACCTTGTTGATTCCTGCTTGATGAAAATGGCCAAGATAGCCTTAGCAGAAGCTGCCTATTTCGGGGGGTCATAGCGTCCTAAAAGTTGTTCAGGAGCAGGGGTTTCCGAATCATAATGTTTTCCGAGGACTTCAAAATAGAGCGGGACCGCAGAGTGCGTGTGCGGAGCATGAATGAGACGCAAGAGCTGGTCTGAGTTCAAGATGCGGGCGGAGAAGGAACAGCCGACCGGTTATACCGCGCCGGAATAAACATCTATGTTCTTGGCAATGGGACTATAGTACAGATGGGACGAAATCGGGATGAGAAATATCCAGGAAGGGGAAGAAAATGAAGTGCTCGTCAAGGCGTACGTGGTGGGCGTGTGTCTGAAAAGGGTAGATGAGGAGAGTGGGTATCAAAGTGGGTACAAGGTCTGGGTCATTGGATGTGTCTATGGGAATGCTGTACGTATAGCCATTTCTGCTGGGCAAGAAGTAGAATAGCAATTTAGTTATGTACTTGGGCGAGATGCGGTGTCGAGGTCTTGACAAGGAATGAGGCTTGATTTCTTGACAAAGGCTGGGTCCTTGATTTCGGTGACAGGACGCCTGTTCTCGAGTTTGACATGAACACCCGCCTCCCAAAGTGCGCGAATCGCCGACGCAGATCCGATTGTTTTGCAGTTGAAGGGGGATATATACCTCTTGCGAGGATTTTAACGCGGCTGATCGCATGGTGTGGAATGTAAGGAGGATTTGACACCACTGTCGACTCCAGCAACAGGCGGCCGCCCACCAGAAGGGCGTGCCGTATCAGGACGACCGTCCTATAGGTGCATAACGCGCTGGCTGCAGAGCGACAACCGGTGACAGCCGCCGGGGGACTGTAATCCGTAGCAGATCACTGTGGAATTCGGCTTTTACTTGACTCAGGTCCGCATCGACACCGAAGGCGACGCGACGTTCAAAGTGTCCTACGGTCCAGGCAAAAAGATCAGAACGAACTCCAAGGCACAAATCAAGCTGGAAATGACGCTCAAGTGACATCACAAACGCCGCCCGACGAATGATTGGGGAAGAAGACGGAGAGATTCATTGTGCGAGCGGAGGTAGACGAACAGTGTCGAAACGGGCCTCGTTTCATCGGGAAGAACCGCGATCGAGAGAGAAGCCAAAAGCTTAACAGAAGTTAGACGCTCACCCCCACCGTTGTCCCATCGGTCCGCCACGACGTGCAGGACCCGCCTCCGCTTTGTCGCGAGCGTGATCCCGTCCCAGGTGAAGCCCGGCAGGCGTACGTGCAGCTGGTACTCGTGCTGCAGCGTGTGCACCTCTATCGTGCTGTCTCGTGCGGGGGTGCTGTTCAAGAACGCGCGACTGCAAGAGGGCCGACTCGTGTCCTCATCGTCTTCGGGGAGAATGACGGGTGGTTCCAAGGGGAAGGAGGCTGCGGAGGCTGTGGAGGACGAGGACGCGATGCTCGGGGTGGGCATTTGTGAGGTCTGAGGAGATGAGATGGGAGAGGGAGGAGAGAGGGGCGGATTTGGGCGGGCCAGAGCGCAGAGTCAGATGGGTGCAGGGTGGGGGCTGCTCCTCATGTCAAGCAATTTGTAAGAATAGATAAGAGGAGGTAACTGGGCATCACGCGCCGGATTATCCTCAGCAACACCAACAAATAACTGATCGATTCCGTCCGAGCCATTCGCAGAATTCAATCCCCTTCATGTCTGCTGTGCTGTCTTCCAAGCCCCCTTGTTCAACTCCGGCCAATGTCGAGCTCGTCCCAGCGGACATGGCCAATCAACGGAACACCTTCATCCGGCGTGTCGTCCCCGGCCGGATGCGTCGCCTCATCCCACCTCATCGGCATCTATACCAACTCAGGTCAAAAACGTTGAAAACTTACGTGTCTTTGCACTTCTTTTGGCAAACGTCCTTGACCTGGATCTTCTCTCCTGCTTCGTGTTGATGAGACTGCCATGCCTTGATCGGGGCTGGCATTTCGGCCGCGACACACGTTCTGGGATCCCGGGGCACATATTCTTCCTGCGGCTATGTATTGCCATTCGTTTCTGAAGCCAAAGCCGACCATTCGCTTTCTCTTTACCCCATGGTCAAAGTTGCGATCGACTGATTGGTTTCTCGAATAAAGACGTGGCCGGGCAACTCGGCCAAGTGAATGTGCGCCACAGGATTGGTCTGGACCGACTCTCTGGCGCTCAAATACTTTGCAAATCTTGGCCTCCTACGTGAGTTCTCATACTTATTGACGAAGGCAGAAGGTTCTGGGTTCTCTCTCCTACTACGCCTTCAATTCGATGCTGCCTAGTCTCTCGCCTGCATATTCCCTGCCGGCCTAGCGCCCAACGCGATGACGGAGTCTGGAGCTCGATCATCTCAAAGACGACTGGTCAGCCGTCCCGCTCGACCTTCAGCCGCCAGCCACGCCCATATAAAAAGCCGTTCAGAGCGATAACGGATAGCCAACCGCTCTTCGTCTTCCTCTCTCTCGAGCGACCTTCATCAGTCTTTTCCTATACCCACATCGACCTATACCCACCCCACTACAGTCTATCATGCGCACCTTCTCTTACATCATCGTCCCCGCCCTCGCGCTCCTCAACATGGGCGTGCATGGCGCGACTATCGCCAACGTCCTGACCGCTCGGCACCCCACTCAGCTCCAAGGCGTCTCTGCGTTCGGGCGTGGCCTCGCTCTCAACCTTCGTCAGGTCCACAACGCCGACTTCAGCTCGAGCACCGCGCCCACTGCTGCTCCAGCTAGCGACCCTGCTCCCGCTGTTGAGCCTGCTGCCACCGCCGCGAAGCGCGATGGTGATGTCACTTCTGACGCGAATATTGACACGAACACTTTAGAAACCGCTGCCGAAAAACCTGTCCCCAACGGCGTCGGTGGTGTCGTCCCGTCAGTCCAGGTGTGTAGCCGTTCGTCAGCCGCCCAAGATATATTATTCTGATCGTTCTTATTTGTAAGCAAAAACTTCCAACTCGCGAGGTTCACGCTCGTCAGGATGACCCCGCCGCTGACACCACCGCCGACACCGACTCAGTGGACGCAGACCAGGACGACACCGTCTCCGAAGCCGATCCCGACATCGAGGATGCGGACGCAGCTGTAGACACAGCGGACACCACAGCTGTGACTCGCGCGGTTCATGCACGTCAAGATGAAGACGACGCCGTCGACCCAGCCGTTGACACCGACTCGACGGAGGCAGACGACGACGATACCGCCGAGGACGCAGCTGAAGACGCCGCGGACACAGCGGACACAGCAACTGTGACTCGCGCAGTTCACGCACGTCAAGATGAAGACATCGACCCAGCCGTTGACACCGACTCAGACGACACTGACGAAGATGACGCCGCCGCAGAAGAGGATGCTGCAGCTGCAGAGCCGACAGAGACCCCAGATAACGTCTCCACTGCTCAGGATCTCACGACTCAAGCCCCCGACGAGGAATCGTTCGACGCTCGCGCTGACACTCACACCCTCATCAAACCGCTCGCCCTCCCTCGCGATCTCATCGCGAACAGGCGTCAGGTCGGACAGAGCCTCAGCGGTGACAAAAACAACATCGTCTCGGATGTGCAGATTAAGGCCCCTCTCTCTGACGTTCCCGGACCCTCCCTTGCAGGGAGACGCTCGATTATGAAGCAAGTTGGTCGCCGCGCGCCTCAGTTTCAAGGCGCTGTTGCCGGTTCTGGTGCTGGCGCCGTCAGTCTTAGGAACTCGGGTAGCAGTTAGTTGGCGTGTTGGAGAGTGCTGGGGACTGTCTTCGGGCAGGTTTATTATAGTTCCCCGTTAGATTTTCTTTATTTTATCCCTCGCGCGACTCATGTACCTATTCAGTGGTAGAGTGTATTTTAGAGTGGTCTCCGTTTGCAATTATGAGGCGGTTTGGGTTTTAAATGGCCCCTTTCTTCAATGGGGTGCATTGGGTGCCTTCAAGACACTGCACACTACATACCTCCCCGAGCTCCCACTATTGGCCTAGTGGCTCCATTCTCTCGTCCGCCTGCCGTTCATCGTCTGACCACGGACTAGCTCCCTCTCATTCCCGTGTCACTCAGTGGTCTTGCCACGTCCCTAGCGGGCTGATCCCCGGTGTTGGCATCTTGCACTTGACCATCGTATAAATCTGGCCCGAGAGACATCCTGCACTCTCCTGACAGCGTATAGCACCTTCTATTTCCTCTGCACCAATGCCCTCAACTATCAACTATTGTGTTCGACAAAGTAAAGTTTCGTCCAGGTTCCAGCCCAAAGGACACTGCTTCAACGTCGAAGCCAGACGATGCGTTGACAGTCCCTGAATCCTCAAAGGCCTACTCCATGGAATCCTCGTCGACTCCAGAATCGTGCCAATATTCTGCCCTCTCGTCCGGTCCAAGTCAGACATCTCCGAGTCCGACGTTCCGCAGTTCATATCCGGTCAGCGCAGTTCATGCTTGACTCTGGCCCGACAGTATACTTGAGGGTAAAGGAAAGCACGATTGAAGATCCCCACTGTACTAGATCGACTAAGTAGGAAGCAATTCGCCGTGGAGCTGAAACTCGAGAATAATACAAAACGACCGGTTAGCCATCTAGCTAGACGCTCAGCGCTCAGCGGCCAGCCACGCCCGTATAAAATGCGTCTAGGGCCAAATGCCCTTCGTCTTTATCTCTCTCGAGCGACCTCCACCAGTCTCCTTTACCCACATCACCCTATACCCACGTACCATACCTCAGCCTATCATGCGCACTTTCTCTTACATTCATCGTCCCCGCCCTCGGCCTCCTCAACATGGGCGTGAACGGCGCGACTATCGCCAACGTCCTGACCGCCCGGCACCCCACCCAGCTTCAAGGCGCCCCTGCGTTTGGCCGTGGCCTCGCTCTCAACCTTCGCTAGGTCCACAACGCTGACTTCAGCTCGAACACCGCGTCCCCGCCAGCTGGTGCTGCTGCCCCTGCTAGCGACCCTGCTCCTGCTGAAGTTGAGCCTGCTACTGCTGCCATCTCGGCGAGGCGCGATGTCAAGTTAGCCTCAGTATGTAGTCGTTCGTCAGCCACCCAAGATACATTATTCTGATCGTTCTTTCTTGTAAGCAGAATCCTACGATTCGCAAGGTTCACGTTCACGCCCGTCAGGATTTGAATGACCCCATCGTCGACACAACCACCGACACTGACTCAGCGGACGCAGATGACGACGACACCGCCGCCGAAGCCGATCCTGACGTCGATGGTGCAGCTGCAGACACAACAGACACCACAGCTGTGACTCGTGCGGTTCACGCACGTCAAGATGAAGATGATACCGTCGACCCAACCACCGCCAACGATTCAGAGGACGCAGATGAAGGTGCTGCTACCGAAGACGAGTCCGGCGTCGAAGACGCAGCTACAGAGGTGACGGAGACCGCAGACGGCCCTCCGGCCGCTCAAGTCTCTGACGTGGAATCCCTCGACACCCGCGGCCAATTTTCCACGGACAACAACTCATCCGATGTTGGGGGTTTAAAGGGTCTGGCGACATAAGCAACCTTGGTGACACTGTTAATAACGCTGAAGCCAGAGCCGGAGTCCCGCCTACGGCATAAAGGCGCTCGGTCATGAAGGAACTAGGCCGTCGGGAAGTCGCTGCCGTCGACACCGCCGTCGGAGGTCTTCCTGCGAATCAGTTAGCGCGTTAGAGTGTCGGGGACAAATTTGGAGGTCTGACTTTGGGGCAGGCTTTTTATGGTTCCTTATTTTCTTTATTTTCTCCCTCACGCGATTCATTTTATTTTATTTATTTAGTGGCAGAATGTATTTCAGAGTAGTCTCCGTTTGTATCTAGAGGTGAGGCCTTGAATCTTTGAGGCCGTTCGGATTCCCTATCGGGAAGGCCACTTGTGGTTGGCCCCTTTCTTTCAAGTTGGGGCGTATTGGGCGCCTTCAAGACACTGCACAATACACATCTCCCCGAACTCCCACTATTGCTCTGGTGTCTCCATTCTCTTGTCTACCTGTCGTTCATCGTCTGACCACGGGCCAATTCCCTCCCGTTCCCGTGTCACTCTGTAGCCTTGTGTCCGCAGCGGGCTGATCCCCGGCGTTGGCATCTTGCACTTGACCATCGTATAAACCTGGCCCGAAAGACATCCTGCACTCTCTCAACCATATAAAGCCACCTGTTTTCCTTCTGTACCAATGCCCTCAACTATGTTCGACAAAGTAAAGTTCCGCCCAGGCTCGAGCCCAAAGGACACTGCTTCAACATCGAAGCCAGACGACGCGTCCACAGTTCCCCAACCCTCCAGGACCTCAAATCCACAGGACTCAGACACCTTGCCAGAAGGATGGGAGCGTGCCACCGACCCGCAAGGGCGCACTTACTACCTCGATCATCGCAGGAAGGTCACTTCATGGGAGCGTCCTACGAAAGCTTCCCCACTCGACGAGTCGAACGATCCTCTGCCTCCGGGGTGGGAGACCCGAACGGACCACAAGGGCCGCACGTACTACATCGACCACAATACGCGCACAACGACGTGGATCCGCCCAACCGAGGACGACGACAAGACGCCTCTGCCTACGGGCTGGGAGGTGCGCTGGTCCCAGGCGACCCAGTGCGTGTACTATGTCGACCATAATACAAAGACGACGTCGTGGACGGACCCCCGGAAGGATAAAAAGTACATGGACGACCCACACGCGCAGTTCCTCAGGAAGATACAGTATATGCATCGGATGCGGAGGAGCGAGATCTTGCCTCGTCATTTTGAGATTAGGGTGAGAAGGGACAGGGTGTTCGAGGATAGCTTTGCGGCCATTGGGAAGGCTATACCCGATGAGCTGAAGCGCCATCTGTTGGTCATCTTTGAAGGGGAGACCTTGTCAAAGGCAATCGCTCTGAGGTGCGTTTAGTTCGTTTCTTCGAGGAGTCGCCCTGCTGACATGTTACATTTGATTAGACAATGGTCCGAACTGATACTGCAGAAGGTCTTCGATCCTGAATTTGGGCTCTTTATCGATTCCAACGGCACCCTGAAGATTAGCCCCACATCGAACAAACTTGCTAACCATCTTGAATACCTCAAATTCCTCGGACGAGTTTACGTGCTTGCCATCCTCCATGGATTCCTCATCGACTCAAGAATGGTGCCAATATTCTATCCTCTCGTCGGGCCCAAGTCAGACATCTCCGACGTTCCGCAGTTCATATCTGTCGCGGCTGCAGACAAGATAGCGACATGGTACGTAGATTGCCTGCTGTCAGCGCTGCTTATGCTTGGCTCTGACTTGGCCTCATGTTGACAGCACACTTGAGGGTAAAGGAAAGCAAGTATTGAAGACCTCCACTGTACTGGATCGACGGAGTGGGAAACCCTTCGCCGTGGAGCTGAAACTAGAGGGCAATAAATACAACTTCGTTCGGCAGGAAGACCAAGACGAGTTCTTGGACGCGGCTATGGCACATCGGGCTTCAGGTGGATATGGTTCGCAGCTAAGGGCGTTTATGGATGGCGTATGGGGTCTTCTCCGACGGAGGGACGCCTTCCTCGCGTATTCCCAGGCCGAGCTCGAGAAATTTATTGGCGGGGTGTCTGAAATCGACTTGTGAGCATTCAATTACCCCTCCTCCCTTCCTCCTTGAACCCGTGCTCAATTTCCAATTCCCTCGCTTCCGCTCCATCCTCGTTTTAGGGACCAATGCCAGAAGCAAAGCGAGCTAGACGAGCCGGAGGGGAGCAGACCAGACAAGCACCTCGAGTGGTTCTGGAAGATCGTCCGCTCCTGGCCCGACGAGCACCGACACGCCCTGCTCGTCTACGTGACTGGCCTCAAGCGCGTGCCTGCAACGGACCAGTTCAAGGTCCTCAAGGCCTCGGACGGGACCTTCCGTCGCCTCACCGTCCTGGGTAACAAGGAACGAACCGTGCCCGACAAGGACGAGGACACCCCGGAGCATATTCTCTTCATTCCAGGGTTTGACACGTACGAGGCCATGGAGGAGAACTTGCGGTTTATTATCTACAATAGCGACTGGGTGAGATCCGTTTCTTTGGGGCAAAGCATAATTGTGACTCATGCATTGCGTTCGCGTTTTTGGGGCATAATAGCAGGAGTCCACGTTGATTTCGGATTTCGAGTTCCTTACGGTGACCAAGTTACCGCGGTACAAGCCTGGGGCGTGGAAGACGAAGAATGCAACTACAGCTGCAGAATGAAGGGTCACTGGTTGTGGGTATCACTAATTTGCTGCTAACAAGTCATAGAATGGTTCAACTATTGCACTTACGATTACACTCTATTTACGTCTGTCGTCACGACTCTCAATTGCTATCTAACTGTTGTCGTTTCTCGTATGTATCTTGTCGCGCTGGAATGGAAGTCTAACTTTAAGCTTGTTTATGTATTCATTTGCGCTAAAGTTTTCATTTCTGTGGCGCACTATTGTATCGACAGGTGTTCAAAAGGAATGCTACAGATCGTCTCGATGTCCAGATGAGTACGAAAGCCAATATGGGACGAAATCTGAAGTCGATATCTACATAAAAATACAGTGAGGGTGGGGTTTGCAGAAGATACAGCAAGTGCCATTAGATGAAGGGCAGTATGTGAATGTGCAGTTGGTTCGTGATATGTGACACAGATGGATGGATGGAGAACGAATTAGGTAGACATCTAATATAATCGTCATGCAGTCATGAGGAGCATTCAGTGCAGCCCGAAGTGACAGAAAGAAAAAAAGAAAGAGGAAGGTCATGAAGAGTCAAAACATCAGATAGCATACGCAGTGAATGGGTTCGTCTGCACGCTCTTGCGCAAGCCTGCCTCGCTCGGCATGTCAATGCGCACCCGATGCTCGTCATCAAACGGCGTGATAAAGGGGTTGAGCGCACCAGAGCTCCTCCGTGCGTGGGTCGTCGTTAGCAGCCTTGTCACGGGCGTGATTGATAAGTCGCCGCTCGCCTTAGGCGTTAGTGTCTGCCTGGAGTTGGTCGAAGGAACCAACGACGTTGCGCTGGAGGAGTAGGCCGAGTCGCCTGGGACGGCATTTGTCACTCTCCACTGCTGAGCACCCATCGATGATGCACGTCGGTGTCGGTCGCGGCGGTCATCACGAGGCGGCGGGGCAAGGGCGGTACCGTACTGGAGAGTGGCTGGGGATTTAGGCGGAGGCGGTGGCGACGAGGATTCGTGTCTTCTCCTCTGGCTCTGCGAGTGAATGTTCTGGAGCTCTGGATGTCTTGGAGGTGAAGGAAGTTGCCTCCGCTGCTGCTGTTGGCTCTCAAAGCCATTATACAGCGGCATGGGCAGGACGGCGTGTGCTGGCTGTGTGGGCGACATGAAGGGATCGTCATACATCGGGCCCACGTCAAGTGGGACGTCCGAAGTCTGTTGCTTCCGGATAGGAAGGCCAATGGGTGGGTGTGAATATGCGGGGGGATGCGACGGCGTCTCCGGCTCCTGCGAGACGACGACCGTCGGGGGTGCTGGAGTCGTAGCAGGCGTCTTCTTCGTCGGTGACATGATGTTCATCCAGTTCGGCTGTTGAGCCTCTCGAGGCGACGCCGACCAGCGTGATCTGGTGGCCTGCTGCTCCTGCATCTTCTGCATCTGGCTCTGTCGTGGAGGAGGGCCGTACTTGTCGATACCGCGTTGAGTGTAGATGTGCAACTTGGGCTTCGGCTTTGAATTGTCATGCATCGCGGTCCGGTCCCAGAAGTCGACAGAGTCATTGTCCGAAGAATCCTTGCTGCCGTCCTTGTCATGGCTCTTGCGACCGAGGAGAGCACCGATCTTGCCTGTCCAGGCGGTGTTGGTGTTGGTGCGTTCCTTGGTCTCAAAAGGCTGAACAGCTGGTGGGGAAGGAGAAAGAGGGGCAGAGAGCTCCTCGTTGGTGCTATCACGCATCAGCTTGGGCTCTCTGCCCATCGCCTTGCGTCCAATAGCGAGCAGCTTGCCAGACTTCTTCTGGGGTGGTGGAGGCGGAGCTTCCCAGGCGGGGTGACCAACACTCTCGACAGATGCCTGAGGAGAGGAGCTGTTGTTACCCACTGGCGAGTTCGCCCTCGAGCCCCAGAAAGGCTTGAACACGCTCCGGCGGGGCGAAGGAAGAGGCGAGAACGACCTGAACTCCCTCTGCTTCTCGTCGCTTGCACGAAGGGCACCAGTCGACCCATTGCTGCCAACACCAAAAGGCGAAATGCCACCAATGCCCAAGCGTTGCTCAGCCTGGTACTTCCGCCTGCCCCTCTTCTCGAGGTACGGGCGACCGTACGAGTGCCAGAGGACAACACTGAGACCCATGAGGATGACCACACCCCAGAGTGCGAGGAAGATCGCGAACATGACACGCTCTTTCTTGAGCGCCTCAGCGTACTTGAGCACCAGCCTGCCAATGAGGCCCTCATCGTTGCCTTCACCACCACCGAGGGCCGCAGCCGCTATAGGCTGTGAAGCCTCGTCGACTGACTCGGGCGAGAGAACAAGTACGGTCTGGTTCATGCGGGGCATGTCGACGTGCAGGTTATTATGCAAGAACGTGAGCGCGCTCTCGATGGCATCGACTTTGCTTCCAATGAAGCAGCGGAGGAACTCGTTGGCGGGGCTCTCGAGGATTGTGCCATTGAAAACAGTGGCGACGGCGTTCTGGATATCCGAGTAGAACTCGTTAATGGTGGTATTGAGCGTGGTCGTGGTGCCATTGACCCAGCCGAAAACACCTTCATTGATCGAGGTCTGGATGCCGTCGACGCGCCCATTGACCTCGTTGGCGTAGAGCACCGACTGGTTGTACATGCTCTCGTTGATGCTCTCGGCGATGGTGCCGGAGAAGTCGGTCACAGCTGACGCTGCGCGGCCCTTGTACTTGGCTACAAGCGGACCCATGGCCATCAGTTGGACTTGAACGCACAGCAGACCGAAGAAACCGATCAAGAAACAGGCAAGGGCAGGCGCGTGGAAGATGTAGTTGAAGAACCACTGCATGTGGGTGTGTTGGGAAGGAGACAGGCGCAGGCGGGCTGAAATCTGGTTCGTGATTCTCGTGATCAGAGGGTGTTCAGAGCTGGCGTTGAGCATCATCAGGTTATGGTTGCTGAGCGTAATTTGAGGCGCGGACGAAGTAGACTTGGTGTGGAGCATTGTAGGATCGGTCGACCAGGCTTGACGAGTGTACTCGAGATGATTCTTCAGGCATCGCCACTTGTACCAGGTGAGGAGGCAGTTGAGACCGATGAGAAGGAGGGCAACAAGGATGAGAATGACAACTCCAATTTTTGCGGCCTTGATGAAGTCGCGGCCGATATCATCAATAACGGACATGTCGAGCTGACTGCAGAAGGTAAGGCGGTTTCGCTGGGGAACAGGCATAAGCTCTGGCTGGAAAGAAATTCCCGCGAAAGTGTCGTTGATGTCTTTCTTCACAAGCTCAAACGGAGTGCTAATTCTGTGGGACATATAAGCCAAAGGTATGCGGAGAGAGATTGCCAACTTACACATCCTCGACCTTGTCCTTGAGTTGAGCAACAGAAGGGAGTGAAGCATTAAGATTCGTAAGTGCCTGCTCGAACGCGGCTGGTAGGGAAACATTCTGGAGACCGTCCAGATTTGGGACAGGAATTTGAGGAGGTGTGATGTCGTCAAAGGGATTAACTCTGTTAATCGCATCGATAGCGCTCCTGATGACATTGTTGGCAGATGCGATGTCGTTCTGAATGTTTGTCCTTAGGGCAGTTGTTACAGTTTGGACAAGTTGGTTGACCTTAAGACAGAGTTAACGACGACGATGTGAAGGGATGGGCAATACACACACCTCTTGGACAGCAGCAATAATAAGAGCAAGTCCACCTCGCACAACTAACTCCAGGAAGCACAGAAGTGTTGACCGATATAGATCGATGATGAAGTTGATGATCGCTTCCATTACAGTAAGGGATAGGACGAGTGCTGCACGAGCGGCATTCATGGATCCATTGACGGCGTCCGCGAACTGCTTGTTGGTGGCAAGGGCGAGATAGCGTGGCATGCTAGCAGCGGAAGTGGCTGCCTCCTCCGCGGCCTTGCAGCTAGCAATGAGGTCGTCCTTCGCGCTGGCCACCGCGTCCTGGGCATCGGCGAGCGAGATCTGGAGTCGGAAGGCAACGAAGATAAGGGAAAGAATGGGGTACGCAAGCCATGTGAGTGAGAGGAGGTGTGGCAGTTGGAGGTAGGGCGTGAGGGTGGTGGTCATGAACGATGTAGCGAGTGTCGAGCGAGCGTCGTAAGTTGGGGGAGGGATATTCCAGTTTGTGGCGGCAGCCATGGAGGTCGACCGGCGACGACGCGGAGGAGGTATAAGAGAAGAAGGGGGCGAAGCAGGCGGCCATAGAGCCTCTTTTGAGAACAGTGCTCTCGGCGTATTGTCCCTCCATTGACGCGACACAATACAGAGCTTTGTTCTTCAAATCCGGACAATGCCCGGTCTTATTGTGACGGTACGTAACATGTGTCACGTGTCACTACAGTCAGGGTCACCTCTCCTTTTTCGGCGGGTGCGCCACCGTCCTCCGTGCACACACAACCAGTTTCCCTTCTATTTCCCTCAAAACGTCGCCTAAAAATAAGTTATATAGGTATGACGCGCTCCTGTTATCTCACATACCTTCCAGCTGCACATCTACGCGTCAGAATACAGATCCATTCTAACCCACGTGCAGCGCGTCCAACGGTTCCCACATTCTCCGGCCGGCTGCCACATAGGCTTTGTCTTTCGGACTTGATGTCATGTCGACGGAGGACAAACGCCTTTCCTCTTTTTGTGCACAGCTACCCAGCACTAACGTCGTCGTCGTCGTCAATTCGTCGGGCGAGAACATATTAGTGAATGGGTCATGAATTGGATTTCATTCATAAAAATGTCATCAAGTAAATAAAATATCCAGAATGCGAAGTGGTATGCCAAAGCGTATGCGGACCAGACTGTTCTAGTCAACCCAGAGGGTATTCATATTTTTGTTCGGCGCCTCTATAACGGCGGGCTTGTCCCCCGTCTCCTCAACTCGTGCCTCACTTCGTCGTCTGTGTCCTCCATATACGACCCCGCGCGCGAAACAGCAGGACTGGTGGTATTAGCACGGACAGGCTGTGCCAGCGCAGGCTCCGCAAATGCTTCTCGTAGACGAGCAGTCGCTTGTCGTTGGACCTGCAAAGATAACAAAAGACGCCCATCAATCCACAAGACACAGGCAACAAAGTACAAAGGCTGCGGGACTTACTTCAGCGCCCACCGACCTCAACACCTGGAACAGCGGTCCGACGAGACCTAGCTGGATCGTAATGTACCTAACCCACCGGAAGGTGAGAAGAAAAAGGACAACCATGTTAACTCCGGCCCACACAATGAAACCTGTCAAAACCCGAAGCGAGGGGAAGCGAACTTACGAAGCAGCCAACGCGAACAACAAGAACATGAAGTACATCGGGTTGAAGAGCACCGCCATCGCCTCGTTCCAACCCAGAACGACGAGCACACCGTACATCCAGTACGGAATCTGCGCCACGCTGGAGACGGTGCTCCGCTTCGCCTCGACATAGTATGCGTCAGCGTCTTTCCGGAACTTATTCGTTAGTTCTAGCGACTTCGTCTCGGAGAACACGACCAGGGTGGAGGCGAAGTCGAACTCGTCTGTACCGGCAAGGACATCCGATGACTCCGAGGGAAGCTCGAACTCTAGCGAGGGGTCGGTGGGGGCAATCTTGGAGTACAAGGGGACGAGTTCGAGAGTCTAGAGAAATACAAGGCATTGATATTTTCCCTTTAGAAAGATAACAAGAACCTACCTGATCCTTCGCCTTCTTGAACGCGCCATCAATATCATCGTCAGGTTTCCACACCCGCGGAACGCCTTGCTCGTCATACCGGAACCGTTCCTCGAAGTGGTTGCGCAGCTTGCCGAGGAACACTGGCTCTGCAGTCTGCTCGTCAATCTTCGCTCGAAGCACAAGCCAGGCGCGTTTGCTGAGAGCAGCCAATGATGATATGTTCTCTTCCTCTGTGCAGTCGAAGCCTGAATAAAATCAGTATGACTGGAATATTTTTCGAGAGGTCGACTCACTCTTGGCCTTGGTCGAGTACGCTGCCTCAGCCTTCCCAAGCACCTCTCGGAATGAACGCAGAATCTCGTCCCACATATCCTTCGAGGCCTTGTTCAAATGCAACTCAACAGGCTCTGAGAGGTGTTTCTTGATATTCCGCTGTAAAGCCAGGAAAACATCAACACCCGCCTCCTCAGCAAAACCAGAATACAACGCACCTCAATCTGGTTCAACATCTTCTTCGTCTCATCCTTCCTGCACTGATCCGCCACGACCCCAATCTCTTCCTTCAACAGTGCAAGCTCGTCCTCCCAGCCCCACTTTGTCGTATCTTCTTCTACCATCGCCTCTTTTGCGCCATCTGCGAACGTCCCTTCGCACTTTCTGCGTGCCTTGCCCACGACGTCAGCGAAAGAGTATTCCTCCCCACGCAGACCGTCGAGCATCTCCTTCTTGAACGTGACGAGGCATGATTTGTGCAGGTTCTTGAGCTGTCCGAGGAAGAGTGGTATGAGGGTCGCGTCGAGAGCAGAGATGAGGTCACCGCGTTTGCGGGTGTAGACGCCCTTGTGGTACCGGGAGGCATCGCGGTCGTAGCGGGCTAAACAACAACACGCGACAGTCTGTCAGTAAGTCTCGAGAACGAGAGGTTTGAAACTCACTAAGAGCAGTCGTCTTCCAGTCCTTCATCATAGCACCCAGTCCCTCCACAACCTTTCCAGCCTCGACAGGTCGCTTTTGCGACTTCGCCTGCTCGTTGAACTCTGACAACGCCACAGCCGAAATTTCATCGCATCGGAACTGAGCGAGGAGCTCCTGCTGTGTAGGCAAATCAAGGTCCTTGTTCGTCTGCACCTGCTCCCAGATGCCCTCCATATAAAACGGCACTCCATCTGCCGGTATCCGCTTATGATACACTGGCTTGAACAGGTAATCTGGATTGCTCTTATCCGCGAAGCGTTTCCTCAGCTCGGCGACCTCTGACTCAAACTTGTCCGCAGAGAGGATCTTGTGTGGTAGGGCGGTGAATGCGAGGTCGAAGTAGTCGGAGAGCTGGCGGTCTTTGAGCTCGGAGGGCTTGCTGAGACTATCCCAGATGCGGCTAAGGTCGGCGGTGAGTGTGGCTTGGAGGTTGGCGAGCGGGGTTTGCCCGATGTGGTCCCGGATGACGAAGAGGAGGAGAGTGCGACCACTTGTTCTGTGGGAAGAATTGAGGAAAGGGCAAGCGTGAAATGAGGAAGACAAACCCGTCAGAGGCCTTCTTGCCGAAGAGGCCCAGGTTGACCTCGAATACGGTCTTGAGCAGACCCATGTTGGCACCTTGGTAGAGACCGACTTGGTGCTCCCAAAGATTAACTATGAGGATTTCTGACGACGCGAGCGAGAAGAGGGCGGATTTGCGTTCGAAGTCCTAGTGAATGCATGGCCAGTTGACAAGAAGTTTTAAGATTTGGTTGATGGTAATACGCACCTGGTCCTCTCCACGCTCCCGTCCGTCTGTACCTTCCACATCCATAACCATGACGCTCATGTCCTTCCCGCGACACATCCAGATACCTGCAAGGACTTGTTATTCCATATTGAAACAAGAAAGTCGTACTATACTCGCCTTTGGTGGTCTGTTGCCGCTTCGTTTCGTCCATGACGTCGAATGTGGTCCCGAAGAGCCTGTTCAACAGTGTACCTGCACAACACGTTGGTTAAACTTGCTCCCACACGCTACCTCTGCGACTCGAACACTCACTCTTTCCCGTAGATTGTGAACCAAACACCGAGACGATGTTGTATCCGAACCCAGAATCTAGCAACCCCCATTTCTCTATTTGTTCCTTCAGGTTGGATCTGCCAACAGAACACGCGCGGGTCAGCACAACGTCAGGAGAACCAACAAGGCGAGAGACACTGACGTGAACTTCTTCTCCTCATCAACAATCTGTATGCGCTCCGTGCTCGCGCCGAGCGAGGTGGAGCCACCGTGGCCATTCACGGTGACGGTGGTGCCGTTTGGCTGGGGTGATGACATAGGGGAATTTGCGCGGTTCGTGGGTCAAGAAGAAGGGAAGGTGGTATCTCGAGGTTAAGGTATGTACAGTTGAAGTCGTTAAGAAAGGCTGCGGAGATGTAATTGGCGGCCTGAGGAGACGAAGCCTGCAGCTGGAGCGGTGGTGGTGTTGGCGGGAGGCAGACCTGGCCAGAAATGGGTCCCAACTTTTGACACGTGGTTTCTTGCACCTTGGTCCTGCCCAGTGCCTCCCCGTTCCCGAACGCTCGTTGTTCGTGATACTCTGCGCTGTCGGCTCTCGTTTCAATATCAGAAAAGATACGTGGTGTATCGTACATGTTTCATGCTCGCTCCGCGGTAATGCACTCCAACGATAACGCATTTGCATACCTCTGAATAGCCTTGAACGCGTGTAGATGGCATGGACGCGCATTCTCCCACTTTCATCCGATCCTCCTGTTAGCATGTCTGCACGGTCTAGACGTCTATCCCCCAGTCCCATTGGAGAGCAGATAGACGCGTCAAGACTACGGAATAGTGCGTTTTCCACGAACCAACGCTCAGACTTACAGAATCATTCACTTTTTGAGCCCACGCTTCAATTACACTCATGATCATACGCTTTCACTCTGACCGATTTATCCCTCCTTCGGTCGGAAATCGGTATCCCCGAGCTCTGTTTCTTGCGATGGCCATCTTTTGGCCAATGCCTGTCGTGTTTGCCAGTCAATTCCTCTGTGCCACGGGTCGTTCCCGTTGCCACAGGAGCAGGCATCTGCATCATTCCCCGCTCTTGATAAATTTGGCATTCGATGGCTTGTCGGGCCTCGGCTACTCATTTCCTTTTATCCTTCCCAGCCCAAACCGGAAGGGCAGCTCTGGTTCAAGGTGCAGTTTCTTTGAGCGTACGTACTCCCGTCTGCGAACACGTCTATATATCATGTATCCCCGCTCATCCTCAGAAATTGAATGCTTCATCGACTCTCAGATTTATTTTTAGTCCTCAGTGTCAAATCTGCGCGAGTCCTTCGGCGATCAATCGACGGACCTGTTATCACACCAGGCGAATAATCTTCAAGCTAAATATACTACGTCAGGTGGACGCTACCGGGAACTCTCATTTGCGTTATAACCCTCGAATGCCTTCCAAAGAATCCAACCCTCCTTTCTCTTGTCACTTGGGCCCAGGCTCGAAAGGCATGGACAAGGGCTACTTCACGCAGTCCAAGCTCCTCTGGACGCCCAAGGAACCACGCAACACTTCCGTAGACATATTTCGACAAAATATCAACAGAAAGCACGGCTTGAACCTCAGTACGCCTTGCGTCTCGTTGTGATAACGCTCTAGGTTTATGTCCCCGATACAGAGGACTACCATGATTTACACAGATACTCTGTCGAGGACTACGCGTTCTGGCTCGACCTCTGGGAGTTCCTCGGCATCGTGTCGTCTGTACCTCCCAATAAGGTCAGCTCGTGCAGGATCATACCACACCTGAATATGACTGAACTTGCTTCGATTCACAGGACAAGATCCTGAAACCCGGAAAACTGCTTCCAGAAGTTCCTTCTTGGTTCCCTGGGGCGCGACTGAACTACGCCGAGAACCTCCTTCTTCGAAAGGATGATGGCATTGCACTCACGGAAGCCGGAGAAATAGGGATTGTGAAGTATGTCACGTACCGGCAGTTGAACGAACGCGTCCGCGCGATGGCTGCTGCGCTGCGTGTCAATGGGTTGAAGCCAGGTGATCGCGTCGCAGGTCAGTCGCGTCCTGTCAGGAAAGTGAACCTAGACCTCATTCAGGGAGTCTGGGACAGCTATCATGGCTAACACAAGCGCTGCAGTCGTGATAGCTATTGCAACCGCCAGCGTTGGAGGCATTTTCTCAAGCACGGCCACTGACATGGGAACCCAAGTAAGCCAATAAATCAAAAGGAGCATTGGATGAAGCCTCGCTGACTCTGCCGCGCTTTTGGAGGGCTTGCTGGATAGATATCGTCAAATTCAACCTAAGTTCATCTTCGCGGAAACAGAGATCCAATATTCGGGAAAGCGCGTCGACCTCCTCCCGAAAGTTACTAAGGTCATCAAAGATCTCTCCGATCAAGGGCTTGAACGGGCCATCCTCCTGCCTAGCAGGCTCTTTGGACGCGAGCTCCTTATTCCAGACATGTCGAATAGGTGTTGTTGGCGCAGTGGTGGTGGTTGGTGGTTAAGACACGATTAGCATTTAGCGCCCGTTGAGAGGGCTTATATACCTACGTACAAAGTAACTAGAATATTCTAATAAATACTATTATAAGTAATTGTCCATTAAGGGAAATAAACGAGAATGTACTCGAGGAGTCGGGAGACGACTCTTCGAGGGCGGAATGTCCGAGTACCAACTACTCGGTTCTATTCCGACAGGTGTGTAAATGTTGCTTGGCACTCATGCAATCCTGACATTCAAATTACATTTCTGTAGTTCGCCTATGGCGGAGTTCCTTAAATCCGACGATGGGCGCAAGCTTGAATTTGAGCAACTGCCCTTTGGCCATCCTTTGTGCATCCTCTACAGCTCAGGCACCTCTGGGAAGCCGAAATGCATAGTACATTGCGCCGGTGTACGTTTCCCCATATCCTGAAAATCTGTTTGCTCTCATTTAAATTCAACCAGGGCGTGCTCATGAACACGAAAAAGAACTTTAAGTTTGGGTTCGGTGGATCATTTGACGATGTTTACTTCCAATATACGACTGTGACTTCCGTTCCTCCTTCGTGGCTTCCTCTGAAGTCTAACGCGAAGATAGACTGGCTGGATGTTGTGGAACTTTATGCTTGTTGGTCTTTCGTGCGGCTGCCGCCTGGTGCTCTACGACGGATCGCCTTTCTACCCAGACATCAAGACTTACCTCAAGTTCGTCAGTGACCAAGGGTACACCCTCGCAGCCATGTTCTGTGTGCAATATCTGCTAATTACTGTGTGCATGTCACTCTAGTGTAACAAGATGGGGAACGGGTCCGCGCTTCTTGGCTGAAGTACAAGGACGGGGAATCAAGCCGCGTACGTTTCCAGTGCACTCGGAGCCTCTGCCCAGAGTATTGACGCTGTGAAGTGGAAGTCGCCTCTTTTGGAGGTTTGGCTAATATAACAGTCACTGGTGCCATTACAACCGCTCCAATGTTTCAATGGGCTCAAGAGGCGTTCGGAAAGCACGTCCATTTCGTATCGACCTGCGGCGCGACTGATATCTGTGGAGCGTGTACGCTGCGTTCTTCCTTCTTCAGATCCTGTCTCTGATCATATCGTTGTTTCTCTAGTCGTGACTGGTACGGCCAGCTTGCCTGTTTACGCTGGGGGTAAGATGGCATTTGGGCGCTTGTTTCCGTTCTTGATGATCTCACCCGACGCGCAGAAATTCAAGTTAAGGACCTTGGAATGAGAATCGAGGTCTGGGATCCATTCGGGAAGAACATTGAGCACACAGGCCAGCCTGGTGAGCTTGTCTGCACGCGTCCCCATCCCTCCTTGCCCATCAAGTTCTGGGGAGACGAGAAGGGAGAAAGGCTAAGAGACGCATATTTTAGTACATATCCAGGTAAGTGCCACCTCGCTCATCTTATTAACGGTCGATTTTGATAAATATCACTAGGCGTCTGGAGGCAAGGCGACTTCATAGTAAGCAACCCTGTCACCAAAGGAATGCAGGTACTCGGACGGAGGTGTGCAATGTTTGATTTTCTGCGTAAACCATTTCTTATCCCAGTGCCATTTAAGCGATGGCGTCTTGAACCCCAGCGGCGTCCGCTTCGGGTCTGGGGAAATATACACTGTCATGGAGCAGTTCTCGGACATCGTCGACGACTCTCTTTGTATTGGACAACGCCGTCCTGAGGATAAGGATGAACGCGTCCTCCTTTTTCTGAAAATGCGCTCTGGAAACAAATTTAGTCCTAAGCTCGTTGCGACAATAAAAGACGCCATCAAGGAAGGGCTCAGCGCACGACATGTGCCATCTTATATTTTCGAAATAGCTGATATTCCGGTTTGTGCACTCCCATAACTCACTCTGATCTAGGTTGAGATTCTAACGGTTATGTGCAGTATACTGTCAACGGCAAGAAGATCGAAATATCCGTCAAGCAAATCGTCTCTGGATCTAATCTGCAGCCGAGCGGCACGGTCGCGAACCCGGAGGCGCTTCAGCTATACTACAAGTATAGAGATATTGAAAGGATTGTCGGCGACGCCAGGTCTAAATTGTAGGTCGTACAATTGACCAAGTTTGCTGGAGGCTTGCAAGTAACTTGCAATTGGTAGAGAATTTGGATACCGTGACCTTTTTTGGAATATATTGCCATTCTTGGTTTCCTAGTATGACTGTCGCAGCGTGCAATCCTGAGTCTGATGACCAAGCGCACGCGATTTATATAAGTTCCTTTTCAAAGCACTTTACTCCCCGAGTCGATATCCAGAGACTAACCCCGCGAACGGTTCCGATTCAGAACTCTGGAGCACAGCGGCCCGCATCCGGGCCGCTGCTACACAATCTAAATGTGATGACGCATCATGATCCTGCCTCAGGCCTTCCTCTCCTTCGAGGTTTCATGGCCTCATTCATCACCGTCTGCACCCACGGCAGTCTTCAGGATACATATCGGCGAGCTCTTGTATCAATCTATCTATCCACAAATTTCACAGAGACGTTATTTCGAGTCTGATGTCAGCCAACCGCATAGAGGGGAAGAGACACATGGAACAGTGGGAATGGCTCGTAAACCGGTCGTGCTCACCAGACCAGAGTGAGCGAGCTTCAACTTCAAGCATCCAGCTGATGTGATGGAGGTCGTGGGCTATCAACCTCGAGCTCTAGCCGCTTGTCTTGAAAGCCATTCTATCTGAGTATGATTGCTACGATGAATGAAACGTATGGGTATTCTTAGCATTTGACGCGGGTTACTCGAGTCCCAATGTGGTGCAATCTAACCCACTCTCGCGCAGAGATCGATATTATTTAAAGCTAAAGAAGGTCCAAGCTTGAGTCAGGTGAGCCTTCTCTTCTCCTTATAATCACCAATCATTCAACGACCTGCCACTACCCACCGCCATCCTTGTCGACTCTATCACGTCTCGCCATTTTCCTCGAACGATGGACAACAATTACTTCGCACAATCAGGACTTCTTTGGACGCCTGCTCAGCCTCGCAGAAGCGCTGTTGAAGTCTTGCGCAGAGAGATCAACAGAAAGTATGGATTGCAATTGAGTGAGCTTCTCTGAATCGAACATCCGAACGTCGTGCTTATTCGGACTCTGATAGAGGATTACTATGATTTGCACGAGTACTCCATTGAGAACGATATGTTCTGGGTCGATCTCTGGGAGTTTCTTGGTATCATATCGTCCGTTCCTCCTCGTAAGGTCAGCAGTGCAATGATGGCATGATTTTAGATGGTTGGGCTCAAAGCGAACCTCCACAGGATCAGATCTTGGAGCCTGGACCACTACTACCGGAAATTCCATCCTGGTTTCCTGGTGTCCGTCTGAACTACGCCGAGAACTTGCTCTACCGAAGGGACGATGGGATCGCTCTCACTGAAACAGGGGAATCTGGCGTCGTCACTCACGTCACCTTCAGGGAACTTCATGAACGTGTACGCGTCATGGCGGCCGCCCTACGAGTGAATGGGTTGAAAGTCGGCGATCGCGTGGCAGGTTCGTGACATCTTTTCTGAGCTTGAACGCCATGCTCTAAACTGCGCAGCTATTGTAACAAATACTAGCAATACCGTAATCATAGCGCTTGCGACCGCCAGCATTGGTGGTATATTCTCAAGCACAGCGACTGACATGGGAACTCAAGTACGTCTCCAAAGAACAGTGGGTGAACCTTCTTTCTAAACCAAGTATATGCAGGGTGTCCTTGACAGGTACCGCCAAATCCGACCCAAGTTTGTGTTCGCCGAGACGGAGGTCTTGTATGCTGGGAAACGAGTCGATCTCGTACCCAAAATTCAGGAAGTTGTTAAAGATCTTTCGACGCAAGGAATGAAACGCGCGATTCTTTTGCCCAGTCGTATCTCCGGGCGCGAGCTGCTTATTCTAGACATGTCAAAGAGGTGAGCAAAACTAGAGTTGGGGCACAGCATCACCAGGGTTAACATAACATGATAGCTCAACCCTGGCCGACTTCTTGAAGGTCGACGATTGTCGCGCACTCTCTTTTGAGCAGCTGCCTTTTGGTCAGCCTTTGTACATTCTCTATAGCTCTGGCACTTCAGGAAAGCCGAAATGCATCGTGCATTCTGCTGGAGTGAGCCTTATGACACTCCATTGTATCGTCGACCAAACTCACTCATCGAAATCTAGGGAATCCTTCTGAATACCAAGAAGAACGTTCGACTCGGCTTTAATGCCTCCCCGGATGAGATTTACTTCCAATACACGACAGTATGATTTATCCCAAGCTCTTGTTAAGGTCCGACCATCGTGCCTTATTTCCTGTCTTCAGACAGGTTGGATGATGTGGACTTTCATGCTTACGGCGCTTTCCTGTGGGACACGTCTGATTCTTTACGACGGTTCTCCATTCCACCCAGACGTGAGGACCTATCTCAAATTTATTAGCGATCAAGGGTGGGTATTTTTCAGCGACCTCATGACCGTCGGTTCTCATCGGACTGTGCTAGCGTGACTGCATGGGGAACGAGTCCGCGTTTCATGGCCGAAGTTCAAGGACGTGGAATCAAACCATGTGCGTGGTTTCCGGATTTTCTTTGGAAAGAATCATGGAGGTCATATTTCCAGTGGAGTTGGCTTCCTTCGAGGCACTGTCCAGTCTGACAGTTACCGGCGCCGTTGTTACTTCTCCAATGTTTGAATGGATTCAAGAAGCATTTGGAAAGCACGTCCATATCGCTTCGACTAGCGGAGGGACAGATATTTGTTCTGCATGTGCGTTTGAAGCTATACTTTCAGCTGAGCTATATGTTGATACAGAACGCCATACCACAGTCGTGACTGGCACTTGCAGCTTGCCCGTTTATGCCGGCGGTAAGATCCCCGTCAGCTTTTCGAACATGATATTTCAATAACAGACGCACGAGCACAGAAATACAAGTCAAGGAGCTTGGCATGAAAGTGGAGGTTTGGGATACTGCTGGAAATAACATCGAACATACCGGTCAACCTGGCGAGCTTGTCTGCACCCGTCCCCACCCTTCTCTTCCAATCAAGTTCTGGGGAGACGAAAGCGGCGCCAAGCTCAAAGATGCCTACTTCAGTACCTATCCTGGTAAGAACCAGCGAGTTTACCTGATTCGGCACACGGTAGACGCCTAACTCGCTCTTCCATAGGCGTTTGGAGGCAAGGAGACTTCATGGTCGTCAACCCGATTACCAAGGGAATCCAAATCCTTGGGCGAAGGTAGGCATTCATGTGGTCAATATTTATTCGGGCGCCATCATGACGGGAATTCACCGCGATTTCTTCTCCTATCAAGTGATGGCGTCCTCAATCCAAGTGGCGTTCGCTTCGGTTCTGGTGAAATATATGCGGTCATGGAACAATTTTCGGAAAGTCTTGATGACTCACTCTGTATCGGCCAACGGCGACCCCAGGATAAGGATGAGCGTGTCCTGCTTTTCCTGAAGATGCGCGCGGGCCACCAGTTCACGCCTGACCTTGTTGCGAGAATCAAGGATGCAATCAGGAAAGGACTCAGCGCTCGGCACGTCCCGGCGTACATTTTCGAAGTCACGGATATTCCGGTTGGCACGCATTCGTAGTCTGGCTGCAATTCTAGCTAACGATTTTCCTTCAGTATACCGTGAACGGCAAGAAAATCGAAATAGCCGTCAAACAGATCGTTTCTGGGTCTAATATGCAACCCAGTGGCACGGTAGCGAACCCGGAGTCCCTCCAATTTTACTACAAGTACAGGGATCTGGAGAGTGTTGTCGGTGGAACAAAGGCAAAGCTGTAGGTTTGATTGAGGAGGACGTGACAGTATGTGAAGCGGTCAAGGCAGTTGTGACCCGTGATTATGTCGTAGATCAAAATTCCATTTTTGGAAGAATTTCCCTTACTCGGAACAGGGGGAGAGAGCTGCCAGTGGGGGGCGTTCGATTAGACTTCCACAAGGGTTCGTGCGTCCAACGAAGGGAAACAATGCCATGGTAATGAATGAAATTTCTGTCAATTCTTCTCTTTCTTCCTCCTATCCGTCCGATGGCAGCGCCATCGTGGGTCTTCGCAATGTGCCGTCTGACTACGTAGAACACATCGGGTACGACCGCCTGTACGGGTTCGCCACCAGGATGTCCCTGCTGCCGTAAATTGAATAGGTGTCCACAAAATGGTTAAATATTTTGACATGTCCTTCGATCCTGACCGCCATCATCGAAGAGGGCGCCCAAATGCGATGCTAGACGCAAGACCGTGTCTTCAAAATCCACACGCATCGCTGTCAGAAAAGGGAGAATGCAATTCACTCGGTTGTAAAGTCAGGTGGGAGCGGAGTGAAAAAGACTCTTGGTGGGCGTCGTAATCAGAAAACCAGATCCTGTTGAAGGCCACCCAGAGTCTCTTAAAGACCGCCCGCTGTATGTTATATTCTACCCTCTATCGCTCTCCCTCGTAGGCCACAATCAGACAGAGTAAAAGGGCCCGGCCAATTTAGATATTTCGAGGCTCCTGGTGTCCAAAATAAGCATCTCTCCCAAAAATAACCAGCCTGCAACCAGACTTGGGTACCCGAACCCACCCACTGGGAACCTGCGAAGGCGTGGCACGCCACTGAGAACGTTTGAACCAGCGGCGCACCGATTACAATCACCGTGGGTCTCATGAGTAGATACAGCAGTGCCGCGGCGGCGATTGGTCGCCACTCGAAGAGGCATGTCCACCAAAACGGGACTAGCGTGCAAGCGGTAAGGAGGAGATCGAGAAAAGGAACTTGGCAGTTGGAGTTTAGGTGTCGCAGACAGAAACTCGGACGTGTCGATAGACGACAGGAAGCGTCAGGACGTTTACGCGCTGGCAGGTGCTGGGTGGCTGCTCTAGAGTGGCAGATTTATCATGACATACGTGCGCAGGGAGGAAGTGTCAACGAGATATTAGACAGGGTTTTTGGTCAATTTTTGGTCTGCGGATTTGTCAGAGACGCAGTGGCTTCGGTGTGCAGAGAGGGTTAGAACGCCATGATCGGGACTGGGTAAACTTTGAGGTGGTTCGGTCGGTCATAAAAGGATGCGCTAAAGAACGACCAAGCATATAAGGAACCAAGAAGTAGCATAGACCATGGGGAAGAGAAGGCGCGCAGAGGTATTCATAAGTAATTTATAGGTGAATTCTCTCACCGGCCGCTCGACGACGCAGCAGACAGGGGGTCGTCGGGGTGGTTGGTAAGTCGGAGAAGCTGGCCAGCGTCACAGGGATGACAACGCAGGACGACTAAGAGATTCCGACTCGGAGATGGGACTCGCGTTCGGGGCAGTCAGCGTGTTGGCTTTCGCCGGTGGGCTCAGTGGATCGGACGAGCCTGGAGGATATAGCCAAGGATAAACTGAGTGGGCGCGCTTGGGCGACCTACGACGCCGAGTAAGCCTAAGCTACGAGTCGCTGCAGCACCGCATTGACCCGTCTTTGGAGGGCATATTCTCGGATTCAAGTTAGGCTTGCCAATTTTTAGGCTCGTTGAATTTGGGCAACAGGGTCCGCCACTGTCGCGTATGTTATTTGTGCGGGTGCTTCTCGTCTGTATAGTGATAGATCCGAATTCGTTCTTCCGGATTCTATATCCAGAAAGCTAGGAGATGTTGGTCTGTAAGGATGGCCTTCCGAACTGGATTAATCCGTTGATCAGTGTATAGTTTTGCATCACAAGTCCATTTTTGTCATCTGGAACGCGGTAGAAAAAATACCTACGGCACAATGCCTACGTTGATGACTACTCTTTGGCATCAATTGAAAGACGCACACAAGACGAGCCTGCAATTTCTGATCTGGAAGACCGTTGCAGGCTTCGATCTCCTTGTTTCAGTTCAGGTGAAAAAGTCGAGGAAGACGGAAAGATCTGTGTGAAGGAGACGCGAGTGGCGGCGACATCGTGCGTAAGAGTGCAGCCTAGGAAAAGAACATAAAGCAATTTGCAACCTGGATGATCTAAAGGACGAATGAAGTATGCGGTCGGAAGGAGTCGGCGGCGAACCCGAGAGAGCAACCTGAAGGAGAACTGGTGCTGCGCGACGCACAGGCGCCGAAGGGACCTTCGTCTCCCGAGATCTTGGTGAAATGAAAGCAAGGTTCGACACGAGCTGCAGTGGGCTTCGATCAAAATGTGAACGTGGCCGGCGAGGAGCGCAGAGGGGAGTTGGGTTGTCAAACTCGGCCAAGTAAAAAGACCCAAGACGAGAATGGCTCCTTGACCTATTTTCTGCACACTCCTATGACAGATCTGAGGCGCCCCGGCTTTAAGTGTTTAAAGGTCCCTGGCAATTACACGCTCCTGGCCACGCGAATGACGCATGAAAGTCTGGGTCGATCGCGGAGGAAGGGAGAAACAGGGCCGGGAGTGCAGAGAGCGAGGCCTAAGGAGGCGGTTTGGGATGGCCTGGGTGGGGTGTGCCCGATAAACCCTTGCAGGAAGACGGAGGAAGGCAGGAGTGGGTTCCGTGGGTTGGGCGATCTGTGTTGGGGCGGACGTGATTGCCGTAGCCACATGGCAGAGCACGTGGAAGCTGACACGTGGGCGGGCGGTATTTTGATTATGTGGTTCCTTGTTCCCCAGTCGGCCAAACTTTGGTCCCACAGAGACAGGCCCGCCTTGTTCTCCCAAACCACCACCATGCACATCTTCAGACGCTCAAAATCGACGTCCGCGAAGCAGCAGCAGCGACAGCCACAGTCTTCGCCGCCGCCACCGTCCGCCCCACCGTCCTCGTCGCGGCCCCCACTCGTCGCCCAGACCAATATCGACCTCCAGAACACCCTCTCAGCCTTTTCCTCAGTCGACAGCGACTCCTCTTCCAGTCTCTCGCCATACGAAACCTCTCCTTCAAAACAGTCTATCGGGAGAAAAATCAGCCCCCGTGATGTAGGAGTGGAGTTCAGCAGACCCGGGGCTTCCCAGTACGTCCCATTGTATCACGTTTCATGCCAGCAGCTTTGGCTAAATCGTGCAGATCATCAAGTTCTCGAGCAGATCCTATTGCCTGGGGTGCAGTCCTCCCCCCTCCTCGCCCATCGTCTCGCTCAGCCAAGATGACTTATGCCAGCCACCCTGAACTCTACACCCAAAACGACCTCAATACCTTTTCATTCGGTGCTCCCCATCCAACGTCGCCTGCTTCTTTATCGCCCTCTGTCGATCCCTTGTCGCGGCATCGCGACGAAACAGACTCTGACGAAGTCGTTTTCATCTCTGATACCACCCCTCGTCCGTCTGTTGTGGGGCAGCACCCACGCAGTCATCAATCGCATCCTTCGTTGCCAGAAGATGGGCAGCACTCTCTTCCCCCTCCTCGAAGGAAGCAGTCTAACAGGGGGACTAGGACGAAGGAGAAATCCCGTGATCGAGATTCAGACGCTGCCTCCGTCCACACCTTCGGCACCTCATCAGCTTCAGCCTCAGTTTCTTCACTCTCAAGACCTAGTAGATCAAATTCTAGGGCAAGGTCTAGGAAGGGTGGATATTCGAGCACTACCCCACAAACCTCAGCCACCGATATGACTTCGGACGAGGATGACATGGACCGTCGCCATCCCCTTCCTCCTGAGCCCCTTGACCCTTCTGATGTTCCACCACGAATTCCCCTTCGAGAACAAGAATCAACACTCTATCTCTCGGAGGAAGACTTCGATGGTTATGCAGATGAGGATGATAACGACAACGATGGGATTGAAATCGAATCTGCTGTCCACGACGCCAGCGACCGGGGAACATTTCTCGACTACCGCAGTTCCAGTCGGGAGAGCATAACGGGAAGCTACAGCCAAAGAAGAGGCAGCATTCCAGTCCCCATTCCTCATACACCCTCCGAGAGATATTTAGCAGAGCACCGTGCCCGCGAGAACAGCCTAGCAACCCTCAGACGACCAAGCAGAAGTCTAGAGGATCTGCACTCTTTCTCTTTCGCTCAGGCATCCGGCTCATCCTCATCAGCCCTCGGCAGGGGTGACGACAGACCGCTACCTCCCGCACCGACATCAGTGCCGGAGAGCGAGGGCGATTGGCGAGACCTTCGCAAGCGATCTATCCAGCGAGATAAGGACCTCCCTCCTATAACGATCCAGCATAGTACATCCGCTACAATGCCAGCAGGTGCCTCCAGCTCGAAAACAATCACTTCGAACTGCTTGTCGTCGTCTAATGGCTTTTCGGTCAGCGAACTCGACACATCTTGGATGCAGTATGGCGTCAACGGCCTCGTTGGTTTCAATATGGACGAAGTGGCCGACATTGTCGGCGAAGGCGGGCTGAACGGACGACGGCCTTCAGCTTACTCCTTCCGCAAAGGAAGCGCCGCAAGCACCTTCAGGCGCCACAGTACGGTTTCTAGTACGAACGTTGACATCATGCACAGGAACATCCTCGTCTGGGGTAATCAGCGCTTCCTCGACCAACGGCATATGTGGACGTTCAAACGAGAAGTCGACCGTGTCGACAGCGAGCACGACAGGCGGCAGAATGCCCACCCCGATAGGGAGCGGCCGAGCATTTCGACACTCTTCAACTCTCGGCCGAGTACAGCAACCGTGACCGAAGGCGCCATTCCTTCTTTCTTGATGGATGGTGTACCTCCGGAGAAGGAGAAGAAGCCTTCGAGCAAGGACAAGTCCCAGAAGGAGCCTTGGAGAGGGATGGCGTTGGATTCTGAGGAGATATGGCATAATGGTGCCAGTGGCAAGTTTAGAATTACTCGGAAGAATGCGACTTGTGCGTCTTTTTAACTCTTGCTCTCTGGGGCTGTGCTAATGCTAATTATTCCTCTACCAGCGTTGGAAGCGGGAAAGCCTCCTCAGCAGCGTCTCAACATCTCTTACATCCGCAGCCCATACATTAGCAATGCCACCAACCGCGACACGGCTGACGGGCCTGCCGTCACGATTCACAAACACTCAAAGGCTGGGGCATTTTCAATCAGCCGACATTATCGTACGAGGACCACCGCGACCAATGACACCACGACCTCTCTCCGTAATGCATCCTCGCGCATCTCATCGAAGGATTCTCCGGATGGGAACAGGAAGAAGGCTAACAACATGATTCTGCTGGCCCCTCGTCGCGTGCAGAAGGCCTACACAAGCACCAACACGACCAGGAAGCTCGAGTCGCACGGGCTGCTGGATGACTCTGGCCGTCCAAGTCCGAACCATGAGCGACGGCAACCCACGCTGAAGGACAAGGAAAGGGAGCAGCGAAGGGAGACAGAGAGGTACCGTCCGTCCGAGAAGGATGGGCCCGGGAGTTCTTCGGGCAAGGTGAGAGAGAACACAACGGTTGTTGCGTCCTCCAGCAAGACGGTGCCTCTGCATCCGCCTGTGACCAAGCCGAAGGACATCCCTCCTCCTAAAAAGCCCGTGCCCGACAACTCTGAAGGTAGCAGCGCCGTCTCAAGCCTCGAAAGCCGCGGGAATGTGAACAGCTCAACTGCAGCCACAACGCCGGACCAGAGTGAAGACAATCGTTCATTCGGCTCCGTCGAGCAGCAATCCGTCGTCACCCATGATACCAGTTACCGAAGACGCGGCTCTATGATGGACGGAATGGACGACGACAGTGACGACGAGCGGCCGCGGTATCCCACTCGCACGCCTTATCGCGAAACTTACGCCGCCCTTCCTCCGGAGGTTTTCGAAATGGCGCATCAAGAGCACCCGTCGCATGGATTGTTCAGCTGGGGCAAGACAAAGAGTGGGGAGCATGGCGGCCCTCGTGCGTATCTCGAAGCCTCGTACAAACCTCCATGGGCGGTCACTGCACCTCGCTTCAACTCGGAAACTCGCAAGGGCATCGTTGACGACTTGAACATGTCCTTCCAAGACGTCGGCCTATTGCCTGCCATCGGCGAGATTAAGGGCTCCAGCCACAGCGGCCAAAACAAGCGCAAGCGTGAGCAGCAGCAAGCCAAGCCTATCCGTCGGAACCCCGACAAGCAAGACATTTTCGAGGACATTCCGCCGGATGCGCTTTATATGCTTCTTCCCCTTTGGCCTGGAGAGACGGACGCGGGGTCGAACAGGAAGTACCCTTTCACTGCGCCTTCTCTTCCTACGCACACGAGGCAGTATCTGCTTATTTATTACATGACCCCACCTGCGGCAGTTCCTCGTGATGACGGCAAGACAAAGTCGGGCGAGAAGAAGCGCTCGCGCAATTCTCCGACGTCCTCACACGATTCCGTCAACAGGCGCGACGACCGGTCTGTCTTCTTGAGCACCTTCCACATTAGTGCCCGGGTGGTGTCTTATCGCGACATGCAAGGCTCTGGTGTACGGATACCCGACGTCGGTCTCGCCGTTTCTGGCCCGCTGCAGGACGCATACGAGAGTATGCCACATTCTTCTGTCATTGGGAGCGACTACGTTATCGGGGTATGCCACTCACGCGAGGCAGGTATCGAGTTTGTTCCTGAAGGGTTTGAGAAAATGGGCCTGTCCCATGCCATCCTGAACCCGCGAACGATGGAAGAGAACGAGGACGACGACACTGGGTCTATGGATACGATTTCAGTTCTGACGCCTATAGGACGAGCAGTTATGGAAATGGCCTGGCTTGGAAGCCTGGCCGTGACGAGTTTCAATCCCAATCCTTAATTTAATATCATCATAAGTCAACCATGGATCTTTTCTATGTTTCTATCTGTTGCTTGCGCAGGGTTCTATTGCTCTGGTTCCATGTTCATATACACACCCTATTTCGGCCTTTCTTCACTCCTACTCTCGCATTTTCGTTCGCCATATATTTCCCGTCCACTCGTTGATGCATCATAATTATCTCAGCCATCTTTCTTCCCTTCCTCCCTTGAACTGGCCAATGTACTCTCTACAATATGTTACACGGGTCTTTGACTCTTCTTCTCTCTTCTTCCCAGAACCCTCATTGCTATGCTCCCGATATCACTGCGCTACATACTTCCTTCAAGACACAATGACAAATGGAAATATTTCGCCATTTGACTTGGTGTTGATTGTACGTCTGGGCCTTACAGTTGCAACGAATACTCAGGAAGGACCTTTTCTTTCTTTCTGTGGAAGGGGGTGTATAACAGGCTACTGCAAACAATGACAACAGTGGTGCCCAGTAGAACAGAACTCGCTGCTACTATCCGAGTTCGGGGATATATTGAAATGAGTGTGTAATACCTCGAGAAGTTGCCCAAATTTCGCTGGCGATTGGGTTCTTGTTTGAGCCAAGGCGACAAGCTGCTCAACACGGGGAATAGCATGACGGAAGATCCGTTCGATGATTTCGGCTGGTATATGAAGGCCATAGACATCCTGCGCAGTGAGCAAATACTTTAGGGCAACCTTTGAAACGATAAAGCAACGGCATACAAGCGTGAATCGATTTGGTGTTGACTCTGATTTTGCTTCGTCCCTTTTCAAGCAAGGGAATATCCTTTTCCGGTGTTTTGTCTGGTACTGGTTTTGTGAGGTTTTGCGCGTTGTTCATTCCTCCGGAGATATTTTGGTTGGGGTCGATCGCCTGGATCGTTGGTAATAGAAGTCGATGGTAAAGGCGTGGATGCCTCTTGTGAGTCAGTGGGACCCCTGTGGGACTAACAAGGTTGCAGAAGGCACTACAATTATCGCACAATCCATCGAAGAGTTCTGGGAGCTGGAATTCACAATGGCAATGGCATATCCAACATATCCATCTCAGCATCATCGTCTGCAGATATAGGACCATCGAATTCGACATCCGAAGATAGTTGATCTGTGCTTTCACTTTCCGTTTCATAGCGATAACTTCCGTCGGAAGATTCTGTGTCGTATTCCACCCATCCAATTTTGTCCCAGACCGTTAACGAGGTGTGGTCATTGTTGGACGAAACTTCCGAGTCGCTGGCAGAATCACTATCAACGTCCATCTCATAATTGGTCCAATCCGGGCGTCTCCATGTAACGTGCCCTACTCCGTGCACAAGCTGATTCTGAAAAGAATCGATGGCGAAGGTCCGATCAGCTTTTTTCACGGCGTCCGGAGGAAAAGTTTCGAGCCATTCAAACAGGCTGCGGGGTAACTCGGAGAGCATTCGTGCACCCTCCAACTCCGGTAGGTCGTCGCATGAAACAGGTGTTCGTGAAAGCCAATATTTCGAACTCCGGCCCCGCTCGCCTTCCGGGTTTTGCCAGAAGTCAATCCACTTCAGGGTAGGATGCACAAAAATCGGTGGACGAAGTTCAGGGTCGGTGAAGACACAGGGTGGGATGATGAGATGTTCGAGATAGGGACAATGTTGCGGCAATTGTCGCAAAGAAGGGAGAAAATATTCAGGATAATTTTCGTACAGAGAAGGATGTAAGTGCAGAAACTTGAGGTTTTTCCCGTGCTTGGAGAGGAACAACACAACGGCGTTCGATAGTTTACGTTCACTCCTACTCCCTGTCACTTGGCGAGAAAAGGTGCATCCTGATAGACACGGAAGGCACCAATGTCGCGTTACGAAGTTAAGTTCATGCTCGACGTCGTCGTCATCTCTGTCGATATCGGGTTCTAAAACCAAGGAGCGGAGTGACGGAAGAGTCACTGTTTGGTCTGAGCTGGGATCGATACGAGGCACGCGAAGCCAGAGCGAATGCAAACTTGTGTTCGATCGGCACAGAATTTCAAAGAGTTGCGTGTATGAGATTCCTTCTAAGCGCAATTGCGAAACAGATTCTGGCAGTATAGGTATTGTCGCGGACGTCGGGAGGGCGGTTAGTGACGTGTGTGCAAAGGTGGAAAGCCGAGGCAGAAAAGGGAATAAAGCCTCTAGAACCCTGGTGAATGTACTGGCGAAAATCTGCGGAACGTAGCAGTGGATGTTTAAAGTCTTCACGAGGTTTCCGCGACCTGCGGGGGAGTTCGCGATGGTTCCAAAAAGAACCAGCAACTGATGGACACGACGAACGCAAATATCTTCATAAAGGAAGGGTAGTGCAGCAGCATACCAGGACCTGCAGACTGAGAGAAGGGTCTTTTTCTGTCGCAGAGCGATACACCATGAGGATTCATCTCCGGCTGACAGAACGTGATTAAGCAACCAGTCAGGCGGAATGACGCGTTGGAAAATCAATTGCAAGAGTTCAGGAGGAAACGGAGACGTATCTGAAATTTGAGAAGGAGAGGGTGAATGACATGTGGCCTCCTAGCAGCAAATAAATTAGTTGTAGAAGGCCAGAAAAAATCATGAATGACAAGCCACCTGAGGGCCATCGCACACCAGATTTTCCTCCGAGGAATTCATGGCACCGACTTCTTGTTCAAGGTTTGCCAGCCTATTTTCCCCTTGCACAGGAACCTGAACAAGGTTGTCTTCATCAGATACGCGTCCAGAGGGTTGAGATTTAGAACTCGGCAGTTCCATTGACACGGGCTTATGTAAAATAAGAATGAACTTGTAAGCATGGCTCTCGCCAAAGCAACAAACTTCGGCTGACAAAGCAGATGCACCATATTCGGCGGGCCGTCATGAGCGCACTGATTTCTGCATTTGACCTCCACCTATCACACATTCCTTCGGGATGAGCTGGGCAGGGTGAGTGTAGTCAATATTCGATTGTTTACCCTCTTCCGACGTCTCTCAGCTTCAAAAAGTCCGTCAACAGAGCCGGAACCACTGTAAGGGGCTGGCAGTCTTGAATGTTTTGCAGACCTCTATAACGCGGTCTGCCCACAGCTTCTCCAGAAGACCGGCCAGATCGAGCGAACGGTTGACAGAGAGTTTGCAGACGAAGAAGCGAAATACCGAATGTACGCGATATCACTATTTTCCTTTTAATGGCTGTTGACACCACTGTAGTTTCGAGAAGGAATGTCAAGCTCTCCAAAAGGATGCGAAAGCGTACTGGGATGCCATGCGAGGTTAGTGGCAGCAATGTTGTATTCCGGTCATCTTCTCTGACACAGTGAGATCTTAGCGATGACCTCCGCTCAGAGCCGGATTGCAGAAACAGTGGAAACTTTCTATGGTGCGGCTGATCAGTCCTCGGAGGGTGCCATGGCGGGACATGCGTACAAGCGATCCGTCGACGATTTGGACACCAGCTTCAATAGGGAACTCGTGCGTCATTTACTTCTGCTTCCAAGTTTATCACCAATCTTGCGCCCACAGGATGGACCTTACCGAACCACCGTCTCAGAACCGCTGGGCAAGATGTGTGCCTACTTCCCCGTGGTGAATGAACACATTACTAAACGGAACAAGAAGGTACGGTCGTTCGATGTACTCGATTATTTATCACGTCTGAATCCCTCTAGTTGCTCGATTATGACTCGGCGAGGAGTAAGCTCAGAAAGCTCATTGACAAACCAAGTGAAGACCCCACTAAGTTGCCAAGAGTATGTCTGAGCACAGCCCTCTCTCGCAGCACCTCTAATTTTTTATACCTTCTGCAGGCACAACAAGAGCACGACGAATGTAAAGAGATGTTCGATATGCTCAACGACCAACTCATCGCGGAGCTTCCTCAACTTTTGGACCTTCGCGTACCGTACTTCGATCCGAGCTTTGAAGCTATGATTCGAATGCAGGCCAAATTTGCTGAGGAAGGCTATGAGAAGCTGAGTGGCGTGCAGCGGTGTGTTCCCACTTGTCTCCTTTGTCGTCGCGGCTAATCTGTCCCGTTCTGACAGGTATTTCGCCGACAATGTGCGCGATGATTATGCAGCCGGCCAGCTGGACGCGCAGGTAGAAGGAATTCTCCAAGAAATGCGGGAGCTGTCGATTTGTGGAGGCAACTAGAACACAACATGTATCTTACCTTTGGATAGGTCGGAGAGGCTTGAACACGGACAAATGGATTGCTCTATTCATTGCCGCTACAACAGGGCATCGCGTTATAAACAGCAAAATGATATAATACACCGCGATTATTGAATGAAAACAAGTAGTGTATGATTACTCTAGGTGGGTTACGATTTATTGATATTCTTTCTGCTTTGACAAAGTAAACTGCAAAAGGGTAGCTTTGAGTTCACGGTAGATGTGATAAATAGTAACCTACACGGTTTGTGTCCTTATTTGCTTCAGATTTCACCAACTTTCATGCGGTCGATCAAAGCTTGCCCTCTGTTCGAGGTACGATTGTTTGGGCTATAATTGCTTCCACCTCTTCCAGTGGGCCGTGGAACGCGAGGACGGGGAGGGCGATTGTTCTGGGAACCCTTGTCCAAATCGGTGAAGCGACTGAGTAACCCCGGAGGAGGTTCGTGGGCCTGATTGCGATAGTTTGAGCTGTAATTATTAGGGCGATAGGAATCCCCCTCGGAATGAGCAGGGGGAGAGCCGCGTTGGTTACGCGCATGGAGCCGATAGTTGTTGCCATTTGAGGCCCTGTATGAGTTGTGGCGTTCCCAGCCAGCGTTGACAGGCTCTGGACCCATACGAAGGGCCAGAGGCGTCGCGCGATTTTCAGGACTCAGAGAACGTCCATAAACAGCAGATCGACTCCAGTTCAGGTCATTGTTGGATGGTCCACCAGAAGTGCCGGAGTCATTGTAATTTTCGTATTCGCCGTAGCGATATCGACGAGGAGGTGGAGCATTACTGTGCTCCTCGTCGCGGAACCTCTTGCGGCCTGCAAGAGTTGACGGTCCAGGTCCAACGTCCTGCGAAAGAGAGCGGCGATTGTCTCGAGAAATGGACGAACGTGCTGCATAGGGAGAAACCCCTCGAGAATTACTAACACTTCCCTGGCCTCGTCTCAGAGGGGGCGAACGACGCTGATAATCATCGCGGGATGACGACGCTGGTAGAGATTCTGGGCCACGACGAGGTGGTGAGTAGTGATCTCCTCTCAACGGAACCCGAGGACGAAGGTCTCCGCCGTTACGAATATTGACTGGAGAAGGTGAAGGAGAGTAATGATCAATAGATGTCTGTCGGGAGCGCGAGCGTTGTCTTGTATCCAACGATTCGTCTTGCGTAGCATTTTGCTGCGACCAGCCACCCGTCATTGCAGCATCGGGTCCCATCTGCGAAGCTTCGTGTGGATTGACGCCTGTCGGCGTCAGGCTTGTAGGGCCGAGTTTGGCATTAGTGGGAAGGGAGTGCAAGCCTACGGGTATACATTGCGGAGTAGGACGCTTAGATAGCGACGGCGGAACTTGCATTCGTGAGGTCTGCGTCGGTGGGCTGCCTACATTAGCACCTTCGTGTTCCGCTTTTATATGAATCAGAACTTTCGGCGGGACCCAAGACAGCGTGTTGACGCAAGAGTGAGGCACCTTCACAGTACTCTCTGACCCATTCGGATTAACAAGCTTGAGGTTTGGAGCCGCCACGTTAACATCATTCGGAGCCTTAGGTGCATTCGACTTAAACTTGGTTGATGCTGGCGTAGCTTGCGATTTGACTGAAGCAGGCGGAGATGGTAACGACAGGCGAGGAATATCAATGGGGGGCTGTCGAGCTTTGGCCTTTGGGGGTCCAATTGTGATTTCGGGCTTTGGAGGGACCTTAGTGTGAGTGTTGACATTCATTTGACTCAGAGGCGGTGAAGATCTTTCCAATTTTATTGCAGGCTTGACTTCATCTGGATCGGATTTTATAGACGGTGCATCAGCTATACCATGAGCGTGCATGAATGGTCGCAGATTCGCTTTCCGAGTTTCAGGTGAGAGTGGAAGGAGCTGAGAGCGAGGAATGACCGGTACGTTACCGATATCAAAACCCACACTATCAACGGCTATGTCCGAGCAATCTGATGGCGGGGGTGGCGTTGAGAATCGGTTGTTCTTCTCTTTAAGTAAGTCGATGGGTGGCAGACTGGGTTTGGGAACTTGACAGACTGCAGGGGGGGGAACAATTGAAGGCAGAGCCTGGTTGGCTTGAGTAGGGCCCAAATCTAGACCTGCGACAGAAGGCGTGCTACTGGGTGTTGCTTTAACTGCAATAGGTCGCACAGCAGACGCCAGAGGGAGGGGCGAGGCCAACGACGGAGGTTGACCATGGCCTGTTGGCACTGACGAGGGAAAGGAAGTTACATGTTTGAGCGCCAATTTGTTTGACGTAGCAATATTAGTGACAGTCTTCTTCGACACAACGTTTCCGATCTCTGCGCTTAACGGTGGGGGAATATTGTTTGGGGAAGGCATCGACTGAAGGAGTTGCATCTGGCTAGGAGGTGAAGGGCTGTTCTTGGGATCATGAGCAGCTTCTTGATTGGCGCGTTGCTTGCGAGCCTGGATTTCTCGTCGCCTAGCCTCCTGCTCCTCACGAAGTTGTTGTTGTCGCTGCTCCTCAGCCTTTCGCTTTTCAACCTGAAGTCGCTTCGCAAGCTCAGCCCGCTCCTGCATTTCTCGTCGCTTCTGGTCCTGCTCAGTTAAGAGACGAGCCTCGAGCTTTATCTCAGCCTGCCGTGTCTTCTCTTTTTCCTCCGTTTCCTTGCGCGCAACCTTCTCTTGCTGACGCTGCTGAAGGAGACGAAATTGTATAGTCTCGTGTCGGGCCCTCTCCAGCTCCTGCTGTCGTTCCAATTCCTGGTCTTCCTTCTGTTGCCGCGCAAGCTCTTCTTCTTCAGCCTTGATACGCTCCTTTCGAACGCGAGCGAGCTCGGCTTCCTGGGACTCAGCCTGTGCCCGAATCCTTTTGCTTTCTTGCTCAAGTCGCTCTTCGGCCTCACGACGCTTACGTAGTTCTTCTTCAGCACGCTTTTGACGTTCAGTGTTTTGTTTAAGCATCTTCTCCATCTCTGGCTCGGTATCGCTAGCTTGATCGACGGCCATGACACTGGGATCGGATGTTGCAGAAGAGGGCGATAAAGGTTGACCAGCCGCGGACTTGGAGGTAGACGCTATTTTTACACCAGCAGCCTGGGTGTCTGCCTGTTGTCGGCACTTAACCTCCTGTTGAAGTTCGTGTTGCCGCCTTGTATCAACGACTTCCCTGTGCTTCGCCCACTTGTCAAGCGAAGATAGGCCATCTTTCAAAATTCGAATGGTGTTGTTCCATTCGTGCCCTTGTCCAGAACTGATCTTCTGAACTGCATCGACGGCCTCGTCGACACGATTCTGGATGGAGTGCACGGCAGTTAGACACTCTTGAGCCACACTCATCGATTCTCGAGCAGATGCGAGAGCTTGTTGAGCAAGTGTATGCGCGCGTTTGGCTGCCGACAGAGCTGTCGTGCACTGCTCCTTGACTGACTGGGCAGCATCAAGAGCGTTCGACGAATTGACTGGAGCTAGAGTGGCCAGAGTTTCTGAGAGTCCGACTTGAAGAGAGCGAAGAGTAGCTAGAGAGGGTTCATCTTGCTGGGGGTCAGACTGTGGTGAACCGACGGAGTTCGAAAACCGTCCCGACGTCTCATTAACAGTGGAAAGAGCTTTTGAATGCAAACTTCCTTGATCCACCGAAGGCTGGATGGCATGTTGAGACATTAACGAGCTCGGGTCGGAATTCCAAGACACCGATGAGCTGCGCTGGCCATGGGCAGAATTCGAGTTTATGAGGGGCTGAGCAGACAAAGATGTCGCAGCTGAATGGGGGCCAAAAGAAAAACTGTTAGATGGGGCTGCGAGGCTGGAAGGTGATGGAGTTGAACGTGAAGCCAGATCAGAGGTCAAGGGTGTGTTCATCGAATGTGCATGACTTGGATTCGATAGAGCATTCGGAACATTGGAAGAACCGGTATTCGGCGGGTGTTGCATCTTGATCACCTCCTCACTTGCAAGGGCTTGGAAAAGAGAAAGCCGCAAGCGCAAGGAGGGTTGGTTGTGGCTTCTAGAGCGTCCCTCAGCCTGGGACTGGATGGCTGAATCGGATGACGGCGAGGGAGAGCGTGATGAATACTGGTATTCTTGAGGACTGGGGTTTCTCCCGGACAAGCGCTTCAGCAATTCTGGTTCTTGACCTATCGTTCGAAATTGGAAATTGGACAAAGAGAGAGGAGGAGGCATGGATGGCGTGCTTGTAAGGGCAAGAAAAGGTGATGATGGATTATTGTGCACCATATGCTATTTCAGTGCAGCCTGGGCGAATATTGTTGAACTGAGGGATTACGAAAACAAAACTTCACGTTGTGCAAACCTATGAGGTTGATCAGAGGCAGTCGCCACGTAGACAATGATCGGGGTAAGATAGGGGGAAAAACACAGAAAGAAGTGCTGGTGTTTGGTAAGAAAGGAAATTGAGATGAGGTGGTGGAAGGAAAGGGACTGTCTATCGTCTTTGTTCGAGTGATCGGCGTCTGGACTGATTCAGGTATGTATATCCCACGGCTGACAAATCATGCTGCAGAACGACAAACATTCTTGAGTCCTCACTCAATCCACCAACATTTGACATCGACAAAACTTTTCACTAGAGTGGATTGCCGCCTGCGGCGGCTCACACCTTGCTTGCCAATAAATCTTACAACAATGTGTTAAAGAAAATATTGATAATTGTGAGACAAATATAGGTGGCTAATGCAGTTAGACTACTATAGCATAATAGTTAATAATGGTGAGTGTAGAGTACAATTATTTAATAATGGATCTACAGTCGCTTCCATCAAGCCAGATGTTGACATGGATAAAGGAACTTGAAACCTTTCAAGATTCCGCATCCACTGAGATATGGGCCACCCTGTCAGGCATCAGGTACCTCCATTATTTTGAGGCAGCAGCTCAGGCAGACTGACATGGAGGAGAGATAGGTGGCAAAAGAGGATCTGAAAACTGCTGAAAACTTCACAGAATCTGATATGCATAGTGTTGCTACAACTCAAGTCACTTGATTTCAAAAATATGCTGCTGTGTTCCTACTAAAATAGCTAAAATTATGAAAATATTCATGAGTCTAGAAATTTTTAAAAGCCAAGGGGTCATCTGCCAACTCTAAGCGATATACTTCTTATTTCTCATGCTACTTGATCAACTACATTTTGGCTAAAAAAGCGGCTACAAATGTAGTCAGTCAAATAGCATGAGAAATAAGAAGTATATCGCTTAGAGTTGGCAGATGACCCTTGGCTTTTTAAATTTTCTAGACTCACAAATATTTTCATAATTTTAGCTATTTTATTGCGAGCGAAGCGAGCATTCCTCGGCTAAAGGGCTGGGAGGCCCGGACAAACAAAGCCAAACTCTTGTTGCAGAAACTGGGGTGGGTCGATATTGGTGAGCCGTATTTCGTGGGATCTAGGTCATATTATCCTCTGTAAAGCTCCATGTAGACTATTTATGTGCCATAGAATAAGTTCCTCCAAGAAAACTCACCTTTGGAGCCCTTGTTTTGGTGTTCTGGCAACCTTGGGCATGTCCCCTCATGCCATCACAGGCCGGGTTTTTCCCACAGTCCACATTATACTCAGCAGTCACAGAACAGCTCAGAAAAAATACAAGGTAATTACACTGGCCCAGGGGGACATAATCATATTGCTGAAGGATTTGCATGTTTTAGAACCAGTATGATTGGGATATGATATAAGAGAGTGTGAGGTTGGACGAGTCGGAGACGGAGACGAGGATGTGGTATGAGTGGAGTTGCAGGGAGGTGATTCAGATAGGGATAAGATTATCTTTGAATTTTGAGTCACATGTGTCAAACTGTTGAGATGTCGGAATGCTGGCGCATCCGTTTCTCACGAATTTTGACCCTCCCAGAACCCTTGCAAGCAAGGAAATGAATCAAGTTGGAATCAGGAAACGATTGAAAAACGCCTGGGATGTTGAACCACATAGGTATCTTCTGGCTTGCATCCGTGGTAAATTTTGTCAAGGCACGAGCAGCGCGAGAGTGCGTAATGCCAAAGCATGAACAGATACAATGAAAGGCAAAGATCCAGGTCTTACGCGCATGATACATACAATTTTTCCACCAGAAGCACCATGCTAATTTCCATCCTCTCTCGGTCGGAGCTCCTCTACTGGCGCGTCAGCCTCTTCCTCCTCCACCGTTTCCCCTTCGTAGCACTCGTCGTGCCAACTTGCCCTGCGACCGTCTTCCGATGCATTGGTGTGTATGGATCCCTGGCAACCTTCACAGATTGTATACGGAACGGGTTTCGCCGGCCGCGCGGTGCTTCTCGAGAACACTTCTTCTGCGCCAGCTACGTCTCGGACAACTGAATGACATGAAAACGTCACTTTAATCTCGGGTAGAGAGAAAAGATAATCTGCTCACCGACAACCATGCTGATAACTTGTTTTCCGCAATACACGTGTATATAGATTTTCGGAGCAGAGCCTGAGGTCTGGTCTATGGAATCTTAGCGCGACCATTTGATACCCGAGATGGAGAAGGATATACCAAGTACGGAAATAAAGAGCAGAGGAAACAGATGAAAGTACCAGACGGGGTTGGTGGCGGTTTTAGAGAGGGAAGAGACGGTGTGAATTGGGCTTCTGACTGGTGCTATGCCAGTCCCTTTCGATATCCTGCCTTGCCCAGACAGGATAAAAATAGACTCCTTGTGAGGACGACACGACCGAAGGGGCAAAAAACCTGCGGCATTCGACTCTTGCCCCTATCAAGATCTCTGAGTCGGTTGGAACACCTACAAAACTGTTGTTTTCAAGAAATATGAAGTAGGGACCCCACGTTGAATCCATGAGTTGGCTTTTACCAATTATCTCACGAGGCGGGATACAACTGATGTTTCGACACAAGCAAGTCTTCCTACGCTCAGGGTGGGTTTTCCAGTCATAAGATTTTCGAGAGGTCGCCGAGTTTCCGGTTGTCGCCCTGCGTGGTCTATTTTGAAGTGGTCGCAGATTCGCACATGAATGCAGAATAGGGGGATCTAGGCAGATTGCAGGGCTGTCCGTCCAAGTTCAGGAAAAATTAAGGATGCAGTCGAGGTGGGAGCAGCACCGATCCAGATCTTGAGTCAGGAAAAGAGGATTATTTCCGATGCATCCTAGGTCACACTCGGACACCAGAGGCCAGAACTCAAGAAAAAAATGTGGGAAAACAGTTACAAGATCTGTCGTGTTGCGGTGCGGAAATTGCACAGATCGCGCGAGATAGGTCGGCTTGTAGGCTTGAGAGCACGCATGAGGTTGCGGGTAGTCGCAGCATACATCGTCAGTTGTACTGTGGTGGACGGAAATGAGGAAAGTACGGTGTCCAAGCGTGACGAAAAGAAACGCGTTGCGTCACGCCCCGTGCTTCCATCTAATTCAGGGCAATAGTAACCCCTTTTGTCTTGAACCCTACCTGCATGCATCAAGGTTGCCCAAGTGCCACTAATTGTTGTCGAAAAATCATTATAAAACCGTGGCCATGGATCACTCCTTGATTTCGCTTGCCCTCTCCTTTCGCCCGTCTCCTTTGTTTTCCGTCAGCCGAGAACTTACGTCTCGCACCCTGAAACGTGGTGAGTGCGAAGGATGGCTATCTTCTACCGTTCTTCTGCCATGTCCCGCGAAGACTTAGCTTACGCTGAGAGGTTTTAACAGATAAGTATCCCCAAGATGCGCCATGGCTCTCTTCCTACCAACCTGGTCATGGTCCCCAACCCACCGGAGACCATGGGCGAAAAGTCGACGGCAATAAGCATGGACCTGAGGTGCATCTCGATTGTTTGTGGCTATCGCCCGCTTATCGTTTTCTTCCCCAGTGCCCGCGAAAAAATCGTAATTCGCCACCGACTTGGTGCAAAGAATCCGACCCTTCCTGTCAAACAGCAGACCCTGAGCCGGACAGTGTCCATTTTTAAACGGAAGCAGGAGCCAAAGCCTGAAGCATGTCCATCAGTGGAAGGCACGAGTGGCTCACAAGATCCTGGATTCACGATGATAGCAAAGAGCCCACAATCGCCGCATCCGATTATCAGGCCTTCTAAGAAAGGCATCCTCCTGAAAGGTCCGCGGATAGAAAAACGAGTCAAGAGGAAGTCGGTGACACAGAGCACCAAGTCTTCCCCACGCAGCCCCCTCTCTCGAGAAATCAAGATCACCACCGTGGACAGTCTATCCTCATCGCCGACTCCAACGAGCCCTCATCTTCCTATGCCTGCCATAGACACTTTACGGCCTGATCAATCTCGCCCATCACAATATGCGGCAGAATATGAGAGATGTGGATGCACATCCGATGGCTGTCCTCCATGTCGGAGATGCAAGTTAATGCTTCTCTCAGATAGGTATCCCAACCCTTCCAATCACTGTCATTGAGAAAAATTGCGCTCAACGCTGGAAATTGAAAGGTTTTGTGACCTCGTTAACTTCCAATGTGCCAAGTGGAAGCTTTGATCAACCAAACTCGACACTGCTCAAGACAGCTTGAAACAGGACCTCAATGCTTTTCAAGTTTCGACGACCACCAACATCTTTTTAATCTGACATACTCATGACATCTGGTTCTGTACCAACACCCTGTTCTATACATACCCACCACTGCACGTATACCTTGATGCACCACTCTTCAAACGAGGCTGAACTACGATTGCGCGTGAAGGTGCTGGCATAGGGCTCGAACTAGCCTTTGCTGGTCATCGATGTAAATCTGTGGGAGATTCTAGAAGGTTTTCTGGTGCTCCTTGGTTGGCAATAAGGGGTACATGGAAATGTATTGTGGAGTAGACCATAAAGTCATCCGGTCTACACGTTGTCGGATCCCGCATCCGCAGATAACTGTCCGTCATGCCGCGCACGTCGAGAATGAGTTTGGGAGGCTGCGATGTGCCGGCTTCGTGCCACAGCTTCCGCAAGAGCTTCTCGTCGTGTTGTCGCAGTATTCACTATCACAATCAAGATAGTCTAACATGACATACTCGTGAATAAACCACGCTGGAACAAAGGGTGGGACATACCGCAAAGACTCCAAAAAGAATAATTTTGTCCTTCCTACTGTCATCTACTGCACCACTGTCATAAAGCTCCTGACGCTTTCTTCTCATTGCTCGATACGCCGCTGTTGTCTGATATCGTGTATCTGTTGAACCCGATTCTCCCGCAAGTGTGTCATCTAGCTTCTTGCCTCTTAGCACGTCATAGGCAGCCGATATGGCTTGAAACCTCTCGTGGGCGATCTCAGGCGAAACCCCACATGGTTTGTCTGGATGATACAGTCGGACGAGATCATAGTCTATGGAAAACGTCGGCGGGGTTAGGTTGTATTCCACTAAGTTACAGTGTGATAACTTACAGCGAACTTTAATATCGGCATCCGTGGCATTGCGGGGCAGGTGAAATATTTGATGTGGAGAAGGGTTGCGATGGGTCGGATATGGAAATGGATTTTGGGCAGCAGAGCTTGTCGACTGAGAAGGTGAACTTGCTTCGGCTGCTACAGCATGCGTTGCTCGTCCCGAGAATCTTGCAATTTGCCTGCGTTGTGGTGCGAGAGACCAGGATCGAACATTTGACGCGAGTTTCTGGGACAAGGGCATGGAGCCTAACTGCGAAAACAAGAAGATAAGTCGTAGAGAGAAGGCGCCATGTTGGTGCAGAGGTCGTTTCAGAGATTCCGAGCCTGGAATCGGGATATTTGTCAAGAGTCATGGGACCAAGCAATTGTCGGCCCGGTAACTAACTATTCTTGTCAACGTCACTAGAGTCACTGTTCGGTCTGCGGCACAGGCACAAAATCGCTGCCAAACTACTGCTTTTCGTCAACGACTCCTGAATCCTGCACCAAGTCGTTCCCTGGTTAAGACCATGCCAGTTTCGACTTTCCGTCGTTTTTCTCGCCAGCTGGAAGAATTTAGATATTCCCATAGGAAACGATTCAAGATCAACAAGATATTTGCCTCGCTTCGCTTCGGCCATAAACAAAATCCGCCACTGAGCAGAATCTCAGAAGAATAATTTCGGATGAAACTCGAATTCCTGTAGGATCACGGCGCAAAAATGAATGAAACTCAAGGACTTGACTTGGAGACTGGCGGCTTGAGAATATGCGGAACCTAGCCCTGTGTCATACGATCAAAAGTTGACGTTTTGGAAGGGGTGGAATCTCAAGAGACTAAAGTCTGGGGCTAATGGAACTCGGAAAGGCAAGCCTGTGGCTCATGTGAAAGAGCAGAGTTGACACGATAGACACGCGCAGTGCAGCCGAGGAGGCGCTTATGTGAAAGGAGAAAAAAACAGGGGATGAGAGATGAAGATGAACGCATGTGGAGGGAGAGAAAGGGAATAGAGGAGCAGGGAAGTAGAGGATCAAAAGTTACGACGGTGTGTAGGGTACAGTATTAAATAATTGTCTGTCGTGCAATACTCTAGAAAATAAGGATACATAGACTAATGGAATAGGAGGGGAAGAGAAAAAATTAAGAAGCATTGAGGGGAATCGAGGATAGGACATTGCCTGATGACCCAGGGGTAGAACAATAAAGTGTCTGAGGGAGGAGAGACGAAACGGGAAAACGGGCACGAGTAGACGTACAAACAGACGTACACGAAGTCGAGGGATCTGCTTCATTATAGAGGTATCTCTTCTCCAGTTCCATTGCTCTTGACTTCCAATCGAGCATCCACAAGCGATGAGGTCTCCAAGATCCAACAATTCATCACTACATCGGAGGCAAAGATTCAACAGCTCCGGAGACCACAAGTTTCAACACACCCAATCGGAATGCGACCGAAGAGACAACAGCAAATAGCAGATGTTGACCAGTGCATCCACACTCACATAGCACGGCTGTCCTCTCTAGAACCCTCCTGACTGAGATATTGGCGATCATATTCCTCTATTTCTCATATGTTGACATCGAGAATTTGCAGAATAACGCCGCTCCCTGAATCCTTGGAAAAATCTGTCGGCGTTGGAGGCATATCGCTCTCGCCACACCCACAATATGGAGCAATTTACCTCCCACCCGACGGCCAATACCGAAAAACGACTGTTACAATCTCTTTCTATCCTCTTTTTCCGCTCGGCCGGGAGCACGATATCATTCCATCTGTTCAACCCCGTTTCCAAACCTGACGATATATCAATCATTGAGTTACTCTTCGCCCATTCTAACAGGTAGGAGAGGGTATCTCTTGACCTTTCTAGCCCTTTGATGGCAAAATTTGCAGTCCTCGAAGGTCGCCTATCATCGTTGCACTCAATATCGTTGTCAATGAAAAGGCCTGGGGGTTATGCTGAGGGTTTCCTCAAAACAGCACCGGGATTGAGGAACATCAGAATTTGGGCGCCGCTTGCCCACCCCACATCTTTTCGCTCCCCTGGCACCAACTATCTAGTTATGACTAGGTTTCCTAGGATGTTGAGGGTATGAAATAAGTCCTTTTTTCTGCCTCGTTGGAGTTAAAGGCACTTGGGTACACCACCGACAGATGTGCGTCGTGGGATTCGTTCAGGGCGGTCGAAGACATAACAAAACCTGTTGAACTTCCTTGCCTCGAATTCCTCAAATTTAGATTATTTCACTGCGACCGATGCCCACAGGGCTTCCTAGACCACCTCGTCTGTCCCAAGCTCAAAGAGGTTCAACTCCGAATATTCAGCCACCATGATCTCAGTTTCGAGCTCATGCAGCTGCTCAACCAGTTATCCTGCTCCCTGATGAGTTTGACAATACAAGGAGAACAGCCCTATGACCTCCTTGTCTCCATATTCCGCATGACGCCCCTTTTAACGACCCTTTGCATCAATGACCCTGGAGAAAACCTTGTTAACGAGCTTCTGCATCGTCGCGAGAGCAACGCATGGTCTGCTTTCATTGACGATTCATTTGAGCCGTCGGTGGAGGTACTTCGTGGATCTGAAGCGATTGGTATCTGTTCGATGCGAACCCAGCATCGCAGAGGGCAGCCTAAACGTTCAAACATATCCGATATTAACACCTCTATTAACTCTCAGAGTATCGTCTACAGACGAAGCATCCTATTTTCAGTTCGTCGACCTCAGGTTTGCAGCTCGTCCAGAACAGATAACGGCAGAAATTCAAGACCTACGAGCAGAGCTGGTCTCAGCGCGGGATTCAATGAAAGCAACTCCATGGCCTATAAAGACCCCCGTCAAAGTTAACAGCAGCAAAAGACATTGGAAGGAATGGTCCAGAAGCTTGAAACTCTCAACGCCACCAGAAGCAACATGCCATTGATTTATGTAGGCCTCATTCTCTTCTTGCCACTGAAACCTCTGATATTCGTGCTGAATGGTGGGTGCTTCATAGATGGCCAACCTCGACTACATTCCATCACAGTTCTTTCTGCGCTGCGCGTGCAACGTCCCTGCCAAAGAGGAGACCAAGCTCCAGAAACGACTCCGAGCAGTCACGAACCGCTGGAACCCGATATTCGCCGACAGTTGTAAACAATTGAAATGGCCGTGGGATGCAGACGGATATCTTCAGTATATTCCGTCCAATGTGGGTGAGTTTCCTTCATGGCTACGGCTTGAGGCGGACTCTTTCCTCAGAATGACCCGCCCAGGTTCAGGGCGTGTACCCCCAAAGTGTCGAAGTAGTAATGGGAATAAATCACTGAAGTCCCTACCCGCTCTCTCTCTCTTTCGGCCTCCGACTCGGAAAGTCGGCCACATGTTGAAGACAAACCCCTGAACTTGAAGCGAACAGTATGTATCGATACAGTGTACAGGCAATACAGAGGAAATGGAGAACGGATACTATCTATAGATCTGGCTTTTCTGGGTTTTGCCCGTTGCTCGTTGCTGAGCACTAAAGCAAACCTGGGGCCGATTTACAGGAAGAGGTAGTCGTAGAAGCTCCTGCCGTTCTGCAACCCAATTACCGCTCGTTTCTTGGCACCTGCACGACGTCGAGGTGGGCGAGGCCGCACAGGCGAGCGAGATGGGGAAGAAGGCGAGCGAGCAGAGGCCCATTCTCGGCGTCGAGGAGACGCCGCGCCATAGAGAGCATTTGGACGTATTTCGGTCATCATTTGGTCGGGGTCGTCCTCTGCCTCCTCTATGGGGTGATTTGGGAGTGTGGTTGATTCTTCAATAGACGCTGGATTGGCGGCCTCCGAATGCAGAAAGAGTGTCCGTAATTGAGGTTCTAGAGCATCGACACTCGCACCAAGCACACTGCCAAGTTCGGATCCCGAATCGAATTCGTCGGCGTCTGATTCACCGCCTGCCGCCTCGTCAACGAGTGACCATGGATCCTCCTGTACAGGCTGGAGGGTAGGAGAGTCAGGACCAGGGGTTTCGACGATGATTGCAAGCGTGTTGTTTGTGGTTGTACAGTGATCTGCTTCGACGTCGGATTCTAGTTCTCTTTCCGAAATGAAATCTGAGTCTATGTCCGTGTCCGGATTTGAAGAATAATCGAGATCGGTTACAGGTGGTGTATCGAGGCCAGCCGGCATTCGTCGATCTGGGCGAGTAACGTTGGGACGAAGAAGGTAAGTAAGACGACTTTCGTCTGTTCCTTTGCCTTCAGAAAAACGGGAAGTTAGAAACAATGGTTGAAAAAGCGAACAGCAGACTCACTGAAACTGACAACCTCGTGAAAACGTGCACAACAGTGCACAACGTACCTTGCAAATGAATCGTCAGCTATTCGCCAGATGAGCTGCAGGGGTGTCCTAGACACCTCGGCGATAGTCCCAGAGTTCCCAACGGGTGTTTCAGATGCTTGTGAGTGGGCCTCACTACACTGGTTCTGAGTGTCTGGAGACAGCACCGTGCCTCCTGTGGCCAACCATTGTACGATTTCCGACTCTACATCGCGAACGAGAGCCTCGGCTCTTCCTCCTGCGCGACGTAGATCGCGTCGCATACCCTTGAGGCTGACAGAGAAGCGCCCAGCATTGGCAGAGGCAGGGTCTGTCGTTGGAATTGAAGCAGCTGGCACCCTGAGAGTGCGAGGGAGATATGGCGGTAGAGGTTCCGGAAACGTAGGGTGTGTCTGAGCAGGCAATAGAGCATAGTCACGCTTGGTGGCAGCTACGATGTGGGGGTTTCCAACAAAACGAGCTAGCAAAGTAGAAGACAAGATAGCGGCTATTTAAGCGCTCAGACGTAAACCGGATAGGATAACGAGCTGACCATTATCGTTGCGGCGCACCCAGCGCTTCCCTTCATTCTGGTTCCGACGTTGCTTCTTGAGCACCTGCGATTGGCTCTTGGGTGGGGTCCCTGAGGTGCCTGGAGCGGCATGAAGGTACGCATACCGGTCCTTAAGTCCCAGGTTGCGGAGAATGGCAGGGAAAGAGAGGACGACTCCAGTATCAGCCATTTCTGTAGTGGATGCGGGGGTCGAGCGGGTCGCTGCTGAGGTCTAGGGTGTCGCACCGGGGCGTTATATGGGAAGTGGAGAAGCCTCTTTCCAGGTCCTGAGACGGAGCCGAATCCGGCTATGATGGACCTCAGCTTGACACACGTGATGACTCGAAACACCTCCATCCAATCGACAGGTAACCATATTACATCGCTATAGTAAAGTAGAGAATAAGACAGTCCGATCATCCAGTGATAAGTCTAGCTAGAAGGTATAGCGTTGAACCAACAAACCGCTGAACCAAAATATCAATAACCCATCCAGCAGGGAAGAACCGAACGACTTACCACTGAGTTCGTTATAGCCGTGAATGCTAAAATAAATACCAGGTACACCTTCACTCGGGTCATACCCACATCCTGCCCGAAGGCGTCCGTCTCTTTCATACCACCAAGGATGCCAACCAGCAACACACCCTGCGCAAATGTTTCAGGAATATGACAAGAATAAGTTGAACACGGTTCGAGAACTCACGTTTGACAAGACCCAGGCCAGAAGCACATTTGTTCGCACATTGGCATAGTAGCTTTTGGCGGCAGCTTCTCTCTCCGATACACTACGGGGGACTTTGCCTTTGCCATTGTCGACTGGCACTCGGTCTCGAAGGTTTGCTAGGGATTCTTCGTAGATGCTGTTCACATCCGCTGCTTCTGTGAGCATCTCAACGTCGACGTGTGATTGACTGTCTTGAATAACAGTGCCCAAATCAGATTCTGGCATAGAATCCTGCTTGGTGCCCCAAGAAATCTGCAGGCGAGATGTCAAAGTTGAGACCTTTCGTGAAATTCAATGAAGAGCTCACATCGTCCAAATTAGAAAAAGCATAGCTGGAATTGAAAACGAAACGTCAGAATACGTCATTTTGGGGGGTAAGTAAGGCACGAACATGTTCAATATGTTGATATACATTGGCGAAAGAAGCATATATGGAATGAAGCTTGTGAACATGTGCCAAGGATCGAGTGCCAGGAGACTGCTGAAGGCCCATACTGAGAACGAAGATCTCATCAACAGATTGTCCAATGTCGAGGGCTTGAACTTACAGCCGTAGGTAACCAGGATGCTGAAGAGCATGACCGAATTGGCAGCACCGCCTTGCTTAGCAGCTTCCAGAGCACATTTGATAGACGCAGCAATCATGTAGAGCATAAGAACGCTCATGATGATTGAGGTCAGCTTGTACTTCATCTTTGAACTACCACGGAGTTCGTTGTCAGTGACTGCAGGATGGCTATGAGAGAAACATAGCTCACGATGCCGGTTTGTTGCCCATCGAAAAGAGGAAGCAGGCCACGATAAGAGAGCCCATTATATACTAAGTCGTCGCATTCAGAAAGGCGCGAGGAATTCAAGGGCAAGAAACCAACTTGGACGAGAGAGTTGAAGTACTTGATGCCCTTCAAACCGAATGACGGGTCTTCTAGCGACGTGGTCAGGACGGCCTATCATCATTCATTCAATTAGTCAAGGTGCCAACGAAATTTCTCAGTAAGCCTCACGAAGAACAAATAGAAGTTTCCCTACATTCAAGATAATATATCAGTTGGCAATGAAGCCAGAGTTGAAGAAACCCACAATACTGAACCACGCGAATATGAGGTTGATGATGTTGTAGACCGTTTCTGCTACGAAAGTGACCTTGCGCGCAAAACTATGCCCAGATCGCATGACCTGGCCAACATGCGCGATAGCATATGTTGCTGCAAAGAACGAACCGTTCAACCATCGACGACGTTGTGAGATGAACTCCGGTAGAGCGTCTGGCACGTCAGTTTCTCCAATGGCGCCTTTCACGTATTTCAAAATCCTATGTAGTGTCAGTATTCACCTGTCTGAACGAAGAAAAATACGAACCAGCTCGAGTTGGCTTTCGCGATGAGTTCGAAGCAAAGGATACGCTAGATAAGTAGCTTAGAAATGGCGAGCCAGAGGTTGCGGACAAGGAAGGCATACATCCTCGGCGAGGTCTGACAGAGGAGCGTTAGTACTATGCAAGTGTATAACGCAGTGGACATACACATATTCGACGTGAAAATATCCGTGTCTCGTCCGTGCAAAACTTCGCCTTTGAAATATGATGCCAGTGGACCAACACCATGTTCGCCATTTTGCAGGGCGATATAACTAAATTTAGGAAAGAGAAAAAGGTTAGCCTGAAACTAACTGGGGAGAGAAAAAAGGCTACAAACCGGTACGCCGAGAACGCTCCGGGCTAAGGAGATACATGAACACAAATAGCCATATTAAAAAGGAATCAACGTACCAAGACACTGATATAACCGAACATTGACTCCGTGGGCTTGTCCAAAATACAGCTGATCTTGTACTCAAAGTTCTGTGCTGCCACTAGAGGATATCATGAATTTTAAAACGTGATTCAATGGGATGCTAGTCCTTACCCAGGGGGTTGAGGAGTAACGACCAATTCTTTCCCTTGTAAACCGCAATTTCACCACAAGCTCCCGCCACACTTGAGTTGACATCAAATGCTTTCCACAGCCGGTAGATACTGTTGTTCCCTGGTCGAGTACCGACATCCAGCAAAACACAGACGTTGGGCTGTAGCATTCGTATAAGCAATCGTAGTCAACCTCGAAGCCAGCAGAGGAGTGAATACCTGGAGCATTGGGGCAAACGCATTGAAGAACCATCTATGACTGTTAATCTTCTTTTGATTCTTTTCCTTCATGCAAAAGATGATTTGCGTAGGGACAATCCCCTTGTCAGGGTACTTGAAGTGCAGGTGTGGATCTAGCGCAAAGGAGGTTGTGTATTCGAACAAGTGGGCTGTAACCTCCTTTTCGTTGACCTTGTTCTTCATGTGATCTCCTGGCTGGTAGACGCCGAGAAGAGTCAAGCAATCGAGAACGCGAGGATGGACTTTCTTTCGGCCATCCGCAACTATACAAACTACGACCTTGAGTTTGAGTTAGCGTTTGCTCGACAAAAGACACCATTATCCTTGCCTTCTCCCAAGCGTTAGGTCCCCAAGTTTGAGAATTCTTCCTCGTGCATAAATGGGAGATATTCCGCATAACTCCATATAAAGTCCTACAAAATAAGATTTCGTCTTCCTGAAAAGTTTGCTCGTCAGATCGGAAAAGGCAAAGAGGGGATTCGAACGTACATTATACATGGTTATTACAATGAATAGTTCTGTTCGTCGGCCCCACTCGTTTTGCCTCAAGAAGAAGCCTTTCTTCTCAAAGTCGTCTGGATCACAAGTGACAGCAGTGTATCTCGTTTTCATGGTCTCCGGTTCGCCACGCCTGGGAAGAACGAGTTTGGGCGGTACATCAAGGTCAACGACAAGGTTACCATTCGTCAGTTGCACTTTTCGTTTCGTCTTATTCCTGCGCAGAACACGACCAGTGGGTGCAGGACCAAAGTGACGCGTCTCGAGTGGTGTTTCGGGAGGTAATGAATAAAACGTTGATGTAGGTGTCTCTGGTTCAGGATCAAATACAACTGCCTGGCCATTGGGAAGATATCCACGCTCAGAATAGTATGACGTCTCCGCGGCATAATCGTGTCCGAGGGCGGCCTTCTCATGATCATAGGAGTAGCGGTGCTCGGGTTGGCCAGTATAGTGAACTGATTCGTTACCGACAACGTAGTAGTCTTCATCATCAACTGCGGGCGTCGGGGAACGTGAACGTGGTGGGCGGTATGACACTCGCGAATAGTTTCCGGACGCATAGGCTTCTGTGTCGTGACGGAAGTGATCTACTTCCCCGGCGGAAAGTTCACGGTCGTAAGTTGAGAGGTATGATTGATCTAAGTGCGGGGGTGCGTGGTATGGTTGGTCATTATTGTAGGGATGTCCTCCAGGTTCGACAGCAGCCAGTGGTGTAGGTAATGATGATAAAGGCGTGGTAGGGTCGTAGAATGGGTCCGAGTGTGTCGAAGATGATAGCGCAGTTTCCGATACAAGCTGAAGTGTTTCTCCTGTCATTATAGGTGCGAGGTATTGGCCCGGCTGGTATGGCGTATATCCACCTGCAGAAGAGTGGGCGGAAGAGTGGTCGGACGACTGCATAGACGCTGAGTGGCCGTGGACAGAAGACGCAACCTCTTGGAAGGGATCTGTTTGACCAATAGGTCGTGCATTCGTTTGATTTTGCTGCACAAGGTAGTCGGTTGAGTCGTTGGAGCTGTTATGTGCGGTGGGTGCGTCGGAGAGGCTATAACGTGCAATCTGAGGGTCCGCTGGTTCATGAAGTTGTGTCGTCTCGTTTGTCCTAGATTCGGTTTGTGGTACCGCCTTTCTTCGGGAGGCCATGGATGAGTTCGCGACGGTGTGGAATGAGATTCCGCAGCGTTTGGTTGGTTCAGTGTTCCGTTCGGAATCAGAATGAGACGCGCCGGTCACATGACCGCGTCTTCTTGGTAACAGTGTCACAAGCTCATTATGTCACGCCATGCTCGCTCCGCCCCCAGTCCACGAGGTTTTCGTTGATCAATGATACTATTCAAGTGCTGTTCATACGTCCTCATCATGATGTTCTAACACTACTACACCCTCTATTCTACCTTCCTTGAAATGTGAGTTCTATCTCAATTCTCGCTGTATCCAATTCGTGAACCAGGTTTAATAGCTGTCCACTTATTCTCGAGGTTCACCACCCGAGCGCTGCATAATTCTGGACCTGATATCTGTCTCAATATCAGCTGCTGCAAGGCTGTCGACTTCCTATAGAAGGCTGACGTATGCGTAGGGTGACGAAACACACGAGGCCGCTCTGTTAAAGCAGTCGTCCACGCACTCTCTTCGTGCTCTCATTGCAATGTTCATTCACTATCCGTCTATCAAAGATCACTTCTCTCTCCAATATCTCTCTCTACGATGGACGTGACCTTCTCTATTCTAACGGGCTTAGGCCTGCGTATGTTCCTATCCACTGCAGCCAATGAAGAACCGTCGAATGCGCTCACGACAGCGCTCCTCGGCCTATGGGAGGGTCTGGTCGTTCACCAACTTTCAGGACGCTCATCATCACCACCTCTCGATCATGTCCTCGCATATGGACTCCGCCTCGCAGTCGATCTTCTAATTTTCAAGAATTTACGAAGGATGGTTGTAGTTTTGCTATGGGCTGCATTGGGTGGTTTGGTTTCCGAAGCCATCGTCCCCCATGCTAGTCTACGTTCATCCCTGAAGAAAGCAAAAGAGCGCGAAAGGGACAGAAAACATAGACGTGCCCGGTCAACTCCAGCAACCATCCCTATCATCCCAACGCCTCTTCCTCCCCGAGTTCGGGCGTACCGACAGCCCGAAGCCACTGCTCGAGGGCCCTCACCCTCGCCACTCCTACTCCCACCCGATGCCCCAACCCAAGGATCTACGTCTCCTTTCCCTTTTGAACGGCCTGCGACACCTCCTAGTTTCTTCCTTCAGGAAACCTCAGAAACCTCGTTAGTATCCCCAAAGCCAGCCCATGTCCCAAGCCTCCCACCAATCGAATCGTCCCCACGAGACGCCCTCCCTGTTCGACCTCCTTCGGGCCTTGCGTCCATATTCGACCGCTCGCCTGACTCAGGCTCACCTCTTCCTGTTCCCATACCTCTGCCCACCCCCCCGGAAAGCGCTCAAAGTGCTGTTCCTTCAGATGGATTAGTCGATGGTGCTGTTAATGAGGTATCGAATGATACCCAAAAATCGCGCTTCGACAATCAGCTGTACACAATACCAGAAATATCATCGCCCGAAGACAGCAGCACGCCACAGGGAAGTCGAGAACATCAGGAAGATGAAGGCGGAGAAATCTTGGCTCAATCACCACTTCCCCACTTCCTGTCCACAACTAGTGCGCCGTTGCCCGTACCCAATGTCGCGATACGAAGTCGGTCGTCCAGCAGCGTATCCAGGTGGCTTTCATCCCAGGCCGCCAACCCAAACGCGGATGCCATTTTCACAACTCCGTTCTCTCCATCAACGTCTCCTCTACCTGTTCGCATGCATAACGGCGACCACCTTCAGGAAAAATCCGATGAAGTCCTCGACAACGACAATGGTCATGACAGTCCGATAGACAACGGAGAGCAAAATGGCCCGAACAGCCCATTGGGCAAAGAAACAGACGGCCATGCTAATATCAACGACAGCGACAGCGACGAACTACGCACACCCGGTGTCCGAGATGCCTTACTGATGGAGACAGATAACGGACATGATTCCGACCCTTTACTCACCCCGAGGCATCTCCGCACAGTGGCAGACCCAGCAGATGATATGCTCTCACCACTAGGTCTCGATGTAAAATCCGGTTTAGACGAGAATTCCGATTTCAATGCAAACTCGGGCGACTCTCGACCAGATTCTCGATCAACTCCTGAGCCTACGGCGGATGTAAATAACCTTCCAATTCCTGGTTCTTTGTCGCAAATCGTCTTACTTCAACCCCCACTACCACCGTCCGGCCCGTTATTCCGGGTCCCAACCCCTCCACTCGAGTCACCACCTGCGCCTTCTCCCTCCACTATTCATTCTGGACTGAGCGACATATCTACACTCTCTACCCGCATTCCAAGCAAACTCTACAGCCGTGCGGATGAACTACGGCAGAAAGCAAGGGATGACGAGAAGACAAGAGCTCGATTAGAGGAGCAACGGAAAGTGGCGGAGATGGAGGGAAGAACGATGGATGCCCTTTTGCTGAAGGTTAAGGTTCGTGATATGGATATTGAGTCACAAAGGCTGCACGAGAAGGCTGCGAGGAGGTACTTTGCCTGTAAGCATACCACACTAGTCTTGATGCAGGTGTACTGAATATTCTTATTGATCAGCTCGCAACACTCTTGAAATCTCCAACAAGATAGATGTTCATGGACTACGTCCTCGTGAGGCGTTTGATAGGATCGAACGGGCCATCATTCAAGCCAGCAAGGAAGGGAAATCTGTCGTTCGTGTCATTGTTGGGAAAGGGCTCCACTCTGCGAACAAACAGCCTACCTTGAAGCCAGCAGTTCTACGGGAACTTCAGAGGTGGGTCATGCTCTATCGGTATTGTTCGATCGCCTGACATCTTGTTATTCAGACAAAAGATCCCTTGTGAGATCGATCCTCGGAATCCAGGAGTGTTGAACATAACGTTGCCTCCTACCTCTTCCACTTCATGATTTCTCTCCCTGCTTTGGGGTGCCGTGTGAGTGATTTCTGACTTGCATTACTGTACTATATTTATTAGATCGGGTTTTGTTCAATGACATTCATGAACGTGGAAGTACTTCTGTATCTTGAATTTAGTAGATAGTTTTTCTTTGCTGTTGCTGTGCCTCGGATTTCTCGCTCTCCATGACGCTTTCTTCTTGTTCTCTCCATTGCTCTGCCGTAGACGCAAGGATATCTGCTCGAGACACCAGAATGATTAGGCTCCTATTGTGGATCACGAGGGTGTATGTGAATGTTGGGTTCGTTCGAGCGCCGTCACTTCTTCCTTGTCCAAATCTTTCTTACGTCCACTGCCCACTCCCTTACGCTATCCCTAGACAGGCTAGAACCGTCGACCAGTGATGATGTTGACAACTATCCGCAACTACTACTCTCAAGATGGATCTGTGACTTCAGGAAACTTGGCTCACCCTCGCGGGTCTTACCACTCCGTTGTGTTTGCGGTTCAACGGCAATAATACCTCCTTTGCGCGTCCTGGGACCCTAAGGGCTCTCTTGCTTACGACGTTTATGCGAATCGAATGGCAATCCTGGCGTCTGCATGTAGGCATCGGTCTTGGATTCCCTTGGATTCTGCCGACAAGAGAAAAAATCAAACTTCCCCAGCTGTTCTAGCTTCCTGCTATTTCTCCGTGTATCTCTTGGAGCTCATTCACGGAGTGGAAGCCGCACGCAGAGGCCGTATTGTAGCCATCGTCGAGACAACGGCCGCTTCTCCGATAAAATCGTAAAAAAGAGAGCTCTCGTTATACAGCGTCATACTTTTCGTAAAAATGGTGCGTGTTATCAAAAAAAAAAATCAATAAACCCCTGGGATGAGCATATAGCGCACTTTCGTGGCCCAGTCATCCCACTCGGCCCCAAACGTCTTCTTCAGCGCTTCGTCCTCCTTTGACATGCGCGACAGCAATCCGGTTACTATTGTTGATACTAGCCCCAAGTACACCAAGGCTGACACCAGCCCCAGCTTGGTGTAGAAGATGCCGCATTCTCGTGCCCAGGAACCCTGCGTTGATTTGTCTTCACTGTGCTAACGCAGCCTCTCAAACATGCACGCACCTCGCTTACATGCCAAAAAACAATGCCAGTGACCGTCAAAAGAATGCCCGAGTACCCGGGGTGCCGTACGACTGCATAGGGCCCATCTGTGATGAGTTGGTGATTCTTGCGGATGCTCATCTCAAAGGTGAAGAGTCGACCCAGGGCGCGATAGCACGACAGCCTGACGTATCCCCCAAGGCTGGTCATGAAGACGCCTAGAAAGAATAAACCTGTATTCCTGATCCTTTCCGGGTGTCCAGTGGGAGCGAGACTGGACAGAATGTACGAGGAGATGGCCCAGTCTGGAAAGTGCGAGGCCAGTATGACGGCCGACTCAGCGAACGCTCCGGCCCAGCACACGCTCTGCATTCGAAGAAATCTATCATTTAATGGTATGCTTCAAAAATACTGGATAACCGTACCCTGACGAGCAGCGGCCCTGCTCTCTGCTTGAGGACGACCTCCAAACTCGTCGATGGCGCACCCTCGTTTGTGGATGGCGGATCGTGTGGAGGTGTCGTCGCTTTTTGGAACCCGAGCATGGCGACAAAGGCCAGGGGAATCCGGAGGAGGGCTGTAATCATAGTGTTGAACGAGGGGGGTTAATCTCCTGAAGTTTCGGGAACGAGTCTTTTATACAAGGAGGTAAGTCGTGTGCAAAGGAAGCCCTTGGAAATTGAAGGAACACGACGGCCGGGTTCTGCTGCCCTGATCTTGAAATCATCAGGATGAGTAAAGCCTGTGAAGAAGAGGGGAAGGCAGCAAGCGGGTGCGCTTGGTCGTACAGCTCAGGTCTGTCTGGATACCTTGTGTGCGTAGAGAAGGATTCAAGGTCAACCCTTACTGATCCTTTTCTTCTTCCGTGCAGCAAGCCTGATCTTAGCGAACCCAGTGATCCATTTGGCACCGCTCCTTAACGCATCTCCGCACCGAATCCATGTATCCGTCTGGTAAATTTCTTGAAGGGGTTCTCGCGTGCTTCGTGACCCACAAATTGCACACTGCCGTCGATGACGACAAGAAGGAAGCGCGCTCCGGTGGAAGTATCACTGTCCGAACATGTTCGCCAGAGTCCTGGCTTGTGCACCATAAACTTCACCAGCCTCTTCCTTGACCTATCTTCTTCCTTGACCTATCTTGACTATGCGGATACTTTACTTCTTAAATACGCTCTCTCTCTGAGTCGCAAGGCATCGGTTCTGGACTGCAACGTGTCTTCAGGAATCTGAGTGTCTGGGATAAGTCAATGGACTATAATGAGAAACCTTTGATTGGAAAATTTTCTACCTGAGCACGTTGCCCTCCGAAATCGGACCTCGCCCCCCCAGCCCACCTTGTAAGGAACACATGTTTGCATTCGAATTGAAAGGTTTGCATGTCTCGGGACGTGTTCCCGACTAACTGTGGTCAGCGAGAAGATAACAAATCAATGTGATAATATCATCGCGCACTTGATTATATTAACGGCAGCGGCCTATTCTCCGGATAGTCAAATGTGAATCATAAGAGTAGGTGTTGAGGATCTACACTAACGTTCCAATACACCTGGACCCACTGATGGATCTCAGGACAGACGAAAACCCTGGGTACCAGAAGGGGCTCTTTCTCCCATCACGACTCTAACTGTGGGCGACAGGCAGCCACAAGGCTCCCGGCAATGTCAGGCTTCTGCTCTGACGTATGGCAACCCTTAGGTACCTGACAAACGGAGGCAGATTCTTTGACAGAATTTGGAAAAGAAGGTTCCAACTCAACTTGTCGATTTTGGGCGTCCGCGAAGCGTTTGTAGCAAGACTTGGTTCGAGAGCGCTACAAATCGTCATTTATCAAGGTTCAGATGGGCTTAACCCTGTCCTCGAGGCATGGGGTCTGTAAGGTATTAATACCTATCAGTGATGAACCATCATGGAGGAAAGCGTCGTTTTGGGAGTGTGTTTAAATGCAGGGTGGGCCGTCCAAGGCCCGTCCGCACTTTGGGCTCGGAAAAAGGCGTGACGCGTACCTGAGGGTTAACGAGGAATAGACATCGGCCACTCATAGGCACATCATGGGGTGATTCGCATAAAACCATATGATCTAAGTGAATAGATAATGGGGTGTCAGCATAAACTTCAATCCTGTATGATGCCTGCTAGACTCGTCCTGAACCCGAGCCATGGTTCGGGACTGGGTTTGCCTAAAGTACACTGTGAAGGCAGCACGACAGAACAGTAGGCTGACAAGAATGGCCTTTTGCTTGAAATTTCTTCCTTATTTCTTCGCTGATACCAAGGCCATGAGTCTTGATTTGCAGCCTCTAGAATCACCTCAAAAGAACTGTTGGTTGTACAGGATACGCACGCTGGGCAGAAAGGTTGAGTCATAAGGAAAGCATATAAAAAAGGTGAAAGCTTACGTTCCAGGATTTGAGTTGTGCACTTTTTTCTTTCTTGTGAAAGCATGGCACACAAAGAGGCGCTGCATATCCTCCAGACATCTACAGACGATGTTGTGTTGATGGCACGAAAAATATGCCATGGTGTCAATCGCTATTGAGAGATACATTTCAGGCGAGATAATCATGAAATAGTTCTTCTGTGAACGTACCAATCACCCCGATATTGACGTTGGCAACATCCATTGGCTTGCCAGTAACAGGGTTCCCAAGCAGCATAGTTTTGAGTGGTTGCAAATTCCGACTTTAGCAGCTCGATCTAGTCTGCAAGAAAGTCATAGATGGTGAGTTTCGGTAGAGGGGCTTAACCAACAGAGTTCTAGGTCTAGCCCATCTAAGTTGTTGAGGATGGGAACTATATAGCCTTCAAAAAATGCCGGAATCCCCTTTGTTCTAGGTGGCTCGTCCCAATAGAAAGCAGTCGGCCAATGCAAGTCAAAGAAGAGAAATGTTGGCTGCTGACAATCCTTCGGGGTTTAGACGTTCCCGCCGCATAGACCTAAGAGAGGAATGGAATAAAATTATAGCAGTTTCAGCATCAACTCGCTTCAAGACCGGATTCCAGTCCCTAGACCTAGCCACGAAGATTGAAGGTGCGCGTGGATGATAAGTTGGCATCTTCTTTAAATCGTATTTCACACCAAGGGCGTGAGCTTTCACTACGAGTTCATTTCGCAGGTGCAACATCTAAGGTCCTATGCGTATGGAAAATGCGATTCGGCAACGCGGTTCTACTTCGAAGTACAGGCGAAAACATCGTCGTCGGGTTTAGACGGATTCTGAGTTCAGAACGTTAATGTTCTGATCTTGACGGAAGAAGAAGAGATCTTACGCGTCAGAATATTGTTGAGCTTGGTAACTCGAGATTGCACGCTCAGGTCGATAGTCTTGTCACCGAAGTCAACGATGAGACCACCGAGGACGGAAGGGTTGACCTGTGCCGTCGAACACGCGTCAACTACCAATCTTATACTTTGCATGGCTGTCAACGCACCTTGTTGGTAATTTTGAGAACCTTAGCGGCCTGAGCGGTCTGGGACTGCTTCAGAGTTGTTTCCAAACGTGTCAAGATGTCCCTCGGCAGAGGGGCAGCAGACGTGACGGTGACGGTCAGCTCGCCCTTATATTCAGCAACGAGCTCATTGAAGCCCTCAATAACACCCTCCGTCTCGCCCAACCTTCCGTTCTCTGACAACACGTTGAACAAGTTCTTGGTGATGTCCGACACCGCATCCTTCTTCGCGCCAGTTCCCTCGAGCTTAGTGAAGACAGCCTGGAGACCCTTGTTCCGTTCCTGCAGCGACAAGGTGGGGTTGTTGATGAAGGTGCCGACTTCTGGGTCCTTCTTGATAGCAGCGGAGACGTTGGCGAGCTCGGTGTGGACTTTGTTGAGGGTGGCCGGTGATTTGGCAAGGGCGGCTCCGTAGACGGCCTTGGAGTATTTCGAGGCGATAGCGGAGGCTGCGCGGCGGCCCAAACCGGGAGCAGCGGACACTGAGCGTGCAGCGGAAGTGAGCAACATGGCTGGGGTAGGGAGGAAGGAACGGAACGATGGGAACGACGAGCAGGACGAAAACTCGGTTGCCCGCGGGTTCTTCCGGTGTGGTCACTGACCGCGGGAATTTTTCAAATCTAATGGTTTGATAATTGATTCTTTTGAACACTTCAAGTTCAAGTTCAAGCAAGTATGCTTATGAGCTCACCAACGATATGTCATTCGACACTCCATCAGCCGAAAAGTCAGGAGGGAAAGCCGAATGTTTTACTCGGATTCTCTTAGAGGGGATCGGCCTCCATTGGCACCAAGGTAAAGTGAAAGCGCACTGAGACTGCAGCCATTCCACGCAGCACAACCTCCTTGCCTCGTGTAATGTGCTGTGCGCAACAATGGTGGCCACGGCCGGGGTGTGGTGTGGAGATGCCAGGCGAACTGCGGAGTCAAGCCGAGGATGGGGCGGCTGTGAGGTTGAGTAAGCATTCTTACAATGATAACTCCGTGGATTCTGTTTTCATCAAGTTGGCCGACGCACACCTCGTTTCTTCCTTCTCCCCCATAGCCTCGACAACACGCTGAATGCACGTTGTCGCGTTCTCGATATCACTCTGAGACCGCTTCCAGGACACAAAGGCGCCGCAATCTTAGAATTTTAGAGCCTCGAAGCCTATCCCCGTTTCTCCCACAAAAGAACAATAGCCCTTGTCTCTTCGGCAAAATCTCCCTGACGCCATACGGTAAACAGCACAATGAACTCTGTTCCGCCGCCTCCTCCTCACCGCCCTTTATAGAGAACAATCTCAGCATTCGAGCCACCCACCTGCATCGTTCACGACCCGCCATTCATGCCTTCTCCTCTCGCCTGGCCGCGAGCTCTTGCTATCTCTCTGCTTTCTCTTCTCACCCTCGCGCCTTATTCTAATGCCAGAGAGGAATCTTTATGTGAGTGTTGGCCCTGGGACGACCTCGACGCGTTGTCTGACCGAGCACCCTCCTAGTTACGTCGTCTGTAACATATTGCAACCCGCCAGAGACACTCCTCATCCAACGCTTCGAGATCGCCTACTTTCCTTCCAATACTTCCGTCTCCTTCAATGTCTCCGCAGCCAGCGTCGTATGTTTGCAAATTTTCTGATATCGAGCTCCGTGTCTAACTTGACGTCATACGCCACAGCAACCCAATGTCAACGTTACTGCCAACCTCTTCCTCAACGTATACGGGATGAACCCTGTCAATGTCACCCTCGATCTTTGCAACATTCTCAATGGCGCGCTGTGTCCACTTCCGATGTACAACTTCACGGGTGCAGATTCTCTGACGCTCCCTGCCTCCTTGGGTGTTGTCGACCGCATCCCCGGAATCGCATACAAGATTCCAGACTTGGAAGGATTCGCTCAGCTTACGCTAACGGAAGTCCAGACTGGCACTGTCAGGGCATGCGTGCAAGCTACTCTCGCCAACGGTCGGTCAGCACACCAACCTGCTGTAGAATGGACGACAGGTGGAGTGGCGCTTGCAGGACTATTGGCAGCTGTTTGGCAATCCATCCTATCGCCCGACTCTATCCTCCCATTCCGCCTCCTCGAGCTCATGTATCTCTATCAATCGATTGCGAGCAGCTCATTCCTCAACCTCAACTACCCTTCGGTGTATCGCGCATTTGCCCTTAATTTTGCCTGGGCGTCGGGGCTGATATCCACTGGGTCGGAGTCGTCTCTGCAAAACTCGATTAATCGCATGCGTCATCTCACAGGAGGCAAACTCGCCGACGCCAGCAGTGGTTCCGCCGTCGGGCTCGTCAACCGCAAGCTTAGTCCATACAATTCGCCCAGCACGAATTTAGCGGTCCAAGATTCGTTCGACAATTTTGCTACCACCTCCAATCTATTCGAAGGAATCTCCTCGGCTACTTTCTCCGGCCTGAAGGAGTCGAATCTCTCGACCTACATCAAGGCAAACACTCTGGAGACAATCAAGAATGGCGAGGTTCAGACGGTCACAGCCGTTTCATCAAATGTTCTTCAAGCAGGAGTGCCAATCTACGTCAACTCCATCCACATCGCAACTGCGAACGCATTCATGACTGTGTTCCTTATCGTTCTATGTCTTTTTGCCATCGCCGCGGCCGTGTTCGCTATTGGCTATGGCATCATGTCCCTGGTGGAACGGAAACGGTCTCGGGCGCATAAGAGCGCGGTACCTCTCGGCTTCGATTGCCCGTCCTTCGTTATGTCGTGGGTCCTTCGCTTGGTAAGCTGTCGTTAAATATCACCCTCCGTCCCTTTCTTAAGTCTCGCTGTTCTATTTAGGGCCTCATTGTATTGTTTCCTCTTCTGATTTTCATCTTCTACCAATGGACCCTCGACGACTCCTGGCTTTCAATTTTGTTGTCGGTGCTCACGTTCCTCGCGATCTCCAGCCTCATCATCTACCCCTCTTACGTTACCCTTCGATTCGCGCGTCAAGAATCACCCTTTGCTCTCTACAACAAAGACTCCCAACAGCTCGCTCGATATGGGCCGCTTTACGCGCAGTATCGGGTGGAAAGATACTACTTCTTTCTTCCTCTTCTCGCCGCCTTCTTCCTGCGTGCGTTGTTCATCGCTTTCGCCAAGGGTTCCACAGAGGCCCAGCTTTCCTTGATGATCATCGTCGAGTTCGGCCTTGTCGCGGCGCATTTCGTCCTGAAGCCGGCACACACCAAGGGCGGAGATGTCTTCACGAGTTACTTGGCGATCACGCGCTTTGTGTGCACCGTTCTGATGATCGCGTTCATCCAGCGCCTCGAGGTCAAAGCCATTCCCCGCGTGGTCATCGGCATCATCGTGGCCATCGCCTGGTCCTTTTCCGTTTTGGTTGTCATTGGGAACATCGTGTGGAATCTTGGGCTTGTATTCCTAAGGAGAAGAGTACGGAGGGACAGGAACGACAGCTCGTCCACACTTGGCTCGCCTGCCAGATCTGACGGCTCCATGTTGGAAAAGGGCATCCGGGGCAATCACAATGGGAGCACGAAAAGTGGACATGATGAGAAAAATGACCCTTCGGTTTCGTATGTGAATGCCGCAGACGACGCTTCGGACGCGATTGACGAGGTCGCCCGTTCGCGGCCTATCAATCCTACGCCCGAACATAACATCCTTCTCGACCCTTACATCCTGACACCTTATCCTATATCGCCGACTGGATCAACAGTAACCACCATGGACCCACCAAGCGTTTACACGCGGGATTCCGGGACACTGACGGTTGGCAGCCTGCTGCCTCGTCGTTGGAGTTTTTCGTTGAGTCAGCCTGGGTCGCCTGGGAGCTCGAGTCTGGGACACCAGCAACAGCGTGGTTCGTTGACATCGTCGCTGCCGCCGTCGACGCCGTCGGACGCCAGCCATAGTGCTGGCGTTTCGAGGAACACGTCAGTCAGAGTGCAGCATCATCTGCAGACGCATGAGGATATCCAGGAAGAGGAGACAACGTCACATTTCACAAACACATCACCATCGACAAATCCTGCAGCAGCACCGACAAAGGCGCCGGTTCCGGTATCATAGCCTAGACTTCATCTATTCTATATCACCTCATCTCAAGGGCGCCAATATAGAGAGCGTCAATCTCATCCGCAACACAAACAATCACTCAATCTGTATTCTACTTATTTTTTCCGTCTTCATCTTGTCTTTGATGCATTCATCTTTGCAATGTTTTCATATCAACCATCATCACTCCCATCCTCTCCATCGTCGACTTCTGTGCCAGCCTTCTATCTTACCTTTGCAATCTGGCCCCACCACACTCCTTTAATGAACGGCCGATATGTATAACTTACTTATCATCTTAATCTATTTTCTTTTGGTCGTATGCTAGTGCAGAGACATTGATGGCGTATATGTACCAATAGTTGCGGACACTTTGGTTCTTTCGTTAGATGGGTTGCAAAAATGAAAACACGACGTTTCCTGAGAGATCCCGGGGCAAAACGAAACATTTTTGAGCAGCGCTGGAGCTGTCACAACGGTGAAAGGCAATCACCGCGATACCCTGTTCGCAGTCGAGCGATGTACGCTATGGCTTTCTTACCGTGATGTATTTCAGCTGTTCTTCATTCTCCCAGATCCAGATACAGCAGAGAAATGCCGAAGACCGAAGTACAGTAGTAATCAAAAAACCCATCAACCGGACACCAGCAATATTGAACGTTAGCAGGCCATTTTTCGATTTCGACATGGCGGTTTTCGTGTGCCCCGTCTTCCACATCTAAAATGTGAGCTGAAGGAGCCATATTCAGGTCGACGAGACTGGCCTTCGTGCTTCGAGGTGCAAGTGAGAAAGCCGTGCTTGTGGGACAATTTCAAGAGACGCGCCCGTCTTAGCGAGATCGACTCGAGACGTTCTATGTATCTGCTTTGAACGTCTCACAAGCGAGTTCTAGTGATGACTCGCCACATGTGCAGGCGAAAAAAACAGATTCTCTTCTTCGTCGTAGTCCGACCCGCTCTCATACATTAGACCCTCTGCTAGGTCCTCAATGCCCGTCATTAAGTCATCCAGGGTCTTCATGGCACCGATGAGTCACCAAGCTTTGCAAATCGCGGCTCGATCGACGAACCATGGTGGTGATGTGTGTGCCAACACTCTCTCGCCCAAAGCCCCGGATAGCCAGCTGTCGCAGGGCGGGGAAAGTGAACCTATCTAATAAAGTTGAATAGCCCGGTCCGTCCACGAAGTCCAAGGTGAAATGCTTGACGCTTGTGAAGGTTGCAGGAGAGAAGCTGGGGATGACAGATTCATCATCATCATAGTTCGAGTAGCTCTTCAATATCAGAGTGTGCAACTTATGGGAGGAAGTAATCAGAGAGGCCAATGACTCGCAGTAGGCCTTGTCCTGTTGATATGTACGTAATTGGGTCCACGGGAGTTTGGCCTTCGCACGACCGCGGATGATAGCATTTTGTAGAAGAGGTGCATCCGGGAACAAATCGACTTCCTCGTGTTCGACTTGAAGAGTGACATTCAGCCTGCGCAGCAGTGGCAGGCGACCTTTGATTTGATTGAGTCGTTTGCTCCGAAAAATTGCACCGACAAAGGTCTCTCAGCATTCCGAGCTTTCCAAAAGCAACTTGAGATCGGGTTCGTCGAATCTCAATGCAACGTCGTCAGAGAGGAACACGGACATCTCTCTAGAGGAGGTGCGGTTTAAGAGGATAGCGAACTGGCCTGGCCCTCGATCCTGGCGATGGAATGCGGAAGACGCATAGAGACGAAATGCATGTGGGTCCATAGCACCGACGTCGATAGTGCAAGGTCTCTCCAGCGATGGCAAATATGGCTCAGGGTGGGTGATGGTCGAACCAATCCTCCTCTGGTAGTTCAGCAAGGTAATAGTGAAGAAATATCTTTGCGAGCAATTCCGTTGGCAATCGTGCGATAGCAGGTAATTCTGCAGACATCCTTGATTCTCGATGCTGTCTCAAATGATCAGCAAATGAAGAGGCCTCAGTGACAAACTCACGACGGACGGGAAAAGGCGTTCTATGTATTGTGCGGTGAGAAAGACAAGGGGACACGAGGACCGAGGACCGAGGTGAAGAGGAGACAAAGACTCTCCGGAAGAAAAGGTTTACATAAAAAGTCCGAAGCCAGCTCACGAGGTGACTCGTTGACGCGGTGACGATACTCACGCCGTTAGGGTTGCGAATGTGTCTATGCCCAGTAGCGCTCATCCATAACGGAGTCACTTCTGAACTAGTACATTTCTGCACTTCATGTCATGACTGGTGGCTATGAGAGGTCGTGGGGGTATGTATCTTCCGATGAAGGAACACCTTACCTATATATCTATGATGCCTCGAGATTCTCATGTAAAGTGAGCGGCAGAACGGGATCATACCTCCCTACGACCTCTGGCACCCACTGGCGCTTTCCGTTTTTTAAACATGACGGAGGTCGCTGGCTGTTCCACAGGCAGGACTGGAGATAGGATAACTTCTTCAGCTTTCACTTTCTCCTGCGTCTCTACTTTGACTTCAGGTTCTGCATTCCCAAATATCGTCATCCGGTCCTCCTGCTTCAAGCTGGGTAGAGGCTCGCTCCACTGTGGTTTAGTCCATTTCGATCCTCCAGAGTCCGTTTCTTCCTTCTTTTCCTCACTCGTACTTGTGCCTTTCGCCTTCTTTAGTTGAATAGCGGTGAATTGATGTTGAGCGTCGCCAATCGGAACAGTCGAGGATGAGGGAGCAGGCGGAGGTTTAGATTCCACGCGTTCCTCTTTCGGTACCTCCTTCACTTTGATGACTCCGGGGTCATATATCTCACCAAGACCCGTATTTATCGTCCGTTTACGAAGCTTGAACGAACGAGCGTCATCTTCAGGAGGTGCCTCAGCCTCCCTCTTCACACCGATATCACTTGTGGCTTCCGAAGATGACTCCGGGGTTTCTGACCACGGTGCACCTGCAGGGGGTGGCGGCGTCAGAATTTGCCATTCGCCGGCAACACCCTGTGAGCGTCGAATTTCGAGTTCGGCAGCGATCCTTTCGGCATCGGGGTCTGTGTATCCAAGCGAAGCGGCTGTACTGTAGTCAGCGAAAGGGTTGGATGACTTGAGTGGCTTTTTCGCTGAAGTGGACGCCGAGGTCGACGCAACTGGCCCTGAGCGTGCTTTTGCCAAACCTGCGCCGACATCCTGGGAGAATGCAACGGCGGCAGCCTACCGGAGAATTCATGAGATGTAGCATTTTTTACAGCCGCCGAACCCTACGCACCTGTTCAACACGTCTCATCTCCCTCATCTCCTCCTCGAGATCCTTCTTCTGCTTCTCTCCAGTCTTGTATATGCCTCGAATGAAACGCTCGACATTTCCCTTATGCCGTAGGCCATTCTCGTGCTGTTGTCTAGACGGTGCATCGTCCGCAATGAAGATGTCGCAGTATTTGCAGAAGTATTTCTTTTTGGATACCCAGTATTCGCTCATGATGGAAGAGGACAAGAGAACGGGATCGTGCGGTCCGGGGATGAGCCAATCAATACCCTTTAGTCACGTGTGCGTAATTGCGTTGTCGCGTCAAGTCAGTCTTTCGTCTCGACCTCTCCTCAAAGTCGCTGCCGTTCGACGACAACGGCCCACATTGACCCCGATATACTCTTTTTTTTTTATAGCCACCCGAAATGACTGTACAATGCTCTATCTGCCTATCGACCCTCAAGCACCCAGTCTGTCTGCCTTGTGGTGCGTGTTCAGTCTCAGCCTGAAGGCTAGAAATCAACGCTTACCATGCCCAGGACACCTTTACTGCAGAAGATGTCTCAACGACCACGTCAATGTACCAGGAAACCACGGATTGACTTCTACGTGCCCTGACTGTCGAGCCACCTTCAACCTCGGTGAGTCCTCACTTCTCTAGTGGCAATTCTAGTGTTCACCCCGCGACGCGTCTTCCTCTAGTGGTCCCTGACGTACGCATCCAGCCTCATGATTCTCAATCACTGACCCAACTGACGTGCCTATAGCTCAACTACCTCCCCGAGAAATATCACCCTTTCATCTCTCATGCCGTCCGTCGTGTGTACCTCGACACCTCCGCATACACCGACCTCCAAAAGCAACTCAAACATGTTGAAGCGCGTCTCGCCCGCAGGATCGCTTCAGAAGAAGAGTTCATGCGTCGCTGTGAGGCTCTGACTGCTGCCCTCAACGCCCATCGCGCTGGCGAGGCCGAAGCGAACGAGAGGATTAGCGAGATAGAGGACGATTTCTATGAAACGGAGAGAAATCTGAAAGAACAGATTGGCGAGCTTACAGCGCGTTGCGAAGAGCTCACCATCGAGAATGCCCGAGAGAAGAAAGAAGCCAAGTCGCGGCGCAACAAGCAGAAGACATTGCAGGAGAGGTGAGTCCAGTCTACAGTTTAGTCCCTATGCCCGACTTAGTGGATCGGGATTTTGAAACCGGTGCTTCAGACTCGCAATTGCCGAGGCGCAGAACGCTGAACTCAAACAACGAATGAAGAGACTGGAGCGCGAGCGTCGCGAGTCGAATCAAGTTCTTTCCTCAGACGAAGATTCAGACGAGGAGTTGTTCTCGCCACTGGCACACCACCAAAGTGAATTTCTCTCTTTGCCGCGACTTATCAAGCCCTTGCCTAGGCGCCATATGGTGCGAGACAGAAATCACAGCCCTCCTCCTACCCTCCAGGATCGCCCAAAACGTATGCGGCTGGCCATCTGACTCCTGTGAGTAGTGAGTCGTTCATTCCCGATCCACGAAATGGTGAGGTGCAGGTTTTTATGCTTCATACTTGTTTCTGAAGTTTTGGTAGATGTCCTTTTCATGACTTGCCTTCTCTGAACTTCGTTTTGTCTCTCTTGAAGCCTTGTTCATGACTCTAATATTAAGCTATCCCCTCCATCCTAACCACGTCGAGCATCCTATGGCTTTGTTGTATTTATCAAAACCTTGTTATTTGTCTGCCACCCACCTATGCTTACAGTAAAAATCAGATATGTTATCTACTTACCTTGGTGGGTATGGAAGACTTGAGTCGGGGAAGATGGTGCTCACTTCGATACCTTATTTGGGATATCTACTCTTATGAGCGTCCGCTAACATGTGAAGAAGCCTCCACAAGACCAGCATATCATGGGACCATCGTGTGCACAGGAGTGCACCCATGCTTAAATAGCTCCGTTGGTCCCCTGCAGTCCGGTTGACCGCGTCCCTTCCGTCTACCCCAGTTTGACACCTGTACATTTTATTTCAAATTCCACCCCTTGTCTCCGAGTCCCCTCCTCTCCTTCATCCTCTCTCGTCATGGAGGCCTCAAATTCCAGTGATGCTCGGGCCGTCACTGTCACCGACGAGGACATGGTCACCAAGGACACCTCCATCGACTTAGACAAGAAGGGCGTAGGGAGTGCACAGATGATCGAGGCGTCGGAGGACAGCTCGGTGGGGTCGTACCGCCTATACAGGCGTCGCTTTGTTGGTATCACGGCTCTGGTATGTGTCCCACAATCTCCCTCTGTCACAGGACGCTCTGATCCATGTGATGCGTGCCCTGTAGGTCTTTCTGAACATCGTTGCGGCAATGGCATGGCCATGGTTTGGGCCAATATCGAACAACAGTGCGTCAGACACTTTCCGTCTCGGGTCTCGTGGTTCAACGGAGTTCGTAGTGGCCGAGGAGTTCGACATCACCCTCGACGAGGTCAACTGGCTTGGAAACATCGTTGCCTGCATCTACCTCCCTACAGCTCTCCTCATTCCTGTCGTTGTGTCAAGATACGGACTTCGTCGATGTGTATGCTCCGTTCTATGTCGTGTGATAAGTATCCCTATGTTAACTCACGCTATCTTCCAGTGCGAAATTGGAGCGGTTTCCCTTATCATCTCTGCATGGATTCGATACGCCGGGACAGCTCGCTCCCTTGGGCCCAGAAGTGCCTATGGACTGCTTATGGTTGGCCAGGTACATACCCCGCTCTACGTACCTAGTTTCTATCTGATAAACCTCCTTGGTCTAGCTCTTCGCGTCGATAGCACAACCAATCTACCAAGTCATCGGGCCTGTTTACTCTGAAGCATGGTTTGACCTGAAGGGAAGGACGACGGCGACTATGGTCATCGCGATTTGTCTGTATCTTCTCGTGTGGTGCAGTTGTGTACTCACACGATGATCAACAGCTAATCCTGTCGGAGGTGCGTTGGGTCAACTACTGAGTCCGCTTGTAGGCGATACACGACAATCAGTGGGACCTTATCTCCTTCTTCATCAAAACCTCTGATGAGCGTGATTGCATAGATCCTCGTACTGGGCATCATGGCCACAGCTGTTGCTCCTTTCGTTTTGCTCGTTCGAAGCAACCCTCCGACGCCGCCAAGTGGGCCTTGAACTCTGTTAGTCTTGATATCAGGCTCATCCATTCTTGCAGCCTATTCCGGTGGCCAGAAACCTCTTTCTCTCATTTCCCTGTGTCGTGCCATGCTCGGGTTGGAGGTCGAACCAGCAGCACACATGTCTGGAACGGAACGACTGGACTTCTTGATCATCGTTCTCATCTTTGGTGTTCTCGTAGCCGCGTAAGTCGATTTTACCCTTCCGTAGCAAACCATCATCTTGCGCCACATATTCGTTCAGATCAAACACGTTCTCGATCCTGTCAGCACAGCTTCTGGTGAGCCTGATTACTCTTCCTGAATTCTCTCTTCCTTTTCCTGATGACAGGTAGGAACCCGTGGGATACAGCGATGATGAGAGTGGCTTCATGGGCGCTTGCATGCTTCTGACCGGTATCGTCGCTGCCATCATCAGCGCACCCCTCTTCGACCGCGTCTTCACCCACCACCTGGCTCTCACGGCCAAAATTTTGGTCCCTTTCGTAGCCGTAGGGTGGTTCTCGTTGATTTGGGCGGGTAAGTACATCATTCTTCACTTGTGATCCCCTTGAATTGATCAACGGTGCATGATATTTTTAGTCCGGCCTGATAACACCGCAGCTCTCTTCGTCATCATGACCGTTATTGGCATATGCTCAATCCCAATGCTTCCAGTTGGTATTGAGCTTGCTTGTGAAGTAACGCGGAATGCTGACGGTGCTGCTGCAATCGTGTGGTTTACGTGCGTTCAATTGAATCTTGTATACGTGTTTTTTTTTAGCCACCTGATGCCTTTCCTCCTGATTCCTACAGCGGCAATCTCTTCGCCATCGCATTTGTGTTGTGTAAGTGCTTTCATGCATTCAGCCACGCAAATCAATGTAGCTCATACTTCTCGGACAGCAATGGGTGCTCTCCGCGCTGGAGAAGACGCCTCTCCACCACTCAACATGAAACGCGCTCTCATCTTCAACGGCGTCGTTGTCCTCGCTGTCTGCTGTTCGGTCTTCTTCCTCCACGGCCATCAGAAACGAAAGAGACTAGACGAGGAAAAGTTACAACAATCCCTAGCGATCCGGGGCCAGCTCGATGTCCTCTCACCTTGATTCATCGACTCTTCCTTGCACGACATGTTTGTATGGTATCTAGGGCTCATCTTGGGACCAGACATATCCAGTACCTTCACGCTCTAACGACTTTGTACTTTAGCTACATTACAATGCATTGCAAATCCAGTACATTTTTACATGGTGTAATGACGACCTAGCTGAGCTTGACTCGGTAGCTGCACCTGCTGGTAGAAGAGCTGGGCCTTGGAATCTCCAGCGCGACGCTGATTTACTGGGTTTTCAACCTTGTGGTTCGCTTTTTCTTCGCCTAGGCTTTGCACAGGACATTAGGATTCGAGTGATGCCCGAAAAGGCAACTTGTTTCCTATGCGCCACACCATTTACCCCAAGCCCAAATCCGGCCATTAGGTCCACAATACTCGAGTACGGGCTATATTTTGTTTCCAGTCCAGCGGAACACGCGAGTGACTATTAACGAGCACATTACCGTACTCATGTCCGGCGAGTAAACGTCAAGGGCATGCGAACGGGACTAGATATGGTTCATGAGTTGCAGCACTAGTAAGCATAGTACGGAGAATACACACGTGATTGTCATTCCTCTTCGTGTGGAAAGCACTCGTTCCTTTCGTTCTTCAAACGTCTCCCCTGCGAACGACGCTTCTTCCTTGATCGTGATCTTGTAGCGTGAGATGAGCATGGTCAAGATAGCTATTCCTTCCGTCTCAGCAAATCTGGATAGACGTGGTCAAGTACGGCAGAACGAAATAGAGCAAGTTACGCACTTTTTCCCCAGACATGCTCGTGCACCTGAAATGGTCGTTATAGTCAATAATCTACACACTTGGGCCGCGCGACTTACCTGAACTGAAAGGCAGGAATGCATCACGTGGCCAAACTCCCAGGAAGCGCTCAGGTTTGAAGGCATGTGGATCTTCCCAATAACGAGCTATAAGGCAGGGGTATAATATAAGCAACAGAGGCCAGAGCAGAACGACTTACGGTTATAATGAAGGCCAACAGCAGATAAAGAGACATGGCATCCTTTAGGGACAGGCACGTTGACCCGGCCGCCATTGATATCCACAGTTGTCAGAGTAGTGTCTTCAGCAGAGATTTTAGGGATGGTGGTAGCCTGATCCAGCATCAATAAATAGTTTTTCCTAGCGGATATGTGCGGACAAACAGGAGGGAAGAGTCGCAATGCTTCGTAGAATACCCTGAAAACAGGTAGGACGGTTCAGAGATGGTGACATTGTTCCATTCGCGGTTAGACATACGCTAGGCAATACGTTAGCTGCGGCATATTCTCGTACGTCTGTATCGTTTGCTTCGGCGATGTGATATTTGAGAACTCGGGCTTCTGCTCACCGGAAGACAATCTGAACCAATTGTAGATCGAATATGCTGATACATCTTCTCCTGTTCGTCGGAGTACAAAGCTAGCAGACCCAATGCGAAGCAGACCGTGTTCCCCGTTGTCTGGAATGTTGGATGTGAGGGCAATGATTGGCACTCAAAGTTAAAACGTGCCTCGTGCCCGGCTACAAGGAAGAGATAGATGTTACCTGGAATTCTCATGAGAAGGGTATATAAGGATAAGGATGGACTTCGCACTAATTAATCCATCCTCAGTCAAGGAAGGTCCATCAAGGTCGTTCGAGTTTGCTTCGAGCAAATTACTGAAGAGATCATGTCGTTCAACCTTCTCCGAAGTTTGGCGGTCATGAATCATTTCAGACATGTAGAGCTACCTTCACATGAGCACATGAAATAATACAGTAAGCGGGCAGCTTACGTGTAATTCCTCGAAGGCCAATTTTGTTCTTCGAAATTGTTTCGTGAGGGGCAACGCGCACTTAGGAACGACGATTTTTATAATGAAGTTTGTCGTGACTACATGGAGGGCCTCCTTGAAAGACATCTGGTGACCCGGAGCCATCGTAACGCCGTCCTCTGTCCATGAGATCTTCTTCCCAAAACCTGAATATATGTTAGATTAGTGGTGGGTGTTTAGTATTCGCGTAGGCAAACGTCCACTCCCCAGCTATGCTGATCACATAAAGTGTAATCTAAAGCAGAGTTGCTCAGAGATAGGGCAAATTCGAAGGAATGGAGGGACGTACAAGCATTGTAGTCTCCAAGAAGTGATCGACGCTGATGACATCTTTGTTCTCCCAGACTTCAGCGAAGAGACCTTCCATTATTTGCAAAGTCTCGTCCCAAACCAATTTATTGTTCCTCTGGAGTGATGCCAGGTAAATGAGCAGCTGCCCAGGATTTTGCCACGAGGGCGGCGTACATTGGAGAAAGCAGGAGCAGATATTTTTCGATATGTCTTCCATTCATCTCCTTCGGAAGCGACGATATTTCGGCCATAGAAAGTGAGGGCTTTATAGTGGTGAACGGGTTTTGGGAACCGCGCACGCGAGTATGCAACTTCCTGCAACCATGAAATTCACATAAATAGAAATTTGAGAAAGAAGAGATTGTGAGCGCACCTTGATTGCTGCTGCATCGGCGAGTACAAAGGTTGTCTGGATATTGTTACTGATAGAAACCTTCGCGGTTGGTTAAGATGATTTTTCTTCCTTGTCGTCTGAGGAAATAGCTTCTTACTACAGAATATATGTCACTGCCAAATAGCACAAAAGCTACAACCTCCTTCAGAGCGCTTGGATTTGAAAGCCAGTGAAAGGTCGAGACTCACGGTCATGTTTGCCCAGGAAGGCTGAATTTCGACCCAGAGATAGATATTTGATCTTAGGCAACAAGGAGCCGATGATATTGTCGAGGGAGAAAATTAAACGATGGCCAGGATGATTTCTAGGGTAGTTGAGCCCAGTATGACACCACATAGAAGTTGCTTATGTTTATTAAATAAAGTGGAGCACACGTACTTGATGGACTGAATAGCCCTCCAGAAACCAACGAACTTGTGGCAAGCATAGAGCAGACAAAACGAGCCAATTACGAGTTTGAGACCCATGAAGTCGAGGTTAGACGGGTGTGAGTTGGCCACTGTCGTACTCTATTTGAAGCTGCCCAGTATCCAGTCAACGGAGTCTGGATTATGTAGGAAGGCAGTAGTTGGACATCAGGAAGCAGAAGACGCGATACGATCAATGTCTGCCGTCCACCCAAGCAAAAAAGAATGCGTGTTGCATCGGCGTTAAATTTGTTCACCCGCCCAACAGACTTGTCGATAATGTGGTAGAGTTAGACTCAACACGGTTTGTCACGATAAACAATTCCTCGGGACCGCAAAGGTTGTATGGAGAGCCCTGGACAAATGCGACTGGCTGTTGAGGCCATTTGGTGAATTTTAGACAATTCTGACGCCGGAAATCGACTTGGACAGCACTGAGGGAGAGTTCTTAGAGAGTTCCTGATCACGCTGAGAAGGTCAACTTCGGTTCGACTGGGAAACTTCCGGGCCGACGGAGACCGCCCGAAAATTCCGAGTCGGAGCCAGAAACTACTTCATCAAGTTATCTTTCGACAAGCCTCATTATGAGGCAGCGGCAAACTCGAACTTCCGACAAGAGATATCAGTGAGTTCGTGAATTTGTCGCACAGCTCCTAACATGCTCACTGGCGTACGCAGCAACGAGCAGAACAGCCGCTGACGATGCCTCTCGAACCACCGATTTCTGTTGCCGCCGATTTTCCGATAGAACTTCTCTCAGAAATGTTCCTCTCTTATTACCATGTCGAAACTTACCATCGTCGAGACACTCATCTTCCCCCATGGAACCTTGGCCGTATCTCCCGTCATTGGCGAGCCGCTGCTCTCTCAACAACTTCCCTCTGGATGTGTCTTCCCTCAATCCCCTTCGACCGTGCACTCACAGAAACCCGGCCCGACGGTCCAGAACATATTGGCGCAGTTTTCCGCTTTGATAGAGCGTTCTTCTCCTCGAGGAATTTCTATTCACATCAACAAGAAAGACACGCTCGAGCATGACGAACCGCTGCTCGAGCTGTTGCTACAGTCCTCCAAGCGCTGGGAACAGGTGAAAATGTGGGTAACTGATGCGACCTACAGGCAGTTTAGTCCAATCAAAGGTCGGCTACCGCGTCTACGGTCGCTGGAATTTTCATTCAATAGGGGACTTCAGAACGTCCCCTTCGTTGATTTATTCGAAAATGCACCCAGGTCAGAAGTGGTCTCATCTCCATTTCTCGTCAATTTTCCCTTGGCGCAACTCGCGTATTTCGAACAAGATCTGCTACACCCTATCTTATTGCAATCGCTCTTGCCTGTAGCTCGTTGCCTGCAAGCATTGGTGTTTACCTCCCGATCCGCGGCCTTCGACACATTCCCCGAACTCAACGCAGGCCCCTTCACGATCAACACACTCGAATGTCTCATTATCAACTTCTTCGGCGGACAAGATTATTCTCGACTGGTCGATATATTGATTCTTCCTGTGCTCACAGAATTGGTCATCAGGTCTTTCGCTGAACAGTCCATCATCTCGCATGTTACCGACATGTTTCGTCGCTCGCGCCCAAATTGGTTCTTCACGATGAAGCCCTACTTTGCGACAAGGAGGTAGGACACCTGCTCGCTTTGACGCCAAACCTAGTCGAACTCGACCTCGAAAACCCCACCGCCTTAGACATGAGGCGATTGCTCCTTAATGCGGATAATACGAATTGGTCTCTAGTGCCCTGACTCAAGAGACTCAATGTCCATTTGTCAAGAGAATATTCTCCGATGTCGAGCCTCGGAATTCTTGCTATGGCCAGATGCGAGACTTCCTCCTGTACATATATGGAGTACCTACAGATCGACACTCAATCACCGCAGGCATACGTCCCACTCGTTTGTGGTTGGAGGCCCACTGTTGATTATCCGTTGGAGGATCTGTCCGCATTCTCGTCAGAACTCGAAGGGAGAGCTGACAAGTTGATGAATACCGATGTGGCAGACGAAATTGTCGTGCCGACGCAGAAGAAGAAATAGAGGGGTGTATCTCAACTTTGCAAAGCCTCAAACCACATGTTGCTGCTGTTCACGCCTTTTTCGTATGTTATTCTACATTGACGTATTCAGGACGCTGATGAAGCACCTTTTCTCAGGTCAGCAAAATATACGCCAACATCTACCTGATCCTGGTGAGCGGTCCTCTGAGAAAACCGTTACTTCCGCATGCGTACATTGAGCGTATCGATGCGATTGTTGCGCCATGGAAGGACTTCTACAAATTAGCGATACAAACGATACGATGGCCATGGGATGAAGATAGTTTTTTGACGTATGTTCCCAACCGGGAGAGTGAGTTTCAAGTTCTCATCCCCCCGTACGATCTGATGTTCACCTCATCTACATATAACGATGTAGATCTTGACCCAGAGGAGGAGGGCCAAGCGTACGACACCTGTTACTCCTGGCTTACTCTGGATCTGACGGCCAATCGTCGATATCATTGGTCAGACTTGCTATAGCACGGTAATGTCATAGTACGATAGGTAGCACTCTAGGCATACAATCTAAGTAATGCCGGTCAACTAGCTCAACATTCTAGCTCAACATTTACTGTATTTCCCAATGTATCTCAAGCAACTGTGCACTTATCATTTCCCAAGGTCTAAATCTCCAGTCGAAAACGAAGATCTCGATACATCAGAATTGCGATTGTGGAGAAAACAACTGTAACTCCAGCCAACACACCCGCGTCCGCATTCTTTACATACCCTCGGTAGGTCCAGAAATATTACACAAGAGACACCCTGGTTCCCATTACGCCGCTCATTGAATAGAGAAGATGAGGCCTTATCCGAATAAATATAGAGGAACAACGCCAGCGCTTATTTTCGATCCGAAGGTGCACACAACGGTTAGCCTCTATCCGTCAGCCAATTTACGTAAGAACGTTACTGGTCTTCCTCGGCTCACTGAGCCTCTTCTCGAACCTTGAGCCATGGCTCTATAAGTACTGAGGACTACTGGCTTCACGGATGATGTGCGATACCCCGCGCCACAGTCGATCTGGTTGACGCTCACGCGACGTGCCTCACTCTTCACCTCAACATACCATGCGCCTCTTGATCTTGGGAGGGACAGGCCCAAGTGGCATCGCACTCATACGAAAGGCTCTCGAGGTCTACCCAGAGGGGACTGTAGTCGCATATGCACGGTCGCCCGAGAAGATCCCAGAAGACCTACAGGCCAACGCCTTAGTAGTGATCATTAAGGGTACGCTCGAGGAGCTCGACAAGGTTGAGCAAGCCCTCGACGCCGTCGACGCCGTCGTCTCGGCCCTCGGCCCACTTCCGAACCAGCCCCCAGGCAACCCGATAGCGACTTTCTACGGGCACCTCATCGAGCTTCTGTATAAGCACAGGATCCTGCGCTTCCTCGCACTCGCGACCGCCTCGCACCCAGACCCGCACGATAAACCGAGCTGGAAGTTCGCCGCGCTCGTCACGGGCGTGCGTACCCTGGCACGCAACGCGTACTCCGAGATCGTGGCCATCGGGCAGGTGGTGACGACGAAGGGCAAGGACCTGGACTACACGATCGTGCGGGTGCCGTTCTTGACGAATGCAGAGACGGAGAACGTGGTTGCGGGATACATTGGCGATGCGAAAATTGGGATGATCCTGACGAGGAAGGCGTACGCTGCATTTTGTATTGCGGAGCTTGAAAAGAGGGAGTGGGTGAAGACGGCTCCCATGATCTGCAATGCTGCCTGAGTGAGTGTCGATATCCTACTTCTACTTATAAATGGCTATACATCCATCTCAGGTTCAAGGCAGCGCTCTTCACGGCCCCGGTCCTCCAACATCCGAACGACACGTAAATCCCTTCAATCGCCATACCCATATGCTCAGTTCTCCTTGCTGTCCTTGGTGTGAAGCCGTCGCTGCCATCTCATCGGAAGTGCCGACAGCAAGCGGACCAGCATGTTTCGTCGTACGGGTGAATGGGGTAGCGGAGGGTGATTGAAGATCAAGGGAGTGATTGGTATGACAGAGTAATCTCGACCGCTATGACAATTCTTTTGATTCTTCTGCCTTCGGCTTGAATCCCTGGAAGTATTTCTCTCTGAAGTCTTTATGTGCAGGCACATGGACATCCTCATCAAGATCCTGAGGTAGCCTAGGTGGGAAAGTTGGTGGTGCATATTGTTCTCTTGTCGTTTTGCGGATAGTCACCAGCTGAGAAGCCTCTCAACAAGAATTTTTTTAAAGAAAAAGAAAGACATGGGTACAAACCCTCCTTCCCCATGAGCCGAAATCTTGCAATGAATTTGCAATAACCTCCATCCCTTCGCAGAGCATGGCGTGGATGTCGATTTCCTCATATTCGTCTGTTACTGTTGGAAGGAAGAACACTAGTCGTCCGTTTGGTTTTAGGAGATATCGGGCAAAGAGTACAAGGTCGGTGGCCAAATGTGATAGCTCGTACGGTTTCGTTGGTGGGATGTACGGCTGGTCATCTCTGGTTCCACTGTCAACGAGGGAATATGAATAACCAAACGATTGGGAACTTACGCGCGGGCCTCCAGGCTATGCTGCAGGGTCAGCGCCTTCTTTTCTTCAGAAAGTTCTTTTTTCCGGCCTAAACGTTTCGCTCCAGCGCGGACACCGTCTACCCCAAGCATCAACCGGTCGGCGCCCATTAGTAATTAAAGATGAGAGACTGGCTTACAAGGAGGATCCGTGACGATGGCATCAAATAGTTCTCCACACCTCCATGGATTATGGGTGATATCGAAAGTCGCCAGGTCGATGATGCGAGATGCGACGCCGTACTGTGTAGCAGCTCGAATGACGCCTGGTGTCTTTTCTGTAGGTGAATAGGAATTAGGCATTTCTACAAGGAACTGGGATAGTGATAAACGTGTACGTTTTCCTCTCATCTGACGACCATCGATGTCTGACCCAAAGACAAGAGCACCGAGATAAGCAGCTGGCTAGATGAATCAGGGCCATAATTTAGGGAAAAAGAAGGAGGAACGCTGATGACTTGCACCCACATAGGCCATGCTTCCCGTACCCATAAAAGGATCATAGATGAACTTTCCCGGAGAAGCGAGGGTTTGGTTGGCCATGAGTAGCGAAACTTCCGCCTCCATGCTAGTATTGCCATAATATGATCGCTTTTTGACGTCAAATTTCCCTATTAGAGGTCGAGCAGAGCCTTCTTCTAGCTGGATTAGGTGAACACGCAGAGTCAGCGCGCAAGACCTTGAAGAGACGTACCAACCTGCCAAAGAACAGCTGACGGAAATTGCCATCTCCTTCATACTTCACGCGTGTCATTCCATGCCGGTCTTCATCTACAGTTGCCATCGAAGAATATTAGGTGCTTTACGAGAGAAACGTGGGCGATTTACATTCTTCGAAAACTGTGAGTGTGATCTCTGGGTTCTTCATCTCGATCTTCCCGAGGAAGCCCATGTATGAGAAGCTCTCAATGACATCTCTCTGTCTGGATTGCGGTATCTTGTGCTGATACGCTGTTACAAGAAACCGGAATGAGGTATCTTCGACGTAACGCGTCCATAATAGTTTGCTCTTGCGATTAGCTTCGTGGAGTTCCTTGTATGTTGATCCTTGTCCGTAGAACTCGTAGACAGCCCTTGAAACTGGTCGGTTTATTGGCGGCGTGAAATAACAGAAATGAACCATACTTTATTAACACGCACCGTCTGGCGAGGGTGCGCGCGTGGTCCTCTCGTTCCAGATCAATGGCCATGTATGGTCGTTTGGGATCGCGATTTTCAGGTTCTTGAGGCAACGAGTAGGAGATGCCATGCAGTTCAGCGACTGACGCAAGTTCGGGTAGTCTAAAATCGTCGTGCGCCTGCGCGAAATGAAAGAGATAACGCGATGGCATTTTGTGCCGGAGAGGTGCAAGAGCAAGAAGTGAGGTTTGTGCTGATCGATCATCAACTTACTATTAGGTTGTTTCGCGCAACTTACCAGTTACGGCCCGAGCTTACTTCCCTCACCTCGTCCACCACCATCACTGCCACCCGCCAGACCTCAGCGCTGAGCGCTCAGAAACCACCCTTCAGAGCTGTTAATCCAAGATTAAAATATGCAAAGCCGCATGCATGAACTTTCTTGGGCTATTTGAAGCTTGAAGCTTGAAGTTTGAAGATCAAACTGCGAAGACGGTTGCTTCCAAGCAATAACTTGAAGCTCTAACTAGACCCAGCGCTGGGGGAAGGCGACGTTCGGGCGACGTTGAGATGCCCTTCGAACACCTCTTACCCCTTGCAAACGCTATCATAAATTCCATAGGACCGGACACACGTTAGTGTTCGTTCGAAAGTCTGATCTGCGCGAAGATCTCATTTAGCTTTACCCCCAGTGTCTGATGCCACTCTCGAGAAACTGAGAGCTCTTTTTCCTGAGAAGCTGATCATTGCAGCACTCGACCTTATTGATCGTGGAAATGGTGGGCATTGTGGCATTCACCATACAAGCCATTGGCTAACTTCATCTCCAGTGTTTCACTGTATCACTTCTTGGGGACATTCGGAATACGAGGTCCTTGGGTCAACGGCGACGTATTCCGTCCTCGTCGACCTCGAGCCTACCAGGATACCCTACTCGTGCACTTGCCCGGCATTTGCTTACTCCGTCTTGATGGCCGGAACACATATCATGGTGCGATTTTTGCTCTATGCCCACTTCACAATCTCAAATTGACCAGTGCAAGCACGTCCTCGCCACTTTCATAAGCCACAAAATGAACTCGAGCATCAAAAGACCAACGAACGTGGACGATTTGGCTGCCATCTTTACTCGTCAATTCCCCATTCCTGTTCCCAATGCCAGGGAACCCGGTGCTAGCTAAACACTTCGAAGTTCGAACACTGGCACCTGCATTTAAATCTCACAGAATCCATAACCATATGCCAGATTAATATGAACCGTGCATTCAAGAATAGATGGATACGATATAAGTCACTAAACACATGTCGCAATTAAAGTTTCATCCCCGATGTATTCCATTTATACAAATTATCCACCACACGTCTTTATCACCAGAATTGGCCAATCTATGGCTAGATGTCAGGATTGTCGACCGAGGCACTGCCTGCAAAGACCGTATCGCTAACTTGAGTGGTGCTACCACTGGTGCTGTTTGCCTGTAAACTGTCTATAGCCCTCTTTATTAGCTTGTACTTATCGTTGCGTGTCCTCCACTGCAATAAAGCGGAATAATTCTTCAAGTTCGTAACCAGACGCTTCAGCTGCTCTGTGCGAGGTTGCTTTGGAACGGTGGGCTTGCTGCTGGAGGGGGGCATGAAAGGCTCGGCGGCTGAGGGCGCGTCTTCTTCGAGGCCAGATTTAACCGAGAAATACTCAGCCAGCTTGTCTATGTGGTCCGAGCCCCAGAATCCCCACCACTGCTCTTTCTCTATATTTAATCCATCCTCTTCCCCCATCTTCGCCTTCACCTCTGCAGGCGTCAGAGGACCCCGTTTGCCCCAGACTGCGATGAGCCAGGACCAGTCTCGCAACGACTGGCGTTCGGGGACACTTCGAACGCATCCTTTCTTCTTAGGCTTCAAGGGTTTTTCACTGCCGGCGATGCTCAGATATTCCAGAGCTGCTTCACGCTCAGCAACGCCAGGTGACAAGGCATAGTAGGTGCGACCCTCATTATCTGTGCCTAGAGGCATAAAACGCGTGGCGAAGCTGGAACCGACAATCTTGAGCGCATTCTCAATGTCTGCTATCTGATCTTTGTGAATGGCGCGTTTTGTTCGATTCTGGGATGCAGCAAAAATTAGAATACAGACCGTGAGGATGCAGTGAATGCAACTTACTTCGGTCTGGACAGTTTTGTCTTTGGCACATTTCCCCATAGTGCTTCTCTCTTGTTCCCATCTCTCGTTTTCCAGTCTAACAGCCTCCTTCGCATCACGGTTGACGTCTTTGTGGTCCTTCCCACCCTGCTCGATCTCGGCGCGAATAATCGAAGTCTCAAGTGCAGAATGAATCAATGATAATACAATTGGAATCATCTGCCATGATTGTGCGACGACAATCTCGTTGTCCGTTTGAAGGCTTCGCAGACTGCGAGAAGCGAGAATAGCTCCAGAGGGAAGCTTTGTCGGATCAGGGAAAGTAAGAGGAATAACCGTCTCGACGCCTGACGACCCCGGGGAACTGCTGTGCTTGGCAACATTTTCTCGCAATGCCATAAAAAGGGACCATGTCTTGTTGAGGTTCACTCCTAAAGCTCGTAAGTCTTTCACCGCAGCTTTCAAAGCCTGACAGAAATTATGAGTATTAACATGACGGAAGGAACAGATTTACCTACCTTGGACACAACGTCGTCTCGACCCTTCGCCAAAATACCGAGGAGGCCCAGAAGAATGGCCTTCAAGCATTGGTCACTGACCCAATCCGAGGAATCAACTTCGGGATCATGCCTTTTGGAAGCGATGAATTCTAATTCCTCTAAGTGGGTCTTCGCCAAAGGTGGTTCGATGTAGTCGCCAAATCGAAAGAGGAATTCACGAATAAATATCCTATCTTCTGCCTCGTCACGGGTGAGGACCACTGGAAGACTTTTCCAGGACAGTAGGGGAAGGGGTTTCGGTTTCGGTTTAACGGCCTCCTGGGTCTTAGGGACCTTGACATCCTTTGGTTTTGCTTTCTTCTCGTCATTGGGCAAGCTGCTGGCTTCCTTTGGCTTAGGAGGACGCATAGGACTAATAACGGCGGTTTGTAAGGGAAAGCTTCAAAGGATTTCAGAGACGTACCCCACAGGTTCCAGACCTTTCGCTTTTCTGCACCTCCAGCAATTGCAAATGTCCCTGCAGCTTGGGCAACTCAAGGGGAAAAAATTTAGAGTAATATAAATTAAAACAACCAAATATTCTCACTGATAACCAGCATTTCCCCTCTGAGTCTTCAAAGCGTTTATGTCCTCGTCGTACCTGTTTTTCAAACAGGCTTTACAATATTTATATTTGCAAGGGCGTTCCTTTATGGTTCTAGCAGTTTTATATTGCGTGACGCGGGTGCATTGTATCGTGGCTGTTTCAATTTATTAGCACGCGGATAAGAAAGAACAATAAGCGCAACTCACCAACTAAATCGCGCTTCCTATTACATTGATGACAGTAGACCGAGCCGTTGGGAAATTCGGGGGTCAATTCTATGACAGGTATGTCTACTTTGCTTGGATTCTTCTTCAGCAAGGTCCCATTATCATTTGGTGCAGATAACTTGGGCTTCTTTGCACTTGTAATGACAACTCCATCGAAGATAAGACGCGGTTCACGGTCAGAGATCTTGCGTTTCAAAGACGTGGAAGGGATGATGGAGTGCGACATGGCCAAGTGAGACGGCCGCAAAGGCGTGTTCTCTTTGAGTTTGTTGCTCGCTGCAACGTGGATTGGGGTGGCGAGCATGCGATGAACAGACGAGGTGCTGTAAGGTGAGACAGGCACCTGAACGTAGGCCTTATTCACTCTCTGTATCGCGGGATGGGTCTTGGGCGTCGAGGACATCGCTGGGATGGAGATGGTGGTTCGGTTTGAAAAGATGGAAAAGCGCAAATGACACTTTCCCAAACAAACCAATTTCCAACGCGACTCTATCACGTGCGTATTTTTCTTGGCACATCACGTGTCCACGGAAAACTTAGACGAGGACTTGCCCGGGCCCCGAATTGTAACAGTGTAACTCGTTGTCCTCCGCGGCCTCTCCTGTCCATTCTCCCTCCATTCTGCCAAAATGTCGAACGCTGACCACACACGCGACCCCTGGTGAGCAACCATGATGCATGTATTGGAAACCACTGTACTCAAGGCATCCACGTTTCTAGCCCATGGGTAATTCTCAACGACTTCGGCGGTGCTTTCTCTATGGGTGCTGTCGGTGGTGGTATCTGGTATGGCATTAAGGGTGCTAGAAACTCCCCTCGGGTACGTTTTCCCCAATTTCCAAGCATTTCATCGATTCTGATTCGGCTCGTCATCCAGGGAGAACGATTTGTTGGTGCCATCTCATCAATAAAAGCGCGAGCACCAGTGACGGGTGGTAATTTCGGAGTGTGGGGTGGCATGTTCTCAACATTCGACTGCGCTATTAAAGGGTGGCGGCAAAAAGAGGACGCATGGAACGCCATTATCTCAGGGTTCATGACGGGCGGTTGTCTGGCGCTAAGGAGTGAGTATTGCGTCTTGCTATTTGAAATTCCACCTCATTCCCCCTTCCTCCTATGCTAGGTGGCCCACGTTCAGCATTTGGATCCGCCATAGCGTGTGGTATCCTGTTGGGTGTCTTCGAGGGTGTTGGTGTGCTCATGTCTCGAGTATTCAGCGAAGGTGCACGGCCGCAAATGGCGCCATGTCAGTCTCTGTCTCCTCCAGACCTTTTTTGTTCTCACTTTTTTCTTCAGTACCCGGAGGAATGGCACCACCTCCTTCTTCAACCCTCTCCGGAACACAGTAGATGCTCCCATTATACATTATATCTCGCTATTCTCTCTATTGATCACCCCTCCTCGCTTTCTTCTGCCAATGGAGCCTGCATATGCACCAATTTATGCCCGTTAATCGCCATCACTGTCCTCGATGCATGCCTTTGAGCCAAACTTCACGCAGATCGATCGCATGTTCTCCATCGGTGAGCCTAGTCAAATATTCGTCCAACAGACCTACTGCTGGCCTATCCTGGGGAAGCATTGAGACGAACGAACCTGCGCAAACCAGATTCTGAAGGGAATACTGCTTCGCCGAAGCATGACTGCGGTAGTCCTGATATGAAAGCCTTTCAGACATAAAGGAGGTCCCTCTATGAATGGCCTTAGGGATCGTCGCCTCTTTCTGAATGATATTCTACGAAGACACCGATCTGGGGAGTGCCACCTTTCAACCGGCCCCCCGACCCCGAAAGCAGTTTTTTTGGGATACCTCCTATAGGACGACGTGCCGGAACGTCGTAACACCTGGCACTGCAACAAGACGCACCAAATTAAACTTTTCGGATCGGACGCTAGCCATCGGTCACATACTGACACGAGGAGCATTGTGCTTGCAGACACACTTTGAAATGACCTGATATGGGCGCTGCCTGCGCAACACTCCCCGATGTATCGTATGTCTACGGCGCAGTTGAACGTCAACGAGGAAAATGGTCTGAAATCACTCCATTCTGCAAGCGTTTCTCGCTGAAAGCATCGGTTCAAATTCTCACCAACGCAGACCTCGTGGGTGTGCGTCTAATTTGCTTCTCAAGTCCGCAATATCTGACAGTACAACTACTCTTGAGTCGATTCGCGGTGCGCCGGTTCTCCAATTGTTTTACGATATCGTTGTGGGCCTGAATTGCATTGTCCAGCTCGCGGACAACCACGACGGTGTTGTCATTTTTTCTGATACATACGCTGATTCATCGTGCGCCTTCATAACGACCAGAAGCATTGTTTCCTCAGTTGCAATTTGACGTTGCAAAAGTCCAATGGATTTTTATCTATGCTCATTGCATCGGCTCCAAGATTTTCTGCATTTCGCCTACAGAGTTTGGATAAGCGAGTAGACCCATCTCGAGATCTGCGGGACATGGAGGGGATGAGACATTTATCAAAATGTATCGCCATGTCATCAATTCCTGGTCATGATGTCATCGCCGACGTCAAACGAGCATCAAACCTATATAAACGAAACCAAGACCGCTCCTCTGAGCCAACTCGGAAATAATGTCTGTATTCAACCCTCAACTTGACCCATACACCGCCCAGGCGCAGAACAACCACGCTACCCCGCAAGAGAAGATTGATGGTGAGTTGACAACTCTCCATGGCCAGTCTTCGAGTTCCTTGACTTCTATCTATTCCTGTAATCAGGCCTGAAGGATATCATCAAGTCTACAGTGACAGCCATGCTGACGACACGATCAGCAGATGGGCAGTTCCACTCTCGTGCTATGAACCCAGTGGCTCGTATGTCCGATGTCGTAGGCGGAAAACGCCTTTGTATGCGCATACATCCGGAGTTCTCATAGCTGTTGTCTTTCAGCCGATTCCGACACCGACTTGACTCTTACTTTCATCGCTAATAACGCCTCCCACAAGTTCGAAGAAATTCAGAACGACTCACACGTAAACGTGAGCTTTTTGAACCCATCTACGACAAGCTGGGCTTCGTGCGTACATCTCATTTTCGGGATCCTTTGAAATCAGCACCGCTAATTCCTGTTTAGGTTCTCAGGAAGGGCAAAGATCATCGAGGATCGTGAAATCATCAGAACCAAATGGTCATCGACGTTAGTAGCCTACGCTGTGCAATATCGATTTGACTGACGAGTATCATGACAGTATATCAGCTTGGTTTGGCGACTTGAAGGATGGAATTCACAAGGGCGATGTAAATGATCCCCGAGTTGCTATGATTCAAGTTATTCCAGACGAAATACGGTACTGGAGTGCTACCAAAGGCAAGCTCGGGCGTGCAGTGGACGTTGGCATCAGTGCTGCCACGGGCAAAACAGCAGCTCCAGGAGAACTCTGCACGATTACCGAAGACGAGGTACGTATAAGACTGTTATTTTAAGCCATGCCTGCAGATCCTCACAAGAACCAATAGATCAAGTTAACTCAAGGTTTGCACTCGAAGAACTAAAAAGGTTTTGTTGTCAGATTTTCCACATCTGTGGCCCAATCCTTCCATTCTCGCGAAAGCAGAATCTCCCAGAACATGGCCAATTCCGTCATATAATAATTACAAACCCGTTGTACTTCCCACGTATAGACTATTTCTACGCAAACTCAATGAACCCCGATCCAGTTAACTGATCAAGCTTCAAGCTTTAGGTGACGCAGGACGCGTATTGTCCACGCCTGACTGCAACACTTGATAATGCCGGCGCCCATGCTGGAGCTTATCATACGCTTCAAGCGCCGAATATCACATTTCATTTCGCAGTTATTGTATTCCTTCGACCCGCATTTCCAAGTAGGCCCTCAAACGTACTCGGATAGTGGTTCTGAAACAGAAGCATTCAGGGTGTGGCAACCATGGCCAAATACCTCTCTCTCCCTCATAAGAAGGGCAGTCACTTCGAGAGCAGGCGCTATACCAATCCCAGTCAAGTGATGTCGCATACTACTACCGAAGCTACGTGCACGCTTTCCAACACAGTGAGTGCTGTGGAACCTCTAGCATCTCGAACAGACCTTGAAGGTGGCATACTATAGGCCCCTACAACAATATCGCCGCTTGACAGCAGCACCAGTCCTCGCTCTATATCGACCATCTGCTCCATCCCACCAGAGATCCTATCCGCCATCTTCGAATCTGGAAAAGATATGGATCCCGAAGGATTTCGTTACGCCAGCTTTGAAGGCTTTGAAGTCCAAAGAGATGATTTCACCCCCTTCGAAAGCCTCGTCTCTCAGATATGTGTGCATTTTCGCCAGGTCGCGGTCAGCACACCCCAGCTCTGGGCCAGAATTCAAATCGATCGCTCTACCTCGGTCGAATATGTCACAACATATATTGGGCGTTCAGGATCATGCATGCTAGACCTCCGCCTTGATTTAATCCAGCATGACGTCCAACCGGACGACCCGCGTCTGGAAGCAATTCTTGGTGTCATCCTCCCAAACTCCCACCGGTGGCGCAGTCTTTCCCTTTCATACAACCGCGAGTGCGCCAACCAGCCAACGGTTATGCGGATTTGCAACTGCGTCGCCCTTGCGCTCCAGCACCTCTCCATTGCCGTGGACGACGTCGACGAAGCTGATGCGACGACAGTCAATGGCGACGTCAATACGCCGCATATCTTCAGAGCTGGGACCCCGACGTTGCAGTTTATTCGCCTGCGTGGCCTAGCCATGCACCTTTTCAGGCCACAGTTGAATACCGTGGTCACACTTCATCTCGACCAAACGAGGAGTGTACCGTTGGACTATTCCACCTTCCGCAGCATTATCACCTGTTCTCCTTGCTTGACGCACCTCTCCATCTACGGTGATATAATCTCTCCTCAGCCCTGGCCGGGCGAAGCAGATCCAATCTGCCTTCCAGCCCTCGAATCACTCAGAATATCCGGTGTTTCGGGGGAAATATATGCCGGAATCCTCCTTGCCATTAACGCCCCAAAGATGGGTTCGTTGATTCTGAAGGAGTTACAGGAACACGATCTAGATTCCTTCTGGGATGGCATGGATCTGTCAAGATACACTTCCTTGCGATATTTGAGCTTCTGCGACTTCGACGTCTCCGTCTTCACCTACGAGAGATTTGTACAAGTCTTCCGCGAAATAACCGCCTTTTCAAGCTTCTGTTCGACCATCGTAGAGTCACCACTGGTGCGGTTCTTGCTTGAGGCATCAATCTCTGGTGCAGGAGAGACACCTTGGCCCGAGTTGGAAAGTTTGACCTTCCCATTCGATCCCGACGAAGACGATGACGACGTGGCTGTGGAACTGGTGGAAGAGTTGATGGGCATCGGGAGGAACCCCTCGCTCAAGTTGTTGTTCAAGGCTATTGTCGAAGATGGACCGCAGCCCCAGTTCCCATCGAACCATGTTGTGTTCATTTCCAAATGGGACCCCTGGCCAACAGAAAACATGCCTTTCGACACGGACGACGACTTATTTCCATAGTGCTCCCAAGTCGAACAATGTCTCCCATCTCCGGTATTCCCATCTTAGTTGCTTGACATCCGTATTTATGTTTTCCGCCAAGCATATATTTTGCATTGAATTTATTAGTCCTCGAATAAAGGTTGGAAGGACTGCGATGCCGCCACGATCAGATGCGTTGGATATGTGTAGGAGAGACGGAAATACCTTATCGGTGGCCCCAGATGACTGGGTGGCGCCGAATCCTGTGCCTTCCAAAAGCTCCAGGCTATCGGGCTGGTCTACCAGCATGGAATCGTTGCAATAGTCCCCGATGGTCTGCCTCTGCGAAAAATCCACCTCCTCTCCTTCGCCTTCCAGTAAATCGGCGAGTTCATCTGCATCCATGTGTTCGACGCCCAACCCTGTCGATCGAAGGACTTCTTCCGCAGTCGACATTTGGGAAGATGGTAAAAAGAGAGGCAATTTATCCCTCGCCTGCGGCCTTGATCCTGAACCGTGGTTTAATGGCAAGGTCCGGTCGAATGGTCGGTTGGGTATAGCCGAAGGTGGGGGCATGGTACTGGGTATGTGGGAGCTAGATCGGGAGTGCGTGTCGGACCTGTTGTAAAGTGGTGGGTCTGTTGGTTGCACGACCTTCATGGATTTCTTGATTCGAGGCGTATCACGAACAGCGGATGGGGCACGTTCCCGTTTCTTGTTGTTGACGGTCTGACTGCTACTCGTCCTTTGTGTACCCGCAGGCGCACCTTGAACTTGACTGGTGGAAATCACGAAAAGGGCCTCCACAGAATCACCTTCGACATCTATAAAAAGAGGAGCTGACGGATCCGTAAAACGCAGATCAAGGCAAAGCGACATAGAATCAGCGAATGCGATTGTAGCCTGTTGGTGTGCATATACAAGGTCAGTCGAGATGAAAACATAGTCGGATCACTACGCACGTTGAACTCGCGGAGATGGAACGCGATCGTTGTTGGAGATTCATAGATTTCGTAGACGTCGAATTCATCTGCACTGATAGTTATCTCCGTCGACAGTTGACCACGCCCTGGAGGTTGAAACTAAATAAGGTCCTGAGACCAAAGTGGAGAAACACGAACCTCGAGCATCAATAGAGGACTCTACGCTTTTCAATCCCACCTCAGCGTCCTCGAATGTCCAGACAAGTTGTGGGTCAGATTTCGCTCCTTTAGACACGGGAAAGTGGTCGATGAGATCCTTGAGAGCTTTAGGACCGATTGTCAGGCGAGATTCGTTGGCTGCGTCCGGGACGCCAGGGGCCATGAGAGAGGTCGGAGTAAGTAAGAGTAGGCGATGAGTCTTCACGACACCTGCGTGGAATAAGATTGGTGAAAACAATATGAGACTGACTCACCATGCTTGCAATGAAATCTAAGGATCAGCTTGCTCTCCAAACTATCATGGTCTTCATCTTCTACTTCTCCGTTAGGTGCCTCGTTCCCTTCCACAATGGAAAGATCACAACGTTCAACCGATTTTTCAACCGTACGATGCTTCAGGATAGAAAGTAAGGACTGTATAACCGATGTGAATCTGTATATCGCACGCATTGCCACTAAGAATGTGCTCACCTTTGTTAAGAGTTGTCCTGTAACACTTCGAACTTCCTCAATTTCATTATCCCATTCGTCCCGCGCCGTGTGGTAAACACCTAGTCTATAGCGCGAAAAGAATTGTTTTTCGTACTTGAAGCGACAATAGGCTGATTTAGAGGAGTTGGTGGTTGAGAATGACAGGGACTCTGGCGTCGCGTAGATTGAAAGCTCTTCGCCATATCGCGAAAGGCACGACAACGCTTTCGTGAAAGCTGATAACGACGTAAACTATAGGTTGTATTTACATAATAAAACCTACCTTTGAGAGATAACGCGTCTAATGTTGCTTGCATTGTGCTGCTTCGTGGCTCTGAGCGAAGACGCGTCGTCCAAATCGGGCCCGATACCATTGGATCTTATCTTATCTCTGATTCGAAAACTTGAATCAACGATCTCAAGCTTCACGCAGGTTCCTGTATGTTCAACGCAGAATTTTGAACGAGGGACGAAAATCATGGTGGAAGCGCATCACCATCGAGCAACCCTTAAGCAGGCAAGTTGAACAGGGGGATCGTATCGGCCACACTAAACGGTACTACAGAAAAACAAGTCCTTCAAATCAAAGCATGCAACCAAGGGCTCGTTGAAGGATGCTGCGAAAGGTGCAATCCTTTCCTTGACACTACTTCTACAGCTCGTCTGATTGCGATTTCAGGTCGAATTGCTCGCCAATCTCCGAAAGCGTTCCCAACCTCCAACGCTGTTGCACAGTCTCGCCTGAATCGTCGTAATAATGCAAAACAAGCACAGCTTGTCAAGCGAAATGCATTGGTTTCTGCAACGCGTATATTCAGCGGAGTCGACGGAGCGCCAAGGATCGTCACCGTTGTCCCACTCACGTCCGATGTCAGCCCAAAAACGGTGGTCGCGTCTCTTACAGAGTCGCTGAATATTGACGCAGGCGAATGTCCAGAAAATGGGATATGGAAGATCAGGTATGTTGCTGTTACCATGCAATTTATCCCTGTTTTGACCTAGCAAAGGGCCGATCGATTTAAAACATCGATTCAATTTCGAACAGTACCCTACGGAAGCTTTTACACTGCCTTGGACGCATGCAAGGTTGCAGATTACGTTGTATTCGGCCTCTCTGGCGCTATCGAAGTAGACGCCTGGGGCGATACTCTTCTCCGGACATTGCAAGCTCAAGGCCTTCCCGATGTCGTCAGCGTTGTGTCTATAGACCCGTCCATCGATGCAAAATCTCGTCCAGGAATTCTCAAATCGCTTCTATCCTTTATTCAATACTTTGTTCCAACTCAGACGAGAGTTTTCGATCTTCAAGCTAGTTCCGAACGTCTCAACGCGTTGAGGGCACTCTCGGAAGGGAAACCTGAGGATGTGCGATGGAAAGAAGGACGGTCGTGGCTTCTCGGTGAATCTACAAAGTGGGAGGATAGCATCTTGAAGGTCACTGGCATCATTCGGGGATCCCCTCTCTCGGCGAATCGACTCATACATATTCCTGACTTTGGTGACTATCAGATATCCAAAGTAAGCGTGAAAATCATACTCAGCTTCAACCACTTAGTCATTTGATTGCCTTCTAGATCGTGTCTGCCGCGATTCCACGACACAGGCACAATGTAGCGGTCATGGACGTGGAACCTGTTATCCTGGCCGAGCCAGATTCCTCGACGGCTGATTCTCTGATATCAAGCAACGATCCTGACGACCTGACCAACGAACAGACCTGGCCAACGGAAGAAGAGATGGATGGGGTCAGTGATAACACGCAAGCGGACATTCCCGATGCTGTTGAAGGAACAACACCGAAGGCCGTTCGGCGTATTCCCAGGGGCATGAGTGAATATCAGGCCGCTTGGATTCTAGACGATGACGAAGAGGATGATGGAGAAGACAAGGAAGACAAAGAGGATGAAGGAGTCCGAGTGAACGCAATGGGAGAGGACGAAGACGAAGAGATGCAGGATCTTCCTATGGATGATGTGCAAACGGAGTTAGATCGACGAGAGGTGCACTTCCAGGATCTGGACGTTGAGGAGGAGGAAGAACAGCAAGTCGACAACCTTCAGTGATGACATTACTTCCAATTGACGGTCATTTGACAGACTTGACAAGTGGAGGAGACGCCGAAGAGAAGATGATGATGACCTTTCATTCCCAGATGAAATCGATACTCCACAGGACACACCAGCTCGTACTCGATTCCAGCGGTATCGCGGAATGCGTTCCTTCAGGACGAGCCCCTGGGATCCGTTCGAAAATCTTCCTCGAGATTATGCGCGGATCTTCCAGTTCGAAGACTTTAGAAGGACTGAACGGGGAGTTCGTCGGAGAGCTGAACTAGAATTGGGTGTTGTTGAGGTGTGTCGTCAACTTGGTGTTCAATGTCCTTTCTGATTCTTTTTTCTAGCCCGGAGTCAGAGTGACAATACATCTAAAGGATGTGTCTCAGGAGGCCGCTGCTATAATCGCCCCGACTCTTTTCTCCCTCTTGCAACATGAGCACAAAGTGACAACCCTTAACTTCACCGTCCAGCGCAATACCGAGTACGACGGCTCAGTGAGATCCAAAGTACGTCCCTTGTCTCTCGTTACCGAAAAAAGGCCGTTTATAAGACTTAGGACCGCCTCGTTCTGTGTTATGGACCACGCCGGCTTGTGGTGAACCCTATTTATAGCCAGCACACACGAGGCGGTGGAAAAGGAACCAATAACGTCCATAAATTTGAAAAATATCTTCGCCACACGTCCACTTACGTAGCGACAACATATGGACCGGTAATCTATGGGAGGCAACCTTGCGTTTTATTGCGAGAAACACACAAGCAGCAAGGTATGTTCCCTCTTTCTAGCCTCCCTAATCAGTGGCTTATTCGAGATTATAATCTCATAGCTCCTCAACTCGTAGCCATGGGCACCTTCTTGAACCCTGACACGACTAGAATAATAGCCAAGCGCGTCATACTCGCTGGACATCCATTCAAGGTGCATAAGAAGACCGCGACAGTCCGCTACATGTTTTTCAACCCCGGTAAGTCCATTACATAAAATTCACAAGTATTCTTATCAGCAATTGCTTACACCCGTCGCGGGCAGATGATGTACATTACTTCAAGCCCATTCAACTTCACACGAAGCACGGTCGAATAGGGCACATCCAAGAGTCCCTGGGTACCCATGGGTATTTCAAGGCCCATTTCGATGGTCCCATCAACCAAATGGACACCGTCTGCATGTCCTTGTACAAACGTGTTTTCCCGAAGTGGTCTCACCTTTGGACTAGGACTGTAGGCACCAGCTCCACCGCAGCTTCCAATACACTTCCCTCGGACGCAATGGAAGAGTAGGCTCCTCGCCGCGACGTTCTCTGGCGAACTATCCCAAAACTACACTGTCTTCCATCATCACGTCTTCTATTCGGTTCAGGTCAGGAACTGTTCATCGACGGACCTCGGCATGCTGCTATGTCGTGACTGGGTTAGCTAGATTCGAATCAACGTCCCACTCCACACCTAATGGCGGACATGCCCCCCCAACCCCAAAACACTACCCGGGCCAACTTCATTGATGTGATCACGACTCTCTACTCTTCCGGAATCCACGACATTTGATGTATCCTTCCTCCCAACGATGTGCGTCCGCGATACAAGCATGGAGTGCTGCGGGATCCACCTCTCTATCCGACTTTGCTCACATTGATATTTTTGATTACTTGCAAGCCAGTAAAAATAGTCTCATATGTTGTACAGATCTTGAGGCTTGGGCCACGTAATATTCTCGTTTTTGATCAAATCTCAGCACAGCCACGCCTTTGCCTTTAGCGCCCATCGATCCACGTGGTGACTCATTAGGTTGTTATCGCTAAAGTGCAACTCAGACATACGTAGATTCTCCCCTGAATTATAACATACATACAGCAAGTCGTCCATGGCAGATCAATTCCAAAGCCCTGATAGCCTGTTTGCTTCCAAAACGTTGATTGTGTGTCAACCCGTTACCGTCTGGTACCTGTTTCCTGTCAAAGTGACCTTTGAGATCTTGCCGACATCGCCTTGGTGCGTTGATCTCGATGAGTTATAAAAATCCCTACATATCGCTTCTCATCCAAATTTAAGATATGGTTTCCTGGTTGCTAGCCGGTGTTTCAACATTTTGAAGCACGTGCTCTTGAATTTCTGGGGTTTCTCCCTATCTTAGACGTCTGCGAAGACTCAGACAGCCGAACTTGTGTACCGAAAAGAGCTCTGGTTGAGACTCTGTCGCGCAAGAAGGCAGGCCACAAGTGGTTGCCACCATAGGTAGGACGAATTCAACGCCTTGCGCTTGACGAATTTCCGTGCTCCGCAGATAGTGCAATAATCATATGTCACTACAAAATTGTAAAATGTGTTATTGATTGGGTATGACTCTTATGACGGATAGAGGAGCCTGAGGGGCGGCTGGGTAGGACTGTTCGGCTTGGTATGTCTGTTTCAGTGCCAATCCGAGTCGAGGAAGAACATGGGGCTAGCGCCAGAAGTAGAATTCGATGGGCTTGCAAAATTTCTCCTCTAGCAGAAATCTCGGCGCTATTGTAAGAGCACTTAAAGGGGACCGTTTCTTGTTAGGATGACCTCGAGATTCCCAAGCCATTCGTGATGGCGTATATATGATTTGGGGCCAGGTCTGGTACACGCGCCTCCCATCAGTTGATTGGAGTGTCCATTCTCAGCACGCAATCCCACGCACAGCCTTCGACTGCCGGTCTGTACTATCGTTTAGAGGTACTTGGGAAGTAGTCTCGTCCCCAGCCGTTTTGGGTAATTCGGCCGCTTTATGAGAATTTGATGGCACGGCCTACCCTACAACGTCTGGTGCATTTGAACCGTGCGACCCCCCATGGTCACAGCTCGTGATCATAGTCACAGTACTGATCCCATCAAACGTGCTCCTAAATGCGTCCTCATACCCCATACAAGAGTGTTCGTGACTCAATCCAGAGTTTCTGGGAGATATCCACATTCCTTTATGATAGAATAGATTCAGCAGTCTTAACTACATGAGGGGATTGTATTCCTAGCAGGATATAGGAGTTAGGAGATGGATGTTTGAAGATGTTGCTCTTGTGGAAGTCATCAGGTGTTGAGGGGTTGGGCTTTCGAGTGAGGAGGGGTTTGAGGGCCTTGAAGTCGGTCGACGAGTTCATCTTGTGGACAGAGAACTCGATGTTGGGGCGGTCGTTGCCGAGATTGAGAAAGAAACTGTCTGCGGCATCGATGCCGAGCTGAGAGCGAACCTCCTGGAGGGCAGCTTGTGGGAGAGTCGCAGGGGTAGCGAGGATGGGAATATTGGGCGGAAAGAAGGCACGCAGCTTTATGATCTCACTGTAGGCGGTGCAGGAATCTCCACCCCACTGCGTGATCCAATGGGCCTCATCGACAATAACAGCACATATATCTTGAAAACTTGAGGTTAGGTGGATATGGTATTCGGTATGCTTCAGACACATCTCCGGCGATGTGAATATGCCGCAATATTTCCCTTGCTCGAGATCCTGGAGACTGTAAATGCGAATAAACCACAGAAGATATCCATTACACACCTTCTGTAGCTCAGAACTCCATGTGTTACTGTTAACAGCAACAGCCGACGGCTTCATTTTTTGAAATCTTTCAGCCTATAACAGAACATCAGAGACTCACACAGAGAAATAGGGCAACAGACGTACCTGGTCCAATTGGAGAACTTTGAGAGGTGAAATCACGATCACCTTCTTCTTGTCGTCGAGAAGGAGGGGCATCATGAAGGGCATCGTCTTGCCGGCTCCTGTTCCAGCAGTAACTATGCTGTCGAGCCCGAGAATTATCGCCTCCGTGATGTCAAGCTGCCAGAGATGGGGGGGTAGGATTTGTGGCGTTCACAAAAGAGTGCGGTGATGATGGCTCGAGTTCGCGTTGAGTTGTATCTGCACTTCTCGAAGGCGGCTTGCCGAGCATCCTCGAGATTGCGGTATGAGCGAAGACGTAGATAAGCGTGAGTATCCTGTTGAGGAGCCATGGGCAAGAACGACAAGCAAGAACAACGGGAGAAGCAAGAGAGGCAGTCAACTGTACAGTCAACACACGAAGACGCGTCGGGTCTGGCTCACACGTGATCTTGCGATTGTCACGAAATGACGCAAGGGGGGTCACACCGTCACCACGGTTCAAATGCACCAGACGTTGTAGGGTGGACCGCGTCCATCAAATGGTCAATAGCGGCCGAATTACCGAAAACGGATGGGAACGAGACTACTTGGGAAGCGTAGCTCGCTGGCTTAGTATCATCCGAGTGCAGTCAACACGGAGGAAGGGCAATCAGCGATTCATGCCAAATGGAATTGCCTACAGACGGTCGCATGTAGTACTTACAGACGAAATCCACTGACATCTACAGTATCACGATATTTTCCCAGGAATCACCAACTACTAGGGCAAAGTATTCGAAGACATGAAGATGGTGGAACAGGACACGCAAACATAATGCTATGGGCCCCGATCGCGAAAAATGTCTGAAGCTCAGTGCCGCATGCCCAGAGTATGTCACGATTTGGCAGTAAGCATGCCGGCGTTTGTCAGACGATATCCTGCGATGGCAATGAGCCAACAACTAGGTCCTCACAAGCAGGCACTCACATGACGGTGTCTTATGGGGGGTAGTGGGCCCGGAGCAGTAGTTAATACGAGGCTTGAACTCTGCTAATGTCTTATGAGTCTAGCGATTCACTGCGATACGAGGGACAGATGTTCAATGACGGCCACATACCAGTCTTAGCCAACTTTTCTGCGTGTGCAACGCGAGAGTACACCGCAGGTAGCTTTGAGATCGCGGCGGTCTTCGTCTTATCCAGGTGTGCCCGAGCAACAGTAAATTGGCGGAGGGTATATGCAGCTAATTCCTGAGAGTATCGGCGAGTGGAGGGCTCTGGATTTTTGCTCGCGGCAGTCATTTCTGAGCTAGTGTAGGATACTGTCACTGGATTGGAGGGACGGGGCAAAGCACGAGGGTACCTTTATACTCGCGAGAGATCCACCAAGCTATGTCCCTGATGCGTAGCATCGCCTGATCTCAGTCGCTCCACTGCAGGGGCTCTTGGGGTCGTAGTATGCACCGAGCCAGACGACGTCATCAAGCACTTCTTCGGACAGTCCCTCTAAAGGGTCCTGATATGGTCGTGGTGGTAGAGTACAAATAAATATATTAGAATGAACTAACGGTGCCGAAAGACCCGCCGACTCCAATGCAAGATTCTAGATGTATTATCACTCGCCCATGTCCATAGCTCCTCCAATAGACCATCCAAGCCCCCACGTTCGTCCCATGAGGGCCTATGGTCAGGCTTCTCAGTCGCAATAAACTTTAGAACATCCTTGACCGTCACTAGGCCTGATAACACCCCGTGATCTTCCACAAGGATGGTGTGGGGCCTTACCCAGAGCAAAAGGGTGAGCAAGAAGCCTGTCGTCGGGACATACACAGCATACTTACCCCATACGCTTGAAAATTTGCATGACAATTTCAAGAGGAAGCTCGGGAGACACGGTCATAGGCGTCTGACACGCACGAGGATCAGCGGTGAATCAAATTAGAATACATGGGCTCCACCTTATTTACCCAAGGCCAAAATTGAATTCCTTCTCCAGCTGTTGTCGGCGCGAAATATTCTTCCTCAGGTTCATCGTCTTCATGAACCTCAGGTGCCAAGTCAATATCGTCATGGTCGCGATGGCGGGGCTTAAAGAGGCACGGAGTATTGGATAATCGGCCTCTATTCTTTCGGGCACGCTCTGATGTCAGAGGAATGAGTAACCGCGTTAGCTGCTGAGAAGACAAGGGACACACCCAGGACATATCGAATCTCACTCCGGTCGATATAGCCGACTAGTGTCAGTGCACCATCAGAAGATACAATGGGAAAGCCTTTGACGTTTGTGGACGACAGGAGGGATTCTAACAATTCATTAGAGACAGATCGATAACTCAGCTCCACATGGGTGTTTCCCAGGACCCACCGACATCTTTGACGCGCATACCAGTTTCCGACATGGTTTGCAAGTCTTTTCGCATAACAGCAGAAACTGGAAAGAGGATCAGTTCCTCTATCCAAAAGACTCAGAGAGTAACTCACCAGTCACATTGTAGACGTGGTCTTCCTTCTCCAAGAAGGGGAAACCATTGAATCTTATCATCTCATCCGCAATGCCATTTGTCCCAAGGAAGTCTCCAACAGCTTTCGTCACAAGGAGGACGATCTAGTAGCAGCCATTTTTAGAACCATTAATAAATCAAGAAAAGGGCGAACCATTGTTGGCAGAATATACGTCAACGCGCCGGTGAGTTCGAACATGATAACCACCACGGTTACCGTAATTCTCATAACCCCACTGCAACAGATTGGCTTGGTTTCGGAAGGTCATGTGATTGTGACATCATACTCACCTCAACGCTGCGGCTGCACCAAGGAAGGCATATGTTCCTGGCGTAATGCAAGGGCCGTCTGGGGCACAAAATTTGAAAATCCCAGACTTTGGGTACTCCCTGAACGACAAATCCATTAGAGGCCCTTCTAAAGTCTCGAATGGGACTCACGTATACATCGCCTTTACCAATATTCCAACCATTCTACCGAAAGTGGCTCCAATCGCCATCGATGGTACGAAGATACCAGCAGGCACTTTGCACCCGTAGCTTATGACGACAAGGCCAATGCGTATGATGGTGGCTAGAAGGAGTGAGTTTGATATACGCCACTGGGCAGCCGATCTAGTAACCAGAGATGAGCATGGCGCCTCACTTGACATGCCTCCGAGAATCACACTTACTGGCATAAATTAAACACATTTCCACCGCCTTCGCATTCCTTGAATAAAATTGCCATGCTCGACGTCATATCAATTCGGAGGAAGCGATTGAAGTAGCCAATGAGAGCCGTAAGTGTGGCTAGGGTGACTGCTTCTGCGACGCCATGGTTTGCTAGGTGTTTCCGGCGGAAAGCGGCTACCTGTAGGTTGAACTTAATCACGAAGGCTCCATAAAGACCCTGGGCAATGGGTCAGAAACGAGGCAATAGCGGAGCATGAACCTTTCCAGTACGCACCCCAAAAACCCCCAAGATCACGAAGAAGATTATCTCGAAGAAGTGCCAGTCTCTGTCATACGTGACCTGGAAGAGCACAAGTTTGCCCGTCCGGAAAGGATTCATTGCCTGCCACAAGGTGTGAGCGACTTTTGGCTGATCGCGAAAGATGTGATCTACGGACAGACAGTGTGAAGGTCGCGACCAATGCACAGAAGACGCTCTTCCACATCGCTTTGATGCTGAATGTGTGGGTCATTTCCTGCATATCGTAAGTTTAAACATTGAGGAGGAAATGAAATCCGTGTCAAAGAGAATGACCTCAATGGAAAACAGAACACCTCCAATCGGAGAACCAAAAGCGACGGCGACACCAGCAGCGCTTGCGGCCGTTATGATCTCCCGCATTTTACCTACGAATAAGGTTAGGATGAATGGCGTTTGAGATCGCAAATAAACCAACTTTGACTACGCCTGAAGGTATCAAACAACCCAGCCACAAGGAACCCAACACAACATGCCACATGTACTGAAGGTCCTTCTTTGCCGACTGACAACCCGGAGGCAATCACTAACGGCTAAAGTTTCTCATTAAGGAGTGGAATTAGAGGAGAGAGAGAGAACTCACAAGTGTGATACTTTTGATGAAAAATGTAGCGAATCCAAGAAACCCTTGCATGACGAACCCCGCCAAAATGCATTTGATCTCCGAAATACCAGACCCAGCAGCATACTTTGCAAACGATTTGACGAGATGCGAGGAAATGAAAGAAAAGGCCGCCTGTATGCGAAACAAAGTGAGAACACCATTTTGTCCAGCCACTAGGCGTCAAGGAGAGGACTCACAGCAAACATCACAAATATGATCCACCGGGCCAGAGTAACATGGCTCCAGGTATGCCACGAATCGCAGCCATCAACCTCCTCGCCCTCAATTTCCCAACAACAAAACTGCTGGTTCAGCCACCACCCGTCCGAGCAATACCCCATCTTAATGTCTGATAGCCATTCGCTAATAATCGACACGAAGGCGGCGTTCAAGCCAATGCAGACGCCTGAACGGACAGAACAAGATCAGTGAGGCAGCATGGAGTAATTTGGTAGTGAGTGCACTCACCGACGAGGCTCAGCACGAACCAGCTCTGGCCTGCGTCCATAGCCTTGCGTAGTTGGATCCACAACTGCGAAACCGCGCCGAGGGTCCCTCGAGGCCGCCGGCGCGCGATATAAGGTTTATTGCGCGCATTCCTGAGGCGTCTTTGCCTCTCATGAAACGAGTCCTGGATCCAATCTGCACATACCGCAAGCTTTAGTACAGCAGGCAGGGAAGTACCTAAACGACGGCGGTGACCATACCTATTGTTGTGAAATCCTCATAGCGGCTGGAATTAAAGGACTCGGAAATGAGCTCAGGGTTGACATAGGGTTGAAGATGATACGTACCGGATTTGCTCGAGTTCTTCGTCTTCGAGCTCTTCAGGATCCATAGGTTGGTGTTCGTAAGCAGAAATTCAATAACGCGTAGCGCTGGGATGTGGGCCCGTGCCGGTGCGAACATCCCAAATCCAGCCAGGGGCTGTGCTACCAATTAATGTTCTTTCCTCCGTCCAGGGGGCCGCCCTGCCTCCGTCCTCAGTGTGCTATAGACCGGTCGTAATAACGTGGTTTATATTCATTTTTGGATCGTGAGCACAACACTCTAGTGACAACAAACATAAGATGGTATGTATGACAGGGCCAGGTGCGGTACAGATAGTGAGGCGGAGAGTCCAACGGGTATAAGTTAGAATGGAGGGTGACTAGTCTTGACAGGGTGCTTTCCTCCAGATTCCAAAAAGTGCGCAAACAAGAAATGCTCCCAAGAAAGCGGAAACGATATATGATGAAGAATGTCCCATGGCGGTCAGATCTAGAATGAAGTTCCTGCCTGAGCTGTAATCCTGCTTTCGAGGTTTCTAGAAGTTAAATGTGAGCGATAGGCTCTTCGTTTAGAACGAAAGGAACGACGAACCTGAGAGCAGCCTCCTTGGCCATCAGCTCTTGCCTCTTCTCGTTGATTTCCCTCTGGACTCGTAACTCGACTTCGCGAAGCTGAAAGAAAAGAGAGAAAGGAAGGTCAAATAAGCCGCCAGCTAGGAAAAAAGAAACAAAAATGTATACCTTCTCCTCCTCGCGGCGAAGCTGCTCCTCCTTGATCCGCACGCTCTGAGTCGCGAGCTCGTGAGGAAGAATCTGAGAATCCCGAATGTTCGAATCCGCGCTTCTGGAAAGCTTCTCTGTTCTGTAAGTCTCGTAGAGAATATCTTCAGTCAGAGATTTCAGGTCGTTCAAGTGCGACCTATGGGAAACCGTCAACGATGGGTGTCCAGGAGTTCGACGTCAGGAACCTACCCAAGAATCGCACTGCGGAGCCTGACAAAGTCGGAGTGGTTGGGGTTGTCCACCTCGACCGTGCCCCAAGGGTAGACCCTGACACGCACAGGCTCCCCTTCAATCTCAATCTCTTCTTCGGACCCAATGACAGCGAAAGGCAAGAGGGCCTAACAAGAGAATAAGCAAAGCAGAAAAAAATGGGCCAGTAAACATGAACTCACCCTTAGCTCCATATTATCCGTGATTGTGTCCTCGTCGTCTTCCTCTACATCATACGGGAAGTTGTAAATCGGGATCTCATAGAAATCAATATCCTCCATTATCTAAAAACGCCACCGCCGTTAGCAATGGTACGACACCACCCCAACAGATTACACGTATACACACCCTCTTCTTGAAGGCCTTTAGCTCCTTCGGAGTCAACGAGTCCGCCTTGCCAATAACGGGGATGACGTTTACGCGCGGTGATAGTCGCCTCATCAGCTCGATATCCATTTCCCTCAAGCTTTAGGAAGCGGGAGTCAATCACTGCGAACTACGAACGTGGGCGGCGACGTACGAGTGTCCTGTCGGAGGGATGAAGTACAGGAGGGCATGCACCCTGTTGTCCCGGAAGCGGGGGTTGCGCTTGATGCGCGACTGCTCAGCGAGGATGTCGTCGTATTGGCGTTCGAGGTAGTGCATGATTTCCTGGAAGCTATAAGACCGGTCGGTGTCAGAGTCGTCGTCCGGGACAACAGTTCCCACTAGTTGGAGTGGAGGTCAACTCACCCGTGTTCGTTGTCGATGCTGTCCCCAAAGCCTGGGGTGTCAACCACCGTCAGTGCGATACGGATGCCATCCTCTTCCAGCTCTATACGATGGCAAGGTCAGAAGACAACGTAAAATGTTGAGGGTGTGTGAGACGAACCAACGTTGGCAGGCTTGATTTTGATGCCCTGCTCAAGGTGGACGGACTCAGGAGACTCGATCTCCTTGTGCTGAAGGACGTCCGCCTCGCACAGCGTGTTCACGAAGGTCGTACGCCCAGTGCCCGATGCACCTTTCAGGGTTGAACCGAGGACGTTACAATTTGATAATCATTAAAACGAGCGGCGAGCGCTTACCGACGACCATGATGGTGAACTGGACACCCTTGACCTTGTTCCTTCTCCTTCCTGAGATAGGCATTGTGGGCTAGGATTCGTTGGGGGAGGGGATAGATGGAGGAGGAGGGGACGACACGCGGGATGGGTGCAGGTCAGTGTTTATGAAGAGACGCAAATAGACTTTCCGCTGATCAGCCTCAGTTGCGCTCGGACCCAAGCAACATTACATAAGGGTTGACCCACGCACTTTTCCTTACTTACCGGGCCGGCCGTTACCTGAACGGGACCTTGTTGCCGGTTAATACACTTCCTTCCTTCCCTCCTTCCTTCCCACTAATCAGTCACTCAAATACTTATGGATGTCAACTTTCATGCTCTTTGAGAGGTGTAGTCCTTATAGTAATTAGCTGCAAACTTCTTTTTTGACGCAAAATTAAAAGAGAGGTCTCCATGTGGCGATGCCAATCCCAAAACACCAGAACTTTGGAGCCCACACAAGTGCAGCTTCCTTCCTAACGACATTAACTTTTGTCGAATAAATAACGCAGAGGAAGAGGCTGAAATTTTGGCCACTAGTAATCCAAGGAAATCATCCATCAGTTAAGATGGGTTCTTTAAGTCTCTAAGGAAAGAGAGGGGAATGGTGAGCCAAGAAGCGTAGGCCATAATGATTGAGACTAACCTCCGACTATTTTGCACCCGGATAAAAAGCCAGTCCACAGCTGCCCTCACACCAGTTCTGAGAGATGCGTCAGCGCGACCTTCGGGGACGACGAGGAATGTCTCCGAAATGGGAAAACGGAGGAAGGCATCGGCCTAGAACAGTGAAATTCTGAAGCAAAAGAAACCGACATACCCTTCTAAGGCCGAAACACCCATAACATCCAAACTGGCTATCCGCTCCCTGCGCATCGCGAGCTCAGTATTGCTATCGGCCTCGCCATAGCGCGTTCTTCGCGCACTCTCAAGCTTGCGCTGGTACCAGTCCTCATAGTCGTGTCGAATCTCATCCACAGATAGACTCTGCGGAGAATCTTGCTTGTTCGCAAGCAAGAGGAGGGGGACGCCGAGGATCTGGGGGTTAGATAGGACGCCATCTGGAGAACAGAAATTGCAGGATTGAGGCTCAGTACGATGTAGTGTACGAAGTGGTATTTGGGTAGCAAGGGAAGACACACACCGAATACCTCCCACCCTTCGCTCAGCCGCTCGCGGTCCTCCGCGTCGATAATATACACGACGGCATGGCAGTCGCCGTAGTACTTATGCCAGATATTGCGTATCCCGCGCTGGCCACCCAGGTCCCAGAACTGCAGTATCGTAGAAGGAAGTACAATCGTCCCAGCTAGAACGCACAAAGCACACTCCTTTCAGATTCTGGCACCCCTTCGAGAAGGGAAAAAAGGGGGGAGACGTACTGTTCTGCCCGACCGTAGGCCCGATTTTGTCTGGGGACAGCCCGGGCGTTTCGTTGTACAGCGTCTTTATCTTCTCGAGGAGGGTCTACGTATCAAAAATGTTATCCCACTGGTGTCTGAATGAATGCTGCCGTCGAAAAGGAGGGTGGGCAGGACGTACCGTCTTGCCTGCACCGTCCAGGCCAATGATTATTACTGAGAACTCTTCCTTCCTACGAGGGTAGACACAATTAGTCCGAGTAAAAATGCATGCAAGAGGCTGAATCGTACCTCGTAAGGTGTTCATGGAGGCCCTTGAGGAGATGGTACATGGCGAACGAAGGCGGAGACGACACTCGAAGGCCAACAGCCCCTAACCGTGTGTGGATCCAAGGATGGAACCAAACAACCTACGGTCATTACTCTGGCTGCTCGTTACAGTCAACATCCACTCGGACGCGATGGGCTACTATTCCTATGGCCTCCCAACATTCACAATAATCGTCATCGCTCTTTACCTCCTCTTCACCGGTGCGCTCATCCTCTCCTTTCCTCTTCCCCACCACCCGGTTGCTTGACACTCGGATTCGAAATCGTCAACAACCTAATGCTGTCTTTCTTTCCAGCAACAGCTCCTTTGGCTTGATCATATCTGTATTCAGTTGGCGCTGACGAGATAACTTGAACTCGCAGGTTCCGGAGAGGCATTCAATGTTGGCCGCTTCCTTGAAGAATCGAGTCCCTATGCGTGGGGCGCTACTGGTATTGGCCTGTGTATTGGCCTGAGCGTGCTCGGTGCTGGCTGGTATGTCATCCTAAAAGCTCACGAACCAACTCTGCGACTTAAAATGCTTTCTTTCTTTCTGTATACAGGGGCATCTTTGTGACCGGCTCGTCCATCCTCGCTGGAGGCGTACGCGCGCCTCGAATCACAACTAAGAACTTGATCAGGTGCGTGCTTTCTTATGTTCAGAGCGCTTTGCCCTCCGAATCTGACGCTCTCTACTTCCAAAGCATCATCTTTTGCGAAGTCGTCGCAATCTACGGAGTCGTGCGTCCTTCCTCTCCTCCTCCCCCTCCCCCGCTTTCTTCCCTCTCTAACCCCACCTTCTTCTCCCCCAGATCATCGGCATAGTCTACTCAGCCAAGCTCGCACCACTCTCCTCCGCCGTACTCTACACCCCCGAAAACTACTTCACCGGCTACGCGCTGTTCTGGGGCGGCCTCACCGTTGGAGCCTGCAATCTCCTCTGCGGGGTGTGCGTCGGTATCACCGGGTCCACCGCTGCCCTCGCGGACGCGGCTGACCCTGACCTGTTCGTGAAGATCCTTGTTGTGGAGGTGTTTGGGAGTATCCTGGGGCTGTTTGGACTCATTGGTATGTGATTGGATGCTGACTTTTTTGCATTTGATTGATTTTGTGTTTAGTCGGCCTGCTCATGGTTGGCTCTGCGGGCGAGTTCAGGGGTGCTGAGGAAGCTTTGCAGAACGCGGCACAGGCTGTTGTGTCTCCTTTCGTACACTGAGGAATAAAAGACAAGCCAGAGTAACTTGGAACTCGCCTTGACCAACCGACCTGTTTGACCAACTCCGCTATATGCAGGCCCTGGCCTGCGTACGCACATCACCAGTTGCATTAAATTATTATTGGACTCTTGCTGCACTGCTGTATCTCCTCCTGTCTGAGACCCTTTCTTTAGACTGTCAGGAATGTAACGAGGAATGCATGCTATTCGATTTGAGAAGGTACTAACTACATTGCTAGGATGAATAGGCCTAGTTGATGAACGACCGAACATAATTCTCGATCAGTTCTCTGTTTTCATAGGCGTACTTCGCTGCTACTACCACAACAGCAAATTTCACGACTGGTTTACCAACGAGACTCCAGACGTCGCGAGTGATATATCGCCATTTTTGAACGCCCTTGAACGCGCTAAAAAGCCCACCCACAATTAGAACACATATACTCAGGCTTAAAGCTGAAAGTAAAAACATACGCCTGAGCTGCATTCGCCCTCTCGTCAATCATCTGGTACACGCCCATCTTAAATTGCTCCTTAGGCACCCTAAACGCATGTCCATCATCCAGCAATAAATACGCGCTCCCACTCGTCTTCGGGTCCGGATCCGTCGCCGCATTGAAAATCGCCCCCGCCACTCGTTCGATGGGCACGAACGGGATACCCGCCAGCGCGACCTTGACGACGAACGGCACGATGTTAGTCTCGACGAAGAAGGGGTGGATACACCCGACGCGGACGCCGCGCGCGCCGAGAGTGGGGTGCAGGGAGCGCATCAGCCCGAGGACGGCGTGCTTCGAGGCGGTGTAGAGCTCGCCGAGGGGGATAGCTTGCCAGGAGGCGACGGACCCGATGAAGATGAGGGATTTGAGGTCGTCGGTCGGCTGTTTATTGACGAAGAGGTAGTGCACGGCGAGGTGGGCGGCTACATGGAGAAGGGAGAAAGTAGAGTGTCAGCCGTGGGATGAGAGGAGAAAAGGGGGAGGTTTGGTGCTCACTCCAGAGGACACCGGTGAGGTTGACGTCGAGAGTGGTCGTTTTGGGCTGCTTTGGTCTGCCGTTCTCGAGCACTGGGGTCATAAACTTGGCGGTTTCTGTAATACCAGCGTTGGGTACCTGTCGCGCGAGAGTGCAGCACAGATGAAGGGTTCATCTCGACGGAAGAAGGATTGGAATGCGTACCACGATGTCGACAGAGCCATACTTCTTGATGGCAAACTCAAACATGTCCACCTGTTCCTCGAACTTGACGACATTGCACTTGATGCACGCCGCTGTTCTATGTGTCGCAAAGGGAGAGAGGCGGAAACTGTCAGAACAATGATGGGCGTTTGTCAGACGTCGCAGAACAACGCACCCGCCCGCCTTCTCGATCTCGTCAACAACAGTCAGTGCAGCGTCGGGGTTCAGGTCGCCAATGACCACTTTCGCACTATATACGAGGGGAGAACAGCACATGTAAGACACACGGCGTGTGCTGCCTGTGGGTGAATACTACGCACCCGTATGAAGCGAAGAGCAGCGCAGTTTGCCTGCCAATCCCAGCTCCGGCACCTAGAAAGAGCGGAAGGAAAGCTAATCAGCATGGGTGCCTCTCAGTGGTCAGGAGAAGAGCTCACCGGTGATGACCAGGACCTTGCCCTTGACACGGTGAGAGTACTCGGCGAGCTTGTCATCGGGAATGCGACTCATTTCTGGCTCTGCAGGATGCATGGTCAAGAAACAGGGGCGATGAGTTCAGTCGGGTGGCGCTTTATATGGTCTCGGACGCACCTCAAGGATGGTGACGATGCCTGCTAGCTGGATGGGTTGGTGGGCGGTGGATGAGACAGAAATGAAGGCGCTGGCAGCTGACCCTGTCCGGACATGATAGGTCAGGAAAAGGGTTGACTTAGAACGGTGATTCAGTGATCAACAGCATCATCCCCACATCTAGCCGACTAGCCCGATTATGGCTTCTCTATCACTCACACTCACCATTCCAAGGGCCTTGTCCCCCCAGCCAATCCGTTCTTCCAACTTATATCGTCTGACGCGGGCGGATGGAGGGTACTTACCTTTCACGTTATTTTCGGTAACCACTAAGACTTATTGGGTCTCAATTATCAGATACAATCGACTCCATCATTTGTATCTATTAGGTCTGTCTAGGGGGACTTGGTCTCAATTGTTAGGATGAGTCTAGGGGGAAAGGGACACCATCGACGCGAATTCTTCGGTGACAGGTAGTGAACACAACCGTCCAACAAGTCCAGAGTAGCAGAGTCCAACGAACCTGTAGAGATACGAAAGCGACTGAGTTCGGTATCTACGAGCCCGAAATATATATAAAATTGGAGAGCCCCTGTCTCCCCTATCTCGGCACCCCGGCAATGCCCTTTCGGGCGGTTACCAATCCCAACAGAACCGCCATGCCCTAAACTAGCTCCAAACCCCTATCTAACCTCCGTGCTGAGCTCGCGTCTTCAAGCTTCATCCAGCATCCAATACAGATGCATTCTACAACCTACACAACATTCTGCAACGCCCTCTTATGGTTCGACCAGTTCTACTTTCTAACCGGCTTTATCTCAGCCGACTTGGAGGTGTATCACGCCGTCCAGCTGTACCTAGGGACTGACCTGGCGGACATGCAGTGTAGACATGAGGCGTTGCGTAGCATCCCAACTCATTTGTTTGCAAATTTCTCTGAATTACACTATGCACAGGGGGATAATCCGACATTGGGTTCAACTATGGCGAGAGGTTCCACCTCGATGGCTGGTACAACACTTTTCTACGCGTGTCAGCTTTCCCCCATACTTCGAGGGACCATTCCTTCCTTCTCCCTCTCCCTCTCCCTGTACTGCCAATGGGTGACCTAAGCCTCCTTCTGCTTCATCCCCCTCTACCCATTGCAGGCATCCTGGGCAACACATTGAAAGCCGACAATGACCTGTAGGTGTCTCTCATTCACACCAATCCAACTGCACCCCATCCCGCGCTACCAAATTGCAGCTTCTGGTGACGGTGCTCATGCTCAACCTGTGTGTGCTGTGTGCTCCTGCCAGACAGCAAGCCCCTGACCATGTCAGCCAACCTGCTCGCAACCCCCACATAGACGCAGACCAACTACTGGACACCGTACGGCTCATTACAGCTCATTTTGTTTGGCAAACAAGGTGTCCTCAAGGTGTGTCGGGATGAGGAGGGAAAAGGCAATCAGATCAATTTATTGGACACACGTTGTTGACGCGTTGTTATGACCCATTGGCAACAGGTGGCCAGTCGTAGCTGGTCAACATCTCTCTTTGCCTTCTACCATCTCCTCAGAACGCGATGTCAGCAGTAGAACAACCTCTACTCAAGAGTCCTCGTACTTCTGAAGACTCTGAAGAACAATCAAGTAGCACAGAACAATCAGGACCGCAATTCGTGTGGTCACAGGAACTCTGGTTTGAGGATGGCAGTGTTATCATCCAGGCAGAATTGACACAATTCTGTGTCCACAAGACCATCCTCGCTCGCTCGTTTGCCAAGCATTTTTAGTGACTTTTTCCAACTTGACGAACAATCTGCCTCTGAGGCCGTGGTTGATGGGTGCCCAGTTGTCCACGTCTCCAATTCAGCAATTGAAATGTGCCATTTCCTGCTTTTTTATGTGACCAGTACATATGTCTTCTCATCACTTTGCATCATGACTCACTCAATGTTCATTTCAGAAAATACAGTCCAGACGAGCTGCCGATGTTCCCAAATTGTGGGAATGTTGTGACTGGGGAAAAAATATGATGTAGAAACGCTCTATCAGAGGTGTTACTGACACTTCAACTCGAGTTTCCAAGCACTCTGACTGCATTCAATGTAGATGGTCCTGTATATCAGCACTTCAGGGCAGCCATGTCAGCTACAATTCTATATCAAACACTGCCTCTAAGCAGTGTGACAGGATCAGTCCTGGCTGTCATAAAGCAGTCAGGCTGTGGGCTGGGACTGCCGTGTCTCGGAGATGGGAGCAGGACCCATCAACACAGACAAACAACGCAGGGAACAATGCCCAAGCATTGTTCCTTGTTGTTTTCGGCGTTCCCAGCCCCATTCTCAACTGGGAAAAGGTGCCAGCGATGAGGAAACATATTTCCTCATCATTGTGCACCATTTCCCCCATCGTCAGGGGGGGGGAATGGGTGGATTGGGCCAGGTGCATTTGGATGACACGGCCTTTTTTCAGGGCCCCGGAACTATTTTTAGGTCATGATGTAATTACCATGACATAGCCATTATCATGCTCTTGACATCTGTTATGACCTCCAGCGAGCTCGGGGGTATCTTAGCACACAAAAGAATTTATGAAAAAATCATATTAAACTGAAATAAAATATATACATGGTGCAGGTGGCTCTATCAGCCACCTGCAATGAAATAAAGAGAAAACAAGCAGAAACGGTGTGCCATGAACACGCCATTTCTGCTCGGTGACCCTCCCTCTGCTCGTTATTGGGGGTTGTTCCTGCCTCCTCCGCTCGGTGGGCTACCCTCTGCCCCTCCATTGCTCATTTGGGGCTGTTCTCCCCTGTTCTCCCCCCCTCTGCCTGTTGGGGCATCCTCCACCCCTCCTCTTCTCAGCGTTGGGGCCATTCACCCCTCCCCTGCTTGTTGGGGGGTCGTTCGGCCCTCTGCGGTTTGTTGGGGGCCGGTTGCCCCTCTTCCACCCTCCTCTGCCTGTCGTTGGGTTGCCTCCACCCTCTGCCTGTCTGTTCAGTGCTCCACCCCTCGTTGGGTTTGTTCATGAGGCAGAGGGCAATGACAATGGCAATGGCGGGCAATGGCAGGCAATGGCAGAGGTCAGGGGGGATGCAGAGGCCAGGGGACAATGTTGAAGGCGAGAGGGTGAAAGGGCAAAGGCAAAGGTGAAAGGGTGATGGCGAGAGAGGGCGAGAGAGAGGGCGAGAGCAAGAGGGTGAAGGCGAGAGGGAGAGAGGGAGACGGCGAAGGCGAGACAGCGAGGTCGGCAAGATGGCAGGGTAGATGGCAAGGGCGAGGGCAGATGGCGAGGCAGGCAAGATGGCAAGGCAGACAAGAGGGCAAGGCAGACAAGAGGGCAAGGCAGATGGCAAGACAGTGGGGCAGAGGGAGAGACAGCAGAGGGTGGGTGCAGCAAATGAGGGGCAAGGGTGGAGGTGAAGGGTGCCCCCACTGTCGTTGTTGTCATTCCCTTGCTGTTGTTGTTGTTGTGGCCCCACCGTTGTTGTCGTTGTTCCCTCACCGTTGTTGTTGTCGTGGCCCCACCATCATTGCCATCATTCCCTCACCATCATTGTCGTGCCCCCGTCATTGTCGTTGTTGTCCCCCCCCTCGTCATCGTCGTTCCCCCGCCGCCGCCGTTGTCGTCGTGCCTCTGCCATTGCTATCCTCTGCCTGGTCAAAGGGCGATGGTAGGCGAGCAGGTGGTGGTAGGCAAGCGAGCAAGTGGGTGACCATGGGCAGGAAGGAGCCTGAGCCCATATCCCTGTTGTGAGGGGAGGGGCGGCTTCATTGGGTCGTCATCAATGTGGATGGGGTTCTGTGAGGGGTAAAAGTTAGTTAGTAGGGATGCAAGTACATCAAAAAGCTATATACTTACCTTTTGTTGTGTTTCAGGGCCGCTTCACAGAGGGAGGGTGGTGGACAAAGAGCAAGATCAACGATGTTGAACATCGTTGATCTTGGTTCAGCGAATTCCGGCCACGCATCCCATTGGCTGGGACTTGCAGGCCGAACCCTCTCCGTTCTGTCGTTGACAAATGGAACATCTCCAACGCATTCAAAACGGCTTTTGTCTCTCTCAAAACCCTTGGTAATTGTTATCAGTATGCAAATGTATCTATTGATTTAGTTTAATTTGAGATCTAATAAACAGAAATATTTTACATGTGGAACCATCTCTTGCTTGGGCCAACTATTGCACTCTCACCTCTGTATGGTAGATTCCAAGAGGCAGAAAAGGCTGATTAATTATGCAAAAATGGTGTATAGAGTGTTTGATAATATTAGTATTTATAAATGAGGCTCCCCTGACCAGTTTATTACTTACAGGATGTGATATAAGAAATTGCAAACAATGGAGTGGATTCTGTAATGAAATCCACTCAAAATGTGTCAATTGTTGAGACCTGGATTGTAGCACAAGATCTACATTGGAAATGTATGCTCATTTTTTGATATGTTGTACTTACTCACTCAAGGATTCAAAATTCAAAGTTTTTTTGGGTGTTTCAGCCTGTCGAACGAGTGGTTTTTGAAGGGTTGGAACCCCAGGAAAACAACGATCACCATGCAGAGAGAACATCCTCGGCTCCACCATGGTCTCAAGCTCAGATCATGCTTGGACCTTTATTAATACATAGAATACAGTAATTTAATTAATTACCGACGCTAAAGAACGAGAATTCCATCCTATCTCGAGTGCATGAGCCATTCCGCGGTTGATGAGCGGAATGTGGACTAGCCAGACCGCGAGTGCCAGCCAATCACATCATTCATGGCATCCACTGGATAAGCGATCAATGACAGTGAGCGTCGTTGATTCTCATCTTTGACCACCACCTGGCCCCTCCCCCCTTTGTCCACCACCACAAATGGCACCTCAAGACCACAAAAAAGGTGAGTAATATGTTTTCTTCATAAATATCTACTCTAATACATGTTTTTAACTAACATTAGGTGAACGAACATTGACTTTAAGTCAACGTTTGTTTTCTTTGCCTCCCATGCCCCTCCCTTTCAATAGGGATGTGGGTGGAGGCATGAAACCCCCACCTCTCTGTCTCTCGCCTTTCCCCCTCTCCCTTGCCTTGCCTCCTCCCCCTGCTGGCGCCACCCTCCCACCCATCTGTGGAACCAACGACAGCGGCGAAGGGCGGACAAAGGATGGTGGCAAGGGACGACCGGAGGGCGAGGAGCGAATGATGACGCATGGGCAACAGATGGCCATGACAAACAATGGATGGTGGACAACCACGACGAACGACAGCGGCGGATGATGGATGACTGACAACCATGACCAATGATGGCAACTGACGAGGATGGTGACAGACAAAGATGGCAACAAATGAGGATGGCAGGTACGAACAGGGGCAGCGATGGCGGATGACGGACGACCAACAATGAACAATGACAGCAGATGACAGATGACCAACAATGACAACCAACAATGGCAATGGACAAACAATGATGGACAAATGACAATGGTGACAGACAAAGATGGTGACGGACAAGGTCGGTGACAGATGAACATAGTGATGAACAAGGACAGCGGATGACCAACAATGGTGACAGACAAGGACAGCGACAGACAAACATGGTGACAGACAAGGACAGCGACAGACAAACATGGCGACAAACGAGGTCGGTGATGAATGAGGATGGCAACCGACGACGGACAAATGAGGATGGACGAACGAGGATGGACGCACAACGGCGCACAAACAATGACCGATGGGGGGCGGAGGAGTCCCCAACAGATGAGTAGGGGGCAGGGAAGCCCCCCACAGACAAGGAGGGGGTGGAAAGGGGCAGATGTGCCCCCTACAGACGAGCAGGGGGATGGATGTGCCCCCATGGACCGGCGGCCGGATGGCCCCCCACGGACGAGCAGGGGGTGGAGGGGGGCAGGTGTGCCCCCCATGGATGAGCAGGGGGCAGAGGAACATCCCAGCGACATTCAGAGAGGGCGGAGGGGCCCAACGAGGGGCAGAGAAGGCATAGGGGGGACCTCTTCTGCCCCCCTAAACAGAAACAGCGCATTAGGACATGCCGTTTCTGTTTGTATTATCCTTATTTCATAGCAGGTGGCTCTACTAGCCACCTGCATCATATATTAATTTTTTTACAATTTAATATGAATTTTTTTGCTATTTTTCATGTGCACTGAGATGGGTCTATCTAAAAATAGATGACCCAGTAAAAATACCAAGTGTCATCCAAAGTACCCATCCCCAATCCACCCAATCCTGCCCCCTGACGCTGGGGGAAATGGTGCACAACGACGGCAAAATATACTTCCTCGTCATTGGTGCTTTTTCCCCGTCGAGAACGGTGGCAGGAGGGCCACAAACGACAAGGAACAGTGTTCGGACACTGTTTCCTGTGTTGTTTGTCTATGTTGATGGTTCCCACTCCCATCTCCTAGACCCGGCAGTCCTGGCATGGCCTCTCTCTTAGGCTGACTGCTTTATGACAGCCAGGACTGATCCTGTCGCACTGCTTAAAGGCAGTGTTTGATATATTTTTGTAGCTGATAGAAGTGTTCAGGGGGCAACCGGGTACCTTGTTCGACGTTGTCACTCTCGCTCAGGAGATGCGCATCCATTCAATTTTGCCTGCAGCATTGTTCCACTGCGCTGCATCACCCTTGGTGTGTAATTATCTGTTGTAACTTGTCTCTGACACCCACTATCCAACTCTTACCTATCCAATCCATAGAATACACTTTTCATAGGAATCACATGGCAAGATGGTACTCACTGCGTTTCAGCCAAAATATCCTTTTGAGGGATACCTGTGACAGCTGACGTGTTGTCACATCTCTACACATCTTCTCTCTTGTCCACTGCACAACGATGCCCACGATCTCACATGTCCCGCCCAAGGGATATTAGCAGGTATGTCCCCCATCCACTCACTGTATAGCTTGGCTTGGTCACTTAGCTCAGCAAATCTACCCAGTTTCCATGCTGCCTAGCTGCAGCTTTGCTTTGGTTGATAGGCCTCATCACCTTCTCCTGGATATGTCTGCCATGTCAGTTTGCCAACGTATGCGCAAAACCAGCCATTCTCGACAACAGATAAAGGGCAGGGCTTCTCTACCCCCCCTCTTCTAGTCTCCCTCTGTCGCCCAGCATGGTATGTTACTCGCTGCCTCTCCAATTCACTATCTTACCTCAAGCAGCATCGAAAACATGCTCGCAGGGCAGTCGATGTTGTGTTGCCTCATGCCTGGCCAGCACCGACCCCAATCCTGGCTGAGCTTCAAGAGAGGCATCACGTCTGGTATGGACTGCCTTCGCCCATTGATATCTGGCTACAACAATGTCTCGATACACCCTTCCAGGCTGTAGAACACCCCAGTGCGATGGAGGGTTCTTCCCTCGGTTATGTGCTACTCTCAGATTACATGGAATGTGAGTTCAAGGTGGAGAAACATGAGGCATGTTCTCTACTGTTCATTTGAACGTTACTTACCTTTGATCAGGTCGTCAATGACAGTCCTTTCTATGATCCGCCAATGTTCAAGCTGCTGCTGGTGGTCCATCTCCCTCCTGGCCTGCACCGCTTTATCTTCAATCTATCAAGTCCTGTAGTAATAATGACCTTGTATGAGGGCTCTGAGATCTATGACTACAGCAAGCATTTTCAACAGCCCCAAGCATCTATGATCAACATACTGTCTCTCCTTTCAGCACAGGCCCAGAACAAGCTTAGTGCAGCCTCTGTTCGACAGTGGTGCCAGGCAGCTTTGGTGAGTTATACTACCTTTCTCTTTTGTTGCTAACAATCCTGATGCAGCCATGTCTGCTAGAAATCTATATCAGATACTGTATTTTTACAAGGTATGCTTATATGTCAGGACTGTGATTTTACAGTCCACCTGGAGAGGGGCTTGCTGGATGTGCCGGGGCTCACGGCTGCAGGCGGGGCCTGTCAATACATGCGAACAGTGCAGGAAACAGTGCCCAAACACTGTTCCTCATTGTTTGTGGTGCTCCCACCCCCGTTTTCGATGGGGAAAAGCTGCCAATGACAAGGAAACATATTTCCTCGTCGTTTTGCACCATTTCCCCCACCGTCGGGGTGGCAGGATGGGGTGGATTGGGAGGGGGTAGTTTGGATGACGCGGCATTTTTGTCGCACGTCGGTTATTTTTAGATACCCGGATTAAAACTCCTGAGAATTCTTGGAATAGATAATGCTCGCCGTCATCTATTGCGACGTCCAGCGAGCTCGGGCATACTCAAATCATACAAAAAAAAACCATGAAAAAAATCATATTAAATTATCACAAAATAGATACAGGGCACAGGTGGCTCTACTAGCCACCTGTGAGGTAGGGACAAAACAAGCAGAAATGGCATGCGCCGTTTCTGCTCGCCGTTTCTGCTTGGGGGACCACTCGCCTTGTGGTGGGTCGTGCTCACCTTCGCTCCGGTGGTGCTCGTCTTCATGCTATAGCGGTCACGCTTGCCCTCGCCTCCTGCTGCTCGTGCTCGCCTTCAACTTGTGGTGGGTCATACCTGCCTTCACGCCGTGCTGGTCTTGCCTAGGCTCGCACCATTGTCGTCCTTGTGGCGTGGTGGTACTGCTTGTCAGGCTGTTGTCATCCCTCATGCCGTCGTTGCCATTGTCACCCTTGTGCTATGTGGGTCCTGCTTGGGCTTGCACTGCGGTCGTCCTCGCGGCGTGCTGGTCTTTGGCCTCATGCCGCAGTCATCCTCGTGCCATGGTCGTCCTTATGCCCAGGTCGTGCAGCCGGTTAGTGGGTGTTTATGGATGTTTATGGATGGCATAGCCCTGAGGGCAACAGGCAGAGGGTGGGGGAGAGACGAGGGGTGGGGAAGGGAGGGATGATGTGATGAGGGGGGTACGTGAGGGCGAGAGAGGGCGAGGGTGTGTGCATGTGCAATGTGAATGGGGTGGAGAGGCTGGCATGGGTAGAGGGGGCAACAGGAAGGGCAAGGGTGATGGAGAGGGACAGGGGTGGCGAGCAAATGACGGTGTTCATTCATTCGTTCATCCGTTCGTTCGTCCGTTTGGCCTTTTGTTCATTCGCCGCCTGCCTGCTACTGGCGTTCGGTTGCCTGTTTGTTCGCTGCCACTGCCCCTGCTTATGCTCCCTCGTCCTCTTCCATCCCTGCCCTTGCCCTCCCTTGCTCGTCCTCAGCTGACTTGCTCCAGCGTTCGTCGTGCCGTTCAACTCAGAATACCACCCCATCCAACCGTTACACGGCATCTTTGAGATGCCGTGGCTCCAAGGATGGGGGAGGTTAGGAAAGGAGACAGTGGCGAGTGTTGGCAGAATGGGTGGCAGGACAAAGGGCACCACCCACATCCCTATTGAGGGGGAGGGGTGATGCAAGGGTGAGGGGCGAGAGGAGAGAGCGGGCAGCAGCAGAGAGGGCGGAGGGTGGGGTGGGGAGGTCAGAAGGGTGTTCGTGGTCGGCCCACATCCCTACTCTGAGGGGAGGGGTGCGCAGCATGCAAGTTCGAGGGGCCGAGGGTGGGTGAATCAGGACCGACATCGATGGTGGGGTGAGTAGTGACAGGCAGGGTTGAACTTCGGTTTGCAGGGATAGCGCAGCGTCGAGGGAGGATGAGAGGAGGAGGGGGCCAGCCCACATCCCTATGCAAGGGGAGAGGCCACGGGCGGGGCCAAGTCGAGGGGGCCACGTCATCTGCAATGTGGGTGAGTCCTGCCATCACAAAACATAGGTGTAAGTGAGTAAAAACAGTATAGAGCACTTTACTTACCTTTTTGACGTGTTTTGGGGCTGGATGGCCAACGGGAGAGGGGTGGGTGGCCGTCCAGGACAATGATCAACGATGGTTGACCATTGTTGATCACTTTTCAGCCATTGCCGTGTAGTGTCCGATTGGCTGATCAGCCCCAGGTCCGAACCCAGTCTTCCGCCTTTTGAGAAACGGGATGTCTGTGGGCTCAGACATAGACATTTCAGCCACGGAAAAAGCATCAGATATGATTTTACAAATAGATGGCATTGTGTGTACATTTTATTAAAGAGATTGCATAATATTTGAGCTCAAAATAACGCACGCAAGCCTTGTGCGTGGTGATTTTGGGTGATTGTGCAAACCGGTATGCATATACAGCTGTAGAGAATGGGTGGAATAAGGTTATTTATTTGAGAATTTCAACTACCTATGTGTTCTCTACAATGTTGGAGTCTTGCCCAGAGCTTTTCTGTTTCTTTAACATGACAATCTCAAGATACCCACTTCAGTGGTAAGATTTTCATTGAAACCTTTACCGCCAATACTGCACTTACATATCTCCGGTATCTCTAGGCCGATTCATACCATCCAAGTTATAGAAATAGGTTTCAATCTATTTGTAGGTCAGTACTCCATACTTATTTCATAAAAATATCTTGCTGATAACCTTTGAGGATGTCGTCAACGCCTTTCTCGACATTTTGTGTAGCCGGACTGGTGGAACCAGCCAATGGGATCACGCTGTGGAGTTTGCCAAAACAACAAACAACGACATCCAACATCGTTGATTGCTGGTCTCAACCACCACCTGGCTCGCCCCGACATCTCGAGACGCCCCACGACACTCACGCTCGTCACATGTAAGGTAAGTAGTGCCATTTCATATCCTTTAAGCTACTTATTTACATACTCTATCAGCCCAGGAAGCCCCCATCACGTACACAACACCTATCACCCTGCCGCGTGCCCCTCCCCTTCAACAGGGATGTGGGCTGGCGTATCTGGGTCTACGGCAGCGCCTGCCCCCTTCTTTTCTCTTTTGCATGACCCCACAACCACCCAACACCTCCCTTGTACGACCTCACAGCTGCACAATCCCACCGTTGCTCACCTTCGACTCCCTTCAAAGCCCCCACACTCTGACCGTGCCATGTGCCCCTCCCCTTCAACAAGGGATGTGGGCTAGGCTCTCCTTGGCTCTATGGCCTTTGCCAAATCTGCCAAGGCAACAATGAAGAAAATGCATAACGAGCATGCACACAATGAACATGAGACGTACCCCGCAACGAACACCCCGTGACGAGCATCCCACGATGAGCATCCCATGACGAGCACGCAGGCAGGACAAGGATGGGCATATACAAGCGCTGGTGAGACGAGGACGAGCTACAAACCCACCAAAGTAAGTGACTGCTCACTTCCCTCAGGAAACCTGCTCACCCACCTCCTGTACCCCATCTCAGGAGGATCGGTGTCGTCTGTGGTAGCGCAGACAATGCTGATGCACCCTCCCTCAACCATCCGTCATCGGTGTTGTCTCCTCTCCATGACCGCAGCACGATCGCCTGCAGCCGCCCATCCTCAAATGTACCCCCACCCCTCGCTTCGTCCTTGCTACCCACCTCTGGCCCCCCTCTTGTGTCCCACCTCGCCTCCTCCACCTCTCGCCCCGGCCGAGCAAGTAAAAGTGAAGATAGAGGAGCAAGCGACAACAACGGTGAGTGACACCAACGACGCCGAGGAAGAAGAACGGTGGTGAAGAATCATGACAGCGAGATGGCAGCTAGGAACGACAAAGATGGTAGCAAAGAACGGCGGCGGTGAGGAACAAAGAAGACAACAACGATGAGGACAGTGCAGGTGAGGGACGACAATGAAGCTAGTGGCGATGAACAACCAAGACGGCAGTGGCGGCATCGACAAGCCAACTCCTGATGACCCATCCTTCCATACAACCCACCCGGACAATCCCCTCGCCCTCATATCTCACCCCACCTCCTGCCCATCGTCCGCAGCCCCTCCTCACCTCACCTCACCCCAACCCCCAGCTCCGTCTACCACCCCTCCCTTCCAGCTGGGACACGGGTTGCTTTTGTTCACCACCCACCCGCTAATCGGAAGCACGACCAGAGGGAAGAGGACAACCAAGGCATAAGGACCGGCACTGCGGACGATGGCGGTGCGAGGATGACCATACCCCGAGCATGGATGCAGCACGAGCACGACCGCAGCATAAGCATAACCACACACAGCGCGACGGCAAGCGCGACCTACGAGGCGAGGGCAAGCATGGCTAACCCCCAAGCAGAAACGGCGTGTTCACGGTGTGCCGTTTCTGCTCTTTCTTGTTCCATCTCACAGAGGGTGGCTATTAGATTAGAGCCACCCTCACCATGGAGTTATTTATTATAATTTAATACATTTTTTTCATAATTTTTTCGATGTGTTTGAGTACGCCCGAGCTCGCCGGACACGAGCATCTAAAAATAACTGACGCACGCAAAAATGCTGCGGCATCCAAAGTACCCCCTCCCAATCCAGCCTATCCCGCCCCCCAACGGCAGGGGGAAATGGTGCAGAACGACGAGGAGATATATTTCCTCATTGTTGGCACCCTTTCCCCATCAAAAACAGGGTGGGAGTGCCCCAAACGACGAGGAACAGTGTCTGAGCACTGTTTCCTGCACTGTTTGCATGTGTTGACAGGCCCCGGCACACCCGGCAAGGCCCTCTCTGTAGGTGGACTGTAAAATCACAGTCCTGACATATAAGCATACCTTGTAAAACTACAGTATGTGATACATTCTCGTAGCTGATAGAAGTGCCTGATGGCCTGTTAGATTTCCTCCTCTATGTGCATCATTGCTGCTGCCAGTATTGACATTGACAGGTTGTGCTCAATGCCTTCAAACACACGGTCACACAAGCCGTGTGCCTCGACACTTACAGAGAAGGAATCAAATGCCTATTGAGTCCATATGTTAGATGGATTGGGTTCACTGAGGGCTCCTACTCACGAATAGATGGTGTTTTAAAATACATAGTTGACCCACGTCTTAGAAAAATTTACGATAACTTGATGTTGTTGTACATTGTTTGTGTGAGAACACATCCTGCCTCAGCAATGTTAACGCCATGGATGTATGTCTGTGTCTACTACCACCACCCTCCAATGCTTGCCTTGCTGTTTTCACTGTCATGCCAATATCCCTCAACTTCGTTGAATCAAGATGCGAGCCAGATGATTGTAAACACATGCATACAACAATACGATCCTTGTTGATCTCAACCATACCCAACTCACTTCCCAGGTTGCTGCCATGATTCCAGTCTGCTAAAAGTATGTCAGAGCTTGCTCAATTGTATTTAAGTTTGTTCACTCCAGGCCATTGGGTCAGGAAACAGACATCCCAGGCAAGAACCAAAAACCCGGTGCTCTTACAGCAAAATGGTGTGTGTGTATTTGGCACAAAAGCACTCTTCATGATTTCTGACATCTCTTCAGTCTTCCCAGAAGAAACCCAGCTGTCGCAATGTGCCTTGTGAGTGCAGTACATGTGGGGGGATAAAACATGTTCCACAGGAAACTCGTTGTAGCCATCTTCAACGTGAACGTGAGGCTCTTTTTGCTGCCTATGCATCCTTGCATCCTGACCAAAGCAACCCATCTGGAAGTAGCAAAATTCCTGTTACAGAAACCAACAAAGATTACCCACTGTCCACACCCCCTCTGCACCATCTAACCACACTGACCACTCCAACACGCACATCCGATCTTGCCCCTCCACCTGGCACTCCTCTCACTGACCGTTGGCGAGTGGCCCTATTTGCTCAAGAGTGCTGTGGTGTGTCTCTCATTGCAGAAGCGCTCATGGAATCCGAGGAGGAAACTGGTCATCCCGATCTCCTTGAACCTTTGATGGACGACAATTGGGAGGATCCAACAGATCCTTTCACAAATGTTGAACTTCCTGGGCCTTCACCTCCTCCTCAAGAACCAGCCACAGCTTCTGTAGAAGTGCTTTGCCCTTCAATTGTGACAGGCGTCCCAGACATCAAGATGATGGAGAATACACCTGATCCATTTTGTTGAGCCCGAGATCCAAGTCGCACCCCTATGGCCCCTGTCGGCCATTCTGACATCCATCCCCAGCCCAGCATTTACCTACTCTACCTCCTCATCTCCTGGCTACATCTTCAGTTCCATCTTCCATTTCGTGCTTGTACTGCCACAATGAATGTGTTTCTCCTCATTTTGCAAGCCTTTGGCAACATGATCACGCTGTCGCCTACTACCACATTACCACATATCATGAGCAAACTGGATGTTGAGCCGACCTTTGATATTCTTCCAGTCTGCCCCTCTTGTCTAGAAGTCTTTCCCTCCTCTCCCTCAACAACCACAATTTGCCCACATTGTCACACCTTCATTTTTAAGGCTACCACGTCAACATCAGCCCAAGCCAGTGACCGTGTACCTCTTCTTTGGTACCCATCAAAGAGTCTTGAATCACAGCTGGTGAGCCTCCTCACGGTGCCTGGGATTGAGGAGGCCATGAATGGCTGGTGAAGTGCACCTCGTCAGACTGGCCATTATACAGATGTCTTTGATGGTCAGATTCCCCAGACCCTCAAGGATCCAACCAGCCAAAAATTCTTCAGAAATGGACCAGATGAGTGTAAGATAGGGCCAGATGGAGAGCTCCGGATTGCTCTGACTCTCGGTGTTGATTGGTATGTCCAACTCTTGTGTGTTGTTGAAGATGGTGAGAGACATTCCATTACCAGGTTCTCCTATTTGCGAAGTCAAATTGCGCCATCACACTCATCTTGTCCCATCTCATTAAACATTGCAAATTTGCCCCCACATCTGTGGTACATTATATATCTTGCTTCTTGTTATCTTGAATACTGAACTGATTGCAGATATCGTACTGCCAACCTCCTGCTGTGTGGCATCATGCCTGGTCCCAAGGAGCAAGATCCTGTTTCAATCCATTTCCTAATTGCTGCAACGTCGTGGGGAAAGAGCTCATCCTCTGTGATCTTGATTGTGTCATACCAGTCTGGCTGAGCATTGCTGAGGATCATGTCTTGCTGACCGTAAGCCTCTTGCCACTGCTTGCTGACGATGCAGGCTGGAGTAACAGTACCAGGAGCAGCCTTTTGCAGGTTGATGTCTGCATTTTCTGGCAGTCCATGGAAACATATGTAGTGCACCCTTGCTTTGTTCAGCTCAATAGCAATTTTATCAAGTGCATAGGCAATCCACATAGCCTATGGGCCCACTTGAGTAAGCACCAATTCTTCACATGAGAGCAAAATCTGACTTACGGTTTCATCTCTAGTGAGCAGCCAGAGAATTTCAACTGCGGTTGCACCAGGTGGGCAATGCTTTCCTGCCTCTTTGTCCCAATCCTCCTGGCTGACATTTCCAGGACCAGTGTCCTCATCTGATGTGTATTCCAGGGTAACAACTGCAGACACTCCTGTGATTCCATGACGCTTCTCAAAGATTTTGAACCCTGTAGCACAGTGAGCATACTTTGCCTTTCGTGCATTGAGATGTTTTGTTTTCTCATTCTTGGAAACAGCTTTGCAATAAGCTACTTGATCAATTGTGGTCATGTACTTGCCAGAGAGGGTACAAAGATACTGAAAAGCTGCATTTTTGATCATAGGAAAAGGTTCTTCAAGCCTTTTAGGCTTGATCTGATATTGCTGGTTGTACTCAAAGGTAAGCTAAAAAAAATACTAGAGACAATTGTTGCTCTTACCTCTGCAATGCCAACTACAGATCAGACAACGGCATTGATAAACTGCACATTGTAGTTATCCTTGGTACCAGTTACATGCCAGTTTGGGTTCCATAGTTGGAGATATTGCGGTGGGGTGCCATCTACACCTGGCACTTCTTCAAAGCGATCTTCACTGAGTTCAGTGCATGGGCAAGGCAAATTGAGCACAATTTTGTTGTTGACATGGCGTTCGGCAACTCCAATGAGTGCTTTCATTTGGGCTTGGACAGCATCCTGGTGGATCTATGGATGAGTATCATTTCTGAAGCAAATCATAGTTGTACTGACAATGACCTCCTTATCATTCTCTTTTTGTGGTAGGGCTGATCCACCACTGGTCTGTGTACTGCCCGAGTCACTCTCTCTGTGTTTGGTTAATTCAGCTACTTGATCCTTCATCTGTGCAAGCTCAGCTTCCAGTTCCATGATCCTTTTCATAACGCTGGTGTGTTTCTCATTGATCAACTTCTTCAGTATGTTCATGTCAGTGTACACACGTCCCTCCAGGTTATCAACATCTTGTGCAAGCTGAATTACCTGGGTTGAAGAGGTCTGGTGTGGTTGAAAGCCTGTGGACATTGCAGCAAGTTGAAGGGGGTCTCCCATGTCCATCATGCTGCCATAGTCAGCCTCAGTGTCGAGGTGAGTTCGCTTTCTTGGGAGGCTAAATAATTGCTGATTAAGGGATGTTCCATTTAGAGCTGGACCCATGTAGTCAGCACCCTGGCTCTGAGGTTGATCCTGCACTCCGCGCTACGTGAGGCTGGCATCTTGATGCAGATTAGGTAGGCCACATACTATATTCATCCTTCCCAGGTTTCCATGTGACAAGGACATGCCAAAATTGCTGGCTCCATTTTCAATGTTGAACAGAGTCCGATTCATGGTTGCGAATGTGGTGGGGACAGAAGAGCAAAGGCGATGCAAATTTCCTGCATGGGGGGGGGATTCCGTCTGTATTATCTAAGCTCCCATAGTCCAATCACAAGAGTTCTGCAACCTCCCAAATCCCCCTTTTTTCTATTTGAAATGTAAGATAACCAGGGGTAACAGCTGCTTTTCTACAAACCATTGCCCAATGCGGGATATGTAGGCTATCTATGGATATGGATGGATAAGAGACAGGGGATCTGATTTATCCATATGGTGGATATCACAGTATTGTGTGGGATTTGCTGGAAAGTTGATGGCTGGACACACGTCCCATTCTTGGCCAGTATTGGGATGGATATGGGCCATATCCAGGGCTATCCCAGCAAATGATATTTTGCCCAAAATGCAGTGACTGCGTCTGCAATTCCACCAGAGGTGCTTCAATCTGTGCTTGTTGGTTGTGACAAGATCATTGGTTCTTTTGGCAGTGTTACTTACTTTGAAATGGCTTTGTATCAATCTTGCAGGACAGTTGTGTCATTCGTCTAAATATGCCATGCTTTGAGCAACAGTGCTGGAAACTCTGTTCGCAGCCTCACCAGACATGACAGTTTGCCTTGCAGGACCTGAATCATATAAGTCCCTTCTCGACACCTTCTGTAGGTCCTGTAGCAAGCAAGCTCGTTCCATGCATAGAGCTGGCCATGAAAAGATGTGGGTATTGCTGCCTTGTAACTTTGGGTTAGAGAGCTGGGATAAAGTCCCTTCTCTAGACACAACATTAACCCCATGGCCAGTGGTCCCTCTGTGACAATAAAATTTCAAGTATGTACAACCTTGCTGTTTATGCTGAACAAATACAGATAAATTAAATCTTAAGAAGCTACCCAAAAGACATATTCTTACACACACGGGCTTCGCCTTCGACGTTATCACACTGGCATACAAGATGGGCATATTCTCGGTTTTACCTTCGGCTCTGCTTTATGCCTGTGGTCAAATGGTTTGTTTCACTGTAACTGCATCTATTATGCATGCTCACCATGCTTTGTGCACCGTAGGATTACATTCTTATGGGACGCAAATGCGACAACGACACTATTGCCACTTTTCCGTCTTCCTTGATTCCTATCTTGATTTCTGGTCGCGACAAAATCCTCCAAGCTCAGCCACAAATGTCTTTCAAGTGGGTTTTGCATGAGAACGCTGGTCCTGGTTGCATCTCAGTCAAAGTTTGCTCGCATGCCCGAGCTACTTTCATGGAACGTATCTTCAAAGCAACTCCAAGGCCCCTGATGTTCGTCGAAGTGTTCGGATTGCGTCCGGATATCGGCCTGTGTGCGTCCTGTTGTGTTCAAGCTATAAATTTGCTTGAGACCGGTCATCAAGAAACATGGAATAATTTGCCTGGTTTCTTCGGATGGGATTCCTGGGACGGTGCTCTTTCGTCCCAACCAGGCTCATGGCCGCCTGCCTAAACTTTTTTTCTACTCCGCGCTTCTATTATATTTTACATAATTAGCTCTGTACATTAGTGACAGCCCCTCTAATATATAATGTAGTGCTGAACGATGTACCCGACCTTAGTCTTCTTGTTTTTAACATGTATCCAACAGAAAATAGATTTCTGTCGTTGAGCCGGAAGAACGGCCCGCACCGTTAATTGTCGTCATCTACTGGCATGCACTTACGCCGCATCTTTCCACTTTATTAGCGACCACAATGAGCTGGTCCTCAAAAATCGCAGATCTCCTTCCATCTTGGCTACGCTGGCCTTCTCGTGCAACAGCGCGACATGTCCTCATTGGCGTCCTGGTTGGTTTCTCGCTCTCGCTCTCCTCAACCTCCTTTGCACTGTACCTGCAACAACGTAAACAAAAACGTCAGATCTCCAAGTTCACTGCACGACCTATTGAACTAAGAAGCGATGAGGTGGTGAGAGGGGTGGCAGGGCTCATTGGTGCGTTGAATAACCGGATGAGAGCGGTGGCTTACTAGTTGAATGCAGGAAATACCCCATTGGTTAGAATCAACTCGTTGAGCGATGCTCTAGGTGTCGAGATCCTTGGGAAGGCTGAGGTATTTTATCCTTTTCGAATGGATTCCCATATCACTGGACCCTTGTGCAGTTTCTGAACCCAGGAGGAAGTGTGAAGGATCGCGTTGCATTGCAAAGTTTGTCTCTTTTAGACTTCTGTTGTGTATACAAGATGAATTGACAGGTCTTCCACAGTGATTGACGATGCGGAGAAACGTGGACTCCTCCGTCCGCACACAGGCTCGCGCATATTTGAAGGTACAGTTGGCTCGACCGGCATCTCCATCGCCACGATTGCACGGGCCAGGTGTGTTAGTCTACTCATGGAACTTTCTTCCCTGGTGGTTAATGGACCCTTGCTAGAGGATATGATACGAGTACGTGTTTTAGCGTCGGTCCATCATGCTCGTGTTGAACCTTTTTCCAGCTATCATCATGCCCGATGACGTCGCCGCTGAGAAGGTCAAGGCTTTGGAAGCTTTAGGTGCCGAAGTTGAACGCGTTCGTCCCGCAAGCATCGTTGACAAGAAGCAGGTATGTGTTTTATAATTTTATTTAGGTCATCTCGATGCTAATGTGATTCGCCCGTAGTTTGTCGTTAGTGCTTCACCACCTCGTCTCTTAGACAATTAGCTAACGAGCACATAGAACCTCGCCCGTCGGCGAGCCGTCAAATTCGGCGAACAAGACCGCATTGATAAAAGCGACCCCACATCCAAGACACATCAGCATCTCCATCCCTACACCTTCGAGAGCCCCTCTCAATCCATGCTCGTTACCTCCGCCCCACAGCACCTCGAATTCGACTCTGACGGATCGGAGGTAGGCAGCGGATCGGAGGAGGGGGAGCAGAGAGGCTTCTTCGCCGACCAATTTGAGAATAAGAGTAATTTCGACGCGCACTTCGCTGGCACGGGTCCGGAGATCTGGAGGCAGACGAGTGGGAGGGTTGATGCATTTATCGCAGGAGCTGGTATTTGCTCGGATGTGGTCTATTACGGGGAAGATTTTGCTAATAGAGGCTCTCAGGAACTGGGGGGACGGTTGCGGGAACTGGGCAGTTCCTCAAGTCGATGAACGAGGATATCTACGTTGCGATTGCGGACCCTGAAGGAAGCGGGTTGTATAATAAGGTGAGACACTGGATATATTCTTGCCCTGCGTTCTGTTCACGCGCTCTTCCTGTATTCAGGTCAAATACGGTGTCATGTTCGACCGCAAGGAGAGTGAAGGCACGAAAAGGCGGCATCAAGTTGATACTGTTGTCGAGGGCATGTAAGCTCTGCTTTTCTCGTCGTAGGGTTTCGTCGGTCTTACGCGAAAACAGAGGTATCAACCGTTTAACCCATAACATTGAACTCGCTCTTCCTATTCTTGACGATGCCTTCCGGTAATTCGTCTTCCCCACCTTGACGTCCTTTCTTCATCAATTCATCCTCCTCTTTTGTGATTCAAGTATAACGGATGCCGAAGCAGTGGCCATGTCACGCTATCTCGTCAAGCACGATGGACTCTTCCTTGGTTCGAGCAGCGCGTGCAACTTGATGGCCTGTGTCAAACTTGTGAAGCAAAAGGGATGGACGGAGAGCAAGACGGTTGTGACCATCCTGTGAGTCGTCTGCAGCTACTTTCACGCGTCAAGCTAAAGATGATATGGGCTAGGTGTGATTCTGGAACGAGACATTACTCCAAGTTCTGGTAAACCTTCGGATGTCTCACGTTGTCTGGTTGCTAAAATAACTGCCGCAGGAATGACGACTACCTGAGGAAGGCGGATATTCCTATAAACCTGCAGATAGTAGAGGATTTGCTCGCCCCTCTAGCTCAATCATAGAAACCCTTATGAACCATACAAGATATAGGCTGAAGCATGACGCATCCGGCGTGCACCTAATCATTAAATACCTGCAACACACTCCACTCGCATAGTGTACACTGCTAGTATTACCTGCACCACAGTACGGATATCTACTCTTGCACGACAGCCCACCCCTCGACCTCTTCACCAATCGCTATCCTCAGCCCAGCCCACATGCAGTCCACAAGCCCAGCAGCATTGGCACACGCGAACACGAGTGTCGTTGCATAGAAGAAGTTGGCGTTACCCGTGCCCTGCGTCAACCAGAGGTGGTTGAAGAGCGGCATCAGCAGGGCGGCGTGTAGGTGCAGAAGGGTGGTGACAATGGGGTGGCGCATGTCTACACAAACGAACATCGCTTTGAATACGGAATGTGGATAATAGGGGAAAGCTTACGTGGGTAGATCTCGGGAAAAATGGCAATCATGCTTAAGAACAAGCCTGGGTCGGAGAGCGTCGTGTACGCCTTGAAAGTCCCGAGTATGCCTATGAGGATAAACGATGCGTAGAGGGGGTCGTATCTGGAGGTCTCCGTCAGTCAAAAACACACTATCAAGAATCCGTAGTGATGCTCACTGATATTTTATGCATACTGGGACAATGTAAATAAGCAGATGGGTCTGGAGACAGTGGTCAAATCAGGGGGTGGTATTTTGAGATGGGGAGTAGACGTACTGTGAAGACCATCAAGAAAAACGGTCGGAAGTGGTCGAACATCTCCGTGAAGAAATACCACCAGAGGCCGGTGTTGGGGGTTAGATCAGGAAGAGTTATCCTGCAACATGAAAAAGAATTAACCGAAGGAAAGAAGTAGATGTATGTGCATACTTACGTTGCACCCCAAGTTTGTGGTATCCACGCCCAACCACCAGCGACAAGCGTTGACACCAACGTCAAAAACACAGTGTACACCACAAATTCTCCTGAAGGGGACACAAGAGCTTTCAACGGGACGGCCAGTGCTTTCGGCGAGGCAAGATGCGAGTGTGGGTCTGTTACGAGAAGCAACGCGATTGGGAGCACCATGAGGATGGAGGAGAGAGATAGTTGTAGGAGGAAGGAAAGTGTAAATAGGGCGGCAGATGCCTTTTCTATAGAAATGTTATTAGATTACAAGGAAACGGGGTGAGGGAAAGGTAGGTACGTACTTCGGCAGGCGAAGAGTATTGAGAGGAGCATTAGGGTATTCTCGAGAGAAGATGTTGATAGAGCCACTGAGGGTAGGAATATGTAAGGGTTTAGAAGATATCTGGAACATATGTTCAGACGAAAGTATAAAATCAGTCTACACAACTCACAGGGCAGCAATGAGAGTGTCTCTCGGACTACTTCTGATATGCTGTCGCGCTCTCCATATTTCAACCATAGCCCATGCCCCTACAGCATCGTTAAGCGTCCATAGCAGCGATGCTAATGTTCTTGAACTCGGAAGGACGGTAGTGAAGAGGGAAAGCAGGAGAGGTGACTAGCAGGAAGTCAGCCAGGATGTTCCGTCGTCTCACTCGTCACTGGAATGCATACATGGCGAAAGGACCCTCCAGAGTAAGGGTCTATATCATGTTGGAATAGATATATTCCTTCCTGTACTGCGGTGTTCGTAATTAGCTACCCAGACGCGTATGAAACGAGAGGCACGTACGTTGGGAAAAGGACGTCAGTGGTGACGAGAGTTCTTGTTCGTGCTTTAGAACATTGGAGAGGTCCGTTAGTGATAGCCAGACGCGTGCAGCAACGAGTGCGATGAAGGCTGCAGTGAAATTGATGTTTGGGATGGAGGTGCTTTGGAGTTTGAGGTCATCTCAGTGAGGCGACCCTGACAGTCTGGTGAGCGGGAGGAATTGCATGGATGGAGATCGGAGCAGCGGGACGTGGCTCTTGCCTTTCTCACTGTTTCCAACGGGTCGATGGCGTAGTTGGTTATCGCATCTGTCTAACACACAGAAGGTCCTCAGTTCGAGCCTGGGTCGACTCACTTTTTGCCCTTTTCTTCCTTTTGCTCATCCTCGTCTCTTTCCAACTTGGACATGTATTTATACGAGCTTCCTACCACGGGTGCGATATCCTTCGCCGACTTTTGCGCGGACCACAGCAACGACAGAGCGTACACGCACCGCATACCGGAAGTGACCCAGGCGAGGGCTAATCTACGTGGTGCCCTGAAGGAGAGCAAACGGACTGATCATGGCGAGAAGGACTTTCTGGCTCTCGTCAAAGTATGTGCTCGTCTTATTCTATTCGGACTGTTCTAACCTCACTCGCTAGCTCATTGAGGAGTACCTCCCTCATATCCGCGCCATTATCGACTGCGTCGCTCACGATGAAACAGGCCTCAAAGCTGAACCAAGTGTGTCGCATCTCATCGCCGTCCAAATTCCCAACTAATTCACTAGGTTCTCCGTAGCCTTCAGCTGGCGCACCACGCTCACTGCGAATCTATTCAACAATTCGCCAAGGCTAGACCTCCCAGGGTTGCACGCAGACTACAGCTTCACTCTGTTGACCTACGCGTTTGCTCTATCGAATCTTGCCTATTCCATTGTCATTTCTGTTGGACCATACGAGAGGGACCGGGCGATCACAGATGCAGAGCGGCTTGCGAAGGAAGAGAAGTTGAATGTCGCCCTGAATTTCCTTTGTCGTGCAAGTGGGATTTTCACGTATATCAGCGATACTGTCCTCCCGGAGTGGGACACTCATCGCGCGAGCCCGCCGAATTTCCATCGACCTCCTGATCTCAGTCGGGAGGTGACTAGCGCGTTAGCGAAGTTAGCATTCCTTTCTTCTTGATTCTCTTCCAAGTATACTCAATTTCGTGGCTCGTTTCCAGGATGTCGCTTGCGGACGCCCAGACGCTCTCCATTCGAAGATTACTCTCGAAATCAACGTACGACAGTAACATCACGCCAGGACCTCCGCTGCCCGCATCCCATAGCCCTCCAGCCTTGCTCGCGAAACTGCACATCGAGTGTGCATCGCTCTATTCCTCTGCGCTGACCCTCGCCAAGACTCCTGGTTCGACCAAAGGTTCATCTGGAGGGTCCAGCAAGGAAGTCTCTGCCGACGTCCGGCGCTACCTCAGCAACCAAGCTACTCTGCACAGTGCACTGTCGCACAAGTGGTTGGGCGTTGATGCTGGGGAGAAGGGTGGCACGGCAAGAGGAGGCGAGGCTGTTGCTTTCATGCAGTGGGCAAAGAAGGAGCTTGAGGAGTTGAAGGACGGTGCGAAGCGTGTTTCGCTTGGAGCAGCGGGGAAAGAGCAGGAGGAAAGGTGGAAGGAGAAGATCAACGAGGAGCTGGCTAGCACTAATCTGTTCCTCAAGTATTACAAGAAGATGAACGACACTGTAAGGCTTCTCTCGGCAAGTTTCTGTGTTTCAATCGCTAATTTTGCTCGCAGTTGCACTTCCAACCTGTCCCGTCGCAAAGGGACCTTCAGTCGCGCATACCTGGCGGAAGGATCGCAATGCCAGCGAAGCCGTATACACCCCCTGCCCCTGCCTTCGGACCCGGGTCGTTAGAGTATGTGCATCGGAAAGCAGAACAGCTGGAAATCTCCGGTGATGCCACGGACGAAGAATCAACACCAACGCCGGCACACCCTGCAGATGGCTATTCTCCCCCGACAGCCCAGCCAGTCGGAAACTATGTAGGCGCTGGAGCCTACTTCTAGTTCGTGGACATTCTTTAGCGGAACAAATCTTACTGTATTTTGATTAGGAAGGTGTATCGAAAGTATCAATTTGTATCAACTTCAATTTCGATTCTGGTTTGAACACACGAACGAAGGGTATTGAGAGATTACTCTGAGAAGAGGCAACAAAATGTGACGAAAATGAAACTAATGCACCAAAGACAAGGGAAGAAAAAACCACAGCGTCCGAAGGAGAAGCAAAAATCGGGTATCATCATTAAAGTGGTCAGTGCCCGTGTCGACCAAGGCCTTTGGCAGTCTTGCTGACGATCTTCGCTTCAGCTTGTTTCGCTTTCGCGCGTCTAGCACTACACGAAAGCATTAAGTGTTCTCCAAAAAAAGTCCAAGAACATCCTCCACTTACTCCTCGAGCGCTTCACGCTCCAACATCTTGACATGCTCGTGAGCGAGCTTGACGCGCTGCCTCGCCGCCTCTAAGGCGCGATCCGCCTCCTTCTCCGCATTCTCAGCGTCGGCGACTTTCTGGCGTGCGTTCTTGATAGTGGGGTCGTCCGCAATATTGTGGCTGCGGCCCATGCCTAAGAAGCCACGGCCTGAGCCCGACCCGCTGCGCCTGGAGCTGTGGGTCGAGGAGACGGATGAGCTCGAGCGACGCCTGCCAAAGAAGCCAGAGCCGCCGGAGGTGGTGGTAGTGGACTGGGGAGGAGGTGAGTGGTGCGAGCTAGAGAAGATGCTTTTCTTCCTGGTGGGGGACTGGTCTTCCTTGGAGGTGGACTTGCTTCGGGTGGGGCTGGGCTCGTTGTGGTTGGATTTGAAGAAAGGCATGTCGGGAATTATTGGGTTTGTAGATACTGAGTACTGAGTGCCCACTGTCAATATAGGAGAGACACTGGATTTATAGATTCGTCTCTGGGCACTCGACGTCATCCTTGAGAGGAGCTGCAGTTTGTTCCATGATGCCACTCCCGGGTGGGGCCCAAGATGCCTTGGAGTGATCCTCGAGGTTTGCTCGAGGCGGTGCTCAAGAATATATTCTTTAATACGCATGGTTACATTGGGGCCAGGGGGCTTTATCGCACCAACGGTTAGGACGTCATACAATGTGAATTATCGGAGATGGGAAAAGGTAAAAAGTGAGTCGACCCAGGCTCGAACTGAGGACCTTCTGTGTGTTAGACAGATGCGATAACCAACTACGCCATCGACCCGATGAAAACCTCTCCACAGAAGTACTTCATGTGCCTCCAGACTCTTGGTGGCCCGTGCGTGAGAATTGCGCAAGGAAGTATGTGTCGGAGTTTGAAAATCCCTGGCTTTGCTCGGATTTGCATGTGGTATAAAAGGGAAGCCTTCTTGCCCTCAGCCCACGTCGCACGTCGGACCCCCCGCAGCGGTGTTGTCAGTCTAGTCAACGTTGCCCACGACGCCCGACGCGAATGTCGAATAAGATTGTGGTGAGCTGCTCACCCAACCCCCCTTTGTAGTAGTCCAACACCAATGTTCCCCTTGAGCCCTCTATCTACCGTGCTGTGATAGACGATGTCATCCAAGCGATTAAGCCCGAGTTCGACGAGTACGGCGTTGCTGAGGACGTCCTAGCTGAGCTACAACACGTAAGTGCGACTCTTGTGTTCTATGCTAACATCCAGGTCTGAACACCCAAATTTCCCATGCTGTTGCTGTAGAAATGGGAGAGCAAGGTCATCGCATCCCATGTTGCAGAATTTGAGAACCCCGCTCAGCCTGTGTCCGCCCCATCCGCGACCCACCCCGCCACCGTCGCGGCGGCACAAGCAGCCACCCACCATCATGCCTACCCGCCCCATCCGATCCACATGCACCCCCACTACGCCGCAGCCGCGCAGCACAACCCCTACATGACCGCCGCTGCAGCAGCCTCGAGCCAGCCGACAGTCAAGGCGGAGCCTGTCGACAACCGCTACATCCTGAACAACACCGTGCCTTATGCCATCCCATCTCTCCCCGGTCCGTCCTTGACTGCTGGCAGGCAGCTACCACCGCCCGCCCCGTTAGCGCAGCATTTGGGTGGGCAGACAGGGGTGATATCTTTCGGCAGGAATGGCCAGCCCCAGCCAGCGATTGCAGCTCGTTCTTACTTGCCCGCGGCACAACCACAGCAACAGCAGCAACAGAGCCGTATCCCCCAGGTCGATGGCCCATCTGAATCTTCTGGGGATGAGGACACGCCGTCGCCACCCCCTTCTGGGGTTTTTGCCCCGAGGAGTGCCCATCCATCGCTTCCTCAGCCACCGCAGCCGAAGCAGCCAGCCGTTATCGACTCGGAGGCGATTAACAGCGACCTGGATGATTCGGACAGCGACGTTGGGTCTGACGACGAGGAGGGCGGAGCTGGCGAAAGTGATATCGTGTTCTGCACATATGACAAGGTATGCGTTCGCTCATAAAGAGGTCCTTGTATCTGACAGGGATATCTACCAGGTTGCCCGAGTAAAGAATAAGTGGAAGTGCACTCTGAAGGATGGGATGATCCACATCAACGGCAAGGATTACCTCTTTGCCAAATGCACGGGGTATGTGGCCCTCTTTGCCATATGTTGTTCTTCATTCTTACCCTCTCTTTAGGGAGTTTGAATGGTAAAAGCTTTCGCATCGGACATTCTTCATTTTTCTTTTCTATTTTCAAACCACCAATCACCCTGACTCACCCCACGTCTGTACAACACCCTGTTCATGCCGCGCTTTTGGAAGCATTCCTCCTCTCTGGTCTCTTTTCTTCTCTAGCACATCATTCTCCAACCATGACTTACCCTTAACGCATCACACACCCATCGCATTAATATCTATCCTCTCCCATCCCATTGAACCCACAGTCTACCGTCGTTACAGGCTTGATTCTATCACCAGGATCAATAAAAGCTATCTCTTGCACATCCAGACGTCCTCGCTGTCCATTCATATATATTCCATTGATATTATCATAGAGCCAATACAGTGGTCCCTGTTGCCTAAGGAGCGGAATATAAAATGAGGGATCGTATCCTACACTTCAAGAGTGCAAAAGCTAGAGCAGTTACCGTCTAGGTGGAAACCAAAATATGACGGATAGCATATGTAAGAAAAAGACAAATTGTACTTGTCTATGCTAGTAATACAAGGATACACTACTTTGAATTTGTCGTCGAATAGCGCGACATTTGGACCTAGTTCGCCACGTAGATGAAAGGACCGCATAGAAAGAAAAACAAAACACTTGGAGGGTTTGGAGTAGTACGAAGACGAAGCACAACAACAAAGGGATAGAGCAACCCAACATGCGCAGGTAAAATGCATATCGTTCAATTTTCTAAATCCGAGCATAAAGAAAGCAATGTCATGTTTGGTATCAACCCCAGTCCCGATATCGTGTACGAGCCTAGGACCCGGAGGAGAAGAGGCGATAGAGTTTCAAAATTTTGGATGCAGTCCGCAGATCCGCCGCCGCGCACGGTTGTTGACTGCTGACTGATGCAATAGATAGAATAGAAATTGAATAAGATGGATGAAGCGACCCAGTCGGTTGGGTTGAAAACCCGACGACAGACAGACGACGATCCTCGATGGACAGGCTCACGTAGGTTCAAGGTTCAGGTTTAGGTTCAGTCAGGTTGGCCTCCGGAGCAATCCCGCACACTAAGTTCATGCCACTGGCAGTGCCACGAGCGACGAGCGACGATCGAGAGAAGCAGAAGCAGGAGGCACGAACGCACGTCGTACGTCAGACGTCCTGCCTCTACGTACCCCCTACGTACGTCGAAGAAGCAAAGTACACGGGGCTGGGGGTGCGGATCAGGGACCAGCCTATCCATTAAACGCAAACCTAAACACAAACCCGAGCTCAAGGACTCGACTGTGGCGCACGCAGAAGCCGAAGCGTCTTCTCGTCCGCCGGCTCGCGGCGGTACCGACCCGGGCGCTTGAGGATGTTGAGTGGGGCGAGCGCGTAGTCCGAGTTCTCGATGCCCGAGCTCCCTGGGCCTCCAGGACCACCAATGCTCGGGGGCAGAGGCCCGTCGGCGGCGGAGGAGACGGGTGAGGGTTGCGTGTACGAGCCGCTGGGGTAGATGCGGTCGGGGATCTGCAATGGCGAGAGCTGGGGCCCGCGCATCTCGAGGTCGGTGGGCGAGTGTGCGTGCCCGGCGTGCGGGGGTGGCTGGGCGAGGGTCTGTGGGGGCGGCAGTGGGTGTGGGGGAGGTGTCAGGGCTGAGCCGAGGGAGTAGGACGGCGAGTAGAGCTGGCTGCCGTTGTTTGGGATGGGCCCGGAGTAGGGGTGCGGGTGGGGTGAAACGGGGCCGGTATGGTGGCTCGGAGGTGGGGGTGGGTTACTGTAAGAGGATGGCGGAGAGTACGGGGAAGGCTGAGGAGCTTCAAAGTGGCTGGCACTAGGCCGGTGCGCGGAAGGGCTGTAGTATGGCTGAGATTGGTTGTTAGACCAGGAGGAGGAAGAAGACGGGGTAGGAGAGTAATATCCGTGGTGGTCGTGGTGGTGCATGCTAGGAAGGTGGTATTGTTGAGGCGACTGGGCTGGAGAGCTCATCGCTTGGGAGATGTTCGTTGGGCTTGTAGGGTATCTGGACCCAATGTACGGCGATGGGTTTGAGTTGGGATAGTTGGACTGGTTGGGTAGGTATTGCTGTCCTTGGATTTGAGGAGAGACCGGAGACGGAGTATGTTCGTAGGCCGGAGATTGGAGGCGCTCGGCCGCATGGGTGGACTGATATGGTTCATGCATTAGGACTGGAGCCATACTAGGGGATCCATTATGTGCTTGGTATTGGTATGGAGTTGGAAAAGGTGCGTAGGTCCGTGTGACAGAGCTGGCTGCCCGTGCCACATCCGAACGATTGTGGTCCTCAGTTCGATTGCGACTCTTGCCTACTCGTGTACTCTTGAACATGCCGTCTGCTACAATTACATTCCGGAGACGCATATCGTCGTCCACAGTGCCCAACTGATCAATGGTGGCCTGGGTAAAGTACGCGGCTATATAAAGTTGGTGAGCGCCACCGGCACACATTGTGAAAGAAGCGGCGAGCCTCACTGAGATGCCATTTCCGACGTCCTTTTTCCGTGTCAACCCAGACGGAGTAGGTCTGTTTGACGAGTGGATCCCAGTCGCGAGGCGGTTGGCGCTCAGCGGAGGTACTTTGAGATAAGATTTTAAGCATTTCAGTAGGTGTGATTGACAATAAACATTTAGGAACACACCCCAGATGATTAGCGTCCGCAGGCGGCGAGTACTTCTCGTAATAAAATAGGAATTCCTAGGGTCATAAATGAAATGAACGACCGGGACGAGGTTAAAATGAAAGATGCGAGTGGCACTGCTGTGCGGCTGCATTCGTACTTACATCCCGGACACGCGAGGGCGACCAGCGCCTGCCCTCGGTGAACCGTTCGATTCCGAGGCCGGTTATCTCGCTGTGTGGGCCGCGTTCTTCCCAGGCATAAATGCAGCCTGAGCGGAGGGCGAGACGCTCGTCGGCGTCGAGGCGCCTTGTGACCATGCTGAGGATGTTCTGCTGTATTGCTGCGAAAATCTTGTGGGCGTCCGCGGTTGAGCGGATGCGCATGTTGGAGCATGTTGGTTGCTGCATGGAAGGTGGTGGGTGGAGGAGAAGAGGGGGAAGATACGGAAGGGAGGACGGTGCGTGCCAGATTCATGAATATTGTTTGGAAGTTGCAACGCACTGTCCATCTGATCACAGACGCTGATCGGCACGTATGTCGCTATTTTAGGACCGGCCCCTTGGCCAGTATCGAGATTCTGTCCCAAACTCTAATTACTCTACAACTCAAATTGTTGATACAGATCCACAGATTTACTTCCGTCCTCTCTGCACAAATTCACACCTACACCCCCGTCCCCAGCCGCACCTACCTTTCTGTCGCGAATGGCGCGCCAGGACGCGGGTGGGAAAACCGCAGGTTCTTTTGGAACCGTTCACGCTTTTGGGGCTACTAAACAGCAACGCTGATGTTGTATTTGCACCGTCATAGGAAGGATCGTAAGCCCAAGAAGCCCCCTCTTTTGTGTGCCCTCGTTCTCACACACTTTCACTCTTTGACAGAGAACTCCTCACCCAGGTGCCCCTTCAACTATTTCGACCCTGCCCCCTCCTTTCCTCCCACTGGGAAGACACTTGGAATATTTTCACAAGATGCATCTTCTCTCTCTATCATCCAAGGGAAATTGTCAGCGGATGCTGTAACAACCACCTTCCCATTGGTGGCCTTTCCTCAAGTAAGAATCAAGGGTTGGCAGACAGTTTCTTTCGGATGTCCAAAACGACCTTTCAAGACACCTCCTCTTGAGTCTTGCCCCACCTTCGGTCTCCATCACCATCGCACCAGCCAAGCAACTGACGTCAGCCACCCTCATGATTTTTCCCTCTCGCGTTTGCCGAAAGAACCCCATAATCCTGCGGTCTGTACACCGGTACAGCGGCGTTCATCGATAATAATCAGTATGTAAACTTATGGCATGCCCTAGGGCAACTGACGCACGATTATAATTATACAAGGGTCCGAACTTGCAGCGCCCTCGTGAGCACCCAAACTGTGCTAATAGGCCTTCAAATAGCCTTCTTCCGGCATTCTAGCTATGTACATGGCAGGCCCTGCGATGTATCCACTGCTTCATGGGTGTGCAGGTGCATTTGACAAGTCCCCGAACAGCTGTCTTTGGTACTTCACCTCGTCCCCACTGCGCCCACAAGGAGGTCGATCCAAGACGACGAATCTCCGAAAACCAAGAACGAACCCCAAAACTATCCATCAGCCTTTTTCGATTCCGATGCAGCTGCAGCACCCAGAGAGGCCGGCCACGTTGTCTTCTGTGTTGTGCAGGTGGTTGTGGTTGTTGACTTCCTTCCTTGATCATCGACGCTCTGAATCGCAGCAGGAAGCCGTTCGTCTCGCGGTAGTCGGATCGCAACAGGCTCCTGCCTTCCTTCCATAGTACTGACAAATATTCCAACAGGCCGCTCGCCCGGCGGCGTAGTTTGGGAACGTCGAAGTCGTTCCACCACCACCGCGTTCGTAATAATGGGATAAGCCTGGCACTAGGTAACGGAGAACAGCTCTCTCCGTCCTTATCAATCCCACTGCGTAAGAATAGGACGGCATACCTATGTACTCTGTTCCCACCGGTAAATCACAGACGCAGTGGTATCAAAAAGGTCCTATCAGAGGGTATGTAACACTGCCTAGGCCACTTTGACTTTAGGAGACCACATGGAAGAACTAACGAAATGGACCCTCGGGAGACCCATCGCCTTCTCATAGACCCGACGAAACGGCGCCAAGGTTCTCTTCGAGCCCGTGAAGGTTTATTTCAATAATTATTTTTGTAACGAGGAAGTATCCGGAACTCAGATCCATCGTCAGCTTTTCGAGAGCTAGTCATACTCGTACAAACTCGACCATTAATAATTTACAGGGTCTAGTAGGGGTGGAAGCGCTAATAACTTACAAGTATACGCGTAGCTGTGAGTAGTTCATCTGTTCGTAACGTAGTAATTATATTCTGTCCATAAGCGTCTCGCAGAACGAGGAACGCTGTTCGATCACCACGAGACCCTAGAGTTTCCAGATAGTAGACATGTTGGAGAGAACTGGTCAGGGACAAACGTCGCCGAAAGAGAGTTTAACTGCATTTCGTCAACGAGATGGCGTCTTGGAGGCGGCAGAGTCTTGAGGTATTCCAATGGGGCAAGAATGTCGAAGTTTCGTGCGTAGTGAGGGGGCCTCTGTGGCACCGCACGCTCCACCTAAGAGAATATTCTGTTAGGTGCGCCCACAGATCAAGACGAGATGGTCACCCACCTGGGGGTAGACAGGCGAAAGTGAATCCAAATATGACAGCGGCTCCTTCGGTCGGGTTTTGGACGACCGGGCGCTTGTGTACATTCCTGCTGGGACACGCAAGCTGGCGAGGCCGGGATGCAGGGGATGGTTATCAATAGTGTATAGCTGATCGAGTGTTTCTTGTGTGAAGTACGCAACTGGTCGTGGATAAGGCGGTTAATGGTTCTGCCCGTGCACCCACAGAACAAAGTTGAATAAGATGCTCACTGAGATGCCATTTCCTCCGGCCCCTGTGTGTATCCACAAAAACCGAGTAGGTCTGCTTGATCAGAGAAGGCCTGCTGTAGGCCCTGCGGATGGTGGGTGTTCTAAAAATTACGACGCCATCAGTGTTTGTCTTTCTGTTAGTGTAGATAGCGTATGTAACTGACGTTGAGTCCGAGTCCGATGTCAGGCTGTCCACGTCAGGCTGTGTGGGCCTGCGTTCGTGGTAGAAGAGGAATTCCTAATCGACAAGGACGATGTCAAAGAACATTCTGGTGCGAGTGTAAAGGGTTGCAACGTACGTCTCTAACTCGGCTAGGACCCCATTGGATGGAATCCGTCCATCGCTCGATGCCTAACTACGAGATTGCGTGGTCAGCTCGGGAGAAGAATGATAGGTAGACCAGAGAGAAATGGGCGCTCACACCAGTGGCCTCTGCGTTAGGGCCGCGCTCCTCCCAGACGTAGACACATCCTGAGGAGATGGCGCGTCGCTCGTCTGTGTCGAGGCGGCGAGTGACCATGTGTAGCATGCCGAGCGCGACACCATGGAAGACGACGAGGGCATCGTTGGTAGACCGGATGCGCAGGCCCTGGCAGGTTGGTGGTTGCATCATGGATCGCGCAGGAGCAAGTGGGGTATGGGAAGGAGGTTGGGTTGCAACCCTTTGAGATAACGGAAGAGGTGGACTCGGGATGATGACTCTTATATGTCCTTCAACTGATGATCAACCAGAATACCTAAAGTGAGAACTGGGTTTACAGTTGTAGGCTTGTCTGAGAAGATGGATGGTGATGGGGAAGTCACGGCATAGGATGCAAGCCACGGTTAAGCGCTGTGGTGGAGAGGAGCGCGGTTTTGTTGAGAACAAACAGGCAGTGTACAATACGGAACCTATGCAGGGATGTAGTTTCCACTAACCCGTGTAAGGGCATACTCGCTAGAAACCTAAGGGATTGTCGCCTATCCCCCGGGCCGGACAGTACCGATATGGGAAGACGGTCCCTGACAGATTCGCCTGCAGTTGTGTTAATCAATTGTCATGATGAGTCCCGAGTCAGCCCCATTCTCGAAGAGTTAAACACAGCTCAGCGCTCTATGGTTCGCAGAACCCTTCTTCCAATTGCTGCGAAGCCAGAGAACGAGTTCTAATAACATCTGCCTCATGGAGATATGTGGCTTTTGCTCCCGCAATTCCAGGAATTACACAAAATGACCTCAATAGTCGGAACTAGACTCGGGTACGTGAAATCGTGAAACAACGATTTAGGCTACGTCGGTCAGGCTCTTTAGGTAATTACCTCAAATCGAGAAATATATGGTCCTTCACGATCCACTCTAGATGACGCAAATCCCCTTCTCTTCTCAGGCTCGCAGCTCCATGAGCGCGCAATTCAGCGTCTCGGAACCCGGTTCTTCCCAATCCCGGCTAGAAGACTCCCAAATAACTCCTCGGAATAAGAGGTGTAAGACCCAAGAACTGTATGTTACGATCCGATCTATTTTTGATCAGTCGGGGCCAGTGATTCAGATTCACCCCAGTGCCCCGCCTTGCTGGGTACAAAGCTAATCAACGATTCGCCTGAATAACTGTATGGGCGGATTTTTCCTTGGGTAAAAGCTCTGAACCACCCCTGGGTAGTACTCCGCGTTCTGCCTATTCTGTTCAGCCATGTGCAGTCTTCTAACTCTATTATATTTCATTCATCAAACGTCCATGACCGCCCACAAGCCTACTCAAGGTCGCTTCGAGATGCAGCATTAGAGCATGGGCGCTCTCGCTCACCGATGCAACCGTATAGAGGACCCTGCTCGCGCCGCTGTGTCTTTTTTCAGACTTCAGGCAAAGTCCGGAAGCCATCGAAAGTGAGCGCTCAGTGGAAATCATGGGAGGCATCAGACGCATTATTCGCAGCGCGTACGTACAAGAGCCATTTCCGTGAAATCATCCCATAAATCTGATATATTGGAAGACCTTGTGAACTGATCGTGTCAGGGGGAGCCACAGAGAACGCATCGCTGGTGGAAGGATGTTTGATTCGCAGCGATCTCAAGCATCAGATACAAGAAGGAATCAATCCCGTATGCTCGTCTTGTGACAGACAGGATTGTTTTGATTTCACTAGAGAGAGGCAAAATGAATTCACCCACGATATGGCTCGAAAATAGAACGCAATCTCAAGTTTAGACTATGGCTTTACAATTAAGAGATCGACAGCGCGGACCCGTTGATCCTCTTTCAACAGACATTTCTCCACCCATTAAGGACGATACGCCAGCACTGCGCCAACTATAGCCGGCCCACATCAGGTGGATGACAGATATCATGCTCAGCAATCTCCGCCTCTCTTGACGAGGAATAAGGGGTCCGGAAGGACCGATTGCTTCATCTGCCAATCGCTCTGTTCAGTCCGGAATAAACCCAACTGCATGAGAGATTCTGTGGCGTTTTCCCAGCGGTCGCATAAGACAGGTCCACACGCACCTGCGCCCCAGTATAGGGCGATTCCCAGAGTCGTTCCGTAAAGTTGTATCCAACAAGGGGGTTAATTGGTCGCCGCCCACACACCTCGAGAGAAGTTGCCCACGGAAGACAAGAAGACATCGACAAGCTAGGAGTGTTCACATAGAGTCTGGCGCGGGCGCCATACTGTCAGCGCTTCAAGAAGCAGAGTCCATGCTGCGAATTCAAAGCGCAAACAGGCGACATTGACAAGGAGCTGGGAAGCGCTTCACTGAGCTATGCTTTGCAGATACGCCTTTCACCTCCATCTATCAGATTGAATCGCCACCACTACGGAGGCAGGTGACATCCAAGCAACGGAAATAGGAGCCAAAATCCGTGTGGGGCACCACTATATGTCGAGAGAGGTCGTCTCCGGAACCGATGTAATTTCGCGGACCTCCAAATCCCAAACCCCTACTGGAAGAGTCTCACGAGGAGGTTCCGGGTTTTGCCAAGGACTCTTGAAGGAGTGTGTCAAGCAGCGCTCACAGAATCAGATCGTGCGCCGCAAACATCGCGCTGGACGTTAGAAGACCTTTCAACGGAGAAAAATAGACTGGTATCCTCCTTTCTGGAGCGTCCCTTTCACCGAGAGGCAGTGAGAGAAGTTGGGAACCTTGGAACTTCAACTTGCAAGAAGCTCAGGACTTGTTTGGCCGCCTTGAGTCCCGGACGGGGGGTAAGAAAAGAAGGACACGCAGTAGCTCACCGGCGCGAATTAAGTGCCAAATACGTCGGACCTCAAGGCAGCGGCCATATGCTGACGCTGCGAAGAGAAGAGACGGAAACAGTATCGGATTCCGGAGCTGGAGTGTCGGACCAACATTACGTAATGCCATCTGATCACTAGCGACAAGTGACCCACAATCGCAAGCCGGTGCAAACTAAAATCCATCCTCCAACTTCAACTTTAATCTTCGTCCCATCGGAGTACCAGGCAGTCTGTACACGACGTCGAAACACAATTTGGGTTTTGGACCCATGTCCAAAAAACGCTGGCTTTATATCGCCTTCCTATCATGGCAACAGACCAACAATAATCCTGTTAAGGTCCACAGCACCCTTCTCCTTTCTCCAAAGAAACCCAAAATACAGCCTGGTCTCGACGTCAGTACGTTATTCAATGTCAAAGACCAGCTTCTCACGGGATGTGCCGGTTTGGACGTTCGTGCGAGAGGAAGTAGAGGCCCGAAATTATTACAGAACTGTTGGGTTACTTTTACTTCTATTGTCCAAAGTTTCGCATGTCGTCAAGGAGGACGACGTCGAGAAATTGTTAGAGTCCTTCCGCGCCCAAAAGACGCCACTGATCCTGGTTGGCGTTGTCGCCACTGGTTTTGGACGGCGAATCAAGTCAGTGAATACCGCTTTTCCCGTCGTTTGAAGTCGGCCTCAACGGCTCATGGAATTCCTGTAGACGCTGTGGGGATAGCAATATTATTGCGCAACTTCCCACCGACAAAATTGCTGAGGATGTGTGGAATACGGGATATTCATTTTTGGAAAATAATCCGATATGCGGTGATCCGTATGCGCCACTGCCCACTTGCGGCCTAGACGGCAAAGAGATTCCTAGCGAGATTGGCCCATTTAAAATTTCACCCCGAGTGGGAGCTAGGACATCGGCTTTGATGCTTTTGTAACAAACTAGGAGGTCCACTAAGCGATAAGATAAGATGGCAGCGATAAGATAACTGCAGACATCATGTGACCGATCGATACGTGTTAATGACTCGCTTGTTATGGTGGAGTTCTACATGATTAGGGCGTTCGTATGGACCCACTTCCTTTCCGTCTCTCCTCGACGTCTTTCGCTGAACATCTCACATACATCTAAAAGCCCAAGACTACGATTATTTGCATCGATGTCCGTGCAGCAGCCCGCGTGGTCTGTCCCGAAGAAGGAGACCGAGGAGCCGGTTCTTCGAGTGTACAATTCTTTGACGAAGACAAAGGTTCCAACGCTTCGACGGTATCATATCGAACCAAACTCATAGCCTCGATAGACTGAATTTGTTCCCCGTAACGGTCGCCATGTCAAGTGGTACAACTGTGGCCCTACAGTTTACGATGCTTCGCATATGGGACACGCGAGGTTCGACGGCTGAATTGAGCTCTTGTCCACAACTTAACGCATACCTTTTGACAGAAACTACGTGACCCAGGATATTTTACGAAGAATTATGACGGACTATTTTGGGTATGATGTGCACTTCGTAATGAACGTAACAGACATCGACGACAAGGTGAGAGTTAAGTCGCGCAAAAGCTGGTTTGGTTACCAACCTTTCGGCCTCTTTCTGAAGATTATAGAACGAGCACGTCAAAACCACCTTCTCGAAACCTTCATCTCGCAAACGGATGCCCTTACACCTGCCCTATTGGCCAAAATCCGCGATTCTTGGAAGAGCTATGTTCGAACACGCGTTAGCAAAGGTGTTCCCGTGGTGCAGAAGGTCGCCGAAGGAAATGAAGATGCGGCATGGTCGAATATATCACAAAGTTACCAGACGGCTGAATGGAAGCACGAGTGTCTGAAAAGAGATGAGAAATTCGACATGCACTATTCTTCTGCGGTACGTCGCCGTTTATCATCCCTCTGGGATGCTGTAATGACAATCTCGATCGCAGCGGCGGTCTCTGGAGGCAATTACCACTGCCCAATCGCTGTTGGACTCGGGAAATACGAGTTCAGGAGCTGCACATGGGCTGATCGAGGCTTCGAAGGATATTCTTGTTTTGTCGCTCGATGCAGAGGTATGTCACTCGGGGTGTACATGTTTCGTGTCAATCTTGATCTCCATTCCCAGTACAAATCCACGGTTACGGACCCCGCCATCTCGCGAAAGCTGGCTGCTTACTGGGAAGAAACGTTCTTCCGGGATATGGCGCGGCTGAGAGTTCGCGATCCGGATACAGTCACAAGGGTCACCGAATATGTTCCGGAAATTGTGTCATTCGTGCAAGGCATCATCGCAAACGGCTATGCGTACGAGTCGGAAGGAAGCGTCTATTTTAGCACTTTGGCGTTCGACGAGGCTGACGGTCATGACTACGCGAAACTGGAACCATGGAGTAAAGGGAACCGAGAACTGCTGGAAGATGGAGAAGGTAAAATTCATGCGTACCCTCTTTTTGCAACATTTTTTTCTCTGACACGAGGCTCTGCATGTTAGGCTCTTTGGCAAGCAAGACAGGGAGGCGTTCACCTTCTGATTTCGCCTTATGGAAAGCTTCCAAACCTGGAGAGCCTTCTTGGCCTTCTCCATGGGGTCCAGGACGCCCAGGATGGCACATAGAGTGCTCTGTTATGGCCAGTGCCATCTTTGGCGACAACATGGATATCCACTCTGGTGGCATCGATCTCGCCTTCCCTCATCACGACAATGAAATAGCTCAGTCTGAGGTATTTTAGCTTTTTAGTAGGTCCGACGAGTATCTGATAGATTCCGTTAGGCATACCACAACTGCAACTCCTGGGTCAACTATTTCCTACATACAGGACACCTACACATTGAAGGCCTGAAAATGAGTAAATCGTTGAAGAATTTCATCACGATTGACGTACGCCTCCGCTTCAATTTGTCCCACAGTACTCTGTTGTTAAATTCCTCACAGGAAATACTCCAAAAGTTCACGCCTCGTCAGCTCCGCCTTGCCTTCTTGACACAACTATGGAACGCCAAAGTAGATTTCTCGGAGTCTCTGATGACAGGAGAAGTTCGCAACCTTGAGACAACAATTAACGTTTGTGCACGCTTCCAATTCTTGTTTTGCGTCTTGTTTACCAGTTTGTTCAGAACTTCTTCACCACTGTCAAGGCTCTCGTTAACCAAGCAAGTGCCAATGCAATGATCTCGGACGGCTATCATCACTTTGAACAGCCTGAACAGGAGCTGCTATCCAGGTGCAGGGATCCGTTACTCTATTTTGGTTCATGATCTGACGACTGTGTTCGCCAGCCTCTATCGTAGCCAGTCAGCGTTCAGAGAAGCACTCTGCGATTCTTTCAACACTCCTGCGGCCGTTGATGTCCTGCGTGATCTTGTTTCACGGACAAATGTCTACATCAACTCGCGTGGGAAGGCTACAAACGTCAAAGCGGTTGAACACATCGCTCGATGGGTCGGCATTCAATTACGCATGTTTGGCCTAGGTGAAGGCGAGAAATCTGAACTTGGTTGGGGCCAAATGGACGAAGACGGCGCCAGCGTCAACGTCAGTATCATGCCGCTCATGATGGAATAACCCCGATTTATCTTCTGTCCAGCGTGAAGAAGTCTTGATGCCCTACCTGAGAACGCTGTCCTCGTTCCGTGATAACGTGCGCCAGTTGGCCATGACGAAGGGAGAAAGCGCATTGAAGGACATTCTCTCCTTGTGCGACAAGCTCAGAGATTATGACCTCGTGCCACTCGGCGTGGCGTTGGACGATCAAGAAGGTGCGTCGAATACAATTGTACTGTCTCTGTGGAACTTCGCCGAATCCCGATTTCAGATGGCAAGGCCCTCGTGAAGCTGGTCTCCCCGGCGGAGCTCATCAAAGCCCGTGATGAGAAACGGGCACTTCAGGAAGCCAAAGCTGCCAGAAAGGCGGCGTCCGTCGAGGCTGAGCGTCAGAAGCGACTTCAAAAGATTGAAAAGGGTCGAGTGTCCCCACGGGACATGTTCAAACCGCCTCATGTTCGAGAAGGCACTTATTCCTCGTGGAGCGAGGACGGACTTCCACTGACTGACGGTGAAGGAAAGGAGCTTAGTAAAAACCGGAACAAGACGTTGCAGAAGGAGTTTACGAACCAGCAGAAACTGCACGAAGAGTTTCTGGCATGGGAGAAGAGCAAGTCATAGATTGTTTTCCGGGTTTACTTGTCGTCTCTAGTCTCGCGAATCCCATATACTACCAATTACACGCTTGGACAACCAAATTTGCTATCTTTTCCAGACCCTCACGATCCTCTTCGTCGAAGCCATTGACCGCGAGACAGTCCAAGTCTAACAGGCCCAAAACAATTGTTCCTCCGCCGACACTATGGATCAGTGGCACGACAATTTCGCTCTTCGTCTCCCCATCGCAGGCTATGTGGCCTGGGTAAAGATCGACCTCTGGAACAATTAGTGTCTTTCGCAGGAGATAGGCATCTGCACAGACACCGCGGGCCTTCCCTGGCGCCGTTTGAATGAATTGGCATGCTGGCTTTCCACAAAACGGGCCGAGCAAGAGGCAGTTCGGGTCGTCAGAATTATCAGATGCCGGATAACGAGGTATTGGGAATAAGCTGGCATCAATATAGAAGCCTAGCAAATGTTATGAACCTTCTCTTCTAAGAGCGTTAATCAAAGAAGTGTGGGTATGTACGTACCGCACCAGTTCACCGCCTTGTCCTCTCCACTCCCAAAGTGTTTCGGAAAAGCGAGGAGGGAGTTGAAGATGAGTGATGAAGCATTCGACAGGTTTGATACCTAACCATTATTAGCCCGTGCCTTCAGCCATTCCTGAACTTCCTTACCCAATGTCTCTGCCCCTCGAGTAAGCCTTCTAGTTGGATGTAGACATGATTCCAAAACTGAGTCTTTGTCTGGATTCTAGTGGCGTTAATGCATTCCCATTGGGAGGAGAACTGGATCCTCCTACGGGTCCGGTACCAAAGAAGAATCTGCGTGCGGCATATTCAAGAGAAAGATGGAAGACCTGCGAAACGAAACCTTTCTAAGGTCGCCATCTGTGCTGATAAGATAAGACTTTAGAGGCAATCTCTAATATGATCGATCAGTATTGTAGACACCGAACAACGTGCTTCACTTTCCACTTTCCACTACCATCACAGAGCACACTCCAAGCCTTTCTCGATCTCGAAATGGCCCCGTACCTTGAAACAGTCAAGGTTAGTAGCGCCTTGTTGTTTCCTCGTCAAAGGCTCGCAACATTGTCAGTCTTTCGCAGATGTTCCGGTCACCGAAGCTGGTGTTGACACTGTCACGTTCCTCGAAGCCTCCGATGGCCTTGTGGGACTATTCGGTATGCCACCGACGGGAATTTGCATTGTATCTTAATATTGACGGTTATCGCACCTAGATCTCCTTGGATCAGCGGCATTCTCGGTTGTTCAGGCTGACATTAAGGGAAACATCACAGTCAGTTTGCTTCGGCCTGTGCTACAGTGGAACGCCACCCTGAAACCGAAATGTATTATCAGAAAGTCAGGGCTCGATATGATGCTGCACCCACCCTTTCAACGACCTTGGAATTGCTCGTCGAGAATGAGAAAGGCGAGAAGAAACGTGTTGCCACAGAAGGTCTCCTCTGGCTCCTAAGAGGACTCTCCTTCACCTGTAAAGCTCTCCAAAATGCTCAGGCAAACAAAACGGAAGAGCTCGCCGCGGCCTTCATCAAGGCTTATGAAATTACACTGAAGAAATTCCACAACTTCGTTGTCAAAGGCGTCTTCTCGGTGCGTCATGCTACTTCGAGCATATTTATTCTCTCCCGAACCTATTATTCGTATATCTTAGGTTGCAATGAAGGCATGCCCATACCGCGCCGACTTTTACACCAAGCTCGCTGCCGACCCTTCTGGCGGCCCTCCGGCCAGCCAGGACAAGCTCAACGAGGAGTTAGACAGATGGCTGGAGGCCCTCAGCGCTATTGTCGCTAAGGAGGAGGCCTTCTACGAGGCGGGGGGTCATGCCAAAGGCTTTTAGATTTCGTTTCTTTTGGGACACGAGCATGTATCACCACATTTGCTGTTGTTGGCATTTAATCTCATTCCCTTTCCATCCCTTTGGATTCGTGTGACCGAAACAAGGCAAGAAACAGGAAATTACTCCACCAGAACACGCAGTCCGTCCCATCATGTCTATTCTCTCATCCTTCTCTCATCGAAGATTATACTGAACGTCTGCGTCAAATCTAGGGACGCATCCCAATTGTTTCATCTGTGCTCATCTGGTCAGTGGTTTCTCGATACTCCAAGGAACAGAATCTACAGCTTGAAGATTATTCTATCTTGACGCTTTCCAGATGTCGGTATGGTTATCCGCTCTGCTCGCAACTTCTGTCAACCCGCGATCGCACACAACTTACGTATCAAGAACCTTTGCTCACTTTTCCATTACAGATTCTTTTCTTACAAACATCACCCTGGCCTCCCCATCGCTCGAAGCCGAAAACTGCAAGTCGCCAAGAGTGCGTGCTTCCGCCCAATGCCAGAATTGCAAGCAGGGGCAACTTGAGGGTTCACTAAAAAATATTTGACACGGCTAAAAGCTGACGCGACATGCCCTCGAGCCATTAACCCCGACGTTCGCCATTCTGCCGGCCTGGGTAGTTCAAAAAGTCAAAATTAAATTGTCATCACGCATCGCCGTCAGCTACAAAGACATTGACGTGCAGTGAGATTGCTCTGCCTCCACCCTGCTTCAGCAGAGTCGCAAAGTACGCCTCATTAGGGATGACCTGTCGGAAAAGCTGCGGACCTAGGTCCAACATAAACCCCGGTTCTTCACAGGACAAGTCACCAACAAAAACCAGATATCTACGGCACGCCCAAACGACGCCAAAGCACTATGCCGGACACGCAGTTAACTGAACAGGCATACCCATGCCGGAAGAAGCAGTCAGGATTTCCAACGGCGAACGTGCTCCGTAGGCGGGAGGATCATATATGATAATATTAGAGCCATGAAAGTGACCGCATCAATAGTCCTGTGTCTGCGGCGCTTGATCGTCACACAGCATTTACCAAGTATGGGATAATGGATGCGTTGGGCGTCTCATCTGATGGGTCCAGGACTTCAGGCAGGAAATACTAATTGATGACTGGCTATGTCTCAGAGCATCAAGGAAGCAATGTAGAGCACCTGCTTTCCCTCATGCTTTCCCTCATGGAGAGTACTTGCCCACGACGGTGCTCAATCCGTGACAACATATCTGAATTTCGATCTGTCCGGACGCCGTCATTTGCTACTAGGTCGGCAAGCTAGAAACGTGGCCGAGCATGGTGCATGTGCAAAGACGAGGCACCCACAACGGTACATTCAGGTCAAAGGATGGGCCGAATAGAATGAGCTGACATGATATCATTTGCACCTATGTAGAAACCATATGCATAAATTTGGAGGCCCGACAAGATGTCGGAAATAAAGACAGATAATGAGATGAATGAGGTTGGAGCACAAGAGGGAGGGTAGTGACGGGGGTCGGCGAGGGTGCGAGAAGTCGAGTAAGCACGTCCTTCCGGCAGTCTTGTTTCCCCGGACGGGGACCATCTGATTGCTCTATACATGTGGGAACAAAAGAATGCACAAACAAGAAACGCAATGAACGACGACGCCGACGGCAACGAGCAGAAATAAGTCGGCAGTCAGTCCGAACGACCCATTCAACATCCCGGACATGGTGTGAATGGCATCGAAGATGATACCAGTGTACAACTTGGGATATTAGGAATTTATTTGATAGTGCTCCAGCCTTGCAACAACCTCTTCTGGATACAAGATATGATCGAGTGTCGTCCTGCTTTCCGCCAGAACGTTCATCTACGAAAGAGAGTCGTGGAACGCAGATGCGAACTTGATGGGGAGTAAGGATGCCAGAGAACAAGTTATCTCCAAGAACACCGCTGCTTCTTGGGCGCGCAAGCCTTGAGTCACTTGATGATCGACAGTGGGAGTGATCCATCCGTGAGTGACAGATTCATGTTGAGATAGAGGATAGATTTCGCATTGACATCGATGGAGATTATGGTAGATGGAAATAAATTATGGTGGTCGTCGTTCTGAGGGCATGATACCATACGAAAATGGTGTTAGGGTTCGAGGAGATGGTGATCATGAGTGGAGGAAATGGGGAAAAACGACTCGGGCAAATGGGGCTTCAATGACTCGGGAATGGGGACTAGATTATCGCAGGCCATTGACTTGCAGCTGCTCCAGCACCAACCCTATCTCCCCTTCATTTCTCCTCTCTGGCTTTGTCGTCTTTGCTACAGCTACACTGGGCGGTCGAGGACGACCGCCGTTCAGGTTGCCTCGCTGACCCGTCGCAGACGACCGCCCAAGAGTCTGGCTGCGGAAATTCGGAATCTGCATCGCAGGCGAGGGCTCTAGCTGGGAAGTTCGAATGAGCGTCTCGCTTGCTTGAGAGACGTAGAACCGCGGTGGCGACGTCGACGACAGAGAACGAGCATGCGAATGCTTCGGCAGAGACGATGATACTGCCGGTGGTCCCTGATTTGGAATACGTGGATGGTGTGGACGATCAGAGGCCTTTGGCGTTGGCATTGACAACTCGTCCACCTCCTCAGCAACGCCATTCTCATGTCGTGAACGGCGTTTACGTTTTGCAACGTCATCCATTTCATGCCCTGTCTCTTCGTCCGAATTGGCACGAGACCTATCCGAAAAGCTGGAACTGACGCTGTCCAATGACAGTCTTGTGATGATTTCATCTCGTGTTGATGCAGCGATAGGCAAGGCGGTAAGAATAGAAGAGAGGGAGTTATTTGGTTGAGATGGGTTGTATCGATTTGTCCCGGACGAAGTTTTTGTTGGGCTGGGCTGTAAGTGCGAACTCTCACCATCGGCGTGACCGTGTTTTTTGACGTCTGGATTTCTGTTGGTTGACGGGGGAAAGTAGGATAATTGTCTGGAGGGAACTCGGACAATGGGTACGGTGGGACTCGGAGGTAGTGATTGTGCCCTATCCCCATTAACCAGTAGAGTCGACGTGTACGCATCCTCAAAGACGTTCGTTGAGTCGGTGGTAGGTTCAGGAGTGAGGGAGATGAGGAGTTCAGGGATAAATTCCCGGGCTCTTGCAGCCTGGTCGATGGGAATGTATAATACTTCCTTTCGGTGTATGGTGTCTGAAGTCCAGAGTTGGTTTGCTCTGCGTAGATTTGCCATCGAAATTCCATACTTCAGGGAGACACCTGCTAATGAGTCTTTCGCAGTCACCTGTACGACATCGTAAATTTTGGTCAGATAGAAGTGCAATAAAGGACGTACTTTGTGCACAATGACCTCCTTCTCCTCGTCAGCCGGTAATGCTGTCCGTTGCGATTCATCATCCTCAACGTCTTCTCCATCATCCGGAGTAGCATCGTTGACGAGCCGCGATAGATGTGGTCTTGTCACATCCGGATTTTCAAGGAAGACGGCGCCAATCGTGTCCAGTAATGCCGACTTCAGTGGGTGCAGTCCTGCGCTGTGCGGCGCGATATCTATTTCTGTATGTGATCGGATGTGTTTCCTGCGGCTGTCCTTTGGCTTCATGGATGGTTTGTCGGTCAGAGAGGACCGTCGTCGTCGAAGAGTTGGGCTTGAGCTGCCGAGCTTTGGAAAGAAGGCCGAACTGTAATAGCCTTGGGCCAAATTGGAATCGGCCCGCGGGCTGTCATCCTCTGCGAATGGGTTGTAGCTGAGATCATCGGCGGCATCGTACGACATCGAATGTCGTCGTCGAGAGTGCCGGAGGTGGTTGTAGGTTGTCTAGTGGGAAGAAAGCAAGTTGTCGACGACATCGGACAGCCAAGGTGTGTAATCACGTGAGATGGCGGAACCAAGACGATTGATCCACCCAAAAAAAGAAATTACTTCTCTTCTCTTCTCCTCTCTGCCACTAAGCGCTGTACCAGTTCCTGGCTTTTAAGAAGCTGAGGTATCAGAAAACCTCTCTGCGGCTTTAATCAACCAACAGCATGCTCAAACGCGCGACAATGACAAACGCGGACCCTGCCGCAGTGTGGCACACAACGGATCACTTATTTCTCGTTGGCACCGGACTTAGTTGTAGACCGCATTTCTCCTCGTTGCTCAACGCATACAAGATATCCAGACATTTACGTCTTTCCTGGATGTATGGAACTTCAACTCAACTTCCTCGTCCCTTTCTTCTTGGTCGTCTACGAAAAGATTAATCGGGTCGACTTCTGGGTAGCAACTGCGAAAGGTGTCTTGCTTCATAGGTCCTTGCAGAGTTGGACGACCAAGGACCGAGAAAATATGTGTTTCGAACGAACTCGCTCGGATTGAGCAGTAGAGGGGGTCTGTCACCGTCTATATTTCCTTCCTGTGACCTGTCTGAAGAATTTAACTGAGTCTGAAATGTTGTTCCAACCATTTTCGCTCGTGTATCTGGACGAGAAGCCGAACGATGCCACTTTCCTTGGTTCCAAGGATGCTTCGTCCGAGGCACTCGTCCTTGCACAGGTTCTCTGTTATCTTTCAACACGGATGCTTCTCCGCATTCACTGATGATCTCTCCTCGCAATCTCCGTAACTTTCGTTAAAAATTTCGTTAGCCCTGGTTGGACGACTGGAGCAGTGCAGAGCGCGTAAACCACGAAGGCAAGTGCAAATGGTCTGCGGGAAGGCTAAAATCACGGAGAAGTATTCCTATCACCTCGTGCGCTTGTCAGGAGATAAAGGCACCTCTGTCAGACCTCCTCAATTTTTGCCTCGTACGGCCTAATATTACCAACCACATGCGCTCTCTTCTGTGGCTCACAGCTTTCGCTTGTGATGGGCCACGATAGAGCGCCTTAGAATTTGGGCATGCCAAAGATACTCTCCTATGATCCGACGGGAAGGCTATGCTTGTCCGTTGTTTTTCCAGTGACGTACGCTTCACTGACCGAAATACCAGGTGCTTCGCACTGGACCTCATGACATGAAAATTTTCTCGAACGGTGAAGAGAGGAAACACCTCTCCAGAAAACTGGCAACGTCAAAAGCCTGATATCCAACGACCCTTGTGCCGTTGCTAGCATTTGAACAATTGTGTTTTTGATATGTCGCATCGCTCTCTTACGTGCCTGTGAAGCTGCTCTGGGGAATAAACATGGGGCAGGCAGCGTGGCGCACACCCGTAAATGCCGGCAACTTAGGCTTCGCGAGCGCCGAGTGCGGGGTAAAATGTCCTTAGGAGCGCGTCGTCCGGTCGGGCTCTGAAGCTCTACATACTTGGGTCTATGGCCTAAATCCGGCTGGCTAGATTCCTCTGGGGTGAGCTAATCTACTTAGCCTTACTAGGGACGCTATCTATGAAGCTCATCACGAAACTTCCAACAGTGCCTGTTTGACCGGCATGGAGAATATGTCCCCAAGTGGTAGTATAATATTGTACTGGCGGGGAAATTAGACGCTCCCTTCGAGGCTCGAAGGCCGAAAGGTCCACAGGGTGAACGGAGAGAAGACTTAGGACTGTCGTAAAACTCATTCTCGACCATTCGACCGATGGCTTCGCCGCGGCTTGCCTCTCAGAACCCTCAGAAATTTGCTGGTTCTCGTCCTCCCCGTCAGAACACCCTTACGACACTGGGAAGACAATGCAACCTCCGGATGGGTATATTCCAGCTTCCAAACCCTTGTCAACGTTAGGTACAGGGCCTTCGAAGCGGTGCAAATTCCTGCAAATTGCGCAATCGGTTTCGTGATCAGAAGTCTTCCGTGAAGGCCAGAGGCCGTTCCAAACTTCCTACCTGCCTCTTTTACCTCACCACGTCCAAGTGAGTTTTAATCTCGTCTAATCGCCTCTGATCATGATCAGAAAATCTAGTCGAAATGAAATGTTACCGGAGACCTTGAAGATCTCCATTGATGACGATGGAGAAGCCAGATGGCTTAAAGGCTGAGTAGTCGACTTAATCACACCGCCGTACCACTAGCCCCGTAGTACGTTAATCTGTAGGTCAGATGTGCGTCTCTTTTTTTCCGGGAAAATGCGGCCGCTTTGTGGCTTTTGTTCGGGCGTCAGACGCGAATAAGGTACCTTCCCAGTCGGACAGATGCTGTCCGAAAGGCACTTGGGGGAAATAGAGTACATTTCCCCAGATACCGCTGCAGCCAGCTGTCTCCTTAGGTTAACCGTGTGTTGCCGTCCCTCGAACGAACGTTTGATGAACCCAAGTGTCTGTTTCCAACTCAGCGAAAGTGTTTTTGACACTTTGAAGTGTGTGCGTGACCCACTCTCGTTATCGACCACATTGCGCGGTGCAGGGATTTGTAAAGAGGTCATGCCTGCTATACAATCGCTGTGGGCTTGTTGGAGGTTCCTTGGAGCCGGGTTCTGCACGCTGGACACTGCTGACCTCGTCTTGATAGTAAAACTGCATTCTCCACGACTCACGAGGCGTTATCTCTTTGACATATCAAGACCTTCAGCTTCTGCATGTCACTTCCCTGAGCGACCACACTAGGTCCCAAGGAGTCGACGTCCTATGAAGGATCATATCCACTGCGCGGCGAGTTTGTTCAAGCCCACCACCTTTCGGCACTGAGTAGATGTAAGATCTTCCTGATATCTCGGATGGTGGAAGACCATTAAATATATCGTTCGTTGTTGAAAATGAAATGAGCGAGTCAGAGGCTCAGACAGCGAATACGTTACCCACACAAAACATATTTCCGTGGGAGCAGGATTGCTCCGTCAACATTATATTGCATGTGGACGTTATCTATATACCGATGGATTTTAGTTCTTTCGTCTGATATTTCTTAGAAGACCACCTCCGGAGAATGGAGAGGTTTCTCCAGGGATGACTGCCGCGAAGCGCAAGCGTCGAGAGTGCGCACCTCATCCCGCCGCTTACCAAAAATAGACGCCTTCCAAGTCTTCCGGCGGCGTAACCGGAGCCGAATATTACCAAATAAGGCATATCTCTGATTGCGATTCTCTGATCGGCCATGATAATCAGGTTCTCCTTATCTCTACCCAGCTTCGTCAGGAGATCTGGGTCCGAGGGGGAAGGACGGCCAGTGAGGCATTGGATATTTGCCGCGCTACTGCACGCTGGGGACGGTACCCCTGGTGCGGCAGTGGTTGTAGAAACCACCATCGGCCGTGATGTCCTCTCCATTTCGATGACTTTCATGTGCATATGGTAGGGGTTCGGCGAGGGAGGGGTCAGAACCGCTGGTGGCTCAAGAAGGCTCGAAGTGTGGAGAGGGAATATGGAAGACCCTAGTGTTGTGGGTAAGGAGAAGGCGCCGGAAAGACGTTACTACGAGTACAGGTTAGGTACTGGCAAGGGAATAGATATCTGACTGCGTTGCATCCAAGAAAGCAAGACACGCAAGGGGGGGTAGAGATACAACAGGTGGATGTGTCGGTGATGGAAGGAGAAACTTACGTGAGAGAAGGGATACAGACGAGGGGGAGAAGTGGAAGGGATTACAACAGTAAGTATATCTTGACTTGTTATCGACGACAGAGGTCTTGTCCAGGAGGAACGGAAGTAGTCAATAAATGTTAGGTCGCATCCGTTAAGCCGCCTCTGTCTCTTCTCTGCGTCGTTTGGATCCTGTCGAAACCGGGGCGGAAGAGGGTGTTGCGACTGTGATACCTTGATTGGTCGCAGGTGCCTGAGCAGCACCTGTAACACCGACAACCAGGCCCTTGAGCCATCCGTTCTCCCTTCTAAGACCCTCGCACTCCCGCTCCAATTCCGCAACCTTCGTTTCGAGTTCCTTCGCCTTGCCCTCGAGGGCAGCCTCGCGCTCCTTCTTCTTCAGCCTGAATCGGGCACTTGCGGCCGTGTTCCGGCGACGCTTATCTTCAGCCGCTGAGAGAGGGGTTGTTGAGTTTTCAGGCGATCCGCCCTCCTCGAAATCAGGCGAGTCGGGGTTGCTGACCGATGCCTTCCGGGTGCGCGCACGCTTGGCAGGGACGTAGGGTTCTGGCGCAGCGGAGGCGGGGGCGGGAGGCGCGGTGGTGGTTGCAGCAGTGGGGCGGGTAAAAGGGTGGGGCAACGGCAGGCCGGGGTTGTAAGACGGTGGTCCACCGGCTGCATAGGGGTGGTGCGACGGGTGGAGCGCGAGAAGCTGAGCAAGCGATGGGGCCATGGCCGTTGGCTGCTGCAGCTGCTGGGGGTGCGCTGCCGCTGCGAACGCATCCAGCCCGAATCCGGCGAGGAAAGCGTTGAAGTCGAACGCCTGGGGGGCGGCGGCGGGGTTGGCTGATTGCGCTGCCGAGTTGTTGGGGACGTTGGTAGGAGTGACCACGTTCACATGGCCATCGCGCATGGCCTTTTCGCCGGTGACGGGGGATCGTGCCTGCTCCTCCTCCTCCTCCTCCGCTAGGTATTTCTTGGGCTCGTCATGTCTGGGGCCCAGGTGGTCCTCAGAGTCAAACGAGAGGTTTGTCCAGAGGTCGAGTTGGGCCGTGAGGTCTGGATAAGCCTGCCCCAGGAGCAAGTCCTGGGAGTCTGAGTGCTCCTGTGCGGGATGCACGATGTTGAGGCCTTGAAGATTTGCGGCGGGCATACGCAGGGAAGGCGCGCAAGTCTTGAGGGAATGGGAGGGGATGATAGTGGGAGGAATAAAAAGGCGATAGTCGGCTACCCGGCACCTATCAGTCACTCACGGATTCGGCCCGACCATTTTCCCATCCATTTCAAATCACTGACTAAGCTGGGTCCATCCTCCTCTCCCCCTTGTCCTAATCGCCCTGCGGTTAATCTTACTGCTCTGCGACCTTGTCGGCCCTCCAGCGCTCGTCTCAGTATTTTTGCACCGTCTAATTTTCATTTTTTGGCTCGAGGGAGGACTACTTGCCGCGAAGGGACTGCGTGGCGTACCACCCACATGACTGATCGATTCCCAAATGGACCAGCATCAACATCTCTGTGTGGACAACTGAGGCAGCTCTCTGCGTTGACCTGACAGAAGAGCGCCGGAAAAATGCCAACAACCAACATACAACTGATAAAGGATTCGGCGACGGTCCGTATATGGTTCAGAATTTTTAAGAACCAAGCTCGTCGAGCAACTCGAAAACCCGACCAAATCACCCCTTCCCAGGCCGTAAGCCTTTGCATATGGTCGAAGACTACGCCGGACACAAAAAAGCCCTCTTTCTACTCGTCGAGACTGCAAATCGCTCCGGCGAAACCGAATTTCGACCTCGGACTCCCTGACCAAGAGATGACGACATTTCTGTCAAAATCACCTCATGGCCTAAGATAAATTTGGTAACTCGGCCAGGACGTAAGTTAGGATGCTCTTCGCATGCGAACGCAGAGATCTTTGGAGGTATAAGGTCAGCGTTGTTTCCGCCGCAGTGTTTAACAGCAGCACATGAACGACGGTAGAATTATTGGGGGCTTGCAGCAGGTGGTTGACCTTCGCCCGAACTTCAACCATGGATTTGTTTATTGAATCGAAAAGAGTCGCTTGCGAGTTGAATGACTGATACGCCGCTGGTGGCCGCAGAACGACAGAATAGTACCCAAAGGATTCACGAAAAAGGCGACCACGCTTGCAGAGCGCTTCTTCAGTTATCGCGCCCCCCACAGTGACGGCAGCTCGTAGCAAATAAGCCAGTAATAGTGGTTTGACTCGCCAGAGAACTGCGCTGTCAACGTCAGGCAAATCAGTCATACAATGCTGATAAACCGTCTTCCTGACTAATATGATCGGGAAGAAGACCATGAAAACGTGGCCATGATTCAACGGTTCAGAAAGTCCGAGCAGAAGTTACTGACGCTTCTCATCGAACAGCGACGATGTAAAATGCCGCACGAGGGGGGAAGACAAGCATACAGGGACGTGAAACGCGTGTGCTGGCGGCGAAGAGGTGAAGCGTCTTCAAACCGCGTGGACTTCTAGTGAAATAGCTTACGAGATAGAGCGTCAGTTGACGTTTGTAATTTAATAGATCGACGCACAAACAGCATGAAGAAGCAGCGGAGAGGTCATCGGCGTCCAACGGAACATTAAGTCGCTAAACGTGGGGTGATAGGTGGGCTGCAATGTCCTAGCCGAACGGAAGAATCGCTGGCGGCGGGGTGTCGTTAGTGAGCGGAGTAAAGGTCCTCGCCAATGAACGCCGTTTGAGGAGCCCTAGGTATTCATAGTGAGACCACGTAAACGCGTTCAGGTGAGGATTAATAATCCGAGGAAGGACCCTAGCTATTCCACAGCGGTGTTGGGGAAATCGCCATCATTAATGCAGGGGCTGAAAGACCAGTGGGACGAGGAATAGAGGCGCGAAACTAGGGTGTAGGTAGAGTCGAGGAGAGCTGTGAAAGGGCCCAATTACATCACAGAAGTCGACTTATATATGTTTTGACAGTTCGGTATGTCGCAATGTTGAGGGGAAAAGTTGCAAGGTTCAACCAAGCGCCAAAAGCGGCACGAAATGCCGTAAGGCCGTGCTTAGTCATTGATCGTAGACTTTCTCACGAAAGCGGAATTGATCAGCAACTTGTCAGCCAGCAAGTTGAATGTCCAACTCAACAGCAACCCCCACCTGCTGGCTACATTCTTGACTTCTTTCACCATGGCGTCTACGGGAGAACAAGTTAACGTCCCGTTTTTTAAGAAAAAGGGAAAGGGACGACCCACGACTACGCGAAAGCGCTCTGCGTCACCACCACCTGTCGACTCGCCAAGATTTGGCGCCGCCTCATCTTCTACCAAGTCGGAAGTTGTGCTTCCAACGAGAAAGGCCGCGACAAACCTGCTTAGTACAGGGACAAAACGCACCGCCTCACAACGCGACGGTGTGGGCGACCAGGATACGCCGGAGAAGGATGGACCGGACGTGAAGTGGACGGCAGAGGGCTCGCATATGAACGCGGCGTTGGAGATTCTGGCGGGGGACGAGGTTGAGGAGCTGATGGCAAAGAGGCGTCGGAAGGAAAAGGCTGATGCTGGGGAGGAAGACGACATACCCGACGATGGAAAATACCACGGACAAAGTGCCTATCGTAGTCACATCAAGAAAAGCACGGAGGTTCCAAAAGCGATGAGAGTTGGCCCTCAACGAGGTACCAGCACGATACGGACGGTCACCATCGTGGACTATCAGCCGGACGTGTGTAAAGATTACAAAGGTGCGTGTGCTGTGCGACTCCATTAGGCTTACCAGACTAACGCCATCATCTCAATTCCAACAGAAACTGGCTATTGTGGCTTTGGTGACACTTGCAAGTTCCTTCACGACCGTGGTACATGTGAGTGCGCCGCGCCCTTATGACCAACAAAGATAAGACCAGGAACTGACTGATGCTCTCTTCTATTTGTGTTTCTGTTTCAACGCAGACCTTGCGGGATGGCAGCTCGATAAATTGGCAGAGAACTCCAAAGGGCAAGTCTACGACGAGTCAGAGGACTCTGATGATGAGGATGAGGACGTACCTTTCGCGTGTCTCATATGCAGAAAGCATTACACCGACCCGGTGGTGACCCGGTGTGGGCACTACTATTGCTCCGCGTGCGCCATTAAACGATATGCTAAGACGCCGAAATGCCTCGCATGTGGTGCAACGACTGGCGGGATCTTCAACCGCGCCGACAAAATCTTGGAGAAAATCCACAAAAAGAGGAAGGCGAAAGAGGACAGAGAAGCTGCTGGCTCGGGCGACGAGGGCGAAGGTATCCAGATCGAAGGTCTCAAGACCGTTGGCGGAGAGGAAGACTCGGACAAGAACTCCGGATCTGATTCAGAATAGAGTGGTGATTGCGCAGGTACCGTTTGCCTTTACTATTACCTTATCCATCTATTCACCCATTGTTTCCCTCCGAATCTCAATGCATTGGTTCGATGCAGTTAAATTTCCTTGGACCCTTTCTCTTATCCCCTCTCTTGCTGCGCAACAAACATGGTGTCGTCGGACGAAAACCCTACGCAGTGCAGCGTAGGATGATTATCGCTTGCACCCTCAACGTCGGTCCGAAGGCATGCCCATCTGGCCGCTATGTTCTGGAAGACGAGAAATGCAGCATCCCCTTGGTGATCTCGAACTCCCTTCAGCCTGCCAATTATTCTCGTGCGGGGTGGTCACATTGCCCTTCTCCGTGTCGAGTGCCGGTCTTTGGCTTACTTCGCCTAGCTTTTGTGCGATGGTCGACGTCGGAGGCCGGCGAACGAGGTTGATCTTACCGGCGTTCCTGGATGATGATTCCAGTGGGGAAGGACGAATAAAAGCTCCGAACCTGACCTGCCCTGCTTACAAAATACGAAGCAACGCGATGAGGTCAGGGCATCGTCATCAAACAAATTGCGGTTATTATTCCGTCTCGGGACTCACTACAAATTGCATTCGCTTTGCGTTCACCATGTCTACAGCGTCCTTAAATCACAAACACCTTTGTCATATTCTGCCATGCTGCGTCGCCCTCTGATCACTATCGCGAACGACGCGCCTTGTTTGTGGGTCGCAGAAGGTTCGCAGAGAGACAGGATTAAATTTAGGTCCCATCTCATCTCGATTATCCCAGCCGCAGATCCCTTGGTCAGGGTCTGTCAACTGACATTGTTCTGTCGATAAGGACACCAATACCATGCAGCGTTAGTGTGTGGGTGGGTCTTGAACACCAGGTACAACACACCTGCACATACGGCTAATGACCTAGAGCGATCCGGTGACGGGCCTCCATTGTCGACGTCGACTTTAATTATGGGAAAGACCGCAAAGGAAACGAGGCAGGACAGCCTTCAGGACGACCTTCCAGGCCGACGGCCCCAGTCTGTACCGCTCCGCCTCGTGTTCTGTCAACACACAGTTTTCACGAAGAGAGAGTTTCAACGGAGGTGGAGGCAGGGTGGAGGCCAGAGTAAAAACAGGTCGACAATCGCGTATGACGCGATTTGCTCCGATCCGATTCCAATTGAGATTGGGATTAGATAAAAAAGAAGAGAAGGACAGTGTGGTGGAGGATTGGCATTATGTTAACTATAGAGTAGTGTACATGTTTTTCGCTGATCTCAGATACAACAAGGGTTCTGGCCAGCCGCGGCCGTGGCATTGGGGGTGTAAGTACGCCGTGCAATCCTTCATTCACCTATCTTTGGACGCTGTTCGGGAATCATGATAAAATATCCCCATGGGTTGGACGCTGTCATTGGCGCGATCTGCTGCAGATGCATGACAACAAATAATTCTAACCTTCCGCGGAACTTGGGCTCTGGGGTTTGAGACGACCGCGAGAGGGCGAAGAGTAGCCGGTATTATACGTGGGTATATGGTAGACTGTATGAAGACAAGAAAAGGCTGGAGACGAGTGGCTTGGAATTGAATAGGGCGTCTCTGATGGGGTAGATGAACTCACACAGCACGCAAAACATGGTCGTTGCGAATTACGAATGCATCTCGTCACACCCGTTATCAAGATGCCTTTTGAGTGAATCAGCTCTGCGAGAGAGACGGGGGGGAACAGGTGAAGGGTTTAATTAAAGACCAAGGCAGAAACGAAGCCGGTGGAACGCACCTGCTGAATTCTTTTTGACAGTAAACACAGCGATGGATGACAGGAGACGCGAGGTGCTGCGTTTCGTGGTGTCTTTTACGGTCGTGAGACCTCGAGAAAGTTTTGCCGCACTTCTCGCAAGGAAATCGTTCGCCTGAAGGGGACGAGGCAGAAGTAGGAGACGTACTGGCCGTTGCAGAACCTGTGCGGGGGCGTCCAGTGACGATACGAGAGGGTCGGTGGCCGTGGCTGGCATGGGAAGAGGGGACCATGTGCGGGGGACTGGGGTAGTCGAGCAAAGAAGTAGAGTAGGGGTCTTCTGGAATGGCTGGCGAATGTGGTGTTATTGGATGGGTATAGCTGCTCGAGTAGGTACTGGCTATTTCTGACGGTGTAGGGATGAACTGCGGGTGATGTGGATTGGCGCTTAGCGGCAGGGAACGTTGGTCCGAGGTGGGAAGGTACTGCGATGGGTACTGTTGGGTGTGAGCAGTGTACATCGACTGCGACAGGGATGAGGAGGACCCGACCAGGCCGTGCGAGTTGTAGTACCGAGGATCGCGGTGGCCACTAGGATAGCGGTTGGAGGACACAAGAGAGGGCGTCATGCTACGAAAATACGGACTGGCAGGATTGGCCACTGAAGGTTATGGCGGGTGAGATGCGCGATGATGTAAGGAATCTGTTGACGACGTACTGTCACTGCCGCCGCCCACGGACCCATGAGTGGGTGTAGCATAATAGTGTCCCGTACTATCGTACTGATAGCCTGTCGGCGCATAGTCGCTCTGGTGGGGCGGAGAATACGTCGTGTTTTGGTCGTCATAGGCGTACGGACGAGGCTCGCGGTGCTGCATGACGAAGAAAGGGGTAATCGGTGATGGGAGGGGAGGGGACGCGCTTTTGAGGGGAGAGGACCGAGTTAAAAATTGTCCAGGAGGCGAGAGGAGCTTGTGGCCTTTAAATGGACGGAGCCGCCTAAGTACCAACTTGGCAATTCTATACTAATAGCATCGGAGAAGAGCCGCGAATTAAACAGTGTTTCGATCCCTGATACCGAACGACGCAAGTGGCCGCTATCTACGGCTGAAGTCAGCTATTTCGAACTTAGCTACCTTGACTTTGCTGTAAGAACTTTGTCGCGAAGAGCTTCGGAGAGTACGCACTTGGAAGTAATCAAGAGAACCTTGCAGAGGCCTCTGATCAGGCGTTGGGTTTGCCTGCCTAGAAAATCATTCATCGAACCCTGTGAGTCGCAATTCGGACGACCAACCTCGGTCGATAGATCTCGAGATGAACGTGCCTCCCAAACTTTAGATTCGGCAAGGGGGTGGAAGTAATCGAGAAAGATGAAGCCATAACAGGTTAGGCACCACGGTGTCAAACATGCCATAACTCTATCGTCAGAATATGTATGGGGATATTAATGGGCAATTTGTAGTTTCACAACCAGCTCACGGCTCGAGGCATTCGACGTTAAAATCGGCGGCAGATGTGTCTGTGAAAATACGACTTGAATATTTGCGGGGAGCGTGAGAGAGGGAGGCATACCTTGCAGAGAAGTTCCGAAACACCCGGGGTCGTATTTGGAAAAGATTCACGCGGAGTTCGGATTGGAGGAATTTGAAAATACATCAAAGGACCCTGGAAATAATAAATCTTGGTCCATTTTTGTTGAAAGGCGTCACGCAGCATGTTGAGGCAAGGCTTGAAGAGATTGGCTGTGCATTTACGTCCCATCATGTGCGCTATGCACACCATGATGGAGATTCACTGCACTGGAATGATTCTGGGTCGGCCGATTAGATTTTGGAGAAGTGAGCATGCTCACCGTCACTATTTTCTGACTTGGAGCAATTTAAAAAAATTGGTGCCAAGCTAGGCACGCACCGAAAGCATGCCTACTGACGACATTTTGCAGTGCTGGGGGGTCCGAATACAATCGCGCCGGGCGCTATTGCAGATCCCTATGTGGTAGTATTAATGAACGTGACCGAGAAAGTCGAGAAAGTCGCGATAAGTAATGAGAAGACACCAAGGGAAAAAGGCCGATGTGTGGTTCACGGATAAAACGCGAAAAAATCGCGATGACAGGCCGGTGTGGATTTGGAAGAGTGATGTGATTAAGTTGCGAACGCAGAGACGCGTCGGGGAGAAAGCTTGAGGAACGGGGGAGGGTGATAGGCTCCCTTCTAGAGCAGCAGCGCTGGATACTCCCGATGAGGGATCCACGTCAATTATCGCCCGCGAAGAGAAGGCTCGAGGAAATCCCGACGGGAGGCTGCAGCCAAGCATGACCAAAGCAACGATCACTCGAAATCTCCACCCGTGCTTGGTCAGGGAAATGGCTCCCTTTGATCTAGACGCATGCATCCAGCAGCTCCTAAGAAAACAGCTCCTCCACGAAGTCCTGCTACGCGAAATATGCGAGAAAACAAAAGAGGTCCTCATGCGCGAGTCCAACGTCGTCCATGTCAGCGCTCCAGTCACCGTAGTCGGTGACATCCATGGGTGAGTCATCCCATCTCGTTTGGTACCCTCGTATCTCATTATCGCCCCCAAAGACAATTCTACGACCTAATAGAGATCTTCCGCATAGGGGGATATGCACCGAACACAAATTATCTCTTCCTCGGTGCGTACGGCAGCAAAAATGAATTGGATTTCACCCAACATCTTCTCTCCAGGCGACTACGTGGACCGGGGCCTCTTCAGCGTCGAAACGATATCCCTCCTGACATGTCTCAAACTTCGCTATCCGGACCGCGTGCAGCTGATTAGAGGGAACCACGAATCAAGAGCAGTCACACAAGTTAGTCTTTCGCGCGATTCTGCAACTCATATTTGCTTAGCTCCCTAATCCGCGTTACAGACGTACGGGTTCTATACAGAATGCGTGCGGAAATATGGCTCTTCCCACGTTTGGACCTACTTTACGGATATGTTTGACTTCCTGACGCTGTCTGTTGTCATTGATGATCGGATATTCTGCGTGCACGGAGGTACGTCCTCCCAGGACTCGAGCGGTCCAGCTCTGTGCAACTGATTAATTGCTCTCTCTCGCAGGGCTTTCTCCTTCAATACATTCAATTGATCAGATTAAAGTAGTAGATCGATTTAGAGGTGCGCTTCCTCGATGCTGATGCTCTCCATTATCCTAGTATCTGATCATTCCTCCAGAAATACCGCACGAAGGCCCGATGGCAGACCTAGTATGGTCGGATCCTGACCCGGAGAAGGAAGATTTCGCCATATCTCCTAGGTGTGATACATCCGCTCGTGTCCCCGTTAGCCCAGCCTTGACCGATGATGCGCTAGGGGAGCGGGCTACACGTTCGGCTCTGGGGTGGTCTACAAATTTCTTGATGAAAATAATATGTCACACATCCTTCGCGCACACCAGCTCTGCATGGAGGGCTACTCATCCCTATTTGACAAGCACCTTTCGACCGTATGGTCGGCACCGAATTATTGTTACCGTTGTGGCAATTCTGCCAGCATACTCGAAGTTGGCCCAAACGGATCCATGTACTTCAACGTCTTCGAGGCGGCTCCCGAGAATGAGAGAGACGGCCCAAATCAGCAGGCTGCGCAGACCGCGACAGGGAAGGTACGTTGCACAACAATAGCTTGGGGGTGGTCCGCTCATTAAACCTTCCTTTGCATCCAGCTTCCTGAATATTTCTTGTAAATTACTCTTCTTATGCTCTGATAACGACCTTTGTTCCGGTAATGAATGTATTTGGCTGTATATCCGTAGTCCCAATACCATAATGATGGTTTCTTGTTCGCGCCATTTGGCATCTTCGGTCTACCGAGGTTAATATATGTACAAGTAGATTTACCTCCGGCGAGGAAGTATCCGTGACAGGACGGCCGGGCGAACAACGCTCGAGATGCGGTAATAATTCCGTGCACAGCGGGGCCTGTGCATCCTCTCGCTGACAGAAAAAGGTGATTCCTGCTGATTATTGGACACCGACATCGTTTAGCCCGAGAGCAAGCGCCTGTTCGACAGAAGCCAGTGCGGCAGAGGAAGCCCTCGCGGCAACCGTAACTGTAACCCCCCGCCTTTCCGAATGCTAATTCGGACGATGATGAGTATGACGGTCAGACAGAGGCCGACGGTGAGGTGGTTCCGCCAGCGTATCCAGAAAAGTGTAAGCAGCGTGCGCGCAAGGTCCCTCTTCCGGCGGCGGCCATGACGAAATGAAGGTGGCCCACGACGTGATGACGATGTGGCGACAGGGTATCCGAAGAATGGATTCAGGAGAGACATGGGTGAGAGCCAAGAAGGTGGAATGGTGGCTGGAGGAAGGATAGATGTTGACGGAGAGGATTCAGTTGGTGAAGGTGGCGAAATTGCTGCAGGCAACGATGGCGTTCGAACCCCAGGACATGTAGGGTCCTCGATGTCTACGAGAGACGGTAATGACCCTCCGTATTCTGATCTAAAGTGTCAATGAACAATAACAACTGAATAGCTCGAAGGACAGTACCTTGCGGCAAAGCGGAGGGCGTGAATAGCTCTATCAGTTCTTGCTGAGAAGGGAAAAATATGCGCGATAGAGCAGTTTCCGGCAATAGGCGTCTGTGCGAGATGAACTTACTTGCAGCAGACATGTAAAGATGACAGACATACTTGAAGACACTCCAGAGGCCGGAATACGTCCATGAATAATTGAGCAAGAATACTGAGAAACACGGTCAGTTAAGGTCGCAAGAATGGCCGTTCAAAGCTAGATGCTTACGCCCCGCAATCATACCAGGAAATCGAGGGATAACCTCGCGCGTTGTCCAGGTAAACAAGTCAATATTCTGACACATAGTTGAGTAAATTAGTCCAATGAAAACAACAATGAATCTCACTATGCTTTGGAGAGATAGCTGGCCCAAGTCGAGGAGGACCGTGTACTGTAGCACTGGCCGGCTATCAGTCCCCGAGTCGTCGTAAAGCCGCTTCAGGTGTATCCTCAAGCGTTCAAATGCTCGAATAATCAGATCCTTCTGCGTGCTGAGATCCTCGTCAACCGGCGCGACCCCCAAAACGAGGATTGGTCGCCCCAACGGATCTCGGATATGGGCCGGGAGGCAGTGAAAGTTGGGTATCGGCGATAGAGGCTCAGCCTCCCCTTGCCCTTCGACAGGCCACAGATTGGTCAGACGCCAGAGCATGTTCTTTTGGATAGCTTCCAGGGAGAACGATCGCGTGAATTTATTCCGCTGGAAGAAGGGCGAGCAACAGAGGTGGTGCAGGAGCAAAGGTCCGTTTTGGAAAGTTCAGACGGGCGTACGCTGCTGGTCGGAAAAGGCGAGGGACTCACCCTTGAAATGCGGAAGACTGAGGCTGAGCGGGCTGTCGGCACACGATGAACGGCCTGAAAGGGACATAATTTACGTACAAGTATCAGAAAGCCATTCTTTCGCCCATTCCTGTGCGTCTGGCTCGAGCTCGAGTTCGTCGGTGACAGACGGCAGGATGGTTGTTATGAGGGTGTCTTGCAGGTCGTAGACATCGTCGAGGTTGGCGCGGTATTGGTCTAGCAGCGCATCGCGATTGATTTGCAGCCGCTTGAATGTTTCCATTCAATGAACGCGTAAATTTTGTCGCTGTCGTCCAAAGCAGCAGGGCACGCGAGGAAGAAGGGCGGGTATGCAGAGCGCTGACGGTGCGGTGACGGACAGGCATGAATTGCCGAAAATCAGGCGTGACGCCGGCTTTCCCACGACTATATTGGTCCGCTAAGCTTTCCGTCATACTTCATATCAAGCTTGCTTTTGAATTTATTCAGATAAACCTCGACGTTGACTTCATCCCTTCAATTTTTTGGCAGGAGATATTACGCGCTGCAGAGAACTGCCCTGCGCTGCATGACATTTTTAATCCCCGTCTTTTTCTTCCATTTTGTGAGTTGGTCGGAGTCTCGCTCGCACGGCTACCTTAACCGCCGACCCCGAAAGCTATCTTCACGGACTAGGATTTGGGTGGATCCTCAGGTCGGAGAGTAAGGAACTCGCCTGTCAAAATTACTGCAGTATTTGCATCGGGAAGACGTCTTTCTCGAACAACATCAACGAGCTTTCGTCAAGGACCCACTGACTGTGATCATGGTCAAATCAGTTCGAGAAGTGCAACTTGTGTTCAATCTCTACTCTCGCGGCATGTGGTTAGAGTGGTTGAATTGAAAGACTAACCGTCGTATCTGATGCTTTCTGGCACGCGGTATATCCTTAAGGTGTTCTTTCAGCCCGTGTCGACCACCTGGCAGCTCGATCACAAATTCCTGAACGCTAGAACGCGGATGTCCACAAGCTCTACGGGACAGACAGTATGGAAGACCGGCAGCTCGTATTAGGGTAATCTATAAACGAGCAATCAAAATTCCAAAACTTGGTTAACTTTGGTCTCCCTACCGGTTCAAACGCGCAAGGAACCCGAATCCATTGAGGTCAGTAACATCTTCGAGTGGCGTTGAGAGTAATCAAGCACGCGCTTCCCACAAAGACGCCAAAGGACTTAAATCCAATCCGAACTCTTGAATAAGATGGACGCAGAAGGATACCTTGGGCCAATGCTAGGACATAGTTTCGATCTTCCTGCTTCTCCTGTACAATCTGTCTTTCATATAGAGCTGCAAGGTAGGTAGTCAGTCCGCGATGAAAGGATCATGTGAATAGCGGGAGAACGGTCGATTTTCACCCAACGATTCGCTCGTCGTCATTTACATAGATGTAGCCAGCTAAATGAACGAAGCAGACGCACGGGTAGCACAGACTAGCCAATCAAGCACGTTGGGGAGCAGCAGGGAATGAAACCCACGAATCAGGTGGTAGATAGCTCCAATAGACTATCCGCACGTTCAACATCTTTACGAAGCAGAACACCGTTGAAACAACTTCCTTACACCCCTCCGAATAGTCCGGCATTCAAAATCCCTGATTACTGAAAGTTTGTAGTGCACCTACGCACTTAGAAGTCGGGTAGTTCGGCGTAGGAGTTCATCGAGGACGCGTCTTCGAATGTCCGCCACATTGGAAGGTCTTACGAAGAGGAGCGACACACGGTACCGGTGAGGCCGCGAAGCCATCTCTTCGTCTGGTCAAGGAACAGAATCCAATTAACGCGTGCGTCCTCATTGGCCATCCAGAATTAATGCTTGCCACCTGTTCCTCTCCTGCATAATTTGATACGCGCAGACCGAGGCCTTCATCGGATTCAAGCCCGTACAGGTAGTGCAGATCAGCTAAAGGAGTCAAGTACGGACCCAGTTAACCTCTGGCAGTGGGAAATCACGGTGGAGAGCAAGAGGATCTCGATTGAGAGGCAAGAATAGACCAGGAGGAAAGGCAACGCTCGGCGGATCAAGGTAATACAGTGAGCGGCCTTGTTATCAAGCCCTAGGAGGGATTTCTTGGATGGAAAAATCGCAAATGCCGGACAGCTTCGACAGTCGTGGGTGTCAAGCGGGGCAGGCCTAACTATTGCAAGCTAAGTCTGCACGCGTTCCACCAGCCTTGAGCACGGGTGTCGTAACTAGCAACAAACCAAGCTGCTAAACCGTAAGAGAGGAGCTGTAAAGTTCGAACTATCTTTGTTCATCTCCACCATCGGCGGTTAGCAAGCGTGGGAAAACCAGACAAAGATTTGATTGCACCCGTTTGGAAAATGTTGAACTGCGACTCCAACTTCCACTTCCACGGACCTCCAGGCTTCAGAACGCGTTAGATCGCGAAGAAACGCCATGTCATCGCCGGAAATCCAGCCGTTCTTCGCGTGGTTTCAATCTCACAATGGGTTCATTGATACGGACGCCATGGACGTCATCCAATTTCCCCCGTCCGAAGGAGGTCGCGGGGCTGTTGCACTGAAGGACATTCCGGTGAGTCTCGCAAGGGCTGCTTGAGGGAGGAGAGCGTGGTACTGATGACGTTGTATGTAAGGAAGGGCATACGGTGTTTGAGATCCCGCGTTCGTTGGTTCTATCGACGCGGACAAGTACTCTTCCCCAGAGGTTTGGTGGAAACGCGTGGAAGAAGGCCATGCTGCACCAGGGCTGGTCTGGTCTTATCCTCTGCATGATGTGGGAGGCTGCTCAAGGCTCTCACTCCAAATGGTCGGCATACTTCGGTATGTCACCTGTTTGAGCTTCGGTGTGTTGGCGAAGTTCATGTATTCTTCCTAGACTCTCTGCCGACTAGCTTCGACACTCCAATGTTCTGGAACGACGAAGACCTCACAGAGCTGAAAGGAACCTCTGTGGTAGGTCTGTTCCTCCTCGTTACCCTGCTGAGCAAGTGGAGCTTATCTCAAGCCCTTGCAGACAAACTAGGCAAAGACCAGGCCGAGAAAGATTTCACGGAAAAAATACTTCCGGCTGTGCAGGTAGGTATGACTCTCACCCTCTCAGGTCTTCCCAGTGGCTGAAATTTTCACAGAGCCGTCCAGATCTCTTCAATTCCCAGGATATCCCAACGAAATACACCCTGGAGACGTATCACCTCATGGGTACCCGAATTTCCTCACGAAGCTTCACGCTAGAAAAGGCGGAGGAAGAGGTAGAACATCACGACGCAGATGATCCTGCAGAGAACGAGGCGGCTAATACGAGCATGGGTAGTGCTATGGATGTTGACGGTCCTCCATCGCTTGATCATGAGCAGGGTGACGAACATCCAGACCACCAGGAGGAAGAGGAGGGAAACAACGAGGAAGAAGAGGAAGATTCAACTGAGGTCGTCATGATTCCTCTCGCCGACATCCTGAACGCCCGATACAGAACAGAAAACGTAGGCTCTGCGCATATATGCACTCCTTTGGGCCTGGATTTGACTAGTTTTCGATGTCATAGGTCAAGCTCTTCTATGAGCCCAACTGCCTCAAAATGGTTTCGACAAAACCAATAAAAGCTGGTGAACAAATTGTGAGTCACCCTCTCTATCTTTTTACGTCACATTCTGAGCCTCATCTTACTCAAGTGGAATACCTACGGCGACCTTCCCAATGCTGAGCTCCTACGTGGGTTCGGACACGTCGACTACCTGCCTTTAGCAGGCACAGACAACAAATTTGGCAATCCTGGCGACGTTGTCGAAGTCCGAGCCGACCTTTTTGTGCAGTGTGCTCTCGAGGTACACCCAGAACACGTCAAGGAAGCGGAGAGCGAGTTGATAGAGAGGATAGATTGGTGGCTAGAGGAGGGAGGTGACGAGTATGTTCTTTTCTTGAGACGAACGTGGACGTATGCTCATTGCTTATATTGGCAGTGTGTTCGTCCTGGAGATCGATCCTGATTCTTCAGAGCTTGAAATCCCGCCGCCTATGCTCTCGTTTACCAGGCTCATACTCTTCCAAGCCGAGTGGGAACGCGCGAAGAGCAAGAGCAAGCCACCCAAACCGACTATGGATATGCAGACTCTGTCTGTGCTCGTCGCTGTGCTGGAAAGGCGACTGCAGGCGTACGACACGTCTCTGGAGGTGAGCTCCACATCCTTTATACTGGAGCTCTGCTAATTCCTGACGGTAACCAACGTTAGGCTGACGAATCTATTCTCAACACCCGACTCGACGCCCTGTCACTCAACAAAAGACATGCATTGATCGTTCGTGTAGGCGAGAAGCGGATCCTACAGGCTTACCGAGACAAAGTCGGCCATCTATTGGATGAAGCACGGATGAAAGAAGCTGGTGCTTCAAGCGGCAAGTCAAGTGGTAAAGGAAAAAGGCAGCGAGAGGCAGATGATTCAGAAAAGGACGGCGGGCGGCGGATTAAGAGGCAGGTGCGCTGACTAACCTGTGTCGGTATGCATCTCCTGCTGGTTATGTAAAAAGGAGAGCAAGTCGGTCACATTGTTTAATTTCTGGAGCTTCCTGGGGCGCCTCACCTCGTTCTTTCCGTTAATATTTGGGATTGGACGCCACACTGACTGCATTAGACTCCCATTTCGGGGGTTACGCCATCGCAATGAGAAGGTGAAAACTGAAATGGTTTCGCGAAGGTCGTGCTGAGATCGTTTGTCTAGACCCACGAAATTCGCGGGTGGGTTGGATCTGGTAATGGGAAGTCGAGAAGACAATTCAGCTCCTCGTCCAGGGTGTCTTGTCCTGCATTTCTTGTCTGATTCCAGAGAAATAATCTTCGACTTTTGGAATTGTTCCTGCTGTTAGTCTGGGCTGGAAAGCAGACGCCACACTAACCAAAATGAATTTCCCTTTTGGGGTTTTACGCCTTTTCAATGCGAAGGTCAACCATCACCCCCATAGTTGCCCAACTTGCCTCTGCGCAAGGCGTGTTCTGGGTTTAGACGCACAACAGCACTACACGTAGGTGGGGCAATACGAAATGGCTTCGAGGAAAACAGACAAGTACCTCGAGTCAAGCACCCGCCCGAGGCGCTCTTCGTCCGCGTTCGAGTCCAGCGGGGCGAATTGGGGGGCGAATACCTCGTCCAAGAGCGCGTCGTACGACCCGTCCGCGTGGGATTAGCTTTCGTGTTGGTTATGTAAACAAGAGAGTTGGAAGTCGGTCAGTTTGCTTATAATAATTTCTGGAGCTTCCTGAAGCCGCAAGCGCCTCACCTCGTCAACTTCTTTCTGTTCCGTTACTATTTGGGACTGGGCGCCACACTGGTCACCGGCTCCAATGTATTGAACTTCCATTTCGGGAGGGGAGTTTACACCTTCGCAATGAGGGCGGGGAGAGGGCCAAACCTGGGTTTCGCGGAGGACTGTGCTGATGTAATTTTTGTAGACCCGTGATATCTGCGGGTAATGGAAAACCAGGAAGACAGGTGAGAGAGGGAGGGCAGGTACGTGACCAACTTGAATTACGTGTCTTGTCCTGTGTAATTTCAGCTACCAATTCGTTCGCGCGAAGATACAGTTGCACATAGTAATCTCTACTTTCTGCCGTTTGCTGGCACGGCTAGAAAACAGACGCCACACTAATTTTACATAACCGAAATGAATTCCATTTTCGGCCAACCATCATGCTGCTTTGCCCTAGTCGCGGGTCGAGCGCTAGCACCCCGAGTTGTCTCGAGAAAAGCATGTACGTGGGTACCAAAAAAGTGATCCACCGTTAGTGAAGAGGTGCCAGTTTTCTAGCTATCACACATTACAGACTCTACGGTGTAGCACCAAGAATTATCCAAGAATACCAACGGTAACCTTTCGGCTCCTTTCGGATTGGACGCCACACTGACTGTATTGGGCCTTCGATTTCGAGGGTCTACGCCTTCGCCATGAGAAGGTAGAGGATGCCAACCCTGGGTTTGGGTCTCGCTGAGGATTGTGCTGGTGTAGTTGGTGTAGACCCGCGATATCTGCGGGGTAATTAATGGGAAACCAAGAAGACAGGGAGAGCAGATACGTCGGCGCCAGCCTGGATTGCAAGCCCCTTGTGTAATTCCAGCTACCCATTTTTTACTGCGAAGGTATATATATAGCAGAGACATAAATTATAATTGCTACTCTCTGGGGGTGTTCCTGCTGCTCGCTATGGCCACCCAGAAAACAAGCGCCGAACCACATAACCAAACCAAATTCCATTTTGGGGCTTTACGCCTTCTCAATGAGAAGGTCAGTTAACTAGTTATCTGACCTGTTCGAGTTTTGTACCCGCAACAGGCTGCGAGTCGAGCTCGAGAAAAGCGTGCAAGTATTAGCATTGGCTACCAAAAAAGCGATCCGTGCAGTGCAGTAAAGAAAACATGTAAAGAAAAGATGTACACTACCGATTATCCATCTATCGCGTGTCTGAATCACGACAAATTCTACAGTAGTATGTGAAGCACCAAGAACACCAAAAAAATCTCAGAGCATTTCCACTCCCTACCCTTACCCCAAGCCTCCTTCCGCCCTCCTCCCTCCACCACCACCCTCAAAAAAATCAAACACTCCAAACCTAAACCTCACTCCACCCCCACCTCCATCCCAACGACCGCCCTCAACACAAGCACGTACCCAAGACGCTCCTCATCCTCGTTCGAGCCCTGCAGAGCGAAGACGTCGTCCAGGAGCGCAGCGTACGAGCCGTCTGTGTGCGACTGGAGGAAGGCGGGGTCTGGGGGGTCGTCGAGGGTAGGACTTGGATCCGGCGCGCCGTTTGAAGTTGGTGCACCAGAGGGAGGTGAGGTAGAGGAGACCTCGCGGCGCATAACCTGCACGACCGCATAGGCGAGCATCATCTCGAACTTGACGCGCGCGAGCACGGAGGGGGCCGTCCATGGTCTGCTTGGGTTCGTGATCGTCAGGTTCGTGAGGTTTGGGTTGCGGGCGTGGGCGTTGGTGCGGCCTGCTCGTTTCTTCCCATTTGCATTGGCGTTTGTATGAGTATTTCCATTGGCGGAAGGCTGCTCGCCAGCGCCACCAGGACCAGGAGCAACGTCAACAGAGACACGCGCAAGCCGGACGACATCGGTCCATGACGGGAGGCGCGCGACGAACGTCTTTGGCCGCACGGGCAGCGAGGCTGAAGTGGCCGTGGTTGAAGTAGAGGTCGAAGGTGCGATCGACGCGAGGGTCGACGAGGCAGAAAGGGGAGGCGGCGGTGCTATCGAGGAGGACGAACTGGCAGTCTTTGACATCGTCGGGCTCGACGGCACGCCTGCACCAGAGTTGGACGCGTCCGTCGATTCCTTCATCGTGCGCTGCCTCGTCACCGGCCTAGGTACCGCCCTCGGCCTCTTCATCGCGCTCTGCCCCGTCCCTGCCGCTCCTCTCGGCCTATTCCCATTCCCATTTCCACTCCAGCCCCCAGCCCTGCCGGCGTCCTCATCTGTTTCCGTCGACGCGAGTGAAGCAGCGTCCTCGATGATCTTCCTACACAGCGCGAGCTTGAACGAGAGCGCCGCGGGTGAGCTGGGGAGATGCGCGAAGAGCGTGTCGAAGGAGGAGGCGAACGCGAGGGCGGTGGATGGGGCGGGGCTTGGGCTCGGAGTGTGGGTCTTGCGGGAGCGAGTGCGGGGCGAGGGAGAATTAGAGGATGAGGAAGAAGAGGAACTGGAGGAGGTCATTTGGGCGAGGACGGTGGATGCGAGGGCGGGTAGGTTGAGGAGGGATGTTTGGGTTAGGTCGATGAGCTGAGAGAGAGAGGGAGGTGAGAAGAGGGAGGAAGGGAGGAAGGGAAGGGACGTACGAGGAGCAGGAGCCGCAGACCGACTTTCTGGATACGCAGGTCGGGCTGTTGGAAGGCGTAGAAGACGATTTTGGCGGGCTCGGACGCGTCCCAGCGTGTGGTTGAGCCCATTGGAGGCGGTGGGAGCTGCTTGAGCAGGAGTGGTGAATATCTCGCTTTTGTCTAGGCATTAGCTTAGAGCCACAATAATATCTTAGAGAAACATACGTTGTCCTTGTGCCTCAGTCTCCTCTGCGTCCTTCTCGAAGAGTGTCACCAACCATTCGAGGACGAACCACGAGTCGTCGCCCACAACTTGGATGTCCTGCCTGACGTCGCTGAAGGAAGGCTCGGCAGTAAACCGCACGCGCGTGCTTTCCCTCCTCTTTCCCTTGGGCGAGCCCAGACCAAAATGCTGCGCGGCCCTGGACGTATACCCGGACTTGAGGATCTCCCAGACACTCCTTGTCGACGTCTTGATCGCAGCGGCCTGCTCGAAGATAGGGCTCTCCCCAAACTCGAACTCCATGGGTACCTCGTTCTTCGTCTCGGGGTAGAATGGTAAGGCGGGGCCGATGGCGTGTGCACCGTTCGTGGCGAGGAAGGCGAGGAGGAGGCGCCGGGCGGCGAGGACGGCGGCGGAGGAGAGGATGATGGATGCCTTGGTCTGCTTTATCATCTTTCGTGGGGACTGGGCGAGGAGGGTTGCCGGGTCGTAGCGGTCCTCGTCGTTGAGCTGGGAATCGTGTACGGGGTGGAGGGCGATGAAGACGAGGTGGAGGATGTGGATGCTGGGGGGCCAATTAGCAACAAGGACGCGACACAAGGGAGGCACGTACATGGACGGTCTGTGGACTGGCGCGCGCAGCTGGTCGAGCATCGCGACTGCACTCTCAAACTGGCCCTCCTCGAACGAGTTGTCGACGATCTGGCGGAGGTAGCGGCCCATCTCTGGCGTCCCCATCTTGGTCAAAAGTGAAAGAGTCCAGGTGGTCACAGACGCGTCAAATAATGACAGTGTCACAGCACACGTGATCTGAGATGCGCAGTGATCTCGCCGAGCCGTATCGCTCTTCACTTTACAACCACCATGGCAGAATCTCCCGCACCAGCTCCTGCAGCACCGACTGCTCAAGATCCCTTCCAAGCTCCTCCCTCCACATCCCCCGCCGTCTCGCCGCCCCCGACCACCAATGCCGGCCCGCCATCTCTCGACCCATCCACTCGCCCGTCCTCGAATACTCCGGAGGCTCAACGAGAGTCCGTCGTCGACCCACGCGTCGTCAACCTCCGTGCAATGTTCCCAGACTACGACGATGCCATCCTGTGCGCCCTTCCCTGCTCCCATCCCCTCCCCCTTTGTCTCTGAACTTGGCTTACAGACAATCCGTGCTCGAATCCGTCAACTGGAGCGAGGACCGCGCGATCGATGCTCTTCTCCTCATGAGCGATCCCGAATACCGCAGCGACGCACCTCCCCAGCAAGAGGTCCATGTTGCTCCCATGGTGCGTACCTTCATCCTCTCTCGTCCTTTCAACTAAGATCAATCAAATCCGTCTCTTCCACAGACCCAAACCGACCTCGACGAGCAGTTCGCCCGACAACTCGTCCTCGAAGAGCAGCACCAACAACAAGCAGCATGGATTGCCGCCAACCCCAACGCACCCGCCCCGTACCGGTCTCACTCGCGCCCACAGGGCTGGCAGCCGCCCCAGGGACAACCGCAGGCGCAGTCGGCCGGAGGAACGGGCACGGGCGAGTTCCAGGAGCAGTTCAACAAGATCGCAGAGAGTGCGTGTCATAATTACTTTGCTGAGCCCTCCGTGGTCGCGATGCGTAATGCCCACTGCGGACGGCGATGCATCTCCGCTTGTATCCGTTGCTCATCCTGACGTTTTGCTTCTCATAGCTGGAAAGAAAACGTTCGGCAACATCTTCTCAAAAGTGAAAGCCAAGATCCAGGAGCTCGAACGCGGAGGGTCCGTCCTTTCCTTTCACTCCTACATTACCTGAAGCAACATCTTACTCATCATCCACACAACAGATCATCGCCCACCCCAGGTGGTCAGCAAGCATGGGCTGCTGGAGGCACCGCCCCCGCGCAGCCGCAGGCGTACCAGCAGCCCGCGTACCATCTCCGCGCAGGCGCCGTCGCCCCCAGCCCCCGTTGCGCGCGCCCCGGTCGGCGTGCAGGGTTACGATCTCGGCGGCACACGTAGGTCTCTTCTCGCTCTCTCGAAGCTTTGAATCTAACGTCATGTCCCTCTCGCACTTTCGTGTCTGCAGCGACGCCCCCGCTATCTACATCCCCGCCCTTGTCTACCTCCCCACCTCTCTCCACCACCACCGGCACGACGACGACACAACTCCAGCCCCAGCCCGCACCAGTACCCTCCGCCACCGCGCTCGACGCCGGCAAGCTCGGCCTCCTCCCAAGAAGACCGTGTCGCTCCTCCGGCCTGATGGGGGTGCTGATGCCTCCTCTACCACTGGTACTGCAGCAGGGGATGTAAGCACGATCGGTGGTGGTAGTACCGCAGGAACGGCACCAACGACGACCCCGTCGGCCGTCGCGGCGGGCAAGAAGCCTGTGCGCCAGGACACGGACGACGGGCTTGAGTATGCGGAGAGCCCGTTTGAGGAGAGTGGGTCGAGGAAGTAGAGTTGGCGTGTTGGGTAGGAAGAGGAGGGCGAGGAGGAGGGGTGGAAGTGCGTGTCGGGGAATCGGATCTACGTTTACGTGTGAAGCGAGGGCTGAGGAAGAGGAGGAAAGGGATTTATGATTTATGAAATGTATGTAAGTATGTATGGTGTACTAAGGTATGATGGGATGCAAACGCACTGTGGATGGATGGACTTGGCTTGGTGTATTCCGAGTGTGTATGTCAGTAGGATGTTGATGTTTCTTTCTTGCTCTTCGTGTTAATGTTCGTACTCGTTTTATTTTGTGTTTAGCATACGATTCTACATAGCGATACCGAAGCAGATGCAAATTATTTATTTTACAGTAGGATAAGGATTCAGGGCCCAGGATGGAAGTCTTACGAACAGGGAAGACCGGTTCAGAAACCTCAGTTCCAGAATAACCACACGACGATCGCAGCCACCCATATCCCACCTCCCAACGTCCAACGTCCAACATCCAACTTCACGCTCAAGTCCAAGACGCCGACGCCACCCATTAAAAATCAGTGCTCAGCAAAGGCGTCTCATACCCCCGTCCAGTGCCACCAAATAACACGCGCTTAACAGCATCCAGCCGGTCGTCCGCGTCTGCGTGCGGGTCCCGCGCTGTGGTCAGTGCGGCGTGGAACTCGGAGTCGGAGAGGGGCCCATCCTCATCGGCAGTAAGGTCTATGACGCTGTCCGAGTCGGCGGTTGCGGTTGGTCCTTCGTCGAAATTGAGTGTAGTAGACTGAGACCGGTCCAGAGATTGGGAGGCTGGTGGCAGGTCGCCAGAGTTCGTGTTTGGGATGGCGGCACCGTCGGTATCATGATCCCCATCGTTGGGCAAGCACACATTGTCAGTTGCCGTTGCAGGTGCTCAACCCGTCTGCGTCTTTGCCTGCATCTGCACCTGCTGCGTCCTCGCGCGTGTCTCAACGCCAGGTTGCCAGAAGAGCAACCTGACGATCTCCTTCAAGACGGGGTAGTACTCCCTCACTTCCTTTGTCGGTGGCGTGTAATTCTCGTGCGCGTACCGCAGTTTGTCCTCCGCGTTTAATATCATCGCCCAGGCCGACAGCTCGGCGCGGCGCTCGCGGAGGGATGCAGGCTCGATGGTGAGGGTCCTAGTGTGCGTCGGGTCCCAGAGGAGGCTCGAACACTCAGGCGTACCAGTGTCCAGAGTCCACCGCTCCCAAACGCCTGCGAGCGTGTCACCTTGAGCTTCAGAGCGCCCACCACGAATCAACAGCGGGTTCTCCAGGACCGTCAGCGGCTTTCCGTGCGGCAAGAGCGCACGCGGGTTGAGCACGAGCACCGTCCATGGGAAGCTAAACTTGGGGAGGGTAGACCGAGGAGCTGCTGGGTCGCTGGTAATGAGGGATACCCACACCTCGTTGAGGGCTTTCAACGCGTCAACCAGGACGCGCGCGACAGGCAGTGGGGGCACGAAGCAGAAGGAGGCGTAGGTCGACCATTGGCGGTGTAGGGAGGCTTCCACTGGAGGGGGGTGGTCAAACACTGAAATTTGAAGGGGAGCAGGAGTTGAGGAAGGACGGACGTACATAAAATCCCGTTGTACAACCCGTCCAGGGAGAACCTATCCCCGTAGTTGAACAGGTCCTCCTATAAAATGCCCAACAATCAATCACTTTCAACTTCAGAAAAAACCCACAAAATCGCCGAGTCAAATAATTGAGACACCACTTACCACCTCCTTTCTCCTCTCTGCCCCCTCCTCACCCTCCCCTCGCAGTCGTAGCCCTGCAACATCGACGATCCGACACGCCTCCAAGTCCGCCGACGCAGCGCCCGTCAGGAAGGAGAACTGGTCGGTCCAGAGGAGGGCGTTGCGGAATACCTTTTCGTCTCGCGTGAGCGGGTGGAAGGACGAGTCGCAGAATGGGCTAGAATCGGAGTCGGATGTCGACGTGCTGGAGGGCCCGGGAGAGGCAGGCCTAATGAGGTTGTCGACGAGATGGGGGTTGGGAGGGAGTTTTGGGGCAGGGGGCCGGTTCTTCACGATGGGAAACGGGACACCGTCGAGGCGGTGGACTTTGGACATGCTGGCAGTATACTACTAGTGGGAGTCGGTGTTGAAGAGATGGGTGTCGGTTGCCCCTATATTTTGTGGAGCTAGAGACTGCAGTGAAGTGAGACCAGCGCAAAGGATCGACATTGACGTGTTCAGGTTCTGGTCGTAAGGCGAATCCCTGAATGGCAAAGCAAGCAAGTTATCAAGATATCCGGAAGTACAGTATAATTTAGTCAACGGCAAGAACAGTAACCACCTCTGTTCACTCAGCACAAGTAGCCAGGTCATGAGAGTCCATTGGCCACGGACCAGGGTCCGGAGAGAGGGCTCTGTCCCAACTCTCCAAGCCAAAGAACTGAGGCAAAGATTGCCAAATCTCTCCACGGCCGATTTGATGCTCAGAGCGAGCATGCTTACGGCAGGACCTACAAAGGAAACCGAGAATGGCATCAAATCCCCTTGTGTCCGCCAAGCAAAGGCGCACATCCGGCTTCACTTTGAAAACAATTTCTAACAAGGTCACCCGCCAATTCTTACAGCTCTGGGGCGAGTCGCACAACGGGCTGCCCGCGTTGCCACGAATCCATTTCAAGCTGATATGGCCTAGTGAACCCAGGAGCGCGTCGAGGCCGATGAGGAGAGTTTGAAGCACTTCTGCTGGAATAGTGGCAATGGTAGCATCCTCCCGCGCAAGTCCTGAAAAAAGTGCCTTCTATGGGTCGGGTAGGTTAATAAGCACAGCATAGATGATATCAAAGACAAATTCGCGCACCAAGGGTAGGGCCGCGCAGTAGAACAATGCGGCAGGTAAGATTGAATGGATGCGCATCTCCTGGGCAAGAGTGACAACGTCGAACAAAGCACCTGGTTGCCAACTGAACTGTTTATATACTGGCTGGCCTGGATTGAATGCCGCCAAAGTGCTCGGAAACTCGAATTGAAGCCTCCGCAACGCCTCTTGATAAAGGAAATCAACGTCATACTTTCTCCCCAGTCGTAACATAGCCATGATTTGCGTGAGAGTCGGAAGCTTGCCCGGAGCGTATTTTCTGCAGGATAAAAAATGGACATTCCTAGAAGATGACGCAACGTAAGGAGAAGACATACTGGTCATATAAAAGAAGCAGGAAATGGTGCATTTCGACTGCTGAATCGGAGACGTGGACTACTGGACATCCATCAACCACGGCCTCAGAGGCAGATTGTTCACCGATCTCAAAAATGTCGCGAAATATGCTCGACGAGCGAGCGAGGATGGTCTTATGAACGCGGAATTGTGTCGATTCCGCCTGGATGATAACGCTGCCATCCTCGAACCAGAGCTCCTCTGACCGTACGAGTTCCGGTCCTGATTGTTCTGTGCTTCCTGATGGCCCTTCGGAGTCGTCAGAAGTACGAGGACGCTTGAGTGGGGGTTGCTCTTCTGCCGACATCGCATTCTGAGGCAAGTAAAGAGATGTGCTTGGCGACTGCGGCTGCTGTTGCCGCTTAGCCGTTTGGTCATAACAACGCGTCAACAACACGTCAACTTGAACAACACGCGGCGGTCAATGAATTGATCTACTCGCGTTTCCCTCTCTCACTGCCATATCGAGTACCGTCAGACCTAACTTAATTAGCACGCGAGCCCACAGATTCTCTCGCGATGGCGGGTTCACCAGCTCTCCGATGTGGATAAGCTCGTCTCGACATCATGATCGACATGCGTTCCATAGTAAAGTGCAATTCAAAAACGGCGCATATATTCCTTGTGCAACCAGTAAATCCAGAGGTAGTGACGTTGCTTATAGACAACCTTCACGGGCGACGACAGTTTCACGACAACAGGAGAATGGGTATGATGACTGAAGGGTATTTGCATCTGCTCATTTCGAATGTAAGAGACTCGGCTCTAGAAGTGCTACCATCAACCTAAGTACGTGAGGACATGGAATGAACAGTCGCATCGAGGTTGAGAACGTTGAGGCCTGAGGTATAATTGGATTTCGAGACTCACTCAAGCCACATTAGAGATCAATGGTGCCGTCTTCACCCACTCCTTCTTCTCAATCTCCGCTATACAAAACGCGGCGTATGCCTTCCTCGCGAGGAACACCCCAATCTCCCCATCGCCGACGTAACCCGCAGCTACACCCTCTGTCTCCGCATTCGTCAAGATCGGCACCCGCACGATCGTGTACTCCAAGTCCTTGCCCTTCGTCGTCACCACTTGCCCGATCGCTCTGATTTCAGAGTACGCGTTCCGTGCAAATGTGCGCACACCTGCAATGAGCGCGGTGTACTTCCAGCTCGTCTTGTCGTGCGGGTCTGGGTGCGAGGCCGTTGCGAGTGGGAGGAAGCGCGTTATCTTGTGCTTGTACAACAGATCGATGAGGTGCCCGTAGAAGGTCGCAATCGGATTTCCTGTGGGCTGGTTCGTCAGCGGACCGAGGGCCGATACGACGACGTCGACACCCTCCAGGGCTTGCTCGACAAGGTCGAGCTCCTCGAGTGTGCCTTTGACGATCACTACGGAGGCATTGTTTTGCAGATCTTCGGGAATCTTCTCGGGGGAGCGTGCGTAGGCGACGACGGTGCCGTCTGGATAGACCTCGAGTGCCTTGCGGATGAGTGCGATACCGCTTGGGCCAGTTCCTCCCAGGATCAAGAGGCGCATAATATGACGAGGCAGTGGAGAGAGACCGTCGGTGCGCGAGCGTTAACCAGTTTGGCTGCAGTGCAAGGTGTTGTTGCTGGTGAAACCGAGTACTTATAGAGCCACAGTTCAAGCGCTCAAGCTCAAGATTCAAGATGGTGTCTTGATGGTGTCACTATGTCCCTGGGAGAGCTTAGCAAGTCACTAATGCTCTTACGTAAATTCGCTGACTGGCAGATGCCTGGACTGAAGATAAGCGCCTGGTGTTCTTCCTCTCTATTTACTAAAATAAGACCTTTTTCTTATTAAATAAACGTCATACCGAGAATCAAGGTGTCTCTCTATAGCATTATGCAATATTCCTGGACTTGCTGTGGGTACTTGAATATTGCGGACGCAAGGTGTCATTGACGGGGTCAAAGATGAGGTTTATATCAAAGGGCCGGGAACTAAATTCAGGTGCAGAATTGGCGTAACTCTGCTGACACGGAGTAAACGGAGCTTCATCAGCGTTCTGAATACGCCAAGGGATAGCGAACGAAAGAAGTTTTATCAATAGTATCATACGGATCAAGGCTTTGTAAACGTGCTCCTTAATTTCTTCTTCTATGTCGACAAGATCGACTTTGTCTGCCAAATCTGCATTTACCAGTTCGTCGATCGTAGCTTCGACTTCTTCCGGTCTCCAACGGATAATTGCCATTGTCCCTTCAAGCGCAAACGAGCGGAAAGCACGTCTCATATCCAAGGCAGTCGGATTGTTCAGGTCGAGTTTGACTAGGTTTGGAGTCAAATGCAGGAGGAGACCTACTTTCTTATCCTTGACTAGAGCTCCATCGTGAAGAAGTAGTTGGCGTAGGGATCAGAGCTCGACCGGGTTACTGCTACGGTTTATGCGAGTATTAGAGTCGTCCGTCTGCCTACATGTGCCTCTTCTCGCGATTCAAAGAATTACGGAGCATGCACTGCGATCCTTCTAAGCCCGTCTGCCCCACAGAGATCGGGAGGCGTGCGCCACACTTACCTTTTCGTCAGGAGCGGTCCGATTAAGCCGGACTCTAAACGACTTTCCAGAGCGCTTCAGGATATTAAATAACTCACTACAGGCATACTATCATGAACTTGAAGAATGATATCAAGGGACGTACACGTTCTCCCCGTCTTTCACCTCCTGGTCCTCGTTTCCATTCCATCTGCGGGCGACCCACCTCACCCCAGCGTCTGACTGTCCATCCCAAATGATCACCACTTTCTTACCATAGTCCCCCGTTGAAACCAGTCTCAGCCTCGGACACCGCCGTGCAAGCGCCTGGATGTGCACGTTTACCTTTTCATTGTAAGTTGCCGACGCCTCTGCACTCGCATATGGGTCGAAGCTGATGAGGTATCCGTCGTCGATAGCCTCGAGAGCGGGGAAGAGGGAGTATAATCTGTACCACTCAGTTTCCTGTTCAAGATGATCAGGATCAGATCGTGTTACAGAAGAATTAGCGCTCACGGGGATCGTGTTGCTATCTGGGTCGCGTTTGATTTTCAAGTGCTTGAGCTGAGGAGCAACGGCTGCCAGAGTCTCCATCTCCTCCGGGGCACTGATGCGCACGACGCCTAGACGAGTGATAGACTTCTGTGCTTTTAGTCCTTCCAAAAACAGAGCCTTCCACGGTGAGGGGACAGGACCGCTCTCTTCATCTTCATGATCTTCATCCTCCCAATCGTCGTCCCAGCTGAAAAATTCCGAATCAACAACCGTCTCGTGCAATTCAACACCGAGCAGCATCTCAAGCGGCCACCTGGACGCGTTCTTCAAGAGAGCCGCCGCCTGCGCTGACGAACACTCCAGGTGTTGGAGGTTGGGCAATGCGTCTTCGGGCAACTCCAAGCGCATCCACGCATGCCCTGGCATCATTTGTGCGAGGGCCAGTTCTTCCAGACGTGGATGGGCAGTCAGGAAACGCGCGAGCTGGGGCGCTCTGCAGTTTACCCCACCGAAACGTAGGACGCGGAGGTTAGGCCAATAGGCGTCTGCGAGAAGACGATCGACATTGGGTGTTATTATGGGTTCGTTCAGGTCGAGCACGAGAACTAATACCTAAATGCGAGTGAGATATTTTCCTTTTGCAAGGAAGTTTGTTACCTCAATATCTGGGCAATTTTGTAATAACATTTGCTCCACTTGAGAGATCTCTGGGTCGTCCTTGAGACTACAGACAGACGTCCGCAGCTTGAAGGTGGTCAAGGCGCTTAATCGTAGAAACTGCTCGCCGATTGTCAGATCGGAGATCATACGCAGTTATTCTGACTGACCGTCTCAGAATGCGCGATTGAGGCAACATCAAACGTGCTAGCTTCCTTGTCGAGGACGTCGATCTCTCTGACCGTGCCCAGTTGCGCCAAAGTGCTCCAAATGTCATCTGGTCCCTCCAACACCGGCCGGGGCACGCGATACCACCTGAATCTTTGCAGACGCGTCATGCGTTTGAGCGCCTTGACTAGACCCACCTCGCATTGGCGACACGCCTCCGAAGTCAGCTCTGGGAGTCGCTCCCGGTCGCTCTTCTCAAACTCCGCAGGCACCCGCTCCCGAAGATCGTGCGCGCTCTCATGCATCTCCCAGCCGAACTCGTCGTCAGCGAGGAGAGTTAACGATCGTATACGTGCAGCACGGAGGTCGTCCAAGCGCGAGAGCCATGTCCAGAGCGCCGGGTTGTTCAACCGCGAACGGATATCGCGGTACTGCAGGTGCAGGGGTACGGCTACTTCGTACAGCTCCTTGCTTGACAGTGCGACGCTTAGAACGTCCGAGTATTCGTCTACATGTGCGATGATTTGCTCTAACGCGTCGGAGGGTAGCGCGACGGGCATGTTTTGGAGGATGTGGTCAAGTTTCAAGTTCGGAATGTCAAGGTTTTATATAGAACACAATAGACATCCGCGTAGGCTTGATCAGCGCCCACTGTCATATACACTGGAAATACTGACTTCATGAGACTTATAAAAGATCCTCCATCACGCCGATTAACAGCCATTGTATTGATGAGCGGTGATGAGCGCCTCTGTGCTTGGGCAGGGACTGGGTGTGGAGGAATATAAAGAGCCTCAGAGCTTCTGCATAGTTTCTTCATAGGTCTGGCACCTCTCCCGTTGATCGGTCATTTCCTGCACTCATAACTTAGTCCAATTCACGCACTCACGTCGAACAATGCAGTTAAAAGTAGTTGCTGTTCTTTTCTATCTGTTGCTCCCCGCTGCCGTTCTCTCGGCTCCCATCGATGCCAGTGAAGTGGGTGCTATTCATTATTCACCAAAATAAGCAGACCTAACGAACGCCCTCTTCTAGGCAAACGAGTTGTACGCCCGCGCAGCCGTCGTCAACGTCCACGCCGACCCTACCGGAGACTTCAAGACCCTCCTACACAAACCCGCCGACCCCGAGGCCCTCGAGGAAGGATGCAGCGCAAAAGAAAAAAAGGAGCACAAAAAGCAGGACAGAATCTGCCGCAAGTGGAAGGACGTCCACGCCACCTTCGTGAACACTGTCACCCCGCGTGTCGTCGCCGCGATACATGCCGCCGAGGCCGCGCTGGACCTCCCCAGCCCGATCGACGTCCTGGTGAAGAGCGATTACCATGAGAACAAGGCGCACGATGATCTCTTCCACTGGACGTTCTCGTTTGCGGCGCCGGTGTGCGGGGGACGGTGTGTGGGCCACGCGTATAAGGCAGGCGAGGTGAGGCAGGCGAGGATCTTCAGTGCGGACCATAGGACACTTTTTGGGGTGAGTGCTATATCCGTTTTGCGGTGAATCGTATATTGATGTATGGTCAGGCCTAGGGTGGAACAAACATGAATATTTGTGGTGTGATCCAGCCGGTGCTTGTTGAATAAAAATTTGAGTGCGGAAATTTGAGTGATTGCGAGACTAGCGCCGTTCTTCGACAAGCGCGAGCGTCAAGATTATAGGCGCCCCTCGGCTTTAGCGCCTGGTTCGCCAAGCTACCCAGCCTCGTCTTCTCTGTCTTGGGCTGGTCTAACTAGATCTGCGCTGCACAGACACTTCTACTAGAGGTTCGAAGAGTATTCTGTTTGACCCTCTTCCAAACGCAGTACATGGTTCAGCCCCTCCATGTAAAATAATAAGAGATCTGGGAGTTTGAGTGGAATAGATTGCGGTCTGCACACCTTATTTGCGTGAAGCCTGGTGGGCGAGCGTCTAAATTTAGTTTCGGCTTCTTCGGGCAGGTCGACTTCTTTTTCGGAAATTACATAGACGCCGGCGCAAATCCTCTTGGGTGCGCCACTCTCCTCAGTGAGCTTAACAATAAAACATGAGAAATTTCAGAGCACCTTTGGTCACACCGACTTACTGGCGAACTCTGGCTCCAACAGCTCTTGATATCGATTGTCCCTCTCACGACTATGATGAATTCCTTGATATGAATGATAAGAAGTTACGAGAGCTCAGAAGGAGAGGAGCTCTCGGTTTCTGATGTAGATGCCGCGTCCTCTTGCTTATCGTCAAGATAGCGTCCGGTGTTTCTGGAGAGGTTCCAGTGGACGCAAGGAGCGCTTAGCTTATTCAAGAGGGGGATTGACGATTTCTCAGAAGCCGCCTTACTTACCTACTCCTAACTACCATCTCCGAGCCCTGATGCATCGATGATGAGAGAGGGTGTGCGATAAATCCATGTGGGCGCGCGACAATCGTTCCATGCTCATTCGCATCAATACACCGCACATGCACTGGTTGGGGTTTGTGCTGACGGTGGCGCTTCGGCGTGCGGAATGGAGGAATTGGTCGCGCCGACGTTTTCCATGAAATACAAATGCCTCGCGTTGCAGAGAGGATTAAGGGGACTTTGGATGGTTGCTTGCATTGGCACGCCATTTAAGACTTCATTTGAACACTACTACCCTCTCTCTCAGCGGGTTGTTATCTCGAATGGGGCTTGACGGGGACGGGGACTCGAGAAACGTGTCGTCATCAATTCCCGATAGCCGGACACCATATCAAATGTCGCCGGTCTCGACAGTCCCTGGCCCTGGCAAAATTGCGCGAACAGCGAGCCACGACAATTGCGCCGTTGTTCGCGCTGTTGTGGGCGAGGAGGACAAGGAAGAAGTTGGCCTCAATTACAAGGCCCAAGAGGGATTATTGTACTGGTTAGAAGGCCCAAATAATGATATCCGAGTGGGTACGCCTCCTGCAACCGAACAGACCGGGTTGCGGTCCTGTATGCCGCGTCGGAAAAAGCTAGTTGGTTTCTAGCATCGGTGGATTTACATGTCGACGAAGAGTCGACGATGGTGTCGATAAAGTGGGAGAGGTAAGCTTTGAAATGGAACTGGACATGCGGCTGACGGACTGGAGTGATCGAGGCGTGGGAAGGATGATGGGATGAGAGGAACAAAAGTTGCTTGACCAGAACCACCACGCTCGTTGTCTCTTTCTAACTTATCAAAGGACTGCATGTCTCTTCCCCGCGTAAACAGTCGCACCCCCCTCGCACAAGACTCAAATCACCACCAAAGACATATGTCAACCACAAATCCCCACTTCGCACACCTCCTCGCCATCCTCCACCCAAGAAAGCCCCGGCAACGGACAACTTTCGCCGCCCTCATCGTCCTCGTATGCCTCACGACGTACATCTTCATCGCACACAGCGCATTTCTGTCAGAGTCGCTCTCAATACGACGCTCAGACCCGGGAGGGACCGCCGACCAGCTAGCGCTCGCGCTCGAGACAATACAGAACTCACACCTATCGAGCCACAAACACGGGCAGCGGAAGAGCCATCACCATAGGCCGTCGCTGACGCTAGAGCTGCATGAGGAGCTGGGTGCCGTGTCGAGTTTCATCGCCAGTCTGCCGCAGAACGTCATCCCCCACCACGTCGACCCATCAAAACCCATCGACCCCCAGCTTGTGCTCGATTTCGACACTCGAGCACCGCGCGCGAAGGAGGAGATGCAGGCGATGGTTGAGGACGTTTGGCTACGGAACCCAGTATTCCTCTATTCCAAGGTACGCCGCTCATCCCTACAGGTACAAACCCCTCTATCTATAGATATTCACACGAGACGCCATTTAGCTCTACTCACCTCCATCGCGCGAGATAAAGGCCATACTGGCCAAGCTGAACCTCAGGCCTGATCCAACGATCATCGACGTCGATGTGCGCGAGGACGCTGAGATTTTAATGCCGATGCTCAAGCGTCTCACAAGGGCCCCCGAGCTCCCGGTGCTGCTCGTTGGCGGCAAGCCCGTCCTTGCTACAGCAGAAGAGCTCGGAGAGATGTCGAAGGCGGGCGAGCTGCAGAAGCTGATCACCGCTGCGGGAGGGGTCGTCAACGGCGCGAAGCGCAAGAAACACAGAAATCACTGACGAGGATCTCTCTTCAACACCTTCGTCTTGAACGTCCGAGCCGCCCTCGCCCTCACCTTGTTTTTCCAGTCGTCTTCGTCTTCTTCTCCCACCCGAGATAACTATCTAACGCGCCATGACCCCAGATGATATACACGAAAAATCTCTTTGCTCTGCACGATAAGCCACCACCAACCATAATATTCCAGACTTTTACTTTTACCCCTCTCCGCCCATCCATCCGCCCATCCGGCACCAACTCCTCACCCATACGACGCAACCGCAGCTTCGTGCAGCGTCAGGCCGACCACAAGACACAACCACACACTCACGCTCGTTTGCAACCCACAGCCACAGCCTACCACACTGGATGGATTTCTATCACGTCGTCGTTAATATCATCGACGGTATACTTACTCACTGCTCCCGCCCTCCCTCTTCTTTTCTCCTTCCCTCACCTCTTGCTCCACCCCTCCTGTCTCAATCTTGACCCCTGCTCCATTTCCTCGTGTGTGCGTGCGCTCACACCGCACGTTGTTGCTCTTGGACGAGCCAGCCCCTATCTTCCCTCTCGGTTTCGGTTTTCTTGCTTTTTTCCAAATGCCATTTTCTCTTTGGTTCCGTTGACCGCTCCTTGGCGTTGGCGCCCCTCGGACCTTTCGAGATCTTCGACATCGAGCAATGGTCGTTAATTTACTGCCAGCTTCTGCCTTTCGTTGGCCGCTGCGTTCGACGTTGGACAGACAGGAAAGGAACGATAATACAAGATCGAGGGAGTGTCCATATTCCAGCGTTCGTTCGAATTATGGTCAGGCCATGTCGGTTCAAGTCTCAGGCGCGACCTGCATTTTTGCCGCCACGTCTTGGACCAGGACCAGGACCAGGACCAGAACCGGTGGCGTCGCGTCGAAGCATTCTGGACGTCAAGATTGGGTCTGCGTTCGCGCCTTGTCTGCGACTATCGTTCTGCACTCAGGCCTCAGAGCTGTCGACGTCGCCGTCGTACGCCGCCGATCACCCGCCAACTACACGCGACATTAACGTCGATGTAGGTTCCGAGGCGAGGCGAAGCTTAGGCTGAGGGCCTGAAGCTTTGAAGATCCGGGGTCGAAGCTTGAGCTTGAGCTCATGCTAGACCTGGGAAGTCGAAGTCGGTACCCCGCCATCGGATGCGAAGGCAGACAATCAACGGACATCGATGCCCGCTCCCGACAATGCTAGCTTCGGCACCGCGCGCCCGCCCGTACGGCCTCGACCCTTAATTTCAACGACGCCGGTTCAAATGCGAAGCAAAGCAAGTTAGCTGAGAGCATGGAGGGGCTCGAGAACGAGATGAACAAGATCGTCAATTATGGCGCATTTTCGACCGTTGCGTCCGTCGTTCGTCGGTCGCCCATCAAGTGAGACAACCTGCTCCATTTTATTTCCATTGTCTTTTCACTTTATTTATTTTCTTTGCACCTTTTGTCTCGTCTCTTTTGCACTGTCAATTGTCAATAGATGTCTGCTCCAATTCCATTCGGATTCTCGTCTTTCGTTAACTGCTTCTTTCGCTGCGCGTTTTATGCTGTCGTTTATCTTTCAACTTTCAACTTCATCCTATAACACACGACTACATCTACATAATTTATGTGCCATACATATTATTCTCCATCCTATTCCCTCTTCTCGTCTCCGTGCTTTAAACACTGTGCTCTTACCCCACCTATACCGCCCGCACTTCGATACCCCTCGAACGCTCTTTCCCAGCTGCACGCACACTGGTTATTCTACGTGCCCAAGCAGGCGTTGTGCGCAGCGCGAGTGGGGCTCGTACTCGATTGCTGCGTAAACAACATGCGGCACCCATATCACCTGCTCGATCTATCAGCCAGTCCGCCATACTCGTACATAACGCGCATACTTACCAACATACCTTGTAGCTACGTAGAAACACTCAGGCTTGTCGCATAGAATTTTGGAGTCCTTGTTAGGCCTGTGTCCGGTCGATCTGGGGGACATGGAAAGCAACTGGCAGTGAAGAGTCGACGGCGACAGGCAACAAGGTGCGCAAGAGGCCTGGGCCTGTCGACGTCGTCTTTTTATCCTCTGGATCTCAGCCCTAATCCACGGAGCTGGGACTTTGTCATGGGAAGTAACTGGGTGCTGGACAGCAATGTGGCGTAGATCGGTACGGCCCCCTCTCCGACCCCCTCGTGCAGACGTCACGGACTGCATATGGCCATGGACAGCCTCCTCCATGCGCACGACGGTGCGACGCTCGTGTGGACACAAATACAATGGAGGTGGGCCTGGATGGGTAGTGGTGAGTACCGCCTGGTCAGTCGCCCTGGAGTAGTAGTGGCACGCATCGCGCGTCGTCGTCGTCGGTCGGTCGGGGCTCGGTTGTGAGGTTTGTTCTTTCCTTCGTCGGTTGTTGATGTCGGTGTCGGTGGTGGTGCTCAGCTCCCAATACATCCTCCGAACCACAACTTCCTGACCATTAGGTCTGTCTAGAGACCAAGGACGGCGCTCAAGCCCGACCGCCGTCGGCCCAGGGCATCTAGGAGTATCCGTTTAGCCACTACGGGCGCTGCTGTTGCGCATTGCGACTTACGCAAAAGGCCGCGCAGAGCCGCGAGTGCAGCTTCTAGTTTCCCATTTCTTCTAGTGGGAGGCGGACTTTTGGTCGAGGGATTCCCGAAACAAAATTAAACGCACGTTGCATAGAAGTTTCAGCTAGTGAGAGCACCCGCCTCCGCCCTCCGGCTTCTACCGCTTCCCGACGTACAGGTGCTCAGTACTGGTGGTGGCCTCTGGGATCTGAGACATTAGAAGGACGAAAAGGACGAAAGGGTGAAAGGATTAATGGATAAAAGGGCGTATTGGAGACTCCTGGGAGTGGGTGCAGTTGTGGGATCAGGATGCGCGCTTACCGCTGATGGAAGGTCTCCTCGGTGGGTTTTATGGGACATAGGGGCTCGACGAGGCTGGGGAAAATGGGTTTTAGCGGAACAGCGTATCGGACCGGAAATTCAAGTTTCCAACAGCGTTTTCTGGTGCGTACCCTGAACAAGGACTTGCTGACTTCTCTCAGTATTTCTGTTCATCAGGCTTCCTACTAGGACAGGTGGAACTCTTCTTTCTTTTCTCGCTCTGGGATTCGGCCGGCATGGGAAACGACTGAAACATCTGTATCGCGCTGTGCTGCATCGTGCACTGATGCCTCAAATTTAGACGCCCGCTGGCACCTGCCATATGCTGGTTGAAATTTGAATTCAAGTGACCCTTCACTAGGGCTGGGGCTTCGTGAATATTCGTGCAGAAATAGTCGTTGAATTGTCCTGATAAGCGTCGTCATTTTTAGTGGACTTTCACTCACACGCCGCACACGAGTTGTTGACAGGTTTGCACTGCAAGGGAATTCGGTATTGGGCAGAAGCGATTCGACTAAAGCTAATTGGCTCTCAAGCTTTTAATTCGTCCTTTCAACGGTCAGTAATTGAGGAGCTTTCCGAACTTCGGCATCCACTTCACGTCGTCCATTCTGGTATTGGTCGCCCATATGAGATTCTATTGGCCTGGGGCCGCCTTACGGCGTGCCGTTCTCGGAATGCAACATAGCTTCGGGAATGAATTCAGTGCCAATTAGAAGAGGTCTTCCAACACCTATCAGCACTGGACGCTCTCTGGTCCTGTCAATGAATATGGAGATTGGTCTTCTTGGTCTTCTGGACACCTCGTTCGTGGTCTCGACGTCTCTCCCGACCTCCTGGCGCATCTTACAGTCTTTTGAATGGGGGAGTTCCGTAGCGTTCCCTGACATCTGGCTATCCACGCCTCTCCCCGGGGTACTCGTTTGGATTGCGTCGTGCTCGTTTGTTATTCGGAAAGGATGGAGGGGTCTGATTGGTTCTTGGAAGGCTATTTGGATGGGAGGGACCGTCACATTCCTTCACATTCGTTGTCCAAAAACCCGTGTCCCCAGAAGGTCACCACTAAATTTTCATGCTAGTTAATCACATTCCGGAACTTGCTTTTCTTGGGTAGTGAAGTGGATCCTCGTTCTACAGGCCACGGTGCGAATACGGCCATGACGTTTTGGCGACTAAACATCCACACTTGCCTGCTTCAGGCCACCATTGGAAATTCAATCGCTCTTCTCGAAGGAAGCACTCATGAGTCCTGCTCTATGGACGCCGTGCTTGTAAGATCTAGGCGAACAAACTCCCAATTAACGTCCAACATCACAGAAGATTCATTGCTTCCATACTCGATCCAATCGCACGAGGAATTCTAGTAGTCCTCCTTCTCATATTGCCCGTTTTATGAGCGCTGTGATATATCTATTCTATGAAAACCTCATCGTCTGCTTCTCGACCAGGAAAGCATCCTTATAGCCCATCCTGCTGAACCTCAAGACCGAAAGAAGATCACACCTTATATTCCTAGAATCCAGAATCCTTAAAGCCTACGTCTCCGACACGCCTACCTGTCGCAAGTGGCCGACATGAGCGAGAAATGAGTACATTTTTCAAGTTCTCAAGGATTGTCATCTTATCTTCATGCACAAAACACGCGTCCACCGCGAGGACAACCGTCACGTTCATCACCGTGGCTCTTGGCCGGATTCGGAATAAGCACAGCGCCTCCGATCCCCATTCGCTCGTTGAAGGATTTACATAAACGCGACAGTCGTGCTTCCCGTCCCCACTTTTCGACATCCTTCGACTTCGCGAGAAGAAGGCGGTGTGGTCAATCTCGAGGTGTCAATGCGGGTATTAATAGGCCCACTTATCGTGAAGTCAATCCGACGCCCTTCTATCGCCATTAAAGACGTCGATGTCGATTAAGTATACTATGATAGATACAGTAGAGAATCGCAGAGTCCTTGTGAAAGTACGTTATATTTGTGCCATGTGTCGAGCCAGAAGGTTGGGGCTCGATGGCGTGCTTTGTTGGGCACAGATGTGGACGTCTTCCGGAATAGGTTTCTGGCTGCTCAGCGCCTCCAAGATAAACGCTCTGGGCCTTTGACCAGTGTCGGAGGAAGTGTGACAGCAAGGTCGGTGTCAGTAAAGATTGCAATACAATTCCAGATAAATTTAAACTGGATCATCAATACATCAAGAGTGGTGGCTCTGGCCGGCGGCCTGGTAGGCGTCGATGCGGGAAGAAGCTGATTTTGCTGACGGCGCACAGGTGGGTTTTGACATCAAGATGGAACGACTGGCGCGCACATACGGTGGCCCGTTCATATGATGATATCATCATTACCTTCGACGTAGACTGTCAAAGACACGGCGTCTCAAATGGGGCCTGTTTTTCACAGATACGAATGCAGGTATTTTCATACTCTTGCGCGGTGGGTCTTGTGGGTTATGAAAGCTCCTTTCAGTTGTACGAGAATAAAATAAAATTCGTGCGTTCTTGCCGGACGGTTGATGCAGAGGGGACGGTGCGTTTTCAGCGCTCAGCGCTCGTGACGCGCGGTGCGCCACACTGCATGCCACGGTCACATGTTCACGGATAGTTCCTCATTTAGTCACTCATAATCTCACGGGCGTTCATGCGTGCAGGAGGCTCGTATGTCATCAAATACATACGTTAGCGTTGCGTGCGACTGTTCTCTCGAGGCGAGGATGAAGCTTCCAGGCTTTCTCACAAAGGCAAGTCGTCGCCGAGGGGGGAGTTGATGACGCTCCTAGGCCTCCATGGCACGGGATTATGCACGCCTGTGTCAGCTGGGATCACCCAGTATCTATTTAATCAGTCAAGGAGTGTCCAAATTAGCTAAAGCATGGTTAGATTATAGATAACATCTCCTGGACCTCCTTGGAGAAACGGTCCATTCCGTAGAGCCAAAAATGCTTGTTAGGTCGATGATCGAAATGGCTGAAGACACTCATATCTAACTGCTAAATTCCCCATTGCACACTTATCTGATTATTATGGAACCCAATCACGACAAGAGGGTAACACAATCAGATAACTGCTATGGAGGCCCTGGAAGTAATTGCTGACTTCAGAATTGTACGATTGATAGGAATCTCAACTGACAGAAAACCAAAATAAAGAGTTTCGAGCTCGTTGTCGACGATGATTGCTCCCAGCCTCCTGCATAGCAGAAGTCGAAGACGTGAAGTGTGGAAGAGGGCGCACGCATCAGTGATTATGTGAAAAGAATTATGTTATCGGTTACTTGGCGCCTGGAGTGGGTTGCCGTCCGGACCAAAGGAGTCGGTTTATGCAGATACTTCCGCCTAAGTAACATAAGTGGAATCGAGATTCGAGGACAATCTCCCCCGCACCTTAATTCTTTAATCCTGTCCTGCGATCACCGGATGTGTGATGTTCGCATGCGGAAGGCGCCAAGGGAGTGGATTCAGCGCCTCGACTCTCAATGAGAAGGAGAATGCCGACGGCTGCGCACGCCATGTTGGGCAGCGAGCGCTCTGAACCCGTGAATCTTGAGGGCTTTTAGTCGGCGTAGGAGGCATTGAGGAAGTGGAAAACCTTAAAGTGAAAGACATAGACTTATATCAAATCTACAGGTTTCGGAAGAAAGGCCCAAGATGCCGAATAAATTAATCGATTAAGAGGCGATGTCCACCCCATCCAGGGAAGTGCATTTTGGGCGACGGAATATGCCTCCCTATTCGACATTGCGATAGTAATCCGCACGGATCATCGGAAGGCAATATAGCTTTTATTATTCTCTGGGTTCTAGCCTATTACACGAAGGAATGAAGATGGCTACCTTCACCACTTGTATGATTATTGCCGATGAAGCTTGAAGACTGATCAAGGAATCTTATTTCAAGCAATCTCCGGGTGGATGCTAGCAGGGGTTCTTCTAGAACACGTCGGAGGGCTGTCAGATTGCTGGTCACAAGCCTATACGCGATTGTGGATGAGTGGGGCGAGATAGGACAAGACGGTCGGGCACAAGCATAACTTCGTACCGATAAATACTGGGCAGCCGATAGGTCCATTGAGCGAAAAGGGAGAAGACGAAGATGGTGGGGTTTATGCTGTCAAAGCCCTTTGTCAACGGATAATCATTTCATCATGAAGGAGGTGGCGTCAAGGATCGTGGGCGTTTACGGTCCGGGTGGTGTCAATCGTGCTGCCCATAATTCGAGCACTCAAGAGTCAATTAAAATTTTGCGCTCCAAAACTAGCGTAATTTATTCGAGATTTTCTGGGATTTTCTCTGTTCAGTGTTGTGGTTTATTCGAACCTGAAGAACGGGAGTGTGGCGAAATAGGTGTGATTCGGCAAATTCCGGGGGTTTAAGCACCGAAATACTGATTTAAGCGTCGAGCTTATCGAGATCGCGGGGCGTCGCATGTTGATCGTGATACGGGTACATCTTGGGCAATTTCGCTGGCCTTGAACTCGCAAGAAGTCCTGATGGTCGTGGTGAGTGTTTACTAAGTACGCGAATAACGTGAAAGGCCTAACAGGAGTAGTGCTGTCGTTTTCAGGTGGAGGATTCGACGATCTAGCGATGTTTAGCGCGTGTGTACTCTATCTCCGAATTAAGGGTGGAGGCGAGTTGCCTACACACCGCCACCTCGAATTAAATTGGAAAATGGCGACAAGCGAGTGGTTTCTTCCAAGCAGGTTGTCGAGCAGCGTGAAGGTATCGAGGACGATCGAGGTATCCAACTGACAACTGGGAGCATCGCAGTACCAGAAAAGGACAAACCAGGAACATTGACACGTTTCTTTCACACTATTTCGCACCCTTCATCAGCCCTGAAAACCAAGGTTTTCTAAAACTCTAATGGGCCACAATATTTGCAAGTCCTTATTCGAAGGAATGTCGTAAGGACAACAGCCCCATCAGTTTCCTTCCTGTCCTGTGAAAGTTCGTGACGGGCCCGGCGATTCAGTTAAAGGACAAGTCCTATTTCTATGTCATAACCATACAGCACACCTCCCCTCCCTACTTCCGGCCCACCATGCAACGTGCCACCATCACTGGCCTTCGTATCAGGTCTCCCGCCGACGCCCGTGTCATCTTCCACTCCGTATTTCTCAATATCCTGCCCATGGTCACCCGCCGGCTCGACACCGAGGAGAGGAGCCTAATATCAACAGGATCTGTCTATGTCTGGGAGGAACGAGGCCCACACGCCGAACTTACTGGCGTAAGTTTGGTATTCGGCGTTAATTGATCCCATTGCTCACGGCCGTCTAGGTTGGAATTGAACGCTGGACAGACGGTGATTGCGATACATCCTCCAGAATATTCTGATTCTAATCGCCGATATGCAGGTATTCGATGGGGACCTTCGAGAGTACGAGAGGTATGCTGCAGCGTTGCCACCGACCATGTGACACAGGGTCTGAACGCCTTCGCTTCCAGGGTTTCTTATTCTACCATGAGAAGCCGTCCTCACAACAACTATACGGCGAGAGCATGTAGGCTCGACATCACCAATCGCTGGTCGTTGTACTGAACCGGGAATCCGTCCACAGGTTGCCCGGCTACGATCCCACCCGGTCTGGGCTAATCAAGCAGACATATACGGTCTACGTCGAGACACCGAGAGGTCAACGGAAATGGCATTTGAGTACGTGCTTTGCAGTCGGGCGTCAACGGTCAAGGCATTTGGTTAACGTCCGTGACAGTTGCCTATTTCACAGAAGACACAATCACTCGGTTGCGATCTATTGATGACATTCCCCAGCTGGCGTCGCTTGCCGTTCCCCCCGGGCGATACAAGAGTGCACGTTCAGCGAAGGGTCGGCCAGATCATATCTTCAATCCTGACTCTGAGAGCCCGGTCTTCTCGCGCCTGGAGTATGTGCCGTACGCCCCACGAACATCGCCGCCACCACCTCAACCCCAACCTCTAACCCCTCTTCAAGCACAACACCCGTACCAATCACACAGACATTCAGAGTCACCTGTATCACCAGTATCGCCTGTAGAGCGTCCGATTTCGGTTCCCCATGCTCCTGGACCTGCCAGTTCGACATCATCCTCCATATCAGACGACAGCAAAAACCTGGTCCCCCTGTGCTACCTACAAGATAATCCGCCGCCCCGGCGGCACCCGACAGACGAGAAGGTGCTGATGCTATTGACGTCTCGGTGTTTCCACGACAAGCAGCGGTCACTGCTGTCACCCAGCCCACTTCCACGACCTCAATACTAGTATCCCACTCGCATCGTTTTTCTCTTTTGTTTCTGCTATCCTTCAGCTATCGCTATCATATGTACTTACTATTGTAGTTCAACTGGGAGGAACAATAATTAAGCACCGTTACGGCTCTCTTCTCTTCCTGTGTAGATAAAGGGATCTCGCTTGCGCGCTGTTGCGCCTCTTACATAGTGCATTTGTACCACCACCGCATCTGTACTATACCAATGGGGGGTTGGGACACCTGAACTAAATTTTAACCATCGTTTTTCCCTCTTTGATTCGGTTGAAAATTGAAATCCGCCGTCTGCGGAATGGAGGTGGTTTCGTGACATCGCAGGCTCCCGCTGATACCCGTGTCACCGATGCCTATAGGCAAGGCCGAAGGCCAAATGCAACAGGGCGAGAGAAAAGCCCACTGGAAGCCCACCGGAAGCCCACCAATCAGTGCGACTGTCGGCTGCAGTGTGTGTGAGCGATTACTCACGAAATCTCAGAAAAGGAACAACAACCACAGAAAACGAAGAATCCAGGAAGTTGGCGGGTATTGGGATACCTATTATCATCGGTTGATTGGCATTTATCCGTCTTGTCGTTTAGGTGGTCTCTCTAAGCGTCCTTACCCCAATGTGGGGACCTGGGTGAGGAGCGGAGTGAGGGCCCGAGGCGAGCTCGTCGGTTCCGGCAATCCGCAGTAGGTACGGACCGAAAATAATAAATTCTGTTCAGCGACACTAGAGGACGATCCTCCGTCGTCACCTGCGCTGCTTGGTGGGTATTACCTGTGATTGGGTGAGAACAGATTTGCATTCGCGCACAGGAATGGGGGTCGGTCAGACCTTCTTTTCGCACGTCGCGGTGCTTTCGAAGGCGTGAAAGCTTCAAGGGCCACCAACAACATCCCATTTCTTGACGTGAGTATGAGGCGCCACTCCATACGAATTACAGTGAAAGCCGGCGGCTGATACGAGCCTCCCGGCGCTCTGGGCGGTTCTGCACGTCAGTCAACCCGCGGCTTCTCGCCATATGACCAGGAAGAAGGATGGGCAGACGAAGATAACACGCCTTGTCGTCATTGCTAAGAGCAGCGTGAAAGACGGCGCTGAGAAACGATCAGTCAGGTAGGCCTGTTTTCGTGCACTCGTCAATTCAGAGTTGTCACCTCTGAGTGCTCCGATCACTGGGCAGAGTTGGTGGCAGCGCCGAAGCGTCCCATCCCGCCGCATTCGTCAGTTGTGCGGTCAGTGGCAACGGAAAGTGACAAGCCAGGGAAAATGTCGTATTTTCAGGACCCTTCGCAGCGGTCCGAGTGCGATTCAAGGGATTCCAGGGTCGCACAACATGTCTGAACGGAGTGGAGTCCCGTTGGGAATTACGGGAGGTCCAGTGGGCGAATAAGGATGTTGGTCTGCCCCGTTCGACAAGCGCTTCGGGCAATTCCTCGGCTTTGGGCGCGTTGCCTCTGACAGCTACTTCAACTCCGTCAACCCGTACGAGGCCAGGTTCCTGGTCCGTGGCCTGGAGGACTCAGTCCTTCCGCTGTCAGGTGGATATGCGCGAAGGGGATACCCTTTGTAATCTGTGTGGATAGGGAATGGTTAGCACAAATGTTGATGAAATGAGAAGGGGACACTAAACCTGTTCGACAGCGGGCTGAACGTCTGCCTACGGAGGATTGGAAAGTGCGAGGGAAACCACCTGTAGATGTCCGAAAGCTCGCAGCTCTCAGCTGAGAGCGGCAGGGACCAGAAGAATAATCAGGCGGCTTCACTGTTCACGGAATTGTTGGTATTGGAGCAAAGAACGTCGGTTTTATTGCCGTACAAAACTCCGAGCCTCAGTTGTGAAAATCTCTTGATAGCTGCTAAAATGCGGTGGTGCTTTCAAAATAATAAATAATGCGGATGCATCAATACTACAGGCTACTTAGCAAAGGAGGCGCGTCATGTCGGGGACTTCCGGCCCACTTAGCTGACCGGCAACAAGCTTCTAGTCGTTCTTTGAGTGCACCGCTGTGGCCAGGAGCGTGCTCGGAAGTGGTTGGTCTCCTACGCTGTATAGCAGGGAAATGGAACCCGCTATCAGCAGAAGAATGACGATCACGGTGCCGGTTAGAAGAACAAATGGTCTTCCATGTGAAGATTAGTCAAGGTTTAATCTTGCGTATAGCACCAACTAGTTTACGTACCCGCTAACATCTTTTCGCTCGCAACTCTCTCCGGCCCAGTATTCCGTCTTGACTTTTGTGCCCTCGCCGGTCTTCGTGGGTGCACAAGTGCACACGAAGCATGTTCGTCCAGCCTTGGTCGCTCCAACGCACTGCCCACGTCCTGAGCAAGAAGTTGTTCCGTTGTTGCAATCGTCTTCGGTCTTGAAGCAGGTTGAAATAGCACCGATGGGCTCCTGAGGAGGCGGAGCTGTGGACGGAAGGGGTTGTTGCGTCTGTTGAGGATCTTGTCGTCGGTACAAGGAAGCAGACGAGGGCGAGGCGTAGGTTAGCACGGCCAGGCTGAACCGATCGTCTTCTGCAAGCTGTTCCAGGAATTCTCGAAGTTCTGTTGCGGCTTCGACGTATTCGTCGCTTGATGCGCCAAGCTCTGTGCGGGTTTGGTGGAGCTTCGAGAGTTCTAAGGCGGCGAAAGAGGGCTCCTCAGCGGAGGTGAAGAATGAGGCAAGGTCTTCGACATCGCTCAGTTCCCCAAACCGTGTGGAAGGGAATAGGGAGGCGAATGAATGGCTTGCACGGTGGAGATAACTCGAAATGACGGAGTGCAGGGAGAAGATTGGCGTTGATGGAGGCGTCTCCAGCGTAAATGCGGGTTGCAAGAAAGATGGCAAAACAGCTGTGAATTCATAGTCAGTCAATCCGAATCTGAGGCTGTTTGAGACTGACCTTTGGCATCAGTCTCTTCCACTGTCACAAGGAGCACATTCTTTGGACCTTTTCCGACAAACAAGTCTTCCTCCTGGCCGAGATGCGACGCATCCCGCAATGGTTCGAAAACCTCGAGTCCAAGATGACGCGAGAGCGCAGCACTGGCGTCTTCTGGCGACAGCAACGAGTGCAGAGCATACGGTGCCGGAGACAGATAAACGTTGACTGTCTCTGCCGCCTGTACGACCGCGGCGAGCAGCACACAGAGGGTTGTGGGGACGAGCATGGTGTGAGGTTGCTGTCGACGTTGTCGCCGGTGTCGAGGATATGAATTTTGTTTGTCTCTGCTTGTCTGCGGCTTCAGCCCCCTAAATCATCGAGACGCGTCCGAGCAGTGGTGACTCCGGCCTTTGACCCTTTCTTTGTACCACCATGCAGTCCGTCCTCCAGCATTGCAAGACACTTATTCTCCCGTTTAACTGGTAACGTTGGCACCTCTGCAGCTTCACCCGTTGCGAGGATCTCACTCTGTCACAGCGCTTTCAGTGCGGAGGCGCCAGTGCACCCAGAACTATGTCTGCCCAAGCCACCGAAGCCGCCTCCAGACCTCCCGCTTGAGATCTGGTGGGAAATCTTTCAGTTTGCCACGTATATCCACTACTCTTCCACCGTCAAGCCGATGGATCCTTTCACACCGTGTCGCACGACGACGAACGCGAATGGCCCGAACACGCCCTACGTGGCGATGAAGACAAAGCTTTCTTTAGTGCTCGTGTCTAAATCCTGGAGGAAAGTCGGAATCCGGCTGCTGTATCAGCATCTTGTCATCCGAAGTCCGGCACGGGCGAATGCCCTTTTGCAAGTACTGGAGAGCAGCAAGACGCCGCCCATTGAACTATCAGATCCGGTGCAACTTGACACACCACCAGCGGCACGGACGCTAGGTTACGGCGAGTGGACACGACATGTTGAGGTACTTACTCATGTACGTGGCTCCCGAGACATTAGGTTTCTGCAGACCACTTTCCAGATCCTACGCAATTGTGTCAATCTCCAGATGCTGAGTGGAAGGTGGATGCACGGCTTACCCATTGAATTTCTGAACGGCGTGGCTGGAATGTTAGGACCGAGATTATCGGAGCTGTACTGGAACGAGAGAACGATCAAGCCGGATTTCATCGATACACTGTCTTCGCCCGAATTCCTAGGCGCCTTCCGCGCTTTACGTGTGCTTGACTTGCGACACTGGGTAGGCAAAGAACTTGATTCACGATCTCCAGACGCCGAGCGGTCAGAACTGCCCTTTGTTCAAGACCTCATTCTTTCAACACACCCACGCAGCCTGCAGACTGCCACAATCCTTAAACTTCCGCGTCTATCTAACTTATCGCTCCGCAATCCAGCCTGGAAGGCTGGCATCACTGAAGAGCTCCTGAAAGCCTTTCTCAAAGCCCACGGCGCCTTTCTTTCCTCAATCGACCTGAGTTACCCCTTGACAGAACTCGAAGTCGACGTCGACTACCACGCGACCCGCAAGGGCGCCGCGCAGCTCAGCCTCGAGCCCTTCCTCGACCCTGCTGTCTGTCCCAACCTCGAGACCCTCACCTTCTCCACCGTCTCCCCGCGTTTCGGCCCCGAGACGCACCACCCAACCCTTCGACGCATCGCACTGCGCGGTGTAACCGCGGACTGCCTGTACCCGGACAAGCAGACCCAGGTGACAGCGCACCTGAAGGCGATCGACGAGGACAAGTTCCCGCGGCTCGAGCTCGTGCAGCTGTCGGGCTTCTTGGTCGAGGCGCACACGGACTCGGTGATCAAGGACGTGTGTATCTGGTGGGTTGAGCATTTCGAGAAGAAAGGGGTGGACTTTTTGGATGGCGAGGGTGTGCTGTGGGCATATTCAGAGCCGGAGCCGGAGGTTGGTAAGACGGCGGAGAAGACGAGTAAGGAGGCAAGTTCCGTGGAGAATTCGTCCAAAGATGGGCCTTGCTTGAAAGAGACGTCGCTCCAGACGAAGGAAGCTAATAAGAAGGCTAAGGTATGTTGTGTTCATCCCTTTTCGTGTCCGGCAGAGAGTAATTTCTATTTCTTTCGTCACAAAAAAGATAGAGCAGGCTGAAACCTCCCCATGACTGACAAATTACTGAATACACTAGCCCCATGGACAAAGAAGAAATTGCTTACATACCACTCGTTCTAACTACCCTACACGACATTAATGTGTATCAGATAGATCAAAGCTTAGTGCTGAATGTTATCTGCCCTTGGACATTGAAGCTCCGGTCCGAGTCAGTAAAATAAACTTCTGGTATTCTAGTACAGGTGCTATCGTCAAGAAAATCTCTAATTTTATGCAAGAAGGTAAATCTGGACTTGATCAATAAGTTACGAAGACATTACTTTGCATTCTGACACCTCTAGGAGGTAAGCCACATAGATCGTCACAACAAGATCCCAACAAATATTAAGGGTATTCACGTCCGTTTTCCCAAGAGAAGAGATTAAAGCAAATGGTGGTATGCCACTGTTGAGAGTGGGCGGTATATGCAAGGTATATGGTGAGTACGCTGTCCGTATATCTTGTGAGATGAAGCATGATTGACGCGTTTTATAGCTTGTCCAGAACACGCATGGCCATTTCGAATCCGAGGAAGGTGGCACCGTTGGCGAACGGCGATCTGTGACAAAGAAAAATGCGCTCAACGTCGAAGTAGATAAGGAAGGAGGTAAAGACGCACCTGATTAGTGTAGGTCCAAGACCGCGGGTGAATGCCCCGATACCCTCGGTACGCCATACGGTCCGAACACAGTCCAATGTCGATTTGTATTTCTGGCCAGTCTCAGGCGTGAATCCGTCCGTTTGCATTCGGGACTTGATCATGTCAATTGGGTATATGATGGCCCAGAGCTAGACAGAAAGCATAGGTCAGTGACCTCATTCGTATGCATAACTCGAACAATCCTCTCAGAAGAACACGAAGCAACGAGGACAACATGACTCGCGCCACTGGGAAAGAGGAAACGAAAAAGCGTGGACTCACAGCATACCCAGCCGTCGCACCATACAGTACAGCATTGGCAGGGTTGATCTGGTCCCGACGAATGCCCTTCTTCGCCATCTCCCGCTGGACAAGCTTCTCGTACGTGAGGAAGTACACGCCATAGCCCGTGGCCTCGCGGAGGAGCGTCACAGCCTGGCCCTTGTAGATCCCGGCGATACCTCGTTGCGCGTAGATCTTCTTGATGGCGTCCCAAGGTCCGTTGTACAGAGGGTTGGTATTGGATTGGGTTTGTAAACCTGTCACGCGCGGTCTGAGTAAGATGGCATGTCCAGGGAATTGGAAGAGAAGGAGAGAGGCGACGGACGGATACGGATGTGCTCTACGGGCCCCGAGACAACGCCATTTGCCAGCCCGGCGTAGATTCCTGCGAGGAAGAGCTGTTCGCCTGAGAGGGTCTTGCCTCCTTCGCCTCCTTGTCCTCGAGCAATATTTTGGGCCGCGAATACGCGTTTGGCGTGTTCCAGCGCGCCGAATTGGATTGATACACACAGTCCAATTCCGAGAAGAGGTGTGAGGGTACCCTGAAAACGTGTCAATAGAGACTAGGACACGAGCGTCAATGGTGCACACCTTGTAGAACGCAAGCGGCCCCTCGTTCTTCAGGATACCCCCAGCACAGTGCATCATGCCGCTGTACGTCCCTTTCGGGGCTGTTTGCATACGCTACGGCACATTAGAGAAGTGTCGAGCATGTGCGCCAAAAAAAGCACGCACGACTTTGACAATGTCAAATGGCTGCCCCACGAGCACCTAACGCGACCATGTGAGCACAATGATTGCGGCGTTCAGAGGTCAAATGGAGATGCTGACTGACCTGAGCAATGCCCCCGGCGGTGCCTGCGGTGAGATCCTTGACGGCCTTGCTGGACATGCTCACTGTGCTGGACGATGGAGGTGTGTTCGGACAGACCAATCCTCGGCTCTGAAATTGAAAATGTTCGCCAAAGTCGGGTCAAATGTCCGAGATAAGATAACGAATCCAGGCTTTACTCTAGATCCAAGCATACGCATATAATGACGCCAAAAGCGGAAACCCCGTAAAATGATAGCCTTCGAAGCTCCTTCTCCTCATTTCACAATGTGCTCACCATAAAATTCTTCCATCCTTGCGACATAGATACATGGGACGTGCGTGTTTACTTCAATCCAAATTTCGTACTCGCATATAGATGGAGGAGCCAATGGACACAACCACAAACCGGGCGGAGGAATGGGACGAGGAAGAGGCCGAGTATGAAGAGGACGATGGGGACGACGACATCGACATGGAGGCAGCAGAGATTGCCAGACGGCTAGGAGCGGAACTCTGGGCGGATATCAGCAAAGCGAACGCGGAGCGCAGTGCAGCAGCAACAACGACGCAAGGCGCCACGGCTACAACACTTGTCCACGCCTCCACCTCAGCGCAGGCTGGCGCTCCAGCTGGACAAGACGTGCATATATCGTCTGCGATGACTGGGCATGAGCACAGGAAACAAGAAGCGATAATCGAAACCATGAAAGCTGTACTTACCCTCGTGGAAAACGACCCACAGGCGAAGGCTGCACTGCTCTCTGCCGCTATTCCAAATGGCCCCAACGTCTTGGACCTCTTGCAACAATGTACGGCTACTGGAACCATCGCGAGAGGAATCGCTGGACCTCTCAGTCAAATCGTCTTGACTCTGGCTAGGTCTCAAGCCCTTTTTGGCAGCCTGAAGCAATCAAATGCGTCTGCCATTCAGCTGGACAAAGGGAAGCGGAAGAGAGAAGAGCTCGACGAAGGCCAGCATTTGTACCCTCACCCATACAAGCGTCCATACGTCCTAGATAGCGATCTTCAGCACCAGGTTGTCGAAGCCGTCAGGATCATATCCCAAACTTTAGGTTCTTCTCCAACACAAGTGCTGGACCCAGCTCTGGTTTCCTCCATTCGTCTTCAGCTGCACCAGGTCTTCCTGTTTGCCGTGACATCTTCGACAGTCAGTGGTCCGAGCATGCATGCCCTGCAGGAAATCAGCGGTCTCATCCAAGTCGTGGGTGTGCTTAGTGGGATCCAGATAGGACACTCACCACCAGAATCGACACCTCAACCCCCTTATCCTCAAGGGCATGGGTATCCTTGGAACCCATCCGCCATGACGACCGACATCGGAACGGCTGTCTATCCGTGTCTGGTTGCTGGTTGCCATAAGACCTTCTCTCGACTATACGGTTTACGAGCGCACCAACGCAGCCACTCCTCCCACCGACCACACCGCTGCAGCATATGCCCTGCCTCGTTTGCCCGAAGCCATGACTTGAAGAGACACATTAAGCTTCACGAGAACAAGGCGTGGAGGTGTGAAGGTTGCCAGAAGATCTTCTCCCGGCGGGATGCCATCAAGCGGCACAAGACAGGCACCAAAAATCGAGGCCCAAGGAGCGAGCTGTGCCTCATTGCGGAGGTCGTTGAGGTCGAGTTGGATGGGGAGGATGGGGAGGAACTCTTGCGGGAGGAGAGGAGGGCGAAACTGTGGAACGGCATCGCAGTCAACGAGGCAGCTGGGATTACCACCTTGACTGCTCGCGGCGCATACAAGGAGTACAGCACCGTCGACGAAGGCGAGATAAATCCGGCGGTCATTGCAAGCATCCAGGCCTCGATTCTCACTCTGCATGGGCTCCTCCAGACACTGGTGGGGAATGCCCTTGGCACATCTGCCGGACAACCACCTACCGCGCCACCAGATGCCACCGCAGGACAGGCCACGTTGGCCAGCGTCATCGCTCGTGCCCAGTCACAAAGCCTTCCCTCCCTCAAGTTTATTCCTTCGACATACCCCGGCCAGACGCCCTCAGATCCGTCACTCGCGAGCGAGCAGCCCGCAGACGCTCCAGCTGCAGAGAAAAATTCTACGGAGCCTCAAACGGTCGGCGAGAACCCTGAGAATCATCAGCCAGCTGCATCCTTATCGATGTACGGCCTGTCCGACGAGCAAGCGCACCTTCTCGAAATAGCCATTGCGAGTGCTGCATCAGCTGCGCAGGCTCAGGCCGAGGCCGAGGCTGCACTGGAGGAAGAGGAGGAAGAGGACTACGACGAGGATGGGTACGATGACAGCGAGATGGAGCAGGACAAGGAGGAGGCGCCAAGGCCCGAGGAATAAATACTGTATTGCAGGAAAAGGGAAAAATAGGCAGTGTACAAGATGTGAGATCGTTTCGTTTCGTCCGGTTCGTTCCTCTTTTTTCTCTTTGCTACAATCGTTCTTGACGGGATAAATACTACGCCAGAAAACCCTCCACCACCCCTCTCGTGTACGTATATCAAAATGGCACAAGGCCGACCAGCTGCTCGAAGACGAAGGAGAGCAAGATACGTTGATGATATGGCTCTTTGTACTTGGGTCAATCACAATTCAGCAAGGTGGCATCCACTCTCACCCGACGTGCGGGCCGCGTAGACCAGCTACATCTTCGATTTTCGATCTGGTTTTCGGGGCGTGTTGAATCGCGCTTTCACGTCTGCGTCTATTCTCCTCCACCTTTCTTGATTTTCCTGCGTTTCTCTGTTCCAGGCGTCCGCGATCGCCTGTGCGGGTGACACATTCGGACTCGGTGGCCGGGCGACCTGCTTTCGGACACTATTTCGTGACGGTGAATCGGAGGCCATCTGCTCTTGAATAAATAAAGCATACAGAGGGAGGAGGATGAGGATGGAGGAAAATTCTTGAGAAAAGGGTGAGAAGTATGGGAAGTGAAGGCAGGCGTACTGCAATAACGAGCGCTTCGTCAGTGCTACAGCTGGCGAGGTCTGACCATTCTTATATCAGCAATTCAGACTCAAGGGGCGAGGCAGAATGCAAGCACTGGTACGGGAGACTTGACGGACAGGCTTTGCGAGGACGAATAGTTCACACCTGCGACAGTCAAGGACAAAGGGGATCCTATATCAGGAAGGTTCAAAGGGATGTTACATGGACAGGCGGGCATCGAAACATGCCTTTTCTGGATGAAGAGTAGGCGTAGCAAGAGCGGACAATGCGGTAGAGGGAAATGGAGGGACTGAGCTTCGCGAATCGTAGCTGGCGGTGTGGGCGCAGAAACGTCTTATAGGACACAGCGATGCGGGAAATGCGGATAACACATTTTCAATTTTGGGGGTTTGGGCCTGAGATAGATTTGATGGTGTCTGATGATTAGACAACACACGATTACAGCGAGTCTGTACGGAGACTCATGTAGAACGCGAGGCAGCCCGTTGTCGTACCCCTTCCTCTGGATCGTGCGTGGCTGCGAGTGCAACCGGATCTGTCGCAGCTTCGGAGTATCCTCCCCGGCGACGAAGACGGGAAGCCCTTCAGAAAGCCTCTGCATTCTGGGGAAGCACATAGGTATTATTTTGGCATGTGCACCTGATAACGCAAGGACGAGTAAGCACTCCATGGTTGATCAGGATTCTAGCATGGTCGCCGGGGACCCAACGTCAGAAAGGCTTTCAAGTTTCCAAATTCCAGACGATCAAGCGTTCGGGTTCAAACATTCAATACCCCCGCGCTCGGCGAATTGTGGACAGCTCTGTGAACGCAGAACATTCCCGCCACACAGGTGAGCGCGAACTAGAGATATTAGACGCAAGCTCCGAAAATAAAAAGGAAAACACAAGAGTACCCAAATACGAGCAGCCCAGATAGCGAAGGGGAATGAAAGAACCCGGATGGGCGGTGATTCGCTTCGATTATGCCAGTGGTAATTTCATGATCCAGCGAGCTGTGCATCCGGGACTTGGAAGAGCTTGTTCCGCCTGCCGTAAGAGAACATTGGGCGGGCAAGATACATAGATAGTGATGATGGAAGACCTGAGCGAAGCAGCCTTTAGATAGGCACCCGACCCTGCCTTCGGAACCAGGGAGTGCGCCTCGGAACATAGACAGTAGGCATTCAACATTCAGTCCGAAACCCATAGGGCAAGTCAGGGAGTATAGATATCGCGTCATCGCGTCGGCGGAGGTGGCTAGGAAGGCTTTGATTTGCATTGAGCGCCACACCAGGTCCAGCTCCGTCGAGGATGATGGGCTCCAGCCAGAGGTCGCCAGACCAACCAAGAAAACCCACTCGATTTTCCGCTGTATTTCGCCAGATTTTGCTGAAGCCCCGAGCGATAAGTGCACCGTGGACACAGAGACCAGGTCCTCCAGGTGGTAAATGGGCTAGTGGGCGAGCCGATGGTGGGTCAGGTGGGGGCTAATTGGGAGTGGAGCGTTCAACACGAACGCCGCTGTGCCCTCTGCCCGAACTCCGCCCATTGTTCTTGTTATCGATAAAGAGAAATCACCCATCGATGATTGCGATACATGTTCTGCGGGAGTGGGCGTAGAGACCTCGGGAGATGGGGCACGAAATAGAGGGACAAAGAGGACGGGACCAACAAGCGCCTGACGAGAGGCGCCCACAATCAAGTTGGAAAAGAACCAAATTCGGAGCGGTTGTGTGGACGGCATCCAGAATTGGCAGGCAACACGGGGCACGGCGCCTGTCTGGACGGACATCGTGACCTCCACACGCAATGGGTCCAGATTGCTTCCCCACACCCATTCAGCACAAGGGCTCAATTAATCTCATCGCTTTCGAAGCGGTATGCTTTTCCATGCCTGCCAGAAGGGCCATGAGGCTTAGATGCCTGCGGAACTGCCGCACAAACAGCCTATCCGATCGCAGCGAGATGATCGTGTTACAGGTATGTCAGGGATACAGCATACAGTAATCCAAGTCCTTCAAGAGAGAACGCACATGCCTCCTACACCAACCCGGAAATAAGACTTAAATCCACATAATATCCGTGTCCATCTCGGTGATATGGTCCATGAATCACAGAAACCAGGAGCCTAGTCCCAAAGAAAGCAGGTGAAGGTGGCGCCATATGAATTGGCCAGACACGAAAGGAAGGCGCGGGAGGGAGGACGAAGTCGACGTGCTTTGGGACTTGTCCGTTGGCGGGCCACCATTCTGGGTCGCGTTCACTATAAACGAGGAGCAACGTTGACTGATCAGCACTCTTCGACAGGTAGGGCGTGGTGATAAAAGGCCAGACCAGCGACTTACGGATAGAATCCAGCAACGCGTCCTTGAAGTCACCACCTGCCTCCCACATCGCAAACCCCTTCAGCCCCATTAAATGGACGAACCCTCCTTTGATCGCATACGACTCTAGGTTGTCGTACGACACGTGAACGCCCGCAGTCGCGTTATACAAGAATGGCTGCATGGACAGCAAAAAGGCAAAGAGGCAAAGGGTTAACGTTTGAGCTTCGTGCCGACTGGGCACGATTTCGAGACCCAGGCAGGTGTAAAACGGGATCACATACCGTCTGGCTGCACTCATCGAACCGCGACTTCACTCCGCTCGCCACTGACCCGTCGTCGTTTAGGAAACCCTCTTCGATCAAGCCCCAGTAGGTGTAAACGCCCCCAGGACCGACCGTGGCACCGCATACATCCAGCCCTCCTTCTCCGTCCCACCTATCACCACGACGTTTAACACCCGCTTCGTACCTGGGGTACCCCTGAAGCGCCGCGATAGACGTTGATCCGTTGTCCGAGCTCCCACTCATTTCGCCCGAAGGGACGACGAACGAGTGCCCGTACGCAGGCACCCCAAGGACGATCTGGTCTTTAGGCATCCCCGCTGCCGTCCAGGCATCCACAGCGGACGTCGCGGACCCGAACCGCGCTCCTACAGGTGCGCAGGAGTCGTCCAGGGGCGAGTGAGGACCCGCACCAACGGACGGGTTCGACTTGACGTCGTAATTCATGATTGCCATGTAATCGAGCACCTTGCTGAACTCCGAGATATTGGCGGAGGGCGAACCGGTTGGATCGACCCAGGGTGTGACATAGGTTGCTACTGATAAAATTAGGCTTTTGCCAATGGTGGTGTTTCGGAGCTGTTGCAGGAAGGCGAGGAAATTGTCAGTGTCGCTTGCGTTGACGAGGTTGCAGCCTATTCCCTGAACGCCTGGAAACTCCCAGCTGAGGATAAAGGTCAGGTGCCAGCACGTTTTCCTAAGATCAAAGACTCACTCGAAGTCTAACCCGTCCAGGCTATACTTCGTTGCAACATCGGTAACGGTCTTCACAAATGCCGTCCTGTTCCTGGCTGACCCAACATTCGAAGAGAAGTAACGAGAACCTGTCCAGCCACCAATGGAAAGGCTTGCCTTGACACCCTGTACAATACAACCAATCCTATGTTTAGCGACGCAGTTTCGTCAAACAAACTAGGAAAGGACCTCACGTTTTGGTGGGCAGTCGACACGAACTGTGGAAGCAGCTCCTCGTCAGAAGCATCCAGGGCGAGAGTGTTGGCATCAGGGGTCGTTATTCTGTAAATAGGACGAGGAGACCGTAAGCAAGAATTCGAACGGAGTTTACACGGAAAAGGGTTGGAGAACAGGGCACAACACTCACGCGAAGGCGTAGGTCAAGTGCGAGTATTTTGACCAGCTCACTTGCGACAAGGGGAAATCCCTGTTATGCCAGCTAGTATACCACGCCGCAGAGATGAACGAGCTGCTCTTGACAAGGTGTCATTAAGCGCAGCCGTCGAGTCGAGCCCTTCCCGTCCCAGAGCAGCGACTGCGCTGGCTAGCAGATATAGAGGCAGTATCGAGGGCAACATGGTCGTTCAGGTTCAAATGCGTGCCCGTGGTGTGAGAAGTGAAGATGTCGAGTAAACGGGGCCGAGGTGGAGAGGGCCACAAGCTGTTGGAGGGGGCGTCCAACATGACATCAAGCGGATCCGGAAGGCATGGCGAGTGTTGGTTGGATTGGAAGGACGTCGTCGGCCATTTTTAGCTCCAGAGCTTGTCAACATCTGGGCACGAGGCTCCTTGAGGGTTTGACGTCAAACGGCCTTCTTTAACCTGCAGGAAGGTGTGCTACGAGTTCTTGTGTATGTTGGGCTGGGAGTCGGTGCTTTTCACGGATGCTATTGGTTCCACAGGTAGATAAGATTAGATGAAACAATAATTGATGACAAGGAAAAGTGGATTAGACATAGACAGAGCCAGTTAAGCGTCGAAGTCCTCAAGGTCCTCCCAATCAGGAAGAGCAAAGAACTCAGGCAACTCTGCCCAAATATGCTGGCGTGCTTCGTTATAGCATGCCTTGACGCTAGCAGCACACGAAATACAGAGCGTACGAATCATACGAGAGGTGGGGATGTCGGGGCTTAGATCCCACACCGTCTTGTCGTCTGTTAGCCACAGGCAAATGGCAAGTTCCTCAAGGACGTCTGCCTTTAAAAATTCGCACTGCCTGGTGTTGGGACATTCTGCAGGGGGCATGAACTTGTTGGAGCGCCCCCACATGTGCACGAAGAGATGAATCCGACGAATCAGGTCATCTCTCCCGAGGACGCACTGTACACGGACTTCTTGAGAGAGAATATTCCTGTCACCGCGCAATATTTCATCCTGCATTCAAGTCAGTCATAAGGGAAAGAAATAAAGACGGTCTCTTTTATACTCACCGGCGGAGCTTGAGACAGGTAGAATAGATAGGCGCCAGGAAGGACGGTGGTTATGCCGTGAGTGTGCGCGAGAGATATGACAGATTCTATAGTGTAAAGCATTGGTTCAAAAAGAATGGTGGGGCCATTGCCATCGGCGAACGAGTCGTCCCACTCCTTCAGGGTAGTCGGAAAACACCGTCGAAGCCTGGGCAAGGCTCGGTCTCGCAAATAGGTGATTTCGTACTTCCTCCCCATAGATAATATCGCACTAAGCTGACCTATGGGCAGCGCCCTTTCAAGGTCGACAACACTGTTCATAGCATAAGCACGCTTGCATACGCGAAAAAGAGTTTTACGCACTTATTATTATCATAGAAGATAGACAAAACGCACTCCACATCGCTCGCCTTGTCAGAAAGGGTCACGACAGGACACCCTTCAACGACCGGGTCCAGGGGCTCTGCAGGCTGAGGGATTGAGACATGTCTTTGAAAATGGTCGATTGACGCGCCAGCATGGACTTGTGGACGCGAAACTGGGTATTCTCGGCTTGAAGGATGATGTTCCCGTCTTCCAACCAGAAGTTTTCTGAGCGAGTAACGCCAGCAGACGTCTGGTCACTCATGGTAGCGTCTCCGTCGTCTGACGCGAGTCTGGCGCGCTTTGCAGCGGGTTCCGACATGAGTTGGGTTGGGCAGCAATTGAAGGATAAGGAATACGTCAATATTCAGGGACGCGTTGTTGAAGTGAGCGTCGGAACTTTGCGAGATGCGACGGCAACGATGGCCCGGAGTTAGGGGCCTTGAGCTCAAGGGAGGGCTCTGGGATCGAAGGTTGCAATACCTTCGAGTTCCTTCTTCTGCGCTGTGAGTTAGTGTTCTCAGGACAACTTCTTGGGTATGTATATCCTGACAGAAACAGCTGGGATTCAGTGGGTTTGCGGTGGCAGGCAATTTAAAGAGGCAGATGGTGCAGTCTTCATCTAATAACAATACGTACAGAAGACAAAGCGATCGAAGCGAATGTAATAGGACATGAAACAAATCAAGTGTCAAAGTCCTTAAGCTGCTCCCACTCTGGAAGTGCAAAGATCTCAGGCAGCTCCTTCCAGATCTCCTGGCGAGCATCATCGTAGCATTTTTTGACGCTGGTCGCACAGGGCTCGCAAATATAACGAAGCGTATCCGAAGCGCGTTTCGGGATATCAGCATTTAAACCCCACACAGTCTTCTCATCCGCTAACCACAATACATCGCCCAAGTCTTCTAACACCTCCATTCTCGAGAGGCCGGCGCAGTCATCGGGTTCACATTTCAAGTCGGACATAAACTTTCTAGTGTCGGCGGTCCATCCTTGCACAATCGTGTAGATTCGGTGAGCTAAATCGTCTCTTCCTAGGATGCACTGTATGCGCGCTTCGTGAGAGAGCACATCATAGTCGCCCCTCAGTATGCGGTCCTAGGGTGCCATCGGACTCCGTAAGGAACGACAAGGGATTAAACATTGCACGCACCGGTGGGACTTGCGAGGCGTAGAACAGGAAAGCACTAGGAAGTATGGAAGGTATCCCGTGCGTATGTGCGAGAGATATGACAGATTCAATGGTGTAGACGAGGGGGTCAAAGTTGAGAGTTGAGTCCTTTCCATCACGGAGAGAAGCGTCCCAGCCGTTTATCGTTGTTGGGAAACACCGTCGTAGCTTCTTTAGGGCTCGATCTCGTAAATAGGTGATGTCGTACTTCTTTCCCATACAGAGTATCACAGCTAGTTGATCGATGGAGAGAGCTTCTCCCAGATCAACGACACTGAGCGTGGTATAAGGACCCGTCCAAGTGATTGAAAACTAGGTTTACGCACTTGACATTATCGTAGAAGATGGACAGGATGCAGTCTACATCGCTGGCCTTGTCAGAAAGAGTGACGACGGGACACCCTTCAACAACCGGGTCCAGAGGTTCTGAAGGCTGAGGAATCGAAAACATGTCCTTGAAAATGGACGACTGACGCGCCAGCATAGACTTGTGGACGCGAAACTGGGTGTTTTCTGCTTGAAGGATGATGTTCCCGTCGTCCAACCAGAAGTTTGTTGAACGAGTAATGCCACTAGCCGACTCCGTGCTGCTGACTGTGACATCACCATCGTCTGACGCGAGTCTAGGGCGCTTTGCAGGGGGTTCCGACATGGTGTACGAAGAATGCGTCAATTCAAGCTCGAGGACAAAGGGCGTCTTCGGAACGTGACGGGAGATACGGGCCGGAGTTAGGGGCCATCTTTCCCAAATTGAAAGCATTACAATCTTGAAAATTACATTGATACACTCATAGACTATCCGTATCCTAAGTAACTGGTCTATACAAGTTCATAAAGATCCAAGATGATGTAGATAGTATAGCATATAGAAGCCATCTGATATTTACTTACACGTCAAAGTCCTTGAGTTCTCTCCATGGTGGAAGATCAAAGAGCTCAGGTAGTCTGCGCCAGATCTCCCTGCGAACCCTCCTATAGAATAGTTTCACCGTATCTGCGCATGATGGGCAAAGGTGAGCGACCTTTTCCCCAGCAGGTGTTGGGATCTTGGCATTAAAATCCCACACTGTCTTCTCATCCGTGAGCCACAGCGCAGTGACAAAGGCATCAAGTACCTCGGCCCTCGAGGGGTGGAGTTGATCCATAGTGCACCTTTCGGGTGGCATAAATTCCCTGTCGTACCACCATAGTTGCACGGAGGAGTGGATCTCACGAATCAGGTTATCCCTTCCGAGTATGCACTGCAGACGCGCCTCTAGGGAGAGGATACTCTTGTCGCCTCCCACGATTTTTTCCTGGAATTGAATTCAGATACAAGAGCCTCGATAAAGAAATCATGCTTACTGGGGGAACTAGGGCAGCAAGATACAAATAGGCACTGGGAAGGATGCTGGGTATGCCGTGCTCAAGGGCAAGGGCAATGACGGCTTCAACGGTATCGAGCGGAGGCTTGAAGTGAATAGTCGGGCCATTTGCATCTCCGAATGAGGCGTCCCACCCTTTGACCGTGGTCGGAAAACATCTCCGTAGCCTCTCCAGAGCGCGATCTCGCAGATAGGTGATGTCGTACTTCTTTGCCATGGATAATATGGATTTGATTTGATCAATGGAGAGGGCCTTCTCAAGGTCGATAACACTGCACCTAGCATAAGACCGCGCCGACGCGTCAAAAAAAAGTTTTTACGCACTTTATGTTATCATAGAAAATCGACAAAATGACCTCCACATCCTACGCCGGGTCAGAGAGGGTGACGACAGGGCACCCTTCAACAACCGGATCCAATGGCTCTGCAGGCTGAGGAAACGAGAACATGTCTTTGAATATGGTGGAATGACGCGCCAGCATCGATTTATGGACGCGAAACTGTGTGCCCTCCGCTTGAAGAATGATGTTTCCATCATCCAGCCAGAAGTCTTCCGAACGAGTAATTCCACCAGGCTGGTCGCTCATCGTAGCGTCTTCGTCTCCTGACGCGAGTTTAGGTCGTTTTGCAGCGGGTTCCGACATAGATTGGGTATAGCGATGGTATGCGGTTGGAGGATGAAAGACGCGTCAATATTCAGGGACGCGTCGTTTGACAGGGGGCATCTTCGGAACATTGCGAAGACGCGTGACATCGGGAAAGCAGACCGAAATTAGGGGTTTTAAATGGTCTTCCTCGAGAACAAGTCTCAAGTCTCTCGAAATCTAAGTCACATACATTCTACATGTTGCAATCCCGATTTATCTATACAATCTCAGAGCGAGCTACGAATATCGTCTCCCTGGACGAGGATGCAAGGGCCTCCGTAGATGACGCGATCTGCGAGATTCGCTTTGATATACTCAACAACAGCTTCGTCTTCAGCTCCTGGCTGAAGCCAGAGCGCGGGCACATCGAGCTCCTTGGCCTGTTGGAGAATACCGAGGGTGACCTGCAGCGAGGTGAGCCAGATTCCCGGACACAGAGCAGGTGCTTGCCTTGGGCGGCGTTATGACGGAGATACTCGTCTCTTTAGGCGAAGGAAGCTCTGCGATCGTGGTGAGAGTTGCAACACCTTCAAGTTCTTTCTCTTTCTGCGCTGAGTGTGAGCCAGTGTGCCCTTAAGGCTGTTGGATACGCGGTTCCTTACAGGGTGGACGGGAGTGACGTTCAGGCTTCGTGCTTGGTACCATTTCAGAACCTGTTCCAGAGAAGAGGAGAGAATAGCATCGTGTCAGTTGCGCTGCTCCGCCTGCGAATGGCACCAGCCTAAGTAAAGCGTCTCTGAATGTAGCTGCGCACCTTTGTCCCAAACTTGGACGTGTCCTTCGATGCCCCGATGACGGCGAAGAAAGGTTGTCCGAGAAAGGTCTTTTGGACGGGGGAGATAGCGGCCATGGGTAGGTGGTGATGGTGAGGAGCAGCGCTTGATTTGCTGGCTGGAGTCGGAGCCACATGTTTATAGGGAATCCCTCAAGTCAAGTGACGGGCATGAGCAATTGGTCAGACACCTGCCGCCTAACCAACCCCCGAGGGTACCCGGTGCTGCCATGTCATGAGAATGCTCAATGTTGTAAGGGTGGCGAAGCGTCGAATGGCATGCTCACCGTGTGGAAGAAGTCCGAGATAGGCCTTTGGAGGGAGCACGCAGGAGCACGCCATCGTTGTAAGAATTTCTGCAGAACATGTGGGCTCCCATGCTTGCCAAGGTCGGTCTCGCGGGACGCTACGTGGCGGTACGAGGGAGAGCGTTACACTAATGTGTTGTACACGCGTTGTTGACGCGTTGTTATGACCCGACGGCAACAACAGCCGCGGGAGGTCAACAATTCTTTATCTTTCACATATTGCCTCTGAACACAATGTCGGCCACAGAACAACCTCCGCTCAAGCGTCCTCGGACTTCTGAAGAATCTTCGACAAGGGGGGAACAATCTGGACCGCAACTTGTGCAGTCGGAAGATCTCTGGTTCGAGGATGGCAGTGTCATCATCCAGGCGGAGTCGACACAGTTTCGGGTCCACAAGACCGTTCTTGCTCGCTCATCGAGCATGTTTTGCGATGTTTTCCAGCTTGGAGAAAAATCTGCGTCAGAGGCTGCTGTTGACGGATGTCCAGTAGTCCATGTCTCCGATTCAGCTGTCGAAATGCACCAGTTCCTGCGTCTCTTATACGACCTGTAAGTTTTCTTATTCTTTTGCGTCATGATCCACCGAATGTCCATGGTTATTCGAATTACAGTAAATACGGCCCGGACGAGTTACCGACTTTCAGTCAAATCTCAGCCATGTTACGACTGGGGAGAAAGTACGATGTTGAACCCCTCTATCAAAACTCGAGTTTCCAAGCACTCTCGAGGCATTCAGTCCGGATGGACCCCCATATAAGCACTTTGCTATGCAACCAGGTGTCTTGTTCGACATTGTTACCCTCGCCCAGGAGATGTGCATCCTTTCAATCTTGCCTGTGGCATTGTTCTACTGCACCAGGCTTCCCTTGGTACGTGATCTTTTCGTTGCTCTTGATGCGACCTTACCCACCCAACACATAAAACACGCTTTTCTTGGGAGTTGAACGTAAGGATGGCACGGTGGCGTCAATTCCAACACCAGTGCTTCGATGCCTAGCCGTCGGCCGCGAAAAGCTTTTGACTTCTTCGGGCTATTTCTCTCTCAAATGGGTTCGTTTCGACCGTGGCGGCGAGGGATGCAATTCGTCTATAGAATGTTCAGCAGTTCGGGCTGATCTGTTAGAAAGCCTGTTCAAGGCTCCCGCCGTGGGCCTTTGCTTCGACAAACTAGAGACGTATAAAATCGTTCTCGATTCCCTGTGTAGGTCCTGCCGCAAGCATGCTTCCACCTTGCATAACACCGGCCGAGAAGAGATGTGGCAAAATTTGCCCCGATGTTTCGGGTTGGGGAGCTGGGACAGAGTCCTCTCCCCGAATCCAAATCCTTGGCCGGTGGATCCTCCACGCAAATAGATCCCTATAGCCTGACTATTTGTGCTGATTTGATCAAGCAGATACTGTGACTATCCTTATTTATCATCTGCTGTACTATACCGTGCTTTTGGATTCATCCGATGTCTTGGGACCCTGGACATGGAAGTTGCACAACATGAGGCCTGAACTTATGCCCAAGGCAGATGTCTTTCAACAACCTCAAGAAACTGTTATTCAAAGGAGCTGGATTTTAACTGCATGGAGTTGAGGTGGACAAGATGATTGTTGGTTCAGAATATCTCAGCTGAGATGACAGTTGGTAGGTGGAAGACCGCGAGGGAAGAAAGACAGCTGCGTTCCCTCCCCGTGTAAGGTTCTGTTTCTGGAGGGACATAAATCTCAAGCACCTAGAAATCAAATCCGACCCCAACCATGACCAGATCCCTGTGAGCGCCTACGTATATTCAATCAGACTTTAAGCTTGATCAATAATTCTATTTCACAGGATGATGAATGGCATATATTGTATTCCCTCTTCCAAGCCATCGGCGACAGTTGCCGGACGTGTTTCGACCCACACGCAAGGCCCGAAGCGGCAGCATCCTACAACGGCCAGGAGAACGTACACATCCAAACACTTGCGCGGGGGTGCCTAAGACTGAGGCTCGTCTTGAGGCAGAATTTTGGAAAGAAAGTGACCATAATCATCCAGGACGTGGATTATGCAGGAGCTGGAGTGGTACACCGGGGGTGAAAAACGGACGCATGGCAAGAAAAGGCAAATGTGGCGCATGCGTTTTTGCGTTTTCAACAGAGAACACGACTCTACATGGGCCAGTCCTCTGACGCTCTCATGATCTAAGAAACAGTATGTGGAAGGTGTCTACGAATCGTCAAAGAGAGGACGTACACGAGATGTACAAGTCTAAAAATCTAAATAGCAATAACCCATGTCATGGAGGCAAAGAGCGGAACGAAAGCGAACAGAAGTGAACTAATCAACCAACACAGAGGCACCAAAAGCCCAGCGATAACACTATCCCAGCCAAACACCCGAGAAAGAGATACACAAAACCAGTAACACATGAAGCACCTCAATTCCTCGGGACCATCACCGCTGGACCGCCATTCCAATCCTCCACCCTCCGCGCACTCACAAGGCTATACGTCGAATCTCCTGTCCCTACGAAGCCCGCCGCCATGCTTTGCGCGACACTGTCGATCAGTGGTGGGTACCACTCACCGTACTTCTCGAGTGTCCGCTCTTCCGTGTGGTCGAATCGCGACCAGCCGAGTTTGTAGGTCTCTTCCCAGAACTTGGGGTCTAGCTCGTCAGACATGAGCACGACTCTCTGAACTTGGATTCCTTTCTTCTCAAGTAGTTCCTTTTGAACAGTCTCAACTGCCTTGCGATAGTTCTCGAGAGGCACGAAGCATTGTTCTTGTGCCCTTCCGTCCCAGCATTGGTGTCCAAAGTCGCCTCGACGCATATGCACAGCAATAAACTGGACAATGTTCGATATCCCTGAAATGAATAGTTTGATAATATTACTCACCGGAGGTATTCTGTCCGGCACCTGGAACGCTCGTCGCAGATACCCCTCCGCCATGCTCATCAACTCATCCGTAAACCTCAAATGCGTCGCAACCATTCTCCATGCAGGGGACCACGAGAACCTCCACTCATACTCCTCCCGACTCGAAGTCACATAATACAAGAAATCAAAGCACGTCATCTGCTCATCCGGCGGCAACTTCTGCCCCAGGGGGGACGCCTGCATCAGCGGGAACGACGACGGAGCCTGCCATGGGGTTTTCGGGAAGATATACGGCACGAGCTGATTGAACACGAGGAAGTCGTGGTCCTTGTTGTCGGGCGAATGCCGTGCGTTGAGTGGGATGCGGGTATATGCGATGTCGAGCTTGAGGTGGGTGACGACGGACCTGATGCGCAGGGGATTTGGGTCGGTTTCGTGCCGGGTGGACCAACACCCGAGCGCTTCGCCGTCTTGTGGGGCGGGTTCGATAACGGAGGTAGCGGAGCCTTCCTGTTTAAGCTCGTGCCATTCGAGTAGTGGGCGGTTGAGGGTCTTCTTGGCTTGTGTTAAGTTGAAGACACGGCTGAATTGAAGAGTGCCACCTTCATAGGCTGTACGCAGGTGGTTTGGCGGAAATGAAGATGGAAAGCTGGGATGGAAAGCTTACAGATATGGTCGTCGGGGCCGAATGGCGGAATGATAGGTATGCGGTCTGAAATTATGCCCATATAAATCATGTTGACCTGCGTTTTTCATCAGACGGGATGTTATGCAAACAAGTCGAATGCCACTCACATAACTCATGAACTGATTGGCTGTGCATTAGCACCCGACCGTCAGCATCTTCGATTCGGACCGAGTAAGATTTAGCACGAACTGAATCCTGCATTCGACCAAGCCGTGACATAGTATGCATCATCGCGAAGATTGTCTGAAGCACGCGTCGTGAACATCTCCAGCGACGAAAAGAGAGAGATGGACGTACCTCTAAAGTGCTTTGCAGGAGGGCCTTTCAGAAAGCGCGACGAGTCCCATTCCGGAATGACTGGTTCTACGGGTCGTATACGCGCGTCTTCTGAACCACACTTCGATGCGTCCTTGGGTTTCGTAGGCTTATCCAGAGGCATATCGATGTCGAAAGGAGCCTGACCGTCCGCTATCGCCTTTCCCCTAATCAGCGAGAGCTGGAGGCCCTGCAAAGCGCCCGGAAGTCCAAGGATGCAGAGCGATATTCCAAGCAAGAAGAGTGCGCCAACGCCCGCCAGACCACGCACGAAAACGATCTGCATGGCTGAGACTGTCGACGTCGACGGTGCACAGTGGGGAAAAGCAACAAGGGAGCCGATCGAAAGGAGAGTTGACGGCTCCATAATTTTCGATCAGGGCGACACTCCGCTGCTTTCCGGGACAGGCAATATTCTTGGTGCGATCCCAATTCCGAGCCTCAGCAAACTAGATAACAGATTAAATACATTCGGTGGCTTGAAAGGCGGGGACTTGAAAGTATTGAATTTCGAACAATTGCGGTTATGGGTTGGAAAGAGGTGTTACGAAAATAAATGGGTCAGTGTGTCGGCAATTCCCGAGTCTCCGGACCGCGTCCGACAGAACACCGAATCAATTGCCGGATCAACCTTTCTTCTGACCACCATCGACGTCTGCTTTTTGAACGCCTATCTGCTCGAGAGACACCAGAAGTCTGTTTTTGTCCCGACTAGTCAAATACCTCATGCACGACGAGGGTACCCCATTCTGCAGCTCCTGAAATTCTTCGCTACCAATTGAAGAGGCTTTCAATCACATCTACAACTCTTTCCATAGAGGGAGCTTGACAAGGTCTCTTCACCCCGTCGTTGTGCCAGCTGCATCACCTCTATCTTTTCTATGGATGATACGAGACCCGGGACTCTCGGCAACCGAACTCGTAATAATGGAACATAAGCACTGCAGCTTGTCGTCGCCATGTATGCTTCTAAATTAGACTCTGGAGTCTCCTTGACGAAAGAATAGCCTGCAGACCAGCCTCTCGCTCAGCGAAGGATGTAGCCGCAACACGGGGGCCTGATGGTTCTCCGAAAATTAAATCACTAGAACTCTGTCGGTAATTTGCTCGGCGGTTACGCATCTTCGAGTGGGGACATTGCTCCTTCAGTATCGCTCGCCTGTGCCACGAGCACGAACTTCTACTACTCGTGGATTCGACGGCCCCCAGTGTTCGTGATGGACAGAACATCACGAGGGGAGGAGATACTCCGAACGTCTTTCGAACAGTGTACCCGAAGCCATTCACTGGCGCAAAGATGTCCCGTTTTATTCGAGGATCGCCCTAGTGCTGGTGAATATTCTATTTTTGACCCCAGGTCAATGATCGGCGTCTATTGGGCGCTAAAAATAACTTTACGAGGATAATGCTCGGAAAGCCAGTCGCAACACGACGTTCGTACTTGGCATCTATCCTGACCACGGACGAATAGTACTTAAGCGAGATGGCTCTTCACTTCGCTCGCCAGTACGACAGCCCCCCGTACACCAGACATGTTCGACTTGCTCGTAACATTCATTGGCATCGCCCTCTTCCGTGCCCTCGGCGCGTTCGCTGCGCTGGGGCAACTTCAACAAGTGTCCAACTACGGCACTAACCCCACCGGCGTGCAGATGTTCATCTACCGGCCCCCAGGGCTCGTCGCGAACCCCGCACTCATCGTCGCCATGCACTACTGCACCGGCACCGCGCAGGCTTACTTCTCCGGCACGCAGTACGCGAACCTCGCTGACTCGCTCAAGACCTTCATGGTCATCTACCCCGACGCGCCCGACAGCGGAGGATGCTGGGACGTGCACACCGACGCGACGCTCACGCATAATGGTGGCGGCGACTCGATCGCAATCGTGTCGATGGTCAAGTACGCGATCGCGAATTATGGAGTAGATAGCGCGAGGGTGTTCATGACGGGAACGTCGTCCGGCGCGATGATGACCAATGTTCTGGCGGGCGCGTACCCTGACGTGTTCGCGGCTGGTGCTGCGTTTGCTGGTGTGCCCTATGGATGCTTCCAAGGGCCTGGCATGTGGAACTCGGCATGTGCTAGCGGACAAACCACGAAGACCGGGGCGCAGTGGGTGAGTTTTCCATTTGCGACAGTTAAGCATGATCTTGACGCCTGTGTAGGGTGACATGGTACGCAACGGATACCCAGGATATACTGGCCCACGACCCAAGCTTCAAATATGGCAAGGCACTCAGTAGGTTCCCTCTCTGTACTATATGCTTATTTAATTTCTAAATCGATAATCAATAGAGACACCACTCTCAACTACCACAACTTTGGCGAAGGCATCAAGCAATGGACGAACGTCTTCGGATACAGCGAGACGCCACTCACCACACAGTCGAACTCGCCCGTCAACGGCTGGACGCGTACGACGTACGGCCCCAACTTCCAGGCGATTAGTGCACAGGGCGTAGACCATAACATTCCTGTGCAAGCGAACGATGTCCTCAATTGGTTCGGGATTACTGGGAGCCAGCAGCCCCCTGCCCCGGGAACAACGGCTGTGCCAACACCGCCGCCAGCAACTACCACGACTGCTGCGCCTCCGCCTGTTACAACTGCGCCGTCGCAGACTGCGGGGCACTACGCACAATGTGGAGGGTAAGCGGGGCTTTTTGTTGTGTGTGGGATGCTTGAGATTTATTTTATCCTATTTCATACAGAAATGGGTGGACTGGCGCAACGGTGTGTGCTGCCCCGTACACTTGCCAGGTTCTCAACGCTTGGTACTCTCAGGTGTGTTCGTTACAACTTCATAAATGCACGCTGACGACTTCTGCAGTGCCTGTAAACAAGCCGATCTGGCGACCTGGCGGGTCATTTTTATTGTACTGCGCGTTATATGTAGCCACCAACGGAGAAAGGAAAAGGAATGAGAGTATCCTAATAAAAGCAGTTCACATCTCCCCTTTGATCTATCACTCTCGAGGTTTTGTGAACAGGATATTTTTGTCCAGTAATATACAAGGTATGGGGTCGAAAGCTATGTGATATACTATACATCCAACCAGTCACCCAATAGATAATCAGTGAAGAGAGAAAAGATATTTTGTGTTATGTCTTCGCATTACTTCGGTCCGCTGGCTCGAGGAGTCGCTCCAGCCTCTTCTAGCAATTTCGTAAGTGTCTTATTCTCATGGAGTTGCTGCAGGTTATCTGAGCCTCCAATGGAGTGGCCGCGAAGGAGGACGTTCGGGAAGGTGGAGTGCTTGGTGAGCCGGGTCAGAAGATGCTTGATTACGTTGCCGTCGTCTACAATCATAATGAGAGAATCAGATGAAGGCTGCGGGAAGGACGGTGATGGGAGGAATACCTCGAATGTCGACCTCAACTATCTTCGGAGGAGGCTGTATATCGTATGCCGCAAGCAGTTCTTTGGCGCGCTTGGAGTAACTGGATGCGTAACCTCAGCATGCAGGTACATCTTGGACCAAGGATATTTTGACACGTACGGGCAGTAGGTCTGGTAGATGGAATGCCAGAGTATAGTTGGGTATATCTGACAAGGATCCGAGAGGCAATGGCAGAATACGCACCTTGCTGAACACAATGACGGGGTATTCCTTGTCAATAAGTGCCTGCTCCTGCGCCCAATCTACCGCATCCCCAGCAGCGTAAACCGACAGTTCAATAGGCACTGTTGGGTCAAGCTGCAGAGCGTTGCTCAGGACGTGCTCCTGCTCATGGTCGCCCGTCACGAGATGGAGCAGACCATATATCTCCCCGACCTCCACCTTCTTCCCTTTCGTCTTCATCAGCTGCGCGACGTTAGCACGCGAGATCCCCGGGAGACCAGCGTCTTTCAGCGAGGGTGGCAACTCCCAGGGCACGAAGAAGAAGAATAGTAGTCCTAAGGCGAGTACGCCACATAGCAGGACCCGTCGTCGCCGTACAGGTCCACCTATAGGTTTCGGGTGCCCCTTGTTGTCCTTGAAGTATTGTGTAGCCATGTCAGGCACTCTGGCGCGGGTTGGGAGATGTCGAGGAGGGACGTAGTGGCGGTTCTCAAGGAAGGAGCTCGGTTACCCGGGGCTTATATACGGACATCAGTCAAATTCGCACCTTGGACCTCACCGCGGCGTTCTCGTAAATACCCCCATCACCCCATATGTCGGGCGCGAGGCAACACGTCGAATATGTTCTGTTTGATATGGACGGTACGCACGTCTGAAACTGTAGAGACGTCTAGTCTAATTGCTGACCCAACTTTTGAAGGATTGATGATCGATTCGGAGCGAATCTACACTATCGCTACAAGTTAGTCGACGCGTTCTTCCAATCATCAAGACCATGGTACGAATGCTGCTTGATAGATGAGGCCTTGAAGCTCTCCGGGAAGGACATCGAGATGACTTGGGAGATCAAGGCTGGGTGCATGGGTCTACGTGAGTTCACCGTTTTGTCGGAATCGAGATCAGTGCCAATGAGGCTCTCAATCGCTCTAGGTGAACGAGATGCAGCTGTACACACGCTCTCCTTCTTCCCAGACATCTCACTCTCTGTAGAAGACTTCCTCGTAGAGAGGAATCGCGTCCAAGATACCCTATGGCCAACGGTACCTTTCCTCCCGGGAGTCCGAAAACTTGTACACCATCTCAAGAAGCACAACATCCCAATGGCCGTCGCAACAAGTTCTCGTCGTCGGAACTTCGAGCTGAAGACGGCCCATCTCCAGGATGTCTTTGGGTGCTTCGACGGAAAGATCGTATGTGGTGATGATGGGCAGTACAAAATGCAGGGCAAACCGGCGCCCGATATTTTCCTGGTGACGGCGAAGACTTTCTTGGATCGTGCAGTTGGCTCACCGAACACTGAGCCGTCGGAAGAGGAGATGCAAAATCGCGCGAAGGGACTCGTATTCGAGGACGCGTTAGCTGGCATGCAAGCTGGGAAGCGTGCAGGCATGTCGGGTGCGTCCAGGTTTCGTCCTCTTCTTAATCAACTAATTTAACATATGTATGTGCTGTAGTCGTCTGGGTTCCGGATCCGAACCTCCTCAAGCTCGTCCATCCCGTCGACGAGAAACCTGACCAGATCCTATCATCTATCGAAGACTTTAAGCCAGAGGACTGGGGTTTGCCGCCCTATGATTGTTGATAGTTTGATGCTGAATATACAGGTAGAAGTATAAGGAAGTGTAGAGTATCTAGCTGCAAGTACTCATAATACAGAAATATTTTTATCTAATGCTACAATCTTGAATTTTTACATAAAATACACCAGGAACTGATCTTTGGCTGCTGCTACCCCATCTCTCGTCGCCAGGGTCCCTGGCTCATCGAACCATACTCAAACTATTCCTAAAAATTCCCTTACAACGTGCTGGTGCAGCTCCGGGGCTCCAGTTCGGGATGAGCGGGGCAATGGAATTCGTCATCCTCTTAGTTCGAATATTGTCCTTCGACGGCGCCGAAGCCTTAGGCCGCATGAAAGCTGCTGTGGGCGGCGCCTCATCGTCGGGATGGAGGTGCACTTTGTTAGGAGAGGTAGCGGGAGGTTGAAGTCTCTTCGTAGTACTAGCGGTAGACATCTGAGGAGAAGCTGGAGGCGGAGCTGGAGTTGAAGGCTTTGCATGAGCCACAGCTGTCTTCTTTGCGATACGCAGCGGCGCCGTGCCTCCTTTCGTTGTAGGCGCAGCGGAAGGACTTGTATTGGCGGATGGCACAGTAAGGGTGGTAGGAGAGACAACCGGCGGAACCTGCCCTCCTGGAGTTCTCCCAACCCCATCACCACCAGTGCCACCTGGCTTGCCGCGCATCCTCATGCTCATGCTATCCCGAGACGCTCGCACAGCGTTGACCACACTTTGAGCGAGCGGGCTGCTCCTGACAGGTGAATAAGTATTGACAGTATTCGACCTTGGCTTCTTCGCGGCAGCTGCGTCGTCCAGCGCCTGCTGGCTCGGCGTCGAGAGAGCAGGGGACAAAGGCGAGATGGTGTTGACCGTGTGCGAGCGAGGCTTTGTCTGAGCTTGCGTTTGGGATCGTATTTGCGTTTCGGGGCTGGGTGGGGCGAGCAAGGCAGTTGGTGGGGCGAGGAAGGATTTTTGGGCAGCAGAGGCTGCTGGAGCAGGTGCTATAGGCGGTTTGGATGCTGGCTTGGTGATCTTCGTACTTGCACCAATTGGAAGATGGCGAAGAAGGTTGCGGCCTATGGACACTCTTGGTTCAGTCCCTGTCTTTGCTGGATTCTGAGGTTTGCGAACTGGAAAGATGACAGGGCGAGGAGCTGCAATGGCTGATTTCCGAGGAGGGCTACGCTGCGTTGCCGTCTTCTTCGGAGATGTCTTTATCTGCGCCTTGCTGGGCGAAGGAACAGTCTTCAGATTGCCAGAGCTAGAACAAGGCGGAGAACGTGGTGATCGGGCAATAGCAGATGACGCAGGATCCTTGGATCTAGGAGAAACGCCAGAACGAGAACCACCAATTTTGGGCCTCTCGACAGGCTCTGTTTGATTACTCGGCCGAGGCGGTGAGGCACATGCGACATGTCCAACGCGCGGGGCGGTAGAGCCCAGCACCATCGGAGGCAGCTGGAGCTTGGAACGGCTAAGTTTCCGAGCTCTAGGCGAGAATGTCGTAGGTGACCCGACCGACGCATCCGAGGAAGAACTTTGAGATGCGAGAGAGGTTGAAGAGCTCGATGACGAGGAAAGAATGGATGGACTAGGCTTGTCGTAGGCTAGGAGCTTTGCAGGAGACAGATCAGGCGCTCGACGAGGTGTAGAACCAGAAACAGTAGAAGCAGACCAGATCATAGAACGTACGCTAATCCTAGACTTTGATTTCGTTGCAGGCGTCGACGGGCGACAAGCTGAGGCACGAGCAGAGTCCGCGAAGAAGTCTTCAGTCGTATCCGTCGTTGATTTCAGCTGGGAGTCTAGGTCGAGATCCAAATCTTCCTCCTCCGAGTCGCCACACTCGGACTCCAGCATCAACGCCCTCCGAATCTGTGGCAGCAGACTCAGGCTCCTTGATAGACCAACCGTTCTTGAGAGATCGCTAGCGGCGATACGGAGGGTTTCGTCCCCTTCTTGGTCCTCCGAGTCCTCATCAACACCGGCACCAGCACTCTCCGCCGCAACCGCGACCTGCCTCTCCTTAGTCACGGTCTGGCTCTGCTCCTCTCCTGTTTTCTTTGCACCACCGCCCCCAACCACGGCACTCTCAAACACATCCTCTTCCACTACGCCCTCGCCCTCTTCGCTGATAGTCATCTCGAGTGAGCCAAGGTCGCTGCCGCTAAAAGCAGCACAGATCCTCTCCAGAGAAGCTAGCACAGAGGAACATAACTTCGCAGAAGCTGCATTGTCGGTCGCCATGTCTTTGGGGTTGTTGTCTTGCTGCTTGTCGGAATCAGGTTTGTCGTGACGTTTGACATTGAGCTGAGCGTCTTTCACCTTTCTATCGCCATCCAGGTCGCTATATGCGTCTTCGGAGCTATGGCCGTCCGTACGCACAACAGAACACATGGAATCGACCGAGGCCAGTTCGGTCTGCAACGAGTCTGTAGACACGCTATTGGTAGAAGCGAGAGCGGTTTGGCATGAATCCTGTCTTTTCGCAGGAGCAACGTCCTTCAAGGGGTGAGGAGAAGTCTGCAACAAGAAAAAATGTTGAGGCCAAAAATGAGGCAGGGAGAAAAGAAAGACGAACCTTTGTTCCATCCGCATCCTTCGTAGGCGACGCGAGTCCTTGCAGTCGTTCAGTCAGAATGACACCACGGCGTTTGCCCAGATCCTTCGCCGATCGTTTTGGTCGCAGTGGCTTGACCTTTGGTGGCATTGTCTTTGATCCGTTGGCAACCCGAGGCTTGCTCGCATTGACGTCCAGAGCTTGCAAAGCCGGCCTCTTCTTTGCTGGCGTGTTGGTTGTGCTAGATGTGTTAGCATTGCGAGTTCGAGAAGTGCTTCTAGAGCGTCTCCTAGCGGGAGAGCGAAGTGGAATACGAAGGGTAGAAACAGGGCGGTGTGGCGAACGAGGCGGTCGGGGGATTGGAGACGCAGGAACGGTAGCTCTTGCAACACGAGTGGGAGAAGGGACATTGAGTTTCTGAGGTTTGAGCGACAAAGGTTTGACAAAGTCAGAACCGGAGCCAGGTGAGGTCCGATGAGAGCCCGGGGTATCAAGGGTCGGAGAAATACGAAGATGAGGGGTAGGAGAAGACGGGGGTGTTGAAACCCCCTTCTCGTTCTCACTACCAGGCGCCTGATCCTCACTTGACTTAGACTTAAGCTTCATGGTCTTCATCGTAGCCCTGCTTTTAGCGTCAGTATGAATGCGGTCCTTATCCTGGTCCTTAAACGAGAAACCGGAGTTCAGGGACACACTGAAGCTAGAGACCATCGATGTCGAAGTCGAAGGCGAAGCTGAATCCGAAGGCGAGAGAGTTGAGGATCGAATGTGGGAGGTAGTTAGCTTTCTAGATGATGAAGCCTTGCGTTTGTGGATCTCTTTGACGGCCGAGGGTATCCGGATCGGCTGTTGTTGAGTCTTCGTTGCGATTCGGCGAAGCGTTGGGATTGGGTAGGTCCTGCTTCGAGGTCGATTGATGCGAACGTTAATGAGAGGTTCCTTGGCTGCTGTGGCTGCTGTGTTCGTCTTTGTGTTTGTGCTCGTGCTGGATGACATTACAGTTGACGGAGATGTTGAGATCGATGCCAAGTTGAGGACGTTCCGATGTTGCTCGTCTTGATGGCTTTCCTTCGTTTCAAAGTTCTTTGTAAGATTCGTTGTAGCGTCTTCAAGGAATTCAAAGTCGTGTGTGGCGAAGGATCTATCGACAAGAGTCAGGTCTGCTTCACTCATTGGCGGAGAGGGTTCGCTGTTCTTCCTGTCCAGCCAGGCGTCTTCCTGAAGGTTCGCTTCGTCCTCTTTGAACTTGTCCGTTTGGATGGCCTTCTCGTTGTTTTCTCGTAGCTTGGTCAATTCGCCGTTGAGGGTGCTCAGGTCGGAGACGAGAATTGTGTTGGTGCACCTGAGGTTGCTGTTCTCGGCCATGATGGTCGTGTTGTCCTTGTTGAGACTGCTGTTCTCCGCTTCGAGAGACCGGAGCCGGCTCGTGAGGTTGACGAGCTGGGCCTTGAGGACATGGGTGGCGAGACTGAAAACGGAGGGTTGAGTTGGGGTTAGTCTGGGTAGAGGTACTTGTTCAAGGAGCGTTCGCGATAGCCTGTTCGGGGTCCATGACGAAATGATCGTGCCGAGGACGTCGTGCACCGCGACGTCGGTGATCTCTGGGACAGAAAGGCAGTGAGTTATGCGACATGGCGAGGAGTGTGCTTGCCCTGTGAGGTCGACCTTGCCGGCAAAGTCAACGGAAGAGTGGGAGGAGGACAGCATGCCGAGAGCACCTAGGAAGGAGGATTGAGTATCTGCCTGACGGTACTCTACGTCCTGGACGGCCATTTTTATATCCCACAGAGAGGCTGCCCAATGTTCGAGAGCCTTCCAACGTTCGTGGGCGAGTCAGCCATGTTTCCAGTCCAGACTCCAACCTTTCCGGAACATGTGTTGAAGGCAACAGCTCAGGTATTTTTTTGGGGGGTTACATCTTGATAGTAATGAATCTTCGTGTCATTTTGACAAGATCCTGGCGCTGGTAGTGTCTTGTGGGACGCGGCGAGGAAGAAATAGAGGTCGACTAGTGGTAGTGGCTGTGCCACTCAATGGTTGGCGCTGACTCATCAAGGGCTCTAGACGCCGAACCCTCCAGAATAGCCAAGACCCACCTCTAACCCAGACTGTCGTTCTCGCCTCATCACATTCCGAAAACAATGTATACAACACAAAGATCTAGTTGAATATCGCACTACTACGTTAAGGGAGAAGATGGTATTAGAGGCCATACACCTGTTCGCCGTCTCTCACACACGACTCTTCACCATCCTCCCATTCCCGCACGACCCACGTCACCCCATCATCCGAGTTTCCGCTCGATGATGACAGCTCAACCGTCAACCTGGGGCACGATTGTGCGAGAGCCTGGATTTGCACATTGGCTGCGTCGGCTTCTTCCGTCGTCATCTTCTTGAACTGGTCGAACCAGACGAGGCCTCCGCCCCGAATGACCTCTAGGGCAGGAAAGAGGGAGTACAGCTTATGCCATTCCGTCTTCTGTCGCGTGTGGTCAGCGTGAAATGTAGAGGACAACTCGACAGTGCTCACAGAGATTTTTTCACGTTCGGAGTCGATACTCAGGACGTGTAGTTCCTTGAGCTGTGGAGCGACAACTGAAAGAGTCTTCACCTCTTCCGCCCCACTGATGTTGCTGACCCCCAGACATGTAATCGTCTTTTGCCCCTTGAGGCCTTACGAGAACAGTGTCTTCCACGGTGACGGCTGTTCTTCGTCTGCATCGTCATGATCTTCCTCCTCCCACTCCTCGTCCCAGCTGAAACATTTTGAGTCTACAACGGTGTCGTGCACTTCGACGCCGATCAGCGTTTCGAGAGGCCACCTGGATGAATTTTTCAGGAGTGCGGCTGCTTGGGCGGAGGAGCACTCTAAGTGCCGCAAGTTGGGCAGTGAATCTTCGGGCAGCTCTAGCCGTGTCCATGCGTGTCCTGGCATCATCTGGGAAAGGGAGAGTTCTTCGAGGCCGGGATGGGAAATCAGGAAGTGCTTGAGCTCGGGCTCCCCGCAATTTGTTCCACGGAGACGGAACACGCGGAGGTTTGGCCAGAGAGCATTCCTGAGGAGATGATCAACGTTGGCGGTGTTATTAACGTCTTCCACAAGGTCGAGCACGAGCTCCAAAACCTAGATGTAACGGCTAAGTGAGACAAATATCAGACAATGGGGACGAAAAGTAATCCACTACCTCGAGGTTCGGGCAGTTATCCAAAAGCATTTGCTCGAGTTGAGGTATCTTAGGATCAAATGAGGGGTTACAGACCGACGTTCGCAGTTTCAAAGCTATGAAGCCGCTTGTACGCAAGAACTGTGACGGGATCGTCGGATAACGTGTTAGGCAGTTAGGAACCCACGTACTGTAGTAGAAAGCGCTATAGCAGGAACCTCGAACTCGCGAACTGGCTCGTCGAGTATGTCCAGCTCCTTAACAGTGCCCAATCGCGTGAGGGTGCCCCAAACATCGTCCGGACCCTCCAAGGCAGGCCGAGGCACCCGATACCACCTGAATCGCTGCAGACACGACATGCGCTTTAACGCGGAGACCAGTCGTATTTCCCAATCACGACAGGCCTCCGGAGTCCGAGACGAAAGCGGCTGCCACTCGACCTGCGAGAACTCGGAGGGCAGTCGCTCGCGAAGATCGTAGCTGTGCTCATGCATGGCATAGTCAAACTCTGCATCTGGCAGTATAGTGAGCGAGCGGATGTATGGTGCGCGGAGGTCATCCAAGCGGGCCAGCCGTATCCAGAGTCCGGGGTTGTTCAATCTTGAGCAAATGTCCCGGTAGTGCAGGTGCTGTGGTACGGCGGCTGAGTACATGGATTTGTTGGATAAAGCGATGTTGAGAACATCAGAGTAACTCTCGATACGGCCCACGATGTGGTCTAATACACTGAAAGGGAGGATGCTGGGCATCATCTGTTCAATGTGTCCAAGGTTGGAGGTAGGTTTATAAGTAATGAACCTGCATATGGTCTATATCACCGCTCGCTGTCATCGATTATCAATTTAACTCTAAAGGCACCCACAACACCAAACGACGCGTTGCAAGACAGGATTCACCCACAGCGATTATATGATGGCCGCGGCGCTCGACGCTAGAGTAAGGGAATCGGTGGCTGTGCATACTGGTCACCCATCACAAGCGCCGAACACTTGAGCACCGATCCCGAGGCGTGAGAAGCCAATGCAAAACTATGAATTACAGCAGATTTGAACCCAGTTCTTATCAAGTTTAATACATCCTACTAGGTGACAGAAGGAAGCAATCAAAACTACACTCGGACCAGCGAAACCTAAGAACCGGCCTTAGTAAGAGCATTAGTGGCTCGGCCACAAGTTGCTGGATGTTGGAGTTAGCCAACCCAGCATTTACTCGAACTTACCAGAATACTTGATTAGTAATATTCTGACTCACTTAGCATAGCCTCGGACAAATAGGAAATTAGTAGATAGTACTAGAATATTGTAGATACATAATTGTACAGTATAAAAGAGCTCTGTAGGAGCCCCGCAATATTAATCCTCTCTTACCTTCTGACCACCACTGCGCCAACAGGTTATGGGCCCCGAGCCTCAGTAAAGCGTGTCTCACCACCGTTTACTGCTTCCATCTTATCTCGCTCTCGTCCTTCCCACGCTCATTATCATTATCTTATCTAGCTACCTTATCATCGCACCATAGCCATGGATCGCACACTACTTACCATCCCCAAACTTACTAGTCATAATTACCATGACTGGAAATTTGCCGTCAGCATGGCATTGCGCATCAGGGATTGTTGGGATGTTATAGCCAATGGATCCGAGAAGAAACCGGCCGGCGACGCACTCACGGAATGGACAAAGAAAGCAAATGATGCGCTTACCATCATCGCTCTCACGGTGGATCCAAGCCAGTACACCTACATCCGAGATTGCACCGATGGAGTAACCGCATGGCAGAGGCTCAAGGATATCTACGAGAAGAATTCTCGTGCAACCCGAATCTCCCTCAAGCGCCAATTCTACGGCTTCGAGCACGATATAAATATGCCAATGCAGGATTATGTAAATGGCATTACAGATTTAGCCGCCAAGCTCAACGCGATCGGAGTTACCCTAAATGATGAAGATATCACCGACGTCCTTATCTTCAATCTCGACAAGGAATATTCGAGCATCGCCGCATCCTTATCAGCTGGCAAAACAGATCTCAAAGTCGGAGAAGTTGTTAGCACCCTTCTCGAGGAAGAACAACGGAAAGGGGGAGCACCCGATGTAGTTACCGCCCTTTACAGCAACGGCATCAATAACAATGGCCGAGGACCGCCGGGCCGACGCGGACCGAATCGTGATCGACGCGAAGGAATCATCGAAATGCGCACATGTTACCTATGCGGATACAAGGGACACATTCTCAAGGATTGCCGCGCCACGAAAACCAAAGATGGAAAGGCTATTACCACCAAAATGACTATTGCCGCCCTCGAAAGAATCAAGCAAGAACAAGAAATCGCCAAGTCGAACTATGTATCCGAAATCGGCGAGACCCTGAATGAATTCGCGTATTGATCGACCAATCAAAATTAGTGCCCGTACATGTTTGCGAAGCACCACGGAAATGCTAGACTCATGGTTGAGGATCTCCCAGGTCTATGCATGATTGAAGAAGATTTATTGGAGGTTGAGGCTCTCCCTCCCTGATGGAATTTGGACAGCAGGTTGAGGATCTCCCTGCAGAATTGATTTTTGGGAGAAGGTTTGAGGAATTCCCTTCTTGCCAACACAGAACTTCGAAATTGGAGGTTTGAGGAACTCCCTCCAGAAGGAACAGATTTATTTGGAAGCTCAGCTGAAGGTTGAGGATCTCCCTTGCAGCTGTGAGCAATATTTTCGGACATTTCATTATCAGTTTCTATTTTTGGACTACGACCATTTTTCACCTCACTCGGAATGCTGGATTGAGGGGGAGTGTTGGAGTTAGCCAACCCAGCATTTACTCGAACTTACCAGAATACTTGATTAGTAATATTCTGACTCACTTAGCATAGCCTCGGACAAATAGGAAATTAGTAGATAATACTAGAATATTGTAGATACATAATTGTACAGTATAAAAGAGCTCTGTAGGAGCCCCGCAATATTAATCCTCTCTTACCTTCTGACCACCACTGCGCCAACACTGGAGAAAAGGAGCAAACGGGGCAAGGAAACGAAGTGGTATCAAGCTCGATCGACACTAACGCCTCCCAGCAGCATTTCTGAGAATCCCTTTTTTCACTCCATACACGTTTAAGGCACCTGAAACGTTTGCATCTCATGTCAGAACTGTCAACCGAGGGCAGAATGAGGGTATTACTCACGCGCGACCTTGTAATATCTTCGACTGTTATTGTTGTTCATGTTCGAGATATTCATCAAGATAAAATCACCGGTATGGTGGGTCTCGATAATCGGGTGAGAGCACCGTCCGACACCTGAACGACTTGTAGGCTTCGAGGACGAGGCGGTAGACGGTGGGAGGGAAGCGCCGCATTTAGGACACACACTCGGACCGGCAGGTTCTTGAGGAGACTGGCTTCTGCTTCCAGTCTGGGTAGCAGACCTCCTTACAAACCAGGACCGCCGCGTACGCTCACCGGAACGCTGCTTGCGAGCGCCCTTTGCCCTTGGTTTCTGAGTCTGACTCTCCATCGAAATTTCTCTCCTCTCCTGGATTTCCTCGTCATCAACCTCCACCCAGTCTTGTTCCTCATGATCCTCTTGCCCGTCCACGATATTGCTAGCTGGAATCGTATGCTCGCCCTCTGGGTGGTTCTCCTTGGCCGAAACGCCCGGCACCCCTCGGTGTTCGTCATCCTTCCGGTCCCTGTCGTCGAATCGATCCGGTTGACAGCGCTCGGCCTCCTGACCTGCACGATCAACCTGCACGGATTGTTCATCATAGCTCGAGAGAGTGGCAAAGTATGTAGTCTCATTATCTGTATCAGGAACTGTTGAAGCGCCCATCTCCTCCTGCGCGAGATTTGCCTGTGCGGGTGCTTCTTCAGTCTCACCCAAAAATCGGGGAAAACCAGGCGTTTCTTCGTTATCGCACGGGGTGTTTACAGGCGTCTGCGGCTCGCTCCCCCTCGTCTTTCCACGTTTTTGAAGTGCAGCCACTCCAAGTTGCTCGAGCCACACCAGAGCTGGGTCAGATGCGATCTCTTGCATCAGAGCCGAAGAAGGGGATGTAGCAGAATCGCCACTTCGGTGGCTCGAATAAGAGCTGGCTATCCAGCGGGGTGGGCGAATTATGCGTGGGCGTAACGGTGGTGCAGAAGGCGGGCCTGATAGGAAAGATAATGGAGGTGTAACCACGATCGGTGGGAGTGGGAGGCGTGGCGCCTTCAGGAGAGGCGGTGCTGTCTGTGTCTGCTGCGGCGCTCTTTCCTCTTCGTGTTTAGTGCGGAGGATAATCTTCGGGAGTCCCTTGGACGCAGAAACGAGCTTTCCAAAGAGAGAGGAGTCCCGTGGAAGTGCGGGAAGTGCCTTATCCCACGTCGATGCGACCTGTGGAGGCGATTCCGCGTGATTGGAGCGTCCATGCAGCGTCGGGCGCTTATTTGGAGGCCTGGGCGGCCCGCTAGCCGCGTATGGGACTGTAGAATGGAAGGTAGCCAGCGGGGACGAAGTCGAATGGCTCACGCTGGATGTTGATTCCGGGATATCCAGAGAGCGGTAGAAGAGAGTGCTTGCGCTCGCATGGGTCTGAAAAGAGCCCCTTCTGCTTCTGTCGGGGAGGGGGTTGTCTGATAGACGGTCACTGGAGGGCTGCCTCTGTCGGTAAGGCGAGGACCAGGACTCGAATAGATCGGGGGTATCATAAAAGTCGTGAAGATAAGTCATAAGAAGAGTATTGTGTGTGTCGCCGGTGCCGGTTAGCTGGTAGGGCGAAGGTCGAGCATTGACCTGGGCAGAAAGTTTGCCGGCATAGGAGCATTCGAGGGGTGGATTCTTTATTATATCTATGTAGACATTGGGCGCTCGATGAAGGCCGTATTCTGCATACACCCGAGGCTGTGGTCGAACTAATCCTGACAGATCAAGACACGAGGCTCAAGTGAGGCGGATGCTGGAGCAGTACACGACCATAGAAGAGCATTCCGGCTGATCCTCCTTGCATGATCGCCGTTCATTATTGAAGTGCACGTAATCGGCGGCATCTGCAAGAACCCCATTCTGGACGTGTAAAAGGAATAAGGAGCCCAGGCGAAATTTGCACCACGTTTGCTGTGAAAGTGACTCACAAAACACGTTGTAGTGGATGACAGCAGAGCAAACGATGCTACGATTTTTCTCTCGTTCCATGAGTGGGTTCGAAGATTATTTGCTTGGTATTAGGACATAAAGCGTCGTCCTCGATGAACGGAGGAGCCGTGTATATAGGAGACTGAAGACAAGAACCTCTTTTCTGCAAAACACTCGCCGCCCATGTAGACAACCGTGAGAACCTATTGAGCAGCGCAATTTCCGCCGAAAATCCGTAAGGTATGAAGCGCTATTTTTGGTTCACCGAATAGACGTAGTTAGCAATCGCCTTTGACAGTCTCCGCAGGTAGATATGGTCCGGGATGACCCCGTTGGTAGGCAACCAGCCTCGCTGCAACTGCCTGGCCTGATTATCTCTGCTTCTCACCGTATCTCCAAATTATCACGCGCAGTCCAATGGCGTCCGCAGTTCATGAACATCTGACAGGTCTCCTGGACCAACCACCCGGCGCTTTCCCCTGCCTGGGTGGAAATATCAAGCGCAAGAGGGAAACGCGACGAATAAAGGTGAGGTTAGAAATCCGCCCACTGAAAACAACCGCCACCGGCAGCGGTAGCTAGAGAACTTTCTTTTAACCAAAAGCATCTTGAGCATCTAAAAGGCGTATGCCATCCTTCAGATATCTCGTCCAATACGAGAAAAGAAGGAAGACTTACGTGTGGCATAGGTTTTTTGCCGGTACTTTGTGAAAAACCCCGTCTACGCGACGGCAACTTGCTCTTGAAGATCTTCGGCATGTAAGTTGGCCTGCCTTGCCCTTTCTTCCTCTCCTGCACTGTCTGCCTGGATAGGCCTGCCAGAGGTCGCTCTAGCCCGCTTTTGCCGGGCAGCCATCCCTACTTGCTGCACCAACGCAAAATCAGGATCGTCTCTGATCCCGCACACGAGAGCAGCGTCGAGAGGTGCCTTCTCTGGATCTCCATGTGCGGAAGGATGGGGTGGGGGCGGGAAAGGAAGAGGTCGACGAGTAATGCTTGACTGGTAGTACAACGAAGGTAACATGGGCTGATGCGGTGGGTGTGGGGTCAAAGCGACCGGGGTCTTGTACGCCTTCCCCCTCTTTCCTTGGCACCGAACACCGAGGAGGCTCTTCGGGATCTTCTTCAAACCTGAGAAAAGCCTTCCGAAGAGAGATTTGGTTCGCGGGACTTCAGGAAGGACCTTGCATTGGAACGACTCCCAAGAAGGATTTGCTGGATGGCTGATTCCTCCGTACTGGGTCGGGCGCTTAACTGGAGGAAGGTGCGGGCCGCGGGCCGCACGTGGTGCCGGCGAGACCAATGTCAACGACGAACATCTCACTTCGGGTGGGGAGCCATACGACTGAGAACTCGCAAGGGTGTGAGCCGAGCTTCCGGTGTGTGTACGACGGATGGTGCTCTCCGGAAGACGGTCGTTCGAAGATTGGCCGTGTTGGTAAGATGGGTAGCGGGAATGCGAGTCGTCAGATTTGAGGTAGCGGTACGGATCAAGGAGGTCGACGTCGTGGATATTGCTCATTTTGACGAGGAAGTAAAGAGTACAGGTAGCGTCGGTTAACTGATGAGGCGAATTCTGAACGTTGACCCGGGCGGGACGAGTGCCGACGAACGAGGATTCAGCGAGGATGGGAAGCCATCACTTATAGGATTTGCAACAGGCGTTTAAGCGCCCGTCACGGAAGGGGACGTAATCCGTGTGCACGCAAGCACAAGGCTGTATGGAGACCGGATAGGTAATACTGCCCCGGACGAGGACACGCGACCCCAGTGAGGCGGCTGCGAGCGTGGCCAATGTCGAGAGAAGCACATTAGTGGCTGGATACGACCTGATCGACCTTTCAGGATCGGCGTTACGAATACTCCTCCGTCAGTGCACTTCTTTTCTTATACCAAAAAGGAATAAGCACCCACAGATGACTGCGAGGGCGTGTTGCTGAAGACCCTCGGATACGTCAACATTGAAATTCCGTTCCTTGTTCCTTGGTCGTCGGCTTGATAAACGGGACAATGGGAACTTTGCTGTGTTCAAGTTACAAGCGAGCCAAACGGGGATCTTCTTGTTACTTATTGTGAATCACAGGAGGAACATGCTCATAATGAGTTGATCGGGTCAGACGAAGCTAGTAGATTGTCAGCAGGACTTTCTGTCAGAAATTCATCCAACATTACAACAATTGCGAGAAGCTCGGAGCGCTCTCTGACCTTTCAGGTTCCGATGGACGCCGAATGCACTGGTTTCCAAACAACGCCGTTTGTTGCGCTCAAGTCGCCAATTATGTGCACACCAGCTCTAATTAATAATTAATCATTCGTCGGTGAACTTTCGCGCGCAGGTAGAAACGCACCCCATTGGCAGGTAAACACGCTGCAGCGAACCCGATCGCACTGCCCAATACCCCAATATCGTCATGTATTTTCCAATTGTATTGAACCGGAGCCCAATGTCGTCCGAACGGCCATACGGCCACATTGTGAACGCAAAATTTCAAAGCAAGCTTTGCAATCGACGACCAAAAACACAACCGACTGCCCGTGAACAAGTAGCCTAAGTTGGTCTGCTGTACTTACAAGGCCCATCTCCGCTGAATGCTCCTCGAGTCTTCATCGAAACATCAACTGCGTTATCCTGTTGTCAGTGAGAAGTGAACGGGAGCACCTGTTTACTTGCCTCAAGCGTCCAATTCTCAGCGCCAATGGGGCGCTTTTCCTTCCTCGGGGCCTCGTCAGAGCCTCAACCACCCGAGATCGGCTATTTTTAGTCGGCTTAGTCATCCTGGCTCGGCTGCGCAGGCGCCGAACCATCGACAGTCTGAACATCATCTGACTTTTCCAACTCTTTCTCGAACGACGACGATGAGCAATTACCCAGTCCCGCCCCCGGCCTACGGCCAAAACACGAAGCCCAACTACCACTCCATCGACGAAGAGAGTCGCGAGCCCCTCCTCGCTGGCTCCAGCCGTGGAGGCGGCAACGGCTTCTACGACCAGCCGGCGCCTGGCGAACTCCCCGACGATTTCAAGGTACGTATTGCTTTCCTCGATTTTTTGCAAGTGTAGAAGGACTAACAAGGGGATGGGATGGACGTAGTACGGAGTGACTGTCTCAGAGAGCGCACCTGAGGTCCGGAAGGCGTTCGTGCGCAAGGTGTACACCATCCTTCGTGCGTCTCCAGTTTCATCGTCAATATCGGTGGGTGCTGACGGGTACATCTGCATATAGTCTTCCAAATCGTAAGCATATCGACTGCATGTAGCCTCTCAGTGTGCTGACAGTTCGTCGTAGGCTGGCACCGCCCTTGTTGGTGGGATAATCTCGCAGTCGCCGTCAACGATCTTCTGGGTCCAGACTCAGTGCGTCTCTTTATTCCTTTCCAGACTGGCCACCCACTCACATCACCTTCTTGCTCCCTGATAGCCTCTGGGCGTTCTACGTACCCCTCTTCGGCACCCTCATCAACCTCGGACTGCTCTACTGGAAGCGTCACAGCCACCCATGGAATCTCGTCCTGCTTACCACATTCACGCTCATGGAGGCCTTCACCCTCGGCGTTGCCGTCTCGTTCTACAAGAACGATATTGTCTTGAAAGCTCTGTACGTTATTTGCCCCCCGGTGGGGAGAAGGATGATGACTAACTGACGTCATACAGGTTGATCACTCTAGGCGTGTTTATTGGCCTGACTCTCTTCACTTTCCAGTCCAAGGTTTGTTCTTATCACACACTTGCTTTCGTATACACTGACGTTTATTCCTCACAGTATGACTTCTCGGGGATGGGCCCCTTCCTTTTCGGGGCTCTCATGGCGCTAGGTAAGCTTCCGGTATTCCCTATCTCATTTTGACTGCTAAATCAACCTAACTAACACCCTATCAGTTATGACAAGCTTCATCGGCGTCTTCTTCCCTTTCGGGCGCACGTTCGACCTCGTCTATGCCTCCTTCGGCTGCCTCCTCTTCAGTGGCTACATCGTCTACGACACGTACACGATCAACAAGCGCCTCTCGCCCGACGAGTACATCATGGGTGCTATCAGTCTTTACCTCGAGTGCGTCGCCTTATCTTATGCCTTGATCCTGACGCTGATGGTGTGTTACGTCGCGATGATAGCTTCATTAACCTCTGTGGGTTCAAATCCCCTTTTTTCACTGGCTGTGGTACTGACCCTCTTTAATTTTGCAGTCCTCAACATTCTCCGCCTCCTCAACAACATGCAGGAGCAGTAAATTGCCCGAGCGACGGGTGAACACGGGAATTAAAGTGGCTTGCGGGAGGAGAATGCTGACGATCTTTTGTGTAATTTTATGGTATCTTGGCTTGTCAGTGGATGTTCTTTTCTTCTTCGTTGGCTTGACTCGTAGTATCGCTGTAATCAGGTAGGAAGCATCTTACAGTGGTGCGATTGTTGTGTGAAATAAGCTGGATGACAATAATGGCAAGAAAGGAGAAAGTTGTGCCCCATTGGAAGTACAAAAAAAAACATTTAGAATAGATCACAAAACTCCAAGTTTCTCACTGTAGTCCGCCTGGCTTTCAAGGTATCCAATGCGCCGCAAAGCGTCTACCCAAGCGGGTCCTCTATGTTTGGCGGTGACGATACACACATCGAGAAGGTGGCCAGCATAATATTCGCCCGGTAAAGGCACGCCCAAAGCCAGATCGCCGACGAATTGTGACGGTATCCTATGAAGTGTCTCGAGAACGGTGAGAAGCCGAAAAAAATCGGCCAAGATATTGTGAACTTTATCCTTGATATAGCTCTCGGCGACCACCTGGCGTGCGGCTTGGTTGACCATCGACAGTGAGCGTACCCTCATTGGTACCTCCCCGGGAATTTTATCTTCCTTCCTTCCTTCCTTGTCGAACACTGGGCAAGTATTTGTTAGCATTTCGGTGCATTCAAGGGACTACTCACAAGCAATTAACACACGTCATCATTTAAATCGATCTTATCATATCAGTCCTTACAATTTAGTTTCGTCTCCTGGCTGCTACCAGCCGTCCTCGGCCAAACGGTCTAGCATTTCCGTCCTTCGTGGATCAAGGATGTGTCTTGAACGCCTCATGTGAATGATGACCTTTGCATTGTTAATTGACTGATCTTTCGAGCAACGGAATGTTATTGCACCAAATCCTCTTGGGCAAACTCTGATAAGTGACAACTATCCCCTCTACTTTGCCTTGAAAAGATAATGCCCAACACCCCATCTGTAATCCACCAATGATCAACTCTGAGCTCGGTCAAGAACACGAACGAACGACTTACTGCTCCCCATTATCCATCGCGAACAGCTCTGAGCATGCCATGTAAAAGACGCGGAACCTGCAGCGTTGATCAAATTAAAATAGAAACCAAATAGAAGAGGCGGAGGAGTTGATGTAACACACCGGTAAAACGCTTTCCTTCCTTCAATAGCCGACTGGCCCTTTTCCTCAGCGTCCTTCTCCAGCTCCTTCAGTCCGTCTGCAAAAATGACGGTCAGAAGTCGTGGCACGGCACATGAAGAACAGGAGACAGTAAAAGGGAAAAAGGAAGATGAATATGAGGAATTGACGTACGTTTCCCGTTCTTGTCTTGCAACTTCAGCCAGTCTTCCAGCGTGCGTGAATAATGCGTGCCGGGAATGTACCAGCTTCGAAGCAGAGTCAGGTCTGACTGGAAGTACAGCTATTACGGAGTATAATGGATTAGTATTAGAAAAGAGACAATGACCGAGAGATAACACACGAAAAGATCATGCGAAGGCATAGTACCCCCAGAGAAGAAATTCTTCGCCATCCAACCGTCGTCTTCGACAAAGTGGTACGGCGTCGTCCGGTGACAGAATATGTGGATAAAAAGAAGGGATTCGTCTGCCTCGTTTTGCGTTTCTTCCGACGGGCCTAAGACGGCCTTCGCGCTCCGAGGCCTCAACCAGGAGGAGACCTTTTTGAGGAGTGCATGGTAGTTCTTCATGTGTTCAAACATCTAGAAAGACGACAGGTGCTTCCTCAGTCCTTCAAGCAAAAAGGCGAAGATGATAAGTCATGAGGCACACCTCGATACTCAAAATCCTATCGAATTTCTTCGACGTGTCAAACTCAAACGTATTAACGTCGGCGGTGATGATCTCGACGTTGCTTAAGCCCCTTCGCTTCGCCTCCGCATCGATGTGCTTTTTCTGCGTCGAGGAGTTGGAGAGACCCGTTATACGTGAGTTGGGATATTTCTGGGTGTGCATCGGTCATAAGTTGCGCATATATATATGCGGTGGAAAGGAGAGAGAGATACCTCGGCGAGGAAGAGCGAAAGACTGCCCCAGCCTATGAACAAATCCACAGCTCAACTTGGAACCAGTGAGAGGGAAAGTCGCAGGGGAAGACTCACCGCACCCCAGATCTAACACGTCCTGCCCATCCTTCATCTGCGCTTTGATGCAGTAGCTCTCGAGCATCAGCTTCTCCGCCTCCGCGAGGGTCTCCTTCCCAGTCGGGTACAGGCATGAGGAGTACTTTCCGTAGGGGCCTAGCGTGGACAGGATGAAGGCCGTAGAGACCTGAGGTTCGACGTAGGTCAGTAATGTATGAGGTACAAGCTAGTTGAAGGGGTGAAGGCGTGGATAGGTCGCTATCTCGACCGCCAACGCATCGACTGGAACGAGAGAGACAACACCGAGGACGCCGACACGACTTTGACTCCAGTCTCCAGCAGCGACAACCACCGAAGGCTGTCGGCAGGAACAAGCTGCCCACATCGCCCATCACACCCTCCGAAATTCCACACACGACATTCACTCACCTCATAGTGCTGTTTGTTCGCCTTCTCTGGGACGTCCGCAATCGTCTTCCTGGCCCGAACCTCCTCTATCCAACGCATCTTCGCAGCATGGTTCTCCTCGAACGAACCAGCGTCAATCTCTCGCAGACGCTGGCGGCATAGCATTCGTATCGCCCGACGTAGGATGAAGTCTGGAACGAGGCCCTGTGCAATACTGTTAGTGGTTGCCTGTCTGTAGTTCAACGCACACAAAGAGTACCCTGTCGAGGAGGTCATAGCCGACTCGAAGTATGGAATCCGGAATTGCAGACATCGTGTAGAGAAGAAGGGAAAAACAGTAGCAGTAGCAGAGGTAGGATTCTCAGTCAAGGAGTATATATAGGCATGCTAAGCGACGCTGAGAACGATGTCGGGGACGTATCTACACACGCCAGCCATCGTCATCCCGATGCTGGTTCAAATTCCGCGTCGCCTCCACTTTACCACGCTCGTGATCGCGACGTGCCAACGATCGCCGATCGTGTCCCGCTTCCATTTTCGGACCTACACACCGGGCAAGCTACACTTCAGGAACGAGCGGCAACAAATCGTAGAGTCCGGGATGCATCTGACCATTGACATACACCTCCTTCAGGTGCACAGACATTGGGTCCGTCAGCTGCTTCAGGGCGGACATCACTGCACTCGCGGTGCGCTGCAAGCTCCAGAGGCTCACGGTCTTCATGCGTTGGCGGTTCATGGTCGATTGAGAGACGTGGTAGGCCATGGCGTCGTACGTCTGGAAAGAGGTTAAATGAGGGGATATCGAGAGAACAGAGGAGCAAAAGAGTTACCTTCAGAGAGATCTCGTCCATGAGGCCAGTCTCCCACATCTGGAAAGACCAGAAAGATTAATCAATGCTGTAGGGCAAGTAGAAGACGCCCGTACCGTCCAAGCACCATCGAACTCGCTGAGGTCCTTCACAACCCGACATCGGATGGGCACCAGTGTCCGGTTCGCGCTGTCAATGTCCAAAATCAGCGTCTTCCACCTTGTTGACCAACAAGAAAAAAATCACTCACTTCATGAACGCCACGATCGGCCTCACGAACGCATTATTCACATAACTCAAGTCCGGTGTGAAAATCGGCACCGCAGCCTTCAAGTCTCTAAACCTCAAATCAATATCAATCACCACCTTGGGCTTATACCCGCCCTCCTCTCTGCCCTCCTCAATCCCTTCCTCGTCCTCGTCCGGCTCTGGGGCACTGAGAGGGGGCTTGGCGAGCTCGCGCTGGCCGGGGATGCGCGTGGTGTCGGGGATATTGGAAAGGGAGGTCGCGATGACGTCGGCGATCTCGCCGAGCAGGGCATTGAAGGGCATCTCGTCGGAGGGGTCGCGCGGGAACTTGATGTCAAGCACGGCGTCGACTTTTCCGGAGGTTATCCAGGAGATGGGGCCTTCCATTGTGGTGGAGTTTTGGAGGTGGTCGATGTTGACGCCGTCGATGCGGAAGCGAGACTGGTCAAACGCACAGCAGGCGTTAGTGCGTCGGTCTTTGAAAGAGGCATGTATGCGTACCATCCGCACCCAATCCCCATCCTGCAAATCCTTCTCGTTCGTCCTCCCAATACTCTGGGGCTTGTGCAAGCTAAACAAGCAGTTATCAAACTGCCCCACGACGTTCTCCGCACATAGGAAGTCGTAAAACATCCAGCGCTTCCTGAACATCCGAATATCCGCACGGAAGATGGACGAGGTGTACGGGCGGAAGTCGCCCGGCTGATACACTGTTACGAGCACGTCCTCGAGTTGAAGGGACTCAAGCTCGAAGTCGCCTGGCTGTGAGGTGTGTCGGAAGAGCGCGGGGTCGAGCGGGTTGTCTGGGTCCCAGAAGACATTACGTCTGTCTATTGAAAACTAAATAAGCTCCTGGCAGTCGGAAAGAAGTACCAGCAAAACGTACCAACGACCCCTCGGACCCCCCGCACAACCGCACTCTCTACCAGCCCCTTTCCATCCAACCACCTCTTCAGCGAAAGCGTTACATCAACCGAATCAATATTCAGGTCGAACATCGTATAATTCACGTCCTCGTCCTCGAAGTGCCTGTCCTCTAACTCGTCTTCGTCCTCCCCGACGTGGTGGTACGCGGGGTGGTTGCTCACGTCGTAGCCTACCGCGGCCATGTGGCCTTGGGATGTGGAGGAGGGAGAAGAGCCCGAGGAGGAGGGGTCGGACGGTCGACGCGAGACGTAGACATTCTTGAAGGAGAGGCGCGAGTCTTTCCATTTGGGCACGATGGCTGTCTCGAATATTATGGTTATGCCAGTTTCGGAGGTGAGGTAGTCGCTAATTGCCCGTGCAACATAACCTGAAAGGGCAAATTAGATTCTATGGAGCACAATCGCAGGAGAAATGCTCACTTTGTAACCGCAAACTGTTGATCGTCGCGAAAATCACCGAAAAGAACGTTGTCCTACAAACCAAACCAAACCCCTCAGCATCCAATCCTCACATAAAAAACAAAGCGACTCACGTCCCAATCAATATCCAAAGCGTCTGGCTCATCACGAACCACGTCACGAACGCTGAGATATCATCCGCGTTGAACCTCCGGAAGCCGCGCACCGTGAACCACTTGAAGCGCACGCGGAGGCGTGCCCAAAACCCATTCGCGACGTTCAGAAAGTCCTCCCGTGTCGGTCGGTGCGGATGAGGAAGCGATGCGGCGAGCCGCTGGAAGAAGGGCGAGTAGTTGGTCGTGTGCTCGGGGTCGCGTGCGTTTTGGTGTTGTTGAGTTGCGGTGTCGGTGTTGGCCTCGGGAGACGAGGGGGTCGGAGGGGGTTGCTCAGTAGGTAGAGAGGTCCGTGCGTCGCTCTCTGGTGGCTTTGGAGGTCCTTGCGAGGGCGGAGGGTTGTGCGAGCTCGTAAACGCCCGCGCAGTAAAGCTGACCCGGAAGACAGGTCGTGTGCCAGAGTGCCCAATCAACGCGCCTCCCACTCGTCCGAGACCAAAAAACCGCGTAGCCCTTCCTCCATAAAAATTCTCTTGCCTAGGCAACGAAACTGGTGCTCGAGGAGGAAGAGCCAGAGAATGCTGTTGCCTGAAAAAATTTCGTATAGTGCCGTATCTGTCCAACGCTGCAACGTTGACTGTCTTGAATTTTTGTGGGTGTAAGAGACGGGTGCAGGACCTTGAGGACCCTGTGGCTAGTGAAGCGAACATGGTGGAAGGGGACAGAGGTTGCGAGGCATGGAGGAAGGAGCGAAGGATGACTCTACGAAAGAGATGCCGACCCTGGACGTCATGAAACCCAAAATAGACAGCTCCGTCTCCCATGTGTTCTTAAGTGGCATTGGGGTTGCAAGAAATTCCTACACAGAGAATGTTCCGATGAATGCAAAAGTACAGTGTATATGCAACTATGTAAGTAAGTAAATGGTTAACATGGTATATCAGGAATCGAGAAGCAACTATTACTACTAAAAGTACAACAGGTCGAGGGCCCCATCCAGTATAGCAGAAAAGTAAAAGGTGAAAAGCGAAAGCAAAACTCCTGCCCTCACCTTCCTATACTATCTGAATGGGAGAATTAGTTTACCTGTACTCGATTGTGACTGTATCACTACCCTATCCGCACCGTTCACGTCCCCAGCAAAGTGCGTCCATGTATGACTAGCGTCTTCGCCCTCCAGATTCGCAGGCTGCGACGACAGCGTCCGTCCCCCCTTCAGCAGCTCCGACATGTTCGCACTGACAAGCCCCACGAGCGTGCTCTGGCGGTAGTCAAAGAAACCCTCGCACGACTTCCCCTGCACGATGTGCGTGCTCCGTATTGTGCGCTTCCTGTACGCCTGGTTCCGTAGGTACGTTATCGACACCGAGCCGGTGCCCGTCGTCGTCGACAAGATTGCGGGGAGCGGGTTCTCCAGGTCGGTGGAAGTGTTCGGTATTACGTCGAGGTTCGTCTCCCCTTGGTCATTTACTATTCGCAGTTCGTCGTCGATCGAGAAGGCACCGAGGATGCGGGCGTTAGCGGTGTCGATGCTCATGTTCCCAGCTTGCAGAGACTCGTGTGCGATGAGCTCTGTCTTCTCGTGCAGGCTCGTGAGCGTGATGTGTAGATTATCCAGGTCGATGTGCGATTGCGGTGAGAACTTCATCTGCACGGGCGTATCAATGTGGATGTCGATCTTCCGAAGCCCACGTGGGATGTACATGGTGATTTCGTAGTACATGCACGGCGAGAGGTTGGTGACGCCCGCTGGGTCAACGAGGTCTGGTGTATCGATGATGAACTCCGTGCAGCGGATGGTAGTCGGACCTCGGGGCGGATACTCTAGCACGATGTCATCCAGCAGACTCCTATCCCCACGAATAAACACATCGTAGATGATTTCTTGTGGATCCGCTAAATCCGGGGCGCTCGCAATGGTCAGCACTCCGGTCGCACCTCCGGTAAGAGTGAGCGCATGTTCTGCCTTGTTGCCAACTGGGACGAAATATAGAGTTTGCGAGCCGTTGAAGATCACTTCTGCGGTGGACTCGTAGCACCCGAACTGTTCATATGGCATGCCATAGAGGTTCGTCAGTTGAGGTGGGCGGTCGCCAGGGAGATGTTTCTTTGGGACGTCGCGAGCGGTCAGCATGGGTTCCTACCCGGAAGAAGCAACTGTACGCACGGGTTGCACGAATATCGTTTTGTCGTCGTCTTTTGTCGCTAGCCAAACGCCAACAGCGACGACGATGCACATGACGAGTGTCGATACTATCCAGACGATAGCCCATCTAAGACCGATGAGGGTGTGAGCGGGGTAAGAGTGAGAAAGAGCGCACTTTCTGTCGATGTTGACCGAGGAGAGCCAACGCGGCCAGCTTTTTTCTGCTCTCTCCTCCTCCTGTCTACCCACCATCGTGTGCCCACTCGTCAATGGATCCGTCGATGGCTGATGCCGCGATCGAGAGCTAGCGAAGAGCCGCCACCGTTTACTCTTCCCCACCATCCCTTCATCCTCCTCCCTCTTCTCATTCAGCTCATGGGTCGCAGTAAAGTTGCTGTCGGAGGTCGATATACTCGATGCATAGCCAGCGTGTACGCGGAGGGGATGATCTGAGAAGGGAATTTAGAAATCAAATGTCGAGCAGTTAATAAAGGCAAGAGAAGTGGGAATGCACGCCAAATTGCGTCTGCGCTCCTGCGGCCCACGGGGTGCCCACCGTTCTCGAACTGATCATTTCGAAATCTCTTACACGTCTGTTCGGGGAGGATGATAGCCTCGAGCTGGGCCTTTTCCGCGCTGGTTTCGATGCATGCTGGCTGGCCGTCCGCTTCGAGCTTGATGATCATGGTCAGACCGACCGCTGTCGGCGCAGGGGGTGGGACGGCGGGGTGTCGAGAGAAGAAGAAAGGGAGTGGTCCCCGTCAAGGAGACCTCCGGGTAGGAGTAGCGCGGCACACGTCGTTCTTCTGTCGTGGGAGGAGTAGCCAAGGAAAAGATCTATGGGGTGGTTCGGACTTCTTCAATATTTTGGATCATATGTACAGTCAGTCAGAGAGCGCAACTTGAGAAGCACGCACAAAGGAGCCGATACAGCGCACGCGCTGTCGCACAAATGAATTTAGAGAAATTTCAAGGAGTCGGAGAGGATGAACATCGGAGGAGCCAAGGCGATTGGTGGGGTCGACCGCCAAGGGAAACCAGCGTCTGCCGGCGATTGGCCGACTGCCCAGCGATCTCCTCGACAGTCAGCACACCACCTCCACGGAAAGAGTTGCTAAGAAAGGGAGACGGAAGCAAAGTTGACATTCGGGAAATGGTCTCAAAGGCACCCAGGGCGGCCAACAACCACCGCCGCTCCAAGGTAGTCTCTACTCTATTGTTAGAACACAGATGGAAAAGAAATATTTAGCCTGGACAATCCATAGGTACAAGTGTTTATCGAATAACATTATAAAGAACCCTTCAAATTATACCGTTTCTCCGCTCAGAAATAAAGCCCGGCCCAACCCCTCGAGTTCACATAGAGTTTGTCTCCACCCTCCTTATCGCCCACATAATGGGTCCAGTTTCCGTCATCCTTGTCGTCATCGTCGTCCCTCCTCACGTTTCTCGGAGTGCGAGAGCCAGCGTGGATCGAGCGAGCCCCAGTAACGGTGTAAGATTTCGTGTTCAGCTCGACTTTGCCGTTGAACTCGGCCTCGCGGTACGTGAGGTACAGATCTCCATTGCGCGACGACATATGCGTTACGTCGATCGGGCGCTTGACCTCCTTGCGTCCGATGAACGCAAAGTCAGAGCGGCCAGCCCCTGTCACAGTGCGAACAACGACCTTCTCAGGGTTGGCAGTGTCGAAAGGAAGCGCGGGGTGGAACTTGATGTTGGACTTTCCGTCGCCACGCTGGGTGGTAATCGACGCCTCTCCAACGACAGACGCGTCGCCGACGATCCAGCCACGGATGACCTCGAGCGACACCTTCTTTGACTTGACGTCCTCGTTAATGACGATCATGTTGTGCTCGTCCATGTCATACAGCGTCACGAAGAGGTCGTCGGTGTTGATGCGCGAGCCCTCGGCAAACTTGACGTGGGTGACGGAGCTGTGCGACCCGATCTGGAGTTTCTTGAGGTTGGGCGGGACGAAGACCTTGATGTCGTACTTCATGCACTTGGTCGAGTCGACACCGGGGATGCGGGTGGTGTCCATGATCAGGCGGCTCTTGGTGACAATGCCGTTAGGGTCGGTGTAAGGATAATCGAAGGCGACGTCCTTCTCCAGGTCCTTGCTATTCGTCTTGACAAGGATCTCATACTTGACGTCTTTCGAGTCGAGGGCGTCGTCCGCGATGGTGATGGTGCCAACAGCATAGCCACGAACGTCGAGGGCATGGTCGTGATGACGGGTACCGATAGGTGCGTGGATGGTGACGGCGGTGTTGTTGTAAGTATACGAGGCATCCGTGCAGCCCACAGAGCCGAACTCGGGGAGTCCCTCAAAACCATTGGGTGTGTCCTATCCCATATCAATCAGCGACGAACACCACACGAAGAGCAGCAGAAACAACGTACAGTCAGAGCCCACCGAATCGCCTTGTACCCGAAGTACAGCGTATACAGGCCCAACACGACACCAACCGCCTTCCAGAAGAGCGTGCAGCTACAGGTTCCCAACGAAGATCGGTCCGCAGTCTAGTCAGTTGCGCAGATACAACCCATCACTGCCAGTCACTACGCACTCGAGTCCACAGCACATGCAACACGCCGATTTCTTCTTCAGGCGCCTGTTCGGACCGTTGACGCCAGGCGTCTCGGGGAGCGCGATGGCCCCGCCTGCGCCTGCGTTCAGGTTCTCGAGCGAGGGGCTCGTGAAGATGGGGCGGCCCTCTTCGTCGTCTGGGGAGACTTGCTTATCTGCGGGGAAGAATGTGGGTTAGCTCGGAGCGTGTGATCGACAAGGACAGGACACACATTGATCGTAGGAGCTCTTCAGCTTCAGCGCAGCCATGGCGCCAGCCACCATCCCCAAGAACGAGAACCCGGCGCTTCTGTTATTTCTGGAGGACATGACGGTGATGATTATACAGTCGGTTGGTCAGTTAGCTGACTGCCTGTGCGGCGATAGTCAGAAGGGAAAAGGGAAGGAAAGGACTAGTCGGGGGTTGATGACAAGACAAGGTGAGAAAAGAGCGTGCTGGGAAGGAACAAGCAGCGTTTTGTGCTCTTCCTTTTCGTATCAAACGGGAATGATAGGTACACAGGATGCCGACGTGAGAGCATCCTTTATACGTACGCGGCGGTGTGAAAGATGTCTGCCCTGGTCTCGAGTTGCTGTTTGGCGGTAACTGCCGTTGACTAAATGGGGCTGCGCAGCGGATACGTGGACTCACACTCGAGGCGGTTTCGCTGCTCGTAAAAGCCTCACAAGACTCGGGAATTTACAGCAAAAACAGCAAAAAGTAGATCTAGAAAAAGGACACCCCCATGCTACTTGCAGAAAAATACAGAAGATACAAAAAACATCTACACAAATCAGTTCAAACGATGATTACCACTCGGTGTCTGTCCGCACCTCCGTATCCCGAATGATCGCGTGCGCAGTAGATGATAGTCAGGGAGATAAAATCGTTAGAATCAGGTCAAAGCCATGTCAGCTGTGCAAGCTGTCCGAGGAAGACATCAAGCCAGCGCGCCCTGAAAGAACCGACGTCAGTCTCTTTTCGAGACAGATTATACAATAACAGACATCGCCTGCTGACGTACCATCGGGTCCCAGGGCGGTAAGACGATCTTCTCCCCTGATTCGAGCACCTGAACAAGGTCCTTCGGCGCGAGAGCCTTCGGAACGACGACTTGGTACACGAATCTGTCATGTTTGGTGAGCAAGCATTCTCACGAGCGCGAGCTTCGGAGGGAAAGAAAAAGGGAGAAAAGACTCACTGCTCGAACCAAGCGTCGGTCATAACAAAGTACCCTTCTTTGCCGGCTGTCTCCCCCCATGAATTCTCCACCTTGTACCGCTCCGGTCTGCCAGTCGGGTCGAGGTGGACTCCCGTGATCACCATTGCGTGTGTCATGGCGGATTCGCCGATCTGAAGGCGGTCGGCTTTGGTCAAACCGAAGTTGATATCGAAGGCATTCTAGGATATAATACCCTTGAATGTCTTTGCGTTGTCCCTCCTAACTTGCTCACGCACCTCGTAGTCGAAGAGAGCAGTATCCATGATCCCAGCGTCCTTGTCGGAGAACTGGCCAACATCACAACCAAAGAATACGGGCTGTCCAGCTTTAATGAGCTGGAAACAAACACCGTTGAGACTGAGCCTGCGCTAGGGGCAATAAAACGACCAACCTTGACGACAACGGACTTGATGGTCTCGATTTCAGTGTTGACGTCTATTGACAGGTGAGCGCCTGGCGCAGACAAAAAAAATCCACGAACTTACAAAGAATAGGCCGTCCGTTCCAGATATTTCCAAGCTTATCAACAGTGTAGAGTTTGTTGTACTCATTACGAGGGTCGTTGATGAGCGAGAAAGAATCCAAAGGCTGATGAACAATGCGCGTCAGTCACATAGCAAATCGACCGAATGTAATGCGTACCGAGAAGGGCTTGCTCGCAAACTGCTCAAAGTAATCCTTGGGCGAACCCACCCATCGTGCAGCCTTATCTTCGGAATCGACGTAGTCCCAAATGAACCGCTTGTTAGGTGGAGGCGGAACACCGAGGGTGGCGGTCAAGATCTTGTACACCTCCCTTACGAGCTCTTCCTTCTTCGCTCGGAGAGTAGCGATGACAGTCTCTTCCCTCACGTGTGCACCCCGGAGCGTGTCGGCCAAAGAACGGAGAATGATGGCATGCTCGCGAAGCTTGGTCTTCAAGAGGGAGTTAAGAGGGCCAGATAGCGAAGAATGCGTGGATTCGGGATAGATACTCTGAGGGACGATGCCGTAGGTCTCAATGAGGTTTACCACCATGTCCCATTGGCCGCCGTCGCTGATGAGTTCCGTGGAGAGGTGGGTGATAAGTCGGTCATCAATGGGCAAGTCGGCGGTCTCAATCATGAGCTCAAGGTAGTAGTTGGCCTTGTTGAGCTTATCCCAGAAGAAGAGGTACGACTATGGGACACGATACGTCAGTACGTTATTCGACTTGAGGCGAAGTGAAGGTTTCTGAGGACGATGAGTCAGGCTGATAAGGGATGGCGCTCACCTGGGACAGTTGGAACTCCTTCAGCTTCAAGCGTTTCATGATCCCATATCGGATGACGTTGGTCGTGGCGAACAGCCAACAGCGCCCACTGCTCTTCTGGTTTGTAATCGGAGTCGTCTTGTAGTCCAGCACGTTGTTGAAGATGTGCTGATCCGCAATGCCCGCCGAGCGGGACTTGAGCACCGAACGGATGTTCGACTGGTGGAAGATCGTGCGCGCAAGTCGGATCTTCGAGTCAGTGTTGGCGGCTTTCTCCCAGGAGGCGACCTGGCTGAGGGTCAGCGAGCCATCGCTCGATAACGGGTCGGTTATGTGCAGCGCCGCAACCGAGTCGGAGACCTCCATGAAGGTGTCCTTCTCCTCGAACGAGAGCTTTGTGGGCGTCGGTATTCGCGAAGAGGAAGCTTGGTTCCCCATTGCGAACGAGAAGATTGAGGACGGAATCGTGATAGATGTCGAGGAGTACGTAGGGGGGAGAGATACGACCTGACCAGCAGAGTCGAGCGAGTAGACTTCTTATGGTGAGTATCAAGGGGACCACCTGGGTCGCACCATGCGTTTTGTGAGTGATAGTAAATTTAGATATTATTTATTTACCACTTAGCAGATAAGCTTCATCTGATTAACCTTAACCCTAATGCGACCGCTTGGCACGGGACACGTGCCTTAGAAAGGACCTACAGGGGCCAAAAGGGGTTGGCGCAGACTTTGAAATAACCCAGTCTTGACACTCCCAGATGACACTAGCCTAGCCCGGCAATGAGAGTTTCTAACCGGTTAAATATGAGCGACCCATCCGAGGGTATATTTCTTCCCCGCAATCTATTTCTTCCCCGCAATCCCGCCTTTGCCCTCCATGCCGACCCTCTATTCAACACTCAACATTCTAGCACTCTTGTTCGCCATTTTTGGCACCACTTGGGAGCTGGTTGTGAAGCCTCGTCTTGTGCCGCTGGGATACGGACGCGTTCTTGCACCAGTGAATAACCAGAACTGTAAACATGTTCCAGAGTTGGCTGCTTGTGAGAGTGAGTAGCCCATCTTCGGTCCAGCTCAAGAGGCTCACGGCACCATCCAGAAATCGTTCTACATCAGCCTAGCGGTGTGATATACCTTGCATGCTCAACCCCGTCAAGCAGGGTGCACTGGACGCCCGCTGTTAGCCGTCTGAACGCCACTGGGGCGTCGATCAACGATTATGTCGCGACGTACGACCCCAAGACGTTGCGCATCACTCGGCTTCAGGTCGAGAAATTTACCAGCCCTCGCGGCCTTTCTCTTCACGGCATGGATATCGTACCGTCATCGTCCGACCCCTCCGAGCTCTTTGTATACCTCGTGAATCACCGCCCACCCTCAGGCGACCTTGAGGCCAAAGAAGTAGGCGCTGATTCCGTCATCGAGATTTTCAAGACAAAGCTGGGAGGAACAGCACTTACCCATGTCAAGACCGTCGAAGACCCTATTGTCATCACCCCTAACGATGTGATTGGTTCTCGCGATGGCAAGAGTTTTTATTTCACCAACGACCATGGAGAAAAAGTCGGACTGGTGCGTCGACCTCTTGAACTTGTGAGAGCTCTGAGCGCTTATTAAACGGTATCAGGTTAGGGAGCTTGATACTCTAGGCCGCGCAAGTACCTCTGTTGGCTATTGCCATATCGAACACGGGTGCCATTACGCGATTCAGCATATGCATGCCAACAATGGGATTGCCAGAGGTCCTAATGGGATGGTCTACGTCGCGAACTGCGTGCGCGGCGGCCTGTACGTCCTCGAGCCTCAGCACGAAGATGTATTGGTGCTGAAAGATTATGTGGCAACAGGTAAGCTTCTGTTTGACTAGCTAGACTCACGTTTGATATCTCCAACCAGATCGCTCTCTTGATAACCTTTCCGTTGACTCCAAGGGAAATGTATGGGCAGCAGGTAGGCTTGATCACCTACGCGATCTCGTCAGAATTGCACGTCAAGATCCCTTCTGACCAACTTTATGAAACAGCCTTTCCAGATACCCTGCACATGATCTCGAAGCACTTTAGCGACCCGTCGATTCCCACTCCGTCGTCCGCTCTTCGTTTCACGATAAACAGGGGCAACAACAACACCACCAATGGAAAGAATTACCTAGTCGAAAAAGTCAGTGTTTCAGGATAACCTATACGAGCGACAAAAACTGAACGTACTGGCTCGCTATCAGCTGTTCGAGGATGATGGAGGAGTCGCATCGGGCATCACTTCCGTTGTGTATGATGCAGAGCGAGACACACTCTACTTGAACGGTGAGGACAATTTTGGCTCCCAATTTGACCGCAATGCTGATTACCTCTGGCGCATACAGGACTAGCGTCCCCGAGCTTGACAATATGCAAGCTATAGTTGTTAAATAGGCGCACATAACCTTATTTTCGGTGTCTGATGATGATGATCAGTTTTCTGAACTCGAGCTCGGATCAATGGATAAGCTCACGATCAAGTTAATTTCCGAGGGCGGTTTAGACCCGGAGCTCGGAGAGCTTATTTCAAGCATAGCGTCGACTTTGTCCAAAGCTCGCTTCGACAGCCTGTCTGACTGACCAGCATCTAAGAAGAGTTGAGCACTTTTATTTTCATAGTGGACCGTAATGCCTCAGACTTGCCTGATTCTGCGATTCATGTTGGATTCATGTCGTGGACAGGACCCGCGCATGGCATAAGATTGGCACGAGAATGTAACCATCTACGTACCCTACCCTAACTAATGGTGCCCTCGGTTTGATATCGAGGGTACTCGCCATGGTTTATTCGGGCATCTGTACCCTTAGGAGCAGAATAAACGACGATAAAGTTGATGTAGATGTCAGGTTCGAGAATGGGATGCGGTGAGTTCTTCAGGAGTCCTGGACTGGTCGACGTCGAGAGTTTGAATGTTGAACGTTGAAGTCTTGGTTCACGTAGCCGTCGTCGGCAGCTTTGTGCGAAAGATTGCCGTATGGAGCTCCCTTCCCCAATTCAAAGTATTTGAGAGTTGATGGTGGGTGTTCAAGAGAGGCAATCCAAGAGAGGCAATCCAGAAAAAGTGACATGATGTCATGTCATGTGACCGTGATTTAGACGCTCAAGGTCACCTAAGGAGAAGGTCCTGCAATTCGTTTCAACTCAACCTCTACAGTCCTCGCTTATCTATCTACCGTCCAGGATGGGCGCAGCTACCCGTCTTGCGCTCAATATTGCGCCTTCTGCGCCGCTGCAGGGGGATTCTACCAGCTTCATTTTAAACCTCTCTTACGAACATGGGGCACCAGTCCAGTTCGTGTCATCCAGCCGTTGAACAACAAGAAGTGTAAAGCCGTACCTGAACTAAAGGCTTGTGAAAGTGAGCACTCATACATTTGATATATCGTTTCTATCTAAGGAAATCCGCTAGAAATTGTTCTGCACCAGGCTACAGGTGTCATCTACCTTGCATGTTCGACACAGCAGAGTCGAAAGCACTGGACCCCTTCTTACAACCTCCTCAATGCTACGGGCGCGTCTACAACAGACTACGTAGCCACATACGATCCCTCCAACTCTCACATCACTCGCCTCACGACTCCCAACTTCAACAATGGACGAGGGCTCTCCCTACACGGGATGGATGTAGTTACGTCCTCCGCCCACCCAGAGGAACTTTTCGTGTACCTTGTCAACCACCGTCTTCCCCTTGGTGATAAACCTGCGTCAAAAGCTGGTGCTGATTCTGTGGTTGAGGTGTTCAAGACGACAGAGGGAGGCAGGGCACTGACACACCTGAAAACGGTGGAGGACCTCATCATCATCACGCCCAACGACATCGTGGGTGCTGATGACGGCAAGAGCTTCTTCTTCACGAACAATAATGGGATCCGAGTTGGCTTCGTACGTATTCTACCTAGGTCTTCGCCTTAAATGTCTAAGGGCACCTGTTTCAACCATTAGGCGCGGTATCTTGGTGTCGTTGGGCACAAAGCTGCCTCGGTAGGCTACTGCCACATCGAGGAGGGCTGCAAATTCGCCCTCGAGAAAACACACTCCAGCAATGGGATTGCCACTGCTCCTAATGGCACTCTCTACGTCGGGGATTCAACCTACGGAGGCGTCACGGTGCTCGAGCGACAGACCGACAACACTCTTGTCGTGACTGATTCGATCGCGACCGGTAGAATCCATTCCTTCTTTCGAGTGGATCCCTTCTCCTGAGTGACTCTATACAGAATACATAGTGGACAACCTTGCACTCGATGCTGATGGGCAACTGTGGGCAGCAGGTATATTACCCTTCTCGTTTATTCGATTGAAGAATTCAACATGGTACAGCTGCACCTCAAACCTTGACGGCTTGCCGCCACCTGGAAGACCCCGAGTCAAAGCAATCACCTTCCGCTGCCCTGAGGATATCCATCAACACAGGCCCGAATGCATTTTATGGAGAGAAGTACAAAGTCCAGAAGGTGAGGACATCCGCTTACCTTGGGCCGGCTCACCTATCCTGACGTTCCATAGATGTTCGAGGATGGGGGTGACCTGATGAGTGGAATCACTTCCGCTGTGTACGATTCGGAACGAAAGAGGCTTTTTATGCATGGTGGGTCCCCCCTATCCCCATACCAAAGGGTTCTCGTTGAACTTTAGCCTAGGGATCGCATCTCCACAGCTTGTCGTATGTGACATATAAAGAGAGAGAAAAGGCCATGATTGCATATTCATTTTGACATAGTGGCGTAGGGAGAGACCATAAACTAAGCATGCAAACACAACCGGACGCCGTGGAAGCACCTAGATGACGACAGTGTGGGATGCAAGGTATTTTAGTCCCAACCGCTAGTACCAGCGGGAGCCTCGGCACCCCATCCTCCAGTAGCAGCAGGCTCTGCAGACCAGTCGGTTGGTCCGGGTTGAGGGTCGGCAGACCAGTCAAGAGCACCTGGGGCCAAATAAGCTCAAACCCTCTTCTTCTCCAAATATCTGAAGGAAGGTACTTACCACCTTCGCTAGCCAAAGCAGGGTTGATTCCACCTTGAGGTGCGCTTGTGACGTCCCATTCAGCAGCGGGAACCTCAACGTCACCTTGCTGAGCAGCGAGCTTGGCCTGGGCCTCCTCTTGTTGCTGCTTCTCAACCTCCTCGGGATCTCTGTAGAAGAACATGTCGACCATGACATTCCAGCCGTCGCTTGTCCTGGGGATGGTGCCGCGGAGTCTCAGGACCTCGCGGGCGAGCAGCCACCAGATGAGACCGATCGAGTGCCTCGTCTTGTTGTTGGTGGGGATGGCAACGTCGACGAACTTGAGGGGCGCATCCGTGTCGCAAAGCGCGATGACGGGGATGTTCACGTATGAGGCCTCACGGATGGCCTGGTGATCCACGCGGGGGTCGGTGACGACGATCAGGCGGGGCTCCTTGAATGAACGGGTGATATAGTTGGTGAAGGAACCGGGGGTGAAGCGGCCGGCGATGGCCTGGGCGCCAGTGTTGGCGGCGAATTTGAGGACAGCACGGTGGCCGTAGGGGCGGGCTGAGATGACACAAACATCGTTCGGGTTCTCGACGGCAGCGATAATACGGGCGGCAAGGACGAGTTTCTCCCAGGTCTTTCCAATGTTGAGAATGTGGATGCCTAAGACGCAGAAGGAGATGAAGATAAGGGTGAACTCAAGCAGCAGATTTCGACGCACCATCGGCACGACGTTTCCAGACGTAGGGCTCCATTTGCTTATCGCAGTTTTTTGTGCCGATGTGGCATTGGGCAGCCAGGAGAAGCTGGATCTCCTCCTCAGTCGCTGCGAGGACGGACGGTAGTTTCGATGCCATGTTGTGGATAGAACCTAAGACGCGACAAAGGAGCAGTAGTCAACATCCAAAACGACGATACTGCATCCATCCCAATACAAGCTCCAATCCACTCGTTCTTGCTGTCATGTGCGAAAGATACGCTCGAAGGACGTACCGTTAAGCTACTGTGGCTTGAGGCCGGTTTGAACGACGTTCACGGTCGACTTTGGTGGTCTGGCGGTTGCGGCGGGCGTACACAAAGTTTGTCGGATTGGTTAGGGTGGCTTTCCCACGCTAGTTCCCTTTTCCAATAAATTCACTCGACCCTCCTTGCTATAACAAATTGGCTTCTACAGTCATGAGAGAGTACCTTTAAATTATGCAGTATATTCCAGAAATCATGCTTGGCCTCTCGAGAGTGGTAATAGTGAATATTGGCCATGCTGACTTCTCTCAACCTCGACGACGGTACTCCAGATACAAACCTGTACATTAATCACTGAAGGAAAATACAAAATTGCTATTAAAATACAAGTATCGACTCCCTCTAGACGCCGCCTCCCAAAATGATAACCAACGCCTTCGAATATGCTCAGTAGATGTCCTGGAACTCATTCCAATGAACCTCGCGGATCGTGTACTGCTCAAACCCGGGGTAGAGCGTGGTCAGCTGCACTGAAGTAGGTAAATCAGTCGATTCTATGCGTGTTGGAAACGTTTGCATATTGATGATTAGTCTACATCCCTACAACTCACTTCACTTAGTGAAGGATCTCTTGGTGAGGTATGAACGCTTACCGCAGAAGCGACGATGGACAAAAACCACCTAAGCGCGCAAGTTGATGAAACATGCCAACTCCTGAAAGGCAGCAAGACTCACGAGTTCCCAATGGGAGCGTACTCATTTTGTGTACTTGTAGCGACGACAGTCAAGGTTGTCGCGACTAAATACACCATGTCAGAATGAAACCACGCTAAGAACGAACTGTGCATACCTAGGAGAATGAAAAATGCAGCAGTGCCGTCTCTGATCATGAGCATCATGATAGGAGTTTTACTCCATCCGCCTTCCACGGCTGCTTTGTACTTCAACAGCGTAAGCCCTAAAATTGTTATCTGCGATGCTATCGCACCGATGCTGTGAAGGACAAACGTTATTTTTACAAGGATGACCGTTAGGTGTCACAACAGCACTTTAGGGGCAACGACGACGTACCCAAAGTACGTAAACGATGTCGGGCTCCGTAGGAGGATGTTTGACGCCCTGAACTCGTCTCCCGGTCTGTTCAGGACAATGCCCAGAATCACAGTCACAATCTCCCCCAGGATCATGATGACAAAGATGAGTAATATCCAAACATTCTTGTTGTAGAGAGCATAGACTGAACATGGCCTGAGCATTGCATCGCGGCAGAGCAGTGTGGTGTGCTTACCCCGAGCCATGAGGACGGCTTCGACAGCAGACATCAAGATGCTGCCGACAATGACCTGACATATGTACCAATTCTTCAAGTCGGTCGACACCATATTCATGTGGGATGCGATGGCACTGTCTATTCCTCTGTTAATTCTGCAACCATCTCGTGAGTGAGCATAGAAGCAAAATCACACGGGGCGTACACTTGGATGGACAAGGCGAAATATCGAGTGAATAGGAACTGCCATTTGATCCATGACCTATTCGGTTTTCTGGAGATACGGCTCGAGTCAGCGATTGCGAACAACCGTCAGAAGAGGTTCATGACTCACGACCAAATTACATTAACCTCGTCGTCGAATGTGAGGCATATCTCGTACACGAGAAAGGCGAGTGAAGCAACTATCCCGAAAAATCAGTGCGAGTTGCAAGTAAATTAAATACAGATCGACTCACTTTGCCCGCTTGCTAGAACAAGCATGGATTGCTGCGTCATTATTTCAGGGTTCCAGTTTGAAGGAAGGTCTTTAAAAAGAGTGGAATGGGGTGCAAAGCGTGAGGATTATCAAAGAGCACTGCAGGTACCTCGTGTACTTGTACTTGCCCAGAGAAACAACCTAGGAGTTGCTTATATGTAGTCGCAGCCAATAACTACCGTCTTTCACGAAGGGACTGAGTATCCATTTTCTCTGAGAAAGCTGGACCTGAAATACCGCCGTGTACCTTTGGAGTGTCACTCATCCTGCGAACGAGGCGGAGAAGTGATACCCCAAGTGGCCTTCGTCTCGGAAGTATGTTGGTCCTTTTGATCGTTCTTCGGAACGTCGAACAATCCATAGGGGCCGATGGAAGAGTCCTCGCGTGTCCGTACGAAAGTAGTTGCAAACGCCGAGAGAAACTAATTGATTCGACGGGGAAACCGACGTATGGATGGCGAAGTTGAGTGGTCGAAACTCCCATCCCACGAAAGGTGTGGAAGTGTTCGTGACGCAGAACATCTGATTGACCAACCGAGCTTTCGTCCTGTGAGAAGAAAGCGACAAGATATTGCCTTGCAACGGCAAAAATCCCTTGCCTTTGTGGGAGCGCTTTCAAGGACGATAACCCGCACCTTCTGTTACCAAGATTGAAAGGTTTTCTCGAGACTTGTTGTCATAACACAAATTCGCAGGTTTCAAAGTTTCCTACAGCCAAAATCGAGGTTCAGTCAAGCTCCGCTATAATTGGGACGTGGGTCATTCGACAATGGAAGGATGTGGCCGTCAGTGTGTGCATGTTGAGACAGAAACGCTATGAGCGGGAAGACGGTCCGGTGGCGCCTGGGAATTTTGAACCCACGTGCATGTGGCCTCAAGTCCGAGAGCGGGACGCTGGACCGCGCTTTACTTCGAAGTTCGCTATCGACATCGTCCTCCAACAGGTGGAGCAGCTTCGGCCAGCGAGAACGGCCTCCCGGATACCAGACTGACGTCTTGTTTTGGTAGACGCCACTTGTGCTATCGGCCAGCATGGAATCTTTAGACGACGTTTCACAACCAGGGCGTTCAGTTGACATTGAGCTGGGTGGACAAGAAGTTATTACGATCGACCTCGACAACCTCGACCCGAATCCAGACGACGTGTTGGACCTGTTGAAGGAAGGACAATGCAAGATTTGGGTGTGGACAAAGCTAGCTGGAGAGTACTGGAGACGCGGCTACTTGGCCGCGGCGGAACGGATTGCCCTGACGGCTGTTGAATGTGAGTTCTAGTCCGTACGTGTCCTTCCGATTGACCGAATCTGTTGTCAGCTTTCCAAAGTAGTGGCTCTTCATCATCTCTGCCCCCAATATACTCCCTCCTTGCGAACATACAAATTGCACATGCGCGTAAAGCACCCAAGCTGGTGTTGCACGATGCTCGTGAGTATTATGCTCCTCTTCTCAGATTTGACACCTGATGTCTCTACAGAGCAAGATCTCATGACTTCGGAAAAATCTAAGGAGGAATACAACCGCGACGCTGCCCAATATCTAAACACTGGGGAGCGTGTTGGAGCAGAGTCAGGTGAAGGCGTCAGTGGGGAACTGGCGTTCTTAACACGAGGTACGAGACCTCTTTTTACCTGTCCTAAATCTGTCGTCCTAGCGTTAATTTTCAGGAATCCAACAACTCGCAACCCGGTCCATGGACGACGCGCTACGGTCTTTTGACGGTGTACTAGCAGAAAAGCCTACAAATGTTGTTGCCCTTTTGGGAAAGGTAGAGTACTCTCCTCGCCTCGAATTGCAGCGAAATTGACTTCATTAGGCTCGCATCCTTTATGCCCGCCGCAATTATAAAGAATCTCTTCGGTTATTCCAGGATGTGCTACGATACAACCCAAATTGCGTACCTGATCCGCGAATCGGCATTGGACTCTGTCTTTGGGCCATGGACCATAAAGCTAAGGCAAAGCTAGCGTGGCAACGGAGTTTAGAACTGGTACGTTCTTGCGTTAAAGGATACGACCACGGCTGATCTGTTCCTAGAATCCCTCCGAATGGTCTGCACAACTGCTACTAGGGCTGGAGTCAATAAATGCTAGCAAAACTTCCGGCCTTACGGAAGAAGAAAAGGCGAGAGCCTTCCTGACCGGGACGAAATTGATTGAACGGGCATTCCACGCGAACAACCGAAGTGCAGCTGCGGCCAATGCATTGTGCGAACTGTTCTTGAGAAAGGGAAATCATGCCCGGGTATGGTAAGACTGAATATCTGAAAGGCATCTATTGATATCCCGTGTTAAGGCATTGAAACTCGCTGAGCGAACAATTCAGTTTGCAGATACCCTCACGGTTCTCACAGAAGGTTATTTACGTGCAGGCCGCGTGTCTCATGCGAGCGGTTCGAACAGCCAGGCACTGAAGTTCTATTCATCGGCAGTCGAAGGACAGCCAAAAAATGTCGTCGGTGCCATAGGGATGGCCCAAATGCAGATGCAAAACGGTGAGTCTCTGTCAAGTATGTTTTGGACATTAGCTGATCAATATGTAGATGAGATGGCTGCTGCTATTCATACCCTTGACACTCTAATCCAGCCGCCCAACCCACAACGGTCCCCCGAGGCAACAGTCATGCTCGCTTCGCTTCGAGCCTATCCTCGGCCAGGAGTGTCAAGTTCGGATTTGGCCCAGGAGAAGACGCGCGCACGAGAGCTGTTTGACCGAGTCAACAAAGTCGAGGACTCCAAATTGAATGGCGCTAGCAAGACGCCACGTGCCATCGCCGACGATATTGAGATGCATGCTGAGATTGCTCGCTTGTGGCAGGGCGACAGCCTGGATCGGATGGGAAAGGCGCTGAAGGAGGCGCTGAGGATCAGCCAGGCCACTGGAGGGACGAACCCGCGACTTATCAACAACATTGGTGTGCTGTGTCACCTTGAGGGGAACTTCAGAGAGGCACGGTCAATGTACGAAGATGCACTAACAAGTGCAACGACCCTCAACCCTGATGTAGCGGAGGGGTTGTCGACAACGATTCTCTACAACCTTGCTCGTGTATACGAGGACCAAGGAGAGGATAGTCTGGCGAAGGATGCTTATGAGAAGCTTCTTTCGCGTCATCCTGAATACATCGATGGTAAGAGCTCTTTTTCTTACTTTTGTGGGCATCCCTGACCAGCTCTGCAGCCAAAATTCGACAAGCCCAAATGCTGACGAACATCAACCGTGTCAACGAGGCTCATGATATCCTCAAGCAGGCTCTATCGTCACAAAATAGCAACTTGAACCTCCGTGCCTACTACACCTACTTCCTCGTCCACACCAACGCTGCCAAGGTAGCGAAGGAATTCGTTTATGCCACACTGAAGGACCACGACAGGCACGACATCTACTCCCTCTGCGCTTCTGCGTGGATCATCTACCAACAAGCCCGCGAGAGCCGCGAAGTGAGCACGAAAGGAATCGAGGAGCGCAAGAAGAACTTCCAACGCTCGGCTGACTTCTATGAGAAGGCTCTGCAGCTCGATCCGACGTGTGCCTTCGCTGCACAGGGTCTGGCGATCGTCACCGCTGAAGATGCACTTGGCACGATGGGCGGGGCGCTGTCGAGAACACCGGGTGTGGATGAAGGTCAGAAGCGGCTGCAGAACGCACGCGAGGCTCTGGATATCTTCATCAAGGTTAGAGAGTCTGTCAACGATGGCAGCGTCTACTTCAATATCGGCCACTGCTATTATGCTCGTGATGAGTTTGATCGAGCAATTGAAAGTGTAGGTGTTGAAGTCTTTTAGTCTTCATGAATTTGTGGCTGATTCGTGTTTATGCACAGTATGAGACTGCCTCCGGCAAGTTTTACAACAACCAGAATGTTTCCGTCCTTCTCTGTCTCTGTCGGTCATGGTATTCCAAGGCCATGAAGGACCAATCCTATCCTGCGATGAAGACTGCCCTCAAATATGCACAAATGGTTAGAGATCTCGTCCTTCGCTGTCTTCGCCCCGCTGACTTCGTGCTACTAGGCGCTGCATATGCATCCCAATGACAAGGCAATCGTCTACAACATTGCCATGATTCAGCAAAAATCGGCTGAATTGCTTTTCTCCATCCCTGTCGCAAAACGGTCTCTCAAAGACCTCCAGAAGGCCGTTGATTCCGCCATGCATGCCCAAAAGCGAGTCTTTTCCCTTGATGACTGAAGAAAATTTGCTAACCATTTTGTTAGACTCTTTTCCTCCTTGGCCGCGGACAAAGCGTCCGTCGTACCGTACGACCGCGACATCGCCGACAACAGGCGAAAGTACGGTGATGGTATGCTGCGGAAAGCCGAAGAACACCTCGCAAACCAAAGACAGCACGAGAACGAAAATCAAGCTCGTATTGATGCGGCGAGAAAGAGGCGGCAGGACGAACGGGAGCGGCAGGAGGAAGTCGAGGTACGTGCTCTTCATCTACGTTCAGCATAATTCCTTACCTATTTCTTCGATAGCGCAAACGCCAGGAGGAGCTCCGTATCGAAGCCGAGAAACTGGCGGAGGAGCGCCGTGTCGCTCGTGAGCAAGCCATGGAGTGGACACGAGAGGTTCGGATGGACAGCGACGAGGAGCGAGAACGCAAGCCCAAGAAAGCGAAAAAGCCCAAGGCAGACGTGGTCAGCGGAGACGAGGGCGAGGCTCCAAAGAAGAAACGCCGTGGCAAGCTAAAGAAGGCGACGGCCTCGAGCGACCAAGAGGATGGAGACCAGGCGATGTTCAGCGAGGAGGATGCAGAACCGCCGAAGAAGAAACGGAAGGGCAAGCTGCAGAAGACTTCGAGCGATCAGGGGGATGAGGATCAGGCTATGTTCAGTGAGGAGGATATTGAGAAGCCTGCGAAGAAGGTGCGTCTTCTGGTTGTTTCTTGTTTTGTTGGATTTCTGTCTAACTACCGGGCATCTCTGCAGCGCGTAACGAAGAAGCGAGTGGTCCGCGATGACGATGATGAGGACACAAACCCACGTAAAAAGCAGTTCAAGAGCAAGGAGATGTTATCCGATACCGATGATGAGGACATGGCCGCCGCATAACGATTTACTCACTGGTTTGGTTTGCATTTGCTCTGTTAAGGACAATCTTTTATGTACTGTAGCATCTGGGCATGTAATTATACGATTTTCAGGCTTGCGTCCCCATATCCGAGATAGAAACAAAGCAATTCTTTTTCAAATGCCCGAGCAACACCTGCATCATCATACATAAGAACGGCCAGTTTGCGTTGCTACCACTCGCTGCTACAGGGTTTTGCATGAAAGATTGAACACTCGGATTTTTTCAGCGCATCACGTGCGGGCTCCCACGTCGGGTAGATCTAATCTACGCATCCGACTTGCACCATTCCTGCGGTCGTGTACCACCAGAAATGTCTTCCAACCCTCAGTATTAATATTATTGAGAGATCCCTGCTTGGAGTGGACAAGACTTGCCCCAGGATCATGGTGTTGAACTCGTCGGATCGTGAGTTATGCTAAAAATAGGTTGATCCTGTCCAAATCCGGACGCACAATCTTATCGACGAAAAATTGGTGGTTTCAAGGGTTTTCGGAAGCAAATCTGTGCGTTCTGGAGCCCAGGGTTTTCCGCTTGCGTGCTGAGATTTCCACCCAGGGTTTTCCTACTTGGACGGGAATTCCCAGGATCCAGGGCGAGGTGCCGTTATCGATAATCGCCAGCCTTCCTTCTTATCTCCCGTCTTTGAGTTGGACAGCTACGTTTCTCGCCGTCGTCCTTCCCCCATCTCAAGATTATTGCTTCCCTTCTTGTGAACCAAACCGCAAGCCTCTCAGGACAACCAAGCTGTGAACCCCAGTGGTTATGTGTCCCTTGCATAGGGACCAATACTGCCAGTATGCAAGGAGAACACGAGAGGACCGCCTCGTCGACTTTTGACGAGCACATAGCATGGTAAGTCGATTCAGTCACCTTTCCACTGAGTGCTACACCTTTCTTAGACCACGGGGCATCCTTCTTCCAATCTGGCGTGCCGAACACGATTGTTGCCTATGGGGCAAAGTAATTCTTTTCCTTTTTCACTTATCGTTTTATTACTTATAACCATTCATTCACCTTAGCATCTTCACAACGCCGTTGCTCGTTAACCACACGTACCGTGGTCTTCTTTGCGGATATGGTAGTTGAGTCTTTCATTGTCGAGCCTCGTCCTGTGGTCCCATGTGCGTCCCAATCTTACGTTCTCACTCCATCGTGACTGACTGCAGACAATTCATGCCTTCCAGATTGAAGCAAGCACACAACGACTTGCAGAGAATGATGGGAAGCGTTGTGTCATTGAGACGCAAGCCAACACACCTCACAAACTCGAGACGTACTCCACGACTGCGAGGAGGGCGTTCGTTTCACTGCCCGACTCGGAACATCTCTGCGTTGAGGACCCCCCACTGTATGCCCTCTCTCCCTCTCATAGCCGCCCTTCTGTGCTGCTGTCATCGCCTGTACAGAATCTGGCACTCGGTATCCCCATCCTGGCAGTGGCCTATGCCACTCGTGTCGTCTTGCGGCCATTCTCCCTCCATGATGATACAAGGATTGCATCAATGTAAGTCGCTATCTTCTCTCCACACTTCAACCTTCTAATTCAATGTTGGCACTACAGCTACGATGTATGCGCTCACCGGAGATGCTTCAGAACTGTTTCTAGTGTAGAATAAAGTTATGTCTATCCTACGAAGGGCATGTAATTAAATCGGAAAATAAAGTAAAGTATAACAAGGAGAGAAAATAGCTACTCAGACCCAAGGCAATCAACACGAAGGTACTGCACCCCATTCACCTGATCAAGAGGGACTCGGGTGTCCCAGGCATGTTGACTAGGTCAAATAAACAAAAGAGAGCACGGCCATTAACAAATTGAATGCGGGAGTTCAGCATCATTGCAAATGCCTCGTCTTCCATCGAGAATTCTTGACCACAGCTGCTGGTGGCATCTTCAAAAACCTTGTCGTATAACTCCCGGACGGTGGAAAGGAACTTGAGCAGATGGAACTGAACTCCATCAGTGAATATACCTATGGGTTGTGGCCACTCAGGCAACGACTGGTCGGTGGTATCTGCTTTGGCCTTCTGACGAACGCCATCAGCACAAATCCCCTTCCTGTGGTTTTCGGGTGCTCCGGTTGGACCTGGATACATGACTGCCTTGCACCGCGAGCATATTGCGACCTTACGCTAGTGAGTAAAGAGACGATTAGCATTATAATATCTCATTAGATGAAATTGACTTCTACCTTTCTGATCGCAGGACCTGCGTTCACATTTGCGTCGACACCCTCCGATTTTATCACCGCCTGCACAGTAGTGCAATGCTTTTGCCAGAAGATTTCAGTGCCGCTACGTTGGGCTGCAAATATCCTGGTTAGTTGGGATGGATTGATCAGAAGAACCGAAAGCACAAACAGGTGTAGTTTTTTGTCGCGACGTGTTTCACAATTATGGCTTCAACTTCCCCAAGCTTCTCCATCAGGGCTCGTGGATTCTTCTTTACCACGGCCTCCCTGTTCACCTTCCCCTGCGTCTCCAGACACGAATTAAACAGCTGAGTCGCAGAAACCCATTTCTGAGATGTCATCGAGAAGGTCACCCACTGAAATTCAGCGCGCATGTCCATGAACAAGAAAAATTCACTCTTCCCTTTGATTGAGAGGGATAGTGGATTTATCGAAGTTGCGACAGAGAACAGGAGCTGAGAACGTGTCAGGTTTGACTGCGCTGGTGGTTTGGATAGAGGGGCTGTTAGTGAGTCCAGTGTTTCTTTAGCATGAACTTGATTTCCAGTCATGTTCACCAAAGGTCCAAGACTTTGCTCAGTTTGGTTTTTCGTCAATACCGGTCTGAAGAACATATCGACTTCGCTCCTTTGCGACTGCGGTGCTGGAGCAGTGATTGCATGGTCATGGATGGCTTGTTCCTCTGTCTGGAGGCAGGAATGAATGAGCATCGTGAATCAGCCCAAGTAAGTAAATTTCACGCACTGAACTTATGTCCATAATTGAGAGCAGGCTCAAGGACATTGCTTCTGCCTTCTCCGAGCCATCGACTTGGCGTAAACGCTTTGCAGCCGGTGGACTTTCAGCCGCACCTGTTACAGAGCCACCCTCGCCCTCAACTGTAACATGATCAGCGTCAGCCTTTCGCTTGCCCTTGCTGCTCGTTGGAGGTCCAGAGCCCATTACAACAATGCTGCCATCACCATCGCCATCGCCGTCTCTGTCACTCAACATCTCATCGAGTATCTGTAAATCGGGGTCAAGCTCAGGCTCATCCTTGACTACAAAGAGCCTGCCAAATGAAGTTGTATTCTCAGAGACCACAAGCCCAAAAGTCTCTCCACTTGCAACTCGTGGAAGAGTAGGGGAAAGACGCAGCTTCTGCTTTGATGGCAGCGGCTCTTTCTGGTAAAGAGAGTTGAAAAGGTGAGCCGCAAAGTCAACGAGGGAAATATGATGAGACTCATGTGCTGATAATGCAAATTGATCAGCTGTTGTCAGATTTTTGGCGTTCTTGAGACGGGTGGACCCAATACGCAAATTTTGGCGGAGGACAAAGTCATGGGCAAGACCAGCATAAACTTCCAGCCCACTCGGTTGTGCTCGCTGCAGCAAATTCCATGCCTTATGAGAGCCCTCGATTCGGCTGCCATCTGATGCGATATCCTGACAGCGGCGAGCAAGGCACCCTTTTTTAACATGGGCCAGCTGATCAGTATGGACCTTTGCAACATCATTGGGTTAGTTAAGACTCATGAAATACCACTTGAAACTAACCTTTGATGCCTGCGTCAACCAGATATTGCCGTGCTTCAACCATTTCTCAAACGCATGCTCAAGTCTCTCCTCCTGCTCATCCTTTTCCCAATACTTTGCTGGCCCATTCTTTCCAGCTGGTTGTTTTATTATGGAATTTCGGATGTCTAGAAGGACTTGGCTTCGGTATGGATTTCGTGCTCCATTTATGAGGACACTGCCATATCTTCGAGGTAGTATTAATTTGCCAATCTAGTAAATTCCAACCTGTGCAGGAGCACTCACCGACTCATGAAATGATGCACGTCAAGAACAACATCTGAGCCTGGCAGCCCACCCGACACATGCCAACGGACCTGGCAGCAGTTATCAACAACAACAGTGTTTGGCTGTGGGACTTGAAGCACGTCGTGGCGCTTCTTTATTCCCTCCAAGACTACGCGGGTTTCTTCTGGAGAGGCACTCTGACAGAAGCGCTGATTGTTAGATTAAAATATAAGTGACATTACCATGAACTACGCACCCAGGCCAGCGTTTCACTTCTTTCATTGATGACACTCAAAATGCCACCCTTAAACATTTTGGTATGAGTCTTATCCTTTTCAAGTATTACTGCCTTTTTAGCAGACCTGAAAGTGTTGTCAAGCGAGAGGCATTTCCCTAAGCATTTGAGCGTATAGTAAGTTACATGCATTGTCTCATGTGCAAGCTATACTTACCTGTTCTCGTCTGACAGTAATTGTGGGATTCTCCCTCACGCGTCTTCTTAATGAAGTCAAGGTAGATATCCGTTATCAAGTCGTTGGTTATGAAGGCATCACTGTAGCCGCTTTCCTGACCAGGCTCAGAAAACATCTCAAGGTTGGTTCTCTGGCCTGGAAATGGGTGAAGATGGGCAGCTTCGAAGCAGGAGAGGTACTCCAGTTTTCGCTCATAATACTCTAGCAGGTGCAGTTCTGATAATCATGTCCAGTTAACGTCATTCCATGTCTTCCCCTGGTAATTTCACTTATGCTTGAATTGTTCTGCAAGACCAGCTGACATTGATGATGGTCGTAATTCGACTATTAGGTCATAAAGTTCCCGTGTAACTGCTGTCCTTGTCATGAAGTATGGGATACTTCCTAATGGTCATGAAGTATGGGATACTTCCTAATGGTCATGAACGTCAATGTGAGTTCCTCAGGCTTCTTCTATACATATAAACTCACTTGGTATTCTCCAGTGCTCCCACTTTTTCCAGAATAGACAACTAGTTGTTGCGAAGCAGTACCCTGGTGCGTTTGGCTCATCACTCTGCTCTGAGCCGCCTTTCCCATATTTGGCCTTGCACTCCTTGCAGCGGAGCTGATATCCAAGTGCGCGCTCTTCTCTCCGAACTCCATGACCTCATGGGCACCAGTTGCGGTCCAACCATCCCATAAAGTCTCGTTTGACCCACATGCAGGGCAGCCATCTAGAGCACTGGGATAGAACACCAGGTGAATGACTGAGAGGCATGAGGTAGGCAGTTTCTGGCATGATTCTTGGTGTCGGACTCCTTCTCATGAAGTGCAGATATGTTGGTGGGAAAAAACGCGGCCCAAGAAGGGGAATATCTGTTCCGAGACTAGGAGCAACTGGTGCTTTCGAATTCTTGTGCAATGAGGTTCGCTGATGAAGGTAGTCCACGTATTCAACAATCTCGGCCTCCCATTCTAGCTGGTGCCTGCTCCTTGACTGCTTGTCTTGGTGGTTAAGCCAGCCTTTCAAGCGTTTATCAACCTGATGAAACGGTCATTTGCAAGCACTGGATACTAAGTTTCAGGCCACGTACATTCGCCTTCCAATTGCTCTCAAACTGTCGCTTCTCGGCCAGTGTTCCTGCCAGGTTCTTCAGCATCTTCCTCACAATGCATGGCTCAAAAACATCTCCAGAGATTGACATAGCTGGAGTTCAGAGACGAGTAGGCGAAACTCGAAACATTCGGCTCCTCATATATATTGCCAATTTCTTAATGATCGCCTCTGCCACCTGATCACTTAGCCCCTCGTCCCTGTACCACTTTGCTTCAGTCTGTACCATATATGTGATTGCCTGATGCTCTGATTTACATAGAACCCTTGAATACACCACTATTATAATAGATTTTAGGGCTGGCGTTCTCCTAGCACTGAGTTATGTAGCCTTCTCATGCGATACCAAGTCTAAGAAGTGTTATGGTGCCAAGGGTGCTCATCTGTTGAGTTGACAGTTGAACTCTGTTGACGAGGTGTAGCCGAGGATTCTAAACCAACCGCATAAGAGCCCAACATATGAAAAATCTGGAAGAAGAGCGCACCTTTAGCCCGTTGAGCAACTTGAAGTTGATGCTGTATTTCATGTTCTCGTGCCAGCCTCCTCTGCTCCCATTCCTGAATCTTTAATCGAAGTTTTTGGGGCACGTTGTGATGCATGGACTATAGCATGGAGGTGGCAGGTAAAAAATGGATGGCAAGAGAGAGTCTGAGGAGTGTTTCATTCGTCTGGCTGGCTAGACCTAGGGCAAGGTTAGGGTCATCTCTGCGGTTGCGGTGATGCAATTGAATGAGTATGAGTTGGTGGTTATCATACAATCAAGTGTTGAGATGACTTGTGTGAACCAGAAGGCCAGCAAAGTTCGAGGGCAAAGTGATGGTTTGCGACAGAACAGGAATTCCCGGCCTGAGCGACAGCCGACGATTCCCTCGCCCCGTCTTATCTTATCCGGCTTCTCAGCCAGAAGAGAACTCAAAGTACTTCGACTCAAGGAGGCATTGACAATCACAAACAGGCTTAAAGTTACAAGAAATATAATACAGATTGGCATGATAGATATGGTGCTTTATTTCAGTCATCTCCTGTTAAATCAATAATGTCATCTTCGCCTTCATCGAGGGTGAGATCGATGACACTATCGCGGTTGCTCTGATTGCCTGTCGTTCGACCAACATCTAACCAGTTATGCAATTCTTCATCAGCCATGAGCGCATCAACCTTCAGGTCACCAAGATCAGCAGCGTCATCGTTGTCATCCGAAGACTCAATCTCAATGACTTCTGATACAAGGGAGTCAAGGGTTTGCGTAGACGGGCCTTCGCCCTTGGGGTTCTGGTTCAGATGCTGGGACACATGGTCTTAATCTCTGCACTACACTGAGGAAATTAGTACGTACCTTTTGGCAACGCTTCTGAGGCAACGAAGCTTTCTTTGTCCCTCCGGATCGGTGTTTGCATATCCTGTTGGTCTTGCGGAGATGTAGTGAGCAGTCTGAAAACATAAACAGACATTACACTTACTTTTTGACCACTATGACTTGCAGATGTTCCTCCTGTTCGGGAAGCAGGGCCCAAAACAAGAAGATTAGGTGGCAGGAGGGGTGCCGGGACCCACATCTTGATAACGTCAGTGTCTTTTCCAATGAAATTGCTGCTCATCAAAGAGACAAGGTTGGAAGTTGATACGGTAAGCTTTGGCTGCCGGCCATCGTTGACAGTGGAGGCATAGCGGTCCCGCCGCACCTCCATGGAGGCGTTGAGAATCTCGACATGCGCTGTCGGTGTCCAGATTGAACGACTGCTCGCATCGAACACGGACAGCGGCTATATTCAAATTTGATGTCAGACGTCAGAACATGGAAGGAGAAGGATAAGCACCGAGCAAATCATTTGTAGAATGACCCCTTCCCAAACTGTATTTGAAAACTTATCTCAGAGTTTTGCCTCCTTTCTCAATTGAAAGTTGACCTGGCAAAATTGGGCGAGGTTGAAGATGGATACCTCGCGTGACATCCACGATGTCGTATCAGGAGCCTGATAATGGGGTGGCTCTGACCAGGAGGTAGCAGGACAAAGGTAGAGGTTGAGTACTTCTCGGTCAGGAAAATCGTCGAGGATATTGTCGGCAACATGTGGCTGGTGGCTACTCATCTGGCCTAGGGAGTTTGTCCTGAGTTCGTCTTGCATAGCGACCCGCCATTCCACAAGGAATTTGTTGAAGGCATCCCCCTGCATAGAAGAAGCGGCGTCAATCAATTGATCTCCGAAACCGCACTTTACCATGGCCTGAGCAATGGCAGGGCCGCAATCCATTACACCTGCACTGTAGTCACCACCAGATAGCAATGCAAAGAGTTCAAAGCTTCCGTGCGGGAAGCCGGCATCTGCGAGGGCAGCTGATGTGTACACCTCATATTCGTCATCGAAGTTCTTCTCCTTGTTCCAAATGCTATTCATGATTTGAATGATGACCACTGAGCTACAACACATGTATTGAAATAACAATGGGGCTCACGTTCGAAGCACTAGATTGGCTCCGAAGACAATCGCGTCGACGTCGCTCGTGATGACACCGTCGATGTAGCCTTCTTGATTGAGTCTTGCCAGCTCCGCTTCCCCTTTGCCAGGTGCCTACCGCACTTCAGATGCGGAATACAAAAAGAGGATGTTTTTTGCACCTGATGGACTTGAAATCCAAAATATCGGATCAAGTCCTTCGTGTCCTCGAGCCACCATGGCTTCTGGTCAGCGCAGACTTCGTGGCCTCGTTTGAAGGCAGGCCGGTTGGGTCCATCAAAAATGAACACCAGAAAAACTGGTGTTCATAGAAAGGCTGCAAGCTTGTTGAAGAAAATGTAGAGGCCACCTCCCGGGAGTTGGTTGTATACCCCAGGTTTCCGTGTAGTGCCGATGCAGTCAGCGATGCACGGACTAGATTACAAGTTAGCACGACAAATGTACAGCCTCTACATAGGGACTACGTACCCCATATCAACGCCGAGACGTAGCCTATGGTCACCGTGTCCATTGTTTTGTGCGTCGGCCTGTGCCTTGTGCTCAATGGCAAGGGAGAGCAGGGTCTTGCGCTCGGCTGTGTGAGAAATCATCTACAAGCGCCTGGCACTCATCAGTCTCATGGCTCATTCGTTATGTGTAGTCCGTTCTCACCTGCCATAGCCCTCGAACGCCCATAGCAAGCAAGATGCAATGTGGGTGCAGGAGTCAAAGCCTCAGCCTAGCAGCCACTGAGACATTTTCGCGGTTGAAACATCTGCGGTGGTGGCTTGCATTCGCTCGTTCAGGGCTCGTTGCTCATGGCGGCTCTTCGCGCTTAGTCAGTGGGTTGTGTTCGTGTTCGTGATGAGACGTGGCATTGTTATCCTACCAGGCACCGCAGGCTTCGAATTCCCCTTCGCCCTCGGCCAGCGCCGTGGTGGAAGAGCGCCCTAGGACTGCTCCACGTCATCGGTGATGTCAGCTCACGGGACGCACGTGTACTCTCCCACAGCCTTCGGTCGCGGTCAGTCCTCGTTGGGTCCCTTCGGTCTTGTCGGTTCCTTGACCGATTCTCGTCCCAATTCGGAAACCCCTTGGGATGGCGAAGCTGCCTTATCGACGCCGTTGACACTATTTCATCCAGCACCACTATACATACCATGCTCATCTGAGACTTGTAGATGCTTCAGCAGAGCTGTTATCTACGTGGTAACGTGCTGGGAAAAGTCGCACGTGATGCGCGGGGACAATCCGAGTGTTCAATCTTTTATACAAAACCCTGTAATACTTCTTCTGGGTCAGATTCAGACTCTGTGATGCCAATAGATGGCAGAAGGCTAATACGCTCTGCCATTAAGTCGGGCAGCGACTGACAGCGAACGAGCTGTTAGCATACAACACCCGGGTTTCCTCACAGGAGGCACCACAAATTTCGGTCCCATTGACTATCTGGATGCCAACCTCCTTTCGACCATCGATCCCGCCCTCGCCACTAGGGAAACCTGACCTGGCGTCGCGCGCCAATGCTGGCCAGGAAAGCGCCATCGATAATTTTGGGAGAACCGTCCTTGAGGTGACGGAATTCGACGAGTTAGAGGGACGGTCTAGTACAACACCGCAAAACGTCGCAGACATGGCCTTCAACCTCCCGATTTAATGAACATCCCTTGCATTACCATGGCTGGGACACGCCCATGCTTTTACGAGGTGCCAGTTACACAAGAGCTCAGCGAGGCCGTTATTTCTGGACAATAGCCCGAGCAGCCCAAGATCGTGACGTATTGCGCTCCCCCCTCCCGCCGTCGGTCGGGGGCATGGAAATACCGGATTATCGTCGAATTGCCTTACAGTATTACGATGCTTTCCGTGGATTCGCAAAGGGCTGCTGGGCTGAGTTCGTTGCTGGCATTTAAGGAATGAAGGGCGGAACGGCAAGCTGCAGACGGCCTCGAGTGACCAACAGAATGAGGATCAGGCTATGGCGACAGAAACAAAGCAATTTTTTTTCAGATGTAAATCCCCTCGACGATTCAAGTAACTCAGAACTCCAGCAGGCGCTGAGCTTGTGGGCACCCCGCCAAACCAGAGTATGACTACTTATAACGCGGGGCAGAACGCATGCTCCCTCATCAACACAATCGCCTGCTTATGCTGGCTAACCGCGAGGACGATAAAGCAATGCCATATCGCATGCGAGCCCCCACCGATCATGTCCAGCCTGCGCCTGATGTTGTCGGGCAGGATACGTTCGGGGAAGTGTGCGGCGTAGAAGGCGAGCCCGACGAGGTAGGAGATCAGGGACGGAAATACGGGCGCTGTCACCGAGATGTGGGGTGTAAATAGATGGACGGAGAAGAAAGGAGGGGAGGAGGGACATACCGACGAAGGCGAACATATCTTGTCGGGAGTGCAGGATTGCGAGGGCGACCAGGGGTCCAATGGCGGAGAATGCAAGGGTTAGGAAGAAGCCCATGCGGTGGAACTAAAATGGCTATGAATGTGGGTCTGGGTAGATGGAAAAGAATGGCACGTACGCGGTACTCGTGCATGTTGAACCACTTCATGAACGGGAAAACATTGCCAGCTATGCCGGTGGCAAGGCAGAGCCCAAGGAAAGCATGCCCGACGTGTGGATGGCACTGAAAACCATAATGCACGATGGTGGCGACGCTCGCGCTGATCAGCCTTTCATAAGTAACGCGGTGTCAGTTAGGTTCGAGTAACGCAGCCGAAGGGGAAGGGGGTTCGGTATTCACCATCCTATGCCTACGTAGTCCACCCGCGCACAAAGTTCCATGCTGCGATGGTCCGCGCAGCCCGACATTGTGTGCCAGAGTGCACTACACAGCAGGCAGAGCAGGGCGAAGGACATGAAGAGCAGCTCAGCCGCATCGGAGGCGTAGGTATCGTTGAAGAGAGGAATAAGGTTGATGGCCCAGAAGAGGAAAGGAATTAAATGCGTGTGGATGTTAACTGAGGAAAGTTCAGGAGAGGAAAGAAAGAGGCGAGAGAGAGGACGCACGTGTCTCGTTGTGTAATGCAAATAAGGACATCACGATGAGAGGCCATCTTTCTAGTGGAATAAATCTGTGAAACGTGTGAGCAAAGCTTCTCAAGGAGAAATTTAGCTTACCGATAGCCGTATGTAACAAATGGGTTATTCCGCCACTGATGAGGGAGGTCGGAATAATTGATGAGGTGCATACCCTCGAATGAACGCCTAATAGCGTTGCCGACTTCGTGGGTTGCCCAGTCGAGTATCTCCTCTCCTTCGCTGATGACGTCCGCGACATCCGGAGTTGAATCGAGGATGTCCTTGATCACATCAGAGTTCAGCAACGATTCGAGGAGGTCGAACAGGCTGTTGTTCGGTTTGAAGGAGGCGGCGGGGGCTTCGAGCTTGGACAGGTGGGAATGCAGGTTCTCTAAATGATCGGATAGCTTGGGTATGTAGCTGAAATCAAGTTCGTGAAAGCGTGTGCGCACGTCGTCGAGTTTATGGCGCATGTCGGATAGGTGGGATCGTACGTCTTCCATGTCTGGCAGGCGTGAGCGCATTTCGGTCATGTCTGGGAGCTGGGGCATGTCGGGCAGGTGCGCGCGCATCTCTGCCATGTCGGGCAGGTGTGAGCGCATCTCCGCCACGTCAGGCAGGTCTGGAAGGTGCGACCTGACGAAGCTCTCCACGGAGGAGAGGTCGGCGAAGTGGAACTCTGGGAGATGTGAGCATACATCCGCACGGATACCCTCGAGCATTTCAAGCGCTGTACGGGCCCACTGGGTCGCTTCCTCGATCTTGAGCTCGCCCCATGCCTCGAAATCCGGTGATTCGAATTCGTTGAGGCGACGTTCGAGGTCCGCAAGGTAGGAAAGGACAAGAAAACGTAGAGAAGCAAGAGTTTGTGTTGGTGACGCTGAAGAAAGGTCCAAGGCCTCTAGGGAAGGAGGCAACGACGTGCAGAGCTTGATGGGTGGGTGCACGGAAGATGGGGCCGATAACCTTCGCTTTGTTCCGCGAGGGCGAAGGGTTGCAGTCGACCTGGCCATGCCCGAAGCGACGACGCTGTAAGCAGCTGTGGGGGTCGTCGCGGTCGTCGCGGTCGTCGTCGTCGTGGCCGACATAAAGAACGAAGGTGAGAAAGAAAGAGAGGAGAGCTAAGCGATGATGGCAACGATAAATATCGGTGGGGAGCAGGAGAATCAGGCGCATTTCAGCCTGACCGTACGCCAAGAAGCCTGGGAAACAATCAGCTGACTAATTAGTGATCCGAGCCCCACTGCTCCGTCCGGACTTCGAACCGCCTCAGTCATCCGACTATTTCTGACTCTGAGCTCGCTTTATAACAGGTCGCAATGCCTCTGCGCTGGCCATAAAACTCTTTCAACTATTCCCCCGGAACAATGACCGTCTCCTCTATCCCCAGGCTCTTCATCGCTGGCTTGGGAAATATCCCGTATCCGCTAACCAGACACAGGTATTTCAAATTTGCCGCTAGAATCACATTCGTCCTTTTGATGAGCCATACAGCGTCGGCCAGCTCGTCGTAGATGCGCTTGCCTACAGGCTAGGCATTCGCATGGCTTCCGTTCGAGGTGGCTACTCTGGCCACGGCACGGCCCTTATCGGAGACACGTTGGTGGACCTAACGCTCTTTAAGTCCAGTATGCATCCCCACCTTGGCCTCGTTCGTTCTCCCATGCACTCACCCTTATTTCAGAGTCTTTGATGAACATATCTGGGCCGTCTATCGTTTCAGCCTACCGTCAAACTGTTGCCAACCCAAACTCTATGATCGTTCTTGTTGATTCGCTGGAGCATCGCGTTGAAGGACTCTCCGTCAAACTTGGCGGCTCCGCGAACGGGCACAACGGAGTAAAGAGCATAATTTCTGCCTTGGGCGGCGAGCTAGGTTTCTACCGGTTCCGTATCGGCGTTGGGAGGGACCAGACAGACGCAGCCACATACGTGATGCGTCAACTGTCCTCCCACGAGCGGCGTTATTGGGAGAACGATGGCCTCGACCTTGTTCTTAGAGAAATCGAAAAAGTAGCAATGAAAGCTGGCTAAGGGAAAAATTTTCGCGTATGAACTATTAATATGGGTACGTATTATTATTTTTAACGCTCAAATGCTTCTATCTGACTTGCCACGACATGAAAAGCAGTGCTGCCTTAGCTTCTCGGAGCGCTCATGGCTGTACACGCAGAGCACTAACGTCGCGCCCAGGACACGGGTCATTCGCCCTCCTGCTGCCGCGTTACGTTCGTCTCGTCAACTCATGCAAGCTTCCTAGGGCTCGCGCGTTGATAGGTTGCCTCCGTGTCATTAGGAAGGTTTATTATAGATTATACTCAACCCCTGCTCTTCATGTTTTTCAGCGCTGATAGCCATCAATCGCCTCTCGTCCCGTCCATGCGACACGGTCAGACATGACCAGCCTTGCGCAAATTATCGACCGAGTCATATGAAGTAGCGACAGTTAAAAGCTGTCAAGTTTGTACATCCTTAAAACCATCGTCTTGACCTCGGAATCGAGTCATCTGTCTCGTCCATCCCTTTACTGACCTCAAGAGTCTGCTATCCTCCTGTTATACCCAGCACTCAACTAGCCCTCCTCGCCCACCCTCGAAGATGTCCTCCAACTCATCACGCACACCATCACCAACTAGCAAGACCCCCATATCGACGTTCATAATCCCTACACCCGCCTCCGAGGATCACATAACGCGGTACAAAGAGATCCGACTCGCAAGCCTGCTCACGAACCCCGAGGCATTCGGGTCGCGCTACGGCAGCGAGAACAACGGTGGCAGCGAGTCTGCGCTCACGTTCGCCCAGTGGGAGGAGCGCGTCAACACGCCCGGGCGGAGCATCTTCGCCGCTGTACCGGCGTCCGGCCCGAGCGCATCACTTTCTCCCTCGCCTTCTCCCTCGCCTTCCCCTCCTCCTCAGCAAGCCACCATTAGCCTTAATGGCGTACACAGCGAACCACAATGGGCCGGCACCCTCTCCCTCCTCTCCCCAGCCATGCTCGCGGGGATCCCGAAAGGCCTTTCGGACCCGATGCACGTCGCCTACCCACCCGAGATCGCTGAGGCAGAGCGGAGGGGCGACGCAGAGATCTGGATGCTCGTTGGGATGTGGGTTCGGCCAGGGTATCGTGGGCAGAGCGTTGGGAGGATCTTGATTGAAAGGGCTTTTGAATTTGTAAGGCAGGATGAGGGGATCGCAGAGCGAGAGGGGGATAAGGAGAAGGGAGCAAGGAAGAGGAAAGACAAGATCGTGATGCTGAGGGTGATCAGTTCGAATGCGTCTGCTGTCAGGTTGTATGAGAAGGCGGGATTCAGGAGGACGCCCATTGATGATGCCGAGTTGGAGGAGGGACAGTCGCCTGGGCAGAGTTGGATGAGCATCAAACTCTTTTCGAAGTGATTATGGATGGATGGTATTTTTGTTTTATTTTTTGCAACTAGATGGGGGCGTTATTACAGACATGAAGGGATAGCTTAGAATATTTTTTGTTTCTTTATCATATACTAGCGCTGGTAGATTTTCGAGTGGCAGACAGATGCAAGTCAGGTAAGATTTTTTTTAAGAAATCGAACTCAGAGATGTCCTGCCGTGTCTTGCCTGTCGCATTCGCAATATAGTTAGACGTCCAGGACTCACAGCCGCGATCTTCAATTGCAGACATTCTTTGATGGATTCAATGCCATGAGCTGCTCGTCTGTTCTTGCTTCAGCATCGAATTCAGTCTGTATTGTTAGATATATACAGGTACTGAAAGGGATGATACGTGCTTTGTCGGACTGTCCTTTCCTGATCGGCATGAAAGGTGATCATAGCGTCAGGCAAACCACAAAGCGGGCCGTGAAACAGTGGGTCCTATTACCTTTTCTGGAAATCAAGAAAGCGGCTGCTGAGAGCACTCCGGGTCCACACATGCGAAGGACGCTTTCAAGAGCAGAAAATAAAATCCAATAGCGTTCTTGAAGTCCCACTTCGTTTATGACAGGTGTCTCTTGAAGGAATCAGAAGGAATCCGGAGGAATCTTATCTCCAACTGGCGGCTTGCCAAGAAATACGAATGTTCCGCGGAGTCAATTGCTCGTCGATCGCGCCACCAGCTTATAAATCGAGTCCGTTGTGATATAATATAATTCCTGTCAGGTCAACAAAAGGTTCAAAAGGGCCCCGGTGCTTAAGAATCAGGCGTCATGAAAAGGAGGAAGACACTCTGAAGGGAGGCTCTCAAGACCTTGGCAGTGGGACGCGTTTCCTCTATAAATACGGCCTCCCAAACCTTGACCAAAACAACAAGCGCCCGCACGTCCATGTCTTCATCTGCACCTATCAAAGTCGGTTTTGTCGGCCTCTCTGCCTCCGGCTGGGCTGCCGACATCCTCGGTCCTTCCCTCCTCGAGCCTTCCGTCCGTCCCAAGTACGATCTCGTCGCAATCTCCACCACATCGCCCGAGTCGGCCAAAGCCTCAGCGGACAAGTACGAAGAGAAAGTCGGCCACACTATCAAAGCGTATCACGGTGACACGGCGAAGATCGCCAATGATCCCGACGTCGACTTCGTTGCAGTGGCGGTCAAGGTCTCTGTGCATAAGCAGGTGATCCTTCCTGTCATCGAAGCGGGAAAGAACTTCTTCTTGGAGTGGCCGGCTGGTGTTTCATTGAAGGAGACGCAGGAGATTGCGGACGCGGCGAAGGCGAAGGAGCTCAAGACACTCGTTGGGTTGCAAGGCAGGCATTCTCGGGCTGTTTCGAAGGTGCGTATTATATGCCGAATTGTAGAGTGATATTAATAAGGCATCTAGGTCAAGGAATTGCTCGCGGCTGGGGCTATAGGACGAGTGCATTCAACGCATGTAGTAAGCAGTTCTCTATCTCGAGGTGCACTCTTACTGTAATTTCGCCACTTGTAGGTCGCTCACCTTGGAAGAGAGCTCATCGCATGGCCTCCAGTGGTCCTCGAGAGACTCGTGTATCTCTCCAAGAAAGACAGCGGCGGAACCCGTCTCGACATCCCCATCGGCCATCAACTCGACACGCTCACGTACCTCCTGGGTGACTTCACCTCTCTCGTAGCCATTGACTCAAAGCAATATCCAACTGGCGCGTTCGTTGACGACACGTTCAAGCCTACTGGGGAAACGTTTCCGTCCGAGATCCCCGATCACTTCGCCATCTCCGGCATCCTCTCCTCTGGGATCATCGCGAACCTCTTTTACCGTGGGGGGAATGCCTCTGGGCCGGAGACTGGTAGACGACAGTACCTTTGGGAGATTGACGGTGAAGACGGTTCGATAAGGTTGGAGTCTGATCATATCCAAGGTGCTGCGCCTAGCATTATCGAGCCGAAGCTGTTCTTGAATGGAAAAGAGGTTGTAGTTGAGGGCGGGGAGAAGGCTGGTGCGCTTGACTCGGCGGCAACAGCGTGGAAGGAATTTGCGGATGGGAAAGGCAATTATGCAACGATTGAAGATGCGCTGAAGAACAAGAAGCTGCTCAGCGCTATCGAGACAAGTGCAAAGGAGGGCAGGAGAATCACTTTATAACAACCATGATACATCTAATGAATTGTTCAGAGAAGGTTTGACCTTCATTTTGCCTTCATTTATGGTCCACTTGCAAACCGGGAGTCCCAAAATTATGCTATCTTATCTTATCACGTAGTGTGGCGCATGTCTTATTCGGAACCGCAGCAGTGATTCAACATTCGGTCCTGCCTCTTCGCGTTCTAGCTCTCAATACTTGAGCGTGGAGATAAATAGTGTGGTTATTCGTGCTCAATCCGTATGTTTTCTTATCGTAGGTCAAGGGCTCAAAGGCCCGTCCTTTTAGGGAAAGGTGCCCTTGTTTTAATCGCCCCTTGTTTTCCTTTCTCGTGATGCACCTTGAGCACGCAAATATCCATTGACAGACAGGAAGTACTATGGACATACCAAGTTAAACACAAGACCCGGCATAAGGCCCATCCGATCGCCCACGTATTTATTACGCCTGACTCGTTCGAGAATCAGTTTGGGTGTTCGGTCTGAACGCACTCCTACGCAGTATTCGTCTCTCCGATGTTCCATCTTTCGCTGTTCAAGAAAGTGGGCAAATCAAAGAAGGCGAACAACTCTATAAACTCCTTCGACGCTTTCGACAACCTGGAATTCTCGTCGCCAGTTGTTGATATTCGCGAAGATTGGGGGTGCGAATCTGACGAGTATTCCGATGACGAGAGCTATGACGAAGAGTAAGCAGCTATTATTGTATTCCAAGAGACCTACTGACACGAAATGAGCTAGATGGCTTGTTGAGGAGGGAGAGATCAACGAAGCTAGGGGAAGGCGACTGGAGCAATGGGCACGCATTGAGGAGCTATTTTGGAAGCACGGCGTCGCGAAAGACCCCTGGGATACGACCGTGAGGCGCATCGAGGTGGGTAGTTCGTATCCAGAGCTTTCATCGGATGCTTAGAAGGGATACAGGATCAATTCGAGGACCCGCCGGATGAGACTGCGTTTGAAGGGGAAAGCACACCACGACACTGCTGGAGCCACATCATGGAGATCGGGGACAATCTCGTAGATTACGCCTTGCAGCTGGTAGAGGAGAATGCCGCAGTCATAGATGATTCGCAACTCGACGAGGTGGAATCCATCTACGAAAGGTAGGCCGTAATGCATAATGTCCCTCTTGGTTTTGATACTGTCCTGAGCATCGACCAAAAGACTGGAACGAACGCGAGAGCAAATGGGGTGGAAGTCAGGCGACACGGAAAGAGCGAGGCTGCTCAAAGCCAGGATATTCTTGCAAGAGGCCAGTGGCTTTGCGCGGAGGGTGCTCTTCATTTCGGTGAGCTGCTTGCAGAATATTCGTTGGTTGACCGAATCTGACTGACGACCTTGCAGGACGACGATCGCACAAGTGGATATGAGAGCGGCAATCCTGAGGAGGGCCTTTTCGCAGTTTAGTCGCTCCTGCTTGCCTCCAACGGACGAGACACGCTGGAAGATCGTGTCGGAATCGTCGTCTTAGGGAAAGAAAATGTCGGAAAAACCTAAAGTGGCAGGTCACGCGTCACAGCGTCCGTAACGCCGAAAACGCTTGGGTGCCTGTCCCGACGCGTTCTGACAAAGGAGATCTCCGTGATGACGCCTAAAAATGGTTTAAAACGGTTGATAAAAAGGCGAATCCCCCTGCCGAGCACATCTATTATTCTAGGTCAGCACGGCACGGCCGGCGTCATGACTCATTAGAACTCCGCCATCACTTCTCCCGCGTTATGATGCTCAGATTGAATTTCCGACATTAGGCGGCCTGGACTTTTTTCTCTCTAGCATAGGGCTTTGGCTTGTCGACTACGAAGAGTTTGGCTCTTTAAACCTTCGAAGGTTGACGATCCTGAGAAGGAGACGACTGGGTGATTATATGGGCAGAAACAAGGTTTCGGAAGCTTGTCGCCTCTCTCGTGGGAAGTTTTGGGAGGATGATGAACTGATCAGAAAGCTGGTTTCCTTCTCACTTCTAGTCCATTCTCTCTTGCTCAGGAAGAATTTCTGTAAATCTTCGTCGACTTGCAGTGCTTGTCAATTTCGTTCACAATCCACACATTTTTCATGTCTCCTGGACGATTTGCACAGTAAGGGTATCTGTGCACCTTCGGATTCACGATGAGTGGGGAATTGCAGAAATCTCAAAAATAACTCACGGCGAAAGTGGACAGCAAGCTTGATGGAGGAACCCTATGTATCGTGTTCTCGTCGCATTCAGGTGAGTCGTCCGATTTTGACTTATCGTATCATTACCGACGCTTCTTCAAGTTCGCACAAGGCAGCTCCCATCGCAAATGACCATCTTTTGGGAATTCGGCCCGCCTTCTTGCGAATAATTTAACCCTCAGAGCTGCTGCAAGTCTATTGAGAACTCGTATACACCTCGTCATTCACGTAACTCGGGCTACAAGTCCGATGCTCACACATGCGGTCGCGAGTCGATGTGCAGCCTGGATGCGCCGTTACCTGAAGATCTATGAACACACCCTGCACCTCCACCTGGTTCTTCAGCCTTATCATTGATACATACACGAAGCCTATATTTCAGTACCGAGCTTCGACACGATTTCGTTCTTAGAAGCTGGAGGGCTTCGCGCCAATGCGCTTGTCATAACACGGGGCCTACTGCTGGCACCTTCAGAACACATTCCATGCGTTGCAACGTAGCATCCTTTATGCTTCTTACCAGCACCGCTTTCCCATCTCGTTCTGCGGACTTAGAAGGCAGGGTTTTCTCAATGGCATATAAATCAGCTCCACTGCTTCGTTTCCAGCCCTCAGTCCTTTGCTCCTCAAGGACGTATGAGGGATCCCCTGACCGAAATTATGCTCGCCTGCGCACTTTTCTCGTTTTTACTTCTTGTTGGGGTTCAAGCCCAACCTTCTCCAGAGCTCCAAAAGCGCATTTCTGCCGCTATCGCAGCGGCAGCGAATGAATCCAATCCAGATTATACCGCCTTCGTCAATCCTTTCATTGGAACAGGTATTTTAAGCTCCTTGCTGAATGTACGTGCATTCCTGATCGTCGTTAACAGATGACTTCGGCAATGTTTGGTGATTTCGCCTTCCTACGGCGTCGTGTGCAATGTTGACCGTTTCATGCAGCCCTGGAGCCTCGATCCCATTCGGGATGGTGTGTATCTTCCCGATGGTTGATTCCCATTGTAAAAGTTAAATGATTTCACAGACAAAGTTTTCACTGACATGACTGGATATGCACCTGCTGGTATGTAACGAAATCGCGAATCTGCAATCAAACCATCTGAATGTTAATTCTTTGTTCTAGGCTATGTGGCCAACCCAACGCAATTTGTCCGTGGCTTGAGTCCGTTGCATGACAGTGGCACTGGATCATCCTTGGGTAAGTGTTTCTTCTTTATCCTACGTTAATAAGAAGGCCCACGGAAATCTATTAAACTTATAAGGAACCTACGGCAATTTTGAGATCATGCCCTCTCTTTGTCCGAATGGATTCAACGCTTGCAATACTACGTTGGCTGCCCGTCAAAGGCTTCGCAAGAATAACACAGATGGTTCGCGTTGTCGCTAATTCTCCGGGTGTTTATCTGAACCTAATTCAATTCATCTAGACGCATCCCCTGGTTACTTCGCACTCACTCTAGACAACGAAATCAAGATGGAAGCGACTGCAACCCGTCGCGCAGGGCTCGAAAGGTTTACATTTCCAGAAGGCTCCAAACTGTATTTCGTTCTGGATCTGGCGAACGACCTGCCAGCATCGTTCGCGGGCGGGCAGTTAACAATCAACCCTGACGTTGGACGAATCACTATCGGTGGACGCTATGGCTCGAGGTGAGTTTCTCCTTTCGGAGATGCGAGAAGCTTTAACCATAGAACCTTTACAGTTTTGGGCCTGGAAGATTCAATTATCAGGCCTTCGCGTGCTACGATCTCCTCGATGGCGGACGACAGAAGCTCGACGAATACGGTGTGTGGACTGGAGACCTGTGGGTGGTAAACTCTGTGCACCTCGGATCGTAATATTCATCCTGCAGGGTCGGCCTGGACGCCAAAGGACTTGGCCAAACCCGCCTCAACCTCTCTCTCAACCTCATCGGTGGCATATATCAATCCGGAGCACTCTTTTCCTATGACAACAATCCGACGACTGTTAACATCCGAGTGGGCGTGTCATTTGTCTCGGAGGAACGGGCCTGTGAAAATGCCGAGACGGAAATTGGTTCAGCAACTTTCGAGGAGATCCGTGAACGGGCAAGGCTTCTGTGGCTGGAGAAACTCTCAAAGGTGGAGATCGACGTCGCCAACACGTCACCGAATGTTACAGAGATGCTCTATTCCTCTCTGTATCGTGCTTCATTGACCCCGGTAAGAGGCTCTTTTTGTATCTTTCAGAGCCTGAGTGATCCAAATTTTGTAGAACAACGCAACTCTGGAAGCCCAAGGCCTATTCGCAGATACGACATCCTTCTATTTCGACTCTCTGTATTGCAGGTAATGTTCCTGTGCTTAGACAATGCCTTCAAGGTGCTAACAATAGCAATAGTTGGGACACAGTTAGCCTTCCTTCGATCATTCTATTGCACCTTATAACACCTGCTACCTAGTTCCGGACCTTCTTCCCACTTCTATCCCTACACTCTCCTGTTGAATTCGCTCAAATCGTAGAAACGTATATCGATGGGTGGCGAAAGAATGGTTGGATGCCAGAATGTCGCGCCAACAATCTGCAGGGATGGACTCAAGGAGGCCAGTTCGGCGTATATATTCCGCATGTCCATAGACGCTCAACTTTTTTTAGGCTCCAGCGCAGACAACATAGTTTCTCATTTCACTGTCTACTATCATAATGAAGCTCAGCAATTAGGCATCGACTTGAATGAGCTATATGCTGCTCTAGTCACAGATGCAGAGGTCAACCCTCCCGAATGGAATATCCAAGGTCGCCAGGTCAACGTCTACAAGTACGCCCCTTATCGTTTCGTAATAAGGCTATTGTTCAACCGTGCCAACCAGGCAATATGGATATGTGCCATTCGCAGTCCTTGACGTGTCCAGCACGGGCAGACAGACTCGAGAAGGCAGCAGGACGCTTGAGGTAATGACGATTGTGCTGTTGCGACAGACAAACTCTAATCTCAAATTTAGTATGCTTTCGAAGACTTCGGAATTAGACAAGTAGCCCAGCTCCTGGGGAATCAAGACGATGTTGAAAAGTATACTAATCGTTCACTGGTTGGTAATTTGGATCTGTTCTATTCCTATCTTGTTGATGCAAAGACACTAGTTCTACCGCAATGTCTGGGACCCATCCACTGAGAGTGATGGGTTCAAAGGTATGTTGACTTGCTGTTCGCCATCTCGTGGAGTTAGACGTTATGTACTTCCAGGATTCTTCCAAAAACGCTACTCGAATGGCACATTCGCTTTCCAAAATCCTATCAATTGCTCTCCCAATGACAGGAATCAGTCTCGCCCATGCTCTTTACAAGGCACGAACGTCAATGGTTTTTACGAATCGTCTTCTTGGGAATACAGCTGGTACGCTCCGCACGACACTGCTCACCTTATTGAACTCGTGGGTGGAAACGTAAGTCCAGCTTCGCATCAATGTACGCAGGAGACTGTTGTCTGACTTCAATTTGATCAAGGAAACGTTTGTAAAACGGCTTGACCATTTCTTTGATGTACGTCTACTTTTTTTCTCCAACTCTCTTGCTAGCCATGCTGATGATCTTTCTTAGGCTGGTTACTACCTCGCTGGGAATGAGCCCTCTTTCCAAGTTGGTCTTCGTTCTATGTTGATGCACAATGGAACACGTCCTGACAGATCTCCAAGACCCCAGTAGGATACCACTATGCCGACCGCCCCGCTCAATCTGTGGACCGTGTGCGAGAGGTTGTTTTCGACAACTTTGACATCAGTAAGTGCACTATATACTGCGATGACCGTCCTAACGAGTGCAAAGCTGCCGCTGGGCTTCCGGGGAATGATGATCAGGCAGCAATGGCTTCTCTCCTCGCATTCCACCTGTTAGGGCTTTACCCAGGTTAGGAGTATTATCTTCTGCATTTGCCTGGAATCTGACAGAGATTATTTAGTCCCGTCCACAACACACCTACTCATCCTCTCGCCCTTCATCCCCAAGTACACCATCCACAACTCGTTCTTGAACATTAGCACTACCGTCACGGTCGTTAACTTCGACCCCAAGTCCGTTCAAAAGAAGAATCCCTCCAGGAGTGTCCGCGTATGTGCAGAATGTGACCATCAACGGAGTGCCCTCTGCTTCGCGCTGCCATTTTGATTTCTACGACACCTTCAGGACAGGGGGAGAAATTGTGATTACGCTGACTGCAGACAAGGAAGAAGCAGACAGCTGCTTGGGGTTGCTACCTGAGAGTATCTCCACTGGAGGGTTTGCAAAAGCGCGGTGAGGAAGGTCAGGATAGGAAAATGCCTTTGTACAACAACAGGGAGGTAATAAAGAGGTCCAAAATGATCGTAGTCTACAGGGGTCATGAAGTCATAAGCTCATAGTATACCAAGAAAACAGCTACCAAGGATACTCCTCCGATTCTTCTCGTGTTGCTGCAATGCGGTAGGCAGTAAGCCAGGTGGCAAAGTCTTCTGGGGGAATATTAATCCTAGAAATCTTGGTGGCATCAGTGCTAGTATAGTCCAGGAAGAGGAACCTATAAAGAGAACCCCCGAAATGTGAGTTGCTGTTCGCTTCTGAAATGACGCTAGGCAGCACTTACATCATGAGAATATCAGTCAACCCTTTGGTCTGCTTCTTGCCGTCTTTTCCTTTGGCGAGGTTAATTGTGAGCTTCAAGGAGTTAGCTGCAGGGCTCAGCAGCTCTTCCAGTTTTTCCTGTATCCTCTTCTTCGCATCTCCAGGCGTCAAGCCATCCAAAAAAATAATGTCGGCGGTGTCATGAAGATTCTCAGCAACTTCGTTCTCAACCCCTAATATGTCATTAATTCACAACCATGCAAACATTCAAACTAATGACGCACCGTTATCCCACCGCCTTTGTTCCTTCTTTTGCATCTTCCGAAGCACCTTCTCCGTGCGCTGAAGCTCTGCTGTCTTCTCTGCCACTGCGCCTACGTCGCCTCCTGCAGTCGCAGAGGTAACCTGGGCCTTCAACATCCGGACCTGGCTCTCAATTTCCACTATCTGCGCTTTCCAGAGGATGACGCGCTCGAGTCTATCTTGAATCTTCCCTGGTGCCTCGCTCATTTCGCTGAGGACAGACTCTTCGTATTCTGGCTGCTCGGGGATGACGTGGGCACCAGCGGCAGGGAGTCCAACGGGGGAGAAGGGATCTGAGGGTTGTTGGGTTTCGCCATTGGCAGGATTCGAAGAATTTGTTGGAACAGCGTCAGCGAGTTCGACCTCCAAGGCTACTGCAAGAGCAGCGTCGGCAGCAACCAAGTCGGCCTGCTCTTGTTGATACCTTTCCTCGTCTTCTTGCCTCTTCAGTTCCCGCTCTTGTTGCTTCTGTTGCTCGGCCTCAGCCTTCAATCGTTCATCCTCCTCAGCAGCAAGCCTAGCGATCTCGGCATTAAGAACAGCTTCATCGTCGAACCGTTTCTGTTTGATGGCAGCAGCGGCCTCGTCGTCGAGTCGTTTCTTCTCTGCAGCTACTGCCTCCTGCTCCTCCAGCCGTTTCTTCTCCGCCTCCGCCTCCTCTAGCCGTTTCTTTTCGGCAGCCTCCTTTTCCAACCGTTTCTTCTCGACAGCTTCCTCGTCCAGTCGTTTCTTCTTTGTAGCCTCTTCTTCCAGGCGTTTTCGCTCTGCCGCGGCCTCTTCCTCTAACCGTTTCTTCTCGGCAGCACCCTTCGCCTCAGCCTCCTCTCTCACCTTCTGTCTGCTAGCCTCGGCCTCCTCTGCAGCTTTCGTCCTCTCCTCAGCCTCCTTTATCTTTTTTTCCTCCTCCTCTTTCCTCTTTCTCTCTTTCTCAGCCGCCACCTCCTCCTCTCGCTTCTTCTTCCTCGCATCCGCGTCCGCTTGTTCCTTCCTCCTTCGCTCTGCAGCTTCTTCCCTCTTCTTCCTTTGCTTTTCCTCTTCTTCGGCCTTTATACGATCCGCCTCAGCTTTCTCCTCAGCCTCTTTCTTCAGACGCGCCGCCTCCTCTTCAGCCTTCATCCTTTCTTCTTCATCTTTCTTCACACGCTCTGCTTCTAAGGCTTCTTTCCTCAACCGCTCCTCCTCTTCCTCCTTTACCCTCCTTTCCTCCTCCTGTTGCTCTCGCAAACGTGTCTCTTCTTGGTCCAGCTAAAGCGAACAGTAGTTAGCATGTACTCCCCATATATGACGAGTGAAGAGAACGTACCCAGTTAGTCGAGGACCAAGCAGGCTTTTCGGGAGGTGCCTCATCGCCATAAATGTCGTCAAAGTCATCCTGGTACGGAGGTGGTTGCGACTCCCTGTGATGTAGTTGTTGATCTTGAGCGTCGTTAGTCGTAGGAAGAGCATCTTGTGTTTTCTCAGCATCGTCTGCTTTCTTCGTTTCGTCATTACCACCGCCCAAAACCTGCGACTTCATCGTATCCCAGTCCTCTTCCTCAGGCGATGGTGTGACTTCGGATGCTGGTTTTTGGGCAGTTGTCTGATCTTTGGCCTCTTTCGCAGGCTCCTCAGTAGGCGTAGGCGGTAGCTCCTTCTCCTCCATCCAGTCCTCCTTCTTTATCTTCTCCCAATCTTCAGAAGTTGGCTCTTCGAGGAAATCGGGGATCTGAGGAAGAAGCTCTGACTTGGGGCGCTGTCCCAGTGGCTCATCCTGCTCCCGAATATCACGGTCCCACCGCGCAGCAGAGTCGGAGGGCGTCGGCGGCATCTGAATTGGACGGCTCCTTGGAGTTGTAAGGTCCGCTTCTTCCTCTGGCTTTTCCGTCGAGACTTGTATAGGTGGCTCCTCTTCGGCTTCGATCTCTGGGATGTTTTCCGTGTCAATGGGCACAGCGGAGGAGGCCGACGGGCCAGCTACCTCGGTCGACGTGTCCGACGCGGAGGAGGAAAGGTTGCCTTCGTCGAGGTCGTTGCCGTTCTGCGATGACGCATCGGAGTCGTCGAGAACGGTGGGATACACCGACAGTCGTCTGCTTGTCCGTGTTGGGTCGACACTTGAAGGTATCCGCCTGCCTTGGGGTAGAGGGGAACCAATGGATGATAAGCTGTCAGTGTCGGAGTACCCAGAAGGGAAGTAACCTGGTACGCGGCGCTGAGTGGTCGTCGTCGCCTCTGTATAGTTCGTGGTGGGCGGCGGAAGGTTGGTGGAAGGGTTTGTGGCGGGTGTCAATTCGGTGGGGGTGAAAGCGGAGGGTGTTGGAGCTTCGCTGCCCACTGTCTCGGTGGGCGCTAATGAAGGAGAAAAGCGTACGGTGCGCGCAGGAGGGAAGAACGCCACCGTCGGTATCATCTTCCGGATCGTCCGCATGTCCCTCCGAAAATGTCTCCATATCCGCTTCGCTCCAGCATCGTCCCATACGGCCGGAGCGATGTCGGCGAGCACCATGCCCATCCCGGTCCAGATGAGCACGACCACGAAGCGAGCGACGCTCTCCGTGACGAGGAAGTCAACAAAGAGGCGCACTCCATAGGCGATGTAGGGGTCGTTTGAGCGCGGCATCTTCTTGAGAAAGTGTAGGAGGACAACGCCCTCCCACAGGCCGACGAGGGAGCCGCTGAGTTTGAAGTTGTGGCGGGTGGCAGCATCGACGACGAATCGTACGCCGAGGCCGGCACCGATGGCGAATATGCTGTCCATTAGAGAGGCGAAGCGGTCATTTAAGTTCCAGCGTGATGAACCGGTGGAGAGCACCGAGGACACGACGCTCATCCTGATAAGTGACCCGGTAAAGGGGAACGTTCACGTGTAGGGATGTGTGCTGATGAAATTTTGGTTACACGTTGCCGGCAGGGTGGTCCGTGCGCAGCCCACGACGTCGTGGCTATCGAAGTCGGTATTCAGGTCAGGAATATTTAGAGAGAAAAAGGAAGAGAATTTGCTCACCTTGACCGGCGATGAAGACAATGTTGAACTCTTTGTTTGTGTTCCCCACGGCTTGGCGTTGTACACCATCCCAATCCGTCACTACTTGCGCTGATAAGATAAATCGAGGAACACTGCTGATTTGTTTCTGACGAAGAGATAAATGCTATGGCGAAGTCAGAGGAAATGCAGACCCACCGTCTTCGAAAAGGGGCGTCGTCGTGTACATATCTCGTTCTCCTCGAGATCCTGGATAGGTGTGAGGGAGGCACAGATGGGAGGAAATGGCGGTTGAGAAGATGGTTGCAAGAAAAGAGTTCGAATACTGGCTTGGGATGCTCTTGGAATTTGCCTCCGTCGATCGCGTTTGTTCCGTCGATCATACGCATTTTAGAGCGAGCAGCGTTGCGATCCTACGACGACAAATGATCAATCCATTGGCTACAATATTGCTTACAAATGCCTAACCGCTACTGAGTATACTGGAGTACAATCACAAATCAAAATAAATATCCAGCGAATGTTCAAGGGGTGTTGCATGAGAGTATGCCACGTTGGTACAATCTTTGAAGGAAGGGCTGGCGTCCTGAAGGTGAGCATTAACACTGCAGAGCAGTCATTATTGATGGGGGTATCAGGATTTCCAAAATATATCGTGAGTTGGGGTCTGAAGGTAGCGCCAAGGGAGGAATCCGAGGAGATCACCTTTCTCTTCACAGCGCCAACGAGTGTGTTGAAGAGAGGGATGAGTCGGGTCAAGAAGAATGTGAGGGGCACACCAAAAGGTGGTGGCGGAGAGACAAGGTATTGCCAGAATGTCGTCATATGGTATCCAAGAGCCTTATCGCCAGGGCTGGAAGGGCAGAGGATCAGGCGGCCTTCCGAGGGAAGCAAAAAGTCTCCGTCAGGCAGCCAAGCCTGCCCACAGTCCGCCGCTCCGTCCTGCTTTAAGTAGAGCCGCAACAGAGGAACATCACGGAGCGCATACCAGACTTGCCCTCTGCCATGCCCTGAAATCCCCGCCGACCGCAAGGCTTGGTTTCGATGCCTATAAATCGGTATCCGGAATCATGTCTTCCTTCCTCAACCTCCTCCTTCCTTCAGTGCACTTCTTCAAGTACTCCCTTGCCCTCGTACCAAACAAATCGCACCCGTCGAACAGATCCTTGGGGAGCTTGTCCTTCCTCTGATCCCACGGCTTCACATCGACGCTTTCGCAGCGATCAATGCATACGATGACCATCCCAAAGCTATACGCATCTGCCAACAAGGGATCCTGGCACTCGCCTCTCAGAATCTCCGGGGCGGAGAACGGGCGCGTTCCAGGGTGAATTTGCTCGACTTTCACCGTGCTCGAAGGGAGGGAGGCGTGTGTGTGGTGGGCATAGCGTTTCGAGATATCATGGAATGGGTCCACAGGCTCGTCATCCGGGGCCCTGAACACCGAATCTGCCGACACTGACCTCCCAAAATCCAACAACTTCACCGTGTTCGTCCTTTTCGTCACCTGCACATTCAGCAACGACAAGTCCCCATGACTAAGCCTGTACGAATGCAGGTGGCTCAGGCCGTCTAGGAGCTGGTTGTGGTAGTCCACCTTCTGTTTGGGCGTCAGGAGCGGGCGTTCCATGATGACATCGTACAGCGTCCGGCCGTCGATGTACGCTAGGACCATGCCCACGTTCTCCAGAGATCCGAGGAAGGCGCATATATTCCGATGCCGTGCGACAGTGGTATACACACGCAGCTCGGCGAGGAACTGGACGGTGACATCGCTCGCGTTGGACTGCATCTCGCCGTTGATCTCGAGCTGGATGACGTCGGGCTTCTTCACCACACATCTAAACAGCTCTGACGCTGATCCGTGAGCAAAGGGTGTCAGACTAGCAGTGGGGTTGGGAGGGGCCGAATATGCTGTCGGTGTGGGAAAGGAGAATATGGATGTTGGGTGCCGTGGCGGGTTGTAGATGGGCGATGGCGGTGGCGAGTCTGGCATCTTGTGTTTTAGGTCGAGATCCATCGCGTGGTTGTGCTCATCCACGCCGTGATTGTATTGGTTGTATTGGTTGTACGCTGGCGGGTCGATGGCTGTCTCCTCTGACGAGAACGAGTTGATGGAATGTTGTTGTTGTGGCTCTTCCTCCTCGTTCATCTCCACTGCGATCAGCGTCAGTGAGTGATCCTAAAGACAACGATCTAGCAGACGCACCCATCCACCAGTTCTTCTTCGAGGTAAGCGTAACACGCTTTACGTGCATCGCTTTCGGGTGAGGAGGCTTGAGGTTCTGCATTGTTGGTGTTCTTACTTCAGTGGCAGGGGACGTTAGGGGTGCTTGAGCAGATGAGAAGCCTCTTGTAAACGCAGGCCGGTGGTTTTGCTGCATGATGCTCGAATCGAGGCGGTACAGAGCAAGATTAAGCACGAAGTGCTTGCGATGGAAGGTGGAAAAGATATGGACTTGGCCAACATCCGCACGCACGTTCCGGCTTGCCTTGGCGGAGCCATTATCCAAATATGGTGAGACCCAGACTCGTTCACGGCAACCGATTCTTCGACGCCCTCCTGAAAAGCCATCGTTTATATAGCACTGGCTCGTACAAGGAGATCTTCTGACATTCCGAGCGTTGTTCCTATTCAATGATTAAGTCCGATGTGACGGCGAGATATCGGTCTCTTTCAGACAGAGCTTCGCTTCTCGATATGAATCAGGAAGTCGCTGCAGAACTGTTGCTGTAGCTCTTGAAGGCGTTACTTACATCTGAGAAATATCTGCTAGTCGAACAGAGCGAAAAAAAAGGTCGATGTGGAAATTCAACGAAAGATAACGCTTGGAAATTTAGCGATCTGTCAAGTGCTGTCTGAAGGCTGAACAGGATGTCGACATGACCGACATCCTCGTTTCACGACAAGTTGTAGATACCTGATTGTGCATATACAATATATTTTATCCAATTTCTGAGCAGAATTTTTCTTCAAGATTAAATGTTGTAAAGTGGAAGAGAATTGTTGCTCACTACCCATGGCATAAATACTATTGCACGGTATAGTACCCAGTGTTCCTCCACTGGCCTGCCTGGCTCAAATAAAATGCTTGCTTGTGAGATGAAATTTATCTCCGTGAGGACACGGGGGCGACTAAGCTGTCGAAAGCCAATTCTGCTTGAGGTTTTGTGCGGCGCGCGAAGACGAATTTCCTTCTTTGGATTATGTATCTATTTTTAGCTCAGGCAAAATTAGAGTACCTTCTTCAATGAAAAGGCGAAACATACTGTATTACAAGTAGGTAGGGTTAATGGTGTACACTAGCAACTAACTACAATACGTGGGTCAATGTGAGCGTAAGAGGCCATAAATTGTCAGTAGCTAGTGGGAGAGTGAAGTCCAGCGGGAATTCCAAAGTAAGAGCTACAAGTCCAGAAGTAAGGCGAGGTTAATAAAGTTCGTAGAAATTTGGAATGGAGTGGGAGGTCAAGATGGGGGGATTTGAGCTGAACGATGAGGGTATGTTAAAATGTCGATGTAAGAAGAATCCGTCAACAAGGGTATACAGCGTCATGAACGAATGTCAAAAGCGGATAAATAGTGTCTGTAGCTCAGAGAGGATGAAAACGTCAAAGCGGCTGCACAGTCAAATCAAAGAGGAGAGGAAAATTCAACTGGAAAGTTTGTCCAGATCATAATACCATCAGACTGATGAACGCAAGCAACATCGAGACACAACCAATGCCTCCAGCGCGCATCGTCGAAGCGGCACCAGTCAAATTCTGTCCATTCCCATTGGACGGCGATGGGACGACGTTCGCCTGCGGTAGCTCTCCAACAGGCAGAATGGGCTGCGTACCCAACTGGCCTGAGCCGAGCATAACAAACCCACCGATCGATGGCACGCCCTTGACCACGACGAAGATCAACGCCGGTCCTGGGGCGATGATCGCAGGATTAGGAGGCAGCTGCGAGACGTGCAATATCGCGGTGCTGTTCTCCTGGTAGGCGGTGTACGAGATGGCAAGTTCGATGTAACGTTGGCCCATGTTCTGCGAGGATGAAGTGTCAAAGAGACTTGATAATCATATCTGGCAAGGAAAGGACGAACTATAGCATGCGTAGAGAACCCAGGTCGGATGATGACCACCTTCGTCTGGTTGATGTTCGAAACATCGTTGAACAGATCCTCCGCGTCGAGGGTGACGTCAAACGGCTGCCCGCCATACGAATACTTCGCTAAGAGTCCCTTGGGCTGTGGGCGCCTCTCGTTATAATACGAAGGATAGAATAGCTCCGTCCTATACTCCGTCGGGTATTTGACGTTCGGCCCAACGAGGTAGTCTGGGTTCGGGTTTGACCCAGACACAAGCACCGATCCTACACAAGGAATAAGGATCAGGATCAGAAACGAGGCAAACGCGAGGAAGGGTGTAGATAAACATACCATCTGGCAGGAACACCGCAGAGGAGTGGTACATCCGGGGCACCGTGCTCGCCTGTAAGCCCTCCGTCGACCATCTCTCGCCTTGTGGCGCGTTCGGATCGTAGATGGCAGGCCTCAGGACCGGGTTGTCGGCGTATGAGTGTCCAATGGCCCATGAGTTGTTTCCATAACCCGCAGTGCCTAGTGATCAGAATGGTGAACAGGAGTGCAGCGAGAAAGGAAAGGCAGTTCACGTACCCATTCGACCACCGTTCAGATTTAGCACCCTCCCATCGGGCAGAGCGATGAAGCTGGGCATGGTCCGAGCCTCCGGCAGCGGATCGTCTCGCTGATAACGGCGCGACACGTCCGGGGTAAGCCTCACACACGAGGTCGACGCAGCGTATGTAGGGACGATGAAGCTAGGTGATGTCCATCTGAATGAAATGCGTAATTAGAATCCACCGATGCCATCCGCAGAGCACAGCAAATGAAGATGCAGTGTAAGCACACCCTGCCGTTAGTACGCACCTTTCTGGCTGGATGTTCGAGCCTCCGCAGAACAGAACAGTTGCCGTATAATTGTTCGCCGGTGTAAGTGGTAGCATCAGTGTCCCAGCGCTCGCGGGATAGACGCGCACCGCATCGGGGATGTTATCCAGCGGTGTTTCTACGTTCGACGTGTAGTTCAGGAGGACCGTCGCCCAATTCGACTGAACCAAGAGCAATCCAGACGGAAGGAGCCAGGTCAGCGGGTACAGATTTGCGGGAAGCGTTCGCTGTAAGATCGGAGACGTGATTGGGCGGCCTCTTGACGGGAAGAACTCGATGGTGGGATTGTCTTGACCTGCGTCATTTACGTACCCGCCGTTCCTGCACCCACCAAGCTGGGAGAACAAGATGTGCTTAGCACCCTTGGTTTCGACGATAGCGATAAAGCATGTCTCACGATGATCATGGTCCCATCTTCCAGTGTCTCCCTGCAGCCGGCAACCTATTCAACGAGCATCCCGAAAGCAAGCCAAAAATAACTCACAAGGTCGGATACCATCGTTGGTCGATCTGGGTGGGCGACATGACCCAGTCGCAGCTCCCGTCATCGCATGGATCGAGCAAGCTGGGTAGAAATCAATCTTCCGTGCTCATCGAACACGTTTTGATACTGACCGAATACTATGACCGAGAGCAGTCAGATGGATGTGTCTAAAGATATTCAGCAGAGTACTCACGACTGCCTTCCGTCTGGATTGTTGTATGGGCCCCCACCGAACTGGCTCGCGGCCGGCTGCCCGCCATAGGTGACGCCCTGGTTGCCCCCCACGTTCAGCCAGGTTCCGTTGCCGAGAACGTTGCCCCCCTACAAAATGAAAATCAATACACCCCTATGCGCTTAGTGCTTAACGGTTGCCGACGACGCACTGCACAGAATGAATTCGTCACCGGATCCATTGGTCGCTGGTTGTTCGCTGCAAGGCCCCATTCTGCAAGACACTACTCAACCAGTTTTCCCTTCGACAGTTGCTCGTGCATACCTGACGCCCATGCCGGATGGCCCTTGATCCTCGTCGGGTTGTTCTCAACCTTGTCAACAAAATAGACTTTATCTGCGGTACCGAGGAAAATCTGGGGAATGACGACGCGGTCACCATGATGGTTCGGGAGCAACGACGATCACACGACGAACCTGTTGCGCGCTGACGAGGCTACTTCCAATAATCTCAAATCCGTTGACGACTCCGTGGCGCGCGGGTTGTCCAGGTGCGGGCAGTGTGGTAGACTGGGCAGTACCCAGCGCTACGAGACAGGAGGCGACGAAGAAAGAGGTTGGAACGAGGCCCATCGAGGACCGAATGGGCGGGGGGGACCAGCCAAGAAGGTGAAATGGGAGAAAGCTGGTGCGCAGGCTTTTGAAGCCCGGAATAAAAGGGTCAACAAGGACGACCCCCGAGCCGATAAAAGTCGAGAGCGGCCATAAATACATACGCGCCCTGCTAGTGCAATCTAAGATTCCCTAAGTTTGGACCCCCAAGACACGCCAAGCCGATGAGGCATATTTCCTCTACTGAAAAGAGTTTGAGCTTCAAGAGGTCGCTGTTCATAGCAGCCTTTCGAATCTCGATGAAAGGAGGCAAGTTGAAGACATGTTGTCCGCCGAAAATTTGACTTTTATCCTCGTATCCTCGAGAGTTCAAGTTATCTGCATGTCGTGGCCGCCGACCTGACCATGTTGATACATCTCCCGCTGGAAGCCTCACAAATACTTGCGCATGATGAGTACAAGCGTGGATATGTCGACCTTGAGTTTATCAGGGATGTTAGTGAAGTCATTGGTGAAGTCGCTGGTCCCCGTCAGGCACAGACGGTTCAGGCGGGCCGCCGATGTTTGGCGATGATGTTCGCTACCACATTCACCACCTCTGAGCTTCCTACCACTCCTTGTCCCACTTCTACTAGTGACCACTGGAACCCTGAAGAACTCTACAAGCAAGCTGAAAGGTAAACGCATGTTTTTACATTCTGTTATTTCTCTTACAAGTTACATATCTGAAGGTTGGTATCCCATGTGACCTGCTCAACGGCATTGAGGCGTCGGAACACCTCAGAATCAGAAAAGCCTCGGGCTCGTCCTCAACGTAACTCGGACGTTTCTACGCCGGTTATCTGGCACCCTCGGCATGCTGTGAAATCCCCTCCAGGAATCAGACTTACGACCTGCAGTCTGATGATAGAAATCCTGGTATAGCACAGGTTAAATGCAATGCGCCTACGCCCGTCACTGACGCCAGCTATTCATAGATCACCACCCCATGGACCGCCAGCCGTTTTCCGCGCGTGAACCGAAAGAATCCTCTTCAGCACCTTCCTTATCCGTCATATCGTCCTTGGAAAAACCTATCACCATTTTTCGCTGATTTCATCGCTATATCAACCGTGCGACCAAAAGGTCTTCCTATAGCCGCCAAGTTCCCCTTTCTGTCGCCGCATCAGGTCGCACAACTCGCATCTGTTGCGACATCATCCAGATTTCGTCGGTTTTCCACGCTCCTCACGAAAAAACTTTATCTGCTGCCGCAGACACATGGGCGGTGCCTAGGCACCAACTTTTCTATAAAGCTTTCATAGCTATCACGCCGCACGTGTAAATGCCCTCCTTCTCTCTACCGTGTCCTCTGGCCCGTCGCTGAGCACCTGAGCACCTCCCCAGACCGATTGCCAGTCGTTGAAGCGTCTCGGAAAGACGGATCAACACTGAGCCTACGATGGCCAGTGTTACGGTGCCTCCAGGGGTCATCTGCACACCGGAGGAATACGCGCGAGCTGCTACGGACCCATTGATTCACTGTTTAACGCGTGGTCAGAGCATTGGCTTGACGGTAAGTGTGTCTTTCTATCTTGCTTTTTCCGGGAATTCACGGACTCCGTTCAGGTTATCGTTGAATCTGGTCTACTCTCACTCATCGCCGTTTCCTACGTATTTCTGATCATCATCGTGAGCAGCCACTCTCGAATCCTTTCCCGGCTCTGTCTTAACTGGCTCTACGACATGTGCAGCGGAATCTCATCTGGCGCTTTCGCCATGTGTCCAGGGAAAGGTTTCGGGTTTTTCATCAACCTATGGACAATTTAATGGTGAGTCTCCAAACCGCCTGCCGTTGAGTCCCACTGACGAGGATCCGTGAAGTTTTCTTTATTTCTCGCCGATATTTTACAAGCTATTGGGGCTGTTATGGACATCAAATGGATTCAGGAAGGAAAGGTGGAGGCTGGGGGGTTTTGCGATGCCCAAGGTATGCCCCTTCGTCGTGTATAATCATCTATCCCCAGTGGCTGAAACCTTCATCATTACAGGGATAATTCAACACGTCGGAGAGACGGGCGTGGCTATGACTACCCTCGTAAGTCATTTCGAGTCTTTCATCATGTCCCATCCTGACGTTATGGGCGCTCTATCGTCGCCGTACACAGGCCATAGCCGTGTACACGTTTCTTGGCGTCTGGGTGGGCAAGACCATACGCTCCATTCCGATTACTAGAGCAGTCCTCGCGCTAATATGGGGATTCCTCGCACTCATCGTAATTGTCGGAAACACTGTCAACACCGGCCCAGGCAAGCCACGGTTTGAGACACCAACTCCCGTAAGTGCCATCCCTTTCCATCTGCCCCTTCCACCTGGTACTGAGCTTGCGCCTGTGATCATCTCCCGCCCGCAGTATTGGTGCTGGATCAGTAGTCACTACCTACTGTGGCGCATCTTCGCCGAGTATATTTGGTTCTGGATTACGCTCGCTTTCTCCATCTTTGTCTACATCCCGCTCTACTTCTGGGTCCGAGGCAACATCGTTATCCACGACCCCGCGTGGTGGCGCTTCCATTTTCAGCACGCAGACAAGTCCGACCCCGAGCTCCGCCGGCGCCGTCGCCAGTCGCTGGTCATGGCCGCGTACCCGCTCGTGTACTGCATCTCCATCCTCCCCCTCAGCGTCGCGCGGTGGATTGGCTTTGTTCAGGAGGGCAGGGGTGATAGGAAGAACCACGTCCCGCCTGCTGCGACTTTCCTGGCGGTGGCGATTTATAACCTCAGTGGGTTCGGGAACGTAATTCTCCTGCTTACGACAAAGCCAGATGCGGAGCTGTTTGGACGGCCTACAAATTTCGCCTCGGGACGCGCGCCGTCGCCTTTACTCCCTTCTGACGCGTCGGCGCTCTCCGCGACAGTGAGGAGGAGCGAAGGCTTAGATGCACAGTCAAGTTCAATAGAGCCTCGGAAGAAGCTAAAAGGTGAGGAAGAGGGGGAAGAGCTCGGTCGTTTGCCTTCACGATCTTCGGGCTGGGATTCAGGGAGAGGGTAATAATATGGTGTAATGTTCAAGATTTACCAACATGGACTCCAACTACTTACATGTATTTGCTAGCCTTTCTTGTTTTCCTTGTGCTTTCGTTACATATAGTTGTTCTCTTTAGATATTTTATTAGGATTTATGTAATGACGTATGTAGCAGAAGTTGCAGGAGGTCATTTGCGCGTTGGTGCACGGTGTTTACTCGTAGATGTGTGGCGCAATACCTCCGAAGTATCCATAAATGTACGAATTGCATATACCAAATAAACTAGCGGCTCTATGCGCTTATACTATGGCCCTTGGATGTATGCGTAGACAAATCTATTGCAGAAGGAAAAGTGAACACCTGTAGACTCCCGAAGATACAGTTCGGTCACTAACCATAAACCTCCTCGATACACAAAACACCCCTTCTTCGAAGACTGACAAGCTGATGCTCCAAGAATGAAGAGATCGACCCAAACTTATGCGCCAGATCTTCGGAATTATGGACGGTGTGAACAAGAAGCTTGACCCTCCGTAGATTTCCCAGCGCTTCGCGTGTGAGGCACCAGTCCAACATCTTCCAAATGGCTCGGTCTAGTTGTCTAAGACCGTTCCCGAAGATGATTTCGCATTTCAAAGTGATTTCTTCTAGGGCGTTCGCAGGAGGAATATTATTGAGGACAGTCGACACCCAGAGGAAGGAAGGATTGGTGCTCGCCGTGTCGAAGTCGGATATTTCGACTCCAAGTTTTAGGGATTTCAAGTTCGGCATAGCTCCAAGAACCAGGGGATGGTGTACTACATCCCTCATCCTCACGACTATAGTAAGGAAAATGCATAAGCACTATGTAAGTGCGAGAAAATGCCGGACTCACACGTCAGGGAAGGTAACAGTTCGAGCTCGCACAGAGAATGGCGCGAACGCTCAAGAAGCTGAGACATCAAGGAAATATCCCTGGAATATCGACTCGCACCTCCGCGTGTCGTGATTGAAATCCGACGCAAGCACGAGGAGTCGACGGCTGCAAGACAAGGCTCAATGTCAAACAACATGGTGCCCGAGTCGTCCAGTGAAATACTCTCCAGAATCTGTCGCTGCATCATGCATTTCTATCAGAGTGTAGAATGTTCGAGAGTTCCAAAACAATGCCTTTGGCTTCGAGCCGTTTCAGGTTGTGGGCCGCCAGAAGTAGTCGCGCTGGAAAATGCGCCACACTCATGAGCGCCAAGTCGGTAAGTTGGATGCTCTTGAGAATGCCTCGGATAGAGACCTTCAGACCCTTTGGGAGATTATTCCACTCCAGCGGCCTGAAGGTTGATTCCAACGAGAGCCCCCTGATAGTGGGGAGCCGCGCGAGCAACGTTGCAAGTCGGTGGTCGCGTGCCATCCATCCCACATGTCTCCCCTTTCCATCCAGCTGGAAGTCGCCCTCGACGAGGCGCAGCGAGGTAACATACGGCAGGAGGTGCGGAGCGGATAAAAGAAAACCCACGAGCTTGCCAGAGGGCGTGGCTTTGGATGTTGATGGACGTAAGACGACACGCCTGAAGAGATGTTTCCGGCTTGAGGGTAAAAATATCCGGCCGGCGAGTCCGCACGCTTTCAGCGAGGCTGCATCGTTGGCGAGAAAGTCAATGATGCTGTCCGTCAGCTCTGGCGGAAGTTGTGGCCAGGTATGCTCTGCGGCTCGAGGGACGGTCTTAGTTACGACAGGCTGCTGGCATCGATGAAAACTGTAAGAGGGAAATTGAATTATTGGGCAGAATGGAGGACGTACATTGGATGGGAAACTTGAAATACACCTCCTCATGGACAAGCTCAATTGTAGACGCAGCAAGGATGGAGGAAGGTAACCTGGTAGTTGCCTTCCTCCTGCCCCATGTAGTCAGCTTTATAAAGGGCCCTGGATCAGTCTATCCTTCGCGTGTTCCATGTCGCATGCCATACCTTATTCGCTGATAGACCGTGGCAGGAGTAATAGAGTGCTCTCGATGAACATCTCGCCACCTGGTCCCCTGCGATGCAAACGGAAGGAATCGGTGAGAAGCAGAGGAACGCATGGTACGCAGTACGTTATGTATGTCTTTTCATAGTCGGAAGTAAAGCCGCCCGACGAAGCTGAACATGAAAGGGCATCATGGGTCGAAGGCTTGATTGAGAAAACTGTCGATAGGAAGGTCATTTAAATGGCTGCCATGAAAAAAAGGTTACCTGACACTGCATGGAACCCAGGGTAAGGGTGGAATAAAGCTAGCATTGGTCGTTGGTTGGTCGTCTACCTATTCCGACCTCATCGCTGTCTCCATCACTGAGTGGATGGTGGGCCAAGGTTCTGTAGCTTAGTTTCTGCTATATCTTGCTCGCCGCGGTCGAACGATCCAAGGGAAAAGGCATGATGGGGGTGTCGTCACTAATATCACGGCAATGCTCGAGAAGAAGTCGTAATCCTGGAACTGCAGCTAGGCCGAACACAACTGGCCTATTCCGCGAAAAATTCTCGCGTGACGTTAAGATAGTGACACATATACGCTATTTCAAAAGAATAAGTGAAGCCATGTTCCTCAACTCAGTAAGATAAATTCTACCATTTCGTGAGCTTGGAATTCGTTCTGTGAAAATACACTTACCATCGTAAGTCTCTTAAATTCGCAAGGGTTAAGCCATTTATGCGATTGTCGTTTGAAGAGTTAAAAGGGCCTACTTGGGCGTGTGCTGTATTTTAGGCCCTCTTCCATGGACCGACGGTTATTAAGCGCTCAAGTATTTTAGTTTGTTCCATCTCCTGCATGGTAAATCAGACTACAGGCAGAACAGGAGACGAACACAGAATAGGGAATGTACTCGCCAGATAATGCAATTGATTCTCCCCTTTTCTGTTTGTTAAATGCCAAAGGACACCTGAGCTTGTGTTGGTTCGGTGGATGACTGTTTTAGGCAAGAGAGCATCGCATAGGTCTGGACAAGGGCAAACAAAAACAAATACTTGCTCATCATCAGTGTCGTTGTCGCCGACGGCGGTTCCAGCCTCAAGGCAAAAGCCCACTCGCGGCATATCGTGCTCGAGCTATTTCCACCAGAACAGGTTCTCTGGAGGCCCTCGACAACATCAGAGTTGAAGACTTCGCCCAAGACGTCGGTCGTCGGTGGCGTTGACGACGATTCCGGATTCAACTTCGTTCCCTGCCATATCCTACGTCCAGGACGGGGTCTTGGTGTCGAGGGGTGCAGATAGAGTGGTCCGACTGCAGGATGACCGTTACACAACGGAAGCCGCATCACTTACCCGATGAGATTCAAAGTGCGTGCATGATCGACTCATGGCCATATATGTCGCTTTCTCATCCATTTACCTTACCTCGCAGCTTTGAACGAGCCTGGCGTGCAGTATTCGTGCGACGCATGCGGGACCGACTTGACCCATACCATTCGTATCAAATGTGCCGATCCCGTATGCGTCCCCGGAGAAGGCGTGGACATATGTCCGGCATGTTTCTGTGCTGGAAGGGAATTCGGAAAGCATCTCAGAGGTCATGCATATCGCGTGATAGTACGTGTGCCCGTCGACGGCGCGTTTTCTTGGCACTGACGGTCCCTTCCCGTAGGAGATGAATTCATACCCTATTTTCACAGAAGACTGGGGTGCTGATGAGTGAGGCTATTTTGATCCCACCCCTTTACGTCCCATTGAATCATTTTGCAGGGAGCTCTTACTCCTGACTGGTATCTCGACGCACGGCATTGGCAACTGGAAGAAGATTGCAGAACATGTTGGCACACGAACCAAGGAGGAAGTAGAGGAGCACTACCGGAAAGTTTACATTGAGTCGAAGGATTGGCCTTTGCCTGTGAGTATTGCCTTGCTCCGTGTCCCTCCTGTTCCAACTATTGCTGTTCTGCAGCGGATGGATTTGGAGTTCGACATTGATTCAGAAGTTTTCCACGACCGTAAACGTCGAAGAATAACCGCCATGAATAATCAAGAACCCCCTCCACCCAAACCAGCACCAACATCGTTACCTGGAATCCACGAAATTGCCACCTTTCTACCGGGTCGTCTCGAATTCGAGCACGAAATTGACAACGAAGCTGAAGATCTGGTGAAGGACTTGGAGTTTGGCGTTGTGTACGACTATGGCGGAGACCAAATCGTGGAGGATGAGAATGACCTGGATGTCAAGGCGCGCGTGAAGTGGGAAGAGGATAAGCGGTTAGGGTTGTTGCCAGGACAGCGAAGCGGCTCGATTCCTGCAGGGAAAGGACCAATGATTAACGGGGCGGTCAATGGCTACCACGTTAACGGAGAGGTCAAGAAGCTGAAGTCAGAAGATATCACAATGTCCAATGGCAGTGGTTCGAACGAAGACGATGGCTCAGATGAACCTACTCAGCCACAGCCTTACGAAACGAAGGACTCCATCACTTTCAAGTTGACACTCCTCGAGATGTACTTCCAACGCGTGGAAAAGCGTCTGGAGACCAAGGCCCTGATATTTGAGCGTGGACTGTTGGATTACAAGAAGGTAGGTTAAGTGCTTTCCTCCATCTCGTTCTTCGAATTCTAACGGCTCTCAGATGCAAGCTGCGGAGAAGAAGCGGCCGAGAGAAGAACGAGAGTTCCTCCATCGATTGCGACCCTTTGCAAGATTGCAGACCGCCGAAGATTATGAGGCCTTCTCAACCGACATGCTATGTTAGTAGTTATGCTCGCTACGTCTCTTCCATCTCACGTTTCTTTCCAGATGAGGCGCTGCTTCGCAAACGGATACAAGAGCTTCAACAATACCGTAGACTCGGTCTGTCTACGGTCGCAGACATCGAAAAATATGACATTGATCTGGCGAAACGGGTCAGTCCTTCAGCGTCTCAACATCTGGCTCTTAGTCTAAAATATCGTTGTAGACCCAAGCCAAGGTTGCTCCTTTGCGCGATTACGCCTCTGACAGGCTGCAACACCGTGCAACTGGTCGGGCGTCATCTGGTCCTGATCCTCGAAGATCAAGTCTGGTGTCGTTCGACTCGGAAGGTAGAGGCTCTCGCGAGTCGACGCCTCGACTGGGTCCTTCAGCTGGCCCAAGCACTGCACCCACCGTCCGCCGGCCTCGTATGTCCTTTGCCTGTTGCACCGTTGCTGTTATTTTCTCACTATTCAATTTCAGCTGCCCCGCTCAATCTTGCCAACAGCCCTTCAGTCCACCTCCTTACCCCTGCGGAACAAGCCCTGTGTTCTCATCTACGCATCCTACCCAAACCTTACCTGGTCATCAAAGAGACTCTTGTAAGAGAGTATGCTCGACGAGGTGGCAAGCTTCGTCGGCGTGAGGCTCGCGACCTGGTAAAGATCGACGTCAATAAGACGAGTCGTGTGTGGGATTTTCTTGTTCAGTCAGGCTATCTCAAGATCACCACCGAGCCTGCTGCATCTGCTGCCCCTTTGATGACTCCCTCTGTCTCTCAGTCGCAAGAAACCAGGTGCGCAGTCTTCGTTTCGTTTCACCCTGCCTAAAGCTCTGGATTTTATTCTCTAGCTCTATGCTCGTCCCTTCCCTCAACGGTTCGCCACAGAAGGATGTCCAGATGCAGATGCGAATATCCCCTCGACCTCCAGCACCCCCTGCCATGTCCTCTGCTTCGAGTAGTCAAAATGGTTCGCTGTACAGTGCATCTCTGCAGTCGATACCACAATCATGGACATCCAACCTTTGATACGCCTCTCCTGCTACATTGTTCTACGTCATATCTTATATCCTGTACTTACACATTGCTGCATTTGTATATTAGATACGCATCACTTATAGCATTATTGGGACTTTCTGTTCTTTACCTCGGTCTGATGGATGGATATTGCGGCAAAAGACAGATTAGAAGAGCTACGATAACAAGAACCGAAAGCATATTTATGAACAAATGCTATGGTTTGGTTGATGGTGATAGTTGAGGTTGGCCGGAATACCTTTGTACATGTAATTAAATTGCGTCTTCCAGTGGGAAAGGCTCTGCCACAGCGTCCATCGATCGCGTTTAGGATAGAAGGCGGGGGAGCGCAAGTGCCTCCAGCCAAGTTTCTTAACCAGAACTTCAAAGCGCACCCTGACTTCATCAATGGTTGGCCGTTTCTTTGTGTCATGTCCTCGGTTAATCGTCCCAAAAACTTCAAGCCATGCATTCCTCCGTCCCTCGGTGTGCCCTGGAAAGGATATTGGTTTAGACAAATTTTAGTGGCTGTGGGAAAGGATGTCTCCGTACCGCAATAAAATGGCGCCGAAGAAGATATCCCAGGTAGAAAACATCAACGGGGAAAGGATCACAGGATTTAGGGGTCTTGAACTCTGGAACATGCTGAGAGTAACCGCCCCAGGGTGGGGCTTCCAGATTGCCCTCCTTTGATTTGTATCTCTTGGAGAGTCCAAAATCGATCACGTAGTACTTGATCGGGCTTTGCGTTCGAGACGATCTGACTACAGGAAATCCAGTGAAGTCATAGTTATGACCCATTGCACAAGGATGCGGTGGTCGTGAATAAAGTCCAAAGCTTGCAGCCATCGTGTTGTTGAATTTATAATCCCTGGCACCACAAGCTAGCTCAGTCGTTTTTTTAAAAAAAATCGACAAAGGCTTACCGATGAGCGATATTATGATGATGAAGGAATTGCAAGCCCTGCGCACTACTATCAACCATATTTATCTCGAAGCATTTGGAAATAACGGACCTCAATGATCTGGCGAATATAATCAATTACTTCCCCCAAAGTGTCGAAAGAGGGTTGATTACTCGGATAAAGCAACGGCATGACCAAGAGCCTGATATCATGCGACCCAGGAGCTTCAAGAACATCATAAATAGGAACGCAATGATTCTTCGAGTCAGAGGTATATGGCTCTGAGGAGAGGGTCCGCGCCAATTCCGCCTCCTCTGCGTATTCAGACGCCTTGATCTTCTTGATAATAACACGAGAGCCATCGCTGATACGTGTCGCGTCGACTAAAAAGGTCCACTTACAGTAGAAAAAGCAATGTCAAAGTACAGTCCATTCGAGAAAGTCATTACTCACGCGGCCAAGATACGCGTCCTCACATTCTCGTCACTCTTTATTGGATTCCAGCCAGGACGCTTTCCACCCAGGTTGATACCGCGCGCGCAGACGATAGCCACGTTCTTCAAGCCAGGCGTTGTTATCTCTCCAGAAGATTTCGCTCTCGTCTAGGGTCGCTCGAGCTTGTTCAGGCAAAGACTCGGAGCTGGACCTCTCTGCAGTCACCTCGGTCATGAGACGTGTTGAGGACGGTGGAGGCGGATGTGGGGGTAGAAAGTGCACAGTTCAAGTGCTACTTCAACTCGAAGAAGTCACTCGGCATGCAATTCGAACCTGGTCTCTCTTGTGGTTGGTAGGACAAAGGAAAAGACAATAACATGATCAGTAAGTGCTGTCCGTCAACGAGAACAACACCTGTGTGTCCATCAATCAATGCCGTACACCGTCGGTTAAGTAAGGCGGCAATATCCGAGAGCTTGTAGGTCTCAGGAATGACTTAGAGCGTCGACTTTGTGGGATTTCACACGATAAAGCAGCTATCAGCGCGATTGAACCACTAGGCCAAAAGGTGTACACCTAGTTTTTCGCTTTTTGTCTTTTGTCACTCCCAATTCGACAACCGAGGATTCCATGACATATATAATAGCTAGCGTCATTTGGACCCCGATCCAATTGGTGTTGAGGGGGGTTATCGCCTCACAACGGGGAGGGGCTTGCTTCCTTCCCAACGTCCTCATGGCTGATTTCATCGGTGCTGATCGCGTGCGTCTTGAAGCTTGGAGAGTCATTCGTCACATAGTCCTTCCTATACTCCCATGGAATGTAGGCACCGTGAGTTCATGCCGAACACTATCTGTACCCGTGATGCTAACCATTATTCTTAGGTTGGAGTATTTTTGTGTTCTTCCACGTACTTCGATGAGAACCCTTTCCGAATCCAGTTCTGCTCCACCCCGCGTCTTGTGACATAAATGCGGTGTCCCGCCTATATCGTTTTCTCCATCTACAACCATGTTTGAATCAAGAATCAGCTTCCAGAAGACGGGTATGCCGTGCTACCGACTTCTTTGCGGCCCGTTATCCACTTCTTACGCACCATACGCTATCTCGTTCGACAGCGTCCTGTGCAAAAGTTCGACGATTATAATCGCTCTTCATTGAACGCCAGGGCTTCTTCTCGTTCCCCCCTACTCTCACAGGTCTCCAGCATTTACTCACGTCTATATTCGACAACACGTTCCAGTATACACATGTCGGAAAAGGAAACCAGTGGCGATGTCTCGATGGTCGAGGATGTGGACCGTTCAGCTCTAACAAACGACGTGGATAAATTGCCCGAGCCTGGATCTCCTGAGCGAGTGTTGGCTGAGCGCAAGCTGATTAGGAAACTGGACATGCGTCTCTTGCCCACTATCTTCCTGATCTATATCATGAACTATATCGATGTAAGTGGTTGATTGGTTTGGAGCGTTGCAATGTCTTCAACTCAGGCTTCTTCCAGCGCAACGGCGTAACCACTGCCCGACTGAAAGGAATGCAGGAAGACCTAAGAATCAATGGTATGTCCTTGGCCTAGAAGTATGGCACGCCGCTGATTTACAATGGCCTTGCCAGACGTCCAGTATGCTACTGTGATCGCAATTCTCTTCGCCTCGTATTGCCCTGCGCAGATTCCTTCGAATATGGTATTTCCTTGAATCATGTCATTGTTATATCCTACTAACAAAACCGTGTGCAGATCTTAAATAAAGTTAGCAGGTATTTTTAGCTTACTGCTGCCCTAGCTCGATGGTTGACCTGGCTCTCGAGACCCTCGTTCTACATTGGCGGTTGCACAGTGCTTTGGGGACTTACAAGCGCGTTGACTGGAGTATGTGCTCATGCAACTCGTGGACTAAGCAGAAGTCAATGACCAGGAATTTAGATTACGCACAACTTCGCGGGCATCCTTGCCTGTCGCGTCTTCATTGGGTTGCCGGAGGCTGCGTTCTATCCTGGAGCGGTGTACTTGCTCTCAAGATGGTATACGAAGAAGGTAACATTCCGTCCTTGTGGGATTGTTTGTGGCCTCTTCGACTCAAGCTTGCCGACCAGGAATTAGCCCTTCGATCAGCGATACTTTATGCTGGTCTGCTTATTTCAAACGCATTTGGAGCTGTAAGAAGGTCATCTCTGAAGGCATTCCTTCCCTGACTTTTTGATTCGTGTAGCTCATGGCAGCTGGTATTCTGGCCAACATGGAAGGCAAACGAGGTATTCGGGCATGGCGATGGTGGGATTTAGATTTTATCGGATGGTTATTCGAATTGACGTCTCACAACCAGGTTGTTCTTCATCGAAGTCAGTAAACTCGTGACCTGATATGCATATACTCAGACCTGTAACCAGGGTGCTATCACAGTTGTCGTTGGGCTTGGTAGCATGTTAGTCTTTTATTCTCTTCTCGGAACCCACGAACTTCATTGTAGCTGCATTCAGGTGGGCCTTACCGGACTATGTACGGAATCTCGGCTTTGAGTTGGCTTTTCGTCTTTCGCTCACAACTCCTGTCTAGCCCCACAACACACGCTGGATGAACACAGCCGAGCTACGACTTGCACAGGCCCGCCTCTCCGAGGACGCAGGTGAGGCCGATAAGGATAATGCGGAGGACTCGTAAGTCTGCATCTTTCCACTGTGCCGACCTATTGAGTCCATGCTTCCTCTGTCTAGCCAATGGCAAGGTCTCATATTGGCCGTCAAGGACCCGAAGGTTCTTATCTTTGCTCTCATGTCAACATCGCAACTCCTCGGTTTGAGCTTTGTCAATTTCTTCCCGACGTATGTACCCTCCTGATATTAACTCAGACACGCTAACAATACCTACTAGGTTAACACAAACACTTGGATTCAACACCACCGTTACTCTCCTTTTGGCTGCGTTAGTTTCCTCGTCGCTCCGTCGGAGCGTATGCTCAATGAGGAAAAAATACTTGCAGCCCTCCGTGGATTCTTTCTTCGGTTATCTGCTGCTTGAATGCGTGGCATGCTGGTGAGATCCAGGGTTGAAGTTTTTTGTATAGTTACTTTCTAATTCCTCACAAATCCCTAGATAAAGCGGGAGAGCGGTTCTTCCATATCGCCGGATGGTGGTGGGGTGTCATTTTGGGATTCGTGATCGCGCTGTCCACGATGTCAACAGCTGGCCGATACGTCTCGTTGTTCCTGATGGCTTTTGGGTATGTTGGTAAGCCGCCTTCTGTTTTCTCGTAGTATCGACATCTCATAGGTTCGGCAGGGTTTGCTATGACTCTCGTCTGGGTGTCGAACGCAGTTCCTCGGCCACCCGCGTATGTTCTATTCTCTTGTGTACTGCCGTCTCGTCTCATCTTTGAAATTGCAGCAAACGAGCAGCCGCGATCGGATTCGTCAACGGATGCGGAAATCTAGGCAACTTGTGCGTCTTGTTCAAAATACTTTACTCTCAATAACACTTCATTGTTCGGCAGAATGGGGTCGTACACATGGAAGTCTGCATGGGGTCCCAAGTACCATCAATCTATGGGCATCTCGTTTGGAGCTCTCGTGATTAGCACCATCCTTTCATTCAGTATGTAAATTAACTCTCTTGATATCCTCAAAATTGATCCCTGGACAGTCATTCGGCAAATGCTAGTCCATGAGAACCGTAAACTGGACGCGGACGAGAAGGCTGCAATGGAAGGCGTGAACCGCACCCGTGTTGAGGAAGCGGCGAGGTTAGAGGGCATCACATTCGAAGAGGCGATGGAGAGGAGGAAAGGGTATAGGTACCTGTATTGACTGCCGTTTCCTCAATGACGTGTCGTGTTTCATTCAATGACCCTGCTTCTCTGATGAGATGTCATGATATGACTATTTTCCGGCATGTATCCTACGTACACCCAATATGGCTGACATCCAAGGGCGATCTCTGGAGAATGGGAGCAAGATTTGGACCGAGATTTGGGTTGAGGATGTATCGATGTGACAGCCTTCCCGGAGACGCGTCGTCGAATCGGATTGGTCGATCAGTTACCATATACAGCCAGGTTGATGGGCGCTTAATTTTCAGGCCAGACATGTCGGCCACTGAAATTGAAAGCGCCCTCCATTTGGTTTTATTTTCCGCAGAAGAAACCACTAATTCGTCTTGAAAATCGCCCCTTGAATGCCAGTCGGGTTCTCGCAACAGATTCTCATCGACGGGAGTGATTACAAATGCTTCGGCGTAACGTTTCTAATGTATCCGATTCATGAGAGCTCCATTGTATTGGAGTTTGCATGTTTCTTTGGTTTAAGTTGCGGATTTATGCCGACCGCAAGGCACTTTGATGGGCACTTGTTTTAGCACTGATTTTTTTTGCTCATTATCTATACCTTATGATCTGGATGATCATGGTATGCTATATAATTAGAATAACAGTAAAAGAATATACAGAAAATGTACAGTGTAATTTATCACATCTCTAGCCGTCGAAGGGATCTTCAGTGATGTCCATGGATATCAAAGAGAGAGCAACCGCCGACAAGTTGTGCAAGTCGGACAGTTGCTTCAGCTTTGCTAAATTTGATGCATCCTTGTACTTATAGTTCAGCGTTTTGGATATTACCAGAAATTCGAATTCGTACCAGGACATCTGATAGAAGCCCGTCGGTTGACTCGCGGATGGCCTTTAGCTGTTGCCGGATACTTTCCTTCAATTCCTTTCGCCTTCTTCCCGTCGCTTCAACACGGCGCTTTTCGTTTCTGTCGTAAGGATGCCTATGATCTTCGAGCAAGCTTGAGGTTTAAATCAGCGTAGACAAAGGCTAGGGGTAGGTGGCGCATACTCTTTCGCGTCCCTCTTGAACCGTTGAGCATCCTTCCTATCCAGGATAGCTATGTTTGCTTCTAGAGTGTCCGTAATGGTCGTAAGATCGCCTCGTATCTTGGAGAATGTCTCTCTAACGTCTTCGGATTTCGTGAGGAACTTCAAGGATAGAATATCGGCTGTGAGGGAGCCCAGATTTGTGGCCAGAGCAGCAATGGAGACGAGATCGGCTGGCATTGAAGTGACTAAGGGCTTCGAATGACTAAGAAGGAGTTGTGAAATGAACAGAATGATAGTGGGACGATTCGACGAGCAGAGCTTATATTTATCTGCCCCGTAGTCCCTTGTGCTCTCCTCAAACTTCGACACGGCCATTACGTTGGTATTTGTATTTGAGCCCGGCTATCTGGCCCACGTAACCCATGAAACGAGAGAAGATGAGTGAATACTAAATTATTGTACTCGGAATTCAGTGGGTAGGATCTTTGTACTTAGCACCCACATCCTTATCTCATTTCTCATGTTCGTTGGAACTTGGAAGAGTTTTGCGAGGGTCGCCACAGGGTAAGACGCACTTCAGGCCTATGGACCAAATTTCCAGGCTTCTTGTTGTCCTTTACGAAACTACGAAGAGAATTCTGACAGGTCATTTGTCCTCAGACTGTGCCCACAATGTGTGCTCGTTGTGGGTGAGGCTTGGGCTGGCTTGGGTGAGGCACTCTGAGTCGGAATAATGCCTCGACTTTGTGTACTGCTTTCGGTACGATCTTCGGAGACTGCCGACTGAGTCCAAAGGTAGGTGATGGCTACGCACAGTCTAGGTCACGATAAGTCCGTAAAGTCGGCAGACTGGCGATCAGCGCGACCAGCTGTCCCCGTCACAGCATGCGAGAATAAAAATACTCTTGGGGATAGGGAACATAAACCATAGTTGGGTATATAATATGACTACTCACACTTGAAGGCATCCTACGAGTCTTCAATCTCCCCAATTCAACCCGAGAGCCGCTTCATTTCCACCCCTTACAGCCGCTTCGATAGCCTCAGCCAGTTCCCGGAAAGCTAGAACCTCTTCGCTCAGCTCTTGTCTATGGAGTTGGTTGTCTATTTCTGGGGCAGTGACCCCTAACGCTCTTTGTATAGCTGCATCGCGATCGGGTCCCCGTAGTTTATCGATGTTCGTCAACAACTCTGGGAGGTTTTTCTGTTGGGAAAGGATCCTTCGAATAGCGGGAGAAGTCGCTGTACGCCTTGTGAGCTATAGACTATTAGAAAGTTTGCTGTGGAGTACCAATTGCCTCGTATTGCGGGAGCTGAAGAGTTTTGGGATCGTCACGCTTCAATGGGTCGGGGAAGGCGGATTCCTCAGGAACATAGGGCCATTTCAAGGATGTCAAGGGGCGAAGGGGTGTAGGATCTGCCAAAGCCGCTTCGTCTATTCTTACTAGTGCTAATGACAGCTATGAGGCGTTACTTGTAGTCTCGAATGAAGCCCACACTCACCCTCGTTGTTGACTGGCGCATTCGCTGTCGACAGTGGGGCTTTGGAATTATTTTCCGAGTAGCTAGATTCTGAGAATAAAAGGAATAAGACCTTAATCTGAGACCACGAGGGGGTTAGAGGAGACCTTTGTGCTTCTTGTAGCAACCCAACGAGCAACTATCCTTTGTTCAGCTCTGCGTCCACCGTGACGATTCTTGGGATTTTCCCGAACCTACTAAATGATTCCACACCGTGGGCAGGTATACTTGTAGTTCTGTTCAGAGCATACTTCACATTGAACTGGCTTCTTGCTTTTTGGAGCCATGGAAAAGTTAGAGGGCCGATCGAGATCACCCGACAATGGACATGGTGGTTAGGTAGCGAAAAGCAAGGCTGGCGACGGTCCGACTATCCCGCTAGCATGTCAACACGGATCTTGCAGGGCAATCCATCTTATCTCTTCGCCACCACATACCACCTCTCCTCAGTTTCGTTGATATCTTCAGCCATGGTCTATCCTGGTCAATGGATTTCATTCAGGTGAAGAGATGTCCTGCTGACAATTTGCAGCCAACAAACATGTCATCAAGACCTTTAAATATCTCGTGGATCTATTGCCAGAGGGGGAACGAGCCAAGGTACGTTCAGTGCGTGAAAAAGGGCCGTTGTTTCTAACTCACTGTCGATAGCCACAAGTGGTACTTCTAGCTGGAGAAGTTGTCGGCTTCAGAAACGACACTGATCGGGAGCTCGTTTTCCGTCAAGAAAGCAACTTCTTCTACCTCTCAGGATGCACTGTGCCGTCGTCTTATCTTCTAACCGCCTACCAACCTGGCACCTCACTGTCCAACACACCTTCCGTCGAGCTTTTCATCCCAAAGGCAGAGCTGGCGGACATGATGTGGTCTGTACCTCCTCCGTCTCTGACAGCTGCGAAGGAAATACATGATGTCACTTCAGTGGCTCATCCAGCGGAGCTCCCTGGTGCAATCAACACCTTGCTGAAAGTACTCCCAGGAGCCCTATTCCATACCCTTCCGCGAAATTCCCCTCTTTTCCCAACCCTTGCACCAGAATACACCGAGCAGGTCCTTAACCCAGAGAATGGCGACGGTGCCGTTACCGACTTGTATCTCCTTCCTGCTATCCAACGTGCTCGCCTGACGAAGGACGCTGATGAGCTGGCCCTAGTCAAGCATGCCAATGAGATCAGCTCGCGAGCTCATGAAGTCGTCATGCGAGTCCTGGGAAAGGCTGTGAAGAACAAGATCGAAGCTAGTCTCGGGACGGGTGTAGATAGGCCGCTACTTCCTGGAGAATGGTTGATTGAGAAGGAAGCTGAAGCCGAGGCGATATTTGTGGCTTCTTGCAGGAGAGAGGGGTGAGTCGAATGAATCTAAGCATATTCGACACGCCTTCTGACCTCCACTACAGCGCTGTGCATCAAGCATATCTGCCCATCGTAGCCGCCTCAACTCGTGCATCGACTCTCCACTACTGTTGCAATGACCGCGAGTTCGCCTGGGGCCCTGTGAAACCACACGATCATCATAACAACAACGAGTTGGCGCATGGAAAGTCGAAGGAGCTCAACCCTCAAGTCTTGCTCATCGACGCGGGCTGCGAATGGAACTGTTACGCCTCTGACATCACTCGCACCATGCCAGTTGGAAATGGAGGAAAGTTCACTCCAGAAGCCCGTGCTATCTACGAGCTTGTTCTTGAAATGCAAAAGGTTAGTCTTCTATATTACTCTACCTTGCATCGTTTATTTACAAAAGCTGTCGTGAAGCAATCGTTTGAAATTATCAAAGCTGGCCTTCACTGGGACGCTGTCCAGCTCATCTGCCACCGCACGCTCGTCAAAGGATTTCAGAAGCTTGGCATCTTCAAGACTCCTGACTCGTCAGGATCAGGATCCTGGAACTCCGAGGAAGCCATTCTAGCCTCTGGTGACTCCTCCGCTTTCTTCCCTCATGGCGTCGGCCATTCGCTGGGTATGGATGTCCACGACGTGCCGAGCGCCAGCAAGCCTGCTATCAATTCTACGATTGGAGGCGTTGCCCTCGGTCATGAGAGTTTCTACACTTACCTGCGCTTGAGGCTGCCTCTGGAGGCAGGGATGGTTGTCGTAAGTGTCCCTCATTTTCTCGAGCGATTCACATCTGAACTCGAGCTTGGTAGACTGTCGAGCCAGGCATCTATTTCTCTCCTCACCTTCTCGCCGCTATCCGAAACTCGAATCACATTAACCATGAGGTTCTGAAGAAATATGAGCCAGTTGGAGGAGTCAGGATCGAGGATGTCGTCCTCATAACTGAGACTGGTTATGAGAACTTTACGACAGTCAGAAGCGACGTTGCTTGGGTTGAAGGTGTCTGTTCTGGAGAGCTTTGAAGAGGTCAGTGGGAGGCATGGTTTATTCTATCAGAGGTTTCGTAAGTAGTGCAAGCGAGGGCTCGGAAAGGGCATGCAAACAATGCTACTTCGATTAGTCTACATGTAAGGGATACTGCACCTGCCTCTACCAAGGAGGTATCCGATGGTGTTCTCTGTTGAATATGCTAATCATCCCACCTTTCTCCGTGGTCACTTACGCATCCTTCATCGACCAAGCTCTCTACCATTGACCAGAATGTGGGTGCTCTGTAACAGCCCTCTATACTCCAAACCATGGGATCGCCGTAATCCTTGATGACAACGAATCTACGATCCTTTTTCTCTTTAACAGTCTTTATAAGGTTCTTGTGCCGCTCAGGCTTCATGCCCGGCGGTTCAAGGATCGCGAAACACCGCAGACACGGAGCCGCAACTCTCATCGGGAGAGTGGACGTCCAACGACCGTAGGATACTGCGAAAGACTCCAAGTTCGGGAACCGAGGGCCAGTGGGGAGCAGAGCGATGAGAGGGTCATTAAAAAAATTGGCATAGTGGTTCGCCATCGGGTCGCCGTCAGGGTGAAAAGCATCCTGGATGAGTGCAAGATGGGTGAGGGAATGGCGTAATGAAGTTGGCACACAATTAGGCGCTATCCACGACTTTTTTGAGTTGGAAACGACCTTCGAGATGACTATTATTTCTCGAATTTGACTTCCGGTTTTGAGGGCATCGAGGAACGAGACTGTGTTGGTGTCGCTTTCTCTAAATAAAAAGACTGTGGTAACAGAGCTTGACAGCATCTCCAAAATTAACCCTATTTTTGGGGAAGCCACGCAGCTAGCGAACGCTAGAGATTTGACCATAACCTTGAAGCACCCAGGTGTTTTGGATCGGATGGTTCGCAAGAGGCATTCTGCCGCATGTGGACTTTGAACGACAATTCTTTCGTACAGGACGGGCTGGATCCTGGAATAAGGATGACATTTAAATATCAACGGGAGAAGAGCGGCAATGAACCTACCAGTCGTGCACGTACAGGGCAACCCTTGAGAGGTTCAGCGCGCAGGTGACGTCTTGTTTCGCAGCATCTTTAAATATTATCCGTTGAAGTTCGATGGGTACCTCATTTGCGAGGGTCGTCGGCTGACATCCTTGAGGATTCGTGCGTGTCATTAGGGACAGGCATAGGTGAGGAAGCTGATGCGCAAGGTATATAAGAGTGGCCGTGCAACAATCGATCATCCGTGTTCAGCGGTGCTTGGTGGTTTCTCTGCGCTGAGGAAAGGCGATAATAGGAGAATGTCCATCACAGAAGCAAGATACAGTTTCCTAAAGCCAAAAATAAATCAGAGTTCTGAGTACCGGAGAGGCTTTCTCGTTTGGCAGTATTCATGTCAGGTGGTTCTAAGATGGCGAAACAGAACAGCTTCTGCGCGACAGACGTGATAGATAGCATGACTTGATAGCGAGCGTATGGCACCGAGAACACGTCAAATTATGGAAGGGCTTGGAGAACGGTGAGTTCGGTGCCATGGGACACACTGGTTGACGTTGACTCTTGAGTTGTTGTTCCATGCTGGGAGTCTGCAGTCAATGACGATCGAGATTGCGGCAATATGAAACATGATCATTGCTGAATTTCGTTCGGAACAAAGTAAGGGAACAATCTGTGGTGTTTGTACTTGGTGGAAAGCCTTCTACTCCAACAGCCATTCAACACAAGATGTGGGAATTTTGATGTCCCTGCCGGTTTGCCGAGATGACTACTTAGGCTGCTGGTAAGTAGGCTCTTTGTCAAGAACCCCATTAAAGCAAGACCAGGTTGTTTGGGATAATCAATGCTTAACGTGTAACGCGCAATACAGCGAAACAGTCTAAAGAGGTCAGTTTGTAAAAATTCCGGCGAAGTAGCTGCTCAGTTTCTCAGCGGTTCCTATCCTCGCACCAACCACACCATCTGGACGAATGACGAAGACCCCACTCGTGCTTTCAGGACCCTTGTAAGCCTCATGTGCATGACCATCACGGTCCTCGAAGACGTCGCAGGAAGCCGCGAAGCCGTTGCCGCTAGCAGAAATAATAATCGGTCGGACGAGTGTCGGTGGGAAGCGCTTCAAGCTCGAGAGGGTAGCATCATAGTCCGCGTGGGCGAAGATTAGGACGGTGTGACGCGAAGGGTCGAAAATCTTGAAGAGTCTGGTTGCGTCTTCCTCTGCAGGGGCGCCGAACCTGACCAAGCGTGGCGCATCTGGAGCTCTGTCGCCGGCTTGCACACCTGCTTCGGCCTCAACGTTATAGGTAGGCCTCAACGTTATAGGTAGACGAAGCCTGTTTCCCGCCATTGACTTTTCCCTTCGCTTCGTCGACCACGATGCTGCTCCAGCGGTAGTTGACACCGAGTTGGTTGATGTGCCCCGTCCTCCTCCAGCCGACGTCGGCACTGGCAACAACCATCTTGTTGAGCATCCCAGTCGTAATGTTGAGCATCTCGGCGACGACGGGGTGGCGCTCGTCGTTATACGTGTCCAACAGCGAAGGTGGCGCAAGACCTTTAAGAACTAGAGCAAGCTTCCATCCCAGGTTGAAGGAATCCTGAATGCCTGTATTCATTCCTTGACCCCCAGCAGGGCTGTGGATGTGTGCTGCGTCTAAAGGCAAGATGAGAATGTGGGAAACACTTCAAATGAATACAAAGAGCTGGCTTGTACCTCCAACGACGAACACACGTTCAACTCCGAATTTCTCGAGCATACGAATATTGACCCTGAAGCAAATTGAGACGAACGTCGCTATAAAAAGCCGGGAGGACATACCTATAATGATTGTAGCAGATGAACTCCTCCACCCATATGTCGTCCCGATTCCCAGAATGTTTCTTCAGGAAAGCCTTCAAAGATTCTTCACTCGAGCATACTTCTTCGTGATTCGTGAATTTGCTGCCTCCTAGGACGAAATTGACCACGTCGTGGTCCTCGGTCGGTCGTAACCCCACCCTACGGGTGAGCATGAATATTGTGATGAGGATGCAAACCAAAGGACAACGCTTACAAAACTTGACCCAATTCGCCCCACATATGCCATTTCTGTGGCGGAATTTAGCCGTAGAAAAGGTATGGAAGTCGAGAGGCAACTCATGTCCAACGCCAATCCTCCGAACTTGGCATCCCCAACCACAAAGTTCTCTTCTGCGGTTTTACCCAAGAAAGACAATCCTAGCTCCTTTCGGACGACGCTCTTTGCACCATCCGCGCCAATGACGTATTCATAATGCTCTTCTACTCGCTCGACGACCTTTGCCTCGGTGCTATGATTGAGGAGCTGGACGACAACATGATCTGCAGATTGATCGAACGATTCCAATTCGACGCCAAAGGAGACCTCAGTGCCGTAGCGATTCTTCAGCTCGGCTCGCAAAATTCTATCTAAGCCGTCTTGACCCAAGAGGAGCAGGTCGAGCTACGTTCGATCCTTTAGCACCCTGGGCAGGAGGCGAAAGCGGGTTGGGGCTTACATACGGACAGGCAGGCGTTGGGTCAATATGCGGTGACATCTCGAATTCCATCATAACCTCTACGCCTTCTGGCATCTCGTATAGATTGATTGGAGGAGCACGCCTGGCACGAGCCAATATAGCGTCCGACAACCCAAAGAAATCGAAAATTTCCAAGGATCGTGGCTATGGAGAAGGCGACAAATCAAACAGTTGATGAAAAGGTTTCAAATGCCGCCTACGAACCATTAAACTCGGTCTCCTCTGGCCAATGCGTGGGTGTACGGATTTCTCGACGACATGAACCGGGACGCCATTCTTGAGTAGGGATAAGGCGAGAACGAGTCCTGCAGGACCAGCGCCAACCTATGGAATCAGCAACACGATACATGGTCAGTTGTTCAGCATTGAATCGATAGTGCAAGACTACTGACAATGAGGACTTTCGGGTTGGTCAAACCTGTGGACATTGAAGATAGAAAATGCGAAGAATTACAACTGTGAATGTGTGCGTGTCGCATTCGTCCTTTTATAGCGCGGGTTTCGAAAGGCGTAAAGAACCTTTCTTTGAAGGTAGACTGTTGGCACGCAATGAGACTCTTCAAAGTCGGGCTGCACGCCATTGCCGAGAAAGTGTCAACAACCTTACTCACTGGTATATGTTCGGATAGAAGTAATGACAAAGACGGAGCAGTGTCGACCGTGGGGCCCATCTAAGATAGATGTGGGAGGGCGAAATTGCAAGGTCGACGCTTAACCTTTACATCCATACCGAAGGAAGATCATCATCCATGTGGTGACTATTTGAATTTGTAGGTGGCAGATGCTGGAAGCGGATCGGTTCGTGGATTTACTCTCAGGCCGCAGGAGATGCCAGCGGAGAAAAGGCTGGCTGGCCGCAGTAGTCCACTACATGTGGAAGTATGGATCGACATCCTAGCATGACATTGAGCGTGCTCAGGACTTCGATCGGAGTTCGGATCCTCTCAGCTTCAAGCTTCCAGTTCACTTAGCGCAGAAAGGTAGTATTCGTAGGCCAAATCAAATGACAACAAGCTTGTGGAAGTGCACTTGCAAAGATTGGTTAGCTCAGGCTACCCGAAATCCGAGGCGAACACCGCCCAGCGCAGGTGTTGTTCCACTCACAGAGCAGTCGATTTCCGCGATAAATGATACTTGCCGCACCGTATGGCCCCCGCGCGCACGCCTTGATCAAGTAGAAAGTGGGTGATAAGTGCTGAGCTGTTCAAACTTCGGAGAAGGCTTCCAGAGTCTCGGACGTCTGACGGACATCGTGATTTTCCTGGCCGACGACAAGAAGCAGAAGTTTCAATGTCACGGCTGTTCTTCGCGATCCTGAGCCTTTTCGTGTGCGGGGTGATACATGGTGGATATGATATGGTTGGGACTCGAATGAGAACCTCGAAGGCATTCTTTGTTGCGTTCAGAGGTAGTCCACGATAAGATAAGATAACTACCACTGACAAATATTGCTCAACCTCGACTCTACTCTGTCTAATACCACAACCTTGTTCGTTGAAATTGCATTAACGAAAAGCCGGAGAAGGGGCTCTCTTCAAGCTCCAGTTTCATGAGGATGAACTACGAGCTTCACTCCGGAAACCTGATTCGTCTCCAACCTCCTTAGACCCTCTGGAATCCCGGCAAGGCCATTCGGGAGAACTTCAACTCGGTTAGGCTGCGGTGGGTGAGTAGCGACACTCGGAGCAATTTATGCGCTGCTCACCTTGATATCCCCGCTTTCTAGGAGTCTGGCAATATGGTTGTGCCAAAAGTCTGCCAATATCTTCCCGTTGGCGGGGACAGCTGAAGCTGCTCCAGTCGTAACAGACACAACACTTTTGTTATCGTCGGCCTTCAAGTTGATTGCGAGAGGAAGAACAGTGACAAGTCGCCCTCCGGGAGCAAGAAGGCCTAGTCCTGCTTTCTGAGACTCCTCGTTGGAGACGGCGTCGAAAAGAATCGTCAAAGGCTGGCTCGTCGTGACTCGGTCAACTTCAGACTTCAATGACTCGGCGGAAAGGTCTCGATCAAAGACATATGTCGCCCCTAGAGACTTCAATAAGTCAAGTGTTTCAACGACGCGACAGCAATGATAGGAGAAAAGCCTGAAAGTCTCGCCAATTGAATAGCTACACAAGAGGTTAATACTTCACATGAAAAAACCAAATCATCGTTACTGACCCGCTTGACCCACAGAGGTCGCACCGCCGATAACAGCGATGGGTGTCCCAGTGTACTTCGCTGCCCCCTGTGGTGTTGTTGGTAAAGTAAGGCCGAGTCCAAAGGGTGGTGGGATGTAAAATGCGACAAAGGAGCGAATCACGGCCACGGGAAGAGCTGCAGCTTCGTCAAATGAAATGTTTGGCGGTATCTGGACACTTGTGGGTGTAAGTTAGCAGGAAAGAAATACTATGGACGACGTTCTGACCTTCACAGTTGTTGAAACAGGAAAGAGCGCGTATTGCTGGAACCCTGCCTTACGACCGTCAATTAGGAAGTGCCCTTGTCCGAAGCTAAGGATTACTTGTCAACACCAGGGCTTTGATAAGACACAGCCAGCTGAAACTACTCACACTCGATCTCCCTTCTGAAAATCCGTGACACCTTCACCCACGGCGTCCACTTCACCAGCGATGTCCGACCCCAGGATTGCGGGGTAGTTCTCCACAAGAAGACTGTACTTCTGGACGAGCCATTCCAAAGGATTAAGCGCCGTCGCCAGAATTTTCACCAAGACCTCGCCTGGTCCAGGGTTATACCTGGGCGCTTCACCCAGGACGAAATCGCCAAATTTTTTCTCGAGGAAAAGAGCCTTTTGCGTGGACATCGTTGCGGAGAGTTGCTGGAAGATCTTGAAGTTGCGACCGTATAAACGTGTTGACGACACATCGCGATTGCATCGGCCATTTATACATCATCTTGACGCAGGAGTATGCAACTCCGCCGAGCTTCGCGCACAATGCAACGTCTGATGGCTCCTGTTCTCCTGGTGTCGATCAAGGGTGGTTAGAAAGTGATCGAGGATGGACATCAATAGATGACGAATGCTTCGCAGTCCTTAGCATTTGAAGTCGTTCAGGCAATCTTCCATGATATGTACTGTCCGCGTTTGGTGCAAGACATCGGCAAGAACTGGCCTGCCGACAGTCGTAATATGAATTTGTCCCACCTGGTATAGCCGCCCACTGAATCAAGATCCTCGGCGACTCCTTAGGAGGACCCATTCACAGGCAATGAACTTGTTTATGAAGCTTCAAGCTTCAGGAATCGAAGAACCTTACCAGCTTTAAATAACTGTTCTCTCAGGTCTCTTAGGCAGAAGACTCTACACGAAAAAAAACTCGTCCTAGACCTTGGCTTTCAAGACGGATCACTCGAAAACAAGGAGGTCCATTGGGCTTCAGCCTTGAGGAAACAAAGTCACTGACGCGTCCGTTCGACTCCAACACTCTCCAACACCACCTCAGCGCTTGTCAGCAGCCCGTTCTCCTTGGCGTCCATTTTTCGTTGCAAGTCTGTCCACTTTGAATACGTTGGTAGTCAATAGCTACAGGTCACCACTTCCCATCGACGATAGTGTCGTGGGTCGACGTCTAGACCAACGTAAGTCTCTCGTTGTATAAGAATCTCCAACGAAAGCCTGAAGTATCCCCACTCACAACAATGTCTAACGCCCTCGCCAGCAAACTGCCTCAAACGTTCAAGGGTGATTTTATCATCCCCGATCACCCGAGTACGCTCAAGCCATCTCCCGCTGTGCCGCGAATGCAGCTCGTAAGGCCAGAGCCGTCGCCTTTGTCAAAGATAATCAAGATGTCGCCCAAGCCCTCAAGTTGGCCAAAGATAACGACCTCGCTGTCGCTGTGCGTGGAGGAGGCCATCACGCCTTCGGTGCGTCCTCTGTTGAGGACGGGCTGGTTATCGACCTTTCGCGTTACCTGAGTGGAGTGAGAGTCGACCCCGCGAAGAAGCTCGCGTATGTCGGTGGTGGTGCATTATGGGAGACCGTCGATAAGGAAGGCATCAAACATGGGCTGGCTACTGTCGGAGGTACCGTGAATCATGTATGTGGTGTCTGTTATTTCCCTGCGGGGCCTTTTTTTTTTTTAACGCGGCTCCTGATAGACTGGTGTGGGAGGGTGCGTGCAATGATCTTGAGTTCATCGGTATGGCGTTACTTCACAATCTGATTACAGACTCATTCTTGGAGGCGGCTATGGATGGCTGAGCGGCGCCTACGGACTCGCTGTAGACAACTTGGTCCAGGTATATGCCACTGATCGACCTCCACTTTTCGATACCCTCATCCTTGGATCATTCGTCTTTAGGCTACAGTCGTAACTGCAGATGGGTCAGTACTCACCACCAACAGTACTGAGAATTCCGACCTATACTTTGCCATCCGAGGTGGGGGCGGCAACTTTGGAGTTGTGACCGAGTTCGTTTTGCAGCTCCATCCCCAACGCGCCACCGTATATTCCGGCACCCTCATCTACCCTGCCTTCTTTGCTGAGAAGGTCATTTCCGCCACTGAGAAGTGGCAGCAGACTGCGACTGAGAACGAAAGCGTTATGGAGGTTGTCACAGTCGGACCGGACGGCAATGTACGCGATCTTTCTTTTTTTCGCCGATTATCCAACCAGCAGCTAAAAATTATTCCCAATCTATCCTTGATGGCAGGCCGTTATTATTTTTATCCCATTCTACAACGGAAGTGAAGCTGAGGGTCGAGAACGCCAAAAAGATCTCCTCGCGGCTGGTGAGTGTGGCGTAGTTGCTCCTTTAGGCTCATTCGCCGAGCTGACCAAATGTACATAGATCCCGTGGCTGACATTTCCAGAGAGATTCCGTACGAAGAACTCAATTCCCTCCAAGTAAGCCCATATTCATACAGCTTATAGCACTCGCTAAATCCTGCACCTCCCTGGTAGAACCCAATGTCCGCCCACGGCCGAGGCGTATACATGAAAGGCTCCGCCTTCAAAGGCCTACACCCTCCTTTCCTTCGTCAAGGCACATCAAAGGTTCGCAGAAATCGTCAAAGGTGGTATCTTCAACGGCGCTATCATCTACGAGTTCTTTGGACTCAAGAAGATCAACTCGATCGCACAGAATACGACTGCTTTCCGGCGTGTGCAGGCGCATAACATTCTCATCACGTTGACTTGGGAACCCGCTGAGGATAGGACTAAGGAGGCTAAGACGCTGGTGGAGGAGCTGTCTGTCATCGCGACTGAGGGACAGGAGAACCTGACCAGGTCAGATCGTTTGGGTTATAGCAATTACGGTAAGCATTGCTATGGGCAGTTTCCTCCGGCAGGGGCGCTGTGCTCACCTACTGTGCCGTAGACCCAGAGAGCGCTGTCGGTGACAAAACGAAATTCGTATTCGGAGAGAATTATGTTCGTCTTCAGTCCATCAAGAAGCGCTATGATCCCGACAATGTCTTCAATAAATGGTTCCCCATTGCGCCTGCCTAGTCGGGCTCGTCTGCTAGTTCCTCAGGCAGCCTGTAAAATATGTTGACTTTCGCAAACTAGAATGAATAAAGAACAAGATGAACGATTCCTGGCATGTTTTACAACCCATGAACGAGTAGCAGGTGCCAATTGGAACCGATATTATGTCAATATCTGTCAAGCGCCCTGCATGCAGCATTGCCCAATGTCGACGACGGGGTTCCATTCGCTCGTCAGCAATGATCAGTCGCCGTGCTCGTAATCCGGGTCTGTCACACCGAGATCTGGACGATCCCTTTCAGAGCCTATACTCTGTGGCGCCAGGAGATCAATAGCCTTGTTTAGTCTCGAGGCTCCAAATCCATCCGGATGTCGGTCCGATGGCCTCTTTCGGTTCATCACTCTCCTTCAACACCAAAGACGGCAGAACTGCTCGTACAAGCGCTACTAGGGTCATTGCATTTGGAAACTATTGGATTGAAAGTAGCGGCCCGACGAACTGACCAAAAATAGACAAGGCGGCACAAACTTATGCACCACCAAGCCAGTATGCGTGCTTCCACTTAGCCCTTGGCTCCCACATTTGGCTGTCAACGAAGTTGATGCGTAGAGGAGGCGATTTGTAACCGACGAGTCACCAGTGCTCGCCTTCTCAAAGTGAGGAGTCATTCACGGCACAAGAGAATGCGTAAATATTTAGGTGAGCTATCCGAGTATAAATGCCTGTGTCATTGACCACTGATCAAACAACACACCATCTCGGCTAGTCTCAATGAGGAACTTTTTTCTAACAAACAGCCTCTCTGCTTCAAGGGAGACCTCATCACCCCCGACCATCCCGTTGCCTACGCTCTGAAATTGGCCAAAGACAATCGTTTGCCTATCGCCGTTCGTGGAAGAGGACGTCATGCCTTCGGCGCGTCGTCCGTCGAGGGTGGGCTTGTCATCGACCCTTCGCGTTTACCTGAATGGGGTCACGGTCGATCCTTCGAAGAAGCTCGCATATGTCGGCGGAGGTGCAATATGGGAGATTGTCTTTAGGGAGGGTGTGAAACATGGGTTGGGCGCGGTTGGAGGTGCCGTGAATCATGTACGTTGCGTTTCTTTTCAGCGACTGGACATGGCTAAACGAAAGGTTGGATAGACCGTTGTGGGAGGGTGCGTTATCCACTGTATGTTTTTGTCGATATAAATTCATGAGTGACACGTTCCGAAAGCTACACACTCGGAGGTGGCTACGGATGGCTCACCTCTGCCTATGGGCTAGCCGCCGACAGTCTGGTTCAAGTACATATCCTTGATTTTTCTAGAGTTCCATTCCTCACATTGATATCCTTCGCCCAGGCTACTATAGTAACGGCCAATGGCTCTGTCTTAACAGTTAACGACACCGAACACCCCGACTTATATCTCGCCATTCGCGGAGGCGGCGGCAACTTCGGTGTCATCACCGAATTCGTTCTGCAGCTCCATATCCAGCGCCCGACCGTATATTCAGGGACCCTCGTGTACCCCGCCTCCGCCACAGAGGATATAGTGGAAGCTACTCACAAATGGCAGGAGATTGCGGGCGAGAAAGACAGCGCGACAGAGGTTGCAACCGTCGACGACGAAGGCAATGTAAGTCTTCCTTTCGTTAACTCTACTGTTTCGACGTCTCAATCCCAAATACATTACAAATTTTAGGCCGTATTCATCATAAATCCATTTTACAATGGAACTGAGTCGGAGGGCAGAGAGCGCTTCAAGGACCTCCTCGCAGCCGGTGCGTGTGGCGCAATTTCTCTTTGTGGCTCATTCCCGGAGTTGACCGGCGCCGAATAGGTCCCGTGTCCGACACCACGAAGGAGATATCATTCGAAGAGCTCAATACCTTATAAGAATGGATTTTGAACGCGGGGATGTAACATGTGGGAAAATCAATTTCATGTTGGGAATTCGAGCTTCAAGATTAGACGGTCTTCCTCTTCGACCTTGCCTCCCTCCAACCGGGCTGCCTTCAGCATCTCTCTGGGCCTAGCACCCTGTAATGACTCATCAAAAGCGCCCCAAAACGTCCGCGAACACAGGGAAGAAGCTAGCAGCAGCGAAGAAGTCATTGAAGAAAAACATGGCCTCCGTCAAGTCGAAGAACGACAATTTGCGGCAAGTGCTGGATCGACAGGCGTCGGGGCTCCAAGCGGTGCGTACTCTCCCCATAGTAAACTGTACTGCGACTGAGGTCGCGGAAACTTGTAGATTCATGGGATTTCACAAACCCATCCTCATCCTCATCCTCATCCCCAAAGAACCACGGAAAAGACGCTTTCCGTTAACGACGTGGCAAGCATCCTCAGCAACCTGTGAATCAGCAACACCACGATGTCGCCGATATCGCCAACTTCGCTTCTTTTCCGAGCGTCTCAAGATGATAACATGCTCTGGACGTCTCGACTTGGCGTTTTTACCAATGGCGACCCCCCCTTTCGGATTTGCAGGCAAATGGACACGTCTAGTCATCAGGCCTAATCCCGGAGTTTTACCTCGTTCTTCAGGTAGTAAAGGCCCAGAGTATGTCATAACATCTTGCTGACCTTCTCAATCTTGACCTATCTCGCAGTTTTCATTTATCGGAGCATTTCCTCTTGGGATATAGATAAACCACTCCCAGCCCTAAGAACACTGCTTTACAGCCAAATGCGCCCTCCCTTTTGTGTGATGCTTCGAACTCTCGTACTCATTCCCCATTCACCCTTGAGACGTGCCAAGTGCCTGATGCGAAACACTGCATCTCATTGACGTTCATCACCCCTTCTCTCAACAATCTGCCCAACAAATCATCACGCCCAGTGGCCACGCGGAAGAGGTTGCGATCTGACCTTCGGCGTCCAGCAAGACTCTCGTCGAACCCTACCTCGGTCACTGATTAATATTGTTAGCGATCATTCTCATGACATGCCGTGAAGGACATATTAGAGATGAGGTGCTATTTCATCTCAGAATCGCCATTTGGTGGACTTACAAGCATTCCGTGAACCCGAGGGGCTTATCGTAGACTCCTGCTGGCTAGCCGGAGTGGAGTGATTGACTCTCCAGTTGGAATAAGCTCGATGCCTTGCGAACGGGGAGAACAGACCCAGGGTCTTTAGAACGGCTGTTCGAGAAGAGTTCTGACACATTGACGCTCGTCCTGTCGCTCAACCTGGTCGCATGATCGGCTCCCTTGCGGTTCATGACTGTCAGACATGCAAACGATCTTCACCATCATCCCTCCATGATTTGGATCAGGACAAGGCAATACCCCGTATAAAAGGATGGGAATGAGTCTTTGGTCCTAGTCTTTGCAGGTCATCAAGGCTTTTCTCGTCATGCACTCCTTTTACTACGTTCTTTACTCTGTGGTGGCTTTCAACTGGTTGAAAGTCGCTGCCTTTCCGATATCGGTACTCCTCGAGCCCCTACCAAGGGCTATCACGGGAATTGACCAGTCGACCTTTGATGACCTTGTGCGATACACGAAGTACTCCTCAGCGGCGTACCAGAACAATTGTGTCAGACCTCTCTCTAACACTTTGGTGCAAGAGGTAAGTGTCCCTCCGGCTGCAAAGCTGCAATGGTTTTGTTGACAAGTTTGTATGTTGTCAGTTCTCGAAAGGCGGAACCCAGGCGTTGATAGCGCGCGATGATGCTCGAAAAGAGATTGTTCTTGCCTTCCGCGGTACTCAGAGCGTGCTTGATGGCATTTTGCCTTCCGCGGTACTCAGAGCGTGCTTGATGGCATTAAAGGTGCGTTTGCATGTCAATTACTAGCTTGCTTGTCTATGTGCGATTGACCTCTCTTTATATACAGACGCCCTCATCATCCGCAAATCTTTATCTAAAGTGTCTGGCCTCACCGACATCGGTGGAGCGACAGCCCACACTGGGTTCATGTCGGCCTACAACGTCGTGGCCGCGGACGTCCTCAAAGCTATAAAAGCTCAAGTTGCTGCACGCCCAACCTGCACAGTCGTTGTCACCGGCCATTCGCTGGGTGGTGCCGTGGCGACTTTCGCCGCCATCGTGATAAAATCAGCACTGCCCAATGCCAAAGTCAAACTCTACACGTACGGTGGGTGTTGGTTGGTTGCCTGGTGCCGATTCTGCCCTCATCGTTGTTTGATAACCTCGGTCCCGCAATACTCAATACGCAATAGGTCAGCCGAAAGTTGGTAATGGCGACTTTGCGGCGTACGTCGAGAGGAAGCTCGGTGTCAACAACATCTTCCGAGTTGTGCACACGAATGGTAAGTACCCCAGTCTTCTCGTTGGCCAAGCCCTCACTCTGCGTAGATGGTGTGTCACTCATTCTAGTCAGGTTGACGGGCTATCGTCATTTGTGAGTGGGGTTTATTATTAGGGTGTCGGCTGGCTAAATTGATATCTCTCAGTGGCACGGAATATTGGAACTTCAAGGATCCAGGTAAAGTTCCAATCTCCGTATGAATTTCATGGCTGTGAACTTATTTTTGCATTTCTCCAGCTACGCCTGCCAACATGAAGAAATGTGTTGGAGGCGAAGACTCTACTTGCAGCCGTTCCGAACGTCCGTCTTGTTTCCTCCTTTACTCACAACGGTTCTCCACAAGTCTGCCACTTTCTAGGCCCCTCCATAATATTTATCAACGAAGCTCACAAGACCTACTTCGGCATAAGTAAGTCTCTCCATTTTCTGTGCGGCAAACCTAACGGGTCTATCCGTAGACGTGGCGTCAACTAATAATCGCTTTTGCGTGGCTTGAGCTATCGGACAGGCTCCAACTTGCCTTAATATTTAACGCTTGGACTTTCTTTATGAACTCTCGAGGACTATCGATACGGAATTATACCCTGATAACCACAGGAATGGACTAATGATGTTTGGATTGACGAGACACTTATTCGCAAACGTGAGGGTTGGCTGAACGGCGTCGAAGACACCTGCAGCGGTGGTCGAATCCCCAACTCAATCATAAAGCCGCTTTCATTTCATTAAATTTATTGACAGGAGACTCCCCCAGAGTTCGACGCTTCTCCGCGATGCAATCTTTGCGATTAGTATTTTCACTAATATTAGCGCCCAATCCTTGGCGTCCTCCTGGCTTTCGGAATTGGAAGCAGCCGGCGTGCCTGACTTGTATTCTCACACGCAGGCCTGGCGTTGTGCTTGCTGCTTGAACACGTCTCTTGGCTGCTTCCTTCACTTCCCCTCAGTTGGTGGGGCGTCGTCCCTCCTTTCGCCGTCCTGTCACGATGCCTTCATCCACTGCCGCTCTTTACTTCTCACTCGTTCTTTCTGCCGTCAGCGTGTTTGCGGAGAAACATACTATCAGGTTTGATAACAGGTGACTTGATCGATTTTGCGTCTGTTCCGTTAGTCCATTTGCTGACTGAGTATACCGTAGGTGCGGATATGGAACTGTAAGCGTTCCGACACAGTAGTTTGGGCGGGGTTAACAAGGTCAGTTATGCAGCCTCAACTGATCCAGAAGGGAATTATCTTGTCGCGTGGAGAGCCATTCACTTCGAGTGGACCTTTCTGGGCTGGTGTTGCGTTCGTCCCTCTCGGTCGTCTCTCAAACTCAAAGGATTTTAACCCATTTTATGACTCAGATATCTGCAAACAGGTTCGTCCAGTCGAGAAACCGCTCGAAAGTCCGATCAAACAAAACTACAGGAAACTGCTTACTGAATGGCGAAGGATGCACCTTAGTTGAGATGTCGTTAGCCAATCCCGCTTGCCCTGGGTGTGGATCAAGCGCGGACATTTCGCTCATTCCTCCGTCGGTAACATCTCTGTGATTATCCTCCAGGGCAAAGACTCTAATGAGACGTTCAATGGTAGGCTTGGGTTCTCGGTTCCAACAACATTCAGGTGGGGAGTACAATGCTGGGGTTCACAACTGATTTCACCCTTTTTGTAGCTATTATGGAGGCTGCGACGGACAAGGAGCTACGTGTATGTGCTTACTAACTCATATTAAGTTGATCGCGACTGACCTGACATCCCGGAGCCCGTAGGTTCTTCCGCGAAATGTCGAACTGCATTCTTTGTTCCGGACGACAACCACGTTCAAGTTCAGTGCCAGGAGAACGACGTTCGTTTTATTTTCCCCTTAATTATGAAAACCCTCTGCCTCAACTACTATTCCATCAGGCCAATTTACTCATTACATTTTGTGACGGCGCTTCTGGGGCAGCTTCCACGTCCAAGGTTATAGCCCCTGTCCCCACGCAACCGACACCTCAGCCAACCGCTAACCAGATTGCTGCCACGAAGACGATGTCTTCCGCGATGCCAGCCACGGCTACGGCTCTTGGAACCAATGTGCCGCAGTGCGCTCAACACGGAGATCGAACCCAGCGGCGCCGTAGCCTCTCTAGCCTCGCCCACGAGCACAAACGCTCCAGGGGCCGCAGGGCCCATTGAGCGATTTGTTGTCAAACTTTCACGGTGGTTGGTTGGTTGAGGAATCACCGGTGTGGTCCCCATCGAGAACTACCAGCCCGTATGCAAGCATACTGGGTGGAACCGCCCCTGTTTACTCCATTATCTTATTTACTGGGCTCCTTGTGCGCCTCCACCGTATCCCTCCAAGCCAAGCTGGTGAATTGGCTTCCATGCTTCCTTCAGCCTTTCATGCCCGTGACGACGAGCTCGTCTGCGCTCTCCGTCACGGCTATTTTGAATTGTAGCACCATGTATATGTTTTGTCTACTGTATCCATTCACGCTCTTACTCGACCAAATAGACATATGAGCCAAGGCCATTTTTGCTTCCGTATGAATACTATGGAATGTTTCACCTCGATCGTTCCGTTGGCCAAGGCCGGAATATTTTCTACCAAAAGAAGGCTTTGGACCTACAAGGCTTCCGTCTGTCTATGAGCAGCTGCTCGAGCATGCTTCCCATCGCTTCCACTTCATTATCTCCTTCAATGAGGTCGAAGACGTTAATCAAAGCTCGGATCATTGTTTGATTCGGGAGTTTATGCGTTGTTGTGACGGACTTTGAGGCTATTTGTACACTGTTCGAATTGTCGTGATCGCTTGTGGAGACCAAGAGCGCTCTCCAACCTGGAGTACTTACCCTTGTTAACTTTCTCTGCGATATCCTCTTCTTATACCTCCACACCGTATCTCCCTTCTGAACTCAAAGAAACGCGCTCGTTCTCACTAACGACTTTTCAACATTTTCACGAACCCAAATTACCCACCAGCGACACCTTGAATTCTTACCACCCCACACATTGCAGCTTCTATGTCAAACCTCGGAGATGGTGTGTTTGCGAGCATACAACTTCGTTCTGCGACGCCAGGTGCGTTCTTTTGGTGTTATTTGGACGCGCAGCACACTAATACAGGGAACCACAGCGTCCAACGAGAAAGGTATAGCCTTCTTTTCCCTCACGCCACCAAAACTGGCCTCAATTCTCCCTTAGTTCTCAGCTTCCTCGAAGGCATGAGCCGGGAAGGAGAACAACCCACCAACAGTCCTCCTCGCTCGATGGTGGATCCCGACGAGTATAGAAGGCAGCCCGAATCCGTCCGCTCTCGCTCCGCACGACAGGTCTACTCCCCATCGCCGAGGAGCAAAGTTAGCGAAAACACCCTTAATGCCGGCTACATGCAGCGGAAGGCCAACGGCCGCGCAGGGATTGAGGACGATGTGGACTCTAACGTCCAGGACGGGGTACGGTCGGAGATCGGAGAAATGATGGGAGTGCGTCAAACCCTTGCTGCATCTGTTGAACTATTTTGACACTTCTGTTAGCATGAGCCTGGTCCTAACGACCCTCCGGGAGTCAAGTATGCCTCTTACGACTCGGGTCCCTCATTTGGCAATTTCGGCCCTCTGCCTGCTGAAGATCTCCCTCCAGCTTCAAATCCATATGCCGGCGGCGGTTGGAAGGTGCGTAATCGCTTGCTCTCGCCGTCGTCTAGACCGCTGAATGTGCCCTTGTAGCCTGTTTGGGGAGATATTGTTAACGGCGAAGGCGAGGGAAATCTGACGTCAGGCCAACCTCAAAATGGGCCTGCTTCTGAGCATGCTGCAACTCCCCTGCAAACTCTTGCAAACATGACGCCTAAAGTTCCTGAACGCGATATAATGGCCGTGCGTGAGAACCCATTATAATCCACGTCCTCCATATTGACGCCCTTTGCTTCAGTCTCCCAAGCCGCCATCCAGAGCACAAAGCAGAGCAGCTGAAGCAGAGCAGCGTCCCTGGTCCCCCATGTCCGGTCGCAGCAAGATGACGCGAGCCACAGAGAAGGGTACCGTGTATCCCCCGCTTCCTCTCAGCGTGGTCGGCGAAGGCGAGGGTTATGGCGAAGAATCTAGTTCGCCCACTAGATCACGTGCACGATCTAACAAGGCGCCATCCCTCTCTCCGTCAGATTCGCCATCACAGCGTGTCCAGATGTTCTCCGCAAAGCCGCAGTATAATAATGGCAGTGCGTTACCGATTATCGAAGTATGGGAGATTTCTCCTCTGATGAGCGCTTTTGGCAGGTCGTTCCCCACCACCTGGTCCTGCATCTGTCATGTCGGGTGGTGCAGGCCACCACAACCGCCCCTTTTCGCCCTATCGGCACGCGCCGACCCAAGAGGACCTTCTTAACGCTGCGGTGCGGGGACGTTCGCTCGCTATCCCATCGCCAGAGAAAGAGCCTTCAGTTGTCTCCCAGACGCCATCCAAGATGAGCCGAGCACGATCGCATGCGGAAGGTCGAAAGACTGCGTCACAAATATCTGTGTCCAAGCAGCTTTCGCAAGGAGGATCAAGGGCATCTCGTGCTACCCGTTCTGATAGGGAGCAGGATCGCGACAGGACCCCGACTCCCACTCGACCCCATTCCCCGGACGGTCTGGATGCTGAAGAGGCGCGTATCGTCAATGAAGCGTTGGCTGCCAGGACGCCACGCACGTCGTTCTATGCGGCCTCATTGGAGCCTGAGGCCACCAGTCATTTTCATGACATGGAGCTATGCGTTCTCCTTCAGCAAGAAAATGACCCAGCACAACACGACATCGTCAAGAAGGCATTGAGGAAAGCCGTCCGACAAAGAATCAAAAAATTGGGGATGAAGTACGATCATGAGGCGAGCCTGCTCTTTTTTATGGCAGGGCATTGTCGTTAATCTGTGTCCCTGCAGTCAATCAAACAATACAGAAAGTCGTATCATGATCACGATCCTAGCGTTCACCTTCGTCATGATTACGTACCGGAAGAACCTCCCAGGTGGGCCGCAGACCTCAAGCGCGAGCTCGTCCTTATGCAGCAGCGGATTGAGAGCTTGGGTCCCAAGATCGAAGGCTTGAAGCAAGATAGATCGTTCAACATGGAAGGGTCGCGCTTCGCCTACGAGCCTGATGAAAGCACCCGCACACCAATGACGCAAACTGTCAACATCCAAACCCAACCGACCGGAACCCTGGCGGATTCGATGTACCAACAACCCGAATCAGAGCATTTGGTCGATGAGGATCACCAAGAGTACGATGACAGAACTGAGACGCAGACGCAGCAGCATCCATACACGGATGGCGAGACTCGCTCTGTCGTGCGAAGCGCGTACGACACGTCCGATAATGGACGCGACCATTCCGGAGGCGAGCAAGTGCTGGAAGAGGAGCTATACAGATTGAGGCAGCGGCCCGCTGCCGGGAGCCAGTTGGGCTCGCACAAGTCATGGGAAGTTGCCCAGGAAGATCACGATTTTGAAGACAACGGGCACGTCGCACCCTCTGGGCTGCCTACGATCCCCGACACCAATGGCGAGGACATGTATGAGCATGAACGTGACCTACCCGAGCTACCGGAAGAGGCGGATCGAGAGATGGCAGTACACCCACAGGGCCCGTGGGCCGTCGAGTACAACACGAGCAAGGACCCATCGCAGCAGCCCCTCCCGCCCTGGCAGCGCATTCATGCGCGTCTGCTCGGATGGGCGATCATCTGGCCGTTAAGCGAACTGGAAAACGCACTGAATAGCACGACCCGTGGACAGCAGGTCGACGAAGTCGCGCTCAGCATCTGGTCGACACAGACGTACAAGCGATACGTCAGGGCACGGTTGACGGACACGCCGCAGGGTGTAGTGGACAGGTTATTCGTGCCCCCGAACATTGCGGATGCGATTAGCAATGCCGTGTTCAATGGGAGGCATGGGGATGCGTGTGGGATGTTGAAAGACTTGTGGGCGCCGTTTGGGCTTGAGGGCATGCCGAGGCTTATTGTGGTCCTTGCGAAGCATAGGTCGGACCCTAACCATTGGGTGGTTCATCGGTATATTTTAATTTTGCTCCTTAATTAATGCCGGCTCTCATCTCACCTCTGTTTACAGATTCTGCCTGCCTGATGGGTCTCTGACCACATACGACTCGTACCCCGAGCGTACCCTGCCTGATGGACGTGTAAGTCTTCTCTTTCGTTTTACTCTTTCCGCCTTCCTGAGATCGTCTCAATTAGCCCCTCGGTTGGTGGTTCGCCATCCGCGTCGCCTGGCCCAATGCTATGTACCCAAGCCCCGACCACCTCGTCCAAAAGATGGTCCGCCTGCACCGACCCCTCCAGCTGCCCATTGACAACTCAGTCGCTGCGGCGGGCATCTGGCGCAACATCCTCATGGGCTCCCGCGCCGAACGCAGCCTGGATCTGGAGCGCCTTCGTGATCTGATCAACACGGAGGTGAAGAACTTGAAGCAGAGGAAGCAGATGGGCAAGCTCTCGATTGGTGCCCCGAAGCCTGCTTGGGATGATATGGCTTGATCGCTGTTCGCCGGCGCTTTGTTCATTTCTGACGCTGTTTTCGACTTCCCTGTATCTGACACTGCTAGAAAACACTTTCGTTCTCGTAGATTACG